TGAAGGCTGTGCCGCCTGTCAACAAATGAAACCGAATACTCATCCAACTCGTATTCCTTTGGAACCAATTCCCGCCGACCCACACGCATTACCATTTTCCTGTTGCACCACCGATTTTATTACCGACCTCCCCGTTTCCAACGGTTTTGATTCAATTATGGTCGTAGTAGACCATGACCTTACGAAGGGGGTGATTCTTACGCCCTGCCTCAAAACGATCACAGCCGAAGGAACGGCCAAGATTTTTCATGACAAAGTATACTCGCGATTTGGATTACCCGACCGAATCATCTCGGATAGAGGACCTCAATACGCATCCAAGGTCTTCCAAGAGTTAAATCGACTACTCCAGATCAGATCATCAATGAGCACAGCTTATCACCCTCAGACGGACGGAGAAACAGAGCGAGTCAACCAGGAGCTGGAAATCTATCTTCGACTCTATTGCGGAAACAACCCTGAAACATGGGCCGACCGCCTGCCAGACCTCGAGTTTTGTCATAACACAAGGGAACACTCGGCACGGAAGATGAGCCCATTCCGCATCATGATGGGATACGAACCACGGGGACTCCCTTCCGTATTTCCGACCACGAACATTCCATCGGTTGAATCCAGGCTTGACATGTTGCAGAAGATAAGACTAGAAGCACTAGCCATGCACGAGTTAGCCCGACAACAGATGGCGGACCGAGTCAGACAAGGATCACCGAAGTTTACACTAGGACAGAAGGTCTGGCTAGACTCGAGGAACCTGAAGGTCAATTACGCCTCGCGCAAGATAGCACCAAAGCGTGAGGGGCCATTCGAAATTGTCGAAGTCATCGGACCAGCCAACTATCGTCTCAAACTCCCGAAGACCTGGCGAGTTCATTCCGTATTCCACGCCGCCCTTCTATCTCCTTATCGCGAAAACGACATACATGGTCCGAATTACGTGAACCCACCACCTGATGTCGTTGATAACGAAGAAGAGTACGAAGTCGAAGCCATCCTGAATCACAAGACGTACCGAGGTCATCTGAGATACTTAGTCAAGTGGAAGGGATATTCTTCAGCAGAAAACTCGTGGGAACCTACCCACAATTTACAGAATGCCAAGCGAATCCTCGATGCATATAAAAGGACCAGGAGAATCCAGTAGAGGAGAAGAAACCCGGAATGACTACCACGACGGTTTTCCTCATCATCTTCCTAATCGTCCTCCACTGCACAACCCTCACTTTTCTTTGGATCATTCACTGAATCCTTATCAGACGACTTGTCGAACACACACTCTTCACGCGAGACAGCCCGCACGCTAACGGCTGGGGTGATCAGAACGATGCCTGGAACTGATCAGGCAGCTCTTATCTCTGTGGGAATACTCTTTATCGTCCAATGGATTTTCATCTATTTGATTATTACCCGGATCCACGACATTCTATTTCACATCACAGATAACCGCGATCCCCTTAACGACCGAAAGGTATAAAAGGAGGAGAAAACGACATATCATCAATGCCCACTTCCGCTATAGACGACCTTGTTCACAATATACTCGCTGAAGTCGCCTCCACAATTATGAGCATACCCGCATCGCCTACGCTTGTCAATGGAGTACCCTCTCGAGCACAGACACCCTTTATCCGCACCTCATCGCCCTCACCTTCTATCGAACTCAGTCACGCATCGGACGAACAAGAATTTGCCACACGTCTGGTCTCGGCTATCCGTGTTCCTGTCGACTTCACAGATATCCTCGTCGCCTTACGAAATCGCCCGCAAGATCGACAAGCAATGGTTTCCATGCAACGAGCATTAGAAATGGTCGAGTGGATGCAGACGGCCAGACAAGAGCTCATCGCAGCAGAAGAAAGGACGAGTAGAGCCCGGACCAGAGTCGACCAAGTCTGGTCGTTGATGCGCAGTACGGTCACTCGTACAGCACAGGAGATTTGGAGGGAGCATGGGGACGAAGACATCGGACACATCCTCGGATACACCACTAATGGAATACCCGCATCCACTCCTCGCTCGTCGCCAGAACCAATTCCCGTTCGACCTCGCCCTCCTCGTTCGCACGTACCCAGTGGACGATCTCCATTATCCCAACCACCTTTCTCGACTGCATCCACTTCTTCGCGTCGCAGTCATCCCTACAGGAATGGACGTATCCCCGAACAAGGATCACGAACCAGCCGGCGGACATGCTACAGATGTGGAGGAGATCATTATGTCCGCGACTGCCCCCGACGACGATGAAGATCACAATATTTCTTGTGGGACAAGAAACGTTAGACGGGAGCTGATGTTACAACGCTCCTCACTTGTGGCGCGTCTTTTCTTTTTCTTGTTCCCTTTACGTTACCAGACCACGTGATCCAACACATGACTCATCGGAGCGCAACCTCCGATTCTTTACCCAGCTGTCTAGAACCCCTAGTCTGGGGTTACACCGGATCCAACTCCGGACCTTCTTCTTATCGCACATGCAAGACGTGCATGTATGCCTCATCTTTACCTCGTTCTGATACACGACTCGTTATCCCCATTAGTACTGATTATCTCTCACGACCTTACTCAGCTTTCTCATACATATTACTTCCTCGCCGTTACCCTGCCCAGATATTGTTTCACCTTATCTAGCCAATGAACGATCCCGCATTACTGCGTAGTACTGCGGATACCTTTTGTATAAATAGACGACCTTGTCGAGCTGGATCCCCATCTCGACCTGGTTACCATTAAACCAGCTTTCCACTTGCCTTTGACTAAGATCGACCGTCAGTAGCAGACAGCTACTACGAGTCATAAGAACGAACTCTGATCGACCTTCAGTGCGAGGACATCGCCAGAAGTGTCACTTGAACGGACTTGTGTCTTAGACTAAGACCTTGTCTCGTAACGACTCGACTAGACGCTCGTGTTTCGCTGCCGCGTAACAGCACTAGTACCCTGCAAGTCCCTCACGATTTTGAAAGTCTCTATGGGAGACATATCAGCGATGTTTGAGAGCATCGTTGAGTTTGCAAACAGTCGTCACTGAATCGGGTATCCTCTGGCCAAATGCATTGTGCTTAATCCTGTGATCGAGCTTGATGATATGAGAATACTGAAACAGTATGTCAAAATTGTTGAAGTCCATTTCTCTTGCCCCTCACTGTAGACCGTCGAGTCTACCATTTATACACACCGGTTATATCGCCACTGGAGCAAGTTCATTGTATACTAATCCAATGTATCGGTGAGTAAGTTGTTGTGTTGGCTTTGTTAGGGCTGGTGGTTTCCCAATCAGGAAACATATATTAGTCAGCACATAGGTATGTCGGAGAACATACTGGAATCTCCTAGAATTACTGTGTAGTATAAATATATGGCCCCAACCGCATGAGCCCCTCATGCGCTTGTGACCCATGGCCTAACAGCCGAGTGAGTAGTAGTGATCAACCTCACAATACATCAGCAAAACCCAACTTTTACTTAAAAGGGTACTTAAATGACTTCAATGGACTTATGATCCTTATTTAAGGGTATAAGGTCAAAAAGGGGCCTAATGCATATTACATGAGTGTCTGAAATCAGACTTATGGACACTTATTTGAAGACTTATTGCCTTAAATAAGGGTTGTAAGACCGAAAAGTCAAAATAGCTCTGTAAGAAAAAGTTGGGTTTTGCTGATGTAGGCTTCCGCTGCTAATGGCCACGCTCGCAGAGACGATGGAAACATTGATATATCAACATGTACTTTGTCATCCCGTATTCTTTTTTTAATGACTCCTTTTTTATCACGGGTTTTAGAGTGTGGCAATCGTTCCCAATATCAGCGCATTCTCTGCCGCGAGCAGTCCGGCTCGAGTTGAGGTTTTAGACTGCATGTTAGGTGCCTTTCGTGGTGGCCTCTTGACTCAGTCGCATGTTCCGCAGGACATTCGACTTCTGTTTTCGATTGTATTGTCAGTGTTGGTCTGTCAACATGGAATCTGTGTCATTCGAATTGTGTACTTGAGGATTCCCGCGCGAAGCCCCGTCGTGGATGTGAGATCCGAAGTCAATGTTCGAGCGGACCGAGCTCCATTGTGACTAACGGCGGGCTGCTCATGCAGCTCGGGTATCCCAGCTGCAGGAACGCTCGTACCTATGCTAAATCTCCTTTCTTCGCTTGTCTCGGACACCAGTGCATTTGGTACCATCCACTAATGAGGATAAGCTCAACGCAGGGCGCGGTGAGCACGGTGTGGGTGCCCTCGGCGGTTCAGGGTGTTACGTCCAGCAATTAGGTATGAGGAATTCACTTCAAGTAGTAGGATGCAGTATTCGCCTCCGATGAATGACGTATGTATCTCGTGGCACAGAATTTGTAACAGTGGAAATGGGCGACAGCTTTGGCTCGCGAACACTACGCTTTCCATTCCTGGAAATTCCTCTCGCATCTTGAAACTACGCCAGTCATCCGTTGATGGTCTCCCCATGACCAGCTGCGAAGAAAAATGGACTGGCAATTGTCAGATACTCCTTTTGTAGAATCTTTCAGCGAACTCGACGATAGGTGAGTTTAAAATCTATGCGATTCTGCGCTGACCACTGACGTGCCTCACATCCTACAGTATTGAATCAGTGGGTCGCCTGTTGATTTGGAGAACGGTATTTGACGCCGTCACAGCTACTCGCATGGCTTACAGACCCTTTTCCAACACAAAGTGTCGTCAATTTACCATGTTATATCAACAGATTAGCTCCCGAGCTACTCGCGTTGACATTCCAACATGTCTTGGATCCAGTGGAGACGCCGGCGAGGGAAATGTTCTTTTGGCCATCTGCTGTCATCAGAAGCCAAAGAGGGCTCCATAATCTCACCCAGGTCTGCCGCTATTGGTATCAAGTCTGCCACGACACACCCTTGCTTTGGAACACTATTTACGATACCCGCAATGTTGAATGCTCCGCGGCATCTTTGTTGGCGGGCTACCCGCAAGTACCGCTGAATGTATATATCGGTCGATTCGTCCCCAGTGAAAGAATGGTGGACTTGTTGCGATCCGACAGCTGGCGCATCCAGAATCTTAATATTTGCTTCCCAACCACTGATTCGGCCGCTGATCAGAATGCAGCACAGCGTATAATCCAGCGACTCCCTCAGGAGATATTGCATACTCTTGCCCAATTTGGAATCCCAAACTTAATATGGCTGGAACTGCAGCAGATCGCGCACTGCACGGATTTCGAAGCGCCTGCGCTCAAGCACCTGACCATCTTCTCACCTCTCATACGCACCAAATCCATCTATCCATTACTGTTCCGTGGCCATGCTCCGCAGCTGCGGACGCTCACATTGCGCGTTGCGACCTGGCTTCCGCAGAACAGATTCCCCAGTCTCACGCATCTGCACATCTCTTGCACACCCATGCGACTCTTCCCCGCAGAGGAGAACCGGGCAACGAAGTGGGAAGTCGCGGAACTGTTCTCGTTTCTATCGCATTGTCCGAACCTCGAGGATGTCGTTCTCTGGGGCATACCCGAGTTTCACACCATCCACGAGGAAGTCCCTGTGCTTCACATGGGCCGCCTCAAGCGGCTAGTTTTGGGGGGCATAACTGAGCTGCTAATCAAATGGATACTCCACCACATCAGAATGCCTAGGACTTCCGTGGCATACCGCTTCGCCGGTGTTCTCTGCGCTCCCGAAGAGCTCTTCGCAGTACTCATGTACGCTCCCTGGCTAACTCTGCGGACGATTCACATCCAGAGCAAGTACATGGCCACAGCGATCATCTTTTCCTTGGCAGATAAGTCCTCCGGGTTCCGCATTGAAACTCGCCTTCCAGGCATTTCGACGCAGATGAACGAAGACTCGGAAGAGTGGGGTTGGTCGCATGCGATATGGTCGGCCTGTGAGCTGAGAGAAGTGCAGGAGCTGTACCTCGAAGGCCTGACCCCGCTGCTGCTGGAGCACTTCACGAGCATGCACGCACTGATGACGATGCTGCCCGCGCTCACCACGCTCGTCTGCTCCGACGGTGTTCAGCCGGAGCTCCTGTTCGAGTACCTCGCGGAGCCACCGGATGACGGAAGTGACGGGCCATCCTCGCCGAATCTCAGCACGATGCATCTCTGCATTCCGGATGACACCGATATGGAATGCTTCCACACCCTCGTCGCGTTCGCGGAGACGCGCGCGCGGACAGGACACCCACTGCGGAGGGTGGTGATAGAGGTCAGCCGGCCGACGATGGAGGTGGAATCGTGGATTCGCCAGGAAGGGCGCATAGACGAAGCGCTGAGCCCGTATGTCGAATCCGTCGAGCTGCGCGTGTACGAAGGGCGGAATCCGCGACCGCGGTGGCCGGATGTGTGCGCAGAGACGCCGCATGCGGAATGGCCCCGTTGGCCCTAGGTTCTCCTGCTCTCCATTTAATTGCAAGCGATGTACCTTCACGCCTTGATACGAAACCCTGTAATCCGGCTTCATGCTTCACTGCATGATTATGTCCTTGTGCTCTGTGACTCATTCTGTATCTGCTACTGCAGACAAATATCTCCCATTAAATGGTACCTACGTACCAATTATCACCTTCTGTATTCTTTCCGTCACATGCCGTAACAGTGTAATATGCAATATGCGAGAAGCATTACGGTATCAGTCCAATCTATTTCTAATAGCGCAGTGAGAGTAGGATACGCGGCAAGTCCACGGCACGAAACGATGGCAATTCACTTGGTTTTGATGCCCACAGGCACTTTGTCCTCAGGTTCTGTAAGTTTGCTACTCTTGCGCCTACCACCGACGGTGCCCACCGTGCGCAAGAACATGATCGCCCAAATCGCAGCCATCGGCAACAATCGTCAGAATAAAAAACACCACCAACACACGACCAAAGAAGTTTAACGCGGACGCACTAAAGAACGCGTCCTTGCACGCGTGCAGCTTCCCGGCAGGGGGGGGGGAAGACATTCGTGCTATCGACGTTGATGACGATCCCGTCCCGGAGCGACACGCGCTTGAGCGTCGCGTCGTACACGACCGTCGTGATCGCCAGATCGAACGCACCACCGAGATGCATGAGCGTCTGGAGCAGCGCCCCACCGATGCTCTGCTCGTGCGGCAGACACAGCCTAGCGATGAACAGCGTCCCTGATGGGAACACAAAGTCCGCGCCGAAAGCCATCAGCACCGTCGCCGGGAACCCGAACGCCCAGTACGTCGCCGTGGGGTTGATCACCCCAAGCAACATGTTCGCCACCCCCGTGAGCGTCGTGCCGAGTACTGGCCATATGTGAGCGCGTGTGTGAGTGGGCGATGGGGAAAGCGACTCACCAGCGAGGTAGATGACGGGAAAGTACGCCACCATGAACACGATGGCGACGTTGAAGAGCACGACGGAAGCAGAAGACAAAAACGTACAGCTTGTCTTCTGCCCGTCCGTGGCAATGTTCTCGTCACTGAGTACGAAGACGATCATTACAAGGCTAGCCGTAGTGACGAGGAACGAGCCCAGCCAGTCGACGCGACTGCACAACGACCAAGCTCAGCACGACACAAAAAAGTTCAGTGCGCAACATACTTATCCTCCGCTGTCGACGGCATGCCCTTGTCAAACATCGTGAATCCACCTACGAAGACCAGCGCAGAGACGCCCGTCATGAAGTAGACGCCACGTCTTTCTATCGCAGCACAAAATGGGTCAATGCTACCACAGGGACGGGGACGAACACACGCTCTGCGAGCTGCGTGAGGATGCTGCCGATGATGCTGCTGACGGCGGCGCCCGCGGGGGCACCTGCAGCGAATGTCGCGAATGCGACCGAGCGAATTCGTGACGGCGGGAAGGCATTCCTAGCTGTGCACGTAGATATGAGTCAAACACGGGGTGAACATGCTTTCAGTAATTGACGTACTGAAGCTGGGATAACCATCCCCCCTTGATACTTGGAACCCACGGAGAACATTGCGTGTGATCTCATCTAAAGTAAGCCATCCGGAGGGGTGAACCCCAGCATCACGAGTCTTTCCAGCCCATGGTCCTGAGTTTGCAACGTACGGGCACAAGGCGTTCCAGAAAGGGGGTAGGTTTCAATGCATATTTTCGACAGATGGCAACAAAGCGAAGCGTCAAGCCACCTGCTTGCACTTTGTCGTGCGCTGCAATTAGCCGTCGACGATGCCGCCATTATACTCGCCGTTTGACACCCATTTCCCAGCGGATGGGACTGCCTGGGTTCTCGCCTTTCGCGAATTCTCATCCCAACTCCAACACGCCCAACACGAAGGTGCCACACTGTGAAACCGTGGTAGTGGTTTGGCTCCTTGGATGGCTTGCGTGTGTCCGCGTTGCGGCCGATGCTGAGCGCACTATTGATGGGGGCAGAGGCAGAGGGCGAGCAAAAGTTGGCTGCACCACCACGGCTGCTGGAGGAGGTTTTGTCGAGCGAGCATAGCATGGAAAGAGAGAAAAATGCAAGGCGGGGGCAGCGAAATTGGTGCTGGCACCGCGTTCAGCAGCACTGACATAGAATAGAATCAATATCAGAGAGATTAGATAGCGAGAGTAAAAGCACGAAAGAAGAAGGAAAAACGCGCAAAGTCTACAATGCCCCACACACCCGCAAAAAAGGGATAAAACGAAAGGCGCGGGGCGGTCGCATCGTCGGCATCAGTTCCCAACAGTTTTTGCGGGAAATCTGGGGAGATCTTCGTGATCGTATCACGCCTGCCTCCTGGCAGATGCAGTAGCACGACTGTCCTCACACTGTTGACTCGATGCCAGATATTGTAATAAATAAGGCTCCGAATCCCTGCAACCAGTTGTCGACGAAGAGAATAGACCGCACCAAGAAGCAAAAACGATTTCTAGAGACCCTCACGAGCGCGTGCGGCCCGCTGTCGAGCTGCACATCAGGAGGGCGCAGTTGTGCCCGTTGCGTGCTTACACATTCACCGATGGAATGAGTAAGTGCATACTCCAACAAGGATTGGTGAAAAACCATCCAATTGTCTTGCCCGTGTCAACGTCCTTGCCCGGTGCGCCTAGATCGTGTGGCAACAAGTCTTGACCATCTGCCTGTACTCGATGCACGCCTGATCAGATCTCGAAGTGTTGCGCAGGTAGACGCCCGCTGGTTCGTAAACCCACAGGCGAGCCTCGTGGACATGCCTTGGCACGAAAATGCCATTGGAGCTGCTTGCAGGGGAGAGGTCATCGGAAGGAGGAGCGGGGGGAGCGGGGACGCGCTCTTCTTGGTCGGCGGGCACCATAGGCACCATTGAACAAGTTAGGGCGGGATGTACTAGTGGCCAGCAGTAGCAACCAGAGAATAGAGAACTATACAGTACAGATTACAGCCGAAAAAATGCTAGGCTACTGAGAAAGACAGAGAGAGATGCGACGCGACGCGACGCGCCAGAGTAAAGGAGAGGTAGAATATCGGGCAGGTTTGGCTCTGTCCTCTGACGGTCACAACCGTGACCGAGAACCTGACTGTGACTTGCCGCGACAGTGACACGCGCCGTCACCAGTCGGTGACCTGACCCTTTAGACCACGGACTGGGTCTCCACGTTCTCAACTGAACTTGATCGCTCGCTCATACCAGTCGCTATGTCTGACACTTCACGGCTTACGTTGAATATCGCATACGATATTCTCTGCTTAACCTCCGGCAGGCCGTCCATATGGTCCTTCGATGTCCCGAAAGGGATCACCTGGGCTAAGTTTCTCATGATGATTGGAGAGCGTGCTATAGACGAACCACTGCACAATCTATTGCTGTACAAACTGGTATGTTATGATCGATGTTATCTCTTCTGCTTCGATTGCTTCCACAGCGCAAACCAGCTGAAGTGGCAGAGCTCAAACGATCAAGACCACAGACGATAGAAGAGGTGGAGGACATCGCCGAGGAAGTCCCTCTCTTGGTAGAAGTGCTGCATGATCCCGCCCAATTTTCCCCGGATAAGGTTCATGTTCTCGTAGTAGTCGCACGACCGGAGGCAGCAGTCGGTCGGTAGATTTCTATCGTCGCTTGGGGAAGGGAGTAGTTTCCTCACGGTTGCGTACTACACTCGTTCAGATCACTATAAAGGGGAGCCACCGCCGGGCCTGGAACTTCACCCTGTGGAGAAAGGTGGGCTCTCCCTTCATTATCATCCAAGTCTCCTTCATCATGCCTTACCTTCAACGTGGCAGCTCACCTGGCCGCTGTCAAGGCCGAACAGGATAAGCACCCTATCTACAATGGACGCCCCGACAATTGTCGCAGTTCGCCGATCGTACTTTACGAGAGCGCCTTCGCTAAGCTCAAAGACGTGCTGTACGATCTGCGACAGGCACAGCCGGACCGCGACTTTGTGGCTGCGACCGCAAAGCTATTTCTTTCTGCGGCGACTATATACAATTCGGAATCCGAACGCGAGAGCGCGATCTTCGACCACATCGAGCGTCTCTTGGACGTCACCTTTGAACGACACGTGAAGGCGGCCATGAATAGGTTTTCCAGCAAGAAGGACGCTGAAGCCGACACTCTCGTTCGAGAACGTCTGGATGACACAACGCACGGCGAGAAGAAGGGCATCTACATCTGCATCGAGGTCAAAAATGAACTGGGAATGGGTAGAAACAGCGGACTTCAAGGTGCTCTGACGTTGCTGAAGCACATTTCCCAGGATGGGGTAAGTTGTCTACATTAATGCTCGATTCGAGTTCGACGCTAACCGACCCGCAGTACGAGGGGATACGAAATGTATCGTGCTGCCCCTGCTTCGTCATATCCATCGCGGGTCCCTACATCTGCTTCTCTGGCGCAGTTCTCGTCGACATATTCATCGTCCAGCCCTTCACGGACTACATCTACTTGGGCGGGGATCCTATCATGAATGAGCGAATCACCCACGTGGCCAAGCTCTTCAGTGCGGTCGCAGATGCAGCGATGCTGTTGAGGGAGCACTACCGTTCTCTATCGCCGAGCACGGTGCCCAAGCATGGCCCCCTCCTTCCCAGTCCTGCTTATGGTGTCAAGCACCCAGAGGGGGCCTTAGAGTTCGTAGCACGATTTGATTACGAGGGTCGGAAAATCGACAACTACCGTCGATCCCTCTTCCGTGCCACATTCGACGGCAAACCCGTGCTCGTTAAGTTCTGTGAGACGTATAACGAACGCGCCCACCGTATGCTCGCCGATATTGGCCTTGCACCGAAGCTATATTTCTGCGCCCAGATCTGTGGACACGTCAATATGATCATAATGGAATTCGTCGACAGCCGCGATACGCACCACCAGTTTAGCGGGAAGGAGTTACCTCCGAGCGTTATGCGTGACGTGAAGCGCGCAGTGGACGAGCTGCACCGCTCAGGCCTCATCTTTGGTGATCTGCGCCGCCCGAATATCATGGTCGTCACCAATCACCTCCACGTGGTCGAAGCGGCGAGGACTGAGAAAGACACGGCGGCGGATGCTGGTTTGGGCGCGATGTTGATCGACTTTGACTGGGCTGGGGATGACGATCAGGCGCAGTATCCAGCGCTCCTCAATGATTCGGGAGAGATCAGTTGGGCAGACGGTGTCGCGCCTGCGGCACGTATGAAGAAACAGCACGACCTGGGCATGATTGAGAAGCTCAATCGACATCGGTCGTCCGCAATAGTCAGCTATACCAGAAGCCTACTGGCCGCAGGATTTAGTGACTGAATCAGCGTTATTGTCATTGGATTTCGACGTAGCGCGTTCGGTGAGTACAGGATGCCGTTCTCATCTCCAAATAGCCCTCACGGTCATGTCTGACATATCTTCGCCAGTACTCGTGATGATGGTGGCTAGGTATTGACGTTGCGTCGTTTTACAAATGATGAGTGGGTAAGCTCCTTGAGGAAACGCAAACCCCGTTGAGTGCATAAACGTATTATCTCGCTTACCTGTGCCTTATATGACATTCAGCGGTACCGTAGGCAAATTCGAATGTACCGACTAACGGTGGCCGCGAAGCAACTTGCTCCGCAGGACGCGGTGGAGGTCTTCCGTGATATGTATTCAATCGTTGATGGATCTTCCGCTAGGTCCATATGGAGCTCCTGAAAACGTCATTCAGAAATGTATGGACATGTCGTCCTAGGAGCGTGGCTGGTGCGATCGGTAGGCGCACGGGGGATGTTGTTTGGCAGAATTATCGTTATGCTTATTGACTATTTGCAATGCTTACGATCTATAGATTTATTCGCCTTCAATACGTTGGAAGACAAAACGCTCCGAACAATAACCTCGAAACACGTCATCATCGCCCTTGCACTTACTAAGAATGGCTGGTTTCCTTGGGTACGAAACAAGTGGCGGCCATGCTTCTGTCATCGTTAGATTCAGCCATTGTTCGTACATTTGGTAAGCGCGCCACCCCTCTATAAAAGACGGCACCTGGTACATCCTCTCTCTCAATTCCCCTCTTCCACCATCGTCCACTACTATGCCTCAACCCCCAACAATTTCATGTGTACACGTCCGCACGCGTTATCTTACGAAGTGTGTTGGTTTCTTTATGTGGCTCAGCTCTGTCGACTGATATCATCTTCGCCAGACACCGAAGGCATCCATCGCTTTAAAGAATGCGGCTGGAAACGTGGTCTCGGCGGCAAAGGTCGCCCAGAAAGTTGCCATGGAGGTGCACAAATTCGACGGACGACATTCTTTGTCATCCTACGCACCTCGGCCCCGTCGACATTGTTGTCCTCATCGCATCCAAGCTCATGAGGATAAAAAGAGATGGAAGCTCCAGAGAATGGGCGGTGTCCAACCGTATTCGCGTATGGAACGAACGACCGTGCCCAGCGCGTTCTATCGCCGGTCGTCTCCTCAGCCCGTCCATGACTCGTCGCGGGCCCCCACCGTTTGGTCGGCATTTCAGGCCGGTTCATTCACGACTGCATGATCACCGCCTCACGGGGCCCTATCCACCACCGCCTTCGGCTTCTCGCACTCTAACCGAGCAACCTGAGCTGGCGGTGCCAACCCCGGATCCTGCCGCTCTTTTGCTATTCCGCATGCGCTGCTTCTGGGGAGGACAGTGCAATGTCTTGCTGGATGACATGATGCCAGGCGGCATTGAGCGTCATCTTAGGGCCGTACACCTACATGAACAATGGAATCACATCGTCCGGGGAGAATGTAGATGGCATACTGGGGATGAGAGATGCGGACGCATGATGGCTCAGGGCGGCCAAGCATGCGGCGTCGAAGCATCTGCGGTCGACCCCCGTCATATGCAATGTATGCCGAAAGATGTTCTGTAGGAAGGATGTGCTCCGGAAGCACAAGAAGCCTCACTGCAGGGGTGTGCCAAGTCCTCTATGAGTAGTGTGAGTGATCCGTCTTGTGTCCCATGTCTGACGGTGCTAAGTTTTATGCTGCAGCATCTGCAGTATTTGCGGCAGTGTTGACAGGCTTTATTCACTCAGAACCGCGTCACAAGCACAGTTTTCTCGCTTGCAGTATCGGGGCAGTGTTGCGTCGACTGGCTGTATTCTTCCCATCTATCTTCAGGATATGTATTGTCTCACTCCCTCTGACCACACATTCCTTGCGGTTTATCCGTCCATCCCGCTAATCATATTACGCAAGTTCATGTTCACTGCTTGCACCCGTATCATGATTTCCTTACTCTCGACACACTCCAGCATATCGTTGACTTGTGCTTGGTCGCGATCATCTATTTATCACCTTTTACGCCACGTGTCTCTTCCCCAGTTCACCATTCCCGTCCATTTCCATATTCTCCGTGCTCACGGCGCCACTGCATTTTCCCCCTCAACACGTGCATGTCCATTTACCGTCGATATATGTCGTAACGACAGGCCTATGTCTTATGCAAATGATATGTTTATGTTATATGCGATTGAGACTCGACGTCCATGTTCAACTGTCATCGGCTGTTGGATGCTTCTGCTTGTATGTTTGCATGTCACTATTCTGTCCATATCGTTGTGATTGTTGGTCCTTACGAGCCCGTAAGATGAGTCGGCAGTGGATTTTTGCTTTGTCTTTGCTCTGTGCATCCCCGTTTTGTTCGGACACTCTAGATCCCCGGCTTGCTCACGCACTTGCATCCGTTCATACACTTCTTCGTCGTCGCGTGCCACACACACTACCTAACCGCACGTTTAAGGACGTCGAATGTCCAGCACTGTCATCTCGAAGCCAAAATCACGCCTGTGACGCTCGGATTCAACGCGTGAAAGGAAGTAACAAAATGAGATCGCGATTGATTTGTGGTGCTCCAACGACATGGGTGCCGCGGCGCTGTAACCAAGATCCTCGAGGGCTTATCTTACGAATAGCTGCGGTAGATAGGTATATATGGATTGCGGAGTGGTACCCATAGCCCACAAGGCAACTTTCATAGGCGTGCACTTGAACGGTAACCATCTGCACTCGGCTTGGACATCTGGGCAGGATGAGTCTGGTTGCCCTCCACGACGATGTCCTCCTCCTCCTCGTTGCCCTTCTCGAACCTCTCGATGCCCTCCATCTGTCCGAGACCAACCGCCCATCTCCAACTCATCGCGCTCCCTTGCGCTCTCTCAGTTGTAAAACTCAAGACGCACGCCCAGCTCACCGCGTTCTGCAGATCCGTGCGCCGCTACCCGCAAAGTCGCATGCATTTCTTGTGCAAGCTCTCCATTCGTGACCCCAGATGGCGAGTTCTCCAGTGCGTCTCCTCGCTGGCGTGCTCGAGTAGCCCGTCAGACTGAGGAGGATCATGATACGTCACTTTGAGAACTTCATCGAGGCCGCACCATGCATCAGCGATGCTCTCGCTTCGCTCGAGAAACTTGAAGACTTCTTCCTGATCGGTTGTTGCGAGCGTGTGCGAGAGATGCTCCCTCGACTTCGCAGTAAGCCGCGCAGAGCCATGCTCGTCTGCTTTCAGCCCCTCGTACTCCGTCTCTCCGCGCTCTCGGCTCTGCAGCACGCATACAGACTCATGTTATCCAACATCCCGATCGACGATAATTCACCGCCTAGTGAGCTGCGAGTCCCTTGGGAGGCACTGAAGTATGTGGTCCTCCAGTACGTTCAGATTCCCGCATCCTTTCTCCTAGCCAGGTCCCCAAGCTGCGAGCCACGCTGCTATTGGAGATCGATATCGTGGTGCCGGCATCAGCCTCGATGGGTGCACCCTCCTCCTCGCCGTTGCGCACCGTCGACTACATAAGGCTCAACGCGTCGCGGGTAAACATCGACACGCCTGAAGCAGGTGTCGTGCGCGCCCTGCGGCCGCTGCAGTGCATCCCGCCCGTCGTGCTCTCGCTGAAGGTCCGCGCAGACCTGATGCTCGCTTTCTGGGAGCGCCCCGCTGCGCTTCTGCTCTTCATACGATAATCAGAACCTGGCCTCTTCTGCGATCGACACTGGCGAGTCGGGCAGTCCCTGCTCGCGAACGCGCCTGTTACTGGTTTCTCCATGCGCACACATCGTGGATGACGTGTCGATACAGCCACTGCTCCTGCTCCTCGCCCTCCTTAGACGCACAACACGCGTGGATATCGATGAACTATACAAGGGCCTGTCCGACGGTGACCTGATCGTTGTACCCTGGGTTCTGGCGTGATGTGACGGCGAGGGCCAACTAGGCGTGCCGCGGGGGATCGCTTCGATTCACCATCGAGGTCCCTCCGCATCGGAACATTTCGCAATTGGCCAAAACTGTGCCCGCCAATAGTGTGGCTGTGGCAAGTGTGGGGGCCAACGTCGATGCTGGTCTGAGACTGGCGGCAAAGCGCACAGACGGGCAGAGAAAGGACTTGGAGGTGATGACGTACCTCGTTGTCGAGCGACGGTGTCATTGGTTTGAGGACTGAGGACTGCTGAGCACCGAGTTTGGCCAGGTCGGTGAACGTCCGAGGTTCGGGCGCTGCTGTGTCGACATCATTGGATGTCGACCGATGCTCCGCATATCGGTCCACATGCGTCCTCCCCGCCTCACAAGCTCACCAGTTTGAACAGCGACGCTCGCCAAGTATTCTTTGCCGACTTCCGAGGCTGGAACATTGAGTTCGAGAGTCCCTGGTCAGCAAGGCAAACTCACGCCGCCCGCACTTCAACCTTCCTCACCACCTGTCCCGCCGCCCTCCCATGGTCCTCGCCGCCCTCGCACCCGCGGTCCCAGACGATGCGGTCAGAGCTGCAATGCACTCTCCATCACGTCTGAAGCTGATGGCGACGATGGCGAGTACGTTTACGGACATGCCGGAACTCCGAGATGTGCAGGTGAGGCACCGGGTGGTCTCGGGGTTGTACGATGACCCTACTTGTAAGTGTACTAGTGCAGCCTTCAGGCTTTTCGAAGTTCTGGTTGTTTATTGGCTAACACGCGTGAGCTGTGCTTTGGTGCTGCTTAGGCGTAAGCTGGGTTCGAATCCCAGACGGGGAATAGAGTGGTTAGGCCGTGCTTTTTTCTTGTCTGACGCTGTCGCTTGCATTGCAGTCTGTGACCGCGTTTTCTCCACATGTGCGCACATACCCGGGACGAAGTATCGATACACCCACAGCACCCCCGCCCTCGCTTTCATTCCCCCGCTGGCATATATACGTGCCGGACACTCCGGACTCTGGACCCTCGCCTCTCTCGCGATGCGACTACGCCCAGATCAGTGAAGGTCTCTTCGATTTACCGTCGACGTACGTTCCGGACCATCTGTAGGTGACTTTTATGCCTCGCGCAGCAGGCTCGTGGGCGTCCGTGCGCTCTACACTGCAGCCGACCGCGAAGGCATATAGGCTCCGCGCCCGCCACCCATCATCCACACGCGCACCTCCCGCTCGACGCAGGCATTTACACGGCGCCGGAAAGCTGATAATATTGGTCGTCGACCCCGCCGAACCGATAAGTACCCAAGTATTCCAGCAAAGTGCGCGGTGGTGAGGACCCCCCAACCGTCCACGCTACAGTACGTATCCATCCCGGCCTGTGCTCTGGGCGGTTCGCGCGAAGAATGCGTTGTCGGTCGTGCGGTAGACTTCTGACTCTCCTGGATTGGCGTCGACGCTCGCGAGGTACGAGTCCTCGCTCTCTGATGCGATAGTCCGCTTGTCGCTAAACGTATGGCAAGTAACTCCGGTTCTTCGAGGTATCGGAGGCGGCGGCACTTGGGGCTGCTGCTGCGGGAACGTCGTCGAGCTCGGTCGTGCGCGGATGGGCGCTCGTGTAAAAGTACGTACGTAGTGCGAAACGGACGGTGAGTCGAGCATGCGTGCAGTACAGTAATTAAGTGCGTCTCTAGCTGTCGGTGCGGACGACCCACTTCCGGCACACGCGGGCAATTGCAAAGCTCCGCTAGCTGTCAAAGCCAACCGAACCTCAATCGGTCTCAAAATCCCTTTGTCGCAGATCCAGGTGTGCCGACAGAAACTCGCACGCCCGCCCGCCCGCGCAGAAATCTACACCCCAGCAGTAGCCCCGCCGGCCAGCCGCACCGAGTCGACGGCGGCGAGCGAAGCAGAAGCGTCCGCGAGCTCCATTAGTACGGTGCCCTACCGCGCATCGGTGACTTCGCACAAACAGGAAGGAATAAATGGGACGCACCACGAGCCTCTGAGACGACGCGCCCGTCGTCGGCACGCGCTCGACTGGGTAGCGGACGCCCGGCAGACAGGTGGCACCGCTGGCCAGCTCGGGGGCGAGCTCGGGGAGCGAGTGAGCAGAAGCGCGTCCGCGGGCTCGTGAGTATGGCAGTTCACGTATAAATAAAGCAGAGCGCGGGAGAGGCGCGGGACGCACCACCAGGAGTACCACCGCTCTGAGGAGACCCGCTAATCGTCCATGCCTAAGCTGTCCATCGGCACACGCCCAATCGCGGTGCCTTTCGTCGCACCCGGCAGAGGGGACAGCCAGAAAAGAGAGACCGCACAGCTACTGAGCGCTTTGCGGGCAACAGGACGCACGAGTAGCGGACTAAGCAGCGCGCGCCCATCGCCCGAGCCGTCCGTCGTCGACGCACCTCTAACAGAGCCCCGCAGAGAGGACCGCCAGGAGAGAGCTCACCGGAATTGCATATACGAAGTCCAGGGGTGATTATCCGTGGAGTACGTCCAGTCTGGCGAGCATCTCCGAGCCGAGGTATGGCTCGGCTGAACGGTGAGGTCGCGCGGGTGGACGGAGCGGCGCAAGGTGGAGGCGATCCAAGGAGTCGTGCAGGAGAGCGACTAGGTGGCTGCGGCAGCGCGAGGGAACGGAGGCGACGGCTGCTGAGACAGAGGAAGACTCGGAGGCGATGACGGACCTCGTCGTCGAGTGCGCGGGCGGTGCGGTTAACTCCGTTGGATATTGTCGAGTACTAGTTGCTAGCTACGATTCACCGACATATTTCCGGTGACACGCTGCTGTTGAACTGAACGTTATCTGTCCATGGCCAGACGACGCCCGCATGCTACGTTTACGCTAGAAGTCCGAGGATGCGACACATTTTTTTTGAGGCCCTGGTTGTGTGTTGGCCCGTACGTGTGGATCATGCTTTGACACTGGTCGTGCGGAAGTTGGGTTCGAATCCCACTCAGGGAGTAAGCCCATCATCGCAATGCTTTTTTTGTCTATGGTAGTCAGATACCGTTGTGCTGAAGCTGGAGCTCGATGGGATGGCTGAGGTTCTCGGTTAGTGACAGTATCGGTGTCCTCCGACATATGTACTTGGAATTCTGGAACGAGGAGATGACGTCGTCGTTCCATCCTCTCGCTCCTCGCAACCGTCTGTACTTTCGGCGGGTTGGCTCCGCTGTGATCTGTCCCCTCCATCGTCGATCGTCGATCATCGATCATCCTCCATGGACACTGTTGCTCTGTACGTTCTTCATCATATTTGCTGCAGGATTCTCGACGCTTCCTCGTAGTTCGATTAGCACCGTCGCTCGAGCAGGCAGAATATGGGCCGCACGTCCGACCAGCTGGCGTGCGGCCTCATGCGCTTCGGGCGACCAGTGCGACACGCGCGATGGGCGTGCGCGACGTGTCATCATCTCTCAGAGCGGTAGTCCTACTGGTCCGTCCCGCACCCATCCCGCTCTTCTTCGCGCACGAATGTGGCAGAGTGCCGTACCAACTGAGCTCGTGAACATGTGCGTATATCTCCGCGTGAAGTTCTAGCTCACCGGCCTCGTCACCGCCGCCGTCGTGCTGGGGTACGCTGCCTCCCTCTCGCTGGGGTGTGCATACCTCCGGATGGCGTACCGATACGTACACGGGTCTCCCACTGGCTCCGCACGATGGTAGGGTATCAGCGCGGTGGATGCTGGATCGCCAAGAGGGACGGGTCACGGCTACGCCCCGCCGGTGAAGGCGCTTTCCGCTGACGGTCTCAAACTGGGGAGCACACGCGGGACTGGGAGAACGACTACATTTTCAAGCTTTTTACGATGATGACGGAGCAGGCTGTGGTAGACTCTTTTTTTTCAGCAGACTCTACTGCCCGCAGCCAAAGTCGGTACACCCTGCGTTCGCTCGACGAGCGGCTCAGGATCTTCCGTAGCGCTCACCCGATAAGGTGCTCGCTCCGCTCGATATCTGGCCTGCATTGATGGGGCGTATTGACACCGACATGCCTGAAGTGCACGCGTCCTCGGCTCACGTATCCCATGCCTCACGCTCTTCGCTCGCTCCTCCCCAACCCGACTCGACCGCTGCTCCTCAACCGGCGCGCATGCGTTTTTTAATGCAGAGTGTCGGCGGCCGCAGCGCAGTGGCTTTATGCGCGAACGAACGCGGTCGCAGACTTGGAGTGCTCCGCTGTGCTTCAGCCTCTGCTCTGGTCTTTGGTCGCTCGCGTATACCGTACAGTAGTGCGTAGCCGAGTGGAAGTGGATAAACGGCATCAAAAGGGTTTATGACTCGCCTTAGCACCGTACGCCCTGAGGGACGACGGCATAGGCTTCTTTCATTCGCACTCGACAGTGCATGTTGAATGCTGTGTGTGCATGTGACCTGCAACCAGCCTTCATAATCTGATGTCGCTATTTCTTTCACCCTGGTCGTATGGTGGTCAAGTCCACAGGCTAGCCATCAGTCGAGATGGCGTCTGCGAGATGCTGGGTTCGAATCCTAGCCAGGGATTGAAGAATGCCCATTCTTTTCTTCCCGTCTCATGCGCCCGGCTGGACTTTTTCTCTCCGGACAACCTATGCCATACGCGTACGTTAGTAGTTACAGATCCTAGGAAGCTCCTTTAGGGATCGCGGGCGGACGGTTCAGGTCACGCAGGGAACGACAAGCTCACGTATCGCACGGCCCGACTTCCATCGCCACACCACTTGCAGAGTTCGGGATTGGGAATGCACGACCTAAACCGGTCAAGCTACGGAGACGGAAGCCAATCGGCTCTAGGTGAACGCGTCTTCTTCCGCAGGTTCGCCTGTCCTCTCGCAGCACTCAGGGCTTGCGACATTAGCTACGCTCACGGACACGCAGAGCTCCGAGTCCTTCAGTGGACTCGATGACTTATTCGCCCCGACTCGGACGCGATTCGAGTTCCTCTCGGCGAACTGGTGGACATGCGCACCCAGCTGTGGCTCGTGCTTCGACCCTGCGAACCAAGGCTGTCCTCTGCGAAAACGATCTCGATGTGGCTTGGAGCTCTCGTTTCCTTCGGTCAGCGTACGTGAGTGCGGATGCTCACGTAGATCTTGGCTAAATGATAACGGCGAACGATTCGGTACGAGACCTTCATTTCCTCAAATCCGAACTTATTTTGCTACTTCTCACGTAGGCACCCCGTCCTTTGCGTGTATGTTGAGTATGCGAACATTCGATATTATATCGCATCGCAGGTTGCTTCTCCTAAGCCTGCTGAACGCCGCGCAGATCATGTTATACCATCGGTCTCAGTATCATTTTGTCTAACCACTTACTGCGGTCCGTCTTCTCACTAGATGTCTCTACTCTTACCTGGTGGAATTTACCACCTGTATTCATCTACACGAACGCGTTTATGCTAATACAATCTCGCAGATTCGTGTGAATATTCCTCTCTCACTTCTTCCTGGCCCCGCGCCAAATCCATAACGCGCACAATCATGTCATCGACGAGCTTTCCTCTGCGGCGACCTTGCTGTTCGCCTCGGGATGGGCGCAGCGCCCACTCTCGGTTCTCCTTCCCAAGTTGACCGTCTGTACCGATCTGATCTTCAGGGCAACGATCTCGACAGTCCAACTGCGGGCAATACGCGAGACCTTGAGCTAGCGCAGTTCGTTGAACGTCGCTAGACCTTCTCGCGTTGGACTCAATCGCTGTTGGTCAAGAGCGGGACAGCGACGTTATGTAGTTGTATATAAGTGAGCGTCGATCCTTTCATTGTCGTATGTCTTGCCAAGCCGTCGTTGCCGTCCGCCGTCCAACAAAGAATTCAGCACACCGCGTTCTCGCCATTCGCAGAGGGCGTAGTTTTCTTCCCCCGGTGGACCCGTGCGCTTTATTGTACCACCCCGAACCTGATTTTATTGGAGGTGTGTACATCACTGCGTGCAACGCACTATTTTCACTACGGTTTCACGGGCTTCTGAGCCACGTATGTCCCAGGCATCCCGTTTAACCGTCCGAATTCGGGGTGTATGCCTGCTGTCATTCTGCTCGGTTAGAATGAAGCCAGACAGAGCACGTGGAACGACGGTGCGTCGCCCGTTCTGACTCACAAGTCTTCCATCGAGTTCCGAGTGCGATCCTTACGTGCAGTTCGACGTGAGTTCCCGCCTTCGAGTTTGAGTGTCTGGACATGGAATTAGCCGATGGAATGGCTGGTGAGCACTCAGAATTCAGAACTCGGGATCTTATAAGCTTATAGTTCCGTTGAAGCGTCGCGCTGACGTTGGTATCATCGATCTTGGCGCTACTGCATCGGTGTTGTGATGAACGACCCGCGCGAGCTGTATGCCGAGAAAATGTGATACGTGCCAGACCGTAAGGATACCCCATGTAGCCGCAATATCATGCTTCAGTAGCGTGGTTCTGTTATCTGTCTCTTCGAATTCTGCCTGCGGAGCATCCGCGTCTCGATGAACGACCCTCTCGATTCGTATCTTCGTGCAGTCCATCCAATATCTTGTATTCGTGCGCACGGCTACCGAGCTGCATGTCGACCTCTTTGTATTTCGCTGCACGTCTTAAAACGTTGAAGACTGACGCCTTATGCTAGACTGCTTTTGCACATCTCGGCTGGGATCCTTCGGCGTCATGTCGGCGCGATCCTGTAGAGTCGAAGAAAACCAGGCCAAGAAAAGAAGAGAACGAAAGAGGGGGATGCAGTGCACGGACCCGCGTTTGCGCAGTACCGGAGTCTTGAGTCTGGTGCTCGGACACTGCTTGCTAACGACACTGACGGCTTGAGGGGGAATAAAATATATGTCGAAACGAAAAGAACCTATACGACGAGTCAACGAGTTTGCGGTCTACCTATACCTATATATCGTGGATAGAGAGGACAGAGGCTATTAGTCGTGCGCGAAAAGTCAAGTCAAAAAAGATCCAGACGACGAACCTAGTCGACGATTTCGTAGAGGAAGATGTTGGGATACACTTTCTTCATCTGCTCCTCGATCCACCAGTAGGGGGTGAGGTACGTGACGTCGGTCTTTTCGGTCGCGCCGGCACCGGCGACGAGCAGCCCAATAACCCGGCCCTTCGAGTCGACCACGATGGAGCCAGAGTCGCCGGGAGCAGAAAAGGCGCCGTCCTCGTTGCTGTAAGGGTAGACGGCGATCTCGATGGACGTCTTCTTGATGTCGTACTCGGACTCGGGGTAGGTGCGAACGAACGACTCCATGCCGGAGAGGCGACCGAGAGTGGGGCCTGTGGTCGTTCCGTTCTTGACGACAATCAGACACTTCTTGCCGTTGGCATCGAGCTGCTCCGGCTTGCGGATCTCGTCGTCCTTTACGACCCCTCTGACCTGGAGGAGCCCGCCGGGGGGGTACTCGAAGTCGAACTGGCCCTCAGGGTGAGGGTGCATCTTGAGGATAAAGTCGGCCGGCGAAATCTTGCCGCCTAGGTTTAAAAAAAACACTGAAACCGGGAACGGTGTTGCCAAGATAAGATGGAAACGTACCGACATAAACCTTGTTGCCCTGGAAAGTGTCCCAGTCGATCTTGTCGCGGTAGAGATCGATCAGGGCCCAGTCCCGGGTGAAGTGCTTGGGGCCGTCGTCGACGGCAATAGCAGGGGCGTGGACGACGTAACCGATCACGCGCTGGTACGGAGTCGTCCAGTGCTTGGTGACCTCGTCATGGATCTCGTTTGCGTCCTCGATCCTCCTGTTCGCCTTCTCCACCAAGTCCCCGTAATTCTTGCGCGCGCGAGTTATCTTGGGCGCCTCGCCCTCGACGACCGGACCCAACCTCTCAATCTCTTCGTTCCATGTCTTGATGGAGAGAAGCTCGTGGCCGATAGTGCTCATCATACGACCGATCGCATTGGTGTAGGCATTGGTACTAAGAACGACGATCTTCTCACGAGCCCGGCTGCTGCGCTTGTGCGATAGGGGCTGGTTACGGTGTGCGAGAGGCGGGCGAGCGACGTGGCTGGCGGTGAGAAGGAAGACGCGGTCGCTCTGGCTGCCCTCTCGGAGGTAGACGGCACCCGTGCCCCCGAAGTAAGGTGTCGTGAACGGAGCGATTTGGATGCCAAGCGTGGGAGTGAAGGGGCTACGAAGCTCGGGGACGGGGTCGACAGAGGGGTCGAAGGAGAGAAGCTTTGGGCCAACAGACTGGGTGACAACAGACTCGCGGAATGCAACCTCGACGTCGGGGAACCCCTCTCGAGCCAGAATATCCTTGCAGTCGTTGGCTGCCTCCTTGGCTGCCTCGAAGGCGAGAGTCCCAGGCATCACCCCTATCCAGAGATGGAGCACACTGACGTCCTCTTTCCCTGCCTCGGCAAAACGGACGGGGTCGACCGACGACCACTCAACGTCGCGGGAGTCGAGGTGCTCGTAGATGAGCTGGCCAATCTCGAGCCAGCGGTTCTGCATCGGATGGTCGCAGACGGGGCGGGCCTCTCGCAGAATGCGCTGCGCCTCGGGACCCGTGCGCACACGCCAGGCTTTGCCGGTTTTGAAGACGCAGCGAGGGTTGCTGGGTAAGCCATAGAAGTCGGTGAAAGCCCCAGGGTAGGGGTCGGAGAGACGGGGCTGAAGGGTGGCGATGTCCTGGACGCTCTCGTCGAGGTCGAGCCTGCTAAAGGCGGAGGTGGGAGAGACTAGGGTGGTAGTGGGAGAAACGGGCGGCTGGCTGCCCGCTTCCAGAGCAGCGATATCTATACATGAGACGAAGAAGGGGTTGGATGCCACTAGAACGAGAGAGAGAGAGAGAGAGCAAAAAAGAAAGGTGAGTACTTATACGAGGAGATAGGAAAACGCCAAGGGACGCACTTCTGAACAAAAAAAGCTTCGGGGTAGGGCAGAGTACTAGCACCGCGTTCAAGCCCTCCCTGGATGGGTTGCGAATAAATGGGCCTATGCTGCATAGTCGGTCAATCCAAGTCTACAGCGACACTCAATTTTGTTTATTCGTCCCCAGTTTATTGCGTCATCGATCCTGATATAGACACATCACATCCGTCCGGGAATGGAAAGGTCGTAGATCATCCTGATTATTCCGGATGATAAAGAATGCACATTCCCGTCGGACTTGTAATTTCCGAAGTCAACAAATGCCCTCCTGCCAAATTTCACAGAAAAGGGATAGGAGTAAAGGTCAAAGACTAAGGCTGCATGTGTGTAGATGGTTTTCTAGCAGGTTGGTAGTGCAAAGGTGATCAATTTCCTTCCGACGGTGTTGCAATGCTGACGCGGACCCACCAAAAGTGCACGTTTATTGAAGCCCCGCCAAATTTAATGTAGGGAAGCTCGATGGCGAAACCTATTTCGCGCTCCCAAATTTGGACTATGAGCACGTCCCGATTTGGGAGGGCGAAATAAATAAACAGGCGAATAAACAAAATTGAGTTACGACATTCTTGAGATGGCGAATATGTTGGACTTGGATATTTGCCAGTATTTACTCCGACCCGATATGTATGTTAATCTTCTGTATTTGTACGATACAAGTCTCGACGTCATTACTCCACAGCGGTTCGTCCACATATGTAGTTATGAATTCATAGTGACGATAGCCAAGCACTTAATGCGAGGCTCCACCAGACTCCACCGATGTACATAAAAGAGCGCGAGGAATGCGCTGAAGGGGGCAGTGTGTACTTTCCCCCCAGAAATATTATTAGGTCTCGCCACTTTCCGAGACTCCGATAGTAAGTGAAATCTTCATTTGCGCAAATGAAGGGTCATTGATTCCTTCATTCCGACACGCTTACCCTGTTGCCGACTTCAACAGCTGTCTATTGGTTTTGCCTCTATTCTACGTCATTCTCTAGTCTTTGTTCTATCTGGGTTTTAATCAACGTACATCCTCATCCCTTCATTGATTATTTAGCGCTATGGCCGACCTTCATCCGTTACTCGCAGCGCTTGCTGCTGCAGTTTCGCCTGAGAGTTTTCAAGCCTTGCAGCCGATTTTGGACGTGCTCGACCAAAGAATTTCACAGGTATCTGCAGAAGCGGCCGCGGCACAGGCAAGTACCGTGAGTGCTGCTCAGATGCAGAACGTCTTACAGAACACTCTGTCTACAGTGCAGATAACCATGCAGGCACCTCCACAGAGCTCGGCTTCGCCCTCTACGACGACTGCTACGTGACCGGCGAGTATCAAGGCCGACCTCTCGCTTTTCCGAGGATGCGATTCGGACGACATGAACGCCTGGATCTCGATTATCGAAGATTACCTTACAGCCCAGCACATTTCAGTGGTTGACTGGGTCACGCAAATTTCGATCTTACTTCGTGACGACGCAATGCGCAGCTACATCACACAAAAAAAGGAGATGAAGGAGCAAGGGAAAGTGTTGGACTGGGACAGAATGAAGCGATGGCTCAAAGGCAAGTATGATTCGCCGCTCCGAATTGAAAGCCTCTGTAATGAGCTTCACATGATAATGTATAAAGGAAATCTTGCACGTTACAGCGAGAACTTCAGAACGTATGAGTCCCAGATTCCTGCTCAGAAAATGACTTTTGGTGATCGGCTTTCCCATTTCCTTAGCCATCTCCCTCCCGATATCGCTAGGGATCTTCATCGCGAGAAGCCAACCAAGCCGGAGGAGATGTATCATGCCGCCCGCGAACTCGACTGACTTTCGAATCTATATCACGGCACGCAGAATCATGGCTCCTCACTAACAAAAAAGGCCAAGAACTTCTTTCGCAAAAACCCGCAGCGTTCTCCTGCCATCCCTGAATCATTCACACCACCTGTCTTGATATTGACACTGCCCGCGGCAAGCACTGGGCCAGTGCTGATGGATCTCGATGTGATGCAGCCTATGTCGAGAAATAGTAGCAGAGCCAGGACCGATTCCCGGGTACGTTGTTTCAACTGTAATGGGTTTGGTCACTTCGCTCGCAATTGTCGCTTACCAAGAAAGCCTCGACAGTTACAACCTTCACGCTCTCGTCCATGCCAAGATTTACATGCCTTCGAGAATGCTCCGCTGTTCAAAGATGCTCTGCCGGAGTCGACAGACATCGAGGATCAGCTCGGTTGTCCAGAACTGCACAATCTTGTACCTACTGACAGTGGTCATATGAAATTACCATCTTATGGCATCAAACTAGGTGATTGGGATTGCCGTAAATGGCATGAAATGGATGCTATCCTCGACATGGAAGCAGCGTGCTCTTATATCAAGCTTGAACTCGTTCGACAGATTCATGCAGAAGTTTTTCCCATCGACACCCACATTATATTACGAGCCGGCAGTACTATGACGTCTGCCTTTGCACGATTCCGTATTATGTTAGGTGGTATCAAGTACGGAATGTATGCATATGTGCCTGATCCAAATAGCCACCTTCATTACGGTCTCGTCATCGGTCAGAACTTTATGAAGCGACATAATGCTCAACCCTGCTGGCCGAAGAACTCTTGGACGCTTTCAGATGATCGAAACATGAGAACCACGGAGATTCACCCGAGTAAGCAGACTCCGGTTAAGTCTTCGTTGACTGGCGCTATTCACATGTCACCCACGTTAGTAACAGCCGAGTCACCGCTGCATGTTATGGCCAAAGAAAGGGATAGTTCGAACATAAGATCGGAGAAAAAGAAGTCATTTGGTACGAAGTTGAAGGACTTCGTGAAGAACAAATTCCCTAAGCTATTTCGAAAAAAGGTAGGCTTTCCGCCGAAGCATCAATGGATGCATTCGGTAGAATTAAAGGACCCAAATCAGCAGCCTATCCGAGCTCGTGGACGACCGTTTTCGCCACTTGAACACAAAGCTATTCGGGATTTCGTTAATGAAGGCCTAGCAGAAGGCGTCATCGAGCCGAGTGAGTCCCCTTGGTCATCTTCATTGATGCCGGTAAGGAAGAAAGATGGAACTATGCGGATTTGTGCCGATTATCGTCTACTGAATGAACAGACGATTCGCAATAGTTACCCTTTACCGCGCATTGATGATTCATATCAAAATTTAGCGGGAGCTCATTATTTTACGTCTCTCGACCTCAAATCAGGTTACTGGCAGGTACGTCTCACCGACGATACTAAACCGAAGACCGCATTTCAAACTCGATTCGGTCATTACCAGTTTCGTGTCATGCCCTTCGGGCTAGTTAATGCTCCTGCCACCTTTCAAACCATGATGAATGACGTTCTACATAACCAGCTCGATAAGTTTGCCATGGTTTATCTCGATGACATCATAATCTACTCACCGACATCGGAGCAGCATATCCAACATGTCAATGCCATCCTTAGCACCCTTGCCGCACACAAACTCATCCTTAATGAAGCCAAATGTATATGGGGAGCTACCAAACTACTCTATCTCGGACACATCATTTCTGCCAAAGGTATACATCCGAACCCTGATAAGATATCAGCGATATTGACTTGGCCTCATCCCCAGACCATAACCCAGCTCCGGGGTTTCTTGAATATCGCTGGCTATTACAGACGTTTCATACGGAGTTTTGCGAAGACAGCTAGAGCTCTCTACTCTCTCTTGAAAGGATGTCTGCAGAAGGGATTGACTATTGAATGGCCTGAAAGTTGTGCACAGGCATTTCAAAATTTGAAACATCATCTCACCAGTCCGCCTCTGCTTATCTATCCAGTTCCATGGCGAGTTTTCGTCACTGACAGTGACGTGTCCGATGAATGTATCGGAGAAGTTTTACAACAAACATCTTATTCACTCGAAGCATCTAGCGAAGGGGGAAGGAATAGCGATTCTTCTGACGCTCGCTTCGAGTTCCGTGATCGCGATCTTCGCCCTATTGCCTATGAATCTCGTCGTTTGACACCAACCGAACAGAGATATTCTGCACAGGAGTGCGAGATGCTGGCTGTTGATTATTTACTTCAAAAATGGCGTGCCTATGTCGAGGGGTCACCTATCATCATCAGGACAGATCATGAATCATTGAAATACTTTCTTACTCAAAAGAATCTCGGCCGTCGTTTACAGCGCTTTGCCGACAATATTGCCCATTTTGACGTGAAGATTGTCTATCGTCCAGGGAAGCATCAGCTCGCCGCTGATGCATTATCACGATGCGACGATGAAGACATACCGGATTCTGATACATTGGGCCCGCTCTTTGCTCATCCTATGGTTGTGGCGCCAGCACCTACGCTTCCACACATGAATAGTGTGGATTTGATTTTTGGTTCCGAAGAATGGTTGTATCACAACAACCAAGCCGAACCGGCACCCGAATCGTCTCGAGAACAGACAGAAGAACCTAGGTCAGTGTACCAGACACTGAAGAAATGGTATGATAGCTTACACGCGAAAGCCGATAGTGGTGACTCTAGTCCTGACCAAAGCGGCTTCTTCATATGCGGCGATGTGATGTATCGCCTTCTTGATAATAAGGTCTTGGTGGTTTCTATGAATTTTGAGCAATCGGAGATGTTAGTACGGAATGTTCATCAGGATCTTGGTCACCTTGGTTTCTGACCAGTTGTTGAAGCCATCAAGGACCATGCCTGGCTGCCCGATCTTTCAGAGATTGTCGATTTCGTTATTCGCACCTGTGATCATTGTCAATTCTCGCGCAGTGGCCCTGTCCCGACTCAACCTTTGCATCCTCTTTCACGTGTTGGAGCTTGGAGTCATTGGGCTCTTGATTTCGTCAGTCCCCTCCTGCGTACAGCCGCCGGTAATGCATATTTATTGACCGCAATGGACCACGGCACTAATTGGACCTACGCAGATCCATTCCCGCAACGCTCGAAGGAAGCTGTCATTTCGATGCTGAAGAAAATTATTACTGCGCATGGGAAACCTTTGAATATCCTGACCGATAACGGTAAAGAATTTATATCCTACCTGGTTCAAAATTTCCTCCGCTGTCTTTCGGTCAATCACCTTCGCACGATGCCCTACCACCCACAAACGAATGGTCGCCTTGAGTGTTTCAACTACGAGCTGGAAGAGATGTTAATGCGCTATTGTGCCCCGAATTCGCAAGGTAATTGGGATACTTACATTGACGATGCCTTGCTGGTGCACCGCGCACATATCAATCGCCACTCAGGGACCTCCGCATTTTATTTGACTTACGGGTGCATGCCTCGTCTGCCTCACGATCTCGTTGCTGACACTATTCAAGTGCCTCCTACCGATGAGGAGATTGGTCAGCTACAGAACGAACGACTTGAACATATCCAGGACTTGGAGCGCCTCCGCGAAGAGGCTAATGAACATGCTAGGCGCCACCTTGAAGAACAAGCTGAACACCACGAAAGTTCCTATCGTGAGCGTGCTTTGGGAATTGGAGATCTTGTTCTTCAAAGGTCAGAACCTGATTCGAAAATCCACCCGTGCTGGGATGGACTGTTCATTATCCGAGATGTCACTGATAAAAACACGTATCAGCTTAGCACCCACAATGGATATATCCTCCGTCGACTCTACAATGGAGTGGGGGTGGGCAATGCCCGCAATGGAAACGGGCTATTTGCACATGTTTGTTCCTCTATAACGTCCGGTTCCACTTCCATTGCTCTATGCCCCTGTCCGCAACTTCTTCCACGTCCATAGAAAAATTTATCTGTATGCCTGATAATTCATGAAAGATGCATGGGCAAAGTTTCTTTGCGGTGCTTTTCCAGATTCTGTGGTTGTTAAGCAGAAACTTCAATATCTCTGAGGAATTGCCCTGCGGATTTCTTTTCAAGCCAAAAAAAAATTAAGTACCACAAAGGATGTGTAGCCATATGTCTCATGAACAAGCTTTCTCGACAGTGAAAAAGGATTGGTGGAGGGAGTGAAAAGATGCATGGGTCGCCGTCACAGGAGGAGTTTGATCCTCAGAACACGAGCGCTTAACAGTCCGAACTATGCTAGATCTCACTCCACATACCTCGGCCCATCTCTCTACCCTTGAATCTTCGCGATGGGGCGCACTGCGGCTCAAAAGGCTCACATACAGTGCCTGAATGCACTTCACCCTTCTAGGCAGCCCAACGTATCGATCAGGAACGCTGAAAACCGGCCACCTGGTAGAAAGAACATGAAGAACAGTGAAATTCAAGCACACTTACTCCGACTCACCAGTGATCTGGCAACGAAGGATTCAGAAATCTGTAGGTTACAGGAATTGCTTGCTGCAGCTACACACCATGCTTCTCGCCTCTCTGCGGATATTGCTAACTGAGACAAGACATTGAAAGCACTTGAAAATGAAGTTCTAGTGCTCAGGCAGCAACTGGAGGCTCGGGTCTCATCTGGAAACACTGCCCTAGTGAACCTCTCTGGCACTCGAAAGGATTTACAGAAATCCCGTGCACGCAATCTTCGTCTGGAATGAGAAAGACGGACCCTGCGCTCGAATCTTACTGCTAAAGTGTCTACTCTGGAGAACCATCTTGCACTTGAGATTACCCAGAATCGTGATTTGTCTGCTGAGTCTCTTTCTCGGATTGCTGCTCTCACTACTGCTTTGGAGAAGTGCTATGCAAATCTAGCCCGCCAGAAAGCCATATCAGTCTCACGACGGAAACAGGCTCGTACCTGGGAGAAGCGGGCACATCGCGCTCAACAATCCCGTGTGCGCTCTTAGTGTTCCTTAAAGAAGCTTTCGGTCTGGCACCCCACGTCTTCCCGGGTGTACTCACCTGCAGCACGATGACTTGCTCGGCAACTCATGAAGGCGAGTTGTGCAGGAGACAAGATCAAGTATGCGATCACGGCATGCGGACAAGCCTTTGGTATCAAAGTGGCCCGAGGTATCTCACATTGTACAGCAGGTCGCGCGAAGCAGGAGGCAGGTGTATACGGTTTGATGCAGCTAGGGAGGGAGATCAGCAATGCACCCGGTACGTTTTCTGAGTTATTGAAATACCTTATTCTTATTCTGTTGATAGCTTTCGGAGAGAGTACAGATGGTACCACACACCGCAAGATTACGTATGAAGCGAGGCACATTACACTCGCTGTACCTAGTTATGCTCCTGGTGTAGATGATTCCGACAAATCAACTTGGACATTTCGCACGTGATTTGCAGAAGTTGCTCCTGCGCTCGATCATACTGCACAACGCCAATTCAAGGGCTCACAGCAGCTGGCGGAGAAAATCTCGCAGACCTATAGCAACAGTCCTCTGGCCACTCATGAAGGACAGTCTATGGAAACTAATGATTGGATACGCAAACAAGTGATGCAGAACATGGATCATGCAGCAGACGGGAAGAAGAAATTCAAGCTGTGTCAAGATTGGAAAGAGGACGTGACACACCGTGACCTTGGACGTGAACGGATGGATGTTCTGTCGTCGGCAGAGCTTGTGACGGCCATATGTTCTATCTCAGCAGATGACATTCGCCAGGTTGCTGGTGATGCAACAGAGTTGTAAGTCGGCATTATGGAACTTTGTTTGCTAGTTAACCTAGACAATCAATAGGTCACTGGAGGAAAAGAGCAAGATTAGGCTCAGACTACTAGAGAGGCAACTTGGTGACATCTCTTTTAATGAACTCCCCTCGACTCAACAACGTCTCATTGATCTCTTCATCTTCGGTGGTTGTTGTGGCCACAAGAATCTCAATGCATTCAAGTATGGTGTTGTCGCGATGGGAATGAAATGGGAGAACATGGAGCTTCCACCACCAGTCCTCCTTGCAAACAAGGCTAATGATGCTGTTATCAAACTTGGCCAGAATGCAGATAGTGCCGCTGTGCAACGTGCTATGGACTCCAGTGCTCATGGTGGCATCAAGCTTACAGCTCTTGCAGGGGCACTCTTTCGACACAAGAATGATGACACAGGATATCAGGACCGACATCGCATCTTCATGGCATTGTGAAAGAAGGAGTTGCATGACGAGAACACAAATCGGTGATTTCCTGATACGTCCAACACACGCTATCAGGCATATTCGTATGGTGCCTGTGAACTTATTGTCTACCATCACCTGTACGTCGAGCTAATGGAAGAGATCTGTGACAGCAAGGCCAAGCCAGGAGTCAACCATCTCGAGAGTAATGTCGCAAAGGGATTGCAGGATGCCTCGACTCTTGCTGAGCTTGCAGCCATGGCACTATACGGTGTCTCTGTATCGTGGCCTTATCTTAGCCAAGCCCGAGGTGATGGCTCGAAGATTGTGAACCTTCTCGACCTCACGGAACTACACCGCAAACTCCCCACCTTCTGCAATCATATTGCACTCCACCCTACTCTTCTTCTTGACTCTAATGCTCCACTGGACGAGGTTACACTTGATGGCAAACCATTCATGGACAAGATGCTACTCGCTGCTGTGTGCATGCTTGCCCCTGATCTCCCTGGGCTCACGTGCATGATTAGTGCTATGTTCTCTGGTGCAGCAAAGGGATGGGTACAGTTCACCACAGAATTCACTGTCGGTGGACCATTTGACTCTCTGACACCTGCGGAACGTGCACTAGTCTTCATCCCATCCACCAATGATGCAAACGAGGGTGCCCTCGGCTCATGGCGTGTCCATGCTCGATCACGTCCTAGCAGCACAGCCTCCACATTCTCTAGTCAGGCACGCAGTGAGCGTAACAACACCGAAGAGTTCATCGTGAAGTGCTGCAATGAGGATGACCAAGGGTACGTGATGCGGACTGTACGAACAGCTGATGCGGACTGTACGAACAGCTGATGCTAGCGGTGAGAACGCACAGTTTCGAGAAGAACTGGTGGAGAATCAGCGGGAGCGCGCAGTCCAGTATCGCAAGAAGCAGGAGGAAGATCAACGAAAGAAGGATCGAGAGAAGGAGAGGTTGCGAAGCATTGGACTCATTACTGACCGAGATGAAATCCATAGAATGACTGTTGCACAACTCAAGGATCAAATTGACATACACCGGAAGTTATTCAATGATGAAATCCTCCTCAATACAACCCAGAAGAGTCTGCCCAACAAAATTATGAAGATGTATGCTGTGCTGGCGGCAGTGACAAGGAACAGTGACTGGTATGTGCTTGTTGAAGCTCCCATCAGTTTCATGTTATCAGACTTGGCCCAACTTCTCCTTAGTCTTGCAGACAACCAGCTAGACTTGGGGAATACCCATGCAAATACTGTGGAAGACACCCTGATCCACGATACCCCGGACCTCGATACCATCATGGACGACGTAAATACTAACATTGGGCTTGAAGCTGACTATGACATAGACATGTACTAATACCTAACACTTTAAAATACTTTACTCTGTGCTATAATGGAATTGCTGTGCTTCTTGGCATCAAATTCAGGGCTCAAAGTCGAGTTTGCTGTCTTCAGCGCTGGTAGAATTGCCCCGCCGCGGTGCGCATTGTACTTGCTATAGTATGCTCGCTCTTTCCGCTCCTCAAGCTCAACAACTCATTCCCTTGGTTTCTGCTTTGGTACATGGCTTCTATACATGCCTAAGCTTGTCTGAGCAACTTTTCAAAAATTTTAGACCACTCTGAAGCTCACGCAGAAAACGGTGTTGAGGTACCTCGCTGCTTACTTCTCGCATGACCCATAACTCCAGAACTAGTAGGTTAAAAAAATTGGAAATTTCTGAAGTATGTAGCGGGATATGTCACGAACATAATTTGTCTATAGCATTGACCGTTACATGTCATAGATCTTTCACAATTCGAAGACGGGCATTGGAACCGGGAGGTTAATGCATTTGGCATGGAACAAACATGTACAAATAGCCCGTTTCCGTTGCGGGCATTGCCCACCCCCAAATGGAGAGCGATTGAAATGGTACTTACCTTCAAAACTTGATCCCGAGCCACCGTTATGGTATGCGAGTGCAGATTTACAGCAAAAGGATGCTGAAGCGAGACGAAAAGCTGTCCTTGCGAGACGTCGAGGACAGCACTGAACGTATGTTTGTCATTGTTTGTTTCACACGCTTATTTTTTCTGGAGCCTCCAGAAAAACGATGTCTCTTGTACCGGTAATTATTTTGTCTTCTTTTACCACTGAGATGCTCTTGTACGATAGTTAGTTGACGTTCCTTCTTTCGAGGACGAAAAATCTTAACGAGGGGGTAATGTTGGACTTGGATATTTGCCAGTATTTACTCCGACCCGATATGTATGTTAATCTTCTGTATTTGTACGATACGAGTCTCGACGTCATTACTCCACAGCGGTTCATCTACATATGTAGTTATGAATTCATAGTGACGATAGCCAAGCACTTAATGCGAGGCTCCACCAGACTCCACCTATGTACATAAAAGAGCGCGAGGAATGCGCTGAAGGGGGTAGTGTGTACTTTCAGAAATATTATTAGGTCTCGCCGCTTTCCGAGACTCCGATAGTAAAAGTCTTCAAATAGGTGTGAGCACGTGGCGTGACTTGATCTGGACGGCGCGTGTCTGCATGAGGTAGTCATGCCGACTACGTCCCGACTACTAGGCTCATTAGTTCAGCGTCTATCCGACGTCTTTGAATACACAACTGTTTTATCCGTCAAGGACCTAGCTGTTCACGCTCTGACTCTGCCAGCTTCTCTGAGGTGGGGACTTGGGAGATTCAGCTTCTGTGCAAAGCCCTTCACCCTGAAATTACCACCGCCCTCGCTGTCAGCAACGTCGCGTCGGCGTCATTGAGATTCAAGTTTCGTTCTTGTTGCATCTCTCTAGTCAGCGTGCATTGAGTTAAACATATCTTTACCAAGGACGCTGTACACCGTGCTACTCGGGCTCTGCTCAGTAGCACCATCCCCGCCATATGCCCCTTGTTATCCACCTCTCCTTCAGGCCTTCAAACGCGGGGTGAGAGACGCGGTGGCACATCAGAAGATTCCGAACGTGTGTCGCATGGTGCTCGCGCGCACGCATGGGTCGACCGTGAAGCCGCACTTGTTGCGTCAGACATTGCAGATGTCCTATCGTCGACTGCACGATCATGACTTCTCCCGAGCAGAGAAGATCATAGTTTTCTAATCCAACGTTCTCGACGACGCACGAACTTTCGTCTTTGTAGCTCATGCAAGTCACTCCTCTGTATCCTGCCTTCAGGGAATGTGGGGATATCGACAATCTCGCCATATTCACGTTGGTGAGTCGCGCTGGCGTCGCGGCTCCTGTTCTCATGCTTCAAAATAGTGACTCCATTGCACTAAGATACCGATTTGGGATAGTTCTTGGATGGAAACAAGAATATATGATGTTCCGACCATCGGGGGCTGGCTGCATAGCTTCGCCTGGAATTCATGTGGCTTTCGCCACTTCCATCTCGTCGAAAAGCACTTCGCAACGCATGGTGACCTCAAAACACCAAAGCAGGTGAGTGAGCCTGTCCGATCTGCAGAGATAGAAGGAGATACAAAATCACATCGTCTTCTACACGCCCTCGGGCCTTTTAGCTGGGTCGCCCGTCGTTCCGGGACAGTCTGTACCTGTGAGAACAGGCTATCTTAAGAGTCTTCTCTTAAGTATATTGACGTGAACTCAATTAGTTACAGTGTCATGTTGATTGAGTTCGATATTTCCTGCCAGCTGGGCGACGATGTGTTCTCCATGCTTCGTTCATGCGGACAGGGGAGCACTTGTCAACTTGTCGCTGCAGTTTCTCGAGCGTGAGAGCTGTTGGTGTCTTCCTGGGGCACAACGCTGGTCGTTTGAACTTCTCATTTCCTCTACGGCCACACGGATACCAACAAGGAGGCGAGGTGAGCGATGTCGAAAGCCGAAGTAAAAGCATGGCCGGGGAGCATCTAACTTACATTCGCCACAGGCGTGCCATCTTTGCACGCAGTTTACATACTCGGCAAGTAGGCCAAGGCAGCTGCAGCTGCGAATTTGAGTGCGCCCAGTACAACACGGGTTATATCTCGCCATGTCTGAGGACTTCATGTGCGTATTGACTAAAGAACTCATGGCAGAAGACTTAACCGAAACATCCGTGGAGGTTGATCCCTCCGAGCCCATGCCGCCCGGCGCAACGGAGACCGATTTAGTAAAGGTCAAGGAAGAGGGAAATGCCGCTTTCAAGGCACAGTGCTTCCCAGAAGCAATTGAGCACTACACGAGAGAGATCGGTGTGCACTCTTGCCATTGTTGGCTCACGCGACCCGCTCACTCTCCTTCGTTCTCTGTCCTGTGTAGAACTTGACCCCTCCGAGCCGACGTACCTCACGAATCGTGCTGCGGCGTACATGGCGCTCAAATGCTTTAAGCCGGTTCTCGCTGACTGCCAACACACTGCCACACTTCAGGCCGCCCCTCCCTCACCGAAGACTCTCATCCACTTGGCGTGCAGCCAACTATCCACCGTTCTACCGCACCTATGCTGTCCATATAAGATCGAATGTTCACATACTCAACATTCACGCAAAGGATGAGGCCTTGAGGTGCCTGCGTGACAAGTAGCAAAATGAACTTGGATTGGAGAAAATCACGTATGCTGGCCGAGAGAAAAGAGAGCTACAAGCCACATCGAGATCGTCTTCGCAGAGGACAGCCTTGGTTCGCAGGGTCGAAGCACGAGCCACAGCTGGGTGCGCATGTCCACCAGCTCGCCGAGAGGAATCGCATAAGGGTTCGAGTCTGCCAACGTGCGGAAGAAGATGTGCTCATGTAGGGTCCATCTGCTTCCTTCTCCGTAGCTCAGCCGGCTCAAGTCAAGTATCCCAAATCCCGAAACCTGCCCGTGGTTCAAAAAAGATGCATCTGAACTGGAATAGCCCCGTCATTCCCGAACGCGCTTTACAGTAACCAACCGCTCACACCATATTTTCTCCACACAGGACGCAAATCCCTGGCACGTCTTCCGAACGTTGAACCCACGCGCCTTCCGAGCGTAGAACGCAAGCGACGCCCCGCAGGTAATAACCACAGCCCAAAGATCGAAAACAGAAGCTAAAGCGCAGGATTAAAGACCGGGTTGTTCGTTCTCGCCTGAAGCCACCGCGCGCAGGGTGCCGCCTCCCACTCTGAACGAGATAAATGCGTGACGCTGTCGTTCCCCAAGAACCTGAACCATCCTACCCGCGATCCTAAGGGGCCACCCCGACTGCTGTAACTACTAATGTACGCGGATGGATAGGGTTGTCCGGAGAGAAAAAGTCCAGCGAAGCGCATGAGACGAGAAAAAAAGTGGTAACCAACTTGTTTAATCCCTGACTGGGAGTCAAACCCAGCATCTCGCCATCTCAGCCCATGGCTAGCCTGCGGACTTGACCGACATGCAACCAGGGCAAAGGAAAGAGCGACATCAGATTATGAAGCCTGGTTGCAGGTCACACGCCAGCATGAACTTGAACTGTCAGAAGTTGCGAATGAAAAAAGCCTATGCCGTCGTCCCTGGGCTACGGTGCTAAGGCGAGTCATAAACCGGTTTGACGTCGTTTATCCACTCGGCTACACACTACTGTAGACTCCAAGTCAGCACCGCGTTCGTTCGCGTATAAAGCCGCTGCGCTGCAGCCGCCGACGCTCTGCATAAGATCTACCACAGCCTGCTCCGTCATCATCGTAAAAAGCTTTAAAAAGTGGTTCTCCCAGTCCCGCGCGTGCTCCCCAGTTTGAGACCGTCCGCGGAAGGCACCTTCACCGGCGGGGCGTAGCCGGCGCTCTTCGCGATCCAGCATCCACCGCGCGGAGCCAGTGGGGGGCCCGTGTACGTATCGGTACGCCATCCGAGGTATGCACGGAGAGTGCGGTTGAGGTAGGCACGGGGATACACACCCCAGCGAGAGGAAGGCACGACGGCGGCGGGATCGAGATGCCTAGACAGACGGGTCCAAGGCCCACTGTCCTCATAGCCTATTGCGTGTTGGAGGGTCCCGTGGAAGCTGCAGGCTCGCCGGTACGCCATCGCTCCGGGGGTGTGTATGCTGATGACGCCGGGAGCAGGTTACGCGCGAGGGAGCATGTAGGTGGCGTACCCGGCACGACGGCGGCGGTGACGAGCCCGGTGAGGTAGAACATGCGGAGGTATACACGTTCGCGAGCTCATTTGGTATGGCACTCTGCGCAAGGAAGGAAAAAGAGGGCGGAATGGGTGCGGGACGCACCACTGGTTACTACCGCTCTGAGAAATGACACGTCGCGCACGTTCTAGCGGTCCATCGCGCCTGCCGTAAGTCGCCCGAAGTGCATGAGATCGCACGCCGGCTGGTCGGAGGTACAGCTCATAGTCTGCCAGCCCGAGCGACGGCGCTAATCGCACTACGAGGGGGAAGCGTCGAGGTAGTCGAGAATCCGGCAGCAAGGAAGAGCGTATACAGAGCAATCGCGTCCGTGGAGGACGATCGATGATCGATGATCGACGATGGACACAGCGGAGCCAACCCGCCGAAAGTACGAGTGTCGCTGTTCGACGGCGTCATCTCCCAAGTACGTCGGAGGACACCAATACTGTCACTAACCGAGAACCTCGGCCATCCCATCCAGCTCCAGCTTCAGCAGCAACGGCTTCTGACTACCATAGACAAAAAAGTATTTCAGCGACATTCAAACTCCCTGGTTGGGATTTGAACCCAAGCAGTGATCTGCTCTCATCCGCGCTCTCATACGTGCGGGTCATGCTTTGAATCAAAGCATGACCCGCACGTATGAGCCAACAGGCCACCAGGGCCTCAATGGCATGCCGCATCCCACTTGAAACTCTGTTCGTCATACACATCGATCCAGAGCTGTCGCTCCACCTCATCTGCGATCATATCTCGTGGAAGTTTGTTCGAGTCAACGGCATGAGCTTGAGGGCACGTCACCGGAAATACGTCCGTGAATCGTCGAGCACCGTGTTAACCTAGCTACGACAATATTCAACGCGAGGTTAACGCCACCGCCGCTCGACGACGAGGTACGTCATCGCCTCCGGGTCCCTCTGTCTCAGCAGACGTCCCCTTCGTTCCCTCGCGCTGCCGCTCGCACGTGCCACGGTGACAGTCGCTCTATGGACAGGTCCGCCAACTGACTGTATCCTGCGCGGCCCCTCAGATCGCCTCCACCTTGCGCTCCGTGCATTCGCGCGACCTCAACGTTCCGAGGCCAAACCTTGGCTCAGACACGCCTGCCAGACTGGACGTACTCGATGCTTCCCAACCGCGGATGTTGACGTTGAGGGGCGACGTCATGAACCCCCCCCCCCCCTGGACTTCATATATGCAATTCCGGTGAGCTCCTCCTCCTGGCGGTCCTCTCTGCGAGATCCCACGCGCTCTGGTAGAGGTGCGTTGACGACGGACGGGCGCGCACTGCTTCTTAGTCTGGTGCTCGTGCGTCCTAGTCCGCTACTCGTACGTCCCATTACCCGCTCAGTAGCCGTGGCTTCCCTCCTTTCTGGCCATCCCCTCTGCCGCATGCGACGAAAGGCACCGCAGTTGGGCGCGTACTGGTGGATGGCTTGGGCATGGACGATTAGCGGGTCTCCTCAAAGCGGCGCTACTACTAGTCGCGCCTCTCCCGCGCTCTTCTTTATTCGTGCGTGGACCACCACACTCACGCTTAGTGCACACTGCAGTCGGCTCGGTGCGGCTGGCCGACGGGGCTACTACTCGGGTACGCTACGTGCATCTCGCCGCCGGGGTGTGAGTACTGGGGAGGAATACTCGACTACCGCGATCCCAAGTGACCGGTGCGCATAGCGACGGATTTCTGGGCGCGCGCGGGGGGCGGGGGCGCGAGTGTGAGTCGGTGCGGCTGGATCCCCACCAAGCAGATTTTGAGACCGATTGAGGTTCGTGTGGGTTGGACACAGAGCGGTGCTTGCCTGTGGGGTCGTCCGCATCGACAGAGAGACGCACTTAATTACGGTACCGCACGCACGCATGCTCGAATCCACCATCCGTTTCGCACTACGTACTTTCACACGAGCGCCCATCCGCGCACGACCGAGCTTGACGACATTCCCGCAGCAGCAGCCCCAAGTGGCGCGGCCTCTAGCGAGGATTCGTACCTTGCGAGCGTCGACTGCTGTGGATGTATCGATACTTCGTCCCGGGTATGTGCACACATGTAGAGAAAACGGTCACAGACTGCGATGCAAGCGACGGCATCAGACAAGAAAAAGCACGATGTCATTTCACAATTCCCTGTCTGGGATTCGAACCCAGCTTACGCACAAGCGGCACCAAAGCACAGCTCGCGCGTGCTAGCCAATAAACAACCAGGGCTTCGGAAAAGTCTGCGCCGCACCACTTACAAGTAGGGTCGACGTACATCCCCGAGACCACCTCACCTGCATATCTCGGAGTTCCGGTGTCCCTAAACGTACATACATGGCCTGTCTCCCCCATCGTCGCCACCAGCTTCAGACATGAAGGAGAGTGCGTCACAGCTCTGACCGGCGCATCGTCTGGGAGCGCGGGTGCGAGGGGGGCGGGGAGCATGGGAGGACGGCGGGACAGGTGGTGAGGAAGGTGGAAGCGCGGGCGGGCGGGGCGAGTTTGTAGCTTGCTGGTCCCATCCTGGACTGCTCTGGAGGTATGTTGGAGAATCACCGTCGAGCACCCATGACGTCGACATCGAACCTCGACGCGATCACCGACCCAAGCTCTGTTCTCAGCAGTTCTCAATCCCCAGATCAACGACACCGCCGCTCGACGACGAGGTACGTCATCGCCTCCGAGTCCTTTCTCTACCCGTCTGCGCCCTCTGCCTGCCTCAGACCAGCATCGACGTTGGCCCCACACGTGCGCGCTGCAGCTCGCACTTGCCACGGTCACACTATTGCCGGGCGCAGTTTGGGCCATCACGGAGGCGTTCGAAATGTTCTGACGCGGAGGAACCTCGATGGTAAATCGAAGCGATCCCCCGCGGCGGGCCTAGTTGGCCCTCACCGTCGCACCACGCCAGAAGTCAGGGTACAACGGTCAGATCACCGTCGGACAGGAGGCTCACTGGCAGGCCCTAGTATAGTTCGTCAGTGTTCTCGTCGATATCCACGCATCTTGTGCGTACAAGGAGAGCGGGGAGGAGGAATAGTAGCCGTATCGACACGTCATCCACGATATGTGCGGATGGAGAAAACAGTAACAGGCGCATTCGCGAGCATCGACTGCCCGACTGGCCGCTGTCGATCGCAGAAGAGGCCGAGTTCTGATTATCGTATGAAGGACAGCAGCACACGCAAACCGCAGCATGCCCCAAACGGCCCAGAGATGTCGTCAGGAAAACCCGGTGCGACGGACGGGGAAGAGGCTTGTTTCGCAGTTCGTCGGTCACGCTTGACGTGGCGGCTGGCACGACACCCGTGCCTCGACGATTGAGCGTGTTGCGTGTCCTTGTTACACGACAAGGGCGAGCAGTGCCTGGCAACCTTTGTGTCTCCCGTTCGACTGTGGGGCCGGTGAAGTCGTAGTGCTCAACGTATCAAGAGCGCCGTCTGCACATCATAAGTAGCAGAAGTCGTAGTTGAGAAGAGCGGAAGACCGTGGATGTTGACTCCGGTGGGGCAATGGTGTAGAATAGCATGGTGCTGGGGATTCCTTGATAGTCGATACACAATGGACAAGCACAGCCACCGCCGACGCATCGGTTAGCGATGTGGCTGGCCATGTTCAAAATATCACCGTACCTCACGAGCGTCGACGCCGGACGAGTCTACCACACGACCGACAACACGTTCGGGTGAATACCCAGATATCGCGCCCGACTGTCGGGCGAGATCGAACATCGACAGAACCAGAGCGCACAACAGGCCGGGATGCGATACGCAGCGTGGACGGTTTGCAAAGGTCCCTAACCGCATACTTTTATCGGTTCAAGGTCGACAGCAAATTCAGATCTCTGACCGCGTACTTTTATCGGTTCAAGGCCGACAGCAAGTTCAGCTTTCCGGCGCGCTGAAATGCCTGCGTCGAGCAGAGCGAGCAGATTGTTGAGCGAGAGGGGAGGGTATGGACGATGGTGGCGGGGGCATCATGACGCTGGGGATTTCTTGATGGTCGTTACACAACGGGCGAGCAGAGTCACCACTGCATCTGGGGATAAGCGACGGGGCCGGCTATGTTCAAGGTGTCAAGCCCACGTTCTGCGCATCGTAAGTAGCAGAACTCGATGTTGAGAAGAACGTCAGACGTACCTGCATAATGCATCGCTCTCTATCGCTCTTCGCTACTTCAAAACTAGCTCGTACTTTGGCGCGTCGTCTCTTCGTTCCGTATCCTCTGTCCAGAATCGTTCCGAGAGCCCTAGCTAGCAAGCTAATAACATCAAGCTTTTAATTGTGGAGAACAACAAAGATATCGCAGAGAGTGTTGGGAGTCGGTGATAGGCCTAGCGCCACAGAACAAATCGATCGCATGACCGAAAGGGGAAGGCCATCTACCTTGTGTGGCAACTGCCAACCACGGCGTTCTCACCCTCTCCTCAGGCCTCAAGTCTCATATCTGGACAGGTTTTCATGCCGTGGTCGGACTTAAAAGTATATCTTTAAAGAATACAGAAAAATAGGCCTAGAATGGGCAACAGAGAACTCTCAAAGAGCTCGCCTAAATTACAGAGTAGATAGAACCTACTACGGGGATTCAAGAATGTTAAATACCCGATGCGTAGCGATGGCGAGAGTACGAATTCACTGGGGGCTGCGAATATATAATAAGTAATGGCCAGGTAAGATGTCGCTGCTGAGGCTCAGCAGCGCGTCGAATTCGTCGTCGGAGCATGTCGTTATGGCAGAGTTGTTACCGCGCAGTGGCAGAGGGTGCCGGATCGATGTAGAAGTATTCAAGCCAAATGTGTTGAACGTCGCGAGATAGCCTAGGTGGGCGTGTGGTCTTCGTCGAGAACGATGGCGCCGATAGTGCCGGAGTGCGGTAGGTTGTCGACGGGGATGTAGATTGGGGTAATGATGCGGTCCGACGTAGCAAGGGGCGGAACTGGGCAAATGCTAGGCGTAGGTGGCAACTCCCCAACTCGCGCAGATGCAAAGGGACATGAGCTGCAGGACTTGAACAAGGATATCTATGTCAGTCCACTGGCCGACGGCAAAACGAGAATTGCTCACTCGAAGGCATGTGAATTCCCAGAGGACGACCAACCTAGCACCTGTTGTCTGCGGTTACTAGCCGCGAGCGCCGATCCGTCGCACACACGCTGGGAGCCGCAGGAAGAACGGAGAGCATGATCTGCGGCCAGTGCCCCGCCGTTGGATGTCGGTTAAGGGCTCATGTCCACATTTCGCGCGTGACGTGTCCTCGGAGGGGCGGCATCTTCTCACTACACTCGAACCAAAGATCTAAATGACCTCTGACCAGCTGCATAGTGTGCTCGCAGACGGTGCTGCCTGTGCACCACAAGCAGCACACACTCTTCGAGTGAGCAACGGGGTGGAATTGACATAGGTGTTTCTTGATACCAGCATTGCTAGGGTCGAGCAGGGTTGCACCGCAATTTTCCCATTCACAGCGCTTGGGTACGTTAATCTGGGGTGCGACATGCAGATGAGGAGCGATGCTACCGTGGGGGAGAACCGTGAGAAGAGTGTCTGCAGGATTTACATGGGCCATGTCCAACGACATCACAGATGGGCGGGTGACTGGCTGTTGGGTGGGAAGCACCGGAAGATCATACTGAGGATGGTGAATGGCCTGCTGATGAGTGGCATGAACATCAGAGGGGGGATAGTACCCATTGCGCATGTGTCCTTGTGCACCGTACTGATATTCCACCCTCGTGCGGATGCAGGCATCACGATACCAGTAGAGTTCGGCAGCATCGGTTGAATTCTCCCAGTATCATAACTTCGAAAATGTTATTGTTAGAACCAGGACGTAGAGCACTGAATATATTGCAACGTACATCTGATAGGGTCCAGTAACAGCATCACGGACGTCAGGAGGAATGAAATTCTCCCTAGAAGAATACATGAACCCATCTCCGTTGTTATGAGGGTTAGAAGGGAATGTGAAAGGACGATAGGTGAATTCTTGAGCATCATTGCGGGGTTCAGTGTCGTAGTTGATCCCGATGAGCAACGCCTTCTTCTTGGGACTCGGAGCGGGGGCTTGGTGGTCCGACGACCTCCAGCCGCATTCTCTAAAGCGATGGTTGCCTCTGGTGTCTGGCGAAGATGATATCAGTCGACAAGAGCTGAGGCACATAAAGAAACCAACACACTTCGTAAGATAACGCGTGCGGACATGGACGCATGAGACTGTTTGGGGTTGAGGCATAGTAGTGGGCGATGGTGGAAGAGGGGGGTTGAGAGAGAGGACGTACCAGGTGCCGTCTTTTATAGAGGGGTGGCACGCTTACCAAATGTACGAACAATGGCTGGATCTAACGATGACAAAAGCATGGCAGCCACTTGTTTCGTACCCAAGGAAACAAGCCATTTTAGTACGTGCAAGGGCGATGATGACGTGTTTCTAGGTTATTGTTCGGGGTGTTGAGGTCTTCCAACGCTTGAATATTGAAGGCAAATAAATCTATAGATCGTAAGCATCGCAGATAGTCAACAAGCATATAACGATAATTCTGCCAAACAACATCCTCCGTACGCCTACCGATCGCACCAGCCACACTCCCAGGACGACATATCCACACATTTCTGAATGAAGTTTTCAAGAGCTCCATATGGACCTAGCGAAAGATCCATCAAAGATTGAATACATATCACGGAAGACCTCCACCGCGTCCTGCAGAGCAAGTTGCTTCGCGGCCACCGTTAGTCGGTACATTCGAATTTGCCTACGGTACCGCTGAATGTCATATATGGCACAGGTAAGCGAGATAATACGTTTATGCACTCAACGGAGTCTGCGTTTCCTCAAGGAGCTTACCCACTCATCATTTGTAAAACGACGCAACGTCAATACCTAGCCACCATCATCACGAGTACTGGGGAAGATATGTCAGACATGACCATGAGGGCTATTTGGAGATGAGAACGGCATCCTGTACTCACCGAACGTGCTACGTCGAAATCCAATGACAATAACGCTGATTCAGTCACTAAATGCTTCACACTCAGATGCGTCTTCCTGCGGCCAGTAGGCTCCTGGCATACTGACGCTGACGAAATGTTTCCTACAGGTAGAGTAACCGCAAGGTGATATGTTCGTCAATACGTGACTGGCCCCCCGAGATTGAGAAGCTTGATGCACGAGGGAAGACTGAGCGTGAAACTGGTCGAGTACGAAGGACGCGCCAATAAGCGCTGGGTTCCAGCGCGTCTCTTTCTTACTCAATACCCTGCGGACTTGTCTCCCAGATGGCTGGGACCCTTGGCTAGTAGGGACTCTGGAGGAAGTCTTCGACCGTGACTGCATACCTTATCTCAGCTTTATCGTTGTCGCAGTCCTTGGTTTTTACAGGAGCACCTCTTGTATTGGAACTTGGCGACACCCAGCGGCCTCTGTATACGTACGTACGTCTCCCCCTCTTTCTTTGATACCCTTACATGTACAGTTTCTTATCACGCGTTCGCAGACAGCATCGCGCTCCTCGTAATTTGCATGCTTCTGCTCATGCTGTACATCGCGTAGGTTAGCACGCCCGGCTCGGGTGGTGGACCTTAAAGTCAATCGGCCTCATAGCACGACCGGCATGCTGCGCAACGTGCGTCCGCTCCCGTATTCATTCCTGCTCACATTTCTCTACTTACGGACGATAACGATAGTCGTCAAATGGAACCGCCGTCCATCGCGCTGCCGACCCCCTGCCGCGACCTGAAGATCCCGGAGTGCCGTTTGCAGTGGGTCGTCTCCGCCTATTCCCTCCACACTCAATGTTCTTCGTGGATTCCGAGTGTCAAGGCGCCGCGGTTATCCTAGCTTCAGTGCGTCAATTACTGAAGGCATATTTACCTATGAATTGGACCCATATCTACGTGCACAGCTGGGAATGCGTTCCCGCCGTCACGACTCCGCTAGGTCACATTCGCGACATTCGCCGCAGGTGCCCCCGCGGGCGCCGCCGTCGGCAGCAGCAGCTCACAGAGCGTGTGTTCGTCCCCGTCGCCATGGTAGTATTGACCGATTTTGTGCTGCGATAGAAAGACGTGGCGTCTACTTCATGACGGGTGTCTCTGCGCTGGTCTTCGTAGGTGGATTTACGGCGTTTGACAAAGGCATGCCGTCGACGGTGGAGGATAAGTACGTTGCACACTGAACTTTTTTGTGTTGTGCTGAGCTTGATCGTTGTGCAGGCGCGTGGACTAGCTCGTTCGGGTTCGCGGCGACGGTACTGATCGCATTCGGCGCGGACTTTGTGTTCCCGTCCGAGGCGCTGTTCGTTTCTAGGCTGTGTCTGCCGTACAAGCAGAGCGTCCGTCGGTAGGGCGCTGCTCCAAACGCTCACGCATCTCGGTGGTGCGTTCGGTCTGGCGATCACGACGGTCGTGTACGACGCGACGCTCAAGCGCGTGTCGCTCCGGGAGGGGATCGTCATCAACGTTGATAGCACGAATGTCTTCCCCCCTGCCGGGAAGCTGCACGCGTGCAAGGACGCGTTCTTTGGTGCGTCCGCGTTCAACTTCTTTGGTCGCGTGTTGGTGGCGTTTTGTATTCTGACGATTGTTGCCGATAGCTGCGATTCTGGCGATCATGTTCTTGCGCACGGTGGGCACCCTCGGTGGTAGGCGCAAGAGCAACGAACTTACAGAAGCTGAGGAAAAAGCGCCTTTGGGCATCAAACCAAGTGAATCGCCGTCGTTTCGTGCCGTGGACTTGCCGCGTATCCTATTTTCACTGCGCTTTTAGAGATAGATTGGACTGCAGAGTATAGATACCGTAATGCTTCTCGCATATCGCGTATTGCACTGTTACGGCATGTGATGGAAAGAAGGGAAACTAGACTCATCCTGCCTAGATGTTCAAGCCGAGTGCATGTGGTTACTGCTGAAGTTGTAGACATGTGAAAGTTGCCTTATATAGCATCTGAGCTTCCCTTCTCGGCTAACTTGCGGCAGCGTCTATTCAACATCTACCGTACTAGTATCTACGTACTGCACGACTTCAAGTGCTCGTGGAATCACCCTACATATCAAGGCCATTCCAAGTGAAGCAGCGTGATCAGGTATGTACAAATTCTATTACAGCTGCCGTGCGACGTGGCACTTTCCTGGACTGAGTAAATCTATTGTTACAGAGCAATCTTGGTGCAAATTTACAACCTTTGCTCGAAGTGCGTTCATCATTCTGATCCTCAGACTCTAGGCCTGAAATGACACACACGCATTGTAGATGTCGAAGGCTGAAGCTGTGGGCACCATGCTAGAGAAAGAACAGCGTACACACCTCTTGTCGCTGAATGAGGATACTCTCTTCGCAGTCATCTCTCATCTCTCTACCAACGATGCACTCCTGCTATCTGCGACCACTCGCGTACTGCACGATCTAGCCACTCGCCATGCTCTCTCTTCTGTGAAGATCCGCTTCCGGGACGCTGCCCATTTCAAGACATTTTGCAGGTATCTTCTCGCAGACATACCCAATCGGTTATATTGCGTGCGACGCCTCGAGGTCAATGCCGAAGCATGTGATGGTCCAGATATGCTGGATGTAACAGTTCCTCCGCTGCTAGCAGATCTCCTGGAGAAGATCAGACCAGGCCATCTGCAGGCATTGGTTTTGTATCAGCCAGAGTTCATAATCGGTGGGGAGTCTCGTATCCAGGCTGCGATATCAGCTCTTCCCGAGCTCGTGGAACTCCGATTGGAAGACTTTGCTGGGGTGAAGTCTGTCCAGTCTCTTGTGGGCTTCAGCCCGGTATTACGCAAGTTGGCGCTCAAACTCGACTTTCAAGTCCAAATCGGTGACGTTCTGGCTGGTATTTCCCACATGCAACAACTCGAGTCGCTCGAGTTGTCCGGCGGTGAGCCGCCTTTTCTTGAACCGATCATCGACGCAGGTCTGCGTTTGCCTACGGTTCGCTACCTTCATCTAAGCAGTATATGCGACTCTGTTTTCGTCCATTCGTTCCCTAACGTACGAAGATTCCGTCTGGAGGACTTCTACCACTGGTCGGCGGGCAGTCAATCTGGCGTACGTGGTTGGCAGCGCTTGGACTATGTCTGTACAGCATTCATGGCTCTGCAACGATGGATGCTCGCCTGTCCGATCCATTGGCTGGACCTCATGGCCTTTGAGATGTATCCGGAAACTCCAGAATTCGACGAGATGTGTGCTGTGCTCCAAAAACAGATCCGCCCTGCAGTATTATCTCTGCGCGTCGTAGAGGAAGTGTCCGACAGTTGGACATGCTTGATCGACACATTGCCAGACACACGATGCTTGGAACTCGTGATATACAATGCAGAGGAGCCACATGCCGATCAAATGAAAGTGAGCCTTCACTTTTCCTTCATCAGAATCAACAATGAAATTTGATACTTCTTAAGCTTGGCCAAATAGACTTTCCCGCCCTGCTTGCACGACAGAACATCATGTACATCCAAATATACCTCGATTCTGTCGCCACGGCCAAGCACCCGGAGGTGGTTCTAAGTGGCAAGACAGGATCACACACCCCTCTCTCACTCTCAACTATTGCAGAATTAGATGCAACCATGGCCGCGAAGGCGCACAGGCTCGCGTGCTCCATCCCGTCACTGAAGTATATCGCCCTTGGCTGGAGGCGGCCCGAAAATGATGCAGAGCTAGACTTTCCTCCGACGGTGCGGGCGTCTTGGTGGCGAGTCGTTGGGTCTGGCGAGGGTCGTGCTGTGGAACCAATGTCGATGGAGCTGGGGGAATGGGTGAGCGCTCAAATGCGCACTCCGGGTTGTAATTTTGGGGCGCTGTGAGCGCACTAGACGATGCTCGGCAAAGGCCGACCTAGCGTTGTCCGCGGCGGTGAGCTTATTTGTGGTTCGTTCAATGGATTTGTGGCGCTCAATGATGTAGGGCAGGTTTGACATTTGGTGTGCTTTCATTTGCTTTGGGAATGATATCAGTTTGGTTTCACCGTTCGTTACAAAACTCATACTAGTGTTGCTGAATTTCTGCTTTTCGTGCATGCTAGTGCTCTCTCGATATTACGTGCATGGTACCAGAGACCAACATCGATTTATGTGTATCATAATTGTACATCCAGCTCATTAAGATCCACGAGCCTTGTATTTAGACTTGTCTTCGTCTACTACTAAGTTAGTACACCTGTGTAAACGTTCGATAGTTGACAAATTCAACGGCTATTTGATCGGCATCCTCCGGCAGTAAGAAACGCAGCCCGCAGAGCAAATCGACGATGGTGATGAAATTTATTCCATACAAGCAGAAAGACTGAGAACAGACTAAGTATGTACCTCGAAGAGATGGCAGCGTTAAGTATCACTCTTATAGTCATCCTCCAGAGCGGAGGCGCCGAGGCGGGCCTGCCGTCAGTCGCTCAACCCATCGTGGATAGCAGCGGAGTGCATATGTGTTGGTGCAGATATCGCGAAGGGGTCAAGCGAATTGTACTTTGAGCGCGGAAGCAACAGAGAGTAATATGGCGGCCAGACAAAAGGACGATATTTCCGCCGAACATCCAATCAGTGTGAATTATATACGCTGAAAGAGGACGGAGTGTGGCTGCGCAGCGTCCTTGAAAGCTTGAAGGTGCATGCAAAAGGATCTGCATATGAAAAATCGCGCTTTCGAAAACAGGCAGGTCACGGTATGGACCTGTCTGCACCCGGAGAGAGGAATCAGATGCAGTTCTTATGGGACGTAGATGTAAGACAGACACTCCTTTCTAGGGGGAAAACTCCGACGATTATATATATGCTCGTTCACGAAGCGTGAGTCGCGTGCTTCGCCCTTCACGGATAGGTATGAGTTAACGGATGCACATTTATTATTTTCCCGCGCGCGGGCTGCGCGCGCCCCCCGGGGTCTTTTCCCACCCTCACCTCGCGCGCCCTCCCTCCAGAGTCTCGCGCGCGCGCGGCGCGCCTTCGGTATATATATTTGCACTCCTGCCTGTGCACTTTCTGCTTAGACTTCACCTTTGAACCCATGGTGGTGTACTGTAGTACTAGGGCTTGCAATATTTTTTTGGAAATGAATATCCGGATGCCTCTGTGCAATTCCTCATTTCACTGTTGCCTAAGTCACTATGTTTCATGTTTACCTTTCTACAGCTTCATTGTGGCGGGTACGTGCAAAGAAAAAATTTATGGTTGGCTGTGTAAGTAATGTGTGTATAACTTGAATAGAATATTGTATTTAGCTTTCCCAGCTGATACTGATGGTACTACGAAACTCGAGCCCCCGACCCGACGGGTCAGGAATTCACGCTGACGTCAGTGGCACTACTGCAGGTGATCAAATGAGTGCGTTTTTCAATGTGCGCAATATAAGCACGGAATAGACTCGAGAAGTATTATTCAAATAAACCAGTAAGTAATTGAAAAGAAGAATACTAATCCTATATTCCGAGCCACAATACTAACGCCACCATGAGCTCAAAGGTGAAGTCTAAGCAGAAAGTGCACAGGCAGGAGTGCAAATATATATACCGAAGGCGCGCCGCGCGCGCGCGAGACTCTGGAGGGAGGGCGCGCGAGGTGAGGGTGGGAAAAGACCCCGGGGGGCGCGCGCAGCCCGCGCGCGGGAAAATAATAAATGTGCATCCGTTACCTCATAGATAGGCGCGTAGAAGATTGGCCCGGCGCGGGGAGCCGCGCAAAGCTACAGAGAACGAATCGATCATCCCGATCATGGTGAGGAACTATTATAAACCACACATTTCACAATCTGTTCTCCAAGTCCGCGACATAAATCTGCTATTGCTCAACGAGGCCCCCGACGACGACCTCCTCCTCGTCTCTCTCCTCTGGTCTCGCGATGCGCCGCGTTTATCTGAAACTACTCGCCATCTCCATCTCATCGCTCTACCGCGCGCACTCTTCTCTGTCAATCTGCAGACCTGCAAACAGCTCAAAGCTTCTGTACATCCATTCTCAATCGGCGATTCTCTCGGGCACAGTTTTTGCGTCATCTTAGCGTCCTCATCCGTAATCATCATTTGACTGGTGCATATCTTCTTGCTGACGTGTTAGAGAAGGCGCATGAACTCAGGTCAATATACATGGAGGATATGGAGCATCTCATCTACGCCGCCCCACGTGTCGGCAATGCACTTACAGAGCTCGAGCGACTGGAGGACATCCATCTGTATGGTGTCAGTAATCTTGTGCGGGAGATACTCCCCAGCTTCCGCAGCCAGGCGGGCCAAGTCACTCTCGCAGGCCCCTATAGTCCTCGGAGTCCTAAACCGTTCTTTCATTTCTCTGAGCTCACTTTGCAACGTGCGCATACTATCGATGTCGAACGGGTTGCAATTGTAGAATCACCCTCGAGCTCGTTCTCCCTCAAAGTGTTGGCGTTTGCTTCTCAGTATGCCGCCCTCTCCCTAGTACCTGGTCTCCCCTCCTGTCTCGCTCGCCGTAAATATGCCGGTTTTTGTTGGTCGTGTTGGCCCTAGCCACATCACATTAAGGGCAGGTGCAGATTGTAACGACGTAAGCACTTATGTTGAATTAGTTTAATTTGAGATCGTGGCATAAAATCTGACTCGCAGCGAGATCAATGTGATTAGTGTAAAGGAACACCAATTGATACTAGTATACATCTTGCGTACTAGATTCGGAAAACCTTGATGTACACGCAGGATTAACGCTGTGAGAAGTGATGCAACTCATTGCAAATGGGACGAGCGAGCATGTCAACCATAGGAGTCGAACATACATGAGTATACATAGTCGCACGAACTGGCGCGTGATATTAACACACCTAAAAACATGTAGATGCGTACGGTCAACGTTTCAAGCCATAAGCGCGTCAAAATCGCAGCCCGGCGTCCGCATCTGCTCCCTCAGAGACTCTCCCATCCTGGTCTCCATCTGTACTAACACCCGCTTCCCGGACCCGCCGGTCGCCATAACCTTGTACCAGTAGCATGTGTACCTGTACTTGGGAAACTGCACACTGAGAGAGACATACCGAAGGGACTGCGGAAGGAGCTCTGGGAGCTCGAACGACGCCATGCCCCCTGCTATCGCGAGCTCACAGTGTTGAGTCTGAACGCAAATTTCAAGACAGATGAATGGTAGCTGCGTCAGGATCTCAGCGGCTATATTCTGTCAGGAGCGAAGAAATAAACAGTTGCTCAGCAGTGCGAATACATATGATGGGAAATATACTTACCATGTATCTTACAAGTCGAAGGTGCGTCTGACCACTGGTCTCGTCGCACTCCAGCTCGATGCACCTTGGTTTCCACGCAGAATTGGTGAGAGTTTCCGCGAGAGACTTCAGACTAGTAGTGAATTGATAATACTGGGTATGCAAGGAAACCACAGCAGGCATCATTGCCTCCCATTGCACCGTATCCAGCCAAGGACCAGGCATCATTTCCTTCCATTGCGTACCCGGCCAAGGATCAGGCATCAAGGAGAACTTCACGTCCAGCCAGTGGACCGGACAACAGACGCTGCAGTTCACCAAGTCTGCAAAAGTAGTCTGGTGGTAATCCAAGCTGTTCAAGTCCCAGCAGAGACGTGAGTTGGTTTGTTGGTTAGAGGGAGCTTGGAATTGGCAGTGGTCCAGGCACAGCTCGGAGATGGCGGGGAATGTGTGCACAAAGTGCAATGGTACAGAAACCTGAGACAGGCGAAGGTGGCGCACAGAAGGCCACGTCGACGGCGACTCAGCGGCAATGATGATATTGTGCACATGAAGAACATGCAGGCCTTTGGTGCTGGTGCTAGTGCTGGTGAGAGTGCGAGGCATTGAAAACACATGGGATGGTCCGGATAACAGCTTAGTATTGTAGCAATTGACAGCGAGCATTCGTAGCGTGCTTCGCAGTCTCCCGACTGTTGTACTGAGATGGTCCAGTGAGTCAACGTGGCTCAGGGTCAGACATTTCAAATTGGGGAGCGCGGCAAGTGCGTCCGCAACCTTGGAATCTCTAAGAAATCGGGAATCACAGAGGGTGAAGCTGAGGAGGTTGCCATTCCGCAGAGACTCGAGCAAGGACGCCAGTGCCGGAGAAAGATCCTGAATGGGCTCGACACACGGGTCGGTCCGGACGGAAAACTGTAGTTCGCGCACATAATTCCAATATTTCGAATGACTCGGATGAACATAGGCGCTGAATACTGGCAGCTTTTGTGGCATGATGGTTACAGATGTCAATGCACCTCTCACCGAAATGTCGTTGAGCGCTTTTGTTGTGGCCGAAAGCCTTAGAGCATCAGGAGTGTCGAGATGGGAAAGAATCTCAGACAAGATATCGGGAATCAGTGATTGAAAGTTCATGCACATGGGGAGGTTCGATGGTAGGATGATGACTGGCAGGAAGACAGAAGAAGACAGACATGCTTTTTGTAAACAATGCTCCGTGAGAACATGTGCCCGCGCCACCGTCGCGCCACCGCCACGCCGCTTGCAAGCGTCGAAGAGATGAGTCTCGTATCAACGCTGCGAACACGAAAAGAGATAACTTCATCGCATTCACTGATGCACTGGCTTCCCAAAGTATAGACGATCATACCTTTGAAAAAGTGCGCCGTCGGGAAGACTGGCCATCAACTGGCCGTGGTGACGAACTGGCCGTGGTGACGAACAACAACCGATGATAAGAAACGCGAGAAGCAGAGGGGCTCGGACACCACAAATCACACGTCTGCATGACGGGAAGAGAGCACCAGCGATCTATGGAGGAATGCGCGCCGGACATGTATACGCTAACAGAGTCGTCGGACAAATGAAAACGTAAGGCAGACGAGCGAGGATACCGCAGAATCTCATCAGATAATCGAGATGAGAGGATTATACGACGATGACTTTATCCATGTCGAAAGCGGGGAGAAACAAGGCAGTACGAGAGGTCCGAGGTCCATTCCGAGACGTCTCTCCCGACGTGTCCATGGGCATTTCTTGGCATGGCGACGTGAAGAACTCAAGTGCTTCTTTTTCGACCTCGAAAGAAAGACATGCCTGGAACAATGCGGACGATGTCAGCTTCTAATGCTAGCACGACGAAAAACTGATGGACATACAGAGAGCGAGGAAGTCGGAGAACACAGACAATAAAATTTGAGCTCCCCACATAAAGAAGCGAACGTCAGTGCTTTGCGCACGAGCCAAGTTCCCGTGTTGATGATGCGCCGGGGTATAGACGAAGAGAACCTCACGGCACGTTTCACTCGGCAGCAGAAAGCTTTTGGGCCAGTAGACATGCAGTGGCCGACATCACTCACCCCGGTTGGATTTGAGTATCGGGATCAACTTGCGTTTCCCATAGAGCAAGTGGGGCGCTCTGCGCTGTCTGTTGCTTAGGATCATGCTCCATCCGGAGGTCCGCTGCATAGATAACCGGGTGTGGAACGAAACGCGTGGAAGCGCAGAAAATTCAGACATGATCGCAGACGACAATCGAGACGGTAGAAGTGTGATAGCGAAGTTAGAAATGCGACAACGGGAAGCGGCCAAGGACACCTTATGCAACGAAACTAGAAGGTCGATCCAGGCAGTACTGTGCCCGTAGCTTTCGTAGGGAACGAACGGTTCTCAGACACATGAAGAGGAACGTCAGACCATAAGAAGTCGAGAGGCTGGTCTGAGCTGCAACTGCCTCTACGGCTGAGTGTCGAAGTCGAAGTCCTCTAAAAATATTAAGCGAGATCCACCGTCAGCATTGCGAGCCTACCCCAACTGTACGGTTTGAATAAAAAGATACTCGCCGCAATTGACCATTAGGAACTGTTGTTTCGGCGTACAAGATGAATGGTGTGGTTGAGTCGATGTGAAAGCACATGAATGGACAGGCAGAGGAATGATCGTCTTTTGGATTTGAAGAAAGTGGCGTGTAGAATACCGACTGCATATGCCCCAATCAAAGGGCGAGAACGAGAAGTAGGCACGAAGGTCGGGACCAGCACTGAGATGTGCGCTGCAGCTGAGCACTCACTTTCCTGAGAGTAGCTATGAGAAATGCCATTGCTCGCCTACTCACCAGAGCAAGTCGTACCGACAATGCAGACGAGATCCTTCTGATGGAACCAACTATCCAATGACTACCCACGGAGCTTCCCGATGTCCATGCTGAAAACGCGCCATAGGAAACGTGCCAACGCCGAAGCCTGCAGAACAGGAGGAGCGACGCGCATCTAACTGACGCTGTAACCAGTGTACGCCAGATTGAAGAGTGGGACGACGGCACCCGCTGCGCACGACTTCTACGGCAATTTCATTCTGAATGGGTTGGCGAGGGTTAGAAAGTGAACGAATGGGAGATGGACTAAGCAGTGGGCAACTCTGAGGTTTTCACGCGACGAATGCACAGAGTACGAGAGAATCCACGAAGGACTACCCTTGTTGCTTGTCATTGTCATTGAGATCAGGGACAACCACACGTATCAACTCGACTGTGAATAAGGACACGAACCTGGTATAGCAGCAGCCTCACTCGACAAGAACACAGCACCTCCGGATTCTAATGATCGCGACTTTCCGCCCACAGGTGCAGAGCAAAGGGAGGGCGGGCCAACTACATGGGAAAAAACGTAATAACCGAAGAACATTGCGGAGCGATCCAAAATTTTGAAGAAATATTGTCAGACTACAGGAGTGTTCATCTGAGCAAGAGGACAGCAATTGTTTCAAAGAGGAGAACCGATACCTACTAGCAGCAGAGAGACCGCGACGGTGGCATCAACCCTGACCCTGTTTTCAGTCCCCTGCCGCTTCCGCCGAGTCACTGTATTCGCGAATCCAATCGCGCTACCACCTGTCTCAACCGTGACGGTATCGATATTGATGGATGATGCATCGCTCATGTAAGTATTGGTTGTTTTCACATCATCTGTTTAAACTGGTGAACGGTACGGTTCGTTCATCTTGCATGTCACTCTGCTCGTGACTATCCACGTAGCTTCAAGACTCAAGCCTGCTCATACGATCGCAAGGTTCGGGCCTACTACAGGATATCCAACTCCTGCATTATACTCGGTGAGCCACTCCCTCCCAACCCGTATAGTGGGCCTGAGGAGGCCGCCTACAACACCTGTCGCCACCTGGAAATTCTCCTTGACTGGAGCGAAGTATCTGATCAGGCTCGCACGAGCAAGAGAATACCACAATTGTGCGGACGTCTCCTGGGATACATGATGCTAGAGGCAGCCACTCTGGAGGGTCGCCTCAATGTGACGAGGGAAATCCAGACGTGTGTGTTAGCGTCCGATACATAGGTCCGTCTGCCAGGCCTCGCACAGTTTTACGAGGAGCACTTCATTCGTGTCTGTAAGTTACTCGGGCTAAAATTGACGACAATATTTAATCCTAACGTGCTGATGATTCTTTGGATTTGCAGTCAAGTCAGCGAAGGGTGCCACACCTATGGTGTCAATGCATCCTTCCCGACCATTGTTCAACCTGACTGCAGAGGAAATGAAATTGCTGCTCGAGGAGGCTCTTCAGGACCACAGAGCTGAAAAATTGCTCGTGAGTTATCGTCTTGCGTGGACTGGGTACTTTCTATCTGACTCGGATACTCTATCTTACTGGTAAGTGTCTTGTTCGCGATAACTATCGATGCGTCGTTACAGAAAAATACGATGCTTCCACGTATGAAAGCAAATTCGTGGAGGATGCAACGTTCGTACCTCTATCCCCTATCACATGCACAGAGCTCGCGCATATAATCGCTGAATCGACGAACGCAAATATCGGAGGTGGTGATCGGAAGGTGTGGTTTTACCATGACGTACTTCTCTATCCTCATCTAATAGAACTGTTCGGCTCAGCGAAATTATGCTGCCTCTGCGTGGGCAGTTTTGGATCGTTTTGGCAAGGTCAATGTCGTTGACGACGAGTTGAATGAAGTTGAATGGGCCAGGAATCGATCGCCTTCAAAATGTGATGACTATGTGTATGGATGCTGATAGATTCTTTGACACCCTCAGAACGGGTTTCGAAGAAATTGTGCGTCCCGATTTACATTTTGGTCGCCAAGTTAAACAGACAATATTGACCTTTGGGGCACTAACTGCTACCGCCTGTGAGCAATAAACGCTCCCTTTTTGATTGCACCCGGCGTCAACGTCAAGAATCCTGTAATTCAGCTCACGATCACCGATACTAGCTTTCCGTTGCCTGATTCGCGTCTTCTTTACCTCCACGCGACATACGCCAAGGTAGCTCATCTTTCTGGGGCGGGAAAATATATAGATGCAATTCTCAAAGACATGAAAGAGTTGAGAGTATTGTCCTCCGATGGTGGCTCTGCTCATGTGTTGCAAGATGCGCCACTTCACAGTAGCTTTAGATGAAGTCATGTAAGTGCGATATCCATGCTAAAATCTCCAGGTGTTTTTTGATGAGTGGTATAGTTGTGCACCCGAAGTAGGCAAGTCTTCAAGAACATGCGGTGGAACCCCCCTCCCCCCCCCTCTCTCTGATTGGGAGATTGGGAGTCGTCATCGACCCATATAAATTTCAAGACTAACATCTTCCATGCTGGTTGAACCCCGAGATATGTATCATAAGTACTCCTCTACTGAGCGGGACACAAAGTCTACCGACAAAATCACAAACGCGTCACCGACCACACCATTCCCGTGAGCGTACTACCCTCTCTCTTCAAGAGAGCGCTATCCATCTGATACAGGCTGGCTTCCACCTTCACCTTTCCCTTTTCGAACACCGTCCCATCCCACAATTCGGTCCAACTTTCCGGGGAATGACGAAACATGTGGCTGCGGATGGGTTTCACGCCGGGGACCTCCACTCTGGGGCCCTTCTCAGCACAACCGCCTTGCGCGCCAAAGATCACGGATCCCGGCTCGGGTGAGAGCAGCCCGGCCACCGATCGCGCAAGCTGTAGCTGCTGTTCCTCGTCAAACAGGTGGAAGAACGATGATGCATGGATTGCAGATACGTGTCCAAGGAGGGGCGTCAGTGTCGTGAGCGAACGCAAGTCAGGTCTCGGGGTCTCGGGAGGTGCGTAGAACGGCGGCACTGGTTTCAAGAAATCGGCATTGAATGCATCTCCTGGAAGGAACGGCACCGGAAAAGTTTCTGCAGTGGAAGTGAAGAGCTGGTGACCCAGTCGCCAGAAATCTGAAAGTGTGAGGCTTGTTGTAGTCAAGCTTCGGTTGATGCAACACTAAACGCACCAGCTTCGAGGTCGGACGCGATGGCATTCTCGATCGGGTAGCCGTCGACGATGGCTTTCCTAACGTCATTTCCGACTAATACACTACACGTCAGTATCGCGATTATCGCAGACTTTTGAAACAACACTTACAGCAGCAGCCTATATCGAGGAATATTGCACCCTTTCGCTCCTTACCGAGCTTCAAGAGCTGGCCATAAGCAGGCAGACGCGACATCTTGAGCCTATGTAGGTAAGCTGGTTATTCTTTCGAGCGTCGAAAAGTCAAGCTGCTAACACACTTGGTGAACGCGAAGCGTCGGATACAAGGGTAAGGATGGACCTGCCACGGCAATAATGAGCACAGATTGTTACTCCGTGGAAGAGGCCACACATCATATGCATCAGCTTGGATCTTCGAGATGTGTGCTTTCAGCGCAGCCTCATCCTGGATACCTGTCTGCGACTGGAAGAACGCGAGTTCCTGACGGTCGAGGTCGTAGAAGCTATCATCTAGGGGAGTATTCTCGAGTACATTCGAGATGGTGTTATCAGCTTTTCCTTGAGCCATGCCGACTTAGTTGTACGATGCAATGGAGCGAATCCACGGCAAGAGTAGCGGTGATGAGCTGCTCTGCGCTTCGGGTACTTATACAAGATCGACTAACAATCGAGGCCACGCACCCATGACAGAACAGGCCAATCGGAGGGCACCCATCCTCGGCCAGCGGCAACCATGCGCAGTTGGTAACGGCATCGAATTACGCATCCATACAGGACCCCCGACAATTGGGGAAGGTCCCTGAGCCAGTTACGGACAAATTTTGAACTTTCGAGAGCCTCATGCCTGGTATTTCACGGACAAATCAGGGGGTTGACCGCCGGATAGCCTGAGCCATTTCGCGGACATCGGGGAGGCAGCGGCCTGATTCGGGGCCGGACAAACGCTTGTGGAAGGCCGGCGAGGGAGAGCGGGCGGAGGCGGCGTAGCCGCCGTCTCAGAAGCGCCCAAAATTACCTTTTTAGGGTTAGAACCTGAAGAGAAACGCGGACCGCGGAGGCAAAAAATGTGGTGAGGCCTAATTTTTCACGGACATTTTGGGCCCGAAACGGCCTTTTCCCAACGGACATTTTTGCCCTCTCCAGATCAGGCCTATTCACCAATTGTCGGGGGTCCTATCCATACGGCAAGAGACGTGCCAAGTGGCGCGATGGAGATGAGATCTCTATGTGGAGATTTGCGTTTTCCTGATGCGGGGTCCTAGTACGTCACATGGTACTTGGTACACAAAAGGTGCTCTTGAATTCTATATAGAGGAACGACTCTTTCTTCCTATATACTAGAGGCTGGTTAACGAGCCTACTCTTGAATCATCCAAGGCAGATCGCCATATGGATTCCTTCCGCGGTGTAGTTTTGAGAGGGCCTGGCGACCTACAACGAACGGGAAGCATCTCCTGCGCCTATTATTGCTAATGGGCTTAAAGGGACTCCATCGCCATGTTGACTAGCTTTCAGACATTTGAATTCATGCAAGGACGCACTAGCGTTCAGGCTGGCATCGTTCTTGATCTCAGAGATCAGCAGACTGGTGTCCCACTGTGGTCGCTGCCGTGCTCGGTGTCCATGCGCAAGGTGCGAGAAGGCGAGGGAGACGGGAGAGTACATGATACGGTATGTCTATGAAGGATATCATCGGTGTGCTGCATTCATGATAGTTGCAATATGTCATTCTGATGTGTCTATATTGACAGTCGCATGTGAAAACCACCAGGTGTGTCTCTTGTTTCACGGCGTGCTCACCGTGGCTCTGACGCTACCATAGGTTGCACAAACGAGGCGCATCATCACATCTCCTGCGCCGCTTGAGTCGACGTCGTTAGTGTTTGCTTATAGGCTTGACCTATCCTTCACTCGTGTCGTGCCCTCAAGCAGCTTTGACGTGCTGAGCGAGAACTTCAACAAGGCACAGCTCGTCTTCGCCGTCGGCGGTGTATCATTGGCCATTGTCATCGCGAAACCGATGGCCAGCGGAAAGCGGCTGCGGGAGAGGTGGTATGACTAGCATGTGTGTTTCTTGTTGGGTCCCTGGGTGCAAGTATTTGACCGTGTGGGGGACAGTCGCGCCAAGATGCTTACATGCCGCACAATTGGCTGAGAAATTGCTTCACAAGGCGCATTCCACCTTTTTTCCTGGGGAAAAACCTGGGGAAAACGACAAAATAAGTCTCCGGGAAATATCCAGGAAAAACTGTGAGAAAACAATAGTGTAAATCCTGGGGAAAAACCGTGACCCAGAAAAAGCAAAGATTTCTCGGACCGCATACCTCTTCATCAGCAAAAGTCAACTCTTGCTTACCCAGATTATTCCCTTGATCGAGGAAATTTTAAGGAGATCCTCATTATTATTCTTCCTTATTCACCTTAATTGGCCAAATAAGGAAGCAGACCTCCTTAATCAAGGCAATAAGGAGCTAACCAAGAGTTGACTTTTCCTGATGTTGCAGAAATCCCGATTTGGAAACAAAGGTTTTTTCTCCAAGAAATCTGTTGCTTTTTCTGGGTCATGGTTTTTCCCCAGGATTTACACTATTGTTTTCTCACAGTTTTTCCCGGATATTTCCCGGAGACTTACTTTGTCGTTTTCCCCAGGTTTTTCCCCAGGAAAAAAGGTGGAATGCGCCTTGTGCTTTGCAATGTAACATAGCGACGCATCCGTACAACAACCTTTGTTCATGACGCCGCTTCATTCATTCAATTTGTCCTTGTGCGCTTACTCAATCATCCAGGTGCAACAATACTAATCCATTGTCACCGCCACCGTCTTGCCTTGAGGCATGTTATTCTAGTCGGGTATTTATAGGCAGTATCCTCTACCCTCTTCCCTCACCCTTCCTCCCGCCAGCTGCCAACACACTCCGCTACTGCTTGCTCCATCTGCAGCATGGAAGCTTCAGTTATTCGCAACCACTATGACTTGCTGGAACTTTATGTCACAAATCTTCACAGACCTACCCTGCTCCAAAGCCTCTCCATTACCTTCTCGTATCAACCAGGAGAAGCTTGCGTCATCAATCTTGCAATGGTGCTTGGCCTGGCTCCTAACCTACAGCAGTTGTCCCTTAGCCATACAAGTGATTTATTTGCTGTCAACCCAGATCTCAGGAAAAATCTCTGCGCACTGAGGTGCCTCCGCGATCTCAGTTTGGATATGGCCACACCAAAGATCATCGAGATCCTCGCGCCCCTTGGGGCAACTGTGCATAAGCTCAGTCTTCGCGGTCTACTGCCACCGCCACCGCCAACCTGGCCACTCCCGGGAGACCTACCAATCTGCCCTCACGGATCCCATGAGCTATGCTCATCCCTTGCTGTTGGGGATGCATCTCTCACCCAAGAGTGGCCCGCCGTTCGTGAGCTCTCGCTTATAAGTGGCATCGTCATAATGGGCGACTTGGTGAAGGCATTCCCGAATGCCTCAACTGTTCTTCTTTCGCCCTTCATGTTGCAGAATGTCCCTCTTGGCGACATGTACATGCAGTTCTGGGATCATCTGCAGTATGTCCGAGGAAGCTTCGAATCTCTACTCTGCTGGGATTTTCACCGTCCTGTACACCGGCTCGACATGGATGCACGAGACCTGTTTCTGAGGAACACGAAATTTATGATACCCTCCGTGCTGGCACAGTCGTCGCCTGTTGTCCTGGCTCTGTGTGTAGAGCAGCTGTTTCCAGTTGTGAGTTTTAGCTCCAGGACTGCCTTTTGGGAGGCCGCGTTTCAGCCGGGCTCCTTGAAAAGGCTGCGAGTTCTCCAGCTGTGCATAGTCAGCACGACAACAGAAGCGGGGCAATGGTTGGTGCGTCGCAATTCCTTTCCCCCATAAGTTGCCCATTGTCTCATTGTAACTGCAGGAAATGGTCTGTGCACTTCTCGCAAACGTCAAAACGCTGCAGGTATTGGCGCTGTACTTCGGGCTCAAAAAACCAACTGCTGGTCAAAGTGTTCCTCCTGGTGCCACACCCTTGGCGGATTTCATTGAGCGGGGGCCAGGCTTTCATTTGCCCGAGGCGTTCAAGGTAGAGCGGCTTGCGAGTGGTATTCGCTCGTTGCAATTGGTCTCGCTCTCCTACGGTGATGTGCAGATTGATGACAAGGAGTTATGGTCCTTCCATGTAAAAGGTGAAACCAAGTATTGGTGTGGCCTCCAGGATGGTTTGCACGCCGCCAAAACAGAGGAGGAGGGACAAAACCTGGCTTCCGCGCTGTATAGTTCGGGCGACGATCCAGTCATGTTCACATTCCTGTGACATTCGATGTCTAGTCTAGTACTCACGTTCTTCAGCGAAGGCGGCTCATCGGTGTTAATCAAATCAACTTCCATGTATTTGAATTAGACTCTTCTATGTAGCGTGAAATTGCGAGCTCCGAAATGTGCAATATACATCTCTGATCTCTCTGGCAAGCGACGAACGCATAGTGATGCACTGGGATAAGCAAGGGTGTTCCACCAATTACTCGGGCTATGGCTATTGATACGGGATGTAGATACTTATCAGTGCATGCCATAGAGCCCGCTAGACATCTCCGACATGTATCGCTCGTCGCCCGAGTATTTGATGAACGACCAGTGGAAAGCATCGTCGGACCATTCATCCTCAGAGTGCACAGCGGCACAGCGAAGTACCGCAAAGGAGTGTTGTAGCCAACGAGCACGTCGCGCATCCGTATGACAGAGCCTGAGTGCATCAGTGATAGAGGCGCGAATGCGGTTCAGGCCTAGCCGAGCTAGGAGAGAAGGCACGATATTCTGATGGGCGAGGGCAAGTGCAGTCAGCTCAAGACGCATCCTGGCACGCAATTATCCGTATACTTCCCAGCCACTTCGCAGTCTCGGTGTACACACGCTGATTCCACGATAGCCTCCACTTCGTTGTCGAGACATCGAATCTCGGGTACAATCTCAACGAGCCTTGTCCAGAACAGGACCGACGGATCGGCGGGGACGGCCAGTGAGAGCACGCTAGGCCGAATGTACTGCAGAGGACCAAGAGCGAACCCGACACTCACTTCGTGCCACAAGTTACCTAGTCCCGTTACGTGGACCGCAGCGAGTCGCTGCGCCCGTGCGACTGCCATCGTCGGTGGGGCATCCCGGTTAATGATCACGACGTGCCAAAGTCGCGTGCTCTTCACATTCGGAAACAGCACGAGCGCGGGGACCACGACGCGGAAGAGGGATAGGTGTCGCAATGCCGCCCACTATGTTCCCTTCTGAGCCAACCGGATAGTGCATCGTCGAGAGCGAATTCAACGGACTTCACATTGTTTAACGGGGTCAGCCGAAAGAGAGCCATAACAATCTTGGAGTCTCGCGTGGCATAGAAGGTGAGGACTTTGTGTGACCTGCCGTGAAACCTGGAGATCATATCCACCACGCGCTTGCTAGCGTCTCGGAGCTGAAGTTCCTGCAGCTCCTCGAGTGCGATATCACCGACGAAGCATGGGATAGACAGCTTCGTCGGAGTTTGGTAGCCACCTCGAACACGTCTGCGCTTTAGCTGGATCCAGATGAGAACAATCGGCCCATGCAAATACTTCATCTGCATTGGGGCGTCATCGAGTATGTACCTGCAGAACGCGATAAGCTGGTCTTTCTCGGGGAGGATCACGGCGGATGATGCCTGCTGCAAAAGCGATAAGACGAAGACGGTAGTTGGTCCGGGACAGGTGAAGAGCATCTCGCGGGCGGAGGTGAAAGATAGTTGCTAAGAGGACATCCTCGTCGCGAGAGTGCAGGTTCATGTCGCGGTGAAGGAGCATCGACGAGGGGGCACGAATTACCTCTGCGACGCAGGCGAGGCCTACCCTCGAATCACGAGCACGAGATATAAGACAAGGCAGATGCGTCAATAGACGGCGATGTAGCAGGAAGTGGCGTACCGTACGTGGAAAGAATACGCGAGCACTCGGCCAATGCAAAAGAACAGTGGGAAAACGTGAATGCATTCGACGAATCAAACTGCAGCGTCGACTGTGATGAACGAGATGGACACAGAAGATTCACGACTCCCACGTATAATATCGAGTATGCGCGGAAAACCCAAAATCGGACAGTCAGGCCAACTCTAGTATGAGATTCGTAGTGAACAGAACAAAAAGATACTGAACGTCGCACCTGCCTCACGTCATTGAGCATTACAAAGCTGTCGAATGGACCACAAATAAGCTGAGACGCAGACAATGCATAGTCGGCTTAGGCCTTTCCCGCTCGTCGTCCAGTGCTCATAGCGCCCCAAAGTCACAACCCGGAGTGCGCATTCGCGCACTCACCCATTCCCCCCGCTCCATCGATATCGGCTCCACAGCACGGCCCGCGCCGGACCCGACAACTCGCCACCAAGATGATCTGATCACTCGAGCAAAATCCATCTCTGCATCACTTTCAGTTTGCCTCCAGCCAAGGGCGATATACTTCAGCGAAGGGATTGAACACGCGAGCCTGTGCGCCGTCGCAGCCATGGTCACATCCAACTTTGCAATATCTGAGCTTGACAGACGATCCCGAGGGTTCAAAGGTCGGAGAAACCATGTCGGGCTCGTCATAAAAGGATCAAGGTATATTTGGATGCACATGATGTTCTGTCGTGCAAGCAGGAGGGAAAGCTCAGTTTGAAGAAGCTTAAAAAGAATTAAATTTCGTGCCTTATTCTAACGATGTGAACGCTCACATTGATTTGAGCAGCGTACGGCATCTCCCCCTTGTCATGGTGGTGTGTGACAATCTCCAAGCATTTTGTGTCGGGCAAGTTGTCGATCAACTGTGCCCAGCTGTTGGAACATCCCTTGAATACGTGCAGAGACAATACTGCAGGGCGAATGCGTTCCTGGAGTACGATACGCATCTCTCTGAAGTCTATATCGGGGTGGGACTCTACGGTACGGAGGTGCAGCCAATGGACAGGACAAGTGAGCCACCATTGTTCGAGATCCATCAGCTCCGCGCAGACGTAGTTCAAGCGTTTCCAACCGCCTACGGCTGAGTAAGGGACAACTCGAGCGATTCGAGTTGTTGCATGTGGGAAATACTAGCCAGAACGTCGCTGATGCCGACTCGAAAGTAGAGTTCGAGTGCCAACTTGCGTAATACCGGGCTGAAGCCCACAAGAGACTGGATATACTTCACCCCAGCAAAGTCTTCCAATCGGAGTTCGATGAGCTCGGGAAGAGCTGATATTGCAACCTGGATACGAGACTCTCCACCAATTATGAACTCTGGCTGATACAAAACCAATGCCTGCAGCTGGCCTGGTCTGATCTTCTCCAGGGGATCTGCTAACTTAGCAGCGCAGGAACTGTTACATCCAGCATATCTGGACCATCACATGCTTCGGCATTGACCTCGAGGCGTCGCACGCAATATAACCGATTGGGTATGTCTGCGAGGAGATACCTGCAAAATATCTTGAAATGGGCAGCGTCGCGGAAGTGGATCGTCACCGAAGACAGAGCATGGCGAGTGGCTAGACCATGCAGCACTCGAGTAGTCGCGGAGAGCGAGAGTGCGTCGTGCGTAGCAAGATGGGAAATAATTGCTAAGAGGACGTCGTCGTTCAGTAACGAGAGTTGTGTACGCTGATCTTTCTTGAACATAACTAAAAATAGTTTCGATGAAAGTTTCACAGGTCCAGAGCTGTACGATGAACGCACTACAAACAAAAAATTCGAGAGTTGCAAGTGTGTCGTGTCGTAGATATGATCAACGACAACAAGATCGCCTCTGTAATGATATATCCATTCCGAGTCAGCGGAGGGAGTAGATACAAGCAGGCGATGGGCAACGTCGCAGTCATAGGTTCTGAACGAAGTGGCAGTACGTACCAGCTGGGAATGGCCTCAGTAATTACGCGTCTAAGTGCACACCACTTGTTTGCGCGAGAGTTCGGTATAGGTGAGAATTTGATCGTGGCCGCAGATCAGCTGAGAAGGGAAGCTCAGATGCCATACAAGGCAACTTTCCCAGGGCTTGCACCTTGAACTGTAACTACTGAGTAAGTACTGAGTACTGACACCCCGCTTGGGCATCAGGACAGGATGAGTCCAGTTTCCCTCAACGACGATGTTCTCCTCCTCGTCGTTGCCTGTCTCGATCCCCTCGATGCCCTCCGTCTGTCCGAAACCAGCCGCCATCTCCATCTCATCGCGCTCCCGCAGGCACTTTCAGCTGTAACTCTCACGGGGCACGTCGAGCTCACAGCGTTCTGCAGGTCCATGCTTAGTCGCCCGTCGATCCACATACTTCTTGTGCGCCGCCTCCGTATTGCGCTTACCGACAACAACTTTTCCAGTGCGCCACTCCTCGCGGACGTCCTTCAGCGAGCTGGTAGACTGCGGTCCATAATCATGCTTCAGTCAGAAAACTTCATCGAGGCCGAACCACGCATCGGCGATGCTCTCGCTGCGCTCGAGGAACTTGAGGTTGTCTACCTGCTTGGTTGTCACGAGCGTGTGCGAGAAATGCTCCATCGGCTTCGCAGTAGGCCACGCAAAGTCATACTTAGCTCCTCTCCACCATACCCTCACCTCGTTCTTTATCTCTCTCGACTCTCAGCTCTGCAGCACACAGTGAAGCTCGGATTATCCAAGGTTACGGTCAAAGATGAACCCCCGCCTGGCGAACTCGCTGGGCAGCTGCAAGCGCAGTGGGATGCGCAGTATCTGAGCCTCTGGGACGCTGAGATTCCAGTGTCTTTTTTTTCTAGTAAGGTCCCCAAGCTTAGAGCTGTGGTGCTACGACAGAGCAATATCACAGTGCCGGCATCATCCTTACCAGGCACAGCCACCTTCTTGCCGTTGCGCACTGTCCGCCATATGACACTCGACATGTCATGGATAGACGTAGACACGACAGAAGCAGATGTTGTGCGTGCGCTGCAGCCGCTGCAGTGCATGCCGCCTGTAGCGCTTTCGGTGCAGGCCGGCGTAAACTCGACGCACTATTTATGGGAACGCCTCGCTGCGTTCGGCACGCAGATCAAGTATCTCGACGTGGATCTAAACTGTGTGCAACGGGAAGCGCGTAGCCTGTTCATCTACTTCCTGGTGAGCACACTCGATTATGGCTATGCGGCCGTCCGTATTCTAACCTTGTCTCAGTGCACGGTACCCCAACTCCTTACTCCCCTGAACATTGTCTGTTTCCGCATCTCTGCGCGGTCGATGTCGGACGAGGTGATCCAGAAGGTTCTTCAGTTGCATATACCCTCTCTGCGCTACCTTGCTGTCAAGTCCTCACACTGGTACATGAACGAGCAGACTGACAGTGGCGCGTATACATTGTGGAGTGCAGAGGGGCCTGGGGATGCGCGGCTGTTCGTGAAAATGCCACCCGAGACTGGAGAGGCGATTCACGAGCGCTTCTGCTCTGTGGCACTCGAAGAGATATGACTGTCTCCTGCACATTCGTATATAACGCAAACATCTGAGATGAGGCGACGCGGGGGTCCTTCTAGCTCATGAGACCAATTTGTTCGATAATCAACTCGATTTTGCTCTTCAAGCTTCAATATTCTTCAATGTCCAACCAGGCAATTTGATATGTTTATTCTCCATGTTTCGACGATGAGCCTAAGGTTTTGAGGGCTGAGCAGCAACGAGGGCTCAGCCTTCAATATTTCAATGGTCGAGGGTGAGTAAAATACAAAGTGATCGACAGGCCACTACGCGCATGCGTAGAAGATACATGTACGACATATGTACTGTGCGAGTGAAGATATTACTCTAGCAAAACAGACGTATCGTGAATCTCACCGTCCATTTCTGTACGGTGCTGAGGGCGCGTAGCGCTACAGATATTCTGCTCCTCCTAGACCAATAGTGATGTCGAATGGAACAAACTGAGCGCACGGCACTCATTAGATCATGACCAGCCAGGTGCTGTCGTGATACAATGTCTGGTCAGCACACGATTCCCCGTAGGCAGAAAAGGACAGACTCTCTACAACCCTGCGCGCGTTGCCGCTTCCCTCGATGCTGTTCGTCTTCACTCCATTCAACCGTGACTGCGACGTACGGTTGCGAGGGTGGACGCGGCTCGGCAGCGTTAAGTACCCTGCGTTGACATGCAACTTCAGCACGACTCTCCAAGGGAATTTGAACCTCCAATGCTTACCTGCCATTCCAACAGATAGGCTGGGTAAGGCCACGGCCTAATTCCATGACCAGATACTGAAGCTGCAGGGAAAAATGAAGGAGGCATCTCCAAAGTGGGACAGACCAGTAAGATATCGAGAGGCCGGCGGTAGAGAAGCGTTGCAGTGAACTAAGTACCTCCTGAATTTCCTCGGACATTGTGTACTTCATGCGTGACACGTTTGAGTCGAGCTTTATGTCTTGAATGAGGTGATCAGAGCAATGGAAATCTCTCGAAGCCGAGGCATATTCACCGAGAGCTCTATGCGCAGAAGATCGGCGAAGGGCATTGTGAGGATTCGGGATGAAGGCGGAGATCTCTGTATAGACTGTACTAGAAACTCTAGAAATAGTTGCCTAGACAAATGACAATTAGCAAAAACATGAGACGGTCGAGCATGACTATGTGTAGTGTACTTTCAGACCACTACGCAGTACGACGCAGCCCTGAGTCTATCACCAATACAGAAGACCACTCGGACGCGGACCCGGTATGCATAACCCCGTAGCAATGTGAGCTGCAGAAGCTGCACGCAGGGTCCTGTCTCCCACTGTCAGGCACACTAGTACTGTGCCTTCGCGTACGTCGTCGTGACCAAGGTCAGAAGGTAACTGTACATCCGAGACGCCGTGAACACATCTAAACCATGAGGCAGACTGTCCGGCCAAATTATAGGCCCATGTACCTGCAATAGCGGGCTAGAGCCGACCCACTATTGCCAATATTGACGAGCATACTGGATAGGAGAAGTAGCAAAGATTATTCTGATCATACACAGCAACATGAAAAGACATTCTGGCGAAACAACGTGAAGCTTGCCTTTACATACCAGTCATCAGACGTGAATACCAGATGATACAGAGCAATAGAGGAATCTCAACATTGTAGTACAGATAGAACGTCGCCAAGCCTTAAGCACAAACAGAGTCGCATACATGAAAACCTATACAAAGACGGGAAGAAGAGCAGCACGTCCGCTACAGTCTCAGGGCTCTAGAGCTTGCTGTTGCATATCTCTGAAGCTCTTGACTGTCGATATCAGTCCCTGGATGTTCGCGTCCCATCTGGCAGCACGTATCGCACAATGGCTGCACTCAGTACCCAGACGATACTGCTCTTCTGCCCGCCGAAATACTTCGGCATACTCCATGACACACCCGATGTTTTGGGAGAGAGTGGAGACAACATGCCTGCGAAACAGAGGCCATAAATCGCACTCCGCAATTCCACCTTTATGCAGTACCACAGAGGGCTCTTGGAGAGAGTTCACCCAAACCTTGACCCATTGCTCACGGTAAAGAAGCTGGATTCATCGGTTAGAGATCAGTTAGTCATCTACGGCCAAAATTCCACTCACCCATGAGGCGAGGACTGTAGAATCAAAATTCCTCAGCGCATCAGCAACTGGATATCCGATGCTCTTCGGTGCAACTTCGTTGCATAAGTTCAAGTGTCCATGCCTTGCGGCATACAAGAACACCGCAGTTGGATGAGTGGGGATTGCTGCCCTGCATTAGAACATACATCAGCATTTGACTTGGATCCACTAAAGTAAAACTGAAAATCGAGGATGGGTACATAACAGTCATAGTATCGAACTCACTTCATGAACACCTTGCATATCTCTAACGCGGGAAAGACACGATACTTCTCAGCAGCCTCAGCGAGGCCTGCAATTATTTTAAATGGCTCCCCCTCGAGGTTGGGTTGTGGCTGCCGGTACATGTACTGGAAGAGAAGGTGGAGCGTCTCCGCCGTCTCTGAGAGCTCAACAATCTCTCCGTTCGTCACAAAATCGGCGCCAGGGAAGCCCTCTGAGTGCATCTCGAGGTTTCGCCTGTGAACGTTGAACAGCACTCCGTCTGATGACTTAACAACGAGGTCTGCGTCTGACGCAGAGACTGCTCATAATGCATAGTCACTAGTCAGAACATCGGCGTGAAGATCAAAAGTCGTTAGAAGGCAGACTTACAGCGACCACTCTGACGTAATGCTTTCTGTGCCTGATCAGAGGACATCGGCGGTAGTGAATGTAGTCTACGATACGCTGGAGAAGAAAGACAGAACACGAGGCTCGGGGACGATTCGTGCACGTGATCGTGGATAGACGCGTCGAGGGTGTACCATCAGCCTGAACAAAGAGGGTTAGCAGAGTAACCAACGAGTTCACAAGTTGAAAAAAATAACGGCCGAAGCGAAGCGAAAAGGTACTGAATGAGACAGGGTTGATGAAGTGACGAGGTCACCAGCGCAGTGGAAAGGTGATAACAATGATCTGCAGATGCACGGTCAGAGTCTTCAGACACTTGCCAATTGCGCTCAGAGAGCTAGCCAGGACGGAGCATGCACACTCACCCACTTCTCCTTGTTTCAGCACAACACTCTCACTCCTAAATAGATCTCGAAGGCGCAGAGGTTTCGTCAATGGATCAGACAAGTAAGCCGCCAACACTGGAGAGCCATGAACTCCGCAGAGATACGGTCCATGCACTGCTAACCCTGACCAAAAGTTCAAGTAGACCCGCTGTAAAAAATTTCCGGGCAGAGTCTTAGTGTGTCACTGAATGCACAAATACTAATGAAAAAGTACCTCATTCACCTACGAAAGGTAGGCCAACGCGGTATAGATCGAGGCGATTACTTCAGGCTGAGAAGGTTTACGACCGCTGCCGGAATGCTAGACTGCTCGACTGCTTCCAGCAGTGTGGCGTATGGGAAACATTCCCCCAAACCGGATGAGAACGGACATAATAGCCTAGTGATGTGCTTCCTCGCCAAGCGCGGAGATACTCGAGGAGATACAAGACCAACATGCACAGACGGAGACTGTGGTCTGGTCTTCTCCAGAACATCTGCCGGCAGAGACAGAGTTGACAGATACAGGATGTCTTGCCATGGCAAAACTTCGGCATGATCCTGAAGGCATCGCACGCAATATCACTGAATGGATATATCGGCGAGAACGTTTAAAATTTTGTAGAGAAACTGGTTTAGAGGCGGATCCCGGATAACAAAAGCACGTTGTGAGTAGAAATATAGGAAATGGAGAGGGGCGTAATCGTTCAGCGACAGGAGATATCTATATTTTGCTTTTTTCTACCTGATATGTCAGATCCGTTTGCCAGATTTATAGGGTCTGATAACTAACCTTCATACTATCAGTCAGGATAGGCCAGAACAAAAGCACTTCGAGCAGAGTTGCAAGACTGGCGAGTTTATGGATAATCGACAATTACCGGTAGGATTCTTGAGCCAAGGAGGTAGATACAAACTTGTTACGATGCTATGGCAGTGATGTCTGAAAATTTACTACATACCTGTGAGTAGAAACGGGTGGAGGTTCGACGTATGTGCCCGACCTCGAGGTCGTGAAAATTGTGCCAATGACACGACGTTGCATAGAGTAGGCCCCAGGCCCGGTAATATCGTCTGAGTATACCTAAAAAAAACCAGGAGCAACCCTCTGCGTTCCGACCACCCGTTCTTGTGGCGTAGATGCAGGTGTGAGGATCAGACGATGAATTGCCCTGAGTGTGGATCAACAGTTGAGACGGTCAGCCTAGAAGGGAAGCTCGGATACCATAAAAGACAAGTTTGTGAAAGGCACGTGACCACAATTCTTTACTGAACGCCAGCGGGGTTGCTTTCAAGTACTCAGTACTGTCCTCCAACGAAGTCCTTGTCGTCTCGCTTCTCCATTCCAATTTTTGATGTCATTTATGTCATCCTGGACTAGCTGCCATTGCTGATATTCTGAGGCATTCTCCGCTATGGGCTGTCATTCTTGGGACGCACTTCTAACCACCACTTTTGCGGACGGATTAGCAACCGATCCACTCTCGTGCCCCGTTTACTTCGGCTCGTTATCACATGCTGGAATTCTCCTGAGACAGCGACTATTCCTCTCCACGCGAATGTTCTCATGCGGTCGGACTGGGTCAATCATCATTCACACAGCTTCATGCACATTGGCGATAATCTGGCTAAGCTTGAGAACCGGACGATTTGTACAGCTTTTTTGCAGGTGACGCTTCTAGGTTTCCGCTGTAAGCCGCGAAGAATCGAGCACGTCTGTGGCATGCAGGACCCTCGATGGCTGTACAGCACGCGGTGATGCTCGTATTGTTCAACGTCGCTATCGAGGGCGATTCGCCCGGCCTGCTATCTCGCAATAATACTCATATACACGCTTCTCCCCTCCCCCCCTCTTTCCCCCCGGCGGAGCTAGTTCCTCAACATGGACGAGATTGTATCGCTGCTAGTGCCAGGTATACTAACCCTCTTACCGGTGCGCTCCATTCGCTGCGCAATGCTGGATGCAACTTACAACTAGTTTAACAGCGACTCAACTGACGCCGAACTTGGGTGTTCTTTGAGGCAGCTGCAGCACATAGCGCCAGTTGCACTGTCGCTCCAAGGCGATGCATACCTTGTGGCCTTCTTTCTTCGTATTCCTTGTCGCACTTTCGTCTTGGTTCTTGTGTCTCGACATGGTTTTGGACCCCATACACTTCGTTGGACCATGATTTGCAGTGTTCATGGATAATACCCAATTGGATCACCATGTTCCGAACAGCGAAACTTCCCAATGTGCCTCGCTTGTGCATTGGACTTTGATTGTAGGAGTTTGAATGTGCCCTTGAGGAGAAATATAACGCGATAGACGCCTCATCGTCGTAATGTTCGAATAGTCTGCCTTGTTCGGTATTCTCGCCTCGTACTATCTGTTCTGCAGCGTGCAACGTCCGACATCATTGTCAAGAACTATCCATTGGCAGTTCCTTGGGCACAATCACAGCATCTCGTCACCCAATGTACTCAGATACCTGCATCTTTCTTGAGCCAGTTCTCCGATTTCGAGAGCATGAATGGACGAGATTGTTATCTCTGCCAATGTCGCGCACGCCGACCCTCTGGCCGTCGATTCACACTGTCCATCGCATAACGCTCGATACCTCGCAATCGAGTAGCAAATCCATCCAAGAGCGTTTTGCGCATGCCGTGCGGGCGCTACAGTGCGTGCTACTGGTCGTACTCTCGCTGAAGGTGTGCCGACCCGCTGCTTTTTTCTGGGCGCCCGTTGTCGCGCTCCTTCCCCAGCGCCGGTATCTCGACGAGGTCCCGGAAACCGTACGCATTCGTGACGCAGGACCCGCAGATATTAACTAACGGCTTGTGGGTACTCAATCTCTGCCGCGCATTTATCCTGGTGCGGTCACATTCAGTTTTCTTCTCACAGCGGACTGCTCCTCCCCCAGTTAAGCATTCTTTGTCTCCGCATCTCAATCTTGGATATATGCTTGGTGGTTAATAATGAGATCCGGGATATTATCTCGCCCCATATATCCTCGCTATGGTATGTCACTGTCAGCCCGGCACATGTCGAAGGGAGGCAACCCGACGCTATGTATACGTGATGAAATGTCGAGGTCCGACATCTCTGAGCTGCTCATGGAAATATTATGCGGTGGGTTGTCTTCACATGTACTGTTGAGCTGTTTGTCTCTCCCGGCCTGGGCCTTTGCGATGGGCAGATCCGATGCGTCGTTGCGCACGTCGTGAACAGAACAACCGCTGCATCGTGTCGCATGTGAGTAGGTTGGGCAAAAAGCAGGAGAAAGGGCTGAACATCGAAGGGTAGTACGGGATTATCAACGGGGTGGGAAAATTTGATGGAAACTATTGTCCAAGTAAACATACTGACTATCACTGCAACCGCATATCTCGGACAAAGGAGTTATACGATATCGATAAATCAACTGCCACAAAAAGAGCTCACCGACAGTGATCGGACAGTGATGATGTATGACGAGAACTTCTCGTCAGCTGTCGAGTGTCGGAGACACTCACAGCGCCCCAAAATCGCAGCAAGGTTTGCGCATTTGTGCACTTAACCATTCCCCAAGTTCCATCGGCATTCGCTCAACAGCACAATCAGCGCCAGATCCTACAACCCGCCACCAAGATAACCTCATGTCATAGGGGGCATGGATGTCCGCAAAAGATTGTCTCCAGCCAACCGATACGTACTTCAGCGAAGGAATCAAGTACGTGAGTAGGATCACCATCGTCGACATGGCTGCATCCAATTCAGCAATTTCTGGGCTCGACGGAGGATGCAGGTCTTTCCAGCTGGAAAACTCCCATCTGATGTCAGAACAGTCAATGTATAGTTGAATGCATATGACCTTCAGTGATGCAAGCAGGGGGGAAAACTCTGTGTGATCGAACTTGAAGAGTGTCCGGTGAATTACAAGTGTCGCTCTAATAGTGGAAGACTCACAAGTTGAGAAGAGCACGGCTCATCTTCTTCCGTCATTACGAGTTCCAAGCACCTTGTACTTGGCAAGCTGCTGACAAATTGCGTCCATTCTGCAAAGCCTGTCCGATAGACATGCAGAGTGATCACGGCAGGAGACATGTATTCACGGAGCATAATGGACATATTTTCGGAGCCTTCGGGCCTGTCATAAATGAAGAGCTGGAGTTCCAGCCAATGTACCGGACAAACAAGTGGCCATCGTCGGAGATCGGCTAGCTTTGCACAGACGTGGTCCAAGCGTTGCCAACATGCAGTAGTGATTACTCGAGATGGACTGGAATGTCCGGTAGGACTGTCGAAGACGTTGTCCAGGCTAAGCTTTCGGGCATTAGGAAATGCATGAATGAATGTAGATCTTGATATGCTCATTTGGTGTAGGTTAAGGTGACGCACGGCAGGCCACCGTAGCCCCGAATCGATGCTACCCCAGGGCGGAGGAGGTTCAGACAAGCAACCAGACAACTCGAGCACTTCGACCTGTTGCAGATGGGAAAGACTAGGCAGTATGTCACTGATTGCCAAGCCGGCGCGGACAATGAGCGACAACCTACGTAGCCCGCAGCTACAATTATTGAGCGATTGGACATCATTCAGTCCCAATCCCTTCGAGTCGGACGTCCACAAGGTCAGGAAGAGCAGAAATAGCAGCCTGGATACGTGGTTCCCAGCGCATGATGGACTCCGTTAGAGGTAGTGCCAGCGTTCGCAGGTGACCCAAGTGAATATGCTCTAGAACATCTGCCAACAGAGGAAGAACCGATCTATTCAGGTGCTCTTCCTCCCACATTTCCAAGTTGATCTCGAAATGCCGTATGTGACATAACCGGTTGGGCACATCGGCGAGAAGATATCCGCAAAACCTCTCGAAACGTACAGTATTGTAGAGGGAAATCGTCACTGAAGAGATAGCACGACAAATGGCTTGATCCTGTAGTACTCGAGTCGTGGAGGATAGCGAGAGTGCGTCGCGTGAGGAGAGGTAAGATATAACCAACCGGAGGACGTCGTCGTTCAGAGACAGGAGATTACGACACGGTCGCTTCTCTAGATCTTGCACCATTAGACTGGAACTGCTTTGTAATCTAGACCGTATGAGATGCACTCAGACACAGCTTACCCATCAGAACGAGTAAAAGCACCTTTGCTAGGACTTCAAGAGTTGCAAAATCACTAAATCCGAATTCTTGCAACTAGTCACGACGGGATTCCACCGGGAACAGTTTGGTATAAGTATCGATTCACTCACGACATCCGACAGGAGTACATACCAGACAGTAGTGCTTCACTCAGTGTGGCTGTGCGGCGGTAGGTCTCATCGAATCAGTGGCTGGTTGAAGTTGAACGTATCCCAGGCCGCCACGGGCGCTTCCGAGTCGATTCCCGACGCGACGGCGGCGAGTCGAATGGTACTGCACCGCACCCAAGGTGGCAACGACAACAGAGGTAACAGGCCGCCACTGCAGTTAACCAGTGTTTATACGAATCATGTAAGCTAACGTCTGATTGTCAGATAAGCAGCAAGGCCAAAATTGAGTGCAGGGGGTCAAGAGGCACACGGCTAGTATATGTATCAGAATTAGAATGCGCTCGCATGTGCTTGCACGAGCAAGGGTCGTACAAAGGATGGAGGGTGGAGAGAGCACGCATAGAAAATCGCACTTACCTATATTCAAGTATGTTCAGCATGCTCAGTTCCATCCAATACTGAATGCATAAGACGAATGTCACAAAATACCAAATACATATCAATTCAATGCACTAGAATTTAGCCCGCCACGGTGCACTTGTGGCTAGTATCCACCCACCTTGCCAGATCCCTCGGACGCCTTCAAATTAGCCACCGATTTCACCTCCGTAAGCTTGTTCGGCACCGTAAGATTGTCCGCAACGGGCACATTCTCCTCATAGAGCACGAACCACGGGAGTCTGAGCTTGTTATACGTGGCACTGCTGATGGGCGTCTCGGGGGGCGGGAGGCCCGTTGCTGCGGCGAAGTACGACGAGTTCAGAATCCCGACGCGCACGCGCACGCCGCGCGAACGGTCATACGCGGACGCGGGAAGGCTGTCTTTGACAATCTTCTGCGTGATACGCCCGCCGGCAGCGAGGCCTGAAGCCGCTTGGGCCGCGGGACGTATCTTTCCGCGAGGTCGCCAGAGGCCTCCGAAAGTTTCAGCTTCCAGTTCGATGGTGCATCCCGGCACGATGCCGTAGTCTGCAGGAAGGAATGGAATATGTAAGCACCAGTTGCTCACTATATGATGAACTATCCTACCGCTGATGTAGTCCTCATCCTTGAGCGCTCGTCCCTTGTAACTCAGTCGCTGTTTGCTGGGCGCTACCATCTGGCTCTCTCTGAGAGCCAGTTTAATGGCGTAAACGTTGTTGACGGACGGGAACGACATCGTGACCGTTTCATCCGAGGGCATGATGTGGACTGATAGCTCTGAGAGTGATGTCAACGAGTGTTTGCAGCATCTGGAGATGAAGGACACTGACTTGCGTTGAAGTCATATGTGGCATAGGCCACGATCCGCACCATGGGCGCCATGACTGTCATAGTGCTCCGTGTTTTGCCCAGTATCCTCGGTGTTTCGTCCTCGTCCCTGCGAGGAATACCTTATAAGTCGCCAATGCAAAACAGCGCAGAAGTCACACTCACTGTTGGCGATCTGTAAAAGTTAAGGTATCGCCCGCAACGAGACCCAGCTCTCGCGGGGTCTTGTAGAAATCGAGGTCTCCGTTGCGATGGAAATCAACCGTTGTGGGAAAGGTGGGGAAGACCTCCATTTGCAGGCCTCCGACGGTCTGTTGATGTTGGCCAGTGAGGTTCAATTTGTCAGCGTAAATACTGCGGTCACGAACCTCTGTTCCAGTTATCTGCCCCTCCACCGTGAGCCCTTTCCCAAGGGACATTGCGACAAATTCTGCACAACGGATGAACCATACAATAGCACGGATGTTGGGATTATGCACTCACGACGAACAACTCCAGGCGCTGTGGACACACCATCCTAGGACGACGTTGAGCATATGAGCAAGGAAGCATAACGAAAAAGGGAGAGTTCTTACGATCCAGCTAGACGAGTGTTTACATCAACGAACCTCTCAGACAGTATGCGAAACATCACGTACCTCTGGCCACCCTCCGGCTTGATCGCCAAATAATCCTGTGTGCCCACCGACGGCGCATCCATGGGCAGGCCCGTCAGGGCATTGACGCCACCCACAGATATCTTGACCGCTGCCGTACGGCTATATCCAGTGTCGAACGATATCCACATCGCCTCACGCTGGTAGAGGGTCTGCGCAGGCGCCACGTTAGAGGCAAGAGTACAAACAAATGAATTACTGACGATAAAAATGTCACTATCGGACGCGATGGACGCAGGAAGACGATCCTTGTATTCTGCCGTGTTACTTGGAGTCCCATGGTAAGTCTGTGGAGGGCACGGAGAATTCATGACTCACTAGATGGGGAATAGACCCATGGAGGGAGGCAATAAATTCATGCTGTTATTATCTAACAAGGAGCTCAATAACGATCACGAGAATGGAGAGATGCCACTTCCTTACCTGGAACACGGACTGTTCTGAATACAAAAGCATCAATTTGTAGGAACAAACAGGTATACGAATGAAATGACGAACCTGTGGAAGTTGATGTCGACGCCATAAATCTCCAACATGTGCGCATTGGCAGTGTATCCTGGAGTGCTAGACGCGGCCACTGCAGAACCTGCCGTCCCACAGCCAGTAGGAGAAACAGTTGGCAGAAAACACTGATTGTAGTAATGAAGTAACGGTTCGTTGCTTGGATACCTTCAGCACAGGTCACAGCACCGCACAGACTAACTCACATATTGACTGCGCCACCCACTCCACGCTCGAAGGTTGAAGGGCCATCCACGACGGTGAGCGGATATTCCTCCTTGAGGACGAGTATGGCCTCGGGAGGTTTCAGACCTGATCAACGATGAGCAGCTGAGTGAATTCAGCAGTAGGCCACTTACCCTTTGCCTCGAATCCGCTGCACAACGTTTCGTACGACAGCGGGATGGGCACATCGTGTAGGGTGAGGTGGCGCACCCCGTCTGCCTCTTGGTAGTCGACCTCGACGGTAATGCGTCTTTCCGTCCCACTACCTTTAGGCTCGGGAGGATGAGCTTTGAAATGGTTAGCCATAATTCTGAGGAGTCTCGAGAGTATTGTTGTGGTATGGAAGAAAGAGAGCATAGCCGACGAAATTGGCGATTAATAATGGGAGGATGCGCCACATACGCCACAGACAGTGGATTTTATACCCGTCGCGTCGTGGATACCGGACGCACAACGCACACCCTACGACGTATTTATAAGGACAACTCGCCAGAATTAAGTAGCTTGTTAAACACATACTGTGCGCTTCCATGGCAGAAGTAGCTCTTTATCCCGTCCCCTCGCATGCAAGAGATCGTCACTTGGGCACGATATCCAAGTACAGGTGTACTTGGTGACGTACCGGATCCCTGCGACTCATATCTGGCTTCTTTTCCGCATATCCAGATGCAGTTTCGGCAGCGTCCAAAGCGTAGAAGGGACCCTGAAGCGGAGGAACATGGAACATGTGTGTGTAATTACGAGTGTCCGAGCGCCCAGTTAAAATCAGTTTTGGTCGCCTCAAGTCCACCGCCTCGACACACGCCCTACGCACGACCCTGCACGAGTATTCGGGGCCGCTCGCCTGCAGGAAGGTACATAGCCCTTCACACACTTCAGCGCCCATTGGCAAATTAGAGGCAATAATATAGATTTCGACTGGTGAGATAAAAACAATAGTGATTATGATAGTCGAATCCGAGTCGGCACCGAACGACAGATCACGATCACGTGCTACACTCAGACGCGCTCGACGCACGCACAAACTCTAATTAGATCTTAGAGTTCACACATGAACCCCGCAGAGAAATATCAGATTCAGCATATATAGAATACATTCTCAGATTTACAGCCGTACACACTTCCTAATATGAGATATACAGAGACCAACGAAGCAAGCCGGAGTCATATACGCGACCGAATCCAGGATGCCTGACCGAAGTACCGATCCGTTTCATCCACCAGTGGAGAACCACGGCGCACGAGACGAGAGCAGCTAAGTGCTCAGGGAGACGCTGTAGCTGTTTGTGAGGAGCTCAGCGGAGCCTGTAAAGGGCTCGGTGCCGGTCTCGATGCCTTGCAAGTACTGTGCGGATACGCGTCAGTCATCACGACTAGGGAATGAGCTGTAAGATTGTACCCACCAGAGAGGACGACACGCCGTAGTTCTCAATGATATACTCTGCGAATGACCAGTAAGTCAGCAGTCACTACAGTCAAACGCGAGGTTGTGAGCTTACGGAAGAATGTATTCAGGTCCGTGCTGAAGCTGGTGAGGTTCCCACTGGCGCTGACGAAGGAGATCGTCTCCCAGTTGGAGTTAGGGCCCTCCCAAACGTTCCAGGAGTAGCCGGCGAGAGAGACGCCGCTCTTGCTGAGCGATCCGACGGGTTGGATACTAGGCAGAGGTCACGCGTGAGTGTGTGGGACATTCTTTACTGCCCTGGCTGCTACTCACCCGCCGAGACCAGAGAGCCAGATCATGCTAGAATGGAAGAACAACAAGCATCAGCGAAGCACGCGACTGAAGTCAACACGCTTCCTCACATCTCATACGAAGAACTGGAAGACGCCTGCGCTCCATTAGCGGTGGTGCCAATCCAGATGTCGTAGCTAGCGGAGCCGTCAGCGCTGATTCTTCGGGACCGCCATGTGCAGGGGTCACTCACGATACATCGGCACGAATTCCGGAAGACTCCGTGACATACTCCCAGTCCCATGAGGTCGGGACGGACGTGATGGCGCTAAGCTGCAGGAACAGTACCATACCTCAGCACAAGTCGAGATCCCCGACATTTGGACGTACCAGTACGCCTTTCGCGGTGGTGGACTCGACGTTGGTGTCTGTGGCGCACCAGCATCAGCGAGCGCATACGTGAACGATTACAGTGAGCTTACAGGTCTTCACGTCGTTCGGGTTATTCGCCCACGTCCAAGTGGTAGACCACGAGATAGTATTCCCGGATGTGCTGATGAGCGTCGCGTTCTGCGAGCCCGTGCCGTCCGCTGCGCGCCACGTAGTTCCGTCAGCGCGCACACAAAGACAGAGCTTATGGCGCACTCACAGATACCCCACTGGTTGTTGCACAGCTGGTAGTTGCCGCCGGTCACGCAGTCGTACTGGCCGGTAATGGTCGTGCTTGCGCGCGCCATAGCCGCGAGGGCAGAAACAAAGACGAGAGACAAAATCATTTTCCGAGCTCAGTAGACAGAGATACGAGAGGAGAGCGGTGTGTGGATGAACCTGAGGACTACTTGCAGCTTGGTAGGCGTTTTATACCCCTCGCAACATTTCAAATGCAAAAAATGAACAATGACCCAGCAGCCCGGCCGCGCCATAGATACTGCCCACAAACACACGAGGCGTGCAGTTCTTCCGCAGCCAAGAAACAAACCACGACCTTTCTCAACTGTGGACAAAGACCCTGTGGCGCGCCAGTGGCGCAACTATGTTGACCAAGACCGCCGTGCTGTCACATGGCGAGAGGGAGTGAACCATCATCGCAGGCCCTTGTGGCACCTCCAGCGCAAATTCGCATGGCGCATGATGCATGACCAGACACACCGACTTTTTCGAAGTCTCTTCGCAACCGCATATTAATCAAACGCAGATCAGACACGCGGGCCAGAACGCGCACAACAAGCATTCTGCATTGGCAGCCAGATCAGCTGCAGTACTCGCCATCGTTTGCAAAGGTGGTTCTGCCCGAGAATGCACAGACGAATATCCGAGCGACCTGCATGATAGGCTCGCCTTGCGGGACAAGTGACTGTCTTTTGCTGACTTCACCAGGGGAGTGGGTGCAACTGCCAGGTACTCGAACTCGGATCAGAGAGCGGCAGCTACACAAAGACTCCAGAACGACGCCGACCGCACCCCAAACAATGGAGACTGGAAAATTGCGTTGAAAAACAAAGGAATACAGCTGCTCGGCGCAGGATGGAGAAAAACTTACACCGGCAAAGACCGAAGGAGAGGCTGTGATGACGGCGCTTGCCGATTATGCAATGGTGGACGACGCGTTGTGTACGCGTTGTTTGCTCGGCGGTAAGTAGGCTCCAACTGCAGGCTCTGCATTGGCAGCCCACTACTATCTATTTCGCCATCAGGCCTGGAAGCGCCATCGCATTTTATACAGCTCGTTTTTCTTGTCTGATTGCTTCAAAACTGCAAAGCATGTTGTACCTCTGCTTGTAACACAGTAAAAGTCCGGAAAGTACGCGTGGTCAAATTACTTCCGAGAAAAGTCGAGAGTGCAGAGCCTGCAATAAAAATCATCAACTGTACTGTACATGCTACAGAAGATGATTTCCCAATGCCGAACATAAACGGGCCATAGAGCGAGCGGCACATCCGGGTCACTGATAGCACAAGTCAACAATAATATATATCGTCCCGACATTCGAGCACCCTACGTCAAGTTATGATCAAAGGTATGTCGAACCTCAAAAAAGTCCGAATTTTTAATGCACAGCAGTAGATACAGAAGCAAACACTGTACATCTATGGAACATCAGTACGAGAAGGCGGATCGTGGCGCGCGTGAAAGAAGCAAAGCAATTAGAAGGGTAAGGAAGATGAATCGCGAGGAAAGTCAACCTCTGCGTGAAACCTGATACATATGTGGATGAACGACTACCGACCTGCGGATGCCGTAATTAGCGTTCGGTGAGCGAACGGAGTATAAGTAAGGGCATGCGAAGATTCGTGAAGATAAATGCTAATGGATGTATCAACGATCTGCGAAGTGACTTTTCAGTATTGCATTACACCAGCAAGCAGGAGACGACGCACTATTAGGGTGTGAATAGACCATAGGGTAGGCTTGCTGTGCATAGCACAATGAAACGAGCCAAAAACAGGCAGCAGGATGGGTACGACGACGACATCAAACATAAGGTTCAAAGCAAAGCAAAGCATAGCACGGGAGAGCCCAAGCCTCCGCGACGTCCTAGTTCTCCTTTATCGCATTCTGGTCCCATAAGCACCCTTCGCCCTCGATAGGACTCGGGTAGTCCAACTGCATTTTCCTCATGCCAAGATCAGACGCCGCACTCGCGTTTCCAAGGGCGGGATATCCGGGCGATGATGGGAGCGCGTAGTCAGAGTCACAGGGAGATGACGGAACCACGGCCAGTGTGGAGGAATAAGGTACTGGTGACGCATTGTCCATCGTATGCACACGACGCTGGAGTGGCCGGCGCGGGGTCGTGGGCGCTTGCAAGTGCGATTGGGGGAGCGGAAGCGCAGGAAGGGGCGCGGTTGGTGGTGGTGGTGCGGGAGGTGCATTGCGGCGGAGCGTACGGCGGGGTCTGTCATGGTTCACCAAAAGGTGTGAGTCTCCGATACCCAAGCAAAAATCAAAGTGATCACCTCAACGCGGTACCAACACTGCCGCTCCGTAGCCGACGAATGACACTCATCTCTTCGACGACGGACTCACCGCGAGAGTGCATGGAGAACGTGCTCGCATCGCTTCCGGATCTCGAACGGCCAGCGATCAGAGACTGCCTCTGCACAGATGCAGCCGCAGTGCGGTGTGCAGTAGTGGACTTGATGGTAGCGAGGGGCGAAGTTGAAGCGGTAAGCGACGAGCGCCGACGGCGAAGGCGCCGCCCGTGGTCATGGGTCGGCGCCGACTCTGTCAGGCTGATAGATGGGAGCAGTGTGGGCTCAGGACCGGGCGCATTTGTGCCCGGGAGAGCGGTGGGAGTGATCTCGTGGTCGAAGTTGAGGTAGGTCTGGCGAGGTGTCGACGGCGAGGACGGCTGCGGAGTGTGAGGCTGCGGAGCAAGGAGACCCGACGAGAAGAATGACGAGTAGAAAGTCGCCATCGCGGTGGAGAGCAGAGCAAGACGAAGAATATATACGCGTCGCCTGAGGATCGAAATTTACTCAGATTCTCGAAGGGGGGTAACAATACTGGCGACGTCGGAGCAGTGAAGACTTGTTGTCAGATAGAAGAAATTAAAAACAATTTGCTGGGAAGACAACAGAGATTGGAGAAAAATTGAATGAGACCGCGTTGGCTTTTCAACTCGGCGTTTCGGCTGTGCCGCAATCGCCAAACAACGCGTAAACAACTCATTTCAGCCACATGGCCGTCGCTTTTATTTAATTGGCCACTGGTATTTCAAGGCCTCTACAAGCTTCATCTTCAACCTCCACCCACATGCACTTCAACCGGTACCGCGAACTGATTTGATATCTTCGAGAGGACACACATCGGTGAGAATCATTTCCGTCGTCCTGCTAGAATGACTTGGTGTTCATCCCTTCATTAGGCAATCATTTCGTCGGGTGGCCTCGCAGCCACCAGTGAGTTTCACACAACTGAAGACGGCCATGCAGGTCTACGACCTCAACCACGATGTTCTTAACGCGATTCTGGGTTGGGTAGCGCAAATTGATATGCTACACCTTGCCGAGACGTGTCGCCAGGCCTACGACGTCTTCATGCCTCGCTTTATTTCTAACGTCACCTTCCTCTCAGGTCCTGCAGGGAAAAAGTCATTATCTTTGCCATCCATACCTAGCCGTTCCTACTTGATCCCATTCTCCGTGGCCCGCGTGGCCCAAGAATCCCCTCGAAACAGCGCTCTCCAAGTGGCCCATTTTTGCACGTTCGTCCTCCGAGGAAATAAGGAGCGATGCCGCTCATTGTGGATGAAGGAACTGACCATTTGTTATAAAGTATTTGACTCAAAATGGTGCAGCCGCTACAGCCTTCACTTGCTCTCCGACGTGTTGATACACGCGGCGAACCTCACCAAGCTCACTATCTGCAATGTGGAAGACCTAGTGCAGCTCCATAGACCTCTCGCCTCGGTTTTAGCTGCGTTGCCTCTGCTCAACGATATCACCTTCAATGGAGTCCGATCCCGGATGCTGGGAGTTCTATCTAAAATGACTTCCCGCCCTCGCCGCCTACGGCTGGACTGCTGCTTAGGCCCTACCAAGCAGTTCCTTCAGCATTTTAATGGAACTCTGGAGGTGCTCTCTCTCTGCCAAATCTCAGAACACCTACTCGACATGCTCTTTGCCAGTGAGTGGGAATCGGTGCGCGAGCTTTCCTTAAGCCTGTGCGCTGTCGACCTAGATCTCGCGTCGCGTGCATTTTCCCATGTGCGCGTAGTTTCCTTGGGGCCCAACATGTTTTACCATGCTTCCGAAGATCTGGTTTACTGGAAGACCCTGGATCGCCTTGTCCTTCCTAGCCTACGAGAGACACATCCCTTGGGCCCTGTCCGCCGAGTCGATGTCTTAAGTTGCTTCGACTATCTGGAGGGTCCGGATACGAAAGATCCTGTGACATTGCTGACGCAGCTGTCCCCAGTAGTCTTCTGCTGTCGTGTGTGGCGGTCGTCCTTGAGCTTCTATCCTGTCCTTGCAAAGACGTTGCACAGCTTGAGGTATCTCGACCTCACCATTAAGACAGAGGGAAAACAATATTGGGACAATGTAGATGGCCCCAGTGAAGAGAAATTGCTGGAGCATGTGGTGCGTAACTCGAATCTGCTTCAAACATGTCGGCGCTGACCAAACTCTTGCAGAGGGCCCATGTCGATCGTGTCTGTAGTTGCAGGTTTGCGCTCACTGGCATGCGCATCCGGGTCGATGCCTGGGATTGTGAGCGAGTCACTGCGGATGTGCTCCTGCGCATGGCACTGCATGCTGCCAGGATTCTGATATCGCTCAACTACATCGGCGTAGGCGGCATATCAACAAACTGGGCGACGTGGTACCGCGTTTGGTCTCACGATGGTGAACAACCCGTCCTAGAGGCACTTCCTGCTCGCGATGCAGTCAAAGTCGAGCGGGAGCTCCTCGACACGCAACGTTCGTGAATTCCTGGTTTTGTGATCTAGATCTCGTCGATGTCTTCTTATTCTGCGGCCGGGACTTCATTCTTCGCGTTATGCCTCTCTTTCTTGCGCGTTCCTCTCCTGGCGACTGGACGGTGCTCCTCGTTGTCTCTTCATACCTAGTTACTCGCGATCTCATGAGTCGGCCCCGCTAATTGCAATTATATTTATTTGGCCGATCTTATGTTTGATAATGTGAGGGAATGAGTATGTATGCTGTGCTTCCGCCTCGTTCTGTTCTTTCTGATGTTTGACGGCGCAAGGTGTAGACAGTATTCTCGTCGTCTCAAGACCTCGTTGCTACTCGGAGGGATGAAACTATTGGATAATAGACGTGTCGTTTTGTCCTGCTTTGAAGCATCCATGCGATTTGTGTAATGTAAGCGTCGAGTCGCACTTCGTGCACGCCATCCTAAGGCTCAAGTTCGCACAATATATCGGATCTGCGACATATTGCACTACGCTACGTATACCACAGGACACATAGCCCCTTTTTTCCACTGGAAATAATCGGGAAAAACCTGTGGAAATCAAAAAAGTGTTTCCATGGAAAATGCAATGGGAAATGTTGGGGAAAAGAACAAAACATTTACCATCACATTTCTCATGGAAACACTTTTTTGATTTCCACAAGTTTTTCCCGATTATTTCCAGTGGAAAAAAGGGGCTATGCGTCCTGTGTACCCTTCATGTGATTTTGCAGATTTTTCAGTGTTAGTATTCTGTCACCAGACAGCTGATCGAGCTAGTGATACCCAAATTCAATTATTCATTACCTAGCTACGGACTGCGATAGTTACAGTGCTGTTCCAAGAGTCCCTTACGATCCTAAGATTAAGTATTACACCGCATTTCATACCGAAGATCTGCCATATATTGGAGATGGAGTGCGGATCATCGTCTCCGATAAGCATAGCCTTGCGCACACTGCTATGCATTTGCCAGAGACCAGAGATATCGAGAACTCATATGCGGCTGGCGGGAGAGATGAAGCGCAATATTTCATCTAAGGAAACTTCCGACCTGTTCCCTTATGTACTGCGCCATCAGTATCAGCCGCAATCGTCAGCGAGCCTCTTCGCCAGTTCTCCAACTGAGCCTTGATTCTGGGCAGACCTATCAATTCACAAATTAACTGTGAGACTCGGAGCTCCGATGCCATGAACCCCAAAATAGGCCCGCCTCAATCAACCAGCTACCCTTCGCCGTCGACAATGGCATCGGACATGGCAAACGACAAGGACAAATTCACTCTAAACTGCCTTTTGGAATGCCAAGAGTCGCCCATCAGAGTCAAGGCTACGGAGAACTTACAGGTTATTGACTTGCAGAAGCTCGTTTGGCAGAAGTTGGCGAATGCGCTTGCAGGTGTTGATTCTAACAAACTGGCGCTCTGGAAGGTTTGTCCTCTTGCTGATTGTCTCAGCCGTGTCTTGATCCCACATCTAGCTTGAGCGACCAATTCCTAAAAATGAATTCAAAGCATTCGCGAATGACCTGCCGATGAAGGACATCAAGACAATTGCGATGAAGCTCGGGCCTTTCGACCGTATTTCAACATTATTCACGGTGCTGCCTGATGATACCTGCCTACACATCGTGGTGGTTCCCGCTGACAGTAAGCTTCACCATACCGAGCTCATTCGTAACGCTGGTTCTGAACACAGGGAATGTCTCGTAGAGAAGCGACCTAGAGAGGAGGATACAGATACATCTGTTATTACGAAACATTCAAAAGTTGTTGAAGGTGTGTCTTTGCCAAGAGTACTCAGCCGGAGAATGCCGAGACCATGGGTTAGAGAGGGAGGGGTGGTCCTGGGGTCCTAAATTGTGTTTTGATGGTGACAACTCAGAATACTCAGAAAAGGCTTTTCGTGCTCTATCACCACTTCAAATGCTTCAGAATTGTCCACAGTGTTCATAGCAAGGCTTAGTGACTGTGGATCCCTCAAGTGGGCTGCAGGGTTTACTTATGGTTGAGGATATACAGGCTGCCATGTGAGCATTGAACTAGTGAGTATCTCTGCATGCACTGGGGCAATTTATTGCAGCACCATTTCAGCTGAATCAATATGCACATGGCACTACTGATTCTGACTGGTTCTGTGATGAGACTTACATTGAAGGAAAATGCTGGGTGATTTATGAGTGCAGATACAAAATTATATTAAATCTATATCTATTTTCCATGAGAACAATATTCCATATAAGGGTGTAAACCTGCCAAATATGGCAGGAAAAGGGAGGGAGGGGTCCCCCCGGGACCCTTATCTGACTTCTTCGACCTGTGGTAAGGAATTGACTTTACGCCACCCTCTTGGTCTTTGCATGCGCAGAAGTTCATTCACTGCCACATGTCGTCTCCCCCAGATAATGAGCGGGCCATCATGGCCATAAAGACAAAACTCCCCCTGCTGTCGACTTGGGGTACGCACGGGCCTTGGCCGGAGGAGCTTTTGTATTGTGAGGTTGATCACTACTACTCACTCGGCTGTTAGGCCATGGGTCACAAGCGCATGAGGGGCTCATGCGGTTGGGGCCATATATTTATGCTACACAGTAATTCTAGGAGATTCCAGTATGTTCTCCGACATACCTATGTGCTGACTAATATATGTTTCCTGATTGGGAAACCACCAGCCCTAACACTCCCCCTCAATCTGGAAACACCTTACTGTGCTCCCCCCTCAATCCTGGCATCTCCCATGCCATCCAATATATTTTTCCTTTTGACCCTGAATACCCCAAATGTTGTGGGAGCCCTATGCTCGTGACAAGAGAGCCAATGCTACCATCTCGCCAGATCCTTCGACCACGACAACAGAGCCGATGCTCCAGTATTCCCACAGATCCTTCCAATTCGGGAACTCTGTCCCTCGTCCGCGACACACGCGTAACGTTCGGCTCGCCATTTGCACACTGTCTTCAGTTGCACCTGGCTCCAAGGGTTCTCTGCACACTATACTAAATGCCAGTATACCCTGCCGCCATGCTTCACCAACTCCGGCAGTGGTGACCCTGCCTAGTTGCGAAGACTTTCGACTTGACCTGCTCGCGGGGTCCTACCCGTATCACGGTACAGTCTCCTACGCGCCTACGGCCTCGGTGACCTTTCGCGGTACACTCTGTTACCAGATCGGGCCGTATACAAACTATCCCCCGCGGCGTGAATAGTAGGTATGCGCTTGTATTGTGAGGTTGATCACTACTACTCACTCGGCTGTTAGGCCATGGGTCACAAGCGCATGAGGGGCTCATGCGGTTGGGGCCATATATTTATGCTACACAGTAATTCTAGGAGATTCCAGTATGTTCTCCGACATACCTATGTGCTGACTAATATATGTTTCCTGATTGGGAAACCACCAGCCCTAACATTTTGACTCCCGGTCAAGTGAGTGGTACTTCGCTGTGGTTCACCGGGCGTGGCAAACGGGAAAGTACGCTGAGCTATCACAGTTGTTTGGTGATATCAAATTTATGATAATGGGTTAGAGACGCCTGAGCTATACGTGTGATTTGTTGTCTGAAGTCGGGATGGTAGTCTGTACAATACAGACGGGGGAATGTAGAGGGGGATGCCTAGCAACTGTGTGCAAGGGCTTGCATTCTGTCTTCTTATACGATGCTGAGTCTTCTGTGTTCTCTAATCCGTGTGCCTACAACCATGTGCAGGGCTTACCGAGTCATCGTTGTCTTCTTAACAGTGTGCCTACAACCGTGTGCAGGGCTTACCAATTCTTCATTGTCTTCTTAACAGTGTGCCTACAACTGTGTGCAGGGCTTTACTGAGTGCGTGTGTCCTAATACGATGTGCCTGGCCGATAATTTTCCTATGTGTTGTCTGAGAACTTTCTGAGAATGGGTTGAGTATCTAGCAACCGTGTGCTAGACTACCCAACAGAAACGATACGAGAGTGCAGTAGTTGTGTTTGTAACAACTCACTGCCTGCGCTGAACTGACTTCGTCGGGATTCTTTTGATTATGAGTAACAATGTTACTGGGAGGAGTGGAACAAACTCCTATTCTTTTAGTTTATCACTTTGTAGGGTAAGCTACAAGCAGAGGGAGAACTCTTCACTTATAGGGGTGCTACAAGTGGGGAGAGAAGACTGTGAGTCGGGGCACCTCGGGGGTCCTTTTATACCCCTCGGGTGTCACCCATTGTGACCGTTACATAGTAGTGTTACATGGCAGATTGGCCAATAGCAAAATAAGAGCATCACATGATCAAAGGGGAAAGTAGGAAGGAAAAATATCTTAGGACCTTCATGTCCAATAGCATAAAGTGAGCAGGGAGAAACAGGGAAGACAAAACTCTTGGGACCTCCATGTCCAATAGCATAAAGCGAGCAGGGAGAAGTAGGGAGAAAGCACTTTCCGAGTTTTTTCCCATCCAATAGCATAATGTGAGCATCAGGTGGCACGCTCGGCCAAATGTTCTCGGGTTCCATCTTAGTCACGTGACTTCTTCATCGAGCACTTCACCGGTAGTTATGTGTTCACAAGCCAAACACTTTTGGTGCATGACACTGCTGTCCATGGGTGCCAAGGCATCAGAGTTTCGTAAACTGCAGGCCGATTCTGAGACTCGGATCAAAAATGGCGGCCCTTTAGACTGCACTGGCCCTCCTGTCTCCATCTACCACCCTGTTTTCGCTGAATTTCTGGATCATGCCGCAGATCCCAGTATCATTCTGTCTGCAAACGTCTTGAAAGCAACGCACGAAATCTTTCAGTATTTGTCAGAGTTCTATGCGGATGAGCTAGTGCGGCAGAACAAACAGCCCATTCAGTCATGTTTGTGAACTGGACTCCCATTTACCCTGACATTGTCATGAACTGGACAGCCAGCGGACGTCGGCCCATCGGTCTGTGTAAGGAGCTGTCAGCGATCGGCTCATGGCGATGAAGGGAATGCTAGAGCGATAGGCCCACCGCCATAGGAGTATTTCTGAGCGATCGGCCCACCACCATGATACAACTATTATACAGGCATAGGCCCACCGCCGCGGTGATAGTTCTGAGCGATGGGCCCACCGCCATAGGTGTATTTTTGAGCGATCGGCCCACTGCCACGGGGCTATTATACAGCCATCGGCCCACCGCCATAGGTAGTGTTCTGAGCAATCGGCCCACCGCCACGGGGCTATTACACAGCCATTGGCCCACCGCCATAGGTAGTGTTCTGAGCGATCGGCCCACTGCCACTAGGGCTATTACACAGCCGTTGGCCCACCGCCATAGGTAGTGTTCTGAGCGATCGGCCCACCACCATAGGGATATTTCTGAGCGATCAGCCCACCGCCACGGGGCTATTGTACAGCCATCGGCCCACCGCCATTGGAGCTGTTCTGAGCCATCGGCCGACTGCCATAGGTAGTGTTCTGAGCGATCGGCCCATCGCCACGGTGCTATTATACAGCCATCGGCCCACCGCCACCGTGGTAGTACTGAGCGATGGGCCGACCACCATAGGTAGTGTTCTGAGTGATCGGCCCACCGCCACTGGGGCTATTATAGAGCCATCGGCCCACCGCCATATGTAGTGTTCTGAGCGATCGGCCTACCGCCATAGGTATATGTCTGAGCGATCGGCCCACCGCCACGGGGCTATTATACAGCCATCGGCCCACCGCCACCATGGTAGTACTGAGCGATGGGCCGACCACCATAGGTAGTGTTCTGAGTGATCAGCCCACCACCACTGGGGCTATTATAGAGCCGTCGGCCCACCGCCATATGTAGTGTTCTGAGCGATCGGCCTACCGCCATAGGTATATTTCTGAGCGATCGGCCCACCGCCACGGTGCTATTATACAGCCATCGGCCCACCGCCATAGGTAGTGTTCTGAGCGGTGGGCCGACCACCATAGGTAGTGTTCTGAGCGATGGGCCCACCACCATAGGTAGTGTTCTGAGCGATGGGCCCACCACCATAGGTAGTGTTCTGAGCGATCGGCCCACCGCCATAGGTAGTGTTCTGAGCAATCGGCCCACCACCACGGTGCTATTATACAGCCATCGGCCCACCGCCATAGGTAGTGTTCTGAGCGGTGGGCCGACCGCCATAGGCAGTGTTCTGAGCGATGGGCCCACCGCCATAGGTATATTTCTGAGCGATCGGCCCACTGCCACCGTGCTATTATACAGCCATCGGCCCACTGCCATTGGAGCTGTTCTGAGCCATCGGCCGACTGTCATAGGTAGTGTTCTGAGCGATCGGCCCACCACCATAGGTAGTGTTCTGAGCGATCGGCCGACCTCCATAGGTAGTGTTCTGAGCGATCGGCCACGGTGCTATTATACAGCCATTGGCCCACCGCCATAGGTAGTGTTCTGAGCGGTGGGCCGACCGCCATAGGTAGTGTTCTGAGCGATGGGCCCACCGCCATAGGTAGTGTTCTGAGCGATGGGCCCACCGCCATAGGTAGTGTTCTGAGCGATCGGCCCACCACCACGGTGCTATTATACAGCCATTGGCCCACCGCCATAGGTAGTGTTCTGAGCGGTGGGCTGACCTCCATAGGTAGTGTTCTGAGCGATGGGCCCACCGCCATAGGTATATTTCTGAGCGATCAGCCCACCGCCACGGTGCTATTATACAGCCATCGGCACAACCCCATAGGTAGGGTTCTGAGCGATGGGCCGACCTCCATAGGTAGTGTTCTGAGCGATCGGCCCACCACCACGGGGCTATTATACAGCCATCGGCCCACCGCCATAGGTATATTTCTGAGCCCATAAGCATGGGTTGCCTGAAATATCTGACTAGCCTGGGCATAGCTGAGTTATTTGCCTTGCCCTAGGTTGTCAACTGGGCTCGTATCGTGTCCGTGTCGTCTTGGTGAAGCATGGGTGAGTGAAGGAACATACCAAATGATTCGTCAGGGAGTAGCATAGGTGGATGTATGAAACATGGAGATTGGTCGGGGGGAAGCATGGGCGGATGTATGAAACGTGGAGATTGGTCAGGGGGAAGCATGGGCGGATGCCACACCTGGTTGCCCGAGCCAAGAAGTAGACCATACGAAGTGAACGGATTGTACCCGAAGTCAACCGAAGAGCACGAAGTAGACGAGGATGCGGACGTGTGCAAATCAGCGTACGAGCCGAAGGACACCACAGAAGAAGGGGGCTCCGACGCCGAGTTGTTGCTCATGCGGCACCTCTTGCTTAGACCTATCGGCCCACCGCCATAGGTGTAGTTCTCAGCGATCAGTCAACCGCCATGGGCATATTTTTCAGTGATTGATCCACTGCCTAACAGGGCAATGATGGAGCTACCGCTGGCCAATAATTTCCACGTAATCCACCCATCATTCCCTCCAATTCTGGTTAGCTCACTATCAGCTCTCCTTGCAGTATCACACTCTCTCCCACTGTGGGAAGGGTTGGCGAACTGTGGCGAATATCCTTCGCCATCTGAACATGAAGTTCAGAATGACTTCGCCAAACTCTCCCAATTGGCATCGGCATTTCGAGACATGCATCAGATACAATTTGGGATGTGCCCTTCTGGGTAGAGTATGTGGAGACGAATGGCGGTCCTTTCCACCGTGAGTAGGGTTGGCGAACTGTGGTGGATATCACTCGCCATCTGAACATGCAGTCCAGAATGACTTCGCCAAACTCTCCCATGTGGCATTGGCTTTTGAGCCATGCATCAGATACCATTGGGGATGTGCCCTCCTGAGGAGAGTATGTGGCTACTATGTTTCGCCTTACCACACCAGGTACATTGCCCAGGTTCAAAGACATGACAACCTTATATTCGACACACTACAGCACGAACGGACACCTGGCATTGGGCGATTACATTCCTAACTCACGCAGCTGCCGCGTCGCCTCCTGCAGCTCTTCCAGCACCACATCCAGGTTCTGATCTGTCCTCTCGTGCAACCAACTAGTGAGGTTCGCGACGCGAACATGCAGCTGTTCAAGCTGCACCAGTGTAGACTCGGAGACGGTGTACACCTTCTCCTACGTTCTCGAGGTTCAGCAAGACTGTAAGGTGCTGGAACGTACCACTCACCCAGGGATCACCAAGTTTGTACCACCAGGCCTCCATAGGGCTCCCCGCCGGCCCAACCTGATGATCCCATTTCCACCAGTAGTCGGGTGAATCCTCGAGTAGGTTCTTAGGATGAGGAACGAGGGTGGTGGGGCGTGGAATCGCCTTGACGTCAATGCTGATGGGGCGCAGAACTTCACGATTGAAAGTGCAGACGGTGAGGACACTGGCGATAACTCCGCCATGGTCAATATGGTCAGCATGACCCGCCAACGCGAGGTCGCCACAGATACCCCTGACGGCGAACTGCACAGGACTCAGCAGGGTCAGGCGATATCAGCAAGAAAGGTGTACCATCTCCCGGCGCAAGCCTTCCTCCCAACGGACCTTGGTGAAGTGATCTGGGTCAGGCTCCAGTGCCAGAACAGCTTCTTGGATCCTCCAAGTGTAGACTTCCAACTGCAACCTCCCTCTGGAGAACAGGCAGGGGCGCGCATCTGATGTTGAAGACTGGGCAGACATGACAGTGAGTGGATGAGCTGAGGTTGATATCTGATCGACCTTATCTGATGTCTGATGTCATGCGATTGGAGAGCACATGCCGAGATGAAGCCCTCAGGCGAGGATGGAGGTCACTTCGCCAAATGTGATATTGGTGAGTAGGAATTACATACATGAGGATCACTACATCGATATAGCAAACATGAATATGCGTACACCCCAGTGAACCCTGACTCAAAGCACATTTTCATCGCCCGCCCTTTCGTCCTCAATGTCCAGGGCGAGGATGTGGCTGAAGGCGTCAGTGGCGTGGCTGGCGAAGGTCCGCCACATACTCACTTGCCTGGCGGCATAGCAAACATGACCCCGCCAGGAAGGATCCGTCATCTCGAGCCAGTGAGCCCATCGTTCCGCATTCCGCTTGAAGGTGGCTATGGTCCAGGCCATTTCCGAGTGGACCAAGACACGCTCCTCCCTCCATCTCTCATATCGAGCTCTGGCACGCAGCCAATTCACTCTATAGACTGGAGGGTAAATTAGCAGGAGGCCTAGAGATTGATCGGACAATTACGAACACTCGTCCATCCATTCTGATGAACCTCGATCTCCAGCGACATCCATGGTCCAGAACCAAGCCAGGTTGACGTTCCTGAGCCCGGAGGTGCTAGCCTCGATGACGGCAGTCTTCACGTGCAGGTCCTTCTTATCCAAAGGGCGATAGAGGGCCAAGTCTTCATCGGTGGCGCCCAAGCGCATAATGGCGTGTCGGTTGGCGGAATAGAGCCTGGTGCAGGCCAAGACGGTCTGATCGGCAGCATGAACCTCTGCCTGTGCACGGGTCATGGTTCTGACGCTGTTGGCAGGACGAACCCTCTTGCGGTAGAGGTAAGACTTCAGTCCAAGCGCCATGCGAAGCTCGTGGAGGATGTCATTCATCAGGCCTTTGCGCAACTCCAACTCTTGGGCCGCCAGAGTCTGGAGCCTGTTGGTGACGGCGGCCACGAATCCGATCTGCGAAGGTAAATTCAAGGAAGCTTGCTCGGGTGGAATCGCATCCTCGCCATACTCAGCGTCCTCCGGGTGTATTTGAAAAGGATTCTCATCCAAGGAATCCCAGAGCGCACCATCGTCATGATCTTCCATGGCGGGAACATCCTCCAACCTTCCCATGAACTTCTCAGAGCGACGTTGGAATGTGAGAATGCTGACTTCGAGGCGCTGACGGCGCTCGAGAGTCTTGAGGTCCTCCGCCATGCTCGGATTTTGACCCGCCTTGCGGATATCATTCGCAAGCTTAAGCCTGAAGGCCGTCAGAGCTTTATTTTTGTAAAGACGAGGCAAACTCACTGTGCTTCTTGAATTTTGAGGCCAGTCGACAACCATCCGGCGGTGCCCTTCTCCAAGCCCTTGGCGGACTCCTCGCCCGCCAGTCTGAGTTGGGTGAGGTCTTTACCCGGGGCTTGCATTCACGTCAACTACATGCCACACGACGATGGAAGGATACTCACCCTTCCTGAGCTGGACATCGAAGGTGTCCATAATCTTCGGATCATTTTGGCGAGCCTCCATAGCGTCGTCGTACTCCTTCTGCCATGCCTCAAGGACCTCCTCATCTGTGGATGCAGATAAAGCTTCAAAGGACTCCTTGCTTCTTGGGAAGCCCAGGAGCACGCGTTTCCACTTTGTCATCAAGGTTGGCACTGTAGGCAGCATAAGGCAGGTGGCAAATAGGGAAGGAGGAACCAGGCTCACCCATGCGAGTCGTCTTCTTCCAGTTAGAGTCATTCATGTGATCGTCAAGGACTTCTTGGCGGTGAGCTCGGGTCATGCCCCTGGTACTGCCTGAGACCTCATTTGTGGGCGCCCACAGGGTCTCGATGACCTCGCCATCGACCATACCAGCGCCAACTATAAAGTTGGGCGAGAACCGTTGGAAGCAGCAATCTTGGTGTCCGTGCACATGAAACAAGCCGATGCCTTGGTCTATCTTGAGCTCGAAGGGCATCCTCAGATAGGCGCTGTGGCGGAAACGTTTGCGGACATGGACGCCATACTGGCACATGATGTCGTACATGACGAGGACGAGGGTGATACCGGTGAGGGTCAGGAGTGCATTGCTGAGAGAGTAATCCATATTCATTTGTCTGCAGAGGGTGCGTCGGTGAGAATGAATCATGACAAGAGACATATGCGAACCTTTCTCCCTTCTGGAAATCGACGACAGTATGAGGGACGAAGAAACCATGTCTGGCGCAAGCAGTGGCCCCGATTCCTGTGGCGTCGAGGTTGGCGCGATCCACATTGGCCTGATTGACAGCGCGGTGCTCATGACAAGTGGATCGCTGGTGGGCTTAGGAGTCAAGGGCGGAAGAAGAACGTGCAGCCAGACACGCACCTGATGGGACTCCATGGCCACCGCCAGATGAGCCTTGTAATCCTCTTGGCCGACCATGAATGCCTGGCCATCACTGAGGGCGACGTCCTCCTCGGGGTGCTTCATCTTCATGTGCTCTGCACTGAAATTGCCATCCATGACAAAGCCGCATTTGAACTTCCACTGCACTGGATCCGCTTGCCAATCAAAAGGCAGGTTGAGCTCAGGCTGGGGACAGGCGGGACAAAAGATGGCGAGGCCACCCTTCTCCACAGGATGGAGGGCATCATGTGAGAAGCCGTGCCACTTGCAATATTTGAGTTGGCGCCATTGGCGGGACACCCGCATCAGCTCACGATAACGGTCCTGGCGAGGAACTGGCATGAACGGTTGGGCCATGGGAATGCATGTGAACACTTACAGGAACGGTGCCAGCGAAGGCATTGCTCGTGACCCGTTTGAGCTTGCTGTAGTAGTTCAATGCCGCCGTCTTGCACTCTTTGTTCTCCAGAAGGAAATCGTCGAGGACAGCGAATGTGAAGGCGGTATGGGGATCCTTGACGGTACCAGGGTAAAGTCCCATTTGAAGAAGCTGCATGTCACGCTCCACTGCCATCTCACACTGGCACCAGTCAATGCTGATATGGTGAACGCCAGAGATGTCGACAATGACTATAATCCGATTCCCGTAACTATCACGGCGAGGTGGCCGGGAGAGCACCGGTGGCACATCTTCCTCCCAAGTGGGATCGGGAGCATCGTCGATTTGCCTTGCTTCACCGTCAAGGGTGCCTGCCAGAGGTGCAAAGTTGAATGGGACCTCACCATCATCTGAGACCTTGCCATCATGTGCATTTAGGTCTTCATTGGAGGCATTCCAGAAATTGGACCCCGGGGCCACCACCGGCGCAGGGTTGTTATGTGCTGTGAAGGCGCCCAGAGGGCAGGGATCTCTGCCATGCCCCAAATGGATGCAGACACCAACTGATACAGTGATGCCGGCTCAAAATACTGACCCTGCCAATGCTCTATCCGATGGAAAGGAGCACGCTGATGGCCGTTACGACAGCAGTCGGTACAGGTGAGCAGTCTGCCCATACAGTCCAGGCATCGCCACCGTCCCTCGCCAACCTTGCATTCTGCACAGTTTCTGGGCTCAGGCGGGGCTTCCATCTCGATAATGGCATGAAGATAGTCATCACGGTGGGGTATCCAGTCCCTCATGAAGTCATTCTGGGTCTATCGCGCATGGTCAGACCGTCAGATGGTCATGGCGGGAGTGCCCACCTTTGTCTTCCGAGCCACCGGATCCAGCTGAATCAGCACACCTATGTTGCCCAGGACGTCGCCATCATCCAAGTTAAACAAGGAGCCTGAAGCTGGAGCCTTCGATGGACTTTTGGAAGGCGATGGCACGTTTGAACCCGTGGGCATGGGCAAAGGTACGTCCACATAGCGTACTCCCCTAGTGGTCTGCTTAGCTACCTTGGTCACAAACTCAACCTCGTCATCCAGGTCTACAACGAGCCTGCTTTTGTTGCATCTGCTCATGGTTTAGGTAAGTGGGGAGTCGTATTCCAAGCCAATCGATGAGCATTGTGTCCCTATCACAAAACACGTGCAAATTACACACGGCCTTGCTGCCCACCAGACTACTCATCAAGGTGGTTAAGAATGGCTGCAATGCCTAGGCCTTATCACCTCGTGGTCTCTTTAGGCACCATATCAGTGTTATGCAGATAAGGATGCCATGTTGGCGAGAGGTCCGCCAATCGTATGTCGCCCTCAGTGCTAACTTTGCCTTGACTTGGAGTAGCATAATGTTCAAAAGGGAAACGTGCACTTGCACCGCGCGCTCGCCAACACTGCTGCCATCTGCCCCACTAGCACTCACAACTTCTCGACTGAATACATTTTGCCACCACCTCCGCCAACTTCGAGGTCCGCCAACCATGCACTGCCATCAGTGATAACTACACCTTGAGCTGAACACTGTCGAGATGTGAAACGCACACTCGTACTGCGTGCTCGCCAACCTTTAGCTACGATTCAGAAATTCGTGACTCCATACATTTCGCCATCACTTCCGCCAACTTTGTCCCACCAATGAAGCTGCCATCGACAGTCTCCATCCCCTGCATAGTGTTCTCGTCTCCATCAGTCTTTGGCATGATGTCCCTTTAATAAGCGAGCCAGTTAGGACCTGTTCTGAGTTAGGAATGCAGACTCGGTGATGAACTGTGCACATGCCAATGTGTGAGGCGTAATATGAAGCTTACATCCAGTGGGGCGCCGGAATGCCTAGCCTGTTCTGGACACCCTCTCGCATGAAGTATGCATAGACGAGCCTTTCGCCATCTGCTCGAGTGACACCATGATGAATCGCCTTTCCACAGAAGGCTATGACGGTTCCAGGACTATAATCGATGGCGACACGCATGGCGGGGAACTTCAACCACGCGCAAGTGTAGTTGCCCAACGTCGCCAACAGGTCGTAGAACGTGTATCTTGTCTTGCTATCTCGGTGGAAAGGAGTTTCCCGGTTGGCAATCACCTGGAGCACATTGAATGGCGATGACCAGTTCAGTGCCATCTCTCGCAATTCTGAGTCTTGCTGGATCAAACCCAAGCACTGGCGTCCTGCAGCATATAGCGTTGGGTGAACGACGGCCAGGATGGCACCCAGCAATGTGGAGGAGTCATGAATATCATGCAGCCAACTGCTTCTGCCCTCAAGCTTCAGGCTGGCAGAGGTCTCCAGCCTCCCAGACTCCATATGCTGCAAAGGCTGTCCAGACGCAAGGCAAATGGCGTGGCGAGGAGACCCACCTCTCTTACTTGTTGGAACCAACCTGGCGAGAGACACAAGGAGCCCGCTGGGAATTGGGCACACTCCTCAGGAGGCAAGAAGTACAATGGATTGTGTCGCCAACTGGCGGTGGTGCTGGAAGGCTTACTGGCTGCTATTGCTGGGTGTAGGGCCCTGGTCGCTTGGAGCATCTTCGTCTGACAAATTTGTCAGATCACAGCGCAAGGCTGGGCAAGCCACTCACCTGGCAGTCTGGTATCAACACTCTTGGAAGTATCCAAGCCAAGATGCGTCCGTGCATGTCCACGAGGGTGGCGGGCTGGTCTATGCGTATTTCACTCTCACCAAATGGAGGAGGCCACTTCCGTTCCAGTTCTGCCTCGAGGACTTCATTCTGCCCCGTGGGCTGAATCGAAAGGCTGTCGCAATATCTATCAATGTCCCACTGCAGCCTTACTATTACAATGGCGTGATCAGTGTGATCAGACCTGCGGCAAGACTAATGACTACCAGGATTACGGATGGCCTTCACAAGAGCATCTGCAATGCCATTGCACTCCAATAGGAGGGTGGATGGCATGGACGGAGGCACTTCTATAGATGGCGCAGAATGGGCTGCATGAGTGGCCAGATGGAGCTTTCAGCGGAACATGAGCTCCAAGACTCCTGCTATCTGATCGGTCAGTGGCATGGGTGACAGATTGCTCATCTTGATACTGTCTGCCAATCAATGGGACGATTACAGCATGCATCGGTTAAAGGAATGCACAGGTGTATGGCGGGCTCAGGCGGTTGGCTTGCAGATGCAGGGGAGAATGTAGGAGGGGCCAGAATGGCAAAGAACAGTATGCATTCATCTGCCTGCATATTGCTTGCAAGCACGTCCCTTGCACATCTCACATGTTCATCATGCTGCCGAGCTGGACTTGATGCCGCCATGCCGGATCACGGGCCGGGTGGTCCGCCATGTCTGGGCCCTTCATCACTGCCATCTAATTGGCCGAGCCTAACTCCGAGGAAGCCCTTTATCCCACAGATTGGCATGCAGATGATCGCCAGATTCCCTCCGCCCAGCATTCGTGAGATGAAGTTGGCGTGGTGTGCTCTGCCATAGAAGCGGCATTCAACATTGCCTTTCACCAGGCATGAATGCTAGTGCATACCTACTACCACCTCCCGCCACTGCGAAAAATACACATACAATGCTTCAGCAGTCACCACACACCATGGCGAGGAGGGTAATTGGTGTAAGCTCAAATGGGCCATCAGCACATGCATGTTGAGTTGTGGGCGGCCGACGAGGAAATGGACAGAGCGCTGCCCATTGAACTATCGACCCCCTTCACTGCCCCAACACAAAAATCTCATCCTCAACATCGAGAAAGCATGCCGGCGAGATTTGTAATTTTGACGGAGCATCAGCCCATACTCTCTGAGAAGCTGCAGTCTTATGACACGGCAGATGTCAAGGGATGCAAGACTCTGGTTCAGAGCTTGCGCCAGAAGCTGAAGACACAGTTTGTCGATGCATCAAATTATGATGACATCATTGTGGAAACTGTGAGCAGTGTTTCATGTCTGTGAGGTCCCCACTAACTCTCACCACAGAAAATCTGAGAGTGGCTCAATAACCACGCCCGCCATGCGCAGGAGAAAGTGACGAAAAAGCGTATGCATGTTTCTGGCAAGCCCAATGCCTTCAAGGCGTGAGATGCACTGGAGAGGAACAAGGTGACTGAGGCCGCGCGAGCACTCGCGGCAGAAAAGGGTTGCAATGTCTCCAAGGTGTGGAGAGTCGCACGGAGTACCGAATGGGCAAAACTGTCCGAGGAGGAGCAGAAGGTGTATGAGGAAAAGGCGGAAAGTTGGCGCAATGGCACTCTGGATGATAAGACGAAAATGAAGTGCGTACCTCCTGTCACGTAGCATAAGGCAAATCCTGACCTAAGACAGGCTGAGGGAGCAGCGAATGATGCAATATCTGAAGAAGTTTGCCAAGACTATGTGGGACATCATGGGCATTCGCATGGCATTCATGCTAGCATATCCAAAGAAAGCGGGGAGTCTGAAGGTAGAGATGTGAGCGTAGACCGTCCGACTGTCGCCATCTGCTAACCCCCGAGTGAAGGGTGGAGGTCAACCACGCCATCACCAATGGAACTCCATTCGGGGCCTATCCTGGGTGGCTGCGTGCTTACCAGCCTCTAGCAAAGGTGTTCTCTGAGTGGGCCAAAGGCGAATATGGTAAGAAGACCTCAGTTGCATTGTCGCTGGCACACTGACCTGATTCCTTAGGTGTGACTGAGACTACGGTGACGGTGAAGAAGACACCTGCCGATTGCATGTGGGCCATGGACAAGATTCAGTTGACGGCCAACGGTTTTCCTCTGCTCCCCTCGGTGCCCGAAGGTATGGCAGAAGTGCCTCTCAAGGTGATGAAGGTACAAGTTCGAGACTTCATGAATCATCACTACGGTATGACACTCCCACTCGGTGTTGAGAGATGCTGACCAGTTTACAGCATTGGCGAAGGGTGTTCGGAACTGCAAGTCGCCATGGATGAAGCTGAACAGCATAGACGACATCAATGAGGTTATTCCAGTGGAGATGCTACCTGAGAACTTCCAGTGGATTGATCCCTCAAAGATGACAAGTGTTCCCGTTCATGCCCTCCTCGACCACTGGCGGGCATGCCAAGAGGAACATGGACCTGAGCAGACCATGCGATTCACCCAGTACTTCGACAAGGATGGCGAAGCTGCTCCCGCCAAGTATGATCCTCTTCCACCACTTGACGGATCAGCACAGGCATTAGAAGAAGGATCTGAACATGAGGTCCAAGAAGCACTCACACCGAAGAAGGCGGGGAAGGCGAAGAAGAAGGGTAAACCTGTGCGCAAGGTCACAGGAAAGGCGGCATCGAAGGCAACAAAGGGCAAAGCGGCCCCTGGCGGAGCCAAAGGCGGTGGGCGTAAACGCAAGATGAAAGATGCATACGACTCGGAAGACAATGCCAGAAGCAGCCAAGACTCTGATCGGAGTTCGCCAGATATATCCAGCATGGCTTCCGAAGAAGATACGGTCAGCGATGAAGATTCAGGGGATGGCGAGAGCGTGATTGTGAATAAAGTGAAGGGCAAGGCGGTCGCCACCACCAATGGATGTAAGGCTAACAATGGCGGTGCACCTCAAGCGAGTGGTAGCGGCGGTGCCAAGATGAAGGCAAAGCGAGGTCTCCAAGACCTTCCTCTGGGCACACTGCACAGATTTGACACAGAGGAGACCGATGAAGCATCCAGTGAACTGGAGCCCAGTACAAAGGAGCTCAGGCTTGAGCTTCAAGGCCGAGCCCCACGTCTCACTGGCGGGAGTACTGTGGGGAGTACTGTGCCCCACCTCGTCAAAAGGAGAGACGTGTTTCTCGCCACCCTTTCCGTCGAACCGCGATACCAGGATATGCTGAAGGAAGTCAAGATTGCGACTGTGGTGAGCTCCTTTCGTGGGGATTCATAGCCACTATTGATCATCCGTCATATAGCCCCAGGTGTATCGTTTCACCAGGTATGATCCGATTCCCTGGAGCGAATGGTCGTATGGCCAGCGCTACCTCCTGCCGTCATTTCATGCAGTGGACAACTTTGACATCGTCGAGAACTGGTTGGGTGACAAACCATGGCTGACAAAATATCGGTTCTTACATCCACAGGGCGTACAACAATCTGCACTCGTGATTGGTATGGCGCTGAGGGACCTCACACGATCTCAGTTCATTGAGGAGGGCAAACCGACCAACCTTCCCGACTATGTGGTGAACTCGGCGATCTCATTTGATGCAGTAGAGCAGCTGCTTCGCTGTTGCGAGACCATTACCTTGGACATGGTGGAAGGGAATGTCACCCATGCCATGGTGAAGCCAGTGAGCAAGCCTGCCATACGCGGTGCCCCACAAGGTGGCGATGGCCTTGGGGGCCAGGAGGAGCAGGAAGGTGATGCCTCTGCAAGAACTCACGATGGCGCTGCTACTGCTGCCAAAGTTCACAAGGCTCACCAGCCTGCCCCCATGGCTGACAACCCAATCATTCTAAGTGGAGGAGATGAAGGGCCGTGCCAGGAGACCGGTGGCGGGGCCTCTGATAATGGTGAAGAGGACAATGTGCACGCGTCTGTACCTAGCAGTGGTGCTGAACGACCGCCACTGCCTCTGTTTATACCTAAGATGAGGAAGGCGGCAGCCACAGAAGACCGTCCATCAGGTCAAGCCAAAGCGCTCCAGGGAAGGACGATCACCGATGCCCTTCAGAGTAATATCCTCAGCAGGATCACTCGCAGTCAGCATCAAGCGATGGATGAGTTGCCCGCCAAGAATACCTGCAGTCAGCATCCACTAGGAGCTGTTAAAGATTTGAAGAAGCTTCCTGATCCAAAGCGGAAATGTCAACCAGCATGTCCCGAGCCCGATGGCGAAGACAGCTCTGGCGAAGACAATCTGCCACCTCGGAAGCGTGGATGTGGTACTCGGGATGAGTTGGTAGTGGCCTCACCGAGGAAGAAGAATGCGAGGGCCGAGGACTCGGATGATGGTGACAAGCCTCCCGCAAAGTGAAGACGAGCTCTGCCTCAGACCCCGGAGGTCAAGGACAAGGGAGAAACCAAGCTGAAGCCGGTCCGTCTGGGGAAAGCAGCCACCAAAGTGAAAGAGAGTGGCCAAGTTGGCGCAGGTCGCAAGACCCACAGTGGCAGCACCAGACCTTGACAATATAACTCCAGTTCAAAGTAGACTCGTAGGCTTCCACATTGTTTAATGTGACCCATAGATCTACATAGGTAAAGCCATGGAGATGGTGGCAATGGCAAGGGGAGTTGGCAAGAACTTCAGCAGGCATTCAGTTGACTTGGAGTGGTGGTGGCGAATCGAGTGCATGGAGATTCCATGCTAGGTTAAAAAGCATGTATATCAATACTCTAATGACTACACATTGTGGCTATCTGGGCGAAAGGCGGTGAAGACCATGGCAGAGTCAACCTTCTCTCGGAATGCATCCAGAGACTTCGCCACCAGCGAGGTTTCCTCTCTCGCCATCGCCACCTCCTTCCCCACCTTCTTCACTTCATCCAAAGCGGACGTTGCCACCGCCATCGAATCCTCTTTGGCGAGCGCCAATTCCATCTCCAGCTTGCTCGCTTGAGCGATCGCCTCTGCCGCCGAAGACCTGAGCTCCTTCTCCATGCTGTCTGACCACGCTGCCTGGAGCTCCATCGAATGATGGAGGTCAGCCAATTCACCCTGCAGCTTCTCGACATCCGCTTGGCTCACTGTCTGGTTCGTGCCTTGCTCCAACCTGTTGACCTTCTCTGGCAGGCAATGTCGCTTGGCGACGAGGTCCGCCACTGCCAACTTCACGCTCTCCTGAAGCTCGATGGTGACCGGCCTGCGAAACTCCTCCATTGCCAACTTGACCTCTTTGTGAATGCTCCGGGCATTTCCTTGAAATGTGGATGGCGGGTTGATTCGCTGGAGCGCCGCTGTGATCTCTGCCTTGATGGTGTTGAGGTCCGCCATCCTCTCCTGAAATTGGACTTCCATCCTGTCCTTGTGTGCCAGGAACTCCTGTTGCAACTCGGCACAATTCGCGCAGTCATCGTTGGATGACTGTGAGGTTTCTTCGCCACTAGGGGTGTCGCCTTCGTTCACCAGAGTGGGACTTCCTGTAGACACTCGCTGGATGTCGTGCAAGTGGGGTGCTATATCCCTGGTCAGCACTGCATGGATTTGAAGCTGTGGTGGGCGCACTTACCCTTGCTGGTCGGAGGCACTGCTCTGAGGCGGTTCACCTTCGCATCCCTTTTTGCCTCCGCCTCCTTCTTTCGCTGCCTTGCGGTCCAGTGAGGTGCCCCTCTTAGCTGGCCTTCGCCCTTCATCGAGATGTCCTGCCTTTGCCAATGTGGAGGACTTCACTCCCTTCGACACCTTGGATATCTCCAGGGAGGGCGTCACCTCCTGTGCCACCTCGGCAGCTCCTGCGCTCATCTTGTGGGGCATCAGCAGCGAACACTGCCGATCGTCGTGTGGCCGCTCCAAGGACACACACTGTTTCATGGTTACATCGACTCCAGCTGCGACAAGATGTCCTGCTTACCTCATCCTCCACCACCTCTGCCTGATACTCTGGCGCATCATCTGGTTCATCGGCGACTGGTGTCAGCATGCGCTTGCTGCTGCTAGCTTGCGGCGGAGCAGCTGGCCCTGTTTGGAAGGCCATAGCCCGCACCGCCTCCATTGCCAGCCTGGCGGCTTCCTCCATGTCATCGCCTTCTGCCAGAGGCATCTTGGCTGCTGCCTTCAGAGCACTCACCTTCGCCTTCCTTGGTGATCACGGGCACCATTGGGCCCGAGTGACCTCCCATCGCCACCCTTGTCATCTGCCCGCCCTCCTTCGCAACAGACTTGGCAGGCGGGACCTCATCCGCCTTATGTACTGAGGTCCTGGTGACCTCGCCACCATCTTGCACACCTGAGTTTTGGCTCCTCACCGGCTTTGGCTTGGGTCCTGACTTCTTACCTTCACCAGGTTTGGTGACCGCACCAGACTTGGCAGGCGCGCCAGACTTGGGAGACCTCGCCAGAGTTGGTGACCTCACCAGAGTTTGACAGAGCCACAGCTCCAGTGGCGGTGGCGGACTTGGTGGCGCGCTTGGACTTCGATGATTTCTCACCAAGGCCTCGCCTTCAGGGTTGGCTTCATCGGGCGTGACGGTCACCTTCTGCTTCGTCGCCTCGACCTCCTCGCCATCCTTGACCTTGGAGCTGGATGCCGCAGCATTGCGCATCTTGGTCTTCTTCAGCGGCTTGCACTTCGACGCTCCCATGACCATGGGTTCTGCACCGTCGGGCTCATCGGAGTCGACCTTGACATCGTATGGAGGTGGCGATGTGGGCAGTGGCTTGCCCTCTACCACCAGTGCTGCGCACATCTCTTGGAACTCACGCTGTGTGGTGTGTGAGTTTCCTCGCAGGGACACGCCGTCTGTGTTCCTCGGCGCGATGCTGCAACTGACACCTTGTGCTGCACATTCGAGGCAGCGACCGAAGTTGGCGGTGTTGAGCTTGCATGGCCACTCTTTCTCCTGGCAGCCAACGCAAGGGGACGAGCTGCAGGAACATTAGCACAGGTCAATGTCTCACAAGATTGTTACTCACCAACTCTGTTGCATGTGCCCACATAAGTCAGACACGTGGGTGGATGTCTTTTTCCACATGTCCTTCTGCAACACCGTCACCGTCAACCTTCGCCTTCACCTTCGCCGTCGCCTTCGCCATCGCCTTTGCCTTCCCCTTCCCCTTCCCCTTCGGTGCGACATGAGGCATCGCCGTCATCCTCGTTGTCTGTTTGACAGGTTTGGCAGGGGCATTCGTCTTCGCAACACCATCGTTAGAGTCCCCTGCAGTCTTGGCGGGTAGATTGGAAGGCGGTGCCGGAGTCTCATCTTCGCTTTCAATGAACTCCTTGCTCTTGTATTCCTTCGTCGCACGCTTCTTCTTTGGCAGCTTGACGGTCAGTACTTCCTCTTCATCGCTTGACTCCTTCGCCTTCCTCTTCCCGCTCTTCTTCGTGCTCACCTTCAAGCCCTCCACCTCAGTCTGCGCCATCCTCTTCTGCGCACGCTGCACTCGACCAGAGGTGGTCGGGGCCTCACCTTTCTCCTTTGCGACCTCGATCGGCTTCATCCGCTTCGCCTTCGGAGCTGCCTCCTCATTCTCACTCTCCTCACTCGACTCTGTGATGACCGCCTTGCGCTTTCGGAGTGATGGGGCAGCTGGCGAGATCGATATTGGTCTGGCAGTTGGCGGAGGGGGGCACACCGCATCGACCTCAATGGATTCGGGCTAGCCTGCACCTGGCACGTCTTCTGCCATCTCATTGTCGTCATCTTTATCAGCATCATCGTCCTCGTCACTGTCGGCATCGCTCGTCGTCCTCGCCCTCCTGCTCCTCTCCCTCTCCCTCTCCCTCTCCCCCATCCTCTTCCTCACTCATTGGCATGCGCCGCCTTCCCCTGCAACCTTCTCCTTGCTCTTGCCCTTTCCTTGTCCTCCCCACCTCCACGTGGATGATACGCTCACCCACCATGCCTGTCCCGACATCGTTGTCAGCTCTCTCCTTGCCTTTCCCCTTGGTGATGAGGTCCCCGGTAGCCAGGTCCTCCTCGCCACGTCCCTGGGTGTCGTCATCGGCTGGCACATTGCCCCAGCCCTCCGCTGGCATACTCTTCACTGGTGGCAGCTTGCAATATGGATCTGGTGGCAGTCAGTGTGTTGCTTGATGCCTCACAACACTTGTGACTCACCTTCAGTCCACCACTGCCTTCCCAGGTCCTCACACTCCCCATACTCGCACACAGCCAGAGGTACCTCTTGTATATCCTCTCGTCGTCGTTCGATATGTGGTCCAGCCGCGCCAGGGCCTTCTGCTGGTATGCCCGGGTGAATTCCAGCAACGCGCTGATGACGATCCCAGGCATCCTCAACGACTTCAAGGGCTGCGGGAAACTCTTTTCAAGCCGACTCTGTGTGGCATATTCGGTAAGTGCATGCCAGACCTCGACCGATGACTTACCACTTCGAGGTAAATCCTCGTCTCCCAGTCCGATAGCGAGGGTCGTCCTGGCGAGGCGCCGCTGCAACAATGGCCGTCAGTCGCGCGGCCTGCAGAACATAGTTGGGGTCGATATCCAGGCATGGTGAGCTTGGCAGAAGAAAGCGTGAGGGTGTTTCAAAAGCAGAGGTTGCAGTACAGCGGAGGCGGAGCAGACACGCTATGAGCTGGCAGACGCGATCTGCACCAAGTTCAACTTCACACGCCACGCGACCACGTGCTTTGCACGTGATCGCTGGACTTGCGCGATTTCTCAAGTCTCTCAAGGTCAGTGTGACCTGCCGCAAGTTCTCATGGCTCCCAACAGTAAGTTCTATTGCTCTCCTTGTGGAATCTGACTCCTTTGTGATGTTATCTGACCTTTCTATGTCATATCAATCCCCTTTCTACAACTGATCTCCCGCGATCCAGGACTGATCGAAGACTTGTCTGCTCGCCACAATCTACCTGCCATGGCCAGTGACGCGGAACCTCCTGACACGCTGGACATTACGATGGGCGAGTCGGATGAGGAGGATAGTATCGCTGAGCCCCGTCGTCCACTCATTTCGGATCTCCTTGACTCTCCTGGATCTGCCCAGATCTCCTTGCCTCTCCACTCTGCTTCTCAGACACCCCTCGCGCCCCGCCACACTACCCCGTCCCTGGCGGCTCCATTTGCGCCATCCAACTCGCCACATGAGCATCTCCACCGCCACCTCGCCAAAGGTACAGGCGTCATCTGGATCTGTGGCGCCTGTGGAGGGAAGTCGCGCACTTATTCCTGACCCTCTGGCGCCAGCTTGGGATGAAAGTCGTGGCAGTTCGCCAATCCATAGGCGTGCACTCATCTCAGATTCCACCCCCACTGCGCCCGGTGGAATGTTCGACTTCGACACTCCTGGCATCTCGCCAATCCCTCGATGCGCCCTGTTGGAAGCTACTCCCCTTCCTCCACCAGCTCACACTTTCGACTTTCGCACTCCTGACACCTCCCAACTCCCTCGACGATCGCTCATCGCTGAGCCCCTTGACGCTACACCACGTACATCCATCCACTTCGATAGTCAAGCAAGTACGCCGATGGCGAGGGGCATGCTGGTGGACGAGACACTTGATGCGAACCAGTGCCGAAACTGCTGGACTTTGACAATAGTCCTCCCACCAGCCACGCAGGACGGCGAGCTCTGGTGATAGACAGCCCTGGCGCGACGCCTGTGCGTAGCCAGGTCCGGTGGCTAAATAGTCCCAGCACTTCGCCTCCAAAGAGGCGGCCTTTGTTGGACGATGTTTTAAGTCCACCGCCTCCGCCATCGGCGCCCTCTCACTCGCCAGCTCGCACTTTCGATGACAGCAATTTCCGCCACGATGCACCTGTCATTCACTATATGAAAGGCAGCATCGAGCCAGTCACTGTTACTTCCAGGATGCCAAGTCTGGCAGCACTTCCAGATGAGCTGCCGATCCATCGTCCCACCCATTGGGAACAGGTTCCAGGCTTATTCCCAGATACCACACAGCTGCTGCCAATGGCAGTCCCTGGAGAGACGAATGCCGCTTCTGGCTCACAAGTGGCCCGCCTCGGTAGATCGTTTGCGCAGATCGCAGCAGAGGCAGACAGTTCCAGTGAGTACATCCCTGGCAACCTTCAGTCTGATGTTGACCTTATTCATAGTGGACGATGACGAAGGTGATAGCTTTGCGTTAGTCATCGTCGCGCCATGTTGCGGAGCGCATTGTACGTCTTCAGCGTGAGCTCAACCTCACTGAGGATATGCACGTTGCGAACCTCAATGCCAGCTCGACCGTGTTCCAAATGGGGTACATTCTGAGGGACATTCGTGGCGAGGCGTATCGCAGCAACTGAACTAGTGTCTTTGAGCGTTCTGGTGTTAGCAATATATGACCGCTATGTAACAGCTTGTATACCAGTACAAAATGGATACATTCACTTCTGCATCACTAAGCTCTAAAGCCCATCGCTCCTCCAGTGTACTCTTCAGATGGGCGGACTGCGCTCGCCATCACCAAGGCATGTTGTTGCCAGCAATTGGCCCATCGCCAAAGGACCTGAGTGAAAGCTTCACTGCATGGGAATATCGCTCCCCAGCAAAGGGCCCACTGCCAAGGGTCAGAGGGTTGGCCATCGCCAAGCCGTGTTTTCGCCACCAATTGGCCCTCCGCCATGAGTGCTGGTGAGTGATGGGCCCACCGGCAAAGGTCAGAGGATTGGCGATCACCAGAGCACGTCATCACCACCAATGCACCCGGAAACTGCAGGGCTGTATGTGACAATGGGCCCATTGGTGGCGATGACATATCCTGGTGATCGTCAACCCACTGGCCTTTGGCGGTGGGCCGATTGCTGGCGATAACATGCTCTGGCGTTGGCCAACCCTCTGACCTTTGGCGGTGGGCCGATTGCTGGCGGAAACATGTCCTGGCGATGACCTATCCCATGGGTGCTTGCAGTAAGGCCCTCACTGAGGGTGCTTTGGCGATGGGCCGACTGCTGGCGATAACATGCTCTGGCAATCGTCAACCCTCTAACCTTTGGCGGTGGGCCCATCCTTCAGGTTACACTCTGGGCGATCGGCCCACTGCTCATTCGTCATACTCTGGTGGTGGGCCGATTGCTCAGACAAACATGCTCTGGCCATGGCCAACACTCTGACCTTTGGTGGTGGGCCCATCCATCATCTTACACTCATGGCGATAGGCCCACTGCTCATTGATCATACTTTGGCAGTGGGCCCATCGATGGTGATAACATGCTCTGGTGTCGGCCCACCCTCTGACCTGTGGCGGTGGGCCCATTGCTTAACGGTTACAACACTGTAATATGCCTGCTAGTGGGGCCGAGCACTGGGAGAAGAACACTAGCGGTGGGCCCACTGCTAGTATCCCACACATGAAAGATATGGGCCCACTGCTGGTAGAGGTCAACATGGTGACAATGGGCCGACGTCCGCTGGCTGTCCAGTTCATGACAATGTCAGGGTAAATGGGAGTTCAGTTCAGGTAACATGACTAAAAGGTGTGGCGCCAGAACATGCTAGTCGGAGTCAAACCCCCCATTGTCATCTCGGGCATCTCCAACTTCGACAGGACCATCATCATCTGCCCAGTCAGACTCGCTATCATCGCAACCGTACCTGCTGGGGTCATCCGCGTCCGGCGCGCTGCCATTCTGACTCTCCACTGTGAAGACTGCATCAGCATCGGCATCCGGTGAGCTGGGCAAGACATTAGCAGCAGGTGAGACAGCGTCAGAAGGGGGTGCACTTGTGGCAGCGGGACTGCAAACGTTCGCGGTTCTCAGAGATGCAGGGAGGTATGGATTGATCCAGCCATGGGCGATGCGTGCCCTTGTGAGGACAGGCTGCCAACGTTTCACCCACTTCTGAATCAGCTGTAGTCGGATGGACGCTTGCTTCGCCGCATATGCGCAACACCCGGCCACAATATCAGTTCGACCCTCGCATCGGGGACCTTGAGCCATCCACCACATGGCTTTCTTCGTGAGAGACTCCAGTGACCGATGCATCTCATCAACGAGAGTCTTCCATTCTTCCTCCCACCGGTCTGCTCGCGTGACAGTCTTTGCCCACTCAACATGCAAGTGATCGTTATTATCCTCTGGCGCAGTGCTGTCCTCCATAGATGTAGAGTCCTGAGCGACATCGGCCGGCTCTTGCGTGGACGCGAAGTCTTGCGGGGCTGATGTGGTACGGTCCCGAGATGTACGGCGAGCGATGAGCCAAATCCACGACGGCTCATAGTGGCCTTCACTTCTCTCGTTCTCCTCCCGTGCAGGTCCTCGATTATCTCCATCTTTGAATTCTTGAAACCTCGTCTTCCATTCGCCATCTGGGTCCAGCACCAGGAGCGCGCGTCGAGCGTCATGATATCGGGCGATGGCGAGGGCGATCTTGAGGTTGAACGCTCGGATGTTTGTCTTCGATCGCGTATTTGCCTTCTGGCCTGTACCAGCGACGTTCCTGTACTTGGCAAGTAGCCCGGCATAGATCCGATGCAGATGGTGAATGTCTTCCAGAGCATCCTCGACCTGAGCCATATGGAAGCGGTGCTCCTTGTCAACGATGATGCCATGACAGCCCACATCGCACTGAGCCTGCATCAGCTCTGAGGGTAGGTATAGCCTGAGCATTTCAGCGTGAACAATTTGCGCATCGGCGGTGTCAGCGAGGGAGTCGATGCCATGTATGGCAGCTATCGCGGGCTGGTAGGTGGGCTATATGCTGGTCCACATGAGGATATGCCGCGTGAGCACGTTTTGCTTCTCCTGGAGTGTAGCTTTCTTGAGGGGATTGCGAAGGACACCCTCGCCCTTTATACAGAGGGCCCACCTTGCGAGACAAGAATAATTAGTAATGCAGTGACCGAAATTCATCAAGACTTACTGTCGTTCTTCCAGCTCCAACCCAAGTCGCAGGAACGTGCTCGCAGTGAGCTTCTCATGGAGCTGCGGCTCACCGCGCATTGCCTCGATGGCTTCTTCCTCAGCAAGCTCGAGCCGTATCATTGCCATCATCATGGCTACCAAGAAGTTAGCGGTTAGAACTAAGCAAATAAAAATGTAGACCTACAGGCCGACGGCTCCACATAGGGATCAGGCTTTGTTTTGTCCTGATCCCACTCAGCAACCATTTGATGCCATTTCTCGATAGTGGCTGGGGAGAATGTGCTCGTGAACTTCTCAGCGATCGCCTTCTGCTTCGCCATCATCAGGAGAGCTTCCGCGAGATGCTTAACGAGGTGCGACTCTAAAGTAGTAGAAGTCAGTTAATTAGTTCACCACCACAACGAAGAAATACTCACCGAGATCGACGAGCTTGCACCAGTTCCACGCTGACCAGTGGTCATCCAAGACAGAATGACAGGCTGCAGGGCCCATCTCGCGAGTGCTGATGCTGACTTGCCCAATGTGCACCCACTCTTGCTCGACAGTTTCACCATGGGTGCGTCCAACTCTTCGAAGGAAATTAAAGGACCATGTTGTACGACACTTAGGGCCATGACCTTCAATGTGGGCCTTGGGTATCATCGTGCATGTTGGCACGTCATCGAGGATTTGCATGTCCTCAGGCATGTCTTCAAGTCTCTTGTAGAAATTCTTGTACCAGTTGCATGCGATGTCATGCAAAAATCCGATGTTGGCCAGCGCCCTTCCGTCTTCGGTCACGCAGCCCGCCTTCAATGCTGAAAGTGCGACGTAATTGACATTACAGTACCTGTAGAATAATCAGTGTGATAAGTACAAAAAACACCATGTTTATGCACTGTTCCCCTTTTTGCAAATCGCCGATGCCGTTAGGAAGCACGAAGCAATGGCGAGCACATTTGACACCCACGACACCAGTGATGCTGAGGCCGTCATACGTGCCCTTGCTATAGGCCTGCTTGACAGCGTTGAGCTCCGACTCGCATGTTGAGATCTGGTGGCAGATGTTAGCCGCAGTCACTCAGCGGGCGCAATTCTGCGCAGTGACGTGGGGGAAGGCCTCACATTCATTGTCCTTCACTCTCCGATGACAGATGAGACAAGGTGCCAGCACAAATTGTGCCAGCCGGCTCTGCCTGTCTTACAGAGCTGTGCCACCTCCAGCATCCATGCGTAGGGATTCAGATTGCTTACCTCGCGCTGGTCCTTGCAAATGGCAAGATACTCCTGGTAAGGACCTTCAGCCACGAAGTACGATCATCCAGAACCCAGCTCAGAGTCCTGGAATCCGTGCTTCTTCAATTTGAGATGGAAGCATGCATCCATAGCGATTACTTGCCAGTAGAGCCAACTGGAGAGATATTCAGCCTCAGGAGAACGATACACGATGAACGCCACTTACCGCTCGGAGTCGAGAAGACTCTCCCAGCCGACTGGCAGGTTTACGCTGGGGTGAGGGCACGCAGGACACTCTATGGCGCACACACCCGGTTTCGTCACTGCAATACCTGCCGGGTCATGACCGCGTCCAGCTCTCTTGATGCTCTTCAGATGGCGCCACTGGCGCACGACCATAGACACTTCATTCCAGCGATACTAATCAAACAATAAATTCATGAGCTCCACGCGCTCGCAACGTCTGAGCACGCGACCCACCACTTGTTTTTCAAGCCCCGTATTGTCCATCTTTCGCAGTATAGCTTTGTAGTAGTCATACAAATTGAGCTTCCCTTGCAGTGTTAAAAGATGAAATGTGTTCAGATAGTCGAATGTAAATGCGGTGCGGGGACATTCCATTGTCGCAGGGTACCAGCCAACGCGCAGCAGCTGGACGCGCTCATTCCATCCACCAGGGGATTCACCACATCGGCAGAAATTGATGTTCACATGGTGAGTGCCACTCACGTCGAGGACCATGAAATGCGCGGGGCTGTGTTGATTTTGGAAGCATTGCCCACTGTGGTGTCCGAGCTGCACGCGAAGTCCGAGATTTGCAAGGGTTATTCTCTCGAAGAACCGCCCGTTCCACCGCTAGAAAGGGGTATGTTAAATGTGCGGCTCGTGAGATATTACTGTTCACTTCAACTCACCTGAACGTGGTGCAGTGGGAGCGAGGTGTGAGCCTTGAGAGTACAGTCTGAACATGTCAGTTTTCCGCCGAAGCAGTCAAGGCAGCGCAACACAGTACTCTGGTGGTGCACTTCGCATTTCCCAGCGAAGTCTTGAGTCCGCCGGCCCATCGAAGCGCAAAAGCTCCTCCAAATAGGACCTCTCGAAATGCAAGCCATCGGTTCAGGCCTGCCTGTAGTCAATAATTAGCGGACATTATGCAGGGGAGGTGTAAAGACTCACCGACATAGATTTCTTCTTGTTCTTCAATCTGGGCCTTCACGCCGTCCCTGCTCTCCAGTTGTATCACATCGTGCAGTTCATTCTCCCACCCATCTGTGTCCACTTGTCCACTGTGTACGGTGGTTCCACTATCGTCCACGAGGCCAGGTAAGGGGGATTATGTCGACTACTTGCTCAATATGTGTCTGAGTTGCTCAAGCTCGCCCGTTCCTTTGACTGCGATGGATGGTGAAGCTGTGGACTGTGGATGCGCTGGCTGAATTGTCGTGGGTGGTTCGAAGATGTCAGGAATGGTGATGGACTTGACATGGCACTTCTCGAACGTGATGTGCCTCCTCCAGCGAACCGGCATTTTCGCCATGAGCAGTCGGAGATATTCTGGCAGAGACAGGAAGAAGCAGCAGTGCAGGGAGAGCTAGCCAAGGTTATCAAGGAGCTACAGGGAATACCAAAGCAGAAGGAGTGCGGCCAGGGGTGCGGTAAGGTGCAAGCTCGATCAAGTCGCAAGTCGGCGACTTGTCCTAACTTGCAACTCGCGCCTGCTTCATCCCGCGTGAAATGTCCGCTTGTGCTGCCCGCCTCAATCGTCATTTCTACCTCCTCGCCTCGCACATTTGTAGGCGTAGTAATGTAGTATTCTAAAATATATTCTTGGCCTCCTTTTGTGAGCTTCGTCCTCTATTGTACATACAATACAGCGAGTACGTAGCCATTACAACTTCATATTTTCTCAATCACCCTATCTTCACGTAGCCCACACAATGCAACAAGACTCAAATAAATATATTGATATGGTGTACCGACAATGGATTCACCCTCATTGTGATACAGCATGCGAAAAAATGAAATTATATTGCGCGCAACAAATTACTACTACTACCGAGACGCAGCACAACATGGATGACACAGGCCGATGCGCGGACAGGAATGAACACCCGACAGCACCAACACACACCTGACACCATGCCAACGATGAGTATGCACTGTTGATCTAAGCATGCCATGCGACCGCAGGACCAGCAGTCACTTCATGATGGTACCCCGGACTGCGCCGATGCGGAACTTACAGATGGCGTCATCGTAAGACTTGCCGCTCATAAGCAGAGCCCGACACACCGATAATCAGAGGCTGAACGTACGTCCTTGGAACACGCACTGTAAGTACTAACGAAAAAATGGCATGAGCCGCTTACCATTCCTTCGAACATGCCGACCTCTAAGCCCTGTGTGACTTGCATACCAGTGATGACCGTAATAAGCTGAGCGTCTTCGTGGGTTCAGCGGGTTCATCCTCAGGGGAGGGCCTGTAGATGGAGGGCGACCCACAACCACAGCGGGAATGACAGGGAGCGACATCACACGACTCCAGCAGCATAGCTAGCTCACGCAACACAGGAACAGTGACATTGGCCCACACTGCTCAGTGTCCTCACTGTCACTGCGACCTGCCAAACTGCGTGCAAAAGGCTCGACCTTCTCCACCTTGACCGGCATCCCTGCACTCAGATACTCGCGTCAGATCAGCATCGACTCCTCTTCACACCCGACTCACGCTGCTCCTCTAACTACTGGGTCAGATGGAATCTGCACCACTACAATGGACACGGACCTTTCCCTGCAAACTAGTTCCACACTGATGTAATTATCCCGACCCATGGCTTTCCTCTCAATCTGGGTATCGTGCTGCGAAGGTGTCAGAAGGGGAGCAACGAGGGAGCCAGCAGGCTTACCTCATATTCCATGGCTTCCTGCTACTACTTGGAGGACGGCTACAGAAACAGAAAGGTATGTTAGTAAAGTAAAGGAGGACAAAATAAAAACTAAGTACTTACACCCCAAGTAAGAGCTGGAGGACGAAAGGGAGAAAGAGCAATGGAGGGGAACAAGAGCTGAGGGCGGGTTTAAGTACGGCACCGAACTCCGCTAACCGAGGGACTGTACAGTTCCACAGTGTTAAGTGCAAATGCCTGATTTACAGAAGCCCGTCACTTCCGACACTTCTCCATACATATGGAAGGCCCAGGATATGTATTAGGGGCATGGTCAGGGTGAGCTCGGGAGTCTGGGCGCCCACAATGGGATGAAAGAGGTTGGGCGACCGCAGAGCAACAGGAACATCTGAAGTCACACATACCTGCTTTCCTGCGGCTCAACAGGCAGGCAACCACTCAACGTTCTGGTCTGCTTTCCTCGATGCCTGGTTCCAGAATTGCCATCACCATCATCGTGAGTGACAGCATCGATGTGCAGGTGGCGACGGTGGAACAAAAGAAGTCAATGACAGTGGTGAGAGTTCATCAGCTTCTCACCTATTATGGCCCTGACCAATTGATCCAGAGGTTGAAAGAATGGTTCCAAAAATCACACAACGAGCTTCTACATTCAGCAATGGGCATTCGGCCGTGTTGTCCCTCAAGGTGAAGGCCAAGTGCAAGGCAGCCCCGTGGCAAGTGTACATGAAGATGTTCTGGCCTGAGCTCAAGCCAAAATGGGAATTAGAGTTCAAGACTTAACCGTGCAGATCAACTGCCATCCGGGTACTGCGGTAATGAACTCCATGAGGATGAAGCACTGCTCGGCCTTTGTGATCTCCATGTACGACAAGGTCAAGGACACCGATGCCATCAAGAAAGTGGTCGAGGCGTACGACGAAGACTTTGAGGATGAAGGACTTTGAGGGCAGCGACTCACAGCCCGCGCATTTCCAAAAGTGAGGACTTGCCTTTTTCGATCGTTCGCACGGCCTGACTCACATTGTTACGCAGCAGCGAAACACGAGCGTCAAGTCAAGTCGTCACGAGACAAGGTCTTAGTCTAAGACACAAGTCCGTTTAAGAGACACTTCTGGCGATGTCTTCGCACTGAAGGTCGATCAGGGTTCATTCTTATGACTCGCAGTAGCTGTCTGCTACTAACGGTCGATCTCTGTCAAAGGCAAGTGAAAAGCTGGTTTAATGGTAACCAGGTCGAGATGGGGATCCAGCTTGACAAGGTCGTCTACTTATACAAAAGGTATCTGCAGTACTACGCAGTAATGCGAGATCGTTCATTGGCTAGATAAGGTGAAACGATATCTGGGCAAGGTAACAGCGAGGAAGTAATATGTATGAGAAAGCTGAGTAAGGTCGTGAGAGATAATCAGTACTAATGGGGATAACGAGTCGTGTATCAGACGAGGTAAAGATGAGGCGTACATGCATGTCTTGCATGCGCGATAAAAAGAAGGTCCGGAGTTGGATCCGGTGTAACCCTAGACTAGGGGTTCTGGACATCCGGGTAAAAGAATTGGAGGTTGCGCTCCGATGAGTCACGTGTTGGATCACGTGGTCTGGTAACGTAAAGGGAACAAGGAAAAGAAAAGAGAAGATGCGCCACAAGTGAGGAGCGTTGTAACATCAGCTCCCATCTAACGTTTCTTGTCCACAAGAAATATCGTGATTTTCATCATCGTCGGGGGCAGTCACGGACATAATGATCTCCTCCGCATCTGTAGCATGTCCGCCGGTTGGTTCGTAATCCTTGTTCGGGGATACGTCCATCCCTGTAGGGATGACTGCGATGCAAAGAAGTGGATGCAGTCGAGAAAGATGGTTGTGATAACGGAGATCGTCCACTGGGTACGTGCGAACGAGGAGGGCGAGGTCGAACGGGAATTGGTTCTGGCGACGAGCGAGGAGTGGATGCGGGTATTCCATTAGTGGTGTATCTGAGGATGTGTCCGATGTCTTCGTCCCCATGCTCCCTCCAAATCTCCTGTGCTGTACGAGTGACCGTACTGCGCATCAATGACCAGACTTGGTCGACTCTGGTTCGGGCCCTACTCATCCTTTCCTCTGGTGCGATAAGCTCTTTGTCTGGCCGTCTGCATCCACTCGACCATTTCTAATGCTCGTTGCATGGAAACCACTGCTTGTCGATCTTGCGGACGATTTCGTAAGGCGACAAGGATATCTGTGAAGTCGACAGGGACACAGATAGCCGAGACCAGACGTGTGGCAAATTCTTGTTCGTCCGATGCGTGACTGAGTTCGATAGAAGGTGAGGGTGATGAGGCGCGGGATAAAGGGTGTCTGTGCTCGAGAGGGTACTCCATTGACAAGCGTAGGCGATGCAGGTATGCTCATAATTGTGGAGGCGACTTCAGCGAGTATATTGTGAACAAGGTCGTCTATAGCGGAAGTGGGGCATTGATGATATGTCGTCTTCTCCCCCTTTTATACCTTCGGTCATTAAGGGGATCGCGGTTATCTGTGATGTGAAATAGAATGTCATGGATCCGGGTAATAATCAAGTAGATGAAAATCCATTGGACGATAAAGAGTATTCCCACAGAGATAAGAGCTGCCTGTTCAGTTCCAGGCATCGTTCTGATCACCCCAGCCGTTAGCGTGCGGGCTGTCTCGTGTGAAGAGTGTGTGTTGGACAAGTCATCTGATAAGGATTTGGTGGACGATCCAAAGAAAAGTGAGGGTTGTGCAGTGGAGGACGATTAGGAAGATGATGAGGAAAACCGTTGTGGTAGTCATTCCGGGTTTCTTCTCCTCTACTGGATTCCCCTGGTCCTTTTATATGCATCGAGGATTCGCTTGGCATTCTGTAAATTGTGGGTAGGTTCCCATGAGTTTTCTGCTGAAGAATATCCTTTCCACTTGACTAAGTACCTCAGATGACCTCGGTACGTCTTGTGATTCAGGATGGCTTCGACTTCGTACTCTTCTTCATTATCAACGACATCAGGTGGTGGGTTCACATAATTCGGACCATGTATGTCGTTTTCGTGATAAGGAGATAGAATGGCGGTGTGGAATACGGAATGAACTCGCCAGGTCTTCGGGAGTTTGAGACGATAGTTGGCTGGTCCGATGACTTCGACAATTTCGAATGGCCCCTCACACTTTGGTGCTATCTTGCGCGAGGCGTAATTGACCTTCAGGTTCCTCGAGTCTAGCCAGACCTTCTGTCCTAATGTAAACTTCGGCGATCCTTGTCTGACTCGGTCCGCCATCTGTTGTTGGGCTAACTCGTGCATGGCTAGTGCTTCTAGTCTTATCTTCTGCAACATGTCAAGCCTGGATTCAACCGATGGAATGTTTGTGGTCGGGAATACGGAAGGGAGTCCACGTGGTTCGTATCCCATCATGATGCGGAATGGGCTCATCTTTCATGCCGAGTGTTCCCTTGTGTTATGACAAAACTCGAGGTCTGGCAGGCGGTCGGCCCATGTTTCAGGGTTGTTTCCGCAATAGAGTCGAAGATAGATTTCCAGCTCCTGGTTGACTCGCTCTGTTTCTCCATCCGTCTGAGGGTGATAAGCTGTGCTCATTGATGATCTGATCTGGAGTAGTCGATTTAACTCTTGGAAGACCTTGGATGCATATTGAGGTCCTTTATCCGAGATGGTTCAGTCGGGTAATCCAAATCGTGAGTATACTTTGTCATGAAAAATCTTGGCAGTTCCTTCGGCTGTGATCGTTTTGAGGCAGGGCGTAAGAATCACCCCCTTCGTAAGGTCATGGTCTACTACAACCATAATTGAATCAAAACCGTTGGAAACGGGGAGGTCAGTAATAAAATCGGTGGTGCAACAGGAAAATGGTAATGCGTGTGGGTCGGCGGGAATTGGTTCCAAAGGAATATGAGTTGGATGAGTATTCGGTTTCATTTGTTGACAGGTGGCACAGCCTTCAACATAATTGTAGACAAATGTATACATGCCGGGCCACCAGAATTCACGACGTAACAGTTCAAGAGTATTGAACTTTCCAGGGTGACCCATGGCAGGGGAGTCGTGATGTAGTTGAACGAGGTCACGACGAAGAGTTTTGGATGGTGGAATGTAGATCTTTCCCTTGTAGAGGATGACACCATCGCGAACTTCCCAGTCGGAAAGCGATGATTTCATGGGGAATGGCCCTTTGTGCGCAATCGCTTCGAGGGCTTCATGAACAATGAGGTCTTTTGCTGCGTGATTTCTGATTTCGTTGAATAGTGTCGGAGAAATGGATCACACGAATAGTGCGTTGGGTAAAAGAACGTGATCTTCGTTGTCACTTTCACTGTCATCGAGTCTGTTACGACGAGATAGCGCATCAGATTGGATCATCTGAGTGCCAGGGACATGGATGAGGTGAAGATCAAATTGTGATAATTTGAGACTCCATCGTGCTTGTCGGCGGTTTAACTTCTGAGCTGTACGGAAGTACGTGAGGTTCTTGTGATCACTGCGAACTTCGATGGGATGGGGAGAGCCTTCAAGATAATGGCGCCATTCAGTGAGGGCTCGAATGATTCCGAGGAGTTCGCGGTCGTAGATTTCGTAGTTCCATTCAGCTGGATTGAGCGTCTGTGAAATGTAGGGCACAAGGATGGAGGTCTCCATTGATGTCGGCTTGGCGTAAAACTACACCCGTAGCAAACTTGGAAGCGTCAGATTCAACAATAAAGGGTTTTGCCTTGTCAGGCAGTAACAGTACTGGGGCGGTACTGAATCGTTGCTTCAATGTGTCGAAAGCTGTCTGACATTCTGTTGTCCATTCAAAAGGTGAAGATCCAGCGGCAGTGCGCGTAAGATTCGTCAATGGTTTGGCAATATCCGAGAAGTTGGCAATAAACTTCCGATAGAAGTTTCCAAACCCTAGGAAAGAGCGAACACCTTTTACTGTGCTTGGTTCAGGCCATTCTGCAATTCCTTTAAGTTTGATAGGGTCCATGCCAATGTAGTTTTCTCGAATGATCATGCCTAGGAATTCGACTTCTTTAACGTCAAAGAAACACTTTTCCGGTTTAAGGAATAAGTCGTTGTCTTTGAGTCGTTGGAGTATGCGTCGGGTTCGAACGTGATGTTCTTCCAAATCGTTTGAGAAGATGAGGATATCATCCATGTAAATGACTATCCATTTCTCATCGATTATGTCCTTGAAGAGTACATTCATCATCATTTGGAAAGTCGCCGGGGAGTTGCAGAGTCCAAAGAACATGACCATAGGTTTGAAAAGTTCGCGATTTGTCTTAAATGCGCCCTTCCATTGGTCATCATCTTTGATTCTGACATTGTTATATCCGGAGCGTAAATCCATTTTCGTAAAGATCGATGCGCCTTTGAATTGATCCATAAGGTCAGAGATGAGCGGAAGAGGGTAGGCATTCTTCACCGTCCCTTCAATCAGGTATCGGTAATCCTGACAGGGACGTAGTGCTCCATCTTTCTTTCCTACGAAGAAAAATGGTGAAGCCATGGGAGATTTCGACGGTCGGATGTATCCTTTTTGCAGATTTTCTTCCAGGAAGTCATCCATCGCTCCTTGTTCTTTGAGCGATAACGGATAGATTTTACAGTCGCGTGGAATAAAATTGGGTTTCAAGTCAATGGTGTGGTCCCAAGGCCTGGTTTCTGGAAAGTGTTCAGCTGCTTTCTTTTCGAAGACGGACTTCAAATCATGGAGGTAGTTGGGGACCAACTCCTCAACAGTTTTGGGTTTGTCTACAGCCGATGCTTTCTTATGTGCCTGTTGTGCCAATTCTTGTGATTTACCGGATGGTTTGTAAAAGACCGTATTCTGTGCGTTACAGAATAATGGGGATCGAGTACTGTGTGTCATTCTTCCAATGGCTGGGCCTCTTCGTATGGTGAAGACTGCAGTTTCAGTCTCTTCATTCATCAAAGGTGACTCCTTCCTGATGGGTTCAAATATCCCAATAACTGGCTCTCCTGCAATATAGGAGATAACTAGATCGTTGTCATCGAGCTGATCCATAGAGGGTTCTGATGGTGGGTCATCTGATTCGGTATCATTCTGCACTGCAGGTAACTCGCCACGCTCAGTGTTATCGGCCATGATTTCTCTGATAGATTCCGAATGCCCAAACGAGATAGGGGAAGTTTTGGTGTTGATTAACTCTGGGAGTCCATCTTCCTTGAAAATCGAAACTTCTTCATCTGGTGCATTTTCGACGATGGGTTTCGGTGGCCATTTGGCGTCTTTACCAAACCAAAAGTCACCGGTTTCCCAGTTGATCATCGGATTGAGGCGTTTAAGCCACGGCATGCCGAGAAGTATGTTTTCTTTGCCAATGCCGGTCAAGAGGAAGCAAGTAAGTGTCTTCCTTCCTCCGATTTTCATCATCTTCCAGGTACAATGAGTAATGGTACCCATTTGATTTGGTGTGCCATCTGCATTCATGACTTTAATCGGTTTCGGTAATTCCCATCTGATGAAATCATTTTCTTCTGCAAAACGAATGTTCATGAACGTTTCGGCTGCACCGAAATCGATCAAGGCTTCTGTTGTAACGTCTTTCTTCTCTCTCAACGAAATATTCACAGTAATTGAATTTCCGCTAGTGTTACAAATAACGAGGGGAGATACGGTAAGATGTGACGGTCCATGCATTACTAGTGGCCGTCGTCTCAAAAACCCAATTGGGTTCGTTCTTCATCAGTCATGTCGTTGAAGACGTTTCGCACATAGGCGATCTGTTCCTCTCTGGTTTCTTCCTTCGACGTCTCCTTCTTCTGTGCGAGGTCTTCTCGCATCTTCTTGATCCATGTGATCGTGTCTGTGTCCAACCCGGGCTGTATCGTTCTAGCACGGGTGAAACTTCCAGACTGGGGGTGGAATTGTCTGTCGTTGGCTATATGGCCCTTCTTTCCGCATAGGAAACATAATCCTTCTTTCATTCTCTTCTGTCGCTCGTCCGGGGATAAGCGCGAGATATTGACACGGTCAACATCCATCGCATTTGGATCCTTTGCAGAAGCCGAGTAGTAGGGACGATGGACAGGTCGGCCTTTTCCTCGTGTTGTCGTAGTGGCTCCTCGCTTGAAGATCTGAGCAGATCTCCATTGGTTGTCAAATCGTGAGGTGTATTCGTACCACTTGTCAAGTGTCTTGGGCATGCTTTCCATCCCATATATCCTTTGTCGGAGTGGGTCGTTAAGCCCCCACTTGAAATACTCGATATTTTCGGCATCTTCTAGTTTCGCCTTGGATTCAAGCGATCGGAATTCGGCAATGTAGTTGTCCGCAGTACGAGTTCCTTGCTTGATGTTATGCAGCAAGGTACAAGCGGTTTCTTCAATATTTTCATCGCCAAATGCTTTGTTCACACTCGCAATGAAGTCTCTCCAACTCCCATAAGAAAGGAAGTCGTCATTGGTGAGTTCCGTCTCTATGAAGCTCTGTGCCCATGATCCTGCTGTTCCTCCTTGCATGTGCGATAGCACGAATGCAATCTTCTGATTGTCCTCCTGGTAGACATGGCTATTTCCGGCCATGTAGTTCTTGCATTGGTTTATAAATTCCCTAAGCTTCGAACAGTCTGAACTGTTGAAGATCTCGGGTTTTCTAAAACCAAGTTCCTTCTGGCTGACATGGTGGCGTCCTTCATCCATGGTAACTGTAGCCATTGGTGGTATGTAATCGGATATGGTTGGTGCAAGAGTCGGTTGGAGTACGGGATTCTGGACAGGGAGGTTTCAAGGGGCGTCTGGTCTTTCTCCTGGATAAGAGATAGGTATGCCACTGTCTGCGATGTGTGATAGTACGAGCCCTCCAACGTTATGGGGTAGGCCTGCTTCGTAGTCACCACTTGGGTGATCAATGTGTTGATCTGGTCTGATGAGTAAAGGTCGCCCGTTTAAAATGTGTACGTTCCTCTGTGCGTCCCACTCTGCCTGAGATGGGAGGAGATCGATGTATTGCTTGGGAAGAGCAGTCGGGTTGATAAAGTTCAAATCCAGCGTGGATAAATTCCCCTGTGTGGCCTACGTCTACACGTAGACTGCACACCGTCCTTAACTAAGTGGGTTCGTTCGTCGTCGGCTAACAAGCCCATAGAGTGTCTTCTGCCTTCAAACTGATACACCTATTTGCTGATTGCTCGAGTGATTACCTCAGCCTCCTCGGCCTATTGGTCACTCGGACAGACCCCTCTCCGAAGATGAGTGATCAGTCTATCCCTTCAGCTACCTCGATTACAGAGTAATCTCAAACGGTGCTTTAGCAATCGAATCGGGTGTATCATTTAGTCTTCAAGGTTCGGTCCGGTCGGTAGTTCATTGTTAGACTTTAGGAAGTCACAGAGAGTAATAAGATCTCGACCTAATGTTACGTGGCAGCAAAACATGAGCGTCAAGTCGAGTCGTCACGAGACAAGGTCTTAGTCTAAGACACAAGTCCGTTTAAGAGACACTTCTGGCGATGTCTTCGCACTGAAGGTCGATCAGGGTTCATTCTTATGACTCGCAGTAGCTGTCTGCTACTAACGGTCGATCTCTGTCAAAGGCAAGTGAAAAGCTGGTTTAATGGTAACCAGGTCGAGATGGGGATCCAGCTTGACAAGGTCGTCTACTTATACAAAAGGTATCTGCAGTACTACGCAGTAATGCGAGATCGTTCATTGGCTAGATAAGGTGAAACGATATCTGGGCAAGGTAACAGCGAGGAAGTAATATGTATGAGAAAGCTGAGTAAGGTCGTGAGAGATAATCAGTACTAATGGGGATAACGAGTCGTGTATCAGAACGAGGTAAAGATGAGGCGTACATGCATGTCTTGCATGCGCGATAAAAAGAAGGTCCGGAGTTGGATCCGGTGTAACCCTAGACTAGGGGTTCTGGACATCCGGGTAAAGAATTGGAGGTTGCGCTCCGATGAGTCACGTGTTGGATCACGTGGTCTGGTAACGTAAAGGGAACAAGGAAAAGAAAAAGAGAAGATGCGCCACAAGTGAGGAGCGTTGTAACACACATCGCCTTCAGGAATATCGACTCCCTTCGCCACATGATACAGGTTGCCCTCGACGAGATTCAGCGGCAGACAGGTTGGGTCGGGATAGTTCTAGTTAGAGGTCCAGAGCCGAAGCGCGGTGGCAGCAACATCTATTATTGGTGAGTCCCCACGCACACACGAGGAGGGGCGGTGTCCTAACGCACGATTATCAGCTTCGGGACTCAGACCGCCCACCTGAAGAGCACGTTTCTGCAATACCACCTAGACTTTGAAGACCACATCGCGCAACCGTTCGCTCAGTATCTACAGGCTTCATTCCGTAAGTCTACAACTTCATTCGCTGTGCGTTATCTGGACTAATCGCAAGTTCTGCAGCAGCCGACGTTCGCGCCAAAATGGCTCTACCCACTGTCCCGCCTTTGACGAGCGCCACTGTGCAAATCAGCATGGATGGCACATCTTTCATCGTCTCCTCCACAGCCAGTGGTTCCATTGGCTCAACAATCGCAACGTTGGCATCCTTGGATACCGATGGGGCCCATGTGCAGGCTTCAGCATCGTCTGCTCCGACCGTTGCATCTTCCTCCTCAGCACCTGCCTCTGCAACGGTACAAGTCACCGTCGATGCCAGCACTCCGCTCTCACTGAACATCCGTGCGACCGCCTCTGCCAATGTGACTAATGGATCCATGTCAACGTCGGCCGTCGTGAACGTTGTGTCACCTCTCCACTCGCATGCTGCAAATTGCCCCGACAGCCTGGTCACTCGCTCACCAAGTTATGGATGGAGCCGCAGCAATTCGTTTGAGGAGGAGCGGCTCGCCAACATTGCGAGGAACAAAGCGGCTCTCGCACTGCTCAGCAACTTCACTCTGCCTACAGCGCAGCTGAAGAAGACTTGCAAGAAGGCCGCAAAGGGCTTACCAGTGACTCGCAATTTGGGCCACCTCTCCAGTGGTCAAGATCTTTTGAATGACACAGACAACTCCCCGGACTCTCAGTTTGAAGCCGCAAACCCTTTGGCACCTGCTCCTGTTGCACCCGTGCCCCAGGTCAATGTCATTCTCACTGTCATTGTCGCACCTGTGCCAGAGATCGTCGGCCCTCGCACTCCTGTTGTGCAGTCTTCAGCGCCCATCTCACCGGCACCAGATATTGTCAACCCTCCTGCTGTTATCACGCCTGCACCTGCTGCGCCCATGCCTGACATCACTGCACTTCCAGCTCCCATTCCCCTTGTGCTTCTGTGCACTCATGCCATGGCACCTGCGCCTGATGTCATCGCCCCTCCTGACATCATCGCACCTCTGGCTCAGCCTATCCCCGCTCTACCTGTTCCCTCTGTCATCGAGGTCATCCCCACCGCTGCTCCTGAGCTAGATCACATGGCCAAGCCTGCAGTCTGCCTCTCGTTGTCCCTCTCAGACGACTCGCACCCGCTGTGGCTGCAGAAGGCTTTGCAGGTCGTCCGCATTTTGCATGGAGTACCGGATAGCTGGGTGAACCTTCTTGAAGCCTTCATCATCTTTGAGTCGCAGTCGGGCTATCCGACAAAAAGGGCAAGTCTTATTTCTTTCCCTTCCGAAGCTACACTAACTTATACACACAGACTCACTACTCTAAGGAAATATATGATGCATGTCCGAGCGCTGTGGGCGCGTGGATGACGTATGGGCGGAAGTATGAAGTGGCCCCCCACGGCATCGGCAGGGCATCGGAAATGCGCGTCGGCTTCCATGATTGGTGGACGGCCCTGCAACCCACTCCCAGGTCTAGTGCCGAATGGCCCTTTCCTCAAGATGCCTTGGCCATGGCGGGCAACTGGGGCTCACTGTTGCAGGCAGGTGACAACAGTTTCTTTTTGATTATTATGTATCTCTGGTGGTGGGGTAGCGTACTTGAATGCGAAGACAAGGACGAGGGGCATCGGTTTTGAGATTACATTGCAGATGTGCGCTGAGTACTGGTGGCGATGACTGGCAATCTATGCCTGTCGTCATCTGCCAAGCGTAAGTCAGATGCTGTTACCAATCATGTGGCGAAGAAACCGAGGACCTGATGTTGCTTAATTGTCCCTACAGTAGTTGTAAAGCACAGCAATGATATGTTTTGGTGGTGATAACATATGCCTAAACAGGAAATCCGCATTCCGGTGCGCCGAAATGGTATTGGAGCAGGGTCGGTCAGCCACCCGGGCACATCGCTACATTTGGTAATGGGTGGGCGGGTGAGCACAGGACCAGAGACGGGTGGGTATGGGTTGGTACGGTTTGCACAAAGTACCCAAGTAATACAGCAAGAGACCTTGTAATACAACACTACTGACTTCCTGTAATACAGAGTGTTAAACCACTCTGGTCTATGTACACTTCAGTCTGTTGGCTACTACCACACTATGTTATACTAGGCAGGTAAGTATCATTGTCCAGATGGAGTCTGGGTCAGCAGACTCTAGCCAGGCCTCCCAGTGGTCTCTTTTGGCTGCTTGTATCTCATCTTCATAGCAGTTGCGGGCCTTGCGGTACTGTGCATGGGAGGGGTGATCTCGAGACAGGTGATTCTTGTAGGATGTTCTCGCCAGTCGTTGTACTGCCTTCTGTGTTTTCGCAAGGTCCTTGGACCACCAGCACTTGGTGAATGGTGAGGGTTTCGACAGGGGTACCTTCACTTTGACCGTCTCTGAAATCACATCAGAAAGGCTTTTTAGAGCAGTGGTGAATTGCTCTGTTGTCGCTATCTCCATGTTCCCCAGAAGGTGAGAGTTGAGGGTGGTCTTCAGGTATTCACAGAAATCGTCCCAGTCTATTTCATGAAAGTTGCGATGAGGGGCTTCCTAGGAGGTGCGAGTGGAGATGTCGAGCTCAAAGGAGATGGGGAAGTGGTCAGTATGAGGCGGGTGAAGATGTGGGGCTGTATCACATGAGATGAGGCATTCCGCTATATCTGGGGAAGCAGACACATTGTCTGGCCGAGTGTAGTTCTTCGACGTGGTGACTTCCAAGGTCAGGATTCCGTGGGGGAGTAGCATGGCAAGGTCAAAAGCAATGATGTTGTCGAGGAGTGGTTGCACTTTCGTGAGAGCCTCATGTGTGAAAAGGTGGTGGTTCCACTCTTCGTCCCACATCCAGCTGTACTTACTAGAAATGTTAACATTGTATGGCTAGAGCCAGCAGAGTAGTGTGTACATATGCCAATAGCATTTTACATGCTGTTTTACAATGGCCATGGGCTGTAAAACAGTCCATAGGCTCTGTAAAACTCTTACAGGGTGTTAGCCAGTGCACTGTAATACAGCCAATGCATAATACAGCCCAGACGGCCAGTTGACTCCGGGGCCGAGGCCAGATTCAGCTTAATAATTACTAGCGTGCTGCACCCTAATATGGAATAGGGCGATGGGCGAGATGGCAGCTGCGGGATACCCAACATGGTATGTTATTCTCACATTTTCTGGACTTTCTGCACTCGAAACTGTTACCCTTTCCTTGCAGCACTGCAGCTGTGAGCACATATATCTCATAGGGGGACATACTGTAGGCATAGAGGTACACATAGAAAACATATTAGAGCATGGCAGATCTCCACATGTACGCAGAAAAGCAGAAAATAAAATAAAAACATACTGCTTGCCATTGCAAAACCTGTACCTGCAGTTGCAAAAAACACCTCGCCAGAACATGCTAGTCAGAGTCAAAACCCCCGTCGTCATCTCGAGCATCTCCCACTTCCACAGGATTGACATCATCTTCCCAGTCGGACTCGCTGCCATCAGAATTGCACCCGCTGGGGGCATCTGCGTCCGGCACGCTGTCATTCTGGCTCTCCGATGCAAAGACTGCATCCACGCCAAGTATGCGGGGCATGACATCAGGAGCATCGGGAGCAGCTGAGACAGCATAGGAAGTGGGCGCACTTGTCATGGCGGGACGATGAATGTCGGCGCTCGTTGGGGATACAGGCAGGTATTGATGGATCCAGCCATGCACGATGTGCGCCTTCGCGAGGACAGGCTGCCAATGTTTCGACCACTTCTGAACCAGACGTAGTCAGATTGACGCTTGCTTCGCTGCGTATGTGCAATGCCCGGCCACAATATCAGTTCGACCCTCACGATGGTGACCTTGAGAAAGCCACCAGGCAGCTTTCTGTGTCAGAAACTCCAGCGATCAGTGCATCTCATCGACAAGGGTCTTCCATTCTTCCTCCCACCGATCTGCTCGCACAACAGTCTTCGCCCACTCGACATGCAAGTGATCATCATTGTCCTCTGGCGCAGTGCTGTCTTGCACAGATGTGGGGTCTTCCTGGGCAACAGCGGCTTGCTCTGGCATGGATGCGAGGTCTTGCTGGGCCAACGTGGTAGGCGCCCGAGACGTACGACAAGGTACCAGCCAAATCCACGATGGTTCGTGGTGGCCTTCACTTCTCTCGTTCTCCTCCCATGCAGGACCTCGATTATCTCCGTCTTTAAATTCTTGAAACCTTATCTTCCACTCCCCGCCTGGATCCAGCACTAGGAGCGCATGGCAAGTGTCATGATATCGAGCAATGGTGAGGGCAATCTTCAGGTTGAACACACGGATGTTCGTCTTCGAGCACGTATTTGCCTTCTTGCCCATACTGGCAATATTGATCCTGTACTTGGCAAGAAGCCTGGCATAGATCCGACGCAGATGGCGAATGTCTTCCAGGGCATCCTCGACTTGAGCCATGTGGAAGTGGTGCTCCTTCTCGATGATGCCACCACGACAGCCCACTTCGTGCTGAGCCTGTGCAAGCTCGGAGGGTAGGTATAGCTTGAGATCTTCAGCGTGAATGAGTGGGCTTGCGTCAGCGCTCTCAGGAAGGGAGTCGACGCCACTGACAATGATGCTCACGTGGTTCATCCAGGAGACCTCAGTCACCCCCTATGTGCACTAGTATTTTTCCTTAGCACCTGCCATTCGTCCCACACGTCGTGCTCACCATGTGTCGGCTCGAGCTCATCGTTGCTGATGACAAGCTCCATTACATGCTCAAAAAATTCTCCTAAATATTTTCATCCAGATTCACATGCTCATTCGATTGCAGGGCCAATGCTTTGCAGTGTGTGGGCCTGACCTTGCATTGAATAAATCTTCCACACTGAACACTTCTTCTTCAAAGTGTGTAAACCACAATTGCAATGTCAACGAGGATACAGTGCAGCTTATGTGAGGTTGTACACCTGTGACATCTCATCTTCTTGACTATCTCCGGGTTCTTGAATCTGCACGCTACATAGTGTTCAATCCATGGTTGAATGACATGCTCTGGGGCTAGTACATAGTACAGTGTTAATGAGGGGGGTAAATACTACACTTAGTGAAGCATGACTTACGACATGGTACATAACCATTAAGACCCTCAGAATTTGGCATATTTTAAAGGACTTCCATGTATTCTAGCATCAAGAATCACCAAGAGACGAGTAAGCGAGAGCACACATTGCGTTTGTGATGCAGCGCGGGGCCAGTGATATCTCCGCATCAACTTCGACATTTTTGCCTCGCGAGCCTCCTACAGCAGCAACAACAGCCGGGTGGTACAAGATTTTTGGGTTATATGCTTACTACTGGTGTATGAATTCATTCAGATTATCGCTATACCTTACAAATTAATGCCCCGTGAGTGATGGTGCACCATTCTTGTGAGCTTAGCATCAGGAAAACCCAACTTTTACTTATGGGACTTATTCCGACTTTTTGTCCTTTTTTGCCTTATTTAAGGCCCATAAGTTTCCAAAAGTCGACTTTTAAGGCTCTAAGGAAATATGACTTATAGACTTTTTGTCCTTTTCTACCTTATTTAAGGCCCATAAGTGCATTTAAGTCACATAAGGACACCTTTAAGTAAAAGTTGGGTGTTCCTGATAGTAGTACCCAGAGTGTCACAGTGGTCTTGTCTGGCGAGGCACGTCGAATATGGAATATGCAAAGTGAATCTCATGCCTGCAAGGTAAAGATGGGTGGCACATGCTGCGAATTCTGACCTCAGTGCACGCTGTGCTGGCGATGTCACCTGGCAGGAGTGTTTTCATTTTGAACTGCATCACATATATTCGGCGCGCTTTCGGAGTGGATACTTGTCATTTTCGCTCTACAGGCTTCATTCCATTTTGTTGCCCTGAAGACTGATCATCACACGAGCTCTTGCATTGTTCTTCTGCCCTCTATGTTGGGTACGAGAGCCCCATCACTTAGAGTATCCAGGTGACTCTCGGATTGCCTCGTAGGCAGCATAACGGACAGGGTGACCAGATATCCTCAAGGTGAGTCAATGCTTAGTACAGGCCTAATTATGTCCGTTGCTATCCAGCGGTCCAGCACATGTCGCCTATCGCACGCTCATGACTACCCGTTCTTCGCGAAAACACCTATTACTGGGAACTACCTCCAGGTTTCATGCTTCCTGCACCCTGATGCGGACGCGGGAAGGTGCGTTCAACCTGTGCTTTTTCCCTTATTTCTCACCACCCATGGGCAACTAAGTTTCAATCATGCAGCTCACCTCTGTGACACTGTCATCGTCAGCATGGGTGAGGTAAGTACAATGTCACTCGCGATCCCTCCTCTCCTTCCTTATGCTACACTCATGGTCCAACCAGCCGCCATTTATCATCGTGGAACACTTCGTCGCCTGCGCTGTTCAAGACATTCTCTAATACAATCAAGATCAGTCTGTCATCCATTGAAGAGTCACCTGCACCGAAGAAAAATGAGATGCCAAGGTAAGTAAAATTGGTGAAATGCACTGTTTGCGATATTGATGAATGGTCGCCATCTAGCTTCTTCATGGAGATGTGAGTGCATCCATTGCCTTTTACTTGACTTGGTCATTCATGTTGTTTCTCAGGCTGAAAGCGGGCGCTTCTTCCTTTGTTGCACCTGCTCGCGCTGTGTGAGCTGTCCCTGTCATTTGCTGGGCTTCATCGTGCGTTGTGGACCTTACAGCAGTGCTTCTAGCTTTGGTTATGTGTGCCATACTCTCGCATCTATCAGCTTCACAGTGTCGATGATACAAGGTACCACAAGCTGCACTTCTTGGCAGTGAGAGGTGTCGGGTCACGAGAGGAAGGACCCGCAGCGCCTCATGATGAGCGTTCCATCTTGATTTTTTGTGCCTCCGAGGAAGGATCAAGACCTGATGCCTCTGCTATAGGTCTCGTCATGAATAGCGATGCGGCTGTAGCGTCGGAGACTGGAGAAACTGCAAGTTCAGCTCAGTTCGTGCACCATCCAATCCTGCATCAGGAGTTTGTACTTGTTAAAAAACACCGCTCGACTCGGAGTTCTCAACTTTATGTGGAGAGCGATCTGGATGGGGAGCAACCAGCCCGTCGGACTTGCGAAAATCCTCATCGAGTGGTCGTGAGTAAAGAATGCCCGTTCCACATCGACGCTCTACGACGGGCGCGTGTTCTCTTTCCCGCTGGATGCGGACATGTATCTCGTGCGCGAGGGCGACCTGTGTGTTCATGCTCTACTTCGATGTCTCCTTCACCTCCATGGCCAAGCCGATCCCACTGGACGTGGACATGTATCTCATGCGCGAGGTGACCTGATCCTCGTGGAGGTGTGGCCACTCGGCGGGAAGTCACCCACTGCGTGGTGCCTCAGTGTGGGCACACCCCTCAAGGGTAAGGGCCACCCGAAGGTCATGAGCTTCAGCACAGGCCTGGTGTCGGTGTCGACGCCATGGCCAGGTACTTGCAACTGTGCAACTTCTTGAACCAGGTCATCTACCGCGAGAGCATCTTACATGTTTATGATGAATACTTCTTGCTATGTACATAGTAATTAGTAGAATGAAAATATTTAGGAGAATTTTTTGAGCATGTAATGGAGCTTGTCATCAGCAATGATGAGCTCGAGCCGACGCATGGTGAGCACGACGTGCGGGACGAATGGCAGGTGCTAAGGAAAAATACTAGTACATGTAGGGGGTGACTGAGGTCTCCTGGATGAACCACGTGAGAGCCACGCGTCGGCATCACGGCATCTGTCCTTAAACGAACCGTAACCAAACAGGACCCCCGCGAATCCACTGAGAGCTCCGATGCACCCATCCCCGAAAAATGGGCGGCCGGAGGCAAAATGTTAGATCTCCGACCCCCGGAAATGGCGAAAAAGACGCCAAAAGTTGCATGCGAAACACCCCGAAATGTGACCCTCCAACCTGAGGTTAGGTCCAGAACCCCCGAACACTGAGGTTGGCTGGCGGATCTTTCAGGTTTCGGAGGATGGGCCTAAAGTTTAGCCATATGTGGTGGTTTGGGAGGAAAGTTTTAGTAATTTGGCTCACAAAAGCTTGGGTTTTGCGCAGGAAGCGAAATTTTTGTTCCGCAGGCTGTCGAACGTAATTCTAGGTGGCCGAATGTTCGATCCCACATACCCCCGAAAACGGCCGACCCGCCGCCAGGTTGTGTGCAAACCCCCGAAACTGGGTGATCGGCCACCCCCGAGAAATGTCGTCGCCGGGATCGGAGCTCTTAGTTGATTCGCGGGGGTCCTAACCAAACGACCTCCATACAAAGGACACTTTCGAGGAGCACATCTAGTGAGACCCGATCTGCATCATCGTAGTTTCATGGAAGGAGGTACAATAAACACGAGATGAACACAGTGTACCTACCAATAGCGCGCCTCATTCCAACCATAGAGCGGTGACGTGGAATGGCCTAAGCTGTGCATTGAAATGATATCAAATTTGAACACTGTTCAAGCGAGAAGTTACCTGTTGACTCTCCATAAGTAGGGAAGATTTGACTATGAGTATTGACCAATGAAGGCGCGCGAACGAGCTCAAGCACTCAGGCTGAGTGATGTGTCCTAATGCTTCGAGATCTCGTGAGCTCAGTAAAGAAAACTGCAGAAGTAGTCTCGAGGTCCATCTCAGATAAGGCGACTTCCGCTGTAAATCCACGAGCACATTTCGACCGCATGCATTCATCGTAATACATTACTTCCACTAGCTGATTGAGACTTCGCAATACCTAGGCATCACTCAGCTGTCCAACAGCGCAGCCGCCTTGCGCGCGTTTGCCTTGATGCTCTCCACCTGCAATTCGAGGTTCCTGATCTGTGCACGGGCCTCGCGAAGCTCGGCATTGAGTCGCGCGTTCTCATCCTTCAGCATAGAGACGGACGGTTCCTGGGGAGAGACTCTCTCAGAGCTGTTTACGATGATAAACCACGAAATCGACATACATCTTCCGGGATGGTCTGAGACCTCACGAGCATCCTCAGTTCGGCCGGGCTGATAGGGCTCGGATCAGACTTAATCACGACAGGTGAAGGTGTTGGGTCCACATGAATGGAGATAGCTGGAACAGGCACAGGAGCGGGGGCGGGGGCGGGAGCACTAGTTGATCTGGTCGGCGCCGGAGCGGCGTGCGGAGGTGGCGCCGAGGGTAAAGTAGAAGGAGGGGCGCCAAAAGAAATTGACCCGTTCTCCAGGCTGACAAGTTTCGGAGATGCTGTCTTTCCGGCAAAGAACTCACTAGGGGAGAGCGCCGGCTCAGAAGATGGAACAGGAGGATAGATGTCGGCCTGGAAGGATTCAGACTATACAGGTCGCATGTCTTCAGCATCCGATAAAACAGAATGAACTGGAAGGCTCTCATTACCTTGCGGGGAACGATGAAAGCAATTGCTTCAATGGAGGAACCCGCTACTTTATATGCTCGAGCGATCTCACACTCAGAGACGTTGAGGGCACGACGGGGAAGGAAGCACATCCCACGCTGAGGATCGGATGACTTGTACTCCGCCAGAGCGTAAAGCTGGTCATGCTCATACTCGTAGTATCTGATGTTACCGTCGCTGAAAGATGAAGATCGGTCAGTAGGTGAGATTCACGAAAACGCCGATTCATCCTACCCCTTGCCAGCTGCAATATTGAGAATGGTGAGGACGGTGTACAAAACCCCCATCATGTTACATACCGAGGAACAGGATGTTGTTGTCGGTCCAGAATGGCATAAGCACACCAGATGTTTGATCGATCGTCATTGTTTTGATGTTGGTCAACCCGCCGGTCTCCCACAGACCAACCTGCCTGTCGCTCATTCTGCTGAACCCGGTCGTCGCAATGCTATCTCTCTCCCCCATCCACGTAACGCGCGCACCCTGAACAAAACATTTAGTTGACTGCATTCACTTCGCACGACAATTCTCTACCTTTATACCCCCATGTCCTTCTCCCACACGCACCGCCTCCCCTCCAGCACGAGGATCGAACAGCCTGAGCTTCCTATCTCTGCATGTAGTGACCAGGAGGTTGCCCGCAGGGTTGAATGCAAGGCTCTGGATCGCATCGCCATGACCGCTGAGAACAGATCTCGGGTTCTCTGGATTCTCGAGATCCCACAGCTTCACAATATGGTCTCCTGTTGTGCTGGCAAGTACGTTATTCGCAGTCGGGTGGAACAGGACCTGTCCAACTCTGCGCGGCGAAACATCTAGTCGCGCAACCGGGTCAAAGTCTTGAGGTTCCCAGTGCTCCTGGCCCCACCCCTCGAAGACAGAGTCCTCGACCTTCCAGATCATGACCTTGCCATCCTCACCCGCAGATGCAACCACGGAGTCGTTGAACGGAGACCAGTCAGTATCCAGGACGGGTCCCGTGTGACTACGAGCCAACGGAATGAGTTCTGGAAGCTTGTAGGGGAATCCATGCGGCAAAGGACCGAAGGGTGTCGGAAGAGGAAGAATAGCAAAGGCACCTCCGCCTGAGGCATTCCAATTGATACTAATGTGCCGCTATGTGTATATCAGCAGCAAATATGGGCAGCTCGTAAAGATGGCACGCTCACGGAAGATGCAGCAATGAGATTCGTGTCCCACGCACTGTTTGAGGTTTTCACATTGTCGAAGCCGTGTTCCTTCTTCCCTTGCTGTCCAAAGACATGGCTGAATGGCTGCATATGTCTGTATGGCATTGACAGGAATCTGATCGCAATGCTTACCGATACTTGGACGCCCGTACAAAACGAGACATTCTTCTCCGTGAAGCTATCCGAATGTATAGGTAAAGATGAATGCTCTGTACCGGGCGGTTTGTCGTCAGTGGTCAATAGTACGCAGTAGCCTGAGTGAAGTGTAGCTGCTACTTTGATCAGGTTGATTTGAAGTTCGTTGCAATACCGTTGCAATACCAGTGCATTACCTCAAGAAAGTGGTCGTAAGAAAGGGCAGGTAAGCCTAAATATGCGGCCTGTAAGGTGCCAAATAGCTGCAGGTTACAAATTGTTGCAAGCCCATCCAGCCCGACTTACGATTCTGCTGCAATTACTCCGGTCTGCGCTCTCAGCCCGTCCGCTCGGGTTTCCGTGAGTCTACTCCTGCCTCTGTGTTCTGCCTTGAAAGTTCAGGGACTTCTCAAACTCATTCTACAACATGGCAGCTCTGCGATGGCTTTCTCGCTCGAAAGCTCCGTGCATGTCCGCGGTAGTAAATTCGGCGACAGCTAGTACCAGGGTGCGCCACCTTGCTACTGTGACTAGAGAAGTGCGTTTTGGCGTTCCTTCTTCGCGTTGAAGCTGCTAAATTATCTGGAATACCGTCGGATAGCTAAAGAAGACAGGATTATATGACTTTCATGTAGAAAATGGCGCGAAGATGGTGCCCTTCGCTGGGTATTCCATGCCTCTTTCGTATGGCAATGTCGGAGCAGGTACACGAGGTGTCCAAGTTTACAGTCCCCTTTCTTATACGTATTCAGTTGCAAGCCATGATCATGTGCGAGAATCCGTTGGCCTCTTCGATGTCGGCCACATGGTTCAGTCAAAGTAAGCTGCAGGTTTACTAAACCCGCGTCAGAGGTCTCATGATTGTATCAGTTTCCGCGGTCCTACTGCTACTGCTTTCCTCGAGTGGTTGACGCCATCGTCACTTTCTGCGTTATCTCCATATTCATCCACGCTGTCGGTCCTGCTGAACGAGAAGGGTGGCATAATCGATGACACGGTCATCACTAAGCACGCTGAAGACGCGTATTACGTTGTAACAAATGCTGGGCGTCGCGATCGTGACCTTGCATGGTTCAAAGGACGGGTGGCACTCTGGAACACCGGGGAAAAGGCGAAGCAATTTGGTCCAGTCGATCATGAAGTATTGGAAGGGTGGGGGCTTCTTGCTCTGCAAGGTCTGAGCGCCATGTTCACCACTTATTCCGTTTTTCCTTTAACATTTGTGCATAGGTCCCGAGGCTGCGCAATACCTGCAAGGACTCACGTCCTTCGACTTGCATGGACTAACGTTCGGCAAGTCAGCCTTCATGCCGATCGAGGGCTTCAATTTGCACGTCGCTCGCGGCGGATACACTGGTGAAGATGGATTCGAGGTTAGCCAAAAGCAAATCTTTCATATCTGCATGGCTAATCGTAGTCGTAATTTGGGCTACAGATCTCAATACCGCCATCGGAGACCGTGAAGGTTGCCAAGCTGTTGTCGAAGCAGCCGGTGCAACTCACAGGCCTTGGAGCTCGTGACAGTCTCCGTCTCGAGGCAGGCATGTGTCTGTACGGGCAGGACCTTGACGAAGACACCACCCCTGTTGAGGCGGGTCTGTCATGGGTGATCGGTATGTATCCGGGGGTCATTACCGGGTAGACAACCCTCAATTTTTTTCACACTACAGGGAAGGAGCGCCGTGAAACTGGCGACTTCATCGGCGCGGAAAGTGTGATTCAACACCTGAAGGATGGTCCGCCACGCAGGCGTGTGGGGTTGATAGTAGAAGGTGCTCCTGCAAGACGTAAGTTCTTCGGCTAGCTCGTCCACATAGGAATGCATAGATTCACCCGGGAAATAGAGGGTGCGCAGATTTATACTCCGAGCAGGGAGTTCATTGGTTAGCAGAACAGTTTCAATGTCAAGCTACTGCAGCTAACTTCGGTGCACGCAGGTACGGTTACCTCCGGAATTCCCTCGCCTACGCTGGGAAAGAACGTTGCTATGGGCTACGTGCAGTCAGGCTGGCACAAAAAGGGTACGGAGGTAGAAGTGGATGTGCGCAACAAGCTGCGGAAGGCGGTATTGACTTCTATGCCGTTTGTGAAGACGAGGTACTACAGAGGCTAGTAGCTTACGGCGATGGCTTCCGTCTGTCATTCACCTGCTAGGGGGAAGCGATATCGAGGAGAGGAAGTCGGAAGCGCCTACATCATTCCCCTGAGTAGATTTGCTTTGTCGACAATTTCATTGCTTAGAAGGCCCTGTGTATAAACCAAGCGTGACCGTGGCTAGCGCGAAACGTCTGTGACACTACGTGTTGGTATGTACCTATGAATTCGAAGTTCTTTGGTGATAGACTGATTTCCAACAGTCGGAGAATATCGAGGTGGCTCAAACATGGAAGTAATAGAAATAGTTTTTGAACCTTTTCATTCGCGCCACATTCGTACAACTCATCACAGCGAATTGATTCCGGGCCTTGGGACTAATCGGCACCAAGTAAGGTGAATCACGATCCGACGTGAAAGCAGGATGACCACACATCGCAGGTTGAGCACGTAGAGCGCGCATGTAAACGAAATGTTGTGAGACAGCTAGGCGAGGAGAAAGCAGTACCCGCAGCTTTAGCATTTGAGATCGGGACATACCATCAGGCCCGCAGCGATGACAATACATAAGTTAGACACGACGATATCGTCTACTGTGTTATGCGACTTGTCGGCCTGTTCGATGACAAAAAAGTCAACGTCTTTACCATGAGTACGTTAATGCTCAGTTAGCAAACCAAGTTCTGAGCTCATCGCAGTGAACTTGTAAGTCCTTTTTTGGAAGATGAGACTGGATCTGGCAGAATTCGCTGGAATAAACCGGAAACCACGTGATCAATCTAACTTAACCAAAAATTGGATCGAGCTCGCTGCCAGCGACGGCGAGCAGCCCTTCAAACCGACGAGTAACCGACGACACCTTCCTCGCAGACCCCTACGCATCCACATATTTACAGTCATGCTGCGCAAAACCCTCGCTCCCTCTGCTTCAAGGAGAACATTTGTGTTCCCTTCCACTCACGCACAGCATCCTCTCCTTCGAAGAACCCAGGCAACTCGTCTTCCAATATGCTCTCGGCTAGTCTTTCCAACCATCTCGACTCGTCTGTATGCTCAGATGCCTCCAGGTGGGGGAGGCGGAGGAGGTTTTCCGTCCTTTATGATGCAACCCCAACACCAGAAGGGTGACGCCCTCAAAGAATATGTGAGTACATGCTCCAGGGGTGCCCTTTGCCATAATACTTGACCGTACGTAGAGCGTAGACCTTACAGAACTAGCGAGAAATGGAAAGCTTGACCCTACGATTGGCCGAGACGAAGGTGTGTTCTCTGTTTCTTGCCATGCAGTCCTCCGTCTTAGACTTTCGTTTACTTCAGAGATCAGGAGGACTATTCAAAGTCAGTATCTCGATACATTCTGTATGGCTCATGCTGAATGGTGCCGTTTAAGTCTTGTCTCGACGGACAAAGTCCAATCCAGTGGTACGCACCTCGTTCTCTCGTACCGTTACGGTGCTCACTTGTTTTACGTAGCTCATCGGCCCTCCCGGGGTGGGTAAAACTGCCATTCTAGAAGGGCTGGCCAGCCGTATTGTAGCGAAGGAAGTACCAGAGGTACGTCCTTGTCCGCTTTAGTGTGCGAATCGGTCTTATTCACATTCTGTGCAGTCACTGCAAAATAAGCGCGTGCTCTCTATCGACCTTTCGGCCATCATGGCCGGGTCAGGGATTCGTGGACAATTTGAGGAGAAATTTAAGGCGCTCATTAAGGACATTGAGGACGAGGTGTGTGTACCATGTGTAGTATCGTGTGGTATCTGACAATTGGTCATGTAGGCTGGAAATGTTATTTGCTTTATCGACGAAGTCCGTGAGTCATGCCTACTGTAGTTTAAGCGAGCCTTGTTCTCTGACGGGTGTGCGGCAGACATGCTATTCAACCTCGGAAAATCGGAAGGAAGCATCGACGCCGGCCAGATGATCAAGCCTTCACTGGCTCGCGGTCTTCAGCTTGTAGGTGCCACCACTCGTAAGTTCCTCAGTTTTCGGCCTACTTCATCGAACAATCTCTCACCTGCCCGATTCTACAGCCGACGAATATCGTAAGACGATCGGTAAAGACGCGGCGCTGGAGCGACGATTCCAGCCAGTACAGATCGACGAGCCAACTGTAGAGGCAACAATATCAATTCTGCGAGGATTGAAGCCTCGGTACGAGGTGCACCACGGTGTAGGCATCGCGGATGCGGCGTTGGTAACGGCAGCGGTGTACAGCGCACGATACATCTCTGAGCGGTTTTTGCCTGACAAGGCGATTGACCTGGTGGACGAAGCGGCGTCGGCGCTGCGGCTGGCGCAGGAGTCGAAACCGGATGAACTAGACGCGCTGGACCGGGAGATTGTTACGCTTGAGATTGAGCGCGAGAGTTTACGGAACGAGGCGGACGTATTCAGTGTCGAGAGAAGGAAGAAGGTCGAGGAAACCTTAAGTGAGAAGCGTACAGAGGCGGAGCGGTTGACAGAAATTTGGCAAGCTGGTGTGTATCCGCCTGTAAGGTATGTGTTATCGTCATCTAATGATTTCCCCCGATCTCTCCAGAGCGTGCGCGCCTCCAGCGTCTGAAAGACTTAAAGCAGCAACTTGAAGATGCAAAGTATGAACTCGAGGTCGCCCAAAGGCAAGGCCACTATGAACGTGCATCGCAGCTGCGGTTCTCCGTCATCCCTGACTTGGAGCATCAACTACCAACGGAGACCGAGCGGACTGATGGTGAAGAGGATGAAGGACCACTGTCAATGCTGCACGATCGTGTCACGGCTGCGGATATCTCACGAGTTATCGCTAAAGCAACGGGTATTCCTGTACAGAATTTATTGAAGGGCGAGCGAGAGAAGCTTGTACACGTACGCAATTCGCTGCCATTAATCGTGGTTCTTTTCTCCTAACACCGATGCAGATGGAAGATACCCTCCGCCAGCGCGTTGTTGGCCAAGACCACGTTGTTACGGCCGTCAGTGACGCTGTCCGAATATCGCGCGCGGGTCTGCAGCCACCGAATCGTCCGGTCGCCTCTTTCCTGTTTTTGGGACCGACTGGCGTCGGCAAGGTGAGACAGCGTAGTTAGTTATAAGCAGAGGTCTCCAGCTCATTTTCGTACAGACAGAGTTGTGCAAAGCGTTGGCCGCATTCCTCTTCAACGACGAACAGCGTGGCTTGTGAGTCTGTGCCTCTCGCTAACTCTCGATGCTTATTCAATCTCCTACTTGTCAGAATCAATATTAACATGTCAGAGTATCACGACCGACATACAATATCCCGTCTGATCGGTGCCGCTCCGGGTTATGTTGGTTTTGAGGAAGGCGGTATGTGCTGTAAACTACCAGGAGGACCGCTATCTGACCGTCCCTTTGCAGGTCAGCTCACGGAAGCGGTTCGGCGTAAGCCGTATGGTGAGTAGTGAAAATTCCTGACATAAGCGTGAGGAATCTCACTGTCGTACATGCGTAGCTGTGATTCTACTTGATGAGCTGGAGAAAGCACATAAGGTTAGCCGCTGTGTCGGATGATGACTGGGCAGCTGATGATTCAACGTTCAGGATGTTGCAATGATTCTGTTGCAAATTCTTGATGAGGGCAGCATAACTGATTCACAAGGTAGGTCGGGCCCCGTTTCAATTAGAAATAAACCCTAACCCAAATTTTAGGTCGCAAAGTTGACTTCAAGGTATTTCTCCGAAATTCGCTTGTCGATGAATCGCTGTTGCTGACTCGTTATCATAGAACACGATCATCTGCTTGACGAGCAATTTGGGTGCGTATTATTGCGGTCCTTTGTGGTTATTTTTGTCTTTGAATTCTTCCTTCAGGAAGCGACATTCTCGCCCACAAGTCAGCGTCTGATAAGAACGGCGTAGTCACTACTGAAGCACGGGAAGAAGTTTTTGAACGCACTAGCGAATATTTTCCACCGGAACTTCTCAACCGGCTGGATTCAATGCTCGTCTTCAACAAGCTATCACCAGATTCTATTCTCAAGGTGGTGGACCTGCGCTTGGACGATGTTGCCGATCGGCTGAAGGCTCGTCGGATAACTATCAATGTTGATGCGGCTGCTCGGAATTGGCTGGCAGAGCAGGGGTATTCAGAGCTCTATGGCGCGCGCGCTATCGCCCGTATTGTCAGAACCAAGGTGCTGTTCCCACTAGCACAGAAGATGCTGAACGGCACGATCAGGTATAACAATGTTTTTCTGATGGGCTCACCGGTACTGATATTATTAAAAACTGTAGGGACGGTGATATTGTATCCATCCGTGTTAGTGCGGATGGCCAGTATCTGGACATCAAAGACAACCACGATCCCGACAGTTCCGTTATCTCTTCCAAACCAATCAACGCTCTTACTGATGATTAAGCGTTCGTTAACAATGCTTCACTTAATCTGCACCGCTACTATCAACTTCGAGTTGGATATCATCTAGAAAATGGGCCGTACGTCACGTATAATCAAACAATCTAATGGTTCGTGCTACTCTCTACTCCATCACCTCATGTAGCCATAGCGTATACAATCCATACTATAGCGTCACAATAAACTCCACTCACCACCGCAAAGACCAACGAGGAGAGCACTCATAGTGAACACTTCAAGATGTGCCAGAAATGGTTCTTTGTAGGCGAAAGCTCGCTGGGCATCCCGGTCCCTCCAAAGCAGTAGCCTCGAGCAAAATTTAGTAGTTGAAGCGGCGAATGCAGGGGCATAATATATCTGACTACCGTACCTATATCCGTGCTGCAATTGCTTGCCTCGGGAGAGTAACGTCGAGGCCTGTCATTAGACTTGTCCTAAGCCCACTGGGGCGAAGGCGAATATCATATTGTAAACGTTGTAAACATGGTTAATCGATCACCGCGGTCGGAAGTAGATTTGGAGACAGCCACAGGACAAATAAATAGCAATAACGCGCAGGTGAGCCACGCGGCTATGTTTGGTCTCTGTCGGACTTCCCGTTGGAACAAGGGATCCTGACTATAGTCTCCTGCACTTACGGAGAGAAGCAACATAGGGATGTGTTTCCTTCTGCTTTACATCCGTGTATCGCATGTATAGAATCGGTAAAGGTATCACAGCCTATCTGTCAATCGCGAAGGTGTGTGGACATGGCTGCAGGTATGTGTTTACAACCGCCCTTCGTGATATTTTGAAGGGTGCATATAGATCTTTATCTGAATATATAGCCTGTGTGCACTTTCTCCCTCGACTTGTTACTTCCTCATGAGAAAATTCATAGTCCGGATTCTGCATCGAACTTGTGAGTGAGCGCGTAATGCATGAACGTTCCATCTGACTTTGAACGTTCAGGTATCCAATACCGCATCCCATATATGTTGCAGCGGATATACATCTCCGTCCAACGTCAGGTTATCGTGCATGCGTTGCTCTACGTCATCAGCGAAAGCCGGAAAATTAGAATGTTACCGAGCAGCCGCTCGTGACACTGTATGCCCGTGTTTCCGTTCTTCGGTTCTTGACATTGCGTGCTCGTCTTACGAACGCTTTGCCCGTCGACACCCATTGACCTTTGAGCTTTCGGTGCATTCATTGGGGGATTTTTCCGGCCAAGGTTTTTCTGCATCCACTTTAATTCCGACGCTGAAGGCGACTCTTCGAGTGGATGGTTCTCTGCGCTCTTCTCCCGTCCTCTGTAATTATTATAGCACTCCTCCCGAGTCTAGCATCTCTTCGCGAAGCATCCCCGAGAGCTATTTCGAGTTGGAGAACCGGAGTAAGCACCGTGGTTCTCTCCCAAATTACGAGTAAGTAACTGCTCGCATTTAGTCGAGCCCGAATATTCACGGTCAAGTTTGCCTTCAATTCCTCTCCAAGAGTTGTTCTGTCTACATTCAGTCGGCCGATCGGTCTGACCATTGTCTAGCACAGTAGATTTCATTAGACCCGCTGAAGACTTTTATCCTACACGGTCGCAGATCGGACAGAAGGACAACCAGCCACGGTCTGACCGCCCGCTCCCGACCAGACAATTTCTACTTCCAGTCAAGCTCGTCGACGACCGCTCAAAGTGTATAAACGATCTTCTCCGCACTGACCTTGCCCTTCCGCATATACTGGAGGCCATCGCTGATGCTCTCCAGACCGCCTTCCCAGCGGTGGATGCGGTTGGGCGTGATCTGGCCCTGCGCGACTAGTGCGGGAACCTTCTTCAAAAACGCGGCCATGTGTGCGCGATCCGTGTGTGACGGAGGGTAGGACACGCCACCCAGCGTGAACGTGCGGCCGAGGGATGTGTAGATCAGCGTTGCTGCGCCGGCATATAGGTCAGTCGAGGCGTCAAGAACAGAACGGATACACGGAGCACGCACGCAACACCTCCACGTCGTCGCGAACCTTTGCCTCTGGAATTGGCGAGAGCACGAGAATGATCTTGCCTCCGCCCGGTGCCAAGGCGCGCGCGCAGAGCTCCTGCGTTTCCTTCGTGCAGATCGTGTCGAACGCGTGGCGGATCTGGTCTCCCGTCGCGTTCTTGATCTGCGATACCGCACTGGGACCGTGGTAGTCAAATACCACGTCGGCGCCGAGAGACTTGACCAGCTCAAAATTGTGTGGTGATGAGGTCGTGGCGACCTTGTAGCCCGACAAATGTGCAAGCTGGATCGCGTATTGGCCGACAGAGGCTGCGGGTAAGCTTCAGTGACCCAAGTCATACGGTGAAAGCCACTGGGGAAATTCACAGCTTCCGCTTGAGATGAAGATCCACTCCTCACGTTCCACTTTTCGTGGGGGCTCAACCAGCCCCAAGCGCGACGGCTCATACAGCGCCTGCACAGCGGTCCAGAACCTATATTACCATCGGTGAGATCCAGCCGTTACTTGTGTCCACATATAGCATACAGGCACTCACGCGCATCCCAGAGTCGCGGCCTCCTCGCAGCTGATGGTCCCCTCTGGAACCACCCAAGAGAGCTCGGCCGGGGTGCGTACGTACTCGGCGTATGCGCCGCTGTCAGTATACGTGCCGCCCTGGAGGAAGCCCGCGACCTGGTCACCGATTTTCGGGCTGGTGACGTTCTTTCCAACTGCTACGACGTAGCCTGACCAGTCGCAGCCGAGAATTGTGCCCGCGTTTCGTATAAAATCCACGTCTGACAGCCATGGGAAGTAGCATCAGTCAAGGCACGAGAGATGGAGACCGCGCTCGCACATTTCCAGTCGGTGGGGTTCTGCGCGACAGCGACGTTCTTGACGAGGATGTCATCATCGCCGACTGTTGGTACAGGGACCTCCTTGACTGCCACTTTCTTGCCCTGCCAAAATACAAGATCAGGTGACGTGGTTCGGCTAAAGAGCGCGAAACTCACCTCCTGAACGAGCAGCGCCTTCATTGTTGCTGGGACGGCGGTAGACATTCTCGACGAGCGAACAAAGCAGGATTGTAGTAAGTTAGCACGGGCGAGGTGGGTTCTTGATGCTTCGGTTATCGGGATGACGATTGAACTGTGTCCGTTCGGAGGTCGGTGCTTTTATAGCTGGAGAATAGCTCAGGCTGAACCACGCCACAATATCTCAGCTGCTCACGTGGAACGTTCTCGTACGTGCCCCCACGACATGGCGGCTCTCTTAGTCTACGACACCGTATCCTCGCCCAGCAGAGGCTGGACACGGGGATCGATAACGCGCATCTCGGCCGCATTAGTGATAGTACCACCATCAGGGTGCTCCTTGATTGGCTCCAACCCTTCTACCGGAGGGCCAGCGTTTTAGCAAGTGCACCTCTGCTGCTTACCACTCACGATCATGCAACTGCGGTCGACTTGCACTCCCCGGTCATCGTCCCGCAGTTCCCGAGGTTCATACGAGGCCTCTCCGCCGTAGACGACATACCTCATGCGTCTTCGATGTCCTTCGTATCCCCCTTTCAACGTATTGATCCCGGCGGGCTGCCACGGTTCGCAATCTTCGGTGCTTATAGCCATTATTTCCCCAACGTAGCTCTCCATCGATATATCATGTCTTCTCCATCGCCGATGGCTCAGCCTCTCAGCGGCCGTTGCCTGACGCGCATGGCCTCGCGAGCGCGTACGGGCGCTGGCGCGCCCTCCTCAGGATGCGAATTACCACGAATGCGCCACGGCGACTCACACCGGCACGGCGTACGTTCTCACTCGCAATTGGACCTGGATACCGGTGGTATTTCTATCATTTCTCGTGCCCTCAGCCGTATCTGCTATCCCGGACTGGAAGAGCTGCCTCTGCCTTTGGTTGCTTCTGCCGTTGCACTCCGCGATACAGGATGTCTTCGTTCTTGGCATGCGGACATCCTGAGATGCGCTCGGGACTTCGTTTTCTAGGTATGCTCACTGGGGTAGAACTTGCTGAAGCAAGCTTTTCATGCGATTCGTTCGGTGTCTGTGGTGGTTCGTGCTTGCGAGATAGCATGTGGGACAAGAATCTCCTCTGCCCACCCTGGATCCTTGGAAGAGACGCGTATCTGGACTGCCTCCACCGATTATCAGATAGATTCAGGCGCGGGTCTAGGGGTTAGCTCACAGATGCTACATGTCCTTGAAAAGGCTACGGAGATACCGGCTGCCGTCGACTCGTCGTAGTGACATTCAGTATAGACGACAACGGCTGTCTGCAACCGGCGGGAGATATCCATCGTCCGAAAGCTCGTCCGAACCGTCCCTGCACTCGCGAGCGTCTAAATTTCCAGACGCATTGCGCGAGGTCCGAGGTTCTTGTTGCAGACGCAGTCACTAAAGCTCCCGCGTCCGCCCGCAATACCGCCTGCTCGTCTCAGCCTCGCGGGGTGCAGCGTGGCTGGCTAGGACGAATTAAACGCGATCTCGGGCGCAATAGGCTCTTGCGCGATCGCATTATGACAGTCCCGCACCAGCCCCTCGACGCAATTTTGATGCAGGCAGCCTGCTTCGGAGGCACTTAATTGTGCCTCCCGTGCGAGGAGCGTATATATACGTTATATGCGCCCACATGCAGGCTTCGCATGATGCTACTCACTGCTCAATACAGTAACAGAACGGGTCGGTCGGTAGTTCGGTGGATCAGTGAAATTGACTCAGAATTAGAAGGGGGGAGTGGGGTATGCACAATTGCTCCCGCTTGCCGCCTCCGAGGCATAATTGCTACGATGGAGAAGTACCGTAAGACGGCAACGTGCACTTTACGGGCATATGCACGAGTCTCAAATGAATGCTCTGAAATCGCTACAGCCACCGCGGGCGCGGTCCTCATCTCTTCCGGGTGAGTCGTTGACCGGCCTCGAGCCTGCACGCGCCGCAGAAGAACAATATCTGAGCGTTCCTTCCTTCTGCCGATCGAGCATGCCTATACATGCCTCCGGGGAGGGCGAGATGGCATCGCGACACGACGCAGCTAATTGCGGCCGAGGCGTAGGAAGTAACGAGTAGGTACGGAATATGACCTTGTTAGGAACCTGCAGGCCGTAGCGGGGGCGGAACGCCTGGTAAGGTCTAACGATCGGGTGCGCGGGGGCAGTAAGCGGATGGCATTAAGATATAGGATACAGCGGGTGGACGTCCCGAGGACGCCGGGATATTGCTACAGGTTGCGGACAGCGGGGTATGGTGTATGCACGTTGCGCGGCTCGCCGCGCAGCACGCGTTCCGCACGAGCGGGGGAGTGGGTCGCAGTAACTTATGGGCGCACTAGTCGATGACGCCGAGGTGGTCCTCTTTTATCGTGCCGATGGCGAACTACGCGTACGGAAAGAACCACTCATCAGAATCACGAGGAAGGAGAGGGGAGGGGCCAGACGCACAATTTCGGTGGCGTCGACGCGTGTGCCGACAATCTTGAGCCGCACTCGTGTGTTTTTCTCGATGATCTGGTGAGAAATGGGCGTTAGCGGTGTCTGTACGTCGGTAACGCGACTCTGGAACACACCTGGTCCTGCGAGGCGAATGAGGGTGGATTCGAATTGGGCTGAAACTTCATCTCGGGGTGGATAAGCTAGCGCTACGTCAGCACAAGACATGGCTAAGTGGTTGGAGGTCCACGCACCTGATGTGACACGAACACGACTAGCGGCCCCACGTCTGCAAAAAAGCCCATCTACACGCCCGCAAGGTGCCCAACAACAACAGGTTCAACATCCGCACGACCGCCGCAGCGACATAGACGCGCTGGACGCACCTTGTTCACGTTGTTGACGACGCCGTCGACGACCTCGCCCTTGAAGGGCTTGAAGACGATGGCGCGGTAGCGGGTGATGAACTCGGCTTGTCCGCTGCCGCTAAGGACCATGCCCTTTCCGATGTCGAGGATGGAGACGACGGCGATGATGTAGCCGAACTGGCCAGAGCAGGTGCCCTCGACGTCAGCGTAGAGCTTGGATTCGAGGAACTGGAGCATGCGGGGGCCAAAGTAAGATGGATGCAGCAGGATCGTGTGCGACAGTTCTTTCTGTGCAAGTGTCAGCGGGCGTCACGGCGGACAACTGAGGAACTTACGATGAAGAACATGACGGCCGCTCCTGCCACCGTCAGTACAGTACGAACTAAGTACGAAGACTAGCGTTTTCTCGGCCGGAAGACAGATAATATCTTATATTTGTAAAGGGTATAAAACGTGCACGGCCGGCTAGCTCAGTTGGTTAGAGCGTGGTGCTAATAACGCCAAGGTCGTCGGTTCGATCCCGGCGTTGGCCAGATGTGAGAAGGACAGAATTTTTTTAAAGTTGGTTTTGGTACTGTAGCTCTAGCTTATATTTGTGGAAATTGACTTAGATTGTGCCACCACCATCATGTCGGTCAAACGAGCTCGCACACCGTCGCAGTTGTCGGAGATATTCTTCGAGTCTTCCCCCTCAACTGGCTCAGCCTCACCTACTCCCAAGGCAGCGCGTACCAGCCTTCCCTCGTCCTCCCGCCAGCTGCTTTGTACCCTCCCGCCGACCTGCAACCCTCCCAAGAATCGCCCGACACCGCTTGCCGGATCAGCCGCCCTTGAGGCGCACTATGCCACCTACCACGCTCATGTGTGTGAGGAGCACGGCTGTGGGTGCGTCTTCCCCGATGCCCGGCTGCTCGAGCTCGTGAGTACAAAGTCTCTGATATACGTTCTCTCCCGCAAAGGAGCGTGGCGTCTTATGCCATACTGACGTGCCCCGTCTCTGCGTAGCATCAAACGGAGTGCCACGACCCGCTCGCGGCCGTGCGTAAAGAGCGCGGTGAGAAGATCGTGCGTTATTCGGTTAGCCTCCGCCCGTGCTCGTCACCGACTAACTCGAACATGTGGCCACCGTAGTTCGCATGCCACCTCGCTTCGTGCCAGCGGCGCTTCCTCACGCCCAAGGCGCGTCGTCTGCACCTCATCGAGGCGCATGGCTATCCCAAGCAGTACTTTTTTGCCGTCACGAACAAGGGTGTCGGTGGCCTCCTGCGCCGCTGGGGAGAGGGCGCGAGCCTCCTCCGCGGACAATGGAGAGCGCGCGAGGGCGACGAGGACGACGATGATCGCGACGCCGACGACCGTGAAGATATGGACATGGACATGGACGACAAAGACGAAAACGAAATTGAAGACGAAGACGAAGATGAAGTCGTACTAGAAATCACTCCCCTGCCTCGGCAAGATGCGCCACTCCCTCCGCCCCTTGCGCCCGCAGAAAAAGAAAAAGACAAAAGCAAAGACGCAGACGCGGTGTCCGCCCTGGCGCGCTCCCTCTCCTCGCTCGCGCTCGTCCCGCCCAATGTCAAGTTCGGGCGAGGCGCCAAGCGCGGCGGGCTCGGGCACCCCCGTACCGCAGTGCCAGGACGCGGGCGCGCGTCGATCAACACCGGTGCGCCTCAGTTTCATTATGCTTCTCGGGGACGTGGGCGTGGTGCTGGAGCGCACACGCCTGCGTTCGTCCCTAATGGCTCCGGCGCAGGCGCTCGGGGGCGGGGCGGCGCTCGGGGCATGCCAGACGAGAAGATGGGGCGAGGGCGAGGAAGAGGTGAGGGAGGCGGCGCGAGAGGGCGGGGTGAAGGCCGGGGGATGGCCGCCGGACGTGGCGGACGGGGGGTGAGCCGTGGAATGTGAAGCTGCTTGTGTGATGGTCTAAACTTATCAGGATCTGCATTTTCTGCTGGTTATCCTCGGAAACAATACCCAGTTTTGTGTTCCGTATTTTTTTTGCTTGTCTGTTGTTGACTGCAAAGCAGCCAGTCAACAAGGTAGAGGCAGAGACATGGACACCGCAGAGTATTGGACTACCACTATGCTATACTCCTTCCGAGGTCTCTCATCACATCCATGCAAGTAATATATAGTGAGGAATAACGAACATACATACATAAAATGCAAAGCAAAGACCAGAACGACGAGTCTGCAACCAGCAGAAAAAGAAGACCGCCGAGCGACATACTAAACCACTCCTCCAGACATGCTCATTCCTCGTCCTCGAACCGGAGGATCTGGGCATCCTCGTCCACAGGCACCGTGCGGTACCCACCGCGCGACCGCATCGGCAGCGTCGCGCTCTCGATCGTCGACGCCACCCACTCCCACGCGATGCCAGCGACCCCAATGAGGAACCACGGCACCGACGCAAGCGTCGCAAGCACGCCCGAGTCGTTCGAGTACCGCCGCAAGCCGCTGTCGCCACCCGGAAGTCGGATAGCCCTATACCGCGAGTAATCAACGCTACCGCGCAATGCTGCACTGCATGGAGGGAAACGCACCCTCTCGACCGACGGTAGTACCACCAGCCCGCAAGCCCGGCAAACATGAACGGCACCACTAAAACCATGATCCAGAAGAACGCGCCGTGCGCTCTGACGCCCGGACAGACGTGTTCCGCACCGCGATCCAGACGGAGTCCGTTTTCGCAACTCGAGTAGCGAATTTTGCGGTAAGGGGTGCGCTCATACCAGTATTCCTCCCCATTCCGGCAGGAATCGTCATCTGCAAGGGGCTGTTCGCCCGGAAAGAGTACACACTCGCCGGCATCGTTCTTGTAATAATTGAATTCGCTATGCAGGATGCAATGAGCGAAGGTTCAGTGACAAGGGTTGCTATAGCATACCATTCAAAGTCAACCTCAGTGCACGGGCAGTTTTCTACCACCCTTTCTTCAGCTTTGGGTTGATCGCCCACAACGCACTCCACATTGCGAACGCGACGGTGGTACAATGTCTGTGAATAGTAACGTGAAGGGTATGCGACTCATCACACAGAAATGTACATACCCTACGACCAAATAGGCAAAGTTCTGACCGCTGTTCACTAGGACTCCACAGTTCAAAGTCATCGTGTCCAGGATCCTCCACGTTCAATTGACCTGAAATCTCCGGTAAGCTGGAGGAATAACGACGGAAGGTGACAAACTCACATTGCTTGCGTGTCAGCGACGTGAAATCAAGATGCACGGCGACGGCGATGGAAGGGGAGCGGGGATAGAAACCCAAAAGAATGAAACGGCGACTCGTGTCCTCGGGGACGGTCACGATGGCCTTTACGCGCACCTGCTCTCCGCCAAATGAATACTCACGCCACGTAAGGCCTTCATCCGTGCTGAATAGCACGTAGTTGACTGGCTCCTCGTCGTTCGCCATAACGAGAATTGAACCCGAATCTCCAAATTCCCACAGATGAGCGTCTTTGTGGACCTCCTCCCATGTGAAGCCTGCGTTGCGACTCAGGAACGTGTCACTTGCGGTGTACTCAGCTAACTTCTCTCCAACGTTACCCACAGCCATCAGAAGGCCCGGCACGGAGGGTGTACTGTACGTCGCACGGGAGTCGAAGCGTTCAGTGTATCCATGGATATGGAGAGCACAGGCCTGTGAACATTGCATATAAGTGTGTGCAGAAGGGAAAGTTAAAATGATTGACTGTGGTGTCACAAGCATATGGATTTCCTTGGGAATCCTTAGGCGGAGGCGTAAGCCGTTTCCATGTACCGCCTAGATTAAATATCATCAGTAATAGCGGAATGCAATATATTGAAACGTTACCATCGTTGTGGGTGATTCTACTTTGAAGTTCCTTGTGTCCTGTTAGGGTGGCCTCGTGGGGATTCGAGATCACGTTGATGAGAGCAATACCATCCAGGCCAATCATTTTCTCGAAATCTACGTAGCCGTTATCGTTGCGGTTCACATTATCAATAGAGAGACCGAAGTATGTCCCGTTCGAGTTAGATTTGAGGATATTGCCCCACCATGGATTTGGCGGTTCCGAGACGGTAACATGTAGAAAGATTGCGTTTGTGCTCGACTCGAGAATGGTGTAGGCCTGAAAGAATGTTACCGCTGGAACCACACAAGAATTCACTTTTTACCTACATGCTGATCAGGCCGCAGAGATGGAGGGAACATGCCAGTGGCAAACGTTCTGCCGTCCATCGATACCTGTAGCTCCAACGACTGTCTGTCTGCCAGATACTGAAGCAAAGTTCAGATTCTCTCCACCTCCGTCGCTCAAAGTAGTGGTCTCACCTCCGCAACAATTAGGAACTCGGCGAACTTCGCGAAGCCGACCACATGGTCGAATAGTTTCGTTTTCTTGTTGAAGAAATCCGTACCTCCGATCAACTCCAGCGGGTTGTTCATCCCGAAGGCCCTTTGCGAGCCCTGCTTTACCTTATAAGACTCGCAAATGATCTGGTTAGGATCTACGCGGAGTTCTGCATCCCGTGCCCAGGCACAATTGTGGACATAGGTATCAATGAGGACCCAATTGCGCCCGTTGTCCCTGGAGTAGTGTGCCTCAACATGACAATTCTCGCCAAAGCCTGCACACCCATCATCGCCGTTCCAGATGAGATAGTCCGACTTCGTTGGATGGAAGTGCATGACCTGCAAGCTGAAACTGTTCGGTGGCGTAGGCGCTTCGAGAGCATACCAGGTGCGGCCAGTATCCGTGGTGTAGTAATACTTTCGAGTATTGGTAATGAGATAAGCTCGGTCATCGCTGTATGGGTGGTGGTAGAATGCCGCGAAGCTCTCCTCCGGATGTAGTTGCTGCCATGTATAACCTTCATTGCCAGACTGCCAGATGCTGCCATCACGGAGACGGACGAGAATGGTCTGTGGTTACAACGTGAAGCAATCAGTATGCAGAGCAACTGCCTTCAAGCTCATCTAGTCACCGTGGAATGCTTGAAGTATGCAAATTGTGTGATTTCGGCAGGGAAATCGAACTACGAAGGGAACAGCAATTGAGCAGTACGCCCTAAGGGAGAAAGATAATGAAACGTACTATCTGGTGGGTAATCTCTCCTTCCTCAGGTTGTGCTGGATGAAGATGTCAATATGAACACACCACGTTGTAAAGCAGGTAACAGACCTTGAGAGCACGATTTTTGAATCGGATCATCTTTTTTGGTTCCTCTGTCTCTGTCGCACGTATTTCCAGGGATGAGTCGGTAGCCAGATGATCCCCAATACGTCTGGGTGGGGTCACCTGACGAACAAACGCCGGCTGGAATGGGCTCTGGTCCAACTGGGACACACTGATCACCCTGTCGCACATAGTTGTAGTCACTGCAGGAAAGTATAAGCACAAATACCAGTTAGGATACAACGAGAACTCACCATTCGTAATCCTCGTCGGAACAAGGGCAATTCTCCTCGTGGCCCACTGGGTCGGTGAACTTGTCACCGACGTAGCAATTAGCGTCAGGTTTTCGTCGTTTGTACCATTGCTGGGTATAGCAAGCTGAGTTATTCTAGTTTCAATGATGGCTCTCGTGCCCAGCATACCTTGTGACCCATCAAACACTCATAGCTTGCAGATCGCGCATACCACGGCTCGAAGTCATCGTCGCCGCACTTGCGAGGGCGCATCGCAGCGAAGTCAAGAAAGGTTACCGCATAGCGCCCTTGCCCCTGCTTCTGATCTTTCTTAGCAATTTGACCGACCAATACGAACTTTTGTGACGTCGAGTCGGGAACGGTGGTGAGTATCCTTGCGCGCATACTGACGCCAAGGTTATATGTTTGCCTATGGATACCGCTTGAGCTTTCAAGGAACCAATCACAGTACAACACCACTTACCACGACTGACCGAGATCATTCGAGTAGCTGATCGAGTCTACGCTGTCTTCGTCGTTGACAACGACGATAATACTTCCCTGGTCTCCAAACTCATACTTGTGAGCATCTCTGCGAACCATCTTCCACGTAACGCCAGCATCTGTACTTAGGAAAGTATCGCATTCTTCGTAGGGTAGCAGTGATGGACCAATTGAACCAACACCCATCACGAATCCTGGAGCTGGCGAGGAGAACACGCGTCCAAAATTATGCGGGATGGTCACTGAATGGAGGTGGAGCGAGCAGCTATCGTCCGCGGGGTTGCACTGTATGCGACGGCCCTCGTTGTCATACGAAGGTGGCATAAGGCGGGACCACGTGCGGCCTTGAAGAAGTCGTTCAGCCCAAGGAAATATCCAAGCAAGCGGAACAACCCACCATCATCAAAAGTAATCTTGGTTCGCAGACGCTTCGGTGCATTCCTTCCCTCGACTTCTTCGGCGTTCGATACAATGTTGGCCAACCCAACGCCCTCAATCCCGTACAAGTTCTCATAGTCAACGAAACCCATCTCATTGCGATTCGTGTCCTTCAAACTCTCCACGAAGAAGGTGCCATTAGAGTTGCTCACAAAGAGCGTACCAATAGTGCTCTGATCCTGGAGCAGCACATCCACGGCAAGCGAGTGCGTCGTTGACTCGACAATAGTGTACGCGTTCTCCCTGAGCCGTGCACTAGACGCATGCGGGAATCGCGCCTTCGCCCACGTTCTCGTGTCCACCGACACGTAGAGCAGCATCTCGTTGTTATTCCCGGGCGACAGATCCTTCAGAGCTACCACCGCGAACTTGGACACCAGCGCGAATGCCAGAACGCCCCGCGCATTCTTTCCGATCCCGAGCTCCTCCACCTTCATCTCGCTTTCGAAGAAGTCCGTCGAAGAGAACAGCCGGCTTGACGACAGCGAGTGACTTCCCGTCGACGTACTAGAGTCGTATGCTACACAGTAGATCAAGTCAGGGTGCGCATCGTGCTTGAAATCCTTGCTACTATGCGCAAATTGGCAGCGTGACGTCTCCAGAAGCAACAGTTTCGGCTCGTCACTGAATGCATCCTTCGTGTAATATGTCTAAAAAGGAGTATGTAGCGCCAGCACTCCTTCTTATATGTTCAGGTGCTCACCTCGTCATGACATACGCCCCCCCACCCGCCGGAACGGTCACACTTCGTGCCCTGGTAGAGGATGTAGCCGAACTTGGCGGGATCGGAATGAAATGACAAAGGCCTCCCCACCAGCGCAGGTGAGATGGGCATTGAGAATGCCTGCCAAGTCTGCCCTCGGTTTTGGGTCCGATAGTGGGTCGTGCCCTTGGTGAGAACAAACGCCTAAAGAAAAGTTAGAAGATGCGGTTGAAAACATTATCAAGACTTCGCACGTAATTCCTATCGAAGGGGTGTTCGATTACCATCGTAGCCTCTCCGGCAGGCAAGCCTTCCGCTTGCCGCCATGACTTGCCCTCGTCCTGTGAAACATATACGTTGCCTTCCACGATGTCATGGTATATCAGAGACTGTATATCACTTTCGTCAGATGTATACAGCGCGTGTGCGAGGGTACTCACCGGTGTGTCATCGAAAAAGAACAGTCTAGCAGGCAGATTTTGGAAATAAGATACAGCAGACTCCGGCTGCTGAGCATAAACGGGTAACAAATACAGCACAGATAGCACTGTCCACAGTAATATTGCCGTTCTATGATGAGGGGCCATGGTCGAGGAGGTACTGCTCGCTGCGCAGGTTGACGAGCTCCTCGACGAGGAGTCGACGCGCAGCTACAGACGCGGATAATCACGTGACACAATAGGCGTTGTTATCCAAATTTCGCTAGCACGACTTGTATGGTACACTATCTCGATGCATCCTCCGAGAACGTCATGACGTAGCAATGAGAGTAAAACCTAGGTGATACAAGTTACACTACATGGTAAATTCGCGTTCTACATCAAGGGGTTATAATCAGAACCATCTCATCCGAGTCTATGACAGTATGAAGCGAGTCGTGTGATATTCTATCAGAAGGTAATGCCATCTGACCGCGAAACAATTGCTTCAGACGTGTTGTAACAGTGTGGGCGAGTAGACTCATAAACATTTGCACGGGGAGGGCAAGCTCATATTTCAGCGTTGATGCCTACGCGAATAATCCTGGAAGGACAGGACGTCATTCTACCATTCACCGGTAAAGGTGTGCAAAGTACTCACTCTTCGCCAGACGTAATCCAGTTCTCTGTCTCGGGAAACATCGTGACCAGAGAGCGATAAAAGTCCTCGATCAAGATCCTGCGGAACCAGTTCGCGATGACGGATAGTTTACCCGCCTTCATGTGCTTGCTGAGGACATGGTAATGCGGTACACTGCAGCAAGGTATGAGCATGGCCGATAAATTTTCGCTCGGTGACTTACATGTGAGTGTAGTTCGTGGAAATCTCCCGGAGTTCGGCCACAGTGGACGCAGAAGTTTGGGGATCGGCGCGTATTTCAAGCGCACAGATGCGGTCCACTATCTCTGAAACCTGTTGTGGTGTAGAAATGCTCAGTACGCAATACGCGGTATATTTAACGAAGCCCTATAATAGCGCTCACCTTTGCGTCGAAATCGTCTCGGAAGCCGAGGAAGTATGTGACACCATAGAAGCCTTGTATAGAGCGTACTTTCGTGACAGCATAGCGCTCCTCCGGTGCAATTGTAGGGGTGGGAAGGACACGGACCGACAGAAAGATCTACGTCACATTAAGTATGGGCAGATCAGCATTCACCGAAAGCCTTACCACAACTCGGGGCAGGGCTGGCCATTGACGAATAAAGCCTTAGAAGTCCTCATGTCAGAAGACGATCGCTTCATTGATCGCCGTAACTCACCAACGAATGAATGGGGAACACCCTTGCCCATGGTGAATTTATGGAAGATAGCACACGACGGGATCCGCGGGAGCTCGCGGCGATCCTTGACTGAAGTAGGAGTTCCGTCGGGATCCATGATATAATATACTGGCGGCTTCATCGTCTCGAGTTCGTGATCGTCCTCTCTCTCTTCGATTGTCCCACTCTCATCGCTCATTGCATTCACATCCTCTGTGGTAGTATTCTCGTACGCCGCACTCTGCTCGAGCTTGTGTACTCGTGGCTGCTCGTCTTCCTGCGTAGACATAATGAAGTAGCGCAAGTTCACACGGTTGGATTTATCGAACTTCTCTTCAAGGCCCTATATTAATCGTGCCAATCAGTATTACATTCAAAACAAAAATACCGACATACCCTAGCCCAAGTCCAAAAAAGCATGAAGATCGTGCTGAAAGAGACGATCTGTCAGGTGGCACATTCGAGACAGAGAATAAACACTTACAGAATCAAGCCAATCATTAACGGAACCCATGCACCGTGCGGCACCTTTCTGAGGGCCGCTCCCCAGAAGAGCCCATCTAAGAAACCAAAGAACAGGAAAAAGGCGACAACTACTACGAGCGGCAGCCTCTTGACGAATTTCATCTGAAAAGCAATCAAAACTGTAGTGACAAACATTACAGTTGCAACCGCAAATCTGTTAAAAGGTGAGTCCGAAGTCCGAATCATGGAAGCATTGACAACGTACCCATAAGCATTCGTGAGCGAAGTGTCGTTCTTAAACGTCGCGACCATGATGATTACCAAGACCATCACTGTGACCAAGTATCAGCCACGGATCGTAGATATCATGTGAGTAACATACGGCCATAATTAACAATAGGAATGTACACCTGGCCTTGAATAGTAGACGAGGTATAGACCATGCGAAGCCTGCAACAATCTAGTCAGGTGTCAACGCGTCAATTAGAACGTCGAACTAACTGGGGTAAACTATGCATATGAATGAGTTGCTGGACAAGGCTGAAGGTCGCAGTGATGAGTGCTTGAGAAGCGATGAGCTGCAAGCCTGCATAAGACAACAACATCTGACAAGACTGCAGAACGCTCAACTGTTGCCAATATAGCGAAAACATAGATAATCCTGATATGCATAGCTTCGTTCACTAATGCCCAAATGTAGAACGACTCGTGCTCACCAGAAGAGGGCACCCTTGGAAGGGCCAGGAATAGTGTTGTAGAATATGTTCGGCAGAACGGCTTCGCCGTCTGCGATCAAACGTGCACCTTGCCCCAGATAGGCCAGTAAGAGACAAGGATAAACGAAGCAGCTAAATGAGATCTGTAGTGGTGCCGGTTAATGAAAAGGCGTCCTTCGCACGACATTAAGCATACCTGGATAGATGCCGCGTTGAACTGTCCCAAGCTGTACGCATAAACACACATCAGAACAAGTTCGACGACGACAAAGCAAACGAGACGAGATCTGATCTTCTGGTGAACGTCTAGATCATCTGCACTACCTACTTGGCAAACAGTGCTTCGCATCCGGTAACAGCCAGCAAAACTCCACTCAAAAGGTCGTACTTCTTCGTGCGCACAAATACTGGTATAACGCAGCGCATATGTCACTAGTAAACAAACAATATAAGTTGACTAGACTTACGCATGATTGCCCGAGATGGATCGAAAGCTCTGAATACTCCGGGATGATGAACGATATTCGCGATGCCAGTTCCAGCGAGGAGAGACAACCATAGGAAAGTAACTATAAGGGCGGTCAACTTACAACAAGAGGTAAATAATGGAGTACGCACTAGGAGCGAAGAGAGTGGCCAGCCATGCGGTACCTCGGAATTGCACAAGAAACAGCACGACTAGGAAAGCCTATCTATAAATCAGCCCCACAATCATCAGTATTACTGAGAAGGCTCGTACAATGGAGATAGGGACGACGTCATGCGATACAGAGGGCTTCGCTACCGCGATTCCAGATACAGCACTGGTCACGGAAACTGCAGGGGTGAAAATACCATCGGACAACGTCAAGCTGGTTCCTAGAAGCGACTGGAAAAACAATAAAGAAGAACATGAGGCTAAGAATATTGACGTGCAGAGACGGGGGTAACACGGACCCACGCAAGCAGAGGCCAACGGAGCGACTTTGAGATAGTGGGTACATTGTCGTGCAAAGAGTGGGTGAAGCTGAAGCCAGTGAGAGTGCGATCGGCATCAAAATCTTTTTCGGCGGGAGGATATAATCCTTGATACAAGGCAAACGTTCCTCCCTCGCCTGAAGAAGTAAAGGTAAATTCACCGCTAATTTTCGTTACTGAATTCTCACCTTCATGAGTGCCAAAACGTAGAGATATTATAACCTGAAAACGATGGGTGAATGATCAAGTCTAGGTCGCTGCCAGAGAAGCACGTACATATTTCAACAATGGTAAAAGGGTCAATGACCAGATAATGGCACTGATACCACCAATAACATCTTCTTCCGAAGGCACAGGGCCATCAGAGGGCCATAAACCATTAAGAACATAGAGGGGAGACGTCCCGATGTCGGAATAAATGATACCTAAGGCATTTCAGCCAGACAACGGTAGTGAAACAAGTATAGTCGCTCACCGAGAGTCTGGAAACTCAGTGCAAGCAGGGCGAAACCGCGTACACTGACCGGTATGCGTGTTATTGCGTAGCCAGCTTCATTTGCAGTAGACATGCCACTGGTACAGACAGAGGAAAAGACAGGGTCACACTCACTGCGACAATGAAGGTAGCTATTAAGAAAGGAGTCGGCGGCTGAACCCACTTAGGGAGGCCTGTGCGTCCAGAAAATGCACAGTTAGAACCTTAATCGGATCTGGTCCCGGCTTATTTTATTTTTGTCGAACCGGAGGAGAAACGGCGAATTCCCCTCATGTCGTGCGTGATTGGCCAATTTTTCCTTCGCTAGATTGGACCGTTGAAATGACAGGATTCCAACTTGCAAGAAGAAACTGTCCTTGCAAGCTTCAAGCGCCGATAACTTGTGGGCCCCTACGCACACTGGCAGAAGCAAGATGATGATGATCTTAGCGATTACATTGCAAAGAGGCGAACAAGTGCCAAGCTGTTAACGCGACATTCCGCGCTGAAGTCGGCCATGAAGCCGACATCGTCCGCGACAAGCTCCAATACCTAGTAAGTACTATGATAGGCCACTCTGAAGTAACGCACCCCACCAGGACCCTGGATAATTCCCTTAGACGCCATCTCTGTATCCGGACAAAAAAACCAAGAATTTGCGGTCCACGCCATCTCACCATCCGGACATTTCGACCCCTCAAAGGCCGGAACGCCATCTCCTGGTCCGGACATGGTGGTGGCGTCGGCCCCGCAGGGGGCCCCAAAAGGCCCGGAATGCTCCGGAAAGCGCCCAAAATTGCCTTATTTGGAGGTGCCCGAGCCGATACCATCTTCATTATCCGGACACAAAGTCCATAAAAAGGTCAAAAAATGTCCAGACAAAGAACATGAAAATCAGCAATTTTGAGAGATGGCGTCTAAGGGGATTATCCAGGGTCCTACCCCACCGCCCTACGCTCGAACTGTCTGGGGCAGTTCAGCCGAGATCACTTCCAGGGCCTTGCTCTTACATAAGATCACTCATGCCCAACCACTCTAAGCGCCGTGACATGGTTGTGACCCGACAGTTGCCCGAGAGTGATGCTATTGATTTGGGAGCAATAAGTCAAAGTCTAATACCCGATATGGTAATGGATGGAGGGCCACTTATCAGCCCAAATATTTACTTGGCTCTGTTTGGTCGCCGTTCACTTTGGATTGTTGCTAGCCTAATTTCTCTCCTACGAGGACAAAGTAAAAAAAATGTGCTCCCTGGGAATATTCAAGAAGGTATTAATTAACAATCCCCAGGGAACGCATTTCTGATAAAGGCGTTGTGGAAAGAGGAATTGGTGTAAGCGTGACATTAGACGCCCGACGTGAGGGCCTATCTTGTAAGATAGACCCATCTCATTTTCGATTACTATGGTCACAGTGTTACGTATCACGTGCCACTGCCAAATGTTGTCACACTTAGCCCGCGCCGCGTCCATTTTGGCAGGGGAGAAAACCAGTCCCGAGCAAACTACACCTTCCACATCAACTTTGAAAAAAAATGTCACGATCATATCATTATAAACTGTATTTTGAACAATATGATCACAGCAGATTTTTAAACGCAGTGCTGTGGAAGGCGTAGAAAGCCATTTTGTGCTGTTCTCCAGCCAAGCGTGACAATTCAGGTCACGTGAAGTAGTCGAGAATGATATGGGTCTATCTTACAGCGGCCAAGCGAGATAATCTGAGCAGTCGCTATCTATTATTCTTCCTTATAATTACTTTTTACTGAGATTTAGGGTGATAATGTAAATCCTGTCGATTAAACAAACATAACGAGGAGGCTTGTTGGTACAGATGATACAGAATTTCCTCGTTTTGATCAGATCGATTCTGCCTGGCAAGTATCTCGGCACTCACTCCTCCGATGTTGAACGTTGAACGTTGAAAGTCGACGTCGAGACGTCATCGATATCATGATGGGACAAGGAGCATCCTATATATACGCCAGCAAGATCATCATTAGTCTAGGATCATTATCCGGGAGCCCACTGAGAAGTCCCCCGTGGGAGTTTTTGAGCTACGTGCCAGACACCGGAAGGAACGGCTGCGTCATCGGCACTGAACTATAATTCCCAAAAGGCGTCCAAGTCGGTGGCAGCAAGATCGCAAGGATGCCAATGTCGCGTCTACTCGCTTCGTTCGTGAACTTATGCATGTATGCTATGCAGCTGCAATCCATGTTATTTTCTATGTCTATCATACCTGCAGCTGAACCCTTTTCAGAGTGGCTTTGATGTACTGATCACTCCGTGACAAGAATGCAAGCTAGGGGATCTGGGAAAGACTGAAGGATAGGTTGAGAACACATCTGTACATTGGAAAATACAGCGACGTCGCCATGGGCATCGTCTGCAGGTGGATCGATCGCGCCATGAGAGCTCTTTGCACTTCGCGCCTGTGGCTGCACCCGACTTGAGCGTTGAAGATTCGTGCGTCGAATTGCCGTCGGCATCATTCAAAGTCCGGTTTCCCACGGGGGACTTCTCAGCGGGTCATCGATAATGATCTCAGCCTCTATTACAAAGGAACGACTGTCTTCCTCAGGGTAACTAGAGGCTGTATCTATGAGCCTAGATCATCATCTGTGTCGAAGCACATCCGAGTCAATAGCCTAGAGTCACAATGGTTGACGCTCTCCCTATAATTGTTCGCTATCAGTCGCCTATATGCCATGAAATGTTCCAAGGTATGCTCGAGAACCCCTCTCGAGATCCTCGCAGCCTCCTTGGTGCACTGTGAACACTTGCACTACATGACGGTAGAAGGCAAAAGTATGCGAAAGGATCACTTTACCACTACATGGGAAATCAAGGAAGGGACAGGAAAAGCAAAATCTGTGCCGAAGTGTATCCGTCATCTTACAATTGTTCGATACCGGTCTCCTATATGCTATGAACGTCCATCGTTCCAACCAGGCTCGAGACCCGTTCTGTCAAAGAACGTGATATCGCAGCCTTGGTGGGTGCAGTTCAAACTGGACGGCATGATGGCAGAAAGTAAAAGAATTCAAATCCCACTACTACATGGGAAATCAAGAAATAGGGACACGAGAAACAACGATGGATCACGAAACAAGAGATAGGAACAGCCCTATTAGCAATTGGCGCAATGTCATCTTATAATCAGCATAGAAATGTGGTCAGATATGTATGTGCGGCGTACACATGATGGTGGTGGTTGGTGATAGTGATGGCAGTGGTCCTCTGCGTCACGAATATTGCCGCATTACGTCTAGAATACCGCGCGATTTGAGCTTCGGCATGGACGACGTGATTGTACCTAGCGCCTGTTTATCATCCTCATCGCTAGCTTCCCATCGTCTTATCACGCAAACTTCGACTCTGGTAAGAGATTTAGTGTCTGAGAGAACAGAGTCGATGCGTGTCCAATTCACGTGGGATAGCTGGAGGAACGCCCGTATCTCGATGTGCACGCGAACGATGCTGATACTGGGGGAGGAGAGCTGAGCAATGCAATCTGGAATCCAGAAGAATTCCGTGGTATCGTCGTGGTTTTCTTCGATACGGGCAAGGAGTCGGAACGAGCACAAGCCTGTGCTGCGGGAAAGATTCAAGTATTGGGGCAGCGTCGCTAACGAGCACGTCAGAACTCCTGAAGTTTGTGGAAAACAATCAATTAGTACCTGCGTCAACTCGACTATCCATAGTGATTGAAAGGGTCTTTACAGAAGATCCAGCGATCTGTAGTACATTGCCTAGGTCCACAAGATCTCCACAATCCCAAGTGAAATGGATGTTCTCGATTGAAACTTGCTTGCGGTAGCAGAATGCCCATTTCGCGAGAACGCCAGGGGAGGTGCATAGATCCCCGACGTCGAGCCAGCGAAGTGACAGGGTATCTGAGTTGAGGCGAAGTGCGTGATCAAAAACAATATCATCGGAGGAGACACCTTCCATACGGGCGCTGCTAAGCAGCGGAAACGCCTGATGAAGGTGTACGAGGTCCGCAGGGTCCGCAAAGTCGCATGTCGCGAGCCAAAGATCCGTAACACCGGGATACTTCGTGCAAAATAGCGCCCTCGTGTTCTCCTCCAGCTCAGACCATGCAATCCCCTCGATCGAGAGCCTCTCAACCTTTGTCACATTTGCCAGCAACGGCTGCATCTTGTCAACCCAACTCTGGTCTGCCGGCATGCCATCTGAGCCACAGGTATCGATGCTCAGACTTCGAACATAGATGGCAAGAAAGGTTGTGTAGAGCGCTTGTAGGTGCTCGAGATTGCTTGTATAGTCAAGACGAACTGCGGAATGGATGTGGGAGCGGCTACGTGGTAACCACGCATGGCAGACGAGTGAGCAGGCATTGAGTGCGTCGCGGTCGTATTTGCTTCCAAATATGTCTATGATCATGTCGACCAGTTCTTGTGGCAGGGACCGTGCTTGAAATCGATGTAGTGGTTTTCGACGTTTACGCATATCAAGCTCACTGCTCTGGAGTTCTGAATACGAGCATGAATGAGGCTTTCAAGATATGTTCAAGTCCATACGCACCAGGTGACCCGAGTGACCTAAAGGACATCCAATCCGCTTAGAACTAAGCCACCATCGGCCGCTAGTGTGTAGACTCCACCCTCAACCAGACCACTTATATAGCAGCACTTTGAGTGTGAGAAGTAAGTACTCTTAGCGTTATTGCTTGAGCCAGTCGCAGGACCACTGTGGTCCTACCTGTCACAGTGTCGTCACAGCCAAGAGGCCACTGATCGAAATCAAAACTTTGTACAGTATTACATTTCACTATGCCCTCAAGTCGTAACGCGTTATGTCGGCGTGACAAAATCGAGACAAAGCGTGATTTTCCGCCAAAAAATGAACTCAGTCAACACTCCACAGTCCGCCGCCGTTCAAGTTCACAAAGGTTTGAGATATGCCAGTACGAACATATATGATATATGAAGAAGGTAAGCAGGTATGCTGAGCCGACTTGTGGGGGGTTGCCCATGTGACGGTAGGGCATAGTGCAGGTTTCCAGTCACACGACACTACTGTGGTGGAGCTCATTAATATTGGCAATTCTCATGCTTGATTGACGCGTCAGTATCTCCCTCAAGTGGAGCAGGAAGACGTCGACCATACTTCGCCGACGACCTGGTGTTTCATTTGGACATTTGGGGAAAGGTGAACCACTACCATAGACTTAGGACCCCCGCGAATCAACTAAGAGCTCCGATCCCGGCGACAACATTTCTCGGGGGTAGCCAACCACCCAGTTTCGGGGGTTCGCACACAACCTGGCGGCGGGTCAGCCATTTTTGGGGGTATGTGGGATCGAACATTCGGCCACCTAGAATTACGTTCGACGGCCTGCGGAACAAAAAATTTGCTTCCTGCGCAAAACCCAAGCTTTTGTGAGCCAAATTACCAAACATTTCCTCCCAAACCACCACATATGGCTAAATTTTAGGCCCATCCTCCGAAACCTGAGGGTTCTGGACCTAACCTCAGGTTGGAGGGTCACATTTCGGGGGTCTTTCGCACCCAACTTTCGACGACTTTTTGGCCATTTTCGGGGGTCGACGATCTTTGCCTCCGGCCCATTTTTCGGGGATGGGTGCATCGGAGCTCTCAGTGGATTCGCGGGGGACTGCGGTCTATATACAGGCGCGCGCGTTTGACAATCAAATCATATGCATGTTTTCCTCATGCAGAGAAAATGAAGCGTGCAGTAAATTCTGTCAGGGAATTGCTGGAAAAATTGGGAAGGAAGCAGATACATTAACAACTCCCACCTACGTATGTTCTATCTCCATCGATGCTCCGAGCCGTCGCTTTGAATGTAATGGTCGTCATGGCCTGGTTCTTCTCTAAACATTCATTGCTGCTGTAGGTGGCTTCATGGAGGCTAGAACGCACCGAGCTGGCTCGAGAGGCTGCAGCGTTTATTCGCACGAAGTTTCGAATGCTGAAAAAATGCTGAACTGAATGTCAGGCATACTGCAGCTGGTATCAATATCCAGGTTTCCGTCACGTTTGAGTATACGCATAGAACAGAATCCAGACGAGGCTAATAACGGTACTTACTACCCAAGATCATTACTCGGATTGAATGGGAGAACCACGGAGAGTCATTCCGCATGGAGGCGGAAATGATTGATAGTCCGCAGCACATAGGGAGAGGGTCTGGCACTGACGATGTTTTACGGTACGCGTGTATCAGTAGAGCAGTTAGAGACCCCATGTAGACGCTAGACTGGAGAACTACTCGCCACACCGGCTAGGGGCCGAGAAAGAGACACGTGAAACAGAACTTGTGGTAAGTCTGGACCACAAAGTGAGACACATCGCCGAAGTCCATTTAAAGAGGCGTCGTGTAAGCAAGCTAAGAGATAACGGCAAGCCATGAACCGCAGAACCAGTGGTAGTTAACAGATGGTGGCCGCAAGACGCAAGCTATAGTTGTGATAACGTTTCGATGATTGGAAGCACCGATGGACCACTGACACGTGGTACAGAAGTTTCGTCCGACCACAGCAGAGACTCAAGTCAAGAGTACGAGGTAGTGCAACAGATCTGGATGTGCAAAGTTAGGCGAGTGAAGCTCCAAGTGGCTTGATGGGGGGAATATCACTGTATCGCTGTCAAACGAAGTGTTGTGACACTAATGGTCAGCCTAGATGGATCGTAACAATTCAGCTAACAACATATGCAGGGAATACATCTCTGTAGCAGCTGGACACTGGAGATAGGCACTCACCCTTCTATCTATCTGGATCTAGCATGTCACTCGACGAATCAGAACAGCGTGCCACCTCGAACCACATCCGAACCCGTACATGGCTTCCTTGTGGATGCTCGTCACAAGGTCAGATTTAGAGCGATTGGCCTCTGGTGTATCGCAGAGCGGTGCAAACAGAGGCGAAATCGGTTCGAAGTTATGGTCAACAACGCACGACGCTAAATACCTACCACTCTCAATGCGCCGTCAAAGGAAATAAGGTACTGATAAGGTAGAAATAGAGTCTTGCTCGGAGAGCGCTGTGAACTTCGACGAGCGCCCGCGGGATTTTGTCCGTTCCCAACATGCCGGTACTCCGCGATCCGCAAGTCAAAACTTCCAGTACACCTATATATTTTCCTTGGACGAAGCACGGCCACCTGTTTTCTAAGTTTTTCAAATGAGCGCCAGCACTGGGGCAGCTTCTGAGATTTCTTACAACTGCACTCGATGGACAGGTCATCTGGCGCGCAAGCGCTCCGTCTCATCTGCCACGGGTTCTGTATTCTACTGGTTGACCACTTGTAGCAAGCGCCAGTATAGAGGAACATCGGATGGCTAATCAATGGCTGCTCACCTGCACCTCGGTCGTCTATCATGCTCTCAATCCAGCTCCCTCAGGTCAGCGCGGCGCTGAGTCAATACGGGTTTGGAGTCAGGACGAGGAGCATTTTATTCGCCCGGTGGAACAAATTTCCAAGTCCTGGCAGCCTAGTATCGACGCCCCATACCTATGTACCTGCGCTGTTAGGAGGAACTGGACAAGGAGCTACCGCACACTGGTCTACTCAAGCATATCAGTTTAGCTTCTATAGGCGAGACAGTACTTAGAGAATTTCGTGCTGCTTCTGCCTCTGGACTCCAATCTGCACCCGCCTTTCAGCTCTGAGGTGGACGTAAACGAATGATCTTTATAACGAGGGAAGTGCACCTTGCCCACGGTAGAGACCTTACTTGCGACATTTGCCACCACGCAGATCTGCAAGCTGCACCGGGACTTGTCGTGCAGGGCACACGGAAGGAACCGCGGAGTCGAAAAGTGCGAATAATTGAGAAGGTGGAGACCTTGCAAGCGGGGTAATATTTTCGACCGCCAGACCGCCAGACTTTGGAGCACCTTCCATCATGATGCATGAGGCGCCACGTGGAATATCTGAGCATCGTCCTCATGAAAATTTAGCGTGTCGGTCAGTTTTGAAGGAGGCGCATAGTCGTTGAATATTCCTCGGGAGCGTCGATCTCAATCCGGTTAGTACCGTCACGCAATAAAACTTGGACGATGGCTCACTGAATTTGGTGCTCTGCGCACGCTCGATCGTCGAACATCGCAACGCTCAACGGCATGAGAGAATTGTCCAGAGTCCGCAATCCGGGTGAATCACTTGCAGGGGTTCCTACATTTCCAGTGTGCCGATGCTCGCTCGATTTTATGCCAACCCGCCAACCACGGTGTGTGCTCGAGCCAACGCCTACCACGCGGGCCGCCTCTGGCTCCTTGAACCCCCGTGACAAAAATTGGAGAAATGGGGTCAACGTACCATGTTAGCGCACAATTCCATTACTCAGGACCCCAATCTCTACATTACGCGTATGGAACGTGGTGCAGGTCGACGATCGCCCTACATACACTTCGTGCATGGCTAGCGCCAGAGTAGTTATTCTTACCGTAGGACAGACTCGAAATAGCACACATTCGTTATCCACGGCCGCCGGGAGACGCCGGACCACTTTTTACAGAGCTACCAAGAAGAGGCCGAGTATCGAGACCATACATATTACACATAAGGGAGCTGCATTCCTTGTTTGAGCGAGAAACGTGACCTGCCGGTGGCATGTTCTCACGCATTAATGTTTGCTGTGCTCGGGTAGAGATGTTGGCCGTCTGGCCGAATCTAGCACTTCACACCGCGGTCTTCTGAGGCCTGATAAAAAAAACTTGGGAAGGCGGGACTGGAGGTGTCGAGCCTTGTACCTCCACTGCCCAGACACCAGTTTCAACAAGTGGGGCGATCAGACGGTTGTCAAGCTGCATTCTACGGACCCAGGACATTTATAGGTGTTTCACCGACGAGCTGTCCGTCTTCCAAAGTACCTACGATAGTCTTCCTGCCACTCCTTTGGTATTGCATCCAAACCACTCTCTTTTACCCTCATGCGGACTTCTGTTACGCGAGCCGTTCTCGCTGCGATTTCGTTCTCTTACGTTGCTGGCTTCTCGAATGCTCACGCGGACATCCGCCACAAGTTGCAGCGACGCAACATCATCTATGACGGCCAGATCGCAGAAGCGTACGATTTTGTCATAGTCGGCGGCGGCACAGCCGGACTTGTCCTCGCGAATAGGCTCTCCGAGGACTCCAACACCACCGTGCTTGTTCTCGAAGCAGGTGATACCGGCAACTCTGTCGCCAATAACATCAGTGAGTTGTGCGCACGTCCTCCTTCAGCAGGCACTCCAATCCAATACACCCTCAGACATCCCGGCGGACGCGTACTATAATTCGCTTGTCGGGTCTTCTTACGATTGGACGTACTTCACGGCTCCCCAACCTCAGGCAAACAACCGCGCAATCAGCTGGCCTCGAGGTAAAGTGCTCGGCGGCTCTTCTGCAATCAATGGCATGTACCTTGTCCGCCCGTCGGCTGTCGAGGTCGATGCCTGGTCGAACATGATTGAAGGCGGCGATCAGTGGAACTGGGACAACCTGTACGCCGGAATGAAGACCAGCGAGACCTTCACTGCCCCCAGCTCTGCGATCGCGGCCGAAGCTGGCATCACGTACAACATTGCCAGCCACGGTACGTCTGGCCCGATTCATGCGGCGTATCCCGGATAGTGCGTGTTTGGGCTGCTGCATCGACGTGTAGACTGACGTGTTGCAGCGAAATGCCTCTAGTTGGAAATTGGAGCGCCACGCTGAGTGCAGCTGGTGTACCGCCTTCGTCTGATCCGTATAACGGAAATGGCTGGGGCTCGTTCGTCGCAACCTCGGCCATTAATCCGTCCAACTGGACGCGTTCCTACTCCAGATCCGCTTATATCGACCCACTTCCACCTCGCGCCAACCTCGCGATCCTCGCAAACGCTACGGTCACGCAGATTATCTTTACAAACTCGACTAATGGAAATCTTACGGCGACCTCTGTGCAGTATGCCAGCAACCGCGATGCGGCGAGGAACACGGTAAAGGTGAACAAGGAAGTCATCCTCTCGGGAGGTGCCATCGGCAGCCCGCAAGTCCTCATGCTCAGCGGTGTCGGCCCGGAGGATGTTCTCCAAGCTGCCGGCATTCCCGTTCAATTGGCGCTCCCGGGTGTCGGCCAGCATCTGCAGGACCACATCGTGCGGTCTATCTGACTCTTCGGCCCCGCATTGTGTTGCTGATAACGTCATATAGAGCACCGAAGTTCTGTACACGACAGGTGAACAGACGGCTGGCGCGATCAATGCTGCGAACGGTGGAGCTGCCAGCGTGAGCAGTCTTCTGCCGTTATCAGGGACCAATATTCTCACACTCGTCTTCCCAGGACACCGCACCAGACCCCTTCCTCTCGTACATCAACTCCGCCACAGCCTACGTCAACATCTCCGTCCTTCTTGGGTCGAGCGCCGCGTCTTCCCTGTATACTTCTATTGCCAATTCCCTGGAGTCATCAGCATCGACACTCGTACCGAGCCAGTACCCTGAAGTCGTTGAGGGATACAAGACCATCTACAATGCCACCCTGTCTCAGTTTAACTCAGCCGTCGGCCAGATGGAAATTTTGCTGGCTTTGACAGGTGATGGGACAATTGCCATCCAGGCGGCGTTGCAACATCCGTTCAGGTGAAGGTGTTACATCGTCTTGGGGACATGATCTGATAAATTGTTCTGCAGCCAGGGACGTATCTACATCAATACCGCGGACCCGTTCGCGCCCGCAGTGATTGATCCCGGTTACTTGTCGCACTCTGCAGGTGAGTTGCACATTGTAAGTCCACATGTACTGACTCAAACTTTCTTTTACAGATGTTACCGTTATGCGCGAGGGCCTCAAGTTCGCTAGGCAGCTTGGACAGACCTACCCAATGAACCTCGCGACGACCAAAGAGGTTTCTCCTGGCCCCTCCGTTAGTACCGATGATGAGTGGGACACGTGGCTTGCAAACGAGATTGGCACTGAGTTCCATCCCTCATGCTCGTGTGCAATGCTGCCGCTGAGCCAGGGTGGTGTGGTTAATGCTGATCTGATGGTCTACGGAACTTGTAAGCAGGTTCTCCCAACTGTAACCATTTCGTCGACTTACCCCGGACTTCAGCTAACGTTCGTGTCGTCGACGCGTCTGTCTTTCCCATCGAATTCTCCGCCCACGTCAGTGTTTCTCGTCGTTCCCATTAATTCGGGTTTGAACCTGTTGTTCACAGCTCGCTGCGCCGGTCTACGGTCTCGCAGAGAAGGCTGCAAGTATCATTCGCTCAGATTACAACGGTGTCAGCGTGGCGACACCAAACGCATCATCATCTGCGGGCTCGTCCGCGTCCGCATCGCCGTCTCCGACGGCGGTCCGGACAAGCGGTGCTGCTTCCGTGGTCCACAACGGTGCAGCTGTAGCTCTTGCTGCGACGCTGATTGCTGCGACGTTCTTCACTTTCTAAATTAAACGTGAATTGACTCTGTGCCCGGACTTATTGACGGGACATCTGAACCTTCGATACCTACTTCCTTATACTGTGGCCCTGCGAGTAGTTAGATATAACACTCCTCGAATTTGTAGCGTAGATCAAGGACATACATAGTAGTGCTATACTAGTTCTCTCCGTATGTAGTATAGTCTACTATGCGTAGTGTAGATAGACCGCTTGGACTGTTGTTGGTACTCAAGTGGTGCTGGGTAACACCACAATGGACTGTCGTAACTCTGGCCCTCCCTTCTCCGTTGAATATCTGCTTTTGTGCGAACTGTACTCCAGCGCATGGAACTTCCCTCCCGTATTCTTACTAACCAACAGCATTAGGACGATCATGGTTCTTGTGTTCCTGTCGTCGCGTGTCGTCACTCGACTGATAACCGGCAAGATCGAGTCAAGCTCAATCTCGAGTCAATACTACACTTTCCTATCTTGGTGACTAGTGCAGAGTGAGGGATCGACCCGTACACGCCCGTGGCTTAGCTGCAGCCACTCCCTAAACTTCGAGTTCGTACCTACACATCTGTCTACGAGCTTATCTCGCGGTCTCCATCATGCATCCTGGCCCTGCGCAACGACTCTGGTCGCAGAGCCGCATGGCATCGACCTCGATGCACCACCTGTACCCATTCCCGACACATGCGCACCCGACCCCGCACCAGATATTCCACCTCCCACCGGGAGCGTCCCAGAAGGATATCAAGGCGAGATGTACGCACCATCGCTCTTTCCACCACCGCTCACCGCTCCAAGTGCAGTGTCTTTACGGTGGTGCGAGGTGGCTAGCGTTTGACTGACATACCGCCCGAAGACTACGATCTCGTGCGTGTGCACCACCCCGACTCCCCTATGTGCCGGAACCTGTCTGCAGAGGTGCGCCACGTGCGCTTCAGGTCTATCACGGCGGCGTACGACGCCTTACGGGGAAAGGGGAAGCACGGTGCGAATGCACACGACGCCGTCCGTGCGGAACTGGAGCGACGACGGAGGGCGCAGCGGAGGTCCAGGGAGCGTGCCGAGTTCGCTGGGGCAGCCGCATTCTCTGATAGTCCGTGGCATGCTGAGGCGGATGACCGCTGGAAGGACTGGCTTATTATCACCGCTGCGGTCATGGTGCGTGATTTCCTTTGTTCATGCGCGACAGCCAACTCATTGTATGCTCAGTCGTTGGCAGCCGGCCTCGGCCCAGCGCTTCTATGGCCTGCTGCCGGGATGTCAGACCGTCGACATCAAGCAGCGTCACAGAACCTGGCAGAAGCGAGGAGAGTGGCAAAGGTTCATGGCACCGAGCAACGACAGGAAATCAGACGTCGCGTGGAAGAAAGCAAACGATCGCAGTCTGGGGAAGACGGATCGCAGCCGCAGCTGGATAACTCTTGACAGTGATAGCTTTGTTGCAGATTGCCCGTCGCTCCGATGGCGACATCGTTTATCATTCTAGTGCGCCGTTATGTTTCTGTACATTCACTTTGCATACTTCGAGCAGGCACTTTCTGCTCCATCGGTTCCCACCCATCAGCTGTCATGATCTCCGAGGCAATTCCAACTCTTCAGGGCCGAAACTGTATGGCAAGAGTTCGCCAATACTCGTTTCCTGTATACCGCCATTCTGGTCTCCACTGGCTCGAAGTTCGTCGTAGTTGGCGGGCACAAGGAAGATAGGCATATTCAACGAACAAAACTCTCGGAGCACTTGGCGGCACATTCCGCACGGCGAGAGGGCTGACTCAACGTCGCTGTTAGAGGGAGCGAGCGTGATGTGCTCGTGAAGCAGTATTCGCAGGGATAACTCACGTCACTACGGCGAGTGCGGTGAACGACCGCGTCCCTTCGCTCTGTGTGCACGAGTTATGCGATGTGTGACGTATGTAGATGAGCATTGATTGCAGACCACGCACCACTGCTTTGACTATAGCGGTCCGCTCCGCACATATTGTGCCACCTAGGAGTAGCGGAGATTAGATGTCCCAAGAGTGCAGGGACTCGAATCCAAATATTGAAGAGCGGACGTCTATGCTCACCGTATGAAGCATTTTCGATGTTTGCACCCTTGATGACTTCTCCGTTCGCGGAGAGAAGAGCTGCGCCAACACGAAAGTTGGAATATCTGCAGTACGCGTTCTCTTTCGCTGAGCAATAACGGTAGCAAGGCGTTCAGTCGAAATCATAGTCGAGCGCGTCCCCTGCTGGTCTGCATTTACTACACACCTTCAAAAGCTGCCTTAATGAGCCGTTCTTTGTCTGGGACAGCGACAGCCCAAGTGGTCGCAGACATCGTCAGGTCGAGTCTGGTAGAACCGGTAGCGGAAGGATCTCGATGAGTCAGTCACTACGCCAATTGCAGACTTCAGCCACCGCCTTGCCGCACACATTCGAACCTGAGATCTGAGACGTTGCAAGCCGAGTCTGGACTTGGCGTGCAGGATTCAGACGCACAGAAGATCCGGGGAGTCGAAAAGTGCGACGATTAAGAGGGGGAGGGGCAATTCAAGCAACGTAACTTACGATTTTCCTCAGAGTTTGCAATTTGAACTTTAATATTCTCTTTCGACCACGACGTGTAACCTGTGGTTTACCCTATTGTTTTGGTTCTCCTCGGGAAAGATTCCCTTCAAATCGCTGCTCACCTATATCTGCAAAGTGCAGTAATGATCGGTCGCCCGTTGGAAGCCCCGTCCGATAGCGCTAACAGCGGGCGTTCTCCGTGGTTTCCTGTACACGCCCCGTATGTATGAGGAGAAGCTGAGACCATGCACCCGGACATTCCCACCATGATTTAGGCGCGTTTGGACTAATGCTTGACTTTGAATTAGACAGTAATCTCGACAGCTCCGCCGAAGGACGCTCAATCTATCGGACGCATCGCATCTCGCAACTACGGACGCGCAGATAATTTTCGCCAGACCGTGTCAAACATCTGGTGATGTGCAATGAGCAGAAAAAACTGTCTTTTGATCTACGACCCCACAAAACGCACACCTGATTCATCGTTAGGTCTTCAAAGTGGTGAGTGTCATGTATTCTATTTATACACGGACAATATATCCCCAGACAAGATGAAGCACGGGCGTGAGGTGCACTAAGACAATGTTTGCGGGCGTACTTCATCCATAAACATGAGACACAATCCTATAACCGCGATTTTGGGAAGCGCCTTCAGAGATTTGTCGCCGATACTAACCTCTGTTCCGTCCCTCCGACATATGGCGTCGGATTTCCAACATGAAGAGGCGGTAAATATGCGGACAAATAGACATCTGGAGAAACCGCATTGGTGGCCAGTGACCGGCCCCAACTGGCGGTCGCGTGCACATGCTGCATCTCGCGGAACCGAGATAATGAGAATTGTGACGGTATGTTGACTTCTCGTAAATTCGTGCAAACTGAATGTATCGATGGGGGCACCAGGTATGTTGTTCCTGCGTGGGTTTGAACGTTCATACCTGTAGGATGTCTAACGCTTGCATCAGAGCGACGGAAAGTAGTCGATTACCGAATATTTCAATGCAGTAGTACAACCAAGTTGCTAGGATTTTACGACTTGACGTAAATTCTGGCATTCCACGGCGCCTCTGCACTCGTTAATCTCGCCTACGAAGAACATCAGGTAGCAGGCGGTCTCCATGCGCTGGCAGAACACCATGGCTTCACATTGCTTGGAAGTCATCCTCGAAGTCTGCACATGTTCGGGCTTTTCACCTGTGAGATGAACCGGAATGCATGGGTATCCGGCTGTCTGCATTGTCTCGGAGAGTTGCGAATGTGAAAGTCACCGCTCGTATTACGGCAGAGGGAATAAGTGAATCCTTGCGACAAAGTGCAACAAAACTTACAAGGGACACGAAGTACATAGACGGCACGAAGATTCCACTGGCCTCCTGAAATGATCCGCCGAGCTCTACGCCGGAAATCTTAGTGCCGTCCAGAAATCGAGTCTAGGCGTGTAACATCGTTACCACTGACAGTGGTCAGTCATCTGGGAAAGCGCGCACGGAAGCATTGAATTTGTGGTCGCCCACCGACTGAAGGATCGAACTTCCCTCGAATAGTTATGAGTCACACAAGATGCCACCATCACATGAACCAGAAAACGTCCATGCCTGAACCCCAGTGGAAAACGCGTATTGTGAGATCGCAGCAAGTCGCACGAGGTCGTGGCTGTGACCAGCTGCGACCAGCCGCGAAAATTTGGACTATATGCGATCTTGCGCGAGCCCAATCAAACGTGGTCGCAGGCTAGCACAGTGCCAAGCGGGAGAATCGAGGCATTTCGCATCTAGTCGAATATTAAGCTGCTGTATAATAATTGTATTGTCGTGATTTAATACACTGTGACTACACTCGACGTCGTGTGAGCACCCTCGCCGTCGTGCGAGCTCCTGCGACATCGCGCGATCTACTTCGACCTGCTCCGCTCACACCCCCGCCCCCGCTCCCACCCCTGCCTGCGCCCCCGCCCCCGTTCCCGCCCCCGCCCCCGCTCCTGCCCGTACCCCCGCCCTCGCACCTACGCACCCCTGCACCTACGCACCCCTGCACGCACGCGCGCGCCCATCCCCCTGCCCGCGCACGCACCCGCGCACTGGCGCGCAACCGCACACATCCGCACTCCCTGTGTTCGCCGTCGTCCCCGTTTTCACACCTGGATGCTGCCCAACACCTGTAATATAAGTAGAGTTAGTGAATATGTGTCATAGCATAGATAAAGAATGAGATAAGGTAGAGAGGTCCGCTACAAAGTCGGTGCAAGCGCAGCTGTTCACGCTCAGGCTGACTGGATAGTCGAGGTCGTCCAGACGGCTTCTCGCGCTCGAAGTGTGCATAAAGGCCCGGCGAGCTCGTTAGTCGGGGTCGTCGGAAGAGAGATGTGTGACTGCGGAGCCTGCTACAGGGGGCGGGGGGTTTTGGACGCCGCAAACGAACCTCTCGCAGTGCGAGACGATCGCCTCGGTGCGCTCGGTCCTCGCTCGGTCCATGTGCCCCCCGCCCGCGCGCCCAAATATCGATCCTCTGACCCCGGATTTCCCGGTATATGCGCCAGAAGTCGACGTGCCGTGTCCGCATCCACATCCTTGTACTCACCTGGTCATCCTAACTTGCCCCATCCCCCCACTTCTCAACTTCTCGATGCGGGTCATGTCTATCGTGCGCGCCAGGGTCGCGAATCGGCGAATGCGGCGCGCGGACGGGACTGCTCGGATGTCTTCGTTTGGCTTTGGAGCCTGGAATGCGGCACGCGTACCGCGCCCAGCCGCTTGAGATTGAGGGGCTAGTCAGTGCCCCCCAATTGAAGGCGCAGATGGAAAGATCATGGGGATCTCAACGAATGTGGATAGTATCGGATCGCCTTCTTATCGGAAGATTAGCATAACATGATCCACACTTGCACGTAGGCAGTACTTACTACCGTAATCAGCAGCAATGCTGCAAGTACACCAGAGGGGGTCTCTCGACCATCTGATAAGTAAATTTAAGGACATTTCAGGTGCCTGGATGCCTGACACAGAAACTGTCGCCGTACCTCGTCAATAGGGGCACATCAGAGGATTACAGTCAGGAAGACGAACACACATTCACATAGTCCGGATGTGTCGCAATGCGCACCACACGTGCACCAGAAAGCAGTGCAAACTTGTTCTCCCGGAACTGCTGCGAGATTAGACAGGGAATGAGATGTAGAACAGTTCGCACTGTGCGGGGTGCGGGCAGCTGTGCGCACTTGAGCGTGGCATGACCGTCACATTGAGGCAGAGAAGGCTGTTGAGCCACTTCTCGACGGTGTCTTCGGCCGCATATAAAATCGGTGTCTCGAGCTTGCAGTGTGCACGCTTTCGGCGGTGCCTTGACGATGGGCTTCTTGAAGCTCGAGCTTACCGCTGCATCGTCTTCGCCCGCGGCGGTGTCTTTAGTACGCGAGGGGTGGGTGCTCTCATGGAGCTGTTGGATGAGCTTGAGTGAGAGTAATCGGCCGGTATAATAAGCATCGTGCTCTGGAGGTCAGAGCGACTGGATGCAGGAGGACAAGAGCGCAGACGTGGTGGCGACATGAGTACGGTGACGCGTCCATGTCTCTGTCACATGATGAGCTCGGCGTGGGTGCAAAGAGATGATATAAGTGCAAGTACACTGGGCACAAGTACAACATATAGTATATAGCTAATCGAGACACGCGTGCAGGCAAAATTCGACAGATGGCGGCCTTACGTCGAGCAAAGTGCAATTCAGACGGGACATGGTACAGGATCGACGCGTCAAATCACAGGATGTCTCGCACGTGTTCGACCAGGTGAGATCTGGTTCGACCGCTTGCGATAGTCCAAGTCAAGCCGCGATCTGGTGCGTCTTGGTTCGTTCTTGGAATATGTTGGAGCTGACAATCCGAGCGCATGTGTCTCCGATATACCCGAATGTTCAAACGTTTGTCGCTAACTTTGTTCCCGGTTCCCGTACTACTACTATACTTGGTTTAGTTCCCGCCGTGCGTACGGTACATACATTTCTCATTTAAGGAAGTCTCGTAGACGTAGCACACCTCAGACGTTGTTCTCCCGCCCGGAGTGCGAACGGCTGAGGTGAGTAGTTTACATACATGTATTTCTTGCCGTGTTACTTACAACCCTGTACAGCTGACTTCTGTACAGGTAAATACATTCAGACGTTGTTCTCCCGCCCGGAGTGCGAACGGCTGAGCTGACTTCTGTACAGCACGCACTCCTTACAGGTTATGAGCCCCGGCTCTTCATAGCCTCGCACGTCTCACGAAAAATCCCCTGTGTCTATTGCTTCAAACTCTATTCTCGTTATGACTACACTTGTCTCGCTATCCGAGTATGCCAATGCTTTCGAGAAGCTCGATACGACCGGCCGGAACTGGCTCATGTTCCAGCATCGTCTCGAGATTGCAGTTCGCCAGAAAGGCGTATGGCCACACTTCGATGGCTCGTCGAAGAAGCCCGTCGCTGCGGATCCAAACAAGCCGACGACGGACGAGACAGACCTCATTCAGGAATGGCAGAAGAAGGAGAATCTTGCTCTCTATCTTCTCACACAGAAGCTATCTGACACGACAGTGACGAAGTACCGTCGGAGGAGTAGCGTTACCGAGATCTGGTCTGCCATTGTCTCGGAGTTCACGCAGAAGTCAATATTGATCAGGTCGAACCTCCGGATGCAGTTCTCGAACTTGCGTTATACCCCCGGTGCAGACCTACATGCCGAATTTGACCGTATCCGTGTGAAGCACGAGGAGCTACTCAACCTAGAGATCAACATCAGTGAAGCCGAGTATGCTTCACTGATCATTGCTTTCCTACCTCCCGACCTCTCCGCATTCATCTCGCAAATCTCTGCGACAGCCAAAGCCACGATGCTGATGCAGCAGCGTGCCGCGGCGATGTCCAGTACTACTCCCAGTACCACCGCTGTGTCGAGTCAGATTGACCTCGACAAGGAGAAGCCACTCCTTGATGCCGAGACCTTGATGGCACTCGTTCTTGAGGAATGGGATCGCCGGAAGATGTTGAAGGGTGCTATGCCAAAGGCGAAGGATCCCGGTGTCGCAGCCAGCGCGGTGTCGACTGAGAAGCTGAAAGGTGGCAAGGGAAAGGGTCCACGCAAGCCTGTTGGTGTGTGTTGGAACTGCGGCGGCAAGGGACACAAAGAGGCCGACTGCCCGACTCCAAAGCAGGGCAGTAGAGACAAGGACAAGGGCAGCAAAAGTGCCGAGCCATCCAAGTCCACGTCGAAGCCTACCGCAGCGTCAGCAGTCACCCTTGACGACGTTGCGGGTGCCTGGTCAGCATTCATACCTGCCGACTTCTCGGATGACAGCGTGTCATCTGTGCTGGACCTCTGGTCTGTCAGCGATGATGACTTAGATTATAGTGCACTCACGGAGGCCTCCACTGACAACGACGAGATGCCAGACTTGGTGTCCGTGTCAAACTCGTCTGCCAGCGAGTTCGATGATGAGAGCGCAAGTGATGCGCAAAGCTGTGATGCCGGCGATGCCATCTCGCACGAGGACGGTCTTGAGGTTGCCAGGGCACACGAAGCTGCCCGCCACCCCGTGGATGTGTTATCGAAGATGCTGTGGGTCGACGATTGGGTAATTGAGGTTGCAGTGGCCAAAGATGAATCGAACGAGGAAGATGCTCCTCGCGTTCCCGATATTGTCTTGGCACTGGCGGCTACAAAACCCAAGTCAAGTTACCCTACAGACCTGTATGATTCAGGCGCGAGTCATCACATGTCACCATTCCGAGAGGACTTTCTCACCTTCCACGAGACAATGCCGCAGCCGCTGAATGCAGCAAACCAGCAGGACTTTGTTGCTACTGGCGTTGGAGATATGATTATCGCGGTGCCAAATAGTCCCGGACCAACGAAAATGAAACTTACGCGAGTCTTGTACACCCCCGCGATCGCGTTCAACTTGATTTCGATTGGACGCATTGATGATGCAGGCTGCACCGTGACGTTCGGTGGGCAGCGCTGCGAGATCCGCGATCGTGATGGCCATCTTCTCGGAATGATCCCGAAGATGAAGGGGCTGTATACAGTGGTGCGTCAGCATGAGAAACCCTCCGCGTATGCTGCACGACATGTGAAGAAACTTACTGTCATGCAATTACATCGCCTTATGGGTCATATCGCGCCCCGCACGGCGCGCGAGCTTGTGACGAAGGGCCTAGTGCGTGGTGTCGAGCTCGTTGAATCAGATGAGCCCGAACTTTGCGAAGTGTGCATCCGCGCAAAGAGCACGAGGCGACCAGTGCCGAAGGAGCGCGAGGGAAAGCGGGCAACCGAGTTCGGTGGTGAAGTCCATTCCGACTTGTGGGGGCCATCTCGCATCCAAACTCTTGGTGGTCGGAAGTACTACATCAGTTTTACGGACGACTGCACTCGCTTCTCAACTGCTTACCTGCTGCGCCAGAAAAGTGAAGCCTTCATGTCATACAAGGCCTTCGAAGCATGGGTGAAGACTCACATGGGTGTTGACATTACTGTCTTGAACACAGATCGTGGTGGCGAGTACCTGAGCGATGCATTTGTCAGGCACCTCGAAGAGCAGGGCACGGAACAGAAACTGTCCGTACATGATACTCACGGCGAGTCGGGCGTCTCGGAGCGTTTAAATCGCACCGTTGCCGAGAAAGGCCGCGCAATGCTGATTGCTGCGGGCTTACCGCGATTCCTGTGGGGGGAGGCTGTGCTGCACGCGATTTATCTGAAAAATCGGACGTCAACGAAAGCACTGAACGGTCGCACACCATATGAAGCTGTGACAGGTGACTTACCGGATCTGTCTGGTATCCCCGAGTGGGGTGCACGCATCTGGGTCCACGATACAGCTACAGGGAAGATGGGCGAGCGTGCAAAACCTGGCCATTGGGTCGGTTTCGATATGCAGAGCAAAGGCCATCGGGTGTATTGGCCCGACAAGCGCTCCGTCACAGTTGAGCGCAACGTGCGGTTTGGGGAACCACATGCTGTGTCGCCAAACTCGGATGACGGCCTCGAGCTTGAGGGGGAGGAACCTGCTGGTGACAAGCCCGAAGCTGAACTGTCCGTCAGTGCGCCCGACCTGCCCGTTAGTGCGCCCGAGCCTGCATCAAACGTGCTCGTGCCGTCCAATGTGCCCGCTAAGCCTGCATCGCACCAGACACCTGCCGAATTACCACATATACCGCAGCACCCTGTTCGTAACCGCCAGCCGACACGCTATGTCCGCGACATACGCGCGGGGAAGGCAGAGTCAAAGAAACTGCCCACCGGTATGCAAGTGCCTGATGAGGCTGAAAAATCCCGCAGCGCTGAAGCTTCGCTTCAGGGGGAGCTTGAAGAGCCAATAGGAGGCGTTGCGATGGCGGCGAAGATGGCGGATGTTGAGGGACTGGAGCCAAGGACGATAGGCGAGGCGAAGAAAAGGCCGGAGTGGCCACGCTGGGAAGAGGCGATCGTGGAGGAACTGCGCACTCTTGAGGCACACGGTACGTGGCGTCTTGAGAAGGCACCTACAGGTGCAAATGTTGTCAGCTGTCGTTGGGTCTTTGCCGCGAAGAAGGATGCCGCCGGCAATGTTTACAGGTATCGTGCCAGGCTTGTTGCTCGCGGATTCTCGCAGATTCCAGGTGTCGATTTTTTCGATACCTATGCACCTGTTGCCAAGACGGCATCCATCCGTGTCGCACTCGCGTTCGCTGCTCGTCACGATTTTGAGGTCCACCAGATTGATGTGAAGAGTGCCTATCTTCATGGTGAGTTTGAGGAGAACGAGGTTATTTACATGAGCCTACCTCCTGGGACAAACCTCACAAAAGAGCCTGGGATGGTGCTGCGACTTCTCCGACCTCTGTATGGCCTCCGCCAGAGTGCTCGTCACTGGCACAAGAAACTCCTGCGTGCGCTGCAGGAATTCCTCCGCATGGTACAGTGCGATGTTGACCAGGCCGTCTTCTTTCGCATAGAGGGGACTGACCTCATCGTGATCGTTGTACACGTCGATGACCTGACTATCGTCACGTCGTCGCGCGCCTTGATCGACGAGGTGAAGGCGCAACTCCGAAAGGCGTTCGGAATCTCGGATTTGGGTGAGATCCATTGGATCCTCGGATTCGCCGTAGAACGCGATCGCACCGCGCGCACGCTCGCCCTATCGCAAACATCATACATCAATTCCATCATCCAGAGGTTTGGTTTCGAAGATTTGAAGCCACTCACCACGCCTATGGACCCGAACACGACGCTGTCGAGTGCGCAGTCACCACAGACGACCGCTGAGGCTGCCGCCATGCGCGACATCCCGTATCGCGAGGCTGTGGGCTCGTTGATGTACGCGTCACTTGGTACGCGGCCGGACATCACGTATGCCGTCTCGTTTCTTTCGCGTTTTTCAGACAATCCCGGGAGAGCGCATTGGGAAGCTGTCAAACGTGTCTTCAGGTATCTGTCCGGCACCAAGGACTTGAAGCTTACCTATGGTGCGCAGGGGCTGGATCTGGTAGGCTATACGGACGCAGATGGGTCGATGCACGAAGATCGGAAGGCGATTTCGGGCTATGCTTTCCTCATCGACGGCGGCGCGGTCTCTTGGAGTTCGAAACGCCAGGAGATTATTGCGTTGTCGACGACCGAGGCGGAGTACGTGGCAGCGACACATGCAGCGAAGGAGGCACTCTGGCTGCGCTCCCTAATCGGGCAAGTTTTTCAACCATTCTCTGAGGCCGTTACCCTGTATTCCGATAATCAGTCCGCCATCACTCTCTCCCGCGACAATCAGTATCATGCACGCACGAAGCACATTGATATACGTTTCCACTTTATTCGTTGGATTGTTGAAGAAGAAAAACTCAAACTCATTTATTGCCCTACCGAAGACATGGTAGCTGACTGCCTCACCAAAGCTCTCCCCAGTCCAAAAGTCAAGCATTTTGCCACTGCATTGGGACTTTGCTAGGATTGAGGGGGAGTGTTGGAGCTGACAATCCGAGCGCATGTGTCTCCGATATACCCGAATGTTCAAACGTTTGTCGCTAACTTTGTTCCCGGTTCCCGTACTACTACTATACTTGGTTTAGTTCCCGCCGTGCGTACGGTACATACATTTCTCATTTAAGGAAGTCTCGTAGACGTAGCACACCTCAGACGTTGTTCTCCCGCCCGGAGTGCGAACGGCTGAGGTGAGTAGTTTACATACATGTATTTCTTGCCGTGTTACTTACAACCCTGTACAGCTGACTTCTGTACAGGTAAATACATTCAGACGTTGTTCTCCCGCCCGGAGTGCGAACGGCTGAGCTGACTTCTGTACAGCACGCACTCCTTACAGAATATGCATTTTTCACTGGGCCTGAACACCGATCAACTTCGAAGTGACGGCATGCAACTAGAAGGTCTATTATGGCGACTATTTCGTTATAATCGTGGCGGTCACTGGCGCTGGCGACGATTTGGAAGATAGCATAAGTAAGCACGAGGTCGAAACATCAATTGGAGTACGCATGCAGTACACGACTACCGACTAGATATTCTGTCAAGCATCTGGAACACTAATTTTCTGTGAGACAGTGACGAGCCAAGACAGGAAGCACACGCATGTCGTAAAATTCAGCGAATGGCAAGATTAAATAAGCTTTCCGAATCTTCTCAACAAGAGGTATCATCAATTGATAAGGAGGATGTGTACACCATTGGCGAGAAGGCTGTCCGATGGCTTCTTCAGATAACGGCTGCCAGTTTGCAGCTTTGAAGATAAGCTGTGTGAGGAGGAATATGTGCCAGAGTTGTGTAAGCTGACCACCGTGTGGACTACTGGTGCATACATGTGAACGATGTAGCATGGTCGGGTGAGCTGCTAAACTACCTACCATAGCAATAGTGCTCCGAATCAAAGGGATGGTTTGTGGACTGTGTTGATGTGGCGGTGTGAGCTGAGTTTGAGTTTGACCTGTAGATTACACCCCAACCAAGGTCATGCGGGGCATGTGACGGTGCCTTCTAGGCCCTAAGAGCTCAAGAATAAATTTGCCATGGAGTCGCAGCAGTCAGTACACATAGTACATCAGCAATACTACGCCTTCCATTTTCGGTCGGTGAGGATGTACTGTACTTTGGACCATTCTGGCCAGGGGTGACAATGGACACGTTGGCAATGATCCGGCCAGGTGGCCACACCGGCTGTGACACCTTAATTTAGCTGGCCGCATGGTAAAAGTGGGGCCGCAGGCACTGAAAAATGAGCATTTTCGGCCTGAGACCACTGTCACAAGAAGCATTGCCCAGTATTTTTTGCGGAAAAGGGTTAAAGTAAAGCCCACAGAAAAAACTATGAAAAAGGAATAAAGAATAATTTCCAAAAAAACTGTGATTCTAAGCTGCTGATTGGACAATCACAGTATTTCCCATGAAAATTCATTATGCTTTATTCAAAGTTTTTTCTCATGCTTTACTTTATGAAAATTTTCAGGGTTTTTCCCTGAGAAATACTTGGCTATGTGTCTTGTGTGTGACATAGTGACACCAGACAAAGGGTCAAATCCAGCTAAGGGCCTTGTGACCAGTGACTGGCCAGATTGGTCATTTTAGTACAGTACCAATCAAGTGACGGTGAATTAATAATCAGGTTTAATAGGATTTATTTAGCAAGTTTAATTGACACAGTGCTATTGTAAGGTGCCTAGATCCTCAGGCTTACCAGGGCTGCAGTGGACTCAATATATAGCCAATAGTAAGCTAAGATTGAGAGTGTACAGCTGGATGGTGAGTGTAGGGGATTAAAAGCAACTTGCTTAGGTAATCAGTAAGCAATCCATAACGAGTAACAGTTGTCAGAACTGACCTGTTACACCCTCCCCCACCAGAAACAACTCAGGTGAGAAGAAAGGAAGAGGAGGGGAATAGATGGGCATATCATAAAGTAAAGCATACCATGTGTAGAGGAAGTAAAGAAAAGTGTATACCATAAAATAATTGTGCGACAAGGAGCTTTTGGCTCTAGGTCAAGTGAGTGGTACTTTACTGTGGTTCATTGGACATAGCAAAACAGAAAGTATGCTGGGCTATCACAGTTGTTTGTTGATATCAATATATATGATAGTGGATTAAGGACACCTAAGCTATATGTGAGATTCATTGTCTGAAGTCGGGAGGGTAGTCTGCACAATACAGATGGGGGAGTATAAGGGGGATGCCTAGCAACTGTGTGCAAGGGCTTGCATTCTGCTTGTCTAATATGATGTCTATAACTGGTGCAGGGCTTTCCTAGCCTTCTGATGCAATGCCTACAACCAGTGCAAGGCTTAACAAGTTTTCTTATATGAGGCCTACAACCAGTGCAGGACTTTCCAAGTCTTCTTTATCTTCCTATCTGGGTGCCTACAACTGTGTGCAGGGCTTACCGAGTCTTCCTAGTCTTCCTATCCGAGTGTCTATAACTGTGTGCAGGACTTATCGAGTGCACATGTTCTTTACGATGTGCCTGGCTGATAACATTTCTATTTCATTCTGAGAACTTTCTGAGAACTGTTCGAGTATCTAGCAACCATGTGCTAGAAGACTCGAAAGAAACTAAACTAGAGTGCAGTAGTTGTGTCGATACAACTTACTGCCTGTAGCTGAACTGACTGCATCAGGATCCTTTTGATTGTGAGTAACAAGTTACAGGCAGGAGTGGAACAAAACTCCTATTCTTTAGCTTATACACTTATAGGATAGGCTACAAGTGGAGGGAGAACTCTTCACTTATAGAGGCTATAAGTGGAGAGAGAAGACTGTGGGTCGGGGTGCCTTGGGGGTCCTTTCATACTCCTTGAGTGTCATCCTGTGTGATCATTATATAATAGTGTTACATGGCAAATTGGCCAATAGCAAAATAAGAGTATTATGTGATCACTTTAGGATACCCAGCAAGTAACTGTAACAGTTCTGAGGTTTGGTCACAGCTAAGAGGTGACCAGGGGTGGGTCAGTCCAGGGTCTAATGCTAAGGACCATGTCCCTATGTGGGCAGTCCATAATATGTAGCAGTCCTATATAGAAAAGTAATGGGCTGATAGTAAAGGAAGGTCTTTGACTGCCCTAAAGCCCCTTATTTGCCCTGATATCCCTATATCCCTAAGGACCATCACTTGTTACATGGTGCTTAGGGACATCTTTGGGACATCTCTTTTTGGACCATCTCACAGCTAAATTAATTGATTCTAGCTAGCATCCACGTATGCTCTCTGGGTAAGCTGATTATAAAAGCATATAATATAATAGTATAGAGCATTGCTTTATTTGCATTTAATAAAAGCAGAGATACCTATAAAAGGAGTAGTATGTATAGCAGGTTTATCAGATTATATAATAATGCTTATTCTTGTGTTTTAAAATATATTTAACACTTTTATAGTGCCCAATCTAACCTCATATGATATTTATTGTATAGTATCTGATGTGGACATTCTATAACTTTCATTATACAGTCTTATACTGGCCACTGAGATAGTACCACTCAGTGAGACACTTGGATTTTTCTTGCTCACATGCTCACATTCAGCCTTGGACTTTATATTAGTATATTCTACTGCTATGTAGGCTTCTATAATGAGAATATAAGGAGTAGTTACTAAGAAAAAGTATTCTGATTTCACAAAAGAAGCAGTTCTGTGCCTTAGAGTAAAATCTTGTGGGAAGATCTAAGACATATGTACAAGCTTTTCTGACCATCTCCAAGCTGTATATCTCAGTAGCACCTCATACCCTCAAGATCAGCTTTTCTCCATGAAGATCGGCACATGGAAAAGCACAGAATGCACAATATGCATGTAGGATGAGGAGAATGAGACGGCCCTATCAGCTGTGGGGTCACATCACACTTGCCATTCTTAGATGGCTCGTGGTGTTTCAAGTGTTCTGGGCACTGCTTTATCGGGAAGGAACAGCCGTGATGTGATGCTGTCTTAGTGAGTGATATGTACACTGATAACGACTTTTGACACTGATCACTTTAGATATCATAACGTACTTGGCACTGTCTCATAAAAAGTTGTAGGTATGTTAGCTGAAGTATAGAAGATAATTTTGGTCTACTCTGATTTACACTAAACCTCGTTAACGAAGTTTCTGAGGCTCAACAAAATTTGGCTGTCTCAATGACCGGTATAAGACTGTAAAGGTTAAGAAATAGAATAAGCTAGTATATCTATATACTAGTAGAAGAGATAAAATTCTCCCTACAAAGATATATTCAAACAGTTAAGCAAGGCATTTAGTCCAGTAATCTGAGGAAGTTGTACTTGGGGCAGATATATTTACTGCATAACATTCTGTGCTAAAGGACATTTCTTAACATAAAGGGACAATGAGATATCTCTCTGTACTAGGACAATGTGATGTTCCTCTATATTGGGACAATGGGACATCATTCTATAGGTCCTATTATGTTCTTTAGCACAGAATGTTATGCAGTAAATATGTTTGCCTAAGTACAACTTCCTCAGATTACTGGACTAAATGCCTTGCTTAACTGTTTGAATATATCTTTATAGGGAGAATCTTATCTCTTCTACTAGTATATAGATACACTAGCTTACTATCTCTTAACCTCTATAATGAAAGTTATAGAATGTTACTCAGCATCATCGTAAACTCTGCCATTTGTGAACAGGCATTCAGCAAGTTTGGTATTAGACATATGAAGCTTCGTAATCACTTGGATTGTTAAAAGACCCATGGCACTGCAATGATCAAGATGGATATTCACATGTCTCATGTTCTCGGAGGCCTTATAAGCATACAGAAAAAGAGCAAGTTTGGTGAGGATTATCCTGGTCAGACCTTGCAGTCACCATCTCAATTCAGTGAAATATTGGTCCCACTTTCAGCACCAACAGACAGGTTGAGTGATGTCTTGAAAGGTGGCTCATTCTGCGAGCTTGCAGAGCAATTGCAGGTTGAAGCATTTGCTGCAAGGGATGACAATAAAGGTCATCTTATCTTGTTTTCTCTATCTCATTGTGCGTTCTCTTCCTTTATTCTTTTTCGAGCAGCAGTAAGGTGGGCTTGGACTTTTATTGGCATGGTGGGATATAAAACTATGATGAGGAGATGGCTCAGTATGAGCTTATTCATTCTTTATGTTGATCTGAAACCTTTAATGCTTAATACTGCCTTTATATCAGTGAGACCACTCATTTTTTTAAACCAATAGCAACAAATGTGTCTAAAAGCAGTAATAATTTCACATACAGTAGTTTCTCACACTCGCCATCTGACATGTCAGAGATTTCTGACTCTCTTAGAGGTCAGACTGACCTTTCTTGACTGACAGGAGTTTGACGCCATCAGTGACAACACTGGGTCAAACAGTTCATCTAGGTTTGCTAACTTTCAGTGTCAAAAAATGACATTGCATGCATCCCAGGCCCATTTCTGACCAGAAAAAATATCTAAAATGAGAAAATTCCTCTGAATGGTCAATTTATAGAGAATACACAAAGTCACCTAAGGACCCCTGGACCTTTCCTCCCTCCCTAACCTCTGGTGTCAGCATTTTCTGGCTGAGTCCTCTTGACAGTAGCAGCTATAATATGTTGTTCTGATTAAATGAGTCATGCCTATTCTGGTTTTCTTGTCCACTTTTCCACTTCATACAACCTGTTATGCATGCTACTCACCATTCTATGAATCACACTCTGCAGTCGAGTGTATGTGTACATTTTAGCATTCTATAAATAAGAAAATAATAATAACATGAAGGAAAAACTCTAAAGGCTTGAGGTTTACACTGACCTCAAGACCTTGCCACAGAACAAGCAGGCAGTCACATACAATAAGTACTAACTCACCCTAGCATAGTCCAAGTACTATAGAACTCACAATTAGGTGGTGTGAAGATATTGCCCAGATAGCCTCATCTGGAAACTTGAGAGCAGATATTGGAGTGGAGGCACAATTCACTACTGAAGGGCAAGAGTGTTAGAATACTGAGATTAGATTGCGAGCATAGGAAGCTTAGAATTAGAATGTTACTAAAGGTACTTATAAATAGCTATGACTTTTGATATACCTTACACATTTGCATGCTTCATATCACCCTATTAAATGGATTTTGCTACTGACCATTCATGTCTGGCATGAGTATTCCATGGGTCTGACAAGGTATACCCACACCCACACCCACAGAAAACTCATATCAATCACATGGGTATGAGTTTTCTGTGAGTTGGATATGGGTTAGTTATGGGTCTGTATGGGTCAGGACCCATCATAGGTATCCCATGAGTTGCAGTGTGAGAGTCATAGTACAATAGCAGTATGTAAGTCTTTATGCTGTCTATGCCACCACCACACTTCTGGAATTCTATGTTTATAACAGACTTATAAGATGGCCTATATGTTTCCATAGATTACTCACTGCTGACCCACACCCATACCCATAGATACTCATACTTACAACTTATGTGGTGATACTCATGCCATACAATACTTACCATGCATTATTATGGTATATTAGAGTAGAGGTTTCAAGCAGTTTTTGATGCAGTTTTTAAAATATTTTTAATCTAATTTTCAAGTCATCAAAGTACTGAAAAATAAGTTTTAGCTTTGATCAAACTGGTAAAAATAGTTTTCAGTTGGACTTTGACTTGTACTAGTGAGAAGCAGACTTCAAATTTGAGGCACTATGAGAGAAGCTTGGGCATATCCACTGAAGTGCTGACATTATTAAACCACTTATGCTCATCATGTGTGATAATGCTGTCACCTTAGTACATGTCTTTTAACCTCAAATACTTATTGTACAGGTTATTTAAAGAGGTTATTGGAAAGTCTAGTGTATTATATGTGAACAAGTGTTGTCACTATCAACATCAATGACCATGACCCCAATAATGATAACCATAACAATGCTGGTGTCATTATCAGCATTATGTGTGTCTTATTTTCAGAGTCCAACTCTGATGTCAAAGAGGCCGGAAACTTGTTTTGAGCTGAGGGCTCAAAACTAAAGTCACCTTTAGATTTTTTCAGGTCAAAAACTGCATCAAAAACTGCTTAAAATCTCTACTCTGAAGTACTTTATTTGCTCTGACAAAAAAATGTGTCAGATTCACCATGCTAACTCAAAGATGGCATATTGAATAGCAATAAGGCTCCATCATATGTAGCCACACCAGTTGCAGTTTGTAAGAAGATCTGCACCATTAGCATATATGTATATATATTGAATTTCTAAGAGATCAGCTAGCATAATATAAGCTCAAGAACACAACTGATGATCTAATGCATCTGCTTTACAGTATAGCAGTGCACTAACTTTAATAGAGGATGAACAGGCAAAGTACTGTACATTTTTAACTAACCCAGTAGGTCACAAGCCATAAGGCCAACAGCCTGCTGTATTTTGGATATATGCCACAGATCACAGCAAGTCTCACTGCTGACTCTAAATGAGTGGAAAATATGTATTTTTTTGTGGCCTGCGGCATCAAAAGCACACAGAATTGTTATATTTAATCTGAATAATCATACAATACACTCAACTCGAGCACTCCACTTATTCAAGAATGTTTATAAGCATCACTGAAACCTAGAAACCATACCTAGTCACTTGTTTATCACACACTTCCTCTTTTTAGTCAAGAAGTAGCCACACTGGCTATCCAACACAAATACAACAGCATCATCAGGCAGCTACACAGTAGCTGCACTCACTATATGCTGATGCTGATGCCACCTGCAGTCTGTCATCTCGCTACTATATTTGACCCTGTTCTCATCACACTTGGTCCTGTCAGCTGGCTAGTTTGGGTCCTCGAGGTCACAGGTCACCCTCTGCCAAGTTGATTAAAATGTACAGTAACTTAAGATAAAGACAGTGAGCACAATCTCAATGAGGTTTGTTGTAAAAAATGAATGGGTATGTATTTGTGAGAACTGGCAACACCTATTCAAAAAGTGTAGCCTTATATAAGCAGCTTTTCACAAAGAAAACCTAAAGCAGGTCATGTAGCAACTGCCATGTCTTCTATGGTAACTATGCAAAATAAATTATCAGTAAAGTTAGTAATATGTGCATATACTCTTAGAAATTCTAAAAATGAATTTAGAACACATCATCAGATGGTTGTGAGCATTCTCATAAGGTTTCAATACTTTGATGCTGACCAGAAATCACTTAAACAGGCAACTTGTGTGTTGACCATACTTATCAAGCAGTGTTTTTCTTTTTAGTTCTTCACATACTGCAAGGCTTAACTAAGCTTCCTTGCTCATCTCAGAAAGCTCAGATGGTTCAGAATATAAATACTTTATATAGTAGAACATTTTCATTGGAACAGAAATTTTGTAAATGTCCTGCATGTGAAGATACATCACAGAACCAGTGTCTCATGAGTCCTCTGATGAAAATGATCTAAACTGAAAACTCTACCATTATTCTCACCAAAGTCAAACACACTCTTGAGCTGACAATGCTGCACCAGCTGGGGACCACTGTTGCAGCCACAATACACTAAGATGTCTGGATGCACACCTATCAAATTTGGCAAAGAATTGCCTGTTCTCAGCATTTGTCCACAATTACCCTTCCAAAAACATTCTGACTTTGCTTGAAGTAATTTATGTCTGCAAGAGTACCTCTGAAAGCATAAGAGTGACATTCATAATGTCTAATGTCTGGCATATTTTACTATCCAATCTTCTGGTTCTCATCATTGGTATGCAAGCCTATGGGTTGGAAATTTTGATGAACCTTATGTTGGGTCTCATAGCCATTACTGACCTGTATAGTTCTAAAGTAGAGTATGTAGATTTTGCATAGAGAAACACCATCTCCTATATTCCAGTAGCACTCCTGCAAGTCAGATATGGATATTTTCTGTCTCTCCCCTACTACGATGCATGATGTGCTTGCAGGGATTAGCAAAGATGAATGCAACAGGGTCTGAGCTTTCATATATCTCTAAGAGAGGTGCAAGATAGAGAATCATGCATTTAGCGGAAACAAATGATCCTTCCACAGTAGTTGAGATGCATATTTTGACTTGGCCTCTGGGTAGAATATTTCATTCGAAAGAACAAGCACATTTGAAAGCAATTCTGCAATGTTCGATGTCTCTGAATTGATGCTGTAAAGTTCTAAAGACATTCCGGAAAATAAGCGAGAGAGTCAAAGTCAAAGCCGTGGACCAGTCGCCGAGATTCACCGCGACATAATTTGTCACGCGCAGATCAGGAGTCACAACATGCTATATTTGGCGTCTCACCATTATTGCTTGTCACACAATAATAAGTCGATTGTCGCCGTCGACTGTCTGCGTTTCTGCCCACTTTCCTCGGTATTTACAACCTGTCCGTTCCTTTCTATATACCACAGTATTCACGACATATTTGACGAACCGTTTCGAAATTCATGGGACATGGCGCAACCAATTTTCGAAGAGCATCCTCTCGAAGAATACTTCGAACGTCCGTCAATATTTCGTTTGGCAAGCTATTTCACTGACTTCACTTTGATTTATGTGCGCTAGTGGCGGGCGAGTACCCTGAGGATATGCCTGGTGGAGTCTCTGAATTCACTCTGCAACCCTCCCCTGGCAGAGCGAGACTCTTTGGTCTGGAGCGAATGCCGTCGTTCCTCGCGAATACCCTTCAGGTGAGTATCGCGTCTAACTTGACGAGTATAGATCACGAGCATCTGCATCCAGGACATTTATTCCGCCTTATACTCGTCACGGTCGTCGCAAGAGCAAACATTCGCTGAGCGCTTCAAGTACGACGTCATATCTTCTTCACTGCTGTCTTCGTCTATAGCTGCCCCACCAAGCGCAACCCGTCGTACCTTCTCCCCTGAGCTTCCGGGAAGGCTACAAGACACCAGCGAAGAGGACCCGTCGCCGACCACTGCTGCGCGACTGGATCAGTGGTTACCGACCCGCATGGCGAACGCACACGCGCGGCCCGAGTTCAGCGAGATTCAGTGGCCAATACTCATCCTTTCCCTTTCAGTTGCGGCTCTGTCTGCAGAGTATTACTTTATTGCTATTTTCTTATTCGCATGGGCGGCGTACGCTTGGCAGTCTAAAAGGTCAAACAACCAGAAGGCGGACGTTATCACTTCGGTGAGTGCGTACGTTGTGCCTGATGCGCGTGGCTGATTGAGTGCCTCAGACATTAAATGTTGTGAACGAAGTGATATCGGCGGGGAACGTTTGGGACTCTGCCGTGAACGAAGCTATTACGATCATCGAGACAGAGGAACGAAGGTGATTATGGCGGGCATGATGTTTTACTTCCCAGTTCTGACTGTATACGTCCAGTATATTCTACGGCCCGACGAGTCCGCAGTCGCCGTCCTCAGGTCTTCGCGTCACTCTGCAGTCATCGCTGCACACGACCCAGACGCAGTGCGACAACGTGCGCCAGCTTCTATCTGCCCTCACCGATCCGTCTCAGCTTGCGCAGCTTTCGGAGATGTATGCGCCGTCGTCACCGATGATGTCATCGTTCTCGCTCGACCACCCGCGGCCTGTATCCGCGCCTGCCTGGCGCCAGCGCCCGATATCGATGCCTGCAAATAAGCGTGCGACGTGGAACGGCTCATACGCGTCGCTCGCATCGGCAGGAAGCCCAACTGCGCATCTCATGAAACGTAAGCAGCGCACACGGTCTGGCCTATCCGTATTGTCAAATGCCAACGGATCCAACTTCGAGAGCATGAGCGCGCCTGTAAGTCCGCAGTTTTCTGACACACTTCCCGACGTGCAGGAAGAAGGTGACGACGCGTCGTCGTCCGAGCAACCGTCGTCATTCCCCTCTGCCGAGTACTTCGGAGCTGCTGCACTAGGCATGCACCGGAAACGTAGGAGCGCAGGTATGGAAACTTTCGGTATCCTTCCACCGAGCTACACCACCCAGCCTTATTTCCACCTTGGTCATGGACCATCACCGCCCCCGACTATAACTTCCTCATCGCGTTTCACCCCGGTGCACACTACCCGACACCCACTATCGCTGTCTGGCCTTCGTCTAGCACTGCATGGTGCATTGTCCGCGAAGCGGTACGCGTGTTCCCATCTTCTAGCTCTTCGCTTTGACGAGGACGACGAGGACGAGTGTTACTGGGAAGATGTGCGGTCGGTGATGGCTCTCCTTACAAGTACATTCGAAGATGCGTCTTCGAGACTCGTGGAGGCTCTTGACGATGCGGAGAAGAAGCGTATCAAGGACCAGCGGCCGAGCCCCGCGTCGAAATCACGAGCGGGTAGCCCTGCACCAATACCAATTGACGGGGCTGCGAAGTCGGCTCAGAATCGCTGCGCACGGACGATGTCCGAGATTGTGTCCTTCGCGCCGATGCCCAGTCACTTATCTCGGTTTGCGGCACACGTAGACGCTATTGCTACATCACTGAACGATGCAAGAGATCACCTCGAGCAATGTGTTACGGTTTTGCGCGAACAGGCGTCACCTCAGGAGGTTGATGAGGATTCTCTGGGCCTGTCTTCCGTCCAGGATCATCCAGCTTTCCAAGCATACGATCGTCTTCGGAAGGAGCTGGGTTTTGCACTGCGCGAGTGCGAGCGCGGTCGGGAGCGCCTCCTTGACATCATCTCTCCGTCTCCAGTTGTCGACGACGTAAATTCGTACGGCGACGATACGCCTGCACTCGGTCAGGACACGGGGAGTGAACAATCAGACAGGCATATTCCCGCGTCGCCGGCTCTGGATCAGCCTGACATCGCGAGCATATCCGGGGAGCAAGAAGCACTCGGTTTGGGCATTGACCGCGGTGACGAGGACCTCGACGACGCGACTGAACATCTGCTGCTCACCACCTCATCAAAACACCTTCCTCCACCTGGCCTAGAGCAGGTATTCCAGGCTGACTCCGGCGATGGGCCGCTGTTCACCCGCGAGCGGTCAAGGCTCTCACGGGAAGAACGCATCCGCCTGGCGAAAGCCAAGCGCGAGAACGGCGTGTTCGGCTCCCTGACGCTGTCAGAGCCACCTCCGCAAGCTAGACTTGAACGCTGGGCCCCAGGTGGAGAGGTGGTACAAGAACTGAAGGACGTAATTTGGAAGGTGGGCGAAAAGCGGCGGCGGATGGGCATGCTGGAGCGGCTAGATGCGCCTCTAGAGTCGGAGCAGTCTATGGAACTGCAACCACAGGCTTTCTACACCCCCCGGACATATCGACCGCTCACGCTCGAAGACAGTCCGACGTCATGATGGTCATGACCCGCTACATCACTATATTCCTGTCCTGCTTTCGTTCGCTTTGTGCGTTTCTGCAACCTAGATTTTTATACGTTAACATCCCATCTAATGGTGTCGGTCGTCAACCGACTTTCAGGTCGGATCTTTGTACATTGTTCAATGACATTAGCGGTTTCGTAAGCAGCCAGAAAAGTCGACTGAGCTCTCTGCAACCAGATACAGTAGGTCAAGGTCGCTCGCTGGCCTGGCGGTACTTATATGCAGTGCTCCGTTCCAACCTCGTTCTGCGGACTGCATCTCGGAAACTGATTGTTCAATTGCGATAATGTCGATGTTGGATCGGATGCGTCGTCTACCTCTCCGCAAGCTGGACTGGTACACTGAATACCGGAACAAGGACTGCATCCTCACGTCCTCCCACCTGTTCGACACTCTCGTGCTTGTTCACATCGTCATATGCATATGAAGTTCCATTTACATCTCGGGCTATAGAAATTACTCGATGCGTATGCAAGGCTGACCACGCTTAGCATCGCGAGCATCATCAACTTAAGTTGAATGAATGCCTTCCGGCTCCTTCTAAAGACAGAGATGATGTCATTCAAATCCGAGTCTAGTTCTGGAAACGGTGCTCGCCGGTAAAATCCCGTCCATTTGTTTCCACTTCAACCTCTACCTTCAATTGCAAGCGAATTGCGGCTTGTCCTCATGTAGGCGAAGGTTACACCACTGGACTGGAACGCATTTCATCTCAGACCACTGCTGACCACGCATACGCATTCACAATCAGAGCCGGTGCATCCCTGCAATACCATCGCTTCGAACGTCACTGTGAGTGTGTTGGTCCGACCGTCATATAAGTTCTCGGACTTACATGTTGATATCTCAGACTACGTGCATGATGCTGGTGCGAGCAATTAATGTCTTCTCGCAGATGTATCCGCTACACACGAGATACTCAATGCCGACCAACAGCAAGCTCAGTAACTGCTACAGATACCGTGCAACGAGGTTGCTACAGGGTCACTGGCAATACCTCCGAGCGCTAATTTCATACCTTCCCTCGCCACACAAAGGCTCCTTCCAACTATTTTTCCATGAATACTGTGCGATCCCATTGTCCTGGGCTGACAAGTGACATTGCGTAAGTAGCCTATGGACTTGAACTTCGTTCAAGTTTACTTCTGCCCCTTTGTAGGTGAAGACGAGAGACATCCGTACTGCACGATACAACTTGAAACGAGACGCAATTGGATCGTTCTGTTGTAGCAGATTTCATCCTCCTGAGTGTGCCACAAAACGCTATCACGTTTCATCACGCTTACGCATGTTGCTTTGTTGTACTTGCAGGCGTGCCAGTGCGTTTGTTCCCGCGGTTCCTGAGATCTCGCCATGGGTATATCAGAGCAGCGCTGCAAGATCGTGGATGCCCCATCCTTGGATCCTCCCCATCTCTACACCACCCTCCCAGTCACCGCACAGTCATGTTAGGCGGACTGTCCCCGACCAAGCGTTGGCGCGGCGTTGTGGCCACCGACATCTTCCCGGCTACTCCCACTCTGCCGCAGACCACCAGCCTTTCTCCTCAAGGCACCACGGAACGGTATTCGTCTCAGATGGACTCACCAAAAGGCTCCAGTCGGGGTCCCACCTTGACCGGGTCTCATCAACTCACACGATGCCGAGCGCGGGATGGAGACACCTCTCCAACACTCTCGTCGGCTACAACGGATGTTTACTCCCAACGTGAGGGTCGTGGAGGACAGGGTTCAGCTTTTTCTCCGGTGTTGCGGGTGGTGCAGACGCTGCGGGCCGCATCCCCAATTTCTCCTGGTGGCAAGCCTCGCTCTGGGAGAAATAGAGGCCTTCCGGGCCCAAGCTCACCATTGCGGTCTGAGCGCGATGCGATGATTCGCGCATGGGCAGAGAACGTCAAGGATTCAAGGGCAGATACCTGATAGACTTGCATTCTGGTTGAAACGGGCCACATGCATGTTCAAGCTAAGCCATAGAGTGTTTCTTGAGCGTTGGTGGGCGCAGATCGCGTTATTCACTGTTATGTACATCTTTCGTTATTGTCACGCTGGGTCGTGTAGAACTTGCTCGTGTATCTCCTGTTGCAGTCACGGTATGCCCCTGGCTGCAGACTGTTGTAGTGGGCCCTACGCAAGGAATCGGATTGGAGAAACCATAGCTAAGGCACTGGCGCCAGCATAGAGTGTCAAAAGCTGCCGCATCATTTCATCGCAGATACACCATGTGTCTGAGATATCTGAGTATCCGCCGACCAGCCAGTGATGCATTCAAGATGCATTCAAGTTTGTACCGCGACTAGGTTCGAACCGTTCGATGACACTTGCCGTCGCCCGGCAGACGCCGTGACACGCGCGTAACTGCATCGTGACTTGCCGGTTTGACGCGCTGCACAATGCAAGCGTGCAGTTTCTCTGCACGACCAGTCGTGTTTGTCTTTCCGCTCTCCCTCTCTTACTACATCATGGACGCCGACCTCATTAAGCTCGTGAACAAGCTTCAAGATACCTTCGCTAACCTCGGTAAGACATGCTCTCTAGCAATTTTTCTCGTTCTAATGGTGGTCGTGAAGGAGGGGAACTGGACATGCCCCAGTTGGCTGTGGTAAGTTTCGGATGAACGTCGCTTCGTTCGTCGTTCACGCAATTCATAGGTGGGCAGCCAATCTGCGGGGAAGTCTAGCGTTCTCGAAACGTACGTTCTGGGCACAGTTGTAGTGCGAACCTGCTAACTCTCCTTTGCAGAATTGTCGGCCGAGACTTCCTTCCTCGCGGACAGGGCATTGTGACCCGCCGGCCACTCGTCCTGCAGCTAATCCACACGCCTCTGCATGAACAAACAACAGGTTCGCTGCCTCCATCATACACGGAATGGGGCCAGTTCCTGCACGTCGACAAGAGGTTCACGGACTTCAACGAGATCCGCCGGGAGATCGAGCAGGAAACCTTCAGGGTAGCCGGGCAGAACAAGGGTATCAGCAAGCTTCCGATACATCTCCGGATATACAGCCCGAATGTTCTCGACCTTACACTCGTGGACCTTCCAGGGTTGACAAAGGTGCGTGCAAGGCCGAGAATCAACGGTTTCAGAGGCCAAGGTGCAGTTTTGGAGAGCATCGTCTCTGCATCTGGAACTCGCTCGATGTGCAATTAGTTTTGGCTGTCTGGTCGGAAGCACCAACCGGAAGTGATTCCAGTGTGAAGTGGATGCGGTGAACGCGTGTGGTTCTCCCTGCGACACACGCCTTGTACGCGCCTTCACCACCTGTTCGAATCACTTCTTCTTGCTAAGCAGGAAATTTCGCAACGTCACGATCCGGCTGCTCATACTTATACTCACGATGCTGGAATACCTTTCTACAAGACACGTGGTGATATACGCGACGCGCAATCATCGACGTCCCTCATCGTGCTTTGGGTCACTCTTGATCAACTTCAACTTCGCCAACAGTGCTCGAGCTCGCGTAGGAAGACCAGATTTGAGCAGTGTCCAGCTGACTTAGGCAGCTAATGGGTGTTGGCTGTTCATTGAGTGGACAGTCGCTGAATATTTGCAACCCTGGGTGATCTGGACTCCGTCACAGCTTGATTGATTTTGAATTCTCAGAAGAGACAGTGGACCCTGCGCAAGGAGCACCGTGCAGGGGACGTAGCCATGTCTGGCCGTCGATGCGACAATACCCTTTTTGCACTGCGCCGGTCGCTGTTTTTGTTTCTGTACTGTATATCATACCTCTTCACACTGATATGTTTCCACTGGATTCCAACGATTCTGCATTGGTGGGCTTGACAAGCATACTCACACGCCTCCCATAGATCCCTGTGGGCGACCAACCGAGCGACATTGAACGACAGATTCGGAGTCTCGTTTTAGACTACATTTCGAAACCGAATTGGTGCGTGTAGTTCGATGGGTAGGCGCCGAATGCTCTGACTGCAATTGCAGCGTGATTCTATCCGTGTCTGCAGCGAATGTGGACCTGGCGAACTCGGAGTCGCTCAAGCTCGCGCGATCTGTGGACCCACAAGGCCGACGCACGATCGGTGTGCTCACGAAGTTGGACCTGATGGACGCGGGGACGAACGCGCTGGACATCCTGACGGGGCGCATATACCCACTGAAGCTGGGGTTCATCGGTGTGGTGAACCGGAGCCAGCAGGATATCAACGCGGAGAAGAACATGAAGGATGCGCTTGACAGCGAGACGGAGTTTTTGGTGAATCACCCGTCGTACAGAAACATCGCTCACAAAAATGGGACGCGGTATCTAGCGAAGACGCTGAACCAGGTATGTTGCACGAGTGACTTATGCGTGGTCGGTGTGCTCACGTGGACTAGGTGCTCATGAACCACATACGAGACAAGCTACCGGATATGAAAGCGCGGTTAAACACGCTGATGGGCCAAGCGCAGCAGGAATTAAACTCGTTTGGTGACTCGGCGGTGTATGGCGATACTAACCAAGTAAGGTGATTCTGCATATGCAACGGCCCTAAGTCCTCACTTTCTGCAGCAAGGAGCGCTCGTGCTGCGTCTGATGACTCAGTTCGCCCGAGATTTCGTCGCGTCGATCGATGGAACGAGCGTCGACATCTCGACGAAGGAGCTTTCTGGCGGCGCGAGGATATACTACATCTTCAACGACGTGTTCGGAGCTGCCCTTGGGTCGATCGATGCGACACAAAACTTGGACAACCAGGATATCCGCACGGCGATTCGAAACTCAACAGGCCCGAGACCGAGCCTGTTCGTTCCAGAAATCGCGTTTGACCTCCTTGTGAAGCCTCAGATCAAGTTGCTGGAAGCACCAAGTTTACGCTGCGTGGAGCTGGTGTACGAGGAGTTAGTGAAAATCTGTCATAACTGCACGAGCTCGGTAGGCAACTTACCTGCAAATTTGTCTGCAAAGCTGACAGTCGCGATGTCAGGAACTCCAACGATTCCCTACATTGCATGCACAATTAGTGGAGGTGGTTTCGGAACTGTTGCGCGAACGGTTAGGACCGGCTACCGAATACACGCAAAGCCTGATTGACATTCAGACCGCCTACATCAACACGAACCATCCGGCGTTCATCTCCGGATCTGCAGTGACGACACAAGCTGCGTCAAGTCCTGCTCCAGCAAAACAAATTCCGCCACGTGTAAGTGTTCTGTGCGCGCGTCGTGACCATGGTAGTGACAAGTCGCAGCCTTCTTCAGTCGAATTGGTGAACGGGAACACTGCACCAGATGAAGAAGAATCGTCGACAGACGAATCCAGCGGCGTCAACGGAGCCCACCCTCGTGATGCGCGTTCGGTATCTTCCACTGTTCACGACCGTGCGCGAACAACGGCGGCAACAGTCTCTGTCACTACTGCACCACGCCGTCCATCCTCCCCTGCACCGAAGGGACACCATCACCATACGCTGCGACATTCGTCTGGCACTCAGAACGGGGTTCCAAGAACGTCAACTCAGTCTGGCACTACGAAGGAAACGTTCTTAAATTACTTCTTCGGGCAGAACGGCCCTGGACCGCTGGCCGGCTCCAGCATTGAACGTTCAAGCACAGGGACAGGCATCTCTCCTGTAGGGCGTGACGTTTCCGGCGGAGAAGCCATCCTGGAGACAGGGTTGATGGCAGGAAAACGGTCATTGGAGGGAAACAATGCGGCATTCGATATGAAGAGCCTCGGCAGACACATCGAAGCTGTATGTGATTTCTTGGCTTGTTGTACGTGCAGTGGCGCTGACGAACTTCCAGGCTTATGACGGCAGCAGCGTACACCTGAGCATGCATGAAGAGATGGAGGCGAACCTCATCCGTGCATTGATTGCATCATATTTCAGCATTGTCCGCCAGACAATTCAGGATCTGGTGCCGAAGGCCATCATGCACCTGCTCGTGAACAACACGTCGCAACAAGTGCAAAACCGTCTCGTGGCATCTTTATACAAACCGGATCTATTTGCAGAGCTTCTGAATGAGGATGAGGCATTAGTGGCTGAGCGGACACGGGTCAAGGCGCTCCTGGATGCATACAAGGAGGCATTCAAGACTCTCTCTGAGGTGACTCTAAAATCTTCGTAGTACATGCACTGTTGGCTGTCCAGATCTCACGTTCGTTGCTTTACGGTTGTTATGATGTACTTACTACCCAGCTCCGCATCCTCTGCCAGTTCGGAATAACATTTCATCGTCATAATTCGTGAAACATACAAATCGTAAGTCATGACACGATCTACACACAGCAAGTCGGGACGTTGGCCAGCACAGACACCGAGTATCAGGTACAAACAGAGCAGAGACATGAGACCAGCAGACGAGGTCAAACACTCGGGTCCAGAGGCTGCGCTTTCACGGCGACCCATTTCTCCTTCGCATCGCGCGTCTCCGCATCAAGCTCCTGGGACGAATTGGGCTCCTTGCCAACCTTGTCGGAGCCGTCTTCCTCGGAGGTTACGTTGTCTTCCGTGTCGGCCTCAGTGCCCGTGTTGGTGACGTCCTCGGCGTCCGACTGTGGGGAAGCAGGTGTGGTGACAGCGACGCATTCATCGGCGCTGGAGTCGCTGGAATCCGAGGACTCTGACTTCGCAGCCTCAGCAGCTTTCTTGGCCTTCGAGCGAGCTTCCTTCTTCTCCGCTTTCTGTAGAAAGACACCAAGTTTTAGCTTCAGCGCGACAGAGAGCATCAGGCGCACGTACCTCCTTCGCCGCCTTCTCTTCCTTCTTCAAATGAAACAAAGGAGTCAGCTGCCACGCTGTAATGATGCATGATCAGTCTTTTTTACCAGTTTTGCTTCGGCCTCTTCCTTCTGCAAAAAGATCCATGTGAGCCGGAGCGCGAAGGAACAACTTAGCCGAACGAACCTCTTTCTTGGCCTTCTCCTCTGCCTGCGTCACACATCAGCCTGTTTACGGAATGAGAGACAAAAAATGACGAACTTCCTTCTTCTCTTTAGCCTCGCGCTGACGCCAATCTCATCAGAAGACGTCGAGGGGCGGCGAGCGTCATCACTTACCTCCTCCTTCTCTTTCTTCAGTTTAGCGCGCGTCTCGCGTTCTTCGACGACCCTAATACGTGATGTTAGATCCGACTTCACGTAATCGGAGAATGAAGAATACGCACCAGGCAGCAACTTCATCTACACATTCTTGGGGGCGCGTCTTGTTCCTGAGAAGGTATCCCTGCAGAGCTGCCACCTAGCAGACGCTCAGGCGGCGAGAAAATATGGAGAATTGTCCCGGCACTTACGCTCAGTTCTCCCTCGGGAATAGCATCTGCAAATCGCTTAGCAAGTACGGTGATCTCTTCCTCTGAGAGTAGAGGAATTGCATGAGTAAAGCGCTTGCGCTTCGGCACAGCGAGATTGTCCTGTGATGTTGCGAGGTCCGCACAGGACGAAGCCGCCGATGACGCGGGGGTGCTATCACTCTTCGTGTTCTTCGATGGGAAGAAGCATTTGAAGATGCCTTCGGCTTGCCATTTCGTAGCATGCTTGAAGTTCACCCACACATCCATGCGTCCAGGGCGACTCAGCGCCGGATCCAGACGCTCGATGTGATTTGTGGTTGCGAACAGAAGGCTGTCATTCAGAGGTTTAGACAAAGGATTACGACACGAAGATGGGCCTGTGCTCACCGGCCCTCTGCGGCCGCGACGCCGTCAAGACTGTTGAGCAATCCGCTCAAACTCAAGGTGGACCCGTCGTTGTCCTCATCCTTGTTCTTCGCGGTCGATGTCGTGCTGGATGTCTTGCTGCTGGTCGGAGTACCTGTAGAAGTCTCGTCACGAGAGACGCCGCGCGTGAACGCGGCATCTAAATCCTCTAGAAGCAAGATACATCTGCAGAACAAAGACTCGTCAGGCTCCGTATGTCACATAGATGAAGGGCTGCTTACCTGGATGGTACGTTGCCCATCAACGTCGTCAATGTATTATCGCTCATACTTCACACCGAAGTGTCAGTGTCAAATACATTCGAGAGGTAGGACCTCACGCACCCCTTCGACGACAAACTGACAACGTAAATGTCGAGCCCAAGTTCACCAGCCAAACTGTGAATGAGGGACGTCTTGCCACTTTGGAACCGTATCAGACCCGTGACAAGGGCCGAACGTCGAGAAGCACATACCTTCCAGGAACACCATGCAGCAGGTAACCCCGCCGGAACGGGATTCCTAATTCGCACTGTCAGCGCCCACGTCGGTGGAGGCCACTGATCAGAAAACTGACCTCTCTCAGCATACCTGAGCCGAAATACGCGTTAATTTCAACATCGCGAGAATGTTTCATGCGAAATTGTCTCACCATTCCTCGGAACACAGGAAGTCCTTGCAGTCCGCCAGAATCATATCCTTGACACCTGGCTCCAAAACGATAGAGCTCATGGGACGCTTCTGACGTGCGCCGTTCCATCTCCAGCAGCCGTACGTACTGTCGGCCACATCAGCGAGACCATCTCAGTTCGGAAACGGGATGAAATCTTACGTATCGGCCATGAATATGTGCACGCGGTGCTCCGCGTCCTTCTCATACTCTCGCTTAGCCTCGAGGACAAGTCTCTTGAGAATATCGTTGTTGCGGGCGACGACACTGGCTCCAGAGTCAGCAAAGCCAAGATCAGAGAGAGGTTGGACTCTACCTAATCTTGAGCTCTGCATAAGACCCGTAATCCTGGAAGCGTTTGGTGCGCGTTATCTAGAAGGAGCCTTATCAGCAAAAGGCTGATTCTTCTGGACGCCCGTGCTTACCCGAAGCCAATGTCCACGGTAATAGATTGTGTGCGTGGTATCTATGGGAAGATGTGTGGTCAATATGACGTCATCATCCAGGGCAGAGTCAAACTTACCCAGACTAGGAACTATAGCGACTGCAGTGCCATATGAATGCAATCGAGATGAGCTCTCAGCGCCAAAGTGGTTGAATACCGACCTTTACGTTTCTTACGGCCGCCGTCGAGCACTTCGTCACCCTCATCGTCGTCCTCCAGGTCCCCGCTGGTGGACTGCGTGAGACCATGACGGGAAACAGAGCGCGTTGTGATGTCAAATTCACGGCTCCGACCCCATGCCGGATGCTGTGTGCAAGTGAGTCAGAGGGACCTAGCTCGCAAGCAGCGCTCTTGCGTACCTTGGAAAGCCAGTGCATGAGCCTACAATGAAGTCATTACGTTACTGCAGTCAGCGAGGAAAATGAGAGGGGCTCACCAATCATACGGGTAATCCTCTTGGCTAAAGTGCGCAGTGAGAAAGAATGCTAATGGGACACCTGTCAGTGAGACACCCGGATCTCGGTGGCACCCGCTGACTTACATTCGATGAAGCCGTTCCACGCTGAAACCGACACTCGTCGAGTGGTCTCGACAGCGCCACCGATGACCACCAATTTCTGAGGAAGTTAGTGGCGTGAGGCTTGAGTAAGGCTCTTAGACTTACCAAAGTATCCTGCAGAGGGTTGGTGTTCGCCGTGAAGGGGGACAACAAGCTCCTGATCGTGTCCATGCTGTATGTCAACTGCCTAGGGGTGAGGGTGGAAGTAAAGGAGGAGAGAAGGGACGTTACTTTTCAAGAATTTATAAGTCCGTCTTGCCTCGTGGCTGTGAGAGAGAAAGAATACGCGCATCGTTTGTTCAAGGCGCTTCGGAAGAATGATACCTTTCCTGATAGAGTGCAAAGCGATCTGTATTATGTACGTCCCGGTGTCCGAGGTTGTTGTGCGCTTAGCTGAGTCCATAAGGACGGGAGTGGCGCGCTGTAATAACTGCCCATGCCCGGAACATCCAGAACTTCGTACATGCAAACCGGTCGTACTGGACCTGTGGTGAGCCACGGATATAGGAGGAAATCGAATGGAGCCGACGATGCCGAACAAGTTCTGCCATATATGAGACGCTCGCCACTCCAAGTGCCCTTAGCTTGGTAGGTGATATTTGAAGTACGTATCCCTGACAGATAGCTAGACATGATTGCACAAGAAGACCTTAATCAGGCTGCGATACATCACATAGAACGACAAAACATCACACAGTGGCCCCTCCTGAGAGTCGCTGTCAACGCTGACTGGCGCCGATTCTCGTAAAGGCAACGCGTCGTCTTCAAGTTCGCACTACGGCTTGCACTGCGCAGTAACCAAGGGCGCCTATTGCTCAAGACTCTTCAGAAGCGTCGCCTATCATCCCGGTTTGCCGGCTCTTCATCTCGCCTCTTGGGCTGGATAACAATGACTCTTTTGAACACGCCACGACTGGACACGCTGCGTCGGGAATCAAAGCACTTTACTAATGGCGAACGCAGGTCAGATCCACATCTCGAACGTTCGCATGGAAGAGGCAATCGGGGCGAACGACCTTGTCCAGCGATGAGAGTAAATCGCAAGAGAACGCGGAATCGGAGACTCACAGCTTCATCCTGTCCCTCACTCCCTCACTCTCACGCCTTTGGCCCACGAGTTCCCCTGGCACTTGATCACATTCCGACGAGGGTAATGATGTTAGTCAGACGTAACGTCAAGTGCCTATGGCATGGCGCGCTTGAACGCACCTGTATCACATCCACAAGGCTCAGGATGATCGGGCCCGACTACACTACTCAGGCCCACTCCTCGAGCCCGCAGCATCCTATATTGAGCGTAATCGACTCGCACGTCTGCGTACGCAGGCGTTGCAGCCTTAGCTCAAGCAGACACCGGATACCGCTTCATTTTTCCACATGGGGGTATGTGGATGAGAGGACACCCAGCACAAGTTCTGGTGTCGCCAACGTGGGTTGAATCCAGGCCCGTGACATCGACATAAAGGGTAATGATGAGAACCAGATACGCCCATGAACGGTAAATGAGCGCCCTGGACAATAGCGGGCACGAGTCGTCGGAGTGGAAGTTGATGAGTCGAACGTCACAACCCCGATTTTTGGAGCCATATGAGATAGACCGCTGAGCCGGGGGAACAAACGGATCTATCCCACGGCAGTGCACAGTACAACACTAGAGCCAAGTCGAGACACATACGGAAGAGAGGCAGAAACAAGCGAGCCTGACAGCAGAGATGCATACTAGGATCATCGCCACAGACAAGGCACAACACACGGCGAGAGATTGCGCCTGGACCCTATAATTGTTCAATAAGTGCCGAAGGAAAGGGGTACTAACCACTGATGAGATTGCGTCCAGAGCTGTAACCCTTCAGAAGAGAAGCCATACTTGTAGAGGGACGAGCAAGAACCTGATATCCGAGCGTATCGTGACCATCGGACGTAGGCACCTGTAGGCGTTCGATCACGATGGGACTGCACCAATAAGCCACATATCTTGCGCCTGAATAAGGTGTCTTTGCAGGTAACTTGCACTCGTTCTCACTGACGCGCTACTCAGCACGAACGGTGAGATAAGGCAAAGCGGAATACATACACGGCACCCATCATATAAAACCCGGGTAAACGCAGCACTGGCGGGAGGCCACAACCAACAGGGACTGCAACGTCAAGTTTCCGGTTGAATTGTGCTGAGCAATGTGTTTGTCAATCGAGCAGGTCAAACTGATCACCTCGCCGCGAAATTCGGAAGCTGTTCGATGGTGAAGCTCGCCGCGTCGGGGATCCATTACAGCACCTCGAGTTATTTTGCATCACATCATGACCATAGGACATGAGACTGCCGGAAAACTTCACCATGAACATGTTTTGACCAGAACAGCACCAAGTATCCCGCCCACGGACATGTACACGGACACGCAAAGCCTGAAATGGATAGTAATAGGCCACCTGAAAATTTACACGAACGTGTGAACGAATATCAGCAACCTCTTCGTTTCCTGAGCTGAGTGGAGTGGGACTAACGTACCCTCATGTCCGGTGACTATAATGGATACACATACGGGAGACGTAAAGAAGCATGCATGTATGGGGACACTTGGAGAAGGGAATGCGGTGGTACGAGGCAGAACTTACTCGGAGTTGACTGGGAGAGTAATCACCACAGTCGAGAAGATTGCAGGGCTTGAGTATTACTCAGTCCGTCATAGACTTTCTAGGCGCCTTCCACGTTCGACGAGAACCAAGAGCGGGCAAGAAAAGCACACGCTGAGGCACACTGTACGTAAAGAGGTCGCAATGCATCAAACATTGCGCGTGAGCAGGCGTGTACCCAAGACAGATGCAACATGTGTGAGGCGTAACAGCAGAGCCAGTGGTTCCAAAACTGCCGAATCTGGGAATTATCTGATCGAAGTATAGGGTACATCCGACGATTCTGGGAAAAGCAATGAGTATCAGTCTATGACATTACCACGGATGGAAACACGGATCCTCGCATGTAGCCTGTCCAATATCAATTCAGTATTAATCTCGTCTTAGTAGGTCACCCATCTCCAACTCTTCTCCCTCGTTCGATGGGGCAACCGCCAGGCCCTCCGCCATCTCCCGCTTCACACAAAGCTGTTCTGCGGTAATGACCATGAGAGCAGCACTGCTGAACATGATCGCCCAGAAGAATAATGATGTGGGGAGTGACTTCGAGTAATACGTCGTCAGGACCAGATGGTTGAAAATGAGGGTTAAGGAGAAGTCCAGAATCAGACGGGGCCGCCTTATCAGCGCGTATAGATAGTAGACGCTGTATAAAGGCAGAGTTTAAGATTCCCTTCTCTAGAACTCTAGCGGAACTTACTCCACTGCCGACGCAACCAACCAGCAGACAGCGATGATCCAACCTCGTGCTGGGTCTATTCGGCCGTCCCAGTCATCCATGTGCGGAATGGTAGACCCTAGTTGCTTGCCGCCGCTCCAGACGGCGTTCCAAGTGCTCCAAGGATCATCCCCGGTGCGAGCAGTGAGTCTTCCCGCCATCTCCCGCCAATCCATTACCATCCCTGGGTGAATGCGCAGAATTCTCATTAGATCCTCCATTCATCAGTAAGAAACGCATACCAACATTAGCGGCGCCTCCATCGTATTCCAGCGCGCTGGGTTCTGCAAATATTGTGAGCAGTGGCGGCACGAGGACGGCTAGGGTAAGGTAGTGAAGCGATTGCATGGACACGATCTGTAGAAACAATAAGTTGTAGCTTCCAAGGCTTATCCGTCGGGTTTACGTACCTGAGAAATCAGCAAGACGGGATCCCAGCCAGACGTTTTCGCCATAACATTGACAAATGCGATGTAAGCGATGGCATGCAGGTCGTGGAGCAGGAGAAGGAGCAAAGTTGCCATTATAAGCGCGTAACCTAGAGAAAATTAAATGTTCTAATACAACTTTACATAGCTTTGTAGGCTAGATTTGATCCTCTACCTATAACGGATAACCGGAAATTCCAACGAAACATCGTCGCCAACTAGACGGTGCCTCAGGCTCCTGTACAGCTCTGTACGAGCTCTACGCCGTGACATGGCGGGGTTCTCAGCTTATGAGGCAATTCCCCAGGGCGACAATGGTGATGTTCGGAATGCCAACTCATCGGGTATCCCGAATCGTAATTTCAGTCCGATCGTGGTGAAACCGGAGACATATTATGGTGAAGGACCATTTGACCCTCCCAGTTCTGACGACGAAGGGGACGACCTTCTGGACAAGGATGCAAGACATTCTTCTGGTGCTCGTGGAACGCTCGCAGACTTGGAGGAAGACGGACATCTCGCAGTAGGAGAACATAAGGTGTGCACAGTCACTGCCGTGGCTCGAATCGGCAACATAAAACTGAAATACATTGCAGACTCGGAGGCCTATTTCACTGCGCCTGCTAATCATCGGTCTTGTTGCTCTTGTCTTGACTGCGGCAGTTATCGGCATATTTGCTGCTCTGTCGTACACTGGAACGCCCTTCCGCGTGCATGGCACTCGGCATATCACGATGGACCATGTCTTCAACGGCACGTTCAATGCTCAAAGCCAAGGTATTCTCTGGGTACCTGAAGGTGTGTGAAAGCGTACGTGAGATGCTCTCACTTAATAGATTGAGTCCCCCCTGGTAGCCGGGGATGGTGTGTTCGCTACCACCAAAGACGGGCACATTGTACTGGTAGACTTGAAGACCAACACTACCAAGAATTTAGTTTCCTTCACGGACTTCAGAGACGTAGGTTGTTACCGAATTATCATTGCTAAATTTCGATCCGCGATCCACAGGAGCACGGCCATCTACTCAATTGGGTAGACTGGAAACTTTCATCAGATATGAAGTATATGCTCATCAAGGTTGACTATGTCAAGGTGTGTTTTCCATCGTGTTTTAGATGCGTTCAACGATTAACCTCGCAAAGCAATGGCGACATTCCAGCTTCGGCAATTACTATGTTCACGAACTGGATACTAAGACTACATTCCCACTCACCAGCGTCACTAATCCTCCGATTGTCGCCTACGCAAAGTGGTCACCTACTGGCCAGTCAATTGCATACGTGGCAAATAACGATCTCTACGTCATAGAGTCGCCGTCGTACGATGTTTCACGACTGTCTGTGGACATTTAACTAAATCTGACAAATAGGCCGCATGCATCTGCTATTCGCGTGACCGCCTCAGGTAATGCGTCTCTCTTCCATGGTGTTCCAGACTGGGTATACGAAGAAGAAGTCTTCTCCGCGGATTATGCTTTATGGTGGTCGCCTGACGCCTCAAAGATCGCCTTTCTGCGGTTTGACGAGACAGCCGTCGACGAATATACGTACCCAATCTACAATCCCACAGAGGATGCAAATGCGGTTGTCCCATACCCGAAACACGTCAACATGAAATATCCCAAACCGGGATACAATAATCCTTTGGTGTCCGTGCATGTTTTCCAGATGGACCAGTACCTGAACGACATACACGCTGGATATTATTCTCCGACTGCTCTTGCCGGTGCCTCCTTAGAGCTCAATTGGGACAGTAGGCAACCAGCCAATAACAGCATAATCCAAGAGGTGGTATGGATCGCAGACACGACACTTCTCGTCAAAGAAGTAAATCGTGCAGGTGATAACGGCACGGTAGTTCTTTTTGATCTTGTCACCGAGCCAAAAAGCCGCGGTCAAGTCGTCAGAAAATTAGGCAAGAAAGGCGAGCAAGGAGACGAAGGCTGGATCGATGCTGTGCGTGTCTAGTAGAATATTCGGTGTCTCAATTAGTTCCTGATAGAGAAGTGACACAGATGCAGACCGTCTACCCTATTCCAGCGAAACTATCTCCAGACGGGTCTCCGTCATATCTGGATATTATTCCAACTTCCTCGGGGTATAATCATATCGCATTGTTCAGCCCAGCAAATTCCACTACACCTCACTTTCTCACTTCCGGCAACTGGGAGGTCACTGACACGATTTTGGCTGTGGATGCCAACCGAACCCTTGTGTGAGTGTATATAACCGTGGGCTGTTCTACACTGCGGACAGCCGTCAGGATAGCATACCAAAGCGCCTGCATGTTCGAATCTCGCGAGAGCTTCAGATGTGCATGCGCTTCTGAGTATAATATCCTCACCATTGACCTGATTTGGAGTGTTCAACGCTGAAGTCACCCATCCAGATATTTTCAAGGCGCCAATCCATCATCTACAGAACGTCACATATATTCCGTGCAATTGCCCACCATCAAATCCTCGGGAGCTCCTAAGCTTACTAGCCTAACGGATACAACCAGTCCCGCCTATTACGAGGCGAACTTCTCGCCTGAGGGAGGCTTCTACCTTCTCACATATCGTGGGCCGCAAGTCCCCTGGCAACAAATAGTTCAACCAGGAAACCACGGTTCGTGCACTACCGCCGGTTTTTCGTCCATCGCTGATTGAGAACTGTTAGATTTTAACTACGTCCTCACAGAGAACCCTCAACTCAACGACACGCTTCGACAGTTCGAGATGCCAATTGTTACTCATTCAACGATCGACAGTGATGGCTATGGTATGCTTCACATACTATTCATGAAGGTGGACATGTCGTTGACACTCAATCAGAGCTAAATACATTTGAGATGCGGCCTCCTAGGATGGATAGTTCGGGCCGAACGAAATATCCTGTACTGTTCCGTGTGTGAGTAATTATTTTTCTGCCCGTATCGGCTCACAACAACTACTGTCGCAATCTCAGCTACGGTGGTCCTAGCTCGCAGTTGGTCAACTACATGTATGGGCATGACTGGCACGATTTCGTTGCGTGTTCTTTGCAGTACATCGTGGTCATCGTAGATGGCCGCGGCACCGGGTACAAAGGACGGAAACTGCGCAATCCAGTCAAGGACAATCTGGGATACTGGGAGACAGTCGACCAAATTAATGCTGCTAAGTCAGTTACAAAATTATCATTGTCTCTGATTCTCGCTCATATCTGGCATTCCAGGGTCTGGGCGGCCAAGAACTACGTAGATCCAAAACGCGTAGGTATATGGGGTTGGGTGAGTGTCTGCTGCACTATGTAAAGGAGGAAGCCAATCATCTTGTAGTCCTATGGAGGATTTATGAGTTCTAAAGTGGTGGAAGCCGATGCTGGAATCCATTCTCTGGCAATAGCTGTTGCAGTAAGTTCGGCTCAAGTTGATTGCATTTGTAGCTGAAGTTTCGGTTATAGCCTGTTACTAGCTGGCGGCTGTACGGTAAGCATCTTCCAGAGCCCTTGTAACGTAAATGGCTGATTTTCTGTCAGATTCAATCTACACCGAGAGGTACATGAACCTTCCAGCTGTCAATCCAGCTGGCTATGTCACTGCATCGATTTCGAACGTTACTGGGTTCCAAGATGTTGAGTATCTCTTAGCACATGGCACAGGAGACGACAACGTCCATTTTGCGAACTCGGCGCATCTCATAGACATGTTTACCAAGGCGAAGGTACGAAACTTTTCGTTCAGGATGTTCACGGATAGGTAAGTGATCTGAGACCTTCGCATATCATCAAACCTCATACTCTTTTAGTGATCATGGTATCAATCGACGTGGGGCTAATAGAGAGCTGTATGAGTATATGACCGAATTTCTGGTGGAGAGATGGGGCAAGGGTGGAAAGCGACGCAGCTAATACTTTTTAAGACCGCAATTTTGCGGCATACCCTCAAGTACCTTATTATATTGTATTATGCTGAAGGACTGGAGAGTAGGTCATAGTAGACATATATTCGTAACCTGCTCGAGTTGCGGACTTCATGCAAGAGTCAAGTAACTAATGGCAGCAAGACGATACGTAGTCACGCGTCAGTGACATGCACTGCAAAAGGCAATTCAAGTTGGGTGAATGCTTTGTCCTCCCCACGATGGAACCCTCAGCAAGCCAACCTGTCCGACCAGAACCTACACGAAATAATTCTGCAGGAAAGGCGCCACGTGTGGGAGACAAAGAGAAGACAGAGGATAAGAACGGAGCTTCGAAGGTGCGCCACACGCATTAGATCTCCTTACCATGTTCTGATTTGCGAAGGCAGGCCTCTATTGCGTCTGCGCATCGCGGTGCGCGATACAAAGAGAAGTGAGTGTCTGGGTGAGCTTGACGCGTAGAAAGCACCCTTGACGCCTTCCTAGGTTCCAAGCTCTGCGAGAGAAGTTTGACCAGGTTACCGCGGTGAGTCCCTCTCGCAATGCGTGATATAGCATGTACAGTCGAGCTAAAGATGTTTGCCTAGACACATGACCAATATCAGCGAGAGCTTGCCATTGCTGATGAGAAGGTGAAAAGATTACAGGAAGAGTGCAAGTGCGCTGCCTCGCCTGCCAAATGTTCGCTCATTTCTTAACGCAACATGTCTCGGATTGTAGCTTGCTGCTAGACGCTGTTGATATCGCAGTTCCGGCGCAACCGTCACTTCTTCACTATCTATCGCGGGATCCAATTCCACCGCAGTATCATTCGTACACTGCTGTCCCTACATCGCGCGATACGCAGACACATTCCTCGCCTTCTTCCATCGAGTCAATACGCAATCAATTTCATAGAGCTACTGAAGGTGGTGTCATGCCACCCTCCCCCAGTGAGTGAATATCAACACTGTTTGCTCGGCACCCCTAATGCGCCGACAGTAATGCCTGACATTGGACCGCTCTGTGCAGAGAACGACATGTAAGTATACTATGTTCTCTCTGATCTTTACATCTCACATCACCATCGACTTCAAGTCCGGAAGACATAAGGAGGATGCACTACCATTTTCAGCACCATGCAGGGCGGCGATGAATCAAACCTGACCAATTATTTGTCTGATCTTCGTTGAGTCTTCTCGTGATATTACAGAGGCTCTGTGAGTGGAGAGGGTGGATCTCCCCTTTGTATTCTTCAATGTGCTTCCATGTTGTATATTAGATTTCATCGTCGCTTGCGAAAAGTAGGTGTGACTCTTTAGTAAGGTGTTTTGCGATCTGGGTCTGCTCTGACTTGGTCCTAATACTACACTTGCCGTATATGTACTGTCAGTCGCAGACGTCGTGCAAATTCGATATGTTCTGCGTCGACCTCAGGATCGTGGGACTCGATGATTTTGTCAGTAACTCTGTTTCTGCTCATCATGTCGGCACTCCCAGTACCACTGAATGTACGAGCGGAGGACGAGGCTATTCTCAAGCTTCCTTCGGAGCATGGGCCCGCGTCTCTGCCAGTGTCTAATTCGACCCGATCGTTCTGGATCGATACTCCGGGTGCAAATCCCCATGCGAGTGACGGCAGTGATGGGACTCTGACCACGGATGCGGATATTTGCATCATTGGATCCGGGATTACTGGCGTTTCCGCTGCGTACCATCTCTCACAACTACTGGCAAACAGCACCGCCTCGGCGCGGCCTCTGAAGGCTGTAATCCTGGAAGCACGAGATTTTTGTCAGCGCCAGCTTGTTTTCCCTTGTGACTCTGATCCTAATACTAAGTTGGGGAATAGGCTCAGGCGCAACAGGTCTGTGGCGCAGCCCTGGATCGGTTTGGCGACGATGGCTCACTCGGGGACATAACTAGGCCGTAACGGTGGGCACCTAGCACCTCACGCCTTTTCGGACTTTCGAGGTCATGCCGAGAAGCACGGTACAGCGGAGGCTCTGCGCGCGGTAGCAATGGAGTTCTACACCGCCTCGGAGATCGTCAAGATCATCAAGGAAAAGAAGAAGGAAAGCATCGTAGATCTCGTCGAGGGTGGACGTATGGAACTACTGATCAGCCAGCAAGAAGTCGTGAACGAGAAGGCGAACTACGAAGCTGCAAAAGCAGCAGGAGCCAATGTCGCAGGAGTTACTTGGTTAACAAAGGAGGAGGTTGAAGCTGTAAGGTTATCATGTTCATTCTAGCTCTCTTGATTAACCCCCTTTCAGCGCTATGGAGCTCCTTACCCGGGTGTAAACATGGAAAGTCATAATCTCTGGCCTCTCAAGGCTGTAGCTTTCCTTTATGAGCTTGCTTCATCTTCGCCCGACCTTGTGCTCACTTTGCACACACGTACTCCGGTCACTTCAATTACCCCGCTGGAATCCGAGGCGGGCCCGACATCCCGCCGTTGGAACGTGAATACCCCAAGAGGCGCTATCGCGTGCTCATACGTGCTGCACGCTACCAACGCGTATGCGTCGCATCTGCTTCTTCACCTTCAGGGACCTGCGGGCATCGTTCCAACGCGTGGGCAGATCATCGCGGTCCGCGCGGATGCACCCGAAGAAAAAGTCACGAAGAGCGGGTACATCGCAAATGAGGGTCTTGAGTACTGGTTTCCCAGACCCGTAGAAGCCAACCAGACGAGTCCCCTCGTCATCCTAGGTGGCGGACGCGAGGTAGCTCCTAAGCATGAGTTCCACGAGACGGACGATTCCGTGTTGAATAAACAAGTTGGTGCGGTGTTGAGAAAGTTCCTTCCGAGCGTATTCCCCAGCTTGTACAACGTTAAGGAGCCCGAGATGGAATGGGTGAGTCGTCCTATGGAAATGTTGCAGAGTTTTTTGCTGATACACCATCGTGTAGACTGGAATCATGGGCTTCACAGCGTCCGGCGATCCATTTGTTATTATTCATCAGCGATGCTTATACTCAATACTGATTGGTCTTGCTTTAGGTTGGACCTGTAGTGGACCCCGCCGATCCGGCTTCGGTGGCGTTGTACAAAGGCCAATACATCTCAGCGGGGTACTCGGGACATGGTATGCCCCGTGCCTTTGCGTGGTACGTCGCGCAAAACTGTCTCTACGGCGTGTCTTACTTCCTGAACTTTCTGTGACATGGCACAGTGCTGAAGTGGTCGCGCAAATGATTGTGGCGGATATCACTGGAAAATCGTGGACTGCTCCAAGCTGGCTTCCGCACCATTATCTCACGACTTATTTGTAGAAGTGCGTGCAGTAGTGTTTTCAAATACTTTCGAGATGGAAGAAAATCTGGACACTAGAAGTCATGAAGTAGGAATGTAGGTTGAACCTTATTAGATAGGTAACACTTCTTGTATAAACGACAACTGGCGTTCCGGGTGAATCTGGAGTAACGGATGTTAGTCAACGAGATATTAGACACAATTATGTTCTTTTTATACCAGTCGATTTTCCCTTCTCGGATTCCCTGCGTACCTATCACGTCTGCAGCGTCTTTACCGTGTTGAACCAATGCTCTTTCTCACCAGCAGCACCGCGACCTTCACAAATCACCCCCCAACGATTCCCGCTATCTCCCAGTTTGGGTAACTCCCTGACAATGGTAGCTACCACATCGTGTGGGAACGCGTATGGGGCCGCGTCTGGGACCGCGTATGTTGGAACTAGATTGTACGCGTGAAACACGATCACCAGTCGAGGCAGGTCGCGGGCGAGACGAGTGAGATGCTCGTCCAGTGCAGACCACTTCAGGACTGACAAATCGCGGGGAAGGCGAAATTGCAGGCCCAGCCGGATCTCCTCCAGATGGGGGGAGTTCAAGTGACACAGAGCTGCCATTATCCAATTGTAGTCTTCAGGGAGATGCGAATGCCGCCCGTCAACATCGATATATTCAATGTATAGTGAGCGTAATTCGGTGTTGTTGGCGAGAGTCACGGACTCTGCAGCTGAGTCGCAAGCGAATGGTGAGCAAGGGGCAGCGACTGAAAGAGAGACCTATTACGATTTAGCAGCGGTGATATCCTTAAGTGCTGGAGCGACGTTCCAATCTTATCGAGCAGACGTTGTACGTGTGGAGGATTCTCATATAATCCGAGACTAAGGTCACGAATATATGATCCAACTGCTGGAGATTTATCGAGAATATCCATGAACTGCGTATAAGAGGAGGACGAGAAGATGACGACGATGCGGAACCGATGAAAGCGAGTCGTTGGAAGCCATTTACGTGTCGTCAAGCTGCAAATTCGGAGGGTGGCGTAATCATTCCAGAGATAGTCCAATATGTGGTCACAGATCTCTTGTGGAACCCTGTCGGACGATCCTGGCAGTGATCTGACAACTTCCATGGCGAGGGTTGCGCAGTATATCTGCAGTGGAGTCATGAGCTTCCAAAACTGACCGATACGCGTTCCTAGAATATGGACGGCAAACGGACTACAGCCATGCTGTGGCAAGTCCATCCAGACAGTCGTGTGAGAGACTGACGAATCACATCGACCCAGCGGATATTGAAGCCAGCCTAAGGTGGTCATCTGTGATCTAATTACTCACATGAGGATTTGCCAGCCACCGCGAGAGGCCGTTTATCTGCACCCAGTGTATCTACAACAATAGTCAGCATGCCGATGACGAGAAGCGACGATGTCTCTCACTGCTGCTTGTCCTGTCACCACGTCGTGAATGCTTTCCGACTTGAGACCTGTTAGGAGGGTTGTCCTGAACGTAGGCGGCTGCCTCTGAGTGAAGTTGCTCGTGTTGCAGACAGACAAGTTCGAACTTTGAAGTTGCATTTCCATTTTTGTCAGGGTATATTTCTCGGCAACGGCCATGTGTCCACGTAGAAAGCTGTGGCGTCAAGAGCCCGACTCACGACTTCTCCTACCCACACTTTCCTGCTTGCTGCTATACCACTGTCTTCTCCCCAGCGAGCCCATGTCGACTTAAGTAAAGTATAATTTAGATGGATCAACCTACCTTTCTCTTCGGTGGTCTCGCGCTGCTCTCAGTCACTGGCATTACTGTGAGTTTGTTGTCGTGCTTGGATGCGCCCTGTGTCCTGTGTATTATCTACGCTTCCACGCGGGACGTGGACATATTGTGATGAACACCAGATCATCCTTGTTCTACGAGTTCGGGCTTATGCGCCGTGCGATGACGAGAACTCGGTCGAGCAAAATCGCTCAGTTACTGATCCGTTGTCCACGTTCACTTGTGGATTTTTCTGGTATCTTTCTAATGCTCACAATCTCTTGACAGTGCCATATCGCGCTCGTTTTATTTTCACCTGCCCCACGTACTGCGCGCACGTCGGAAACTTACTACCGCTGTGCTTCCTCGCCTTCTACGCCCAAGCCTCTTAACACAGTGTCCGCCAATGCGACCGTGGAGTTGACCGTCGTGATACCCGCATACAATGAGATGATGCGTCTCCCAGACATGCTTGCCACCACCATGGCCTACCTTACCGCGCCAGAGCGCGCAAGCCGGACATACGAAGTGTTGATCGTCGACGACGGCAGTACGGACGGCACCGCAGATCTTGCTCTCAAGCTCGCTACAGGGTATCCAAGGAGCGACATTCGCATTGTGAGCCTTGCGGAGAATATTGGGAAGGGTGGCGCGGTGCGCCATGGGATGCTGCATTCGCGGGGGAAGAGGCTACTGATGGTGGACGCAGACGGGGCTAGCCGCTTTGATGATCTGGATCTCCTATGGGTGGAGATGGACAAAATTGCGCCCAATGACGAGGCAGCGATTGTAGTGGGGAGCAGAGCACATCTGGTCAAGACGGAAGCCGTCGTTAAGGTACGCAGTCTTTCGCTGCTTTGTGTTCTCCTGATATTGATTGTTTTCAATATGCGTCATCAGCGATCGTTCCTGCGCAATGTGCTCATGTATGGCTTGCACACCCTCCTGCGTATCGTTGGTGTTGGACACATCCGCGACACCCAATGCGGGTTCAAGCTCTTCTCTCGTGCCGCCGCGCAGCGTATCTTTCCCGTGCAACATCTTCCAACGTGGATCTTTGACGTCGAGCTACTTCTACTCGCCAAGCAGGCAGACATGCCCGTCGCCGAAGTACCCGTCGCGTGGCATGAGGTCAGCGGGAGCAAGCTGCATGTGGTAGTAGACTCGCTTCAAATGCTGAGGGATCTACTTGTCCTTCGGGCCAACCACGTCTTGGGAAGATGGACTGTCGTACCTGCTGTGCAGAATGCTAGTATTGTATATGAAAACGGTAACGCTAAGTAACTTATTAACGGATCTTGGACTCGCTCAGGAATGATAGTGCGCGAAGTCAATTGCAGGCTTTCGCTCGCCTTGTTTATTTGTTTGTCTGTCTTCCGTTACGCGTCGTGAGTATAGGCGCTATTGCTCTGGCATATGCTGTCACTGGTAAGTCATCAATCGTCGCCAGAGTCTGGAGGATATTAATGCAAGTTCCAACGTGCAGAATGGGTCCCTTCAGAGAGCAACCTGTATGCAGAAATGTGGTTCAAAGCTTGCGATTTGCATTTGTCTCCTATTCCCGCCCGTCGTTTTTCCTCTTCCGCATGTTGATCGTGCCGCAGAACTATCGCTATCCCCTTCCTGAGCCTCTCGCAGAACGGCGGTCGTTGCCTCGCTTGATGTTTTTTTCTTAGATCGGGGGCTCCATAGTGCAGAGCGTTACTCTATCAGTTGCGTAGTTGTGTGTCGATGCATCAAAACGGTTGAGGGAGCTGATTGTTCCTCCGTTTGATTCAGAACGGCAGCCCTTCGACATCGTTATCATGCCCGTCATGCCGAACGTTTGTTCGTCACCTGTGGTAATTGTGTCAGATGTATAGTCTACAACGTCCTCAAGAATCCTTCCGTGCATTCCATCGTGAGCAAAAGCCCGGCGCACAACGACTACTAGGGACGGATATTTCACGAAGCTTTCAACGAAGATGCGCGACTGCGTGCAGTTGTACACATTCCTGATCCAGTGGATATCACACGCGGTTCGAAAGAATATGTTCATTCGATGTCATCCAACTCACGTTTGTTCAGAGTGACCGGTGACCGGTGAAGATCTACCTGATGAATACACGCTGTGACTGACCGTTTGATCAGTTCCGTGGAATGCTGCCGGATCCTATGCCCGTGCTGCACGAAAGCCCGCGCTTTCTGCTCTGCAAATATAAAGAGAACGTCGTCGTCAAGCCACTGCACGCGGAGGAGGCGGAATACGAGATCCTCACCACGCTCCTCGCCGGACCTGATTGCGCTGTGCAACAAATTGGGCGAATCATTCCTTTTGATGACAACTCGACCAAGGAGGAGAAGAGACCAATCGTACAAAGTATCCGCAAAGTCGTCAAGAAGCTCCACTCGACGGGAACCATTCATGGTTCCATTCAGCCCTCGCACCTCCTGCTTTGTTCCGACGGACAAGTGCGACCGTGTGGCTTTTCGATCGCGACCAGCCAGTCTATGCGGCACGCAGATGTCGAAAAACTTGCAGGCCCTACTCGCTATTCTTCGCCTCCTCACCACGGGCTCTATATTCTGAAGCCAGCTACGAAGCACGATGATCTCTACGCGACCGGCATCACGATATGGGAATTCTGGACTGGCCGGATAAGCGTTCGCTGACCGCGGCGAAGCGGATGTGAAGCAGGCCGTCAGCGTCCGGATGTGGGCGCCACTGACGAGCCTGAAGTTGCGGAGCTCGTCGCTCAGTATTAGGACAGCCTCCCGCCCCCGTTGCTCGTGCATGACACGCCACAGAAGAAGTCTGTACCGCATCGAAAACGATAGAGTCCGAGGCACACCCCATCTCGTAGCCGCATGCTTATATGCGATTTGTCCGGTGCATCTGGGAGACCCGCGTGCTATATTCATCACGAAAAGTAGACCACATCATATCGAGGCAGAGCATAGTCAGTGCGCATGAATTTCCACGATGTGGAAGTATCGGGGGCCTCGCATGCTTGTCACTATGTAACGTTTTTCTGCTCTGACATTGTTGCTCGTCGCGTGATGTGTGGGCCTATCAATGGAGGACCCACTAATATCTAGGCCTCTGCATTTTCTGCAGTACACGCGGGTTCGAATTCATCCGTTCTCCGTTCTCCGACTGTGAGAACTCACCACTCTTCAGAACCTTCGTGTGCTACCGCTCGTCTACCACCTCGGGACGCGTCATGCCTAACTCGCGGTACATGTTCTCCATTTTCAGGAGGTAGGAGTCGCTGTCGAGGACACTACGAGGATCCAGGCCTGCCTCTGGCCAGCCGCAGAAACAGAACTAGCAACCATCCCTGGCAGCCACGCCAGCGCCGCACGCGCAGTTCGACTTCGCCTTCGAACCCCGTGCCGACGTGAAAGAACCAATTGGCCCAAGCTGTCCCCGAGCTCGTCGCACTTCGGTTGCCCAAGCTTCAAGCTTCATGCATCATGGCTCTGGTTCGCACGTTTCCACTCCATTCCACGCCATGCTCGGATTGCTCTGCGAACGCACAGCACATCCAGTTCCGTTGGCTCCAAGTCCGACGCCTGGTCATCCGAAGGTCGCCCGCGGCCCAATCCTCCAACTCGGGGCTCCTCTCCTCTCTTCTCTTCCGTGATGACCCTCGCTGCTCACTCGCCGGTCTACTGTATACCGGGCGTGGTGCGCGACAGCACAGCTGACATACAATGGGCGCTAAGGCCTGCCGAGTACGCCGCACCAATATCCTCCCAGACCCAGATGCACTCGCCCGAACCGGCCCAAAGCCCACCACCTCCGAGCCAATCACACCCAACACCCGCGCGGCCAATCAGCTGTGGCGTTCTCGAGCCCTCGACCAGAGCTACTCCTACGTGATATCCCCGAGCGCCGAGCGCCGAACCAGGGCTAGGCCGTTCAGCAGCGATCGGCGCTACCGCTACGTACCCACACACCCCTCTTGACGTGTCGTCTGGCAAAAATGCCTCCTCCCATGGGCCAATCGATTAATCACGTCCCAAAAGTCCCAAAAGCAAAATTTATCCAACTGAGTAATAGTCTACGAGTATATTGATATTGATACACGATAACACGATGATGCATTCTATATGATTCTTCGGTACGCCGCTATCTACACGTGCGCACGGCGGGTGTGTGTGATATATCGATGACGGTGACGAGGAGGGTTAGTATATATGCCCGATGCCCGATGGACGATGAGGAGGGGAACGATGAGTGATGACCGCGAATACACGAATACGATAGCACCACGAGCCCCAAAGCGAAAAAAGCAGAGCAAGGAGGGGCAGGCGGCTCAGCTCTCGTCCATAGCGTCCGCGTCCGCATCCGCGTCGAGCCCGAGGTCGGCGCCCGCCTCGAGCTGCGCGCGCGCGTACAGCTCTTCGCGCGCGGCCGCGTCCACCGTCAGGTTCGCCAGCGTGATCAGCGCCTCGACCAGCTACGTCCCAACCCAGTCAGCCAGTCAGTCACAACAGCAAAGGCGGATCGTTAGCGCGCTCACCAACGGCGTGTTCTCGTCCTCCGGCGCACGCGCCCCCGCCGCCCTCGCGCGCTCAAAGAACGTCACAGCATTGCCCAGCCCCTCCCTCGCCTCCCCCGCCTCTCTCGACGCCAACACGTCCATCCCCTCGCCCTCCTCGAGCGCGCCCTCGACGCCCTCCGCGGCCGCCTCGCCCACGACGAGCCAGCACCGCCCGCGCGCCGCGTTCAGCGGCGCGCGCCACGCGTCCAGCTCCGCCTCCATCCGCATCTGCGTGAACACACTGTCCGCCCACGCCGCCCACTCCGCGCGCTGCGCCGCCGCCGGCAGGCGCTCCGCCACGCCCAGCACCTCCGACGCGAGCGTGAACAGCTCCTTCGCGCGCGAGAACCGCGGGTCCACCTGCTGCCGCTGCTGCTGCCGATGGTGCCGCTGCCGGGGTGGGGGAGGCGCGGGCTGGTAGACCTGCGACGGCGGGTTGTGCGAGCCCGCGTAGTGCACGTGCGGCATGTGGAAGATCCCGCGCGAGAACTGGTCCATGGCGAGCACGAGCAGCTCGTGCGCGCTCGCCGAGTGCAGGAGCGCGCGGCGCGAGACGGGCGGGCGCACGCCCGCGATCGCCGCGAAGGGCGAGCCGGGCGGCCACGCGGGCTCCGCGGCGCTGAACGGCGAGAGCGTCGGCAGGTAGCAGTAGTTGTTGTCGTCCGTCCCGCCCCCGGCGGCGGCCTTGGCGACGGCGATGGAGTGCGCGACCTTTTCGTCGGCGAGCGCGACGAGGGTGCGGCCCCAGACGATGGCCATGCGCCAGTCCTCGGCGTCGTTGGCGCCGTAGCCGCTCGTGCGGCTGGGGAGGTTCTCGCCGGTCTCGAAGACGTCGAGCGCGCCGAGCCAGTAGGCGGAGGCGTCGCGCGGCTCGGCGGGGAGCGCGAGGGCGGGGTCGGCGGCGAGGATGTTGCCCGTGAGGAAGAGCGCGGAGCCGAAGAGGGCGTGGAAGGCGGTGGGCTGCTCGCGGTAGGCGGCGGGCCGGGTGTGCGCGTCGTGGGTCCAGTCGCGCGCGATGCGGTCGTCGGTGGGGGTGAGCACGTCGGGCGAGCGCGAGTGGCGCGCGCTGGTTTCGGTGAAGATGACGGAGGGGTCGCGGTGCACGGTCAGGAAGCGGGTGCACTCGCGGATGACGGCGCGCAATAGGGGCAGGGCCTCCTCCGCATCGTCGCCTGGCGGTATAGATGAGCGATGCGCCGCGCGCAGAGGCGGAGCAGGGAGAGATACTCACAGTCGGACCGATCCGCTGCGCGGGTGAAAAGCGCCTTCAAATTTTGCCAGTCTTCAAAGTCGACTGTGCACGTCTCCTTCCCCTTGGTGCTGCTGGTCATAGCCACAGGCGAGCCGAGCTCATACGGAGTGTGGGGACGCGAGGGGAAGGGAGAGAAGGACGAGGCAGAAAAGTCGGGGCCGGAGAAGCGGCGACGCTTGGAGCTGCCTGAGCTGTAGCTGCGACCGTCCTCGTCGCCGTCCGAGAGGTCGCTGTCGCGGGTACTGGCAGGTGCTTTCGGGGGCTCGGCAGCGGCGGGCCTAGACGCGGGGGAGTCGCGCCGGCCCTTCCAGAGCCCTCTCGGCCGTTTCTGGCCATGGGGCGCGGGGTGGGACGAGGACGGACCAGCGAAGGGAAAGGCGGCGGGGGCGGCGTTCATGACAGCGAGCATAGCGGCGAGGAGAATTGGGCGGAGGCTGCATTGGATGTTCCCGTATTTGAGCAGAGAGGATGCAGAGCCAGACTGAGCCTGGCTGCGAGCGGAAGCCAGGCAGGGTCTGGCCCGCGACCCAAACTGCCCGTCCACCGCCCAATCAGCTCCCGCGCAGGCCCTGCCCAGTGCACTATTTGTATTCCTCCGCCGTCTCGCCCATCATCCCACCCAGGTCTCGCCTCCACAACCGTCAGCCCCCGATAATAAGCATCCCTCTCTGCGCCCTTGCCCACACGCGGTGCACCTCACCGCGCCACCGCCCGATTCCGAAGACCACGTCCAGGCGTCATCATCGGCTTCCCCCAGCCAATCGGCGTCTCCCTCCAATCGCATCGCCCTCCTGTCGATTTAGGCTTGGACGAGCAGTGCTGTCCAATCGCCGTCCTCCGTGCCAGGCCCAGGTGTGTCCATGTTCTGCACTATATACAGTGCCATCTGCTGCACGCCTCGTTATGACGCTAGGGCACAGTTCCATGCGACCGTATCACGCATCTCTCCAGCAGCCTTCCTGTCAGCTCCCACCACCTGCATCAACCCCCGGCCGGGACTTGTTGATCTCCTTGACCAATCCTTGACTCATCCCACCCGGCCGCAGTTCGCTACGCTTGCGAACAGGCGGCCACGCCATCTCTTGTCCAACAGCCACTTTGCACTCTCGGGCTATCCACGTATGTCAGGCTCTGCTGGGAATCCCGAAGAGCGGTCCTCGTCGCCTCGCAGCCGTGTTCTCCTCCCGTACATAGGACCGACCCGTTGTCGAAACGGTCGCCGGGGACTATGTAGGTCTACCCAGCGCCACATTAACGTCGTCTTGACCGCGTCATATGGAAGAGGCCCGCGAGCCAATCACAGGCCGTCGAACCATCCCACCTCTCTCGCTCTGGAGTCTCGTCCCAGTTCCAAACCACTGGTCGTCTCGGTTCTTGCGCCGATATCTCCGTCCGCGGCGCGGCGTCCTCGTCCGAAGCGCAATTACTGTGCTATTAGCGACAACTCCCCCCGCGGCGGGCTCCAGGACAACGCGGACGCGGACGCTAACCCACATGTTCGAACACCCACGCGTCCCTGTCCAGCCCGCACACATCCCCCAGCGTCCCCTGCGTGCCCGCGCTCCGGGCGACGCCACCAAAGTGCGGACGCTGCTGTGCGCCAATCTCGTCGCTGCGCGCGTCGACTTGCTCCGCCGCGCAAGTGGTCCTATTGTCGTGCCGGATTGCGCGCGTTCGACGGAGGTTAATATGTGGTGGATAGCGGGAGGGGGTGAACTTGGGACGGGGAGCGAGGTAGGTATGTACGCGCTTCGTATACCCCGCGCGCGTGCCGTCATGGCATCTTCTTCTCGTTGGGCGGAGCTTCATTAATGTTTTCGAACCCACCATACTGCGCACGCACCGCGGAAAAACCGGGGCGTGGGTCCGTGCGACAGTGGCGCGAACGTCGTATGCAACTTCTCGCGTTGGCGAACGGGTTCTCCACTATATAGCGATGAGAGCTGGATCCTGAGCGATAATGAATGGTGCAAACGACGTATCGGAGCAGAAAAACATCACATAGTGAAAAGCACGTCGCCTCGCGGCCCCGAAAGGAAAATTCGCGTACTAAGTCCTGCAGTAATTATCTCGTCTAATTTCTACGGGGCGTCGAAGGTCGTACTGCCTCGCCTTCCCGATCCAGGCTCGCACGTTACGATCGAGCCGGAGGCGTATATATATGATATATCTGCCTCTGAGATATGTCACATATTTATTATTCCAACTACCCGTCCCCACTCCTCGGCTTCGTCCTCTTCGAACACATTGCGACGAAACGCGGTCTATCCGTGTGAACGACACGCAAAGACTGGTCATCGTAGCAGCAGCAGCAGCAGCAGCATCGCGTGTGCACGAAAGTGGCGGGGATTGGCCGGGGGATATCCAATAATTTGCTTCGGTGTCAGTGTCAGTGTCAGTTACAGTAAGTACTCTGAGAATTCGCTCATATTAACGTGCCATTTACGCCACAGCGGGCTCGCGCGCTGCTCGGAGGTCGCGGACTGCCTCGCCTTCCCGATTCGGGCTTGCACCTCTTTTACGATCGAGGCGGGGGCGGGGGCGGAGGTATATAATCTGCCACTGAGATGTGGTTCATATTTATTATTCCAACTACGTACTCCTCGGCTTCGTCTTCTACGACGTCCGTCCATCTAGCTGGAAAGACTCCTCGCGTGCAGCTTCCGGAGGTGTGGCAGACGAACGTGGGCCCTGCCAGTGGGAGCATATTCAGTCTTTGACCGAAATTTCCCGTCCCGGTTTGCCACTCTCTCAAAATCCGCTCAATGTGCGCGAGCGAAAAAGAGAAACGCACACCCCAAACGTCCGTGTCCGTGTTCGCGCGCCGTGATTTTCACAGTTCGCGTATACTTTGGCCGCCTTCCCTTAATTCGGGGCTTCCACCCATTACGATCGAGCCGGAGGCGGAGGCATGTCTCCCGCTGAGATAGGACACTAAGGAGTGACGTTATAATTACCGTGTACACCCACTCTGAACGAACACAAACAGGCCAGCGAAAGTCCGGCGGTGGTGGCTGAGGGCGCTGCGGAACCCCGACGATTGGGGAGGTGCGTGGGCCAGCTGCGGACGAATTTTGCGACCTTTCACTAGCCTCGCGCTTCATGCTTCGCGTGTCTGATTTTTCGCGCCGCCAGGAGCGATGGCAGCGGTCGAGGAGTGACCTGCGGGCATTCGATATTCGCGTGGACGACGTCGACGAGGCAGCGTTTTTTCGGTATCGCGAGCTTTCCGCCCCCGCCCTCGCCCCCGCTCCCGAAGGTATATGGACGAGCGAATTCGGAACGGGTTGGAGAAACCCGCCAGTTCTACCGCTACTTGCAGGACTCCATGTGTCCCCATTCCGGACTGCGCCCAATCGAAGACGTAGTTGCGCAAGACCGGTCTCCCGCGCAGGCCCCCCCAAGCCCTGCACGACCAGGAGATGGTCCTCGTGTTCATCCATCGCGGAAACACCAGGCTGGGCATCCACAGCCCCCGCCCACCCATCCGGAAGGCGATCTGTCTGCGCAGATGGACGACACGACCATCCGGGTCGCCGTATCTTCCGGGGAATCACCGTGTTGGGCAGTGCCCCGTATTTCTACAAGGTTCCTGCGACCCAAGAGCTCGTCGACGTGGTCGCCTATGCCGAGTATCCCGCGCGTGAGACCGTGGTGCAGAGGTTCACACCCCCGGTCCCTGACTATTACTGGATGAACGGTAGGAGACCCTTGACCAGCTGCAGCATCCACTGTCGTGAGGCACAACTGCGAGTGGGAGGCAAATTTGCGACAGGCTGGGCGAGAGGTGGGATAGCGCCAATTAGCCCTCGCTGATACTGAACGTCTCGCCTGGACCCTGCCGTCTACGTACTCATCACATACACACGCGGGCTCTGGAGGGCTCTCGAACGCACACAGCACGCACGGACCTATCAGCTGATATCAATAGCGCAGAGCGCCATCTCACGGCCGAAAGCCCGATGGCGCTGACGCTCGAGCATGGACGCTGGGCGTGCCAGCGATTGGCTGGCTGCCACATTCTCGCATTCTCGCTGACGCGCATGTGTAACGTCTGCACCCAGGTCGCCGGTCTAATGAGAATTTCGCTCGGTGTGATTGGCTCAGTCGGCGCTGGGCTGGCGGCCATGGCCAGCATTTGGGCCAGCGAGGTCGAGTGCGGTCGAGGGCGCGACATCGTGTTCTCCGTATCATGATATCGCAGCGTGTGCACTGTGGTCAGTGCGGTGCCAGCACTGATAGTAACATACGCAGCAGGCGTCCCTGTATGCGCCAGCCCATTTTTAACGCGTCCAGCAGTCGTGGCGCACCGGCATTCGTCCGGGATGATTGAGCAGCGTGGTCATCAACACGGAGGAGAGAAGCTCGAGGACGGGTCGCAGTCGACCTTCGAATGACCAGGTTCTCATGTGGATGCCTCGTCATTGATCCGATTCTTCAGAGTAGGGAAGACGGTTGGCGGACCAGCCAAGTGACCATGACGTCTTGTGTATATTCACAAGACGTAGCGACGAACAATCCAAGTACGACGTGGAATGAAAATGCGCGAGCCAGATGACATGAGCAACGAGAACGTCAGAATGAGAAGCTTGGATCAGTTGATTCCCTCAGAGGACAGAGACACCTCCGGTCAACCGGCACTTCGAATTCGTCCATAGGGAAAAATTAGCTGTAATCACGGAAGTAAGTAATAAGACCATGGCTGTGATTCTGGGAAGATAGGAATACAGAAGCACTCTGCTTGGAAGGAAGAGCGGTGATGTAACACGAGATGTCGAACTTTGACGTGGAATTAGCCGCATGCAACGTCGAAGAGCGCACAGATAGTTAGTTCCTCACGCAAAAACTTGGCTTTCTGCATGAGTGGAGGTATTAGAGTATATCGTTCGTGAGGCCTTGAGGAGTAATGCTGACGATAGCGAATCGAAGTCCGCCGTGCAGAGATTGATTCGTTCTCCCAGAGCGGGTGGGATAGGTTCTGCAACTCGTTGTGCGTCGGAACCAGTGATTCTCCACCAATCGACGGCTCCTCCGAAGGGTCATTCTCGTACAATGCCGACCGAAAGTCCAGAACGAGGTAACAGACACAAGGATACACTGGCAGGCATCGCACAATCCTCACGGCCCCTACTCACCTACAATGTCAGCGGTCAAGGATGCAGTGGGATGATGTGACCCTGATGTTGATCACAGCTCGCTGCATGGGGCCCTAAGCGTCAATTTAATTGGTCCGTGCCGCACTGTTCAGGACCTAACAATATTGTAGGAAGCCGGATATATTGGTGATGCTATCTGAAGACGCTAGATTTCGACCCTCGTCCATGCACCTCTATCGGAAGAAATCGAAGCTCATGGTCGCGCGTCTTAGCCATAACCGCCATTCTCCGAGAAGGATAATAATGAAAGCAGCGTCTCTATGGATCTATGATCTATCATGCGTTTTGTATCCTTGCGGCATGATTGTTCCTTCACATGGTTTCTATGAGAGTACGTAGATGTTCTCTTTCAACTGAGAAGTTCGTATTCGAATTTGAATGCCATTTCATTCTATAGCGCGCTCGAGCTCTATCATAGGTGTGGTTAGCTCTATGTGTGGAAATCAGGGTTGTTACCTTCGTTCATTAGTTCTTGGACCACGTCGTCTGACTCATTATAACAGGATTGCACCGCATGTCAGTAAATGTCACTTGCCGCTGTTGCCTAGCGCTGAACTTCACCGCAGACCCTATCTTCCAACTTGTTTATCATTCGAAACAGCCAATAATAGCATGATAAGTATCTCTATGCTATGTTGATACACAGACGTATGATTCTTAGTTCCCATCTTAAGCTTCTTCAATGCGGCCCATATAGCCGTAGCCGAACCGCATCTGTAGCCGTGCCATGGCTGACTCGGGAGTCCCCCTTGTATCTTCCAACCTTGCTGCACTTTGCATAGGAAGTTTCCTCTATGGGATCTTATTTGTACTCTTCTGTGCATCCACGTACCTTATGGTGGAACGTCAGCACCAGCTGAATAGCACGAGATATTTGGCAGCCAGGTCACTCTGCAAGAGCCCTCTGTTTATGGCTGGAATAATCCTGTTTGCTGCTAATACAGCCGTGAGTGATCTCTAGTTTAGTCGGGATACCATGGATTCAATGAATGCATTGAGATAGATCTGGATATTGATCGTGTATCGTGCATTCATGGCCTTTGTCCACTTTGACCGTGGAGCATCTCCGGCTTCATTCTATGCTGACTTTGCCGAGGCATCTGAGCTGGTCAAACTCATATTCATCTACATTTCTCTGCTCATTGGTGATGCAGTTATAGTATGTCTTGACATATATGAAGTTAGCTCAATGCTGACTGGTCACCAACATAGATCTACCGTGTATGGGTTGTGTGGAATCATAACAAATATGTGATGATTTTCCCATCATGTAGTTTCTTGGCCTGTGTTGGTATGTCATCCTACGGGCCTACACTTTGATCTTCAGATTCATGATGCCAATTGCTCATGTTCAATGATTAGCGAGTTGTGTGCCCATGTTACATGCTTTATCGGGCAGCAAACCTCTTTTCAACCCTGAGCTGAAGCGTGGAGTCACCTGTTATTTTGTCTTTACCTTCTGGTGTGTATTCTCTGTTTCATCTCTTACTATGCCACTGGGAAAAGGAACACTAAATAAGTGAACATTGGTATTTCTAGCACAAATGTGTTTTCCTGCTGTAAGTATGCCTGTGACTTTTGTGATGTAATGCAACTACTGGTCCCCTACTCCCTAGTTGTGATAGCATGGCGACTATGGCATGTCGGCTCTGCTGTGCAACCTTTCGGATGGCATAAGACTTGGGTATGTGGGCTGCACTCATAATTGACCCTGCCTCCTGACCGATATCATCAGCGGATCCTTGCAATATGCATAGAAGGCACAGTTCTCGACGTGTAAGCACTTGTGCATACTCACTCCCCCTGGCCAACATTCTGATATAACATAGAACTGCTATGGTTGTCTACTTTGCGGTGTACGAGGCTGGCTCACACCTGCAATCAATGATGGTGGACATTTTGGCCCCGCTCTCCGGCATCTCGTTCATGCTCATCAATGTCCGTGTGGGCATGGGGTATGCACCGCACTCGCAGGGCACATACGATGGGATCGGGCACGCGCGCTCAATGCCACGCATGCCCCAGAATACAACTATTGCACCTATCGCAGTGACCATCTCCCGGGCAGTGGACTGCGATGTAGATATAGAGGCGGATGAGGTAGACATTACGGACAAAGCAATAGTGCGCGAGAACATCTCATCGGCTTGAGTTATAGGCTGCTGCAATTGATGTACAGTACGAAATATGATAGCGCTGTTCTTACTTAGGCTAGACTGTATTTTATTTGAGTGCGAAGTTCGAGCACAGCGATTGGGAAAACATTCATCACGACATGGATCAACCAGTCTATGAACCCACATGTTACTCTCTCTGACAAGTCTCGCCATTGCAATTTCTTGCCATTCGGAGATGCGACCCCCGAAGATGTCCGAATGCAAATGCAAATGATTATTCATACCCCAAAAGACTTGACAGTGTACATACGCAGAAGCGAAAGGAAGCAAAAAAAGAGGAGGTAAGCAGACTATCCGTCACCGCAGTGTCGAGAGTTCGTAACCTTGGGGTTTGCGATCAACGCTGTCCAGAAATTTGAATCCACGCTCGCTGAATGACAGCACCTCAGGAGAGGTTTCCTTCATTGCACGCAGAGCATCGGTGGTGACATCTAAGCGGTATATTCTTGGGATTGGCTCGAGTGGATGCGGCATATCGAACGCTAGCCTGTGGGATCCGAAGGGTGTTTATGCAGGCCGTGCCGTTCAGCTTCGAGCGCCCCGTGCCATTGAAGGACTTTGTGCGCGAGCTGGCTGAACCTTTCCGTCATCGAGCTGTTTACGAGATGTACTGCATGGTTTGGATAATAGATTGGCTGGAATTTAAATAAACGCATTCTGGGTAGTGAGGCCTTGAGGGCCTGGCATTTGACGCGTCTGAGGATGGAGTCGTTCAACTACAGATCCAGATCGGGGCGACCGATCTGCATGCCATCTAGGAAAAATTGAGTTGGGCATTTACAATGATTTTCGTGGATGTTTGTCGAAATCAAATTTGCGATAGTTGCGACATCGGAAGGGCTACTCTGAAGGACTGTCCGTACATTTACACTGGGGCCTGCCCTACTTAGACTAATACAGCGTGATGGGCATAAGCCAATTTTCTCCCAGTTGGAAGCTCCTAACATGCCCTCATCAACTGGTCAACGGCACCTACCTATCGAGCGCAAGCAGGAAATAAGATATCTGCAGATCAACAATGAAGATATCTGGACAGAGATCAATAGTCGTCGAAAAAGGGGACATACCGTCAATATAATCAATCATCTCGAAGTCTACAGAGTGTAAGTATGCATGAATCCGAGCACCGAGGTGCGGCGCCAATTCCTGCAACTGTGGCTCTTCCGTCGAACGCGTGATTCGCCACCAAGATGCGTGCTCTGGACGTCTCTCCTCCTGCGTGCGCGCGATCCTCGGACGCGTGATTAGCGGTGTGCGCCCATCAGCTTCAAGTTCGAGCGCGACGTAACGAAGTGATGGAATAGAGCCGGCTAGTATCGAAGGCAATTTATGCTTGAAGGTTTCTCTCCAGATCAAGGATGTAGGTTCACCGAGTGCGCTGTGCAGAGCTGGCAAGCTGACGTAAACTCGTACGCAAATCAACTTCAACGTCCTCAACGTAGGTGGGACTTGATCCTATCGTCGTCCCCAGCACTGGCCATGCATTCTGCACAGAGTAAATGGGACTCACCAGCCAACGTTGACATCTGCTGATTGACCAATTCATAGCGACAAGGTCAAGGTATTTTAATCTTGGAACAGCCCCCGCCAAGCTTGTCCAAAAAGACAGCTCTGTATACAGATAGATGTTCAGGGAGAGTATGATGGGTGTCATGTCGCGCACGGCACTGATCACAAGTTCGACTTGCGTGTCATCAGTAATTGCGACGTCAAGCTCTAGCCAACGGACTGGACATGCCACCCGCCAGTAGGTGAAGTCCCTCGTGTATCCGCCGACATGGTTCAGGCGATGCCAGCATTCGTCCTCAGTCACTGTCACTGGAGATAGCGAGGCAGCGGTGACACACCAAAGTAAGAGTGTCCGGAGATTTGGGAATGCACGCACGAATAGGGACATGGGTGCGACGGACGCTGTGATAGAAAGGTGCTGGACTGTTGGGCACTGCAGCAACGCGCCGTTCTGACTCGGGGGAAACTCATCCAGCTTGATGTTCCATAGGTCTAGCACATGCAAGCTCTGCAAAGACGCAAAATGTTCGAAAAACAGTGGGGATTGACTGGGACGCTCCATGAATGAGAGGAGAAGCTTCCGCGGTCGACTCCGCAGTTTGTTCAACATCTGACCGGTGAACGGCCCTGTTCCAGAAAGCTGAAGTTTGTTCAGGCCAGGAAGAGCTATAAGGGCTTCCACGATGCGACTGTCGCTCATGACTAGGACTTCTATGCAGGATACGGAGAGACACTTCAGCATGGTCGCTTGCGCAAAGAGGCCTGCGAGAAGAGCTGCATCCTGCAGGTATACAAGCCCTTCCTCCTCCTCTAATTCTTCCCCCGATGTCACTCCGAATGCACTTGTACACACCTCCAGATCTCGCAACCAAAATAAGCGATTGGCGACATCGGCAAGCATGTAAGCGCAGAACTCGGCAAGTTGTGCAGGCGACGTTAGGGAAACTGCGGAGAACGCATGCCGTCTCGCTATGGAGTAGATTTTCCTGCTGGTAACCGAAAGGTTGAGGGCATCCTTTGCAACGAGGAACGACAGAATGTGAGAGAGAACATCGTGGTTGAGAGAGAGGACGTTCATCCGAGAAGTTGGAAGGTCTGACTCAGAATTTGGAATTCGCTAATGGATCAACGCGTACACTAACTACTACAGTAGTGCTTCAGTCAGCACCTCGTGTCGTACTGCGCGATGATACACAGTGTGAGTCCTTCCAAGAGAGAAGGCTCTGGATGAACTACTCGGACCACTGTCACTGGAGCGGCGACGGCACAGGTTGAGTATTAAATCTTCCCTTATCTAACTTTCGAGACGCCTCATTTGTAGAGCATTTCATGATTTCTTGAGTACGGAGTACATCTGCTTGAGCTGAGAGATCTACTCAAGGCACCGAACCACAAGTATCGGAGCTATTATTCAAACAATCTCCAGGTTTTCTTACTGCTGCACTTCAACATAATTAGCTGCAGGATAGTCAATCGTGAGTGCGCCGTGAAATTAAAACAGACGAAAGCACGAACCAGGAAACAGGCCTTCCTTCCCATCCTTGTCGGTACCTTGCCACCAGTCTTCTGAGGCAGCCTCGATGTGGTAGATGTAGTCGCCCTCACGGAAAGTTAGTTCGTTGTCCTCCGCAGCGTCATAGCTATAGTCAATGCGAGAGAATCCGGTATGAATAAATAAATGTTATAAGATCCGGAGATTGTAGAGAACGACGTACTCGTAGAGAGCCACAGCAGTAAGACCCTCGGCTGCGTGCTCAGGCTCGCGTTCTGGTTCTGGTTCCGGTCCCGGTGCGGGTTCGTGCTGAACGGGTGCAGGTGGCTAAACAATCAGACGAAGTTTGAGACATTGCAGGAGGCAACGGTTATCATTATGCAAAACGTACCGGGGGCGTCGGCGGTGGCGTCAGCGGAGCAGCAGTCTTCTCTTGCTCAATGATCTCGACGTAATTTGCTACATAAGGTACCCTCTCTTTGAGCACCTTACATTCCAGCTTGTGTCAGAGGACGTGCTCACCAGGGAATAATCCGAGCTTGGCGCCACCAGCACCGACACCGGACCACCATCCCTCATCGAGTTGTTCGATCTGCTCAATGAGCTCACCCTCCACTAGGTCTATCTCGTTGTCTTCTTGCGCCTGGGCACAAGCGTTATGGTTAAGCCAATATACGAGATACGTAGATCATGCGCACCTCGTAACCATACTGCACGACAGCACACAAACCTTCGCCATGCGGATGAGAGGAGGCCACTTCTGGTTCAGGCTCGGGCTCATGCTCAGGCTCAGGCTCGGGTTCATGATGGACGACTGGCGCCGGCATCGGTGGAGGTGGTGGCGGTGGCGGAGGAGGGGGAGGCTGTAATCAATATCCACTAAGTACTTCCTTACGCACGTGCTCGCATATAATACTCACTGGAGGCGGAGCTGCTTCCTCCACTTCCTCTTCACGCTCATATGCTGCAGGTGGGCCTGGCGGCGGCGGCGGCGGCGGAGGTGGGGGAGGAGGCGGAGGCGGAGCTGCCTCAACCGGGGCTGCAACAGGAACAACTGGGCGAGTCGACGCTGGAGGTGCAGGAGGTTCGGGAGGCGGAGGGGGCTGAAGGAAGTTCTGATCAGACATAAATGCTAGATTGCCTCCCAAATCACTGACTGAGGGTTCGTATGCTTCGTCTTCCTGTTCCAGCTCCACGGGCGCAGGAGGCGGGGGCGGAGGCGATACGATACTTCTGAATGAGGAGGCTGGGGCAGGCGAGGGAGGCTGGAAAGAAGCTGTACGACTCCGTGCTTCATCCTCCTCCGCCTGCTTCTTCGCCAGTGCATGGCGCTCGCTCCAGGTCAATTTCTTACCCCCTGGGGTAGGCAGTTAGGTCACACGTTACCATACACATTGAGCGTACTGCATACCAGTCAGCTGCGGCTTGGACATAGCAGCTTCTGTTTCTGCCTTTGTCTGCATGGCGGCGAAAGGATTGACAAGCTTCTTGGGCTGTAATTTGATGGGAGTGTACGCTGTGCCAACGGCGCCAATAGTATCTTCTTCCGTCGGTTTCGCAGGAGGTGGGGTGGCAGCGACTGGAGTTGGCGATGGGGTTACGAAGCGCGCAGCAGGCTAGCAGATGCATACGCGATGAACTCCACGGGTCAACGGACAGAGTTGTGACGAATGACTCACAGCAACTGTAGGCCTCGAGCTTGTATGCAGAACAGGCGGGCGAGCCGCGGCAGCAGGCGGGGACGCTATCGACAGTGTCTCCGGCTCCCATGCGTCTGCAGGAGCTTTGCCCACAACAGGATCCCTGCCCATACCCGGAACAGGAGAGCGAGCCAACTGGTCAGGTCGCGGTGCGCTCGGGATAGCGGGCTTTGGCGCATAATTCGGCGTAGCGCTCGATCTGATAGCACTAATATCCACTTTGCCTACCGGGGTGTAGTTGGTGCCCACAGGAGCGATTGGCTCAAACTTGCGTGGCGTCTCCTTGTGCACGGAGTACCTCGATCCCGATGCCGTTGCTACGCGGGACATGATTAGCTCGGGCGTCACGTCGGACTGTACAGAGATGAGCATCCGAGAAATATGAGATGCATCATGAAGGTACCTCGTTACGAGCATTAATGACTAAGTGCGTGCCACGCAAGAAGTTGGCCACCGCGCTCGAGTGTGTGTGGAAGAGACCCTTCCGCGCGACAGGGACACCGTCGCCGCACCAGTTGATCTGTACGAACTTGGGGAGGTCACTCTGGACAAAGAAACCGGTGTAAGTTGTCATACATTTCAGGAACGATGAGACTTCGACCGACATTGGGATCTTTGACGCGAGCAAACGCATATTGCACCCTGTTCGCAGTCAAATTCCACGTACTAGCACTGTCAGCAATATCGGCGTACCTTCCGTCCGAGAACTCATCCTGCAATTCCTCCAGACCACCGTTTCCAGTGGATTGAACCTTCAGATCGTTGGAGCCTTTATCGTAGATGAACATGGCCCAGTCGATGCCCCGTGCGTTCAGAACATCTTGATACGTGTCGGTCAAATCTCTGCTTGAGAGATTGATTTGAAGAGACATTGCGCAGACAAGTCCACAGCGATGTAGAATATGGTTCAAAAGCTGGACAGCTGGGAGATATGTTTCGTGAGGCAGCGCCGCAGCACGCTCAAGCGCCCATACTACCGAGCTTTCCCACATTCGACATGATGTCACCAATGTGACTTCTGAGATCTGAGTACTCGTCATTGAACGAAACATTCTGTAGTAGTCTCGCACTAATGAAAGATGTAAAAAAAGAAGCTAGAGTGTCTTATATTTCCGGAATCTTGTGGCCGCCGAACACCACATACAGTATTGCCATCAGGTTCAACTTCCAAGGCAATTCCACACCCTGCACTGTCGCATAACGAACGTGACTTAGACTATAGTTGTCAGAATCGGTTCCTTACATTTCTCAGGTTGAGGCAGTTTGCGGAGCGCGCGTCGAACTTCCCGTAACCTATGAATGCGCTCGATGGATATAGACAAGGAGGACAGCAGTAAGAAAGCCAACCGTGCGTTTGGTATCCGAGAACGTTATTTTGGAGACTGAATACGACCAACAGTGGAGATTGACCCTGTTGTAGACTTCTTCGCCGGAACCGTGGCAGGTTCGTGTTCTTTAATCGCTCTTCCCAGAACTTATAGTACTCTTCGTTCAAGTAGGAATGACTGCTTTGGCGGTGGGATTCCCATTTGACACTGGTGTGTCTTAGAGGTTTTTGCCTGACCTGCATACGTCCTACCCGTGTGTCAAGTCAAGGTACGATTTCAAAACCCAGAAATCGCGCAGAAGTACCGTTCCACGTTTCATGCCCTGTTTACCATTGTACGCACGGAACGTGTGAGCGGCGTATTCAGAGGTATCGCTTCTCCGCTTGTAAGTCGCGTTGAGATCTCTCGTCATGCGCCATGGTCATATACCCTGTCTATGCAAAACCATATTCCTTCGGTGGCTACTAGTTGACGAGTGCTCCGCTGAACGGACTAGTCTTCTCTTCATATCGCTTTTTGATGAAATCTCAACTGTCCGATGAGAACGCAACCCCGACGTTGACACAAATAAATATTGCTGGTGCAGGCAGCGGTGTTATTGCTTCGTGAGTCCATCACAATCTAGATTCATGTACACCGAAGCGAGAATTGTGCTCTGCAACTCAACATGGCTTCTGCGCTATTTTTTCCTGGACAGATTGATAACCACGCCTACAGAGTTGATCAAGGTCCACCAGCAGTCAATGGTGGTGTTCACATCATCTTCGGCTATTCACAAGCCACCCACCACCTTCAACGTCGCACGGTTAATCTTTAAGCATCATGGAATCAGAGGACTATACCGCGGCATCACCGCGACAGCACTGCGAGACACGGGATATGGCGTATATTTCGTCGCCTACGAAGCTACCTTGCGCTACTGTGCCCCTCCACCACCTTCTCACGACCACTCGTCGTTGATTTCTGAGGCGGACTCCAGCATAGCATCGCACTCGTGGCCCGCTATGCTACTCGCCGGAGGCGTTGCGGGCGTTGCAGGATGGTTGGTGACCTTCCTGTTCGACGTAATCAAGACGGGAATACAGAGCATCTACAGTACTGGACCTGAGAATCCTTACAGGAATATTCGGTCTACATGTGCTGCATCTTACCGTTCGGAAGGTTTAAGTGTATTCTTTCGGGGTCTGGCGCCAACGCTCATTAGGTTAGAGTTCTATGGCTCGCCGTGTTCCTCCCTTTCTTATGAGCTGTCATATTTGCCCAACTAAATATGATCAGAGCCATTCCCGTGAATATGGTCACATTTGCAACCTTTGAGGCCGTGGTGCACGCCTTCTCCTGAGGAAATCTACGATACAACTGGATCTTTCCACGGCCCATTAGACGAGGGCTTGCCTTGACCCAAACGTATATATTCTGGAGTCCTGTCCCCCCCGGTTCTTGAACAAAGTCCAGTTCTCTATATTACAAGGACGGACACATGCTTAATGCTTCTAGATCGCATTACATAGAGTCATTCTATCAAGTCATGTAGCCTACGGGTGGCATAATAAAGGGGTATCGCAAGATCGCACTACATAATGTATAAATCATGGCCGTCAGCTAGCAGTGGGCGCGGGTGAGTTCTTCGGGGCGCGGCTCCTGCGATAACTATTCCCTTTGCTGTCCGGATCGCGTTGTCCCTTCTGCGCACCAGAGACCGGCTTGGCCGTCTTGCTCTTCGAGCCCTTCGGCTTCCCCTTCTTGGGCGGGCGGACAGAGGCTTGCACAATGCTCTGTTCCTCGGCCTTGACTCGCTCTTCCTCGGCCGCCCACCACTTCAAGAAGTCCGCCTCCACTTGGCGTGCACTTTCCTCTTCTTGAATCTCGCGCAACGACCGCTTATCTTTGACAGGAAGCACGTCCTGCTCGGCCTGCAGCTGCTGGATGGCAGCGAAGGACATCGCGGACCCTGTCTGGGACGACTGAACAACCGGCTGCACTGGCGGCAGTGTCCACACGGACTCACTTCTGGAAGTGAAGAATCAGTACAGTTAGAGTGCATCGGCTCAGTAAGGAACATACGAGCCGCGTCGTATTGAGGACGACGAGCCTTTCGAAGCCGCGCTCTGCTTAGAAGGGGTAAAAATGGGACCTAAGCCCGGAAGACCTGACGTCTTCTTCCGAGGAGTAGTCGGCTGCAAGCAAGGACTTCCAGGAATCGAAGTTCCCGGGGAACCGCCTCCAAGAGCAGTAACAGAAGCGCCGGGATATCGACTACTCACAAATGGAGGAGCCATCGCTGGGATGGACGGACCGGCCGGACTCGAGGATATAGCAGGTTGCGGGAGCCTCCAAGGGGAATCTACCACCGAGAGCTGACCTCCTTGGGAGCTTTGTTCGAGAAGTTCACCTTTAGAGCGAGCAGTCCTGATGGACTGTGGGCTTCGTTGTGGATCCAGGCTGAGGTCAATGTTACGTGTGCGCGCTACCGACGGAGCAGTGGCCAGCTTCACAACTGCTTTACTTGTCTGAGCTTCGGCCATGATTGCACGCATATCAACACTGTCCAGCGTATTATTCATTCTCACGTCGGATGCACAAACGACCCATCAAACTTACCGAGGAGCCAAAGACACAGTCTTCCAGCCGCCCACCTTGGAAGCATCGACAGGCGGACGTGGCTGCACTGGAGGGGCAGAGATTGGATCGTCCATCATGAAGACCCCACCATCTGGTGCGGCATTCAGACTGGAACGCGAGATCTGAGGACGAATGGTCGGGCTACTTGGAGGCGACACTATATGACCTTGTCCTCGATTCCTCTTGGTTGACCCAGGTGGTGACAGCTTCGGCGAATCTCTGAAGGTACCCGCGCGATGTGTTGGGATGATGGGTTGCGGAACATCCTGCAGAGCCAGCCAGTCGCCATAGGATTCCATTGCCTTATCTACAAGTTCGTTTGAACGGGACATAGGGTACTTTTGTGCTTGTTGCTGGCGCACAGAAACAGAAAGCTGTCTGATCAGATCAGGAGTCAGGTCATCGAGCATCCGACTTTCAAGGAGGGTTTCCATGTTCGCCGCCATATAGCCATGAAGGCTTTGAGCAAGGGACATAGCGTGGTAGTGTGTCGCATCGGCGAGAATATAACAGACGTTGCTGATGTTAACCCGCTTTAGAATAACAGCCGAGCAAAGGAGGACAAGACGGTCAAGTAATAGCTCGTTCTTTAAAAAATGAGTTCGCGAGGAAGTTGATGTGAACGTGGAAATACTTACAGCAGCCGCCATTACGTCGAACATGTACTCAAGAAGTTCATCGACAGAGTGAACGGTTTCTGGAGACACTGAGTTCAGGAAAACAATACGACAAGGAACGTACTCACCAAGAACTGAAAACAACTCTTCGTCCCCACCGCAACAAAGGAAGCGAACGACCGGCTCCACAGCCCGCCATTTCATGTGCTTCAGGTTGACCACAACAATGCCTTCAGCGGTCCATCGCTTCGCCGTCCAGTCTTCATCATCGAAGAATGTAGCAAAGAACGACGAGCGCGCGCGCAGGATCACAGAGTGGCAACGAACCTCCTTGTCTCCGAACTGCAAGATTACATCGGGCACCAAGGGATTGCTCGTCGTCCGTCTGCCTTCGCCCAATGCACCGCGAGTTTGGCTCGCTTCGAACAAACGGGCCATATCATCTGCCATAGACGGAATCGGTGTGCGCTTCACGGGCGGCTCGATCGCCCGCGCAAGCAATGGCAGCTCCAGAATGTGCGCGAGCACTTGAAGTTCCGCCTTCACCTGCGCGGGTTTGATCTTCAGAGAGCCCAGCAGGCTAATAGCAGGCCCAACCCTGATATCCCACAGAGCAAGCACCTCGTCCGAATACAAGTACGAGACAAGGATGAGGACAGTCATCGGTTGACAACCAGCGAAGCTGATCTTCGACAGCGAAGGCGTCCTGCTTGCGGACATCTTGACAGATATTCCCGACTGGCGATCTTGCACGGCCTGACGTCCCAGAAGCACCTCGGCCAGGATGGGACAGCGCGCAGCGAGTATGAGACGGTGCGCCGGGAACGAGAATCCTGATGGGAGATGGACCATGATATCTGCACCATGAGCCAGACGACCCTGGAAGAGCTCCCTTCCCTCCCCTACTCGAATCTCTTTATCACGCGCCAATAAGGTGCACAGCGAGCGAAGCTGAGCGATGTCCTTCTGCACAGCAACGTCTTCACCTTCGTCATCGGACTCCATATCGCCTGATAAGGGACTCCCACCTTGCAGTGATCCAACCGGTGGCGAGGCGGTCGACGGAGATCTGCGACGCAAGCAGCCATCCCGCTCAGATTTCAACGGGAAAGATCGCAAGTACGGCTGTATCTCCGCTAGATCCTGAGCAATGAGGTTTCCGACAACTTTGATAGGCTCCGGCTCGTAGTCGACGCGGAGTGCGCCGTACGCGCCGGTACTGTTGGCGCAGACACTGAGTATCCGCTGCATGAAGGGCATCCGCTGGAACTTGAAGGTCTTCACAGGGGCGGTCTGTACAGTTTTCAGATTGCGCGAGCGGACGAAGACATGCCCCGACTCGGTGCAAATGATGATCGAACCGTCAGACCCAAGAGCAACGTCCTAGCTATGCCGTCAAGTGGCATTCATGAGTACAATTGTATTACATACCTTGACAGCACTGAACTGTTTGCGGAGAGCCCAGAAGCGCTGAGGCTGAGGGAGCGACCACGGCTTGCCACTGCTACCGGCTGCAGAAGGTGACGGCATGGTGAAGGTAAACAATTCGCCATTCGTCGAAAGGGCAGCTAGAGTGTTGTCGCAGCTCGCGATCTTCTCTATGTCAGCACTGTTTGTGGCCTGAGGAGGTCGATAGACAGCGATCTCCGATGGGAATGAGTATGCAGGAAAGCTGCAGAAACTAAGTTGGAAGGGAGTTCAAGCAGGGTTTGTATATCACATACTTGATCTTGAAGTGCCCATCATTCCAGATACAAACCACGTCCCGAGACTCCAGTAGGCAGGCCAGAACTGTGTCCTGCATTACGGTTAGTAAAGAATGGATGCGCATATACCGACTGAACAAACCGTAATGATGAGAGAAACCACTGGCTGAGTAACCTTGGTCACGACACGGGGAACAATCTGTACTGGGTGCGCAGACTTGTCATAGCCTGGTGACGTTCATTAGGAACTGGTGGTAGGAATTGCGCTTTTACTGACCCAACTGTCCGTTATTCGTGCCCCAAGTGAAGACTTCACGATCCGTCCAACAAGCAGACGCAGTCTTACACGCGGCAATACCCTCCACGACTTTGTTCTTTAACGCACCGCTGACCTTCCGGGCCGTAGCCTGAATGGGTTCGTCCGAACGACTTCCCGCAGGAGCCTCGACAACGTATCCGAGCTGCGAAAATCGGTTGAGGCCCCAGCTTAGTACCTCGCCGGATTTGGTCAACGCTAGAGTGTGGTCCTGTGCGAGTGCGACGGATACGACGGCGTAAGAAAACTGCGGTAGAGGTATGAGGTTGTACTGGGTATGCTGTCCAGGACCCAACCTGGAGAATTGCATAAGTTGGAGAACAAATTGGCATCCTCACGGACACACACCGTCCGCCGCTACCAAAACCACAGAGTCGCACATTGCTACGGCTCTCCTCAGTCACCACGCCTGCGAGGGTACCTCAGCCACAGTGCACAGATAAGCTCCAACATAACGAACCCGTGTGAAGCTTCGACATCACGATCTGACGAACGTGGATGGGCGAGAATCGTGCGTCGATGCTCTCCTTCTCCGAGACCGGGTCAGCGGGGCGTATCACGACCTGCTCCGGATACGTCCTATCGTCCCCGTCGCCAAGCCCTAGAGCTGCATTCCGGTTGGCACCCCAGGTAAAAAGATCGGCATCGCACACATCATTGGTGCGCGGTTTGGTGCCTTCGAGGGTCGAGTTGTAGAGGTCGAACGCAGTATAACCCTCGAGGTCTTTCACCGACACATCAATCTCCGAGCGCTGCAAGAGGAGCACAGCGGACGCCAGGTTTCCGTGATATAACGCCCGGTGCAGAGCCGTCCAGTGACTCTCAGTATCCTGGAGATTGATATTGATATCCGGGTGGGCCAACAGCAGCCTGACATACTCTGTCGCCGACACGTCCTGGGCGGTCGCAGCGAGGTGCAAGACAGTCCTTCCAAGCCAATCACGGGAATTGACATCGCATGATGGGGGCGAGCTGAGCGGACTTGGACGGTTCCAAGACTTGCCACCGCTGCTGCTCAGCCCTTGGGCTTGAGCAGCGGATTGTCCGCGATTGCCACCATCGAGCAGACGCTGAAAGGCCTGCTGATTTCTGAAGTGAAAATGGGCATGGAGCAAGGTCATACAGAGGTGGAGAGAGGAGGACGAAACGACCTGGAAGGAGTCCTGATGACTCCTACGCTAGATCGTAGTCCTGGTGTCGCTGCACTCGTAGAAAAGCGCAGACTTGACCGCAGTAGTGCTGGAAGTTAGACTGAGCGGGATAAGTTAGACAAGGTAAAGTGACCGAAGGCTGATATAGAGATACAGCAAAGGAAAAGCAGATGTCTGAACGGTGGTGAAGTGACTGCAGATAACGCACATTGGTCGCTCACTGTTCGGGAACGAACGCACGTGGCTCCTACAGCGCCCGTCATAGGACTCATCCGGTCCCACAACTTCGCAACTTGTCTCTTCATAGTCGTGCTAGGCAGGGAGCTCTCTTCTGCAGTCTTCAAAGGGTGGTTTATGGACGGACGTTGAGTAGATGCAAAAGACGTGCGATTTTCGCTTTCGGTGGCTATCGATCTCTGCAACGTGGTTGCGACGTGGCAAGTATATGGCGACATTTCCGGGCGGCATGCCCTTGATTCAGACTTGCACATCTGATGTGACAATGGCCACTTGCGCGGCACTGCGGAGTCTTGAGCTTCGTTTACTCCCGCCCCCTCTAGATAGGAAAGAGCTGTCGCTAAAGAGGTGCAACATTCGTTGAATTGGCTCCAAGAGGGATTCGACATCGCCATCTTCGACATATCCTGGATATACAAAGTGCGATTAGCAGGGTATTCCGCCGACACGTGCTTCATTTCGTCGTGCGTGCATTCGTTCCCGAGGTCTCGCGCTCATACCCCATCTCTGAACCCATCTCTGTACCACCAGTCTCGGCCATCCCACAGTGATGTCAGGCAGACCATCCCCGACAAGGCGTAGGCGTCGCATTGGGATCACTGACAGCACGATCGGTCGGCGTTCAGGCCACTTGACTCAGTTTGCGGCCCATGCAGACACTATTGCCACATCACTCAACGACGCAAGAAGTCACCTCGAGCAATGTCTCACGCTCTTGCGCGGCCAGGCCTCATCAACCAGGAGTTTGTCTTCCGTGGAGGATCATCCAGCTTTTCAAGCGTATAACCGTCTCCAGAAGGAGCTGACTCTTGCACTACATGAGTGCGAGCGCGGTCGGAAATGCCTCTTCGATATGGTCTCCCCAACGTCGATTGTTAACGATGTGAAGGTTCACGGCGACGAGCAAGAGGGACTCCGTTCGACGATTGACCTCGGCCACAAGGACCTCGACAACGCCACTCAGCATGTGCTGTTCGCCCCCTCATCAAAACGTCTTCCTCCACCCGAGATCAAGCAGGTATTCCGGGCCAACATCGGTGTCCGGACGCCGGTTACTCGTGAGCGGCCGAAACGCTCACACGAACGCATGCGCGAGGCGAAAGCCAGAGTAGTGGCACAGGAGCCGAAGAATATGAACTGTGAGGCGGGCGAGAAGTGGCATCAGATGAGCAGGTTAGAGCGGTCGTCCCTGCCGTTGGAGTCGGAGCAGTTTATGGGGCTGCAGCCGCAGGCTTTCTATATCCCCCGAACATATCAACCGCTCACGTTGGAAGAGGCTCCGACGTCGTGATGCTAAACCAAATGTTCCCGTCCCCCGTTCGGTCGCTTCGTACGTTTCTGCAGTCTAAATTTTTTACACGTTAGCATTCATGAAATTTATCGTGTCGACCGGATCCATCATTCATGTATGTTGTTCCATAGCAGTACCATTAGTGGGCCACTGATAGTATCAACCCATCAGCCAGTGCAAAAATAATAAGACACTATGCATACTGTAAAATTTCCAGTGCTAGTACGCTATCTCAAAAAATACGACCTCACCCTTCGCAGTACTAGGTTTTGGCCCTTGCTTAGAGTTGGTTCGGGAGGACGCGCGTGTATCAGACAATAAGGCAAAAAAAGTTACTCGGTATTTTGCAAATTTTAAACATTTGACCTGCAGAAGATTATGACATGGAGTTGTTCCATGACCTCACTGGTTCGTTCTAGTTGTCGATCGGGAAAAATCTGAGCTTTGTTGTTGCGTTTGGACAGTCTTTGGATATTAGGTAGGTATATGCATAGATAGTGATACAATACACACGAATTTACACTGTGGAAAATGTACGCGGACGCGTTCTCGTCGAACTCCTGGCAGTCTCCGGCTACGTCTGGCCCTTATCCTGGCGAGCACTGACGGTGTCGTGCAATGTATCTTTGTGAGGTCTGTGTCGCCTCCGAGTCCTGCGTGCGATCACCAGTACTTGCCGACGATGTGGCGCCTGCAGAAGGCCTCCATGATACCGGTCGCATAGCCTTTGGCATGAGACGCCTTGTACTCGGCCTCACTTCCTACGTGGTCCTGTTCCTGTTGCTGCGATGAAGCCCCGGTGAGCTTCAATTGCCAATATTCCTGGCCCTTCATAGAGTAAAACTAGCCGGAGGTCTTGGAGGGACAAGTCAGCATTGATGTGACGGTGACGGGAACACAGGGAAGCGGCATACCTGGGCTGTGGCTGGAAGACATGGTGATGATAGAGAAGGCAGAAGGCCTGCAACTATTTTCTCGCGCGACGCATCTAGCTTGAAGCTTCTACTTTTGGTCGGTACATCGCCTAAAAGGATCATCAGGCAACTTCCGACCTAGCCTCAACGTGTCCGCATGTTCAACTTGTAGACTCACCCATTGCCGTTTGGCAAGCACTCAAATCTAACTTGCCAGGTACGTGACAATGTACCGTGTCGACGTGAACATTATTCGGATAGATTATTCGTTCACTCAATACAGGTCCCAGCTGCAGAGGCGTGAGTCTGCATGGATTCTCCGCAGGATCCAGTGACGGAAGTGAGTGCTACGCTTCGTTGTCGTTCCTCTAGTCGCATTAATGGAGATCTTATAAAGGAGCTGGGGGATAGTCCATGTGAACTGCGACTGCGCAAGGACAATATCGAACGCTTGTTCGAGAGCCAAGATCTGCGCACTCTGGAGGTCGCAGTTGACCGCACGCAGCACCAGCTCGACGAATTGCAGGAGCTCCATTCACGTCTTCGTGCCCACCTCGAGCTTGTATCCTCTCTAGCCGCTCCCATCAGACGCATTTCGGAAGACATCCTCCGTCAAATCTTGATATGCAGATGGTCTGACACCAATGAGAGGGACCGGCCACTGTTCACCCTATGCGTCGCGTCTGTGTGTCGGGCTTGGAGAGAGGCGGTGATTGACGCGTCCGTGTTGTGGTCGACTATCCCCGTTGATATCGCTCTACCACCTCCGTCCGCCCTCCCCTTGTTCGTGGAGCATTCGCGCTCGCGGGGGTTGGAAATTCACATCAACTACTTGCATTCTGACAGTGACTCAGAAGAAGACAGCGGTAGCAGTCCTGACCATGACAATGTTATGTCATCGCGGATGCAACGCCAAAATTTGACTGCGGTACTAAAACTTCTTGTCCCTCACCTCACTCGCTGGAAGTCCCTCTCGATCTCTCTTCCTTTCATCGATCTCAAAAAGGAAGTGCTTGCCTCTATGAGAGGACCTGCCGATCTCCTAGAAGAACTCGTCATATACTCGAGGGGTAAATCGAACCCCTTGCCAGCCGATCTTTTTCCCGCTCACTTCAAAGCCCCAAGATTAACCATGATGCTGCTCGATTCATGGCAGCTCCCTAAAACTCTGGTTTTCCAGAGTGTTCTTCCTGCTTTGCGAGCACTTAGGCTGACACGTCCCAAGGTGCCGAATCGAATGAGTCTGATGCAAGCATTGGGGCCTTTGCGTCACCTCCGGTGTCTTGAACTCATATGTCCAGAATTCGATAATATATCGGCCGTTGATTACTTTCCGAGAGTCCCCTTGGTGAACCTGAAGAAACTTTTGGTGATAGCCCTAGAACCCGGAGCAGTGCGTGCACTGCTCTCCTCTTTTTCCGCCCCACGCATGGCGCGTTTCAACTACATCCATCCCATCTTTGACAACTCCGAGGTCCCCCTTGTCATGGAACACCCGCAGGCCTTTCCGTCACTGCATACGATTCTCATCGACGCACGATGTAGTTACCCCCCTTCTATGGGTGCAGTTTCTCGCTGGACCCAAGATTTCCAATGTGCGCATATCAATTTGGTAAAAAACCACGATCATATCAAGGAGTTCGTCGCATGCGCGCGTAACATGAAGGACCGGCTGTTCTTTCCAGGGCTATCGTCTGTGATCATCCACAGCGAGAATCATGTCACCGTAAAGCTGCTTCGCGATCTGGTACGAGCTCGCGGTCGAGCTGCCATTCCTAGTCATTTGCAAGGTTGCGATAGCCCGTCAGCAACCCTGAAGGAGCTGGAAGTCTATACCCGCTGTCGCCTTTGCCCACAAGATAATGAATGGTTTAAGAACAACTTGGAGAGCTTCTCGTGGTCATTCGTGGAAACGATCTTAGATGACACTATCATATTGTCCTTCGCACCTGCATGATTCGCCTTGTTCCTACAGTGTCGGCATTGACATGAGTTATAGTGCTCCCGGTGAGCACCAGCACATATCAAGCAGCTTGTGCTCTACTTACAATTTGTCTGCCCTCTTTCAGATCGGCTCAATCGTCTCCATGTTGACGATGCTTCGCCTACACCAGCTCAATGTACCTGCCCTTCTTGCGTTATCAATGATCATATGCGCCTCCGGTGCTGGACACTTGCAGGTCTCGAAGCCGGCATCGGCAGTTAACGCGTCATTTCCGTCAATAGAGTTGTCCTTCTCGCCGTCTGCATTGCGGACTGTTCACTTTTTCCTGCGGTTCCAAGTTAGCATAATATTTAGCCTACCTAATAATGCTGTGTGAATTTTTGTCTGCGGAAGCAACGACTCTGATGTGCGGCTCTCGAAAGATGTGCAGTCCGTGAACATTTGCCGTGTTCCCTTCAGGTGCACCATAAGTGAGAGGAGTTGTATCGCCCACTACAGGAAGAAACCAGTACATCAGCAAAAGTCAACTTTTGGTTACCTCCATTTACCTCCCTTATCTCCTTAATTAAGGAGGTCTCCGTTCTTAATTGGGCAATTAACGCCGATAAGGGTGACTAATGGAGGAATAAGAAAAAGGATCTCCTTATTTTTCCTTAATCAAGGGTATAACACCGGTAAGCAAAAGTTGACTTTTGCTGATGTACTTGTCGAGATACCGCAGCTGGCGTATATATAGACCTCCATGTTAGATGGGCAAGTTCAGTGCGGTTTAAAGTTTTAAGAAAAACCCATTGCATTTCGGCCTGGTTTGAAGTTTCTCACCAGCAAGAACCTCAGCCAAGAGGTGGGAACGCGGAGACATAAATCAACGTTCGTGCCTCAGGATGTCCGTGTCTGACGACGGCCTTTACGGCTCCGCGGCCCGATCCCTTCGAGGTGAGCGTCTAGCAGCAAGAACGAAAGGTTCGGAGATCAGCCTGGTACCTAGGCTCGTTAACCAGCCTCTAGTAGAATAGGAAGGAGTCTTTCCTCTCTTTAGACCTTGCCGATCTGGGTGCGTTCAGTTAATCACCGTCCTGCCATAAAGTACATACCGGAAAGGCTGATGGTTCAGTTGCAGGGGTAGTATACATATAGCTTACGATGCAGTCCGGCAAACTGCCCCTCGAACTGTGCGAGGATATCATCGGTCGCGTTCCGGACGATCGCAAGACTCTGGCTGCCTGCGGTCTTACATGTCGTCAGTGGCTTCCGATCATTCGTCCCCGCCTCTTCCGCTCTGCCAATATATCTCGCAAGGAGGACTGCATCCGTCTGGAAAAAGCCTTAAACGCGCCGAAAGGAAGCGTGCTGGGCATCGGTCCTTATATCGAAGAACTCATTATCCAGAGCCGTGGCGGGCCATTCCCCCCGACTTGGCTGGACCGCTGGTTGCCCCGGTTGTTACCAAAGTTAGATCGGGTCCGTCATCTTACTCTGAACAAACTAGATTGGCACAGAGGAGGGCTGCGGGAGGCCACAAGGAACTGTATCCTCACATTCTCTCGCATTGTCGACACCCTCGTGCTTGACGATATCATGCTATTCGACGAGCCTCTCGGGCTGTGGAAGTTGCTCAGTGCATATCCGAAGCTGAGCTCACTTTGGATCGGGAACATTACAGAGACGACCTCGATGCTTCCACCTGTGCCTGCGCTTGAAGCCAGCGATGGCGTTATCCAAATTCAGAATTTCGTCCTGAAAAGAGTGGTCGCATACGAGTGTCCGTCCATTCACTTCCTGCTACAACCTCCATTCCAATTGCGCTTAAGTGTCCTCTCATGGGGGGAAGTTACGGTGGGCACGAACGCATCCCACCTGGGTGCGTTCCTTATCGAAGCGGGGAGATCTCTCCAGCACCTCGACTTCACGCTGAAGAGACTTTGTAAGTGTGTTGAACCATTATATGAGTTCTCGAACTTACGTCCTGCAAGTTGATCCGTCAGAGTACTTCAGCCTGGCCAGTAACATGGAGCTAATATCTCTCCGTATAACTAACAAACTTCCGATGTCGCAATTCACCTGTGTTCCAACCCTCATTTCGGAGATCGCCTCACCCAATTTTCGACAACTCGATTTTGAATTCGAGGACCCCTTTGACTTGGGGCGCTATTTCGAGATGGATTGGGAAGAAATAGACGAAGCCCTGTCTTCGTTGGGCCACCGTCTCCCATTTCTGGTTATATCCTTCAGTTACTGGCCGTGGAAGCGCACGCATGCCATCATTGGTTGGCTTCAGAAGATGCTCAATTTTTTGCTGGCGCAGCTGCCAAGACTTGCAGCTTGCGGGACAACTCTACGTGTTTTATGTTGTTGTGACTCGTGTGGTCGCAACTCAGGGCTATTCGTGTCTAATTCGATCTAGAAAGTTGATAGTGAGGTACATGTCTTCTGAATAAGTTCAATGGACTGTATACATCATATCTGATCACTACTTGCTTCACTATGTAAGGTTGTAATTATGATATGTCATCAGAGATATTTAGGATGACGCACCTCATTGCTAACCTTGAGTCAGAAACAATGTGCATTAAATAACCATGGCACGAGCGCTTTGCCATCTTATGTGCCAAGGTAATATACTGACAGTGCTCGAAATACATGCCGCCGTAGTGAATGTGAACGGGGTTAATGACAGAAGTTAATTCCGATAGAAAGACATTTACCCGTTAAGGGGGGCCAGTGACTGCTGAGGGCAGCTCGGGCAGGGCCATACGACAATCCTAAAGACAGTACTGTGTAGGTTAGGTCCATCGAGGGCAAACAAAACTCACCATGGTCCTCATACACGGAACTGGGAAGATACACTTTGCATGTAGAACGATATCGCAGGTCTGAGCGAGCGAGCAGTCCCGAGAAGAAATAGAATTGCAGCATAACTAACAGTCCAAGTCCAAAGGTCTGTATCTCGTGGGAAGGTGGAGATGATAGAAGCGGAGCGAACGACAGTGTGTTGAAACAGTGGCAGACGGCGAAATCTTTTGAAAAAGTGGTAGTGTTGGGACGCACTGTCGTTATGCGATAGCAGTGGCGAACAGTGAGATGAAAGTGTGACCTACAATGAATATTTGGCGGATAAAGCCAACGTATTCGGGATGGGGTAGGATGGATAACCGAAATACGGGATATTGACTAGTAAATCAATCTTGGACATAATGACAGACGTCGCGAAAAACTTACTTCTAACCTTACACCGTCATGAGTATGTCGAGCACCGTTCAAGTGTATCCCTGGCTCAGGCGATTTTCACCACTCCGATCATCCAACTTGAACGTATGACCAAGGTTGCTCCAGATTCTCACCCGCTCTTTCCTATGACGGGTCTTTAGACGGTCTAAGCACTCGTCGCACAGGCCATCCATACTGTCAAACCATTCATCCATATCCCGCAGCGGGTTCCTCGAAGTGCACAACTCCAAGCGGTTTGCTGAGCGTGTGAGCTCAGTCAAGGTAGACAAGCAGCTCTGCTTCGTGATGCAGTCTCTACTGAGATTCGTGGCCACAGGGAGAAAGAAGCTGGTAAGGAGATTACTGAGTCGTTGAAGCATATCCCTTGCTTGCATGCAGCACCGAATGTCTTCCACGGAAACGTCCCACTCGTCAGAGCCTTGTCCGGACCGTAGAGCGTCTTCAAGGAGAGATTCGGTATCGCTCTGAGAGTACATGTAGAAGGCGATTGGCAGCACGGAGTCAAGCTCGGATGGGTGTATGCGGCGAGCAAGGGTGATAATCGGTTTGGTGGAGGGATGAAGTTTAGGGTCCACCAAGTTCTCGGTACGGGAACAGTAGAATCCCGATCTAGTCTTGAGTTCCTCGAACGTGGAAGAAAATGCTGTCTTGAGCCGAGAGACGGCCCTTCGGAGGAGCGGTGGGATATTGTACTTGTGTGCTAGGCTTGCCACTCCGATCAGAATTGGGTAGATTTCATGGTCATACCATATATCATAAATGGAGGCAAGATTGTCAAGATAACTGGACGGGACCGAATAACCTGAAAGTTAGCTGAGAGGACAATATCAGAGATTACAACTGACTCAATGTCATAGAGAGCGCGGAGCGTATACTCTAGGTGTTGTGGGTCATCCGATAAGGTGACGATAGAGGCACCGTGGAGCATGGGGGCATCCGACGGCTGAGGAATTGTGAAGAGATCCGAAAATACTGTTGAGTACCTGGACAGGATGCCACGGTGCACACGGCATGTGCGTTCTCCAGCTATTAACACGACGTTGCCGTCCTCGAACCACAGAGGGTCTATACGCGACGTATGAGACAGATCCGGGAGTGCAGCCATAATACCGCGTTCTATGTCTGGCCCAGAGACAACTCTCCTTGAAGATGAATTGCTTGGAGTTGTTTCGAATCACAACGAGGTTGAGGCAAAATCATGACTAACGCTTAGCATCCTGGCCCGAGAGCATACAGACTTCAAGTTGCACACTTACAACGAAGCATTGGAGTGCTTGAAGACGTTCTACCTGTAGTTTTTTACTGTGAATCAGCCTATTGTGGTTGATCGATCATCAGATCAGGCCATCGTGACGGTATCGTACGCCACTCACGTGATGGCTTGGACGCGTTCGCGCTGCAAACGCGGGGGGGTCCGTGCGCACATCTCCTGCAGTATAAGAGGCGGGCGGGAACATCCAAAATCTTCACCACTCTGGCCTTTTGGCTTAGATCAAGTGTAGTATCTGTTCTTAATAGTTTAACCACTATTATGGAGGCACCGCCTCCATTATTGGTTATCTAATTTTTGCCGCCCTTGTTTTCGGTGCTCTGCTTGCAACACTGGGACGTGATGACCTTGCTATTGCAGTAACGGCTTGTGTCGTCGGGGGATCCTTTCTTTTCATTTGTTGGAGAACTTCCACTTGTCAGTTGACAAGTTGTGGCCTTCAGCAAATGGATTGAGTTGGATTTTGACCTTGCCAGTTTCCCTTGGGATCTCATGCATATCATGTTACTCCGTAGCTCACTTGGTAGATACGGAAGTGACTTGTTCTATTGGTCAGCCTAGTGATGTAGATTATATTACATTCTGAAGGTTTAGATGCTTCATGGCCTCCACGCCTTGAGTATGTGTTTCAGACAGACAACGGTTCTGTAGCAAGAGCTGTCTCTCGAGATCTCATGGAGGGAATCTTACATCGCACGCGGGTGCAGAATGCTCATGATACGTAGCCTGTAGATGGTGCGCTACTCTCAGGAGTGGCGGAGCGGGCTGTGCGAGACCGGCAGTTTGCGTCGTAGAACGCAGACTGCGTGGAAACAAGCGATGCATTTAGACACTGACATGGGATAAACGCGGACGTCGTAGCGCCAGGCGTCCGTCAGAACCCGTACTGTCCTCCAAGAACTGATGCACGCGTTTCGGGCAGACGCTGCAAGTAGTAGTATGTGCGATAAGGAGCTACAATCCCTTGCTGGTATGACAGAAATGAGCACTTCGTGCACGCCGGAGTATGCGAGACCGTACAGAACAAGTAAATGATGCACTCACCAGGGAGCGGCCCGCGATCAAGACTCTGATCCTAGCCAGTGGAGACAGTGCGCACCTGCAGCACAGAGCTTCGCTAAGCCAGTAGGTGGGTGCCAAGGCTTCTAGCTTACAGCTTGAGTTTCCCTGCTGCGAGCCCGCGGAGAATTGTGCATTAGAAGGGGAGGGAAAGAAGCTGACGCACAGGCCGGGTTCAGTCTTGTGATCAGCCATTATCTACGCGGTTTGGCAGGAGGACTGACGTGCCCCCGTATGTCGCCAGAGCGGCGAACGCGGGACCTCTCACGCGAAGCGCGATATGCCACAATGAAGTGAGCCATAAACGTACCGCAGAAGCTTAACCTCGGCGCGGAGGGTACGGTGCAGATAGCCACACAGCGCTGAGCGATCAGTGGATCGATGATCACGCGCACGCGCCAGAGCACCGAGAGTCGTTAAAAAGGCTATCGGCTCGCTCGCACACTGCGTACGTACCATAGATTACGTGCGGGAGCGCACAGTTCGCCGTGCGGGACGGGGCAAAAGGCGAGCAACGTCTTGATGGGGCTTCACACCGGCGAGAGGCCGTCTGGCCGTCCAACGTCCAAGGACGAGGGCTATTGAAGGCTATTGATCACGCCCAGGATCAGGGTGATACGGTATCACTGACGTGCTAGGAGGTAATGCTGGAGAAAGCGCTCGCAATCAGAGATCAGATGCAGAACTGCCAGTAGAGCTCGACAGCAAGATGGAGCGCAGTTCCAATCAGCAACGAGATGCCGCAGATATTGGACATGTTCTACCCCTACAAAAATTCCATACGAAATAATTGACAGCAGTGGACCTACAGAAGAGGGCGGGTACTAGAGGATCAAGTTGGACAGACGAGAAAAGAGGGGATAGAGCGTGAGAACCTAGGCAAGTCGCCAAAAATGGCAGGTGTACAACTTCCGATTCACCACCGATGTGGCGTTGATCGCAAGTACTCTGGCTTGTGGTATACGGTACTAAGGTAGCTCGTGGCATGGTACGGTGCTGCCTGCGGCACTCTTTCTCTGGCGGTCCCGTTTAACAAATTCGGAATGAGTATCCTTGCTGCGATGCGTCTATTCTGGCAGCTGATCTCATAGCCTCGTGCTCATTAAACATGACATGATGCCCGAACGACTTACCGTGGGTGATCCTTGTCCTTCTGCTTCTCCGGGTTCTCACCTCCGAACTAGCGCATTTATGGGCGGAATCTCGTTCCTCGTGTGCTTTCAGTGCTGCGTACTTGGAGCCACAGCAGGCGATGTATCGAAATCTTCAAATCCCTCGTGCAGAAACCCGCTGAGGCCGCTGGCAGGGCCAGTTTTTCGTGGCAATTGATGCGTCTTATAGCAGCCCGCGATCGTGAAGCTTTTCCCACTGGTTGACTTTATTCCATGATGCCGACGCCAGTGATTGGTCCTTGCTCTGATTTCCGGGTTTGTTACGGTCTGTTGCGCGTTCGTCACGGTCGCGAAGTCACGACTGGTGGCGATAGGCGTTGCTTATCCCGTGGCGAGTGATACTTTCAATTCTGAGGAGCCTCATGACGGTGTCGTTAGGGCCCAAGCTTCCTGTTTGTGGTGTGACCGTGGTGTGTCTGAGACAGACTCATACACAAAGATCGAGATTTGACACGAGCACAGATATAATCTTGAATCTCTCGGTATGGTGAGTTCATGCCTTGTATTGTTATTTCTTTAAACCTGCAGGTGATTGGACCTTCGCGACCTGACCGTAATACTATAGCCGTCTGTTCGTATACAGCTGGGGAATGTCTCATTGGAGGGAACGTATGTATTAGATCTTGAGAATATACTTGTGCCTGCGATTGCGTGAGATGCAAACGGGGGTTCTGCCGGGAACGTCGGCGGTGCAGAAAAGATTTGGACTGAAAATGGATCGTAAAAGAAGGGTAAAAGGAGGCACGTGGATGAGTGATAAGTGTGCCGCTCGTCCTCGCCGCCTGCTCGCGCACCCAGCCTCTTTCTTGCGTGTATCGCTGTGTGCTCTCTGCTGCATGCCACACACCCTCGCCTCGCTATATCCCCCAGAACTCTCTCTGTTCTTCGCCCCTGCCCGTGCTCGCATGCCCCTGCGCTGAACAGCGACCACGTCCTATCGCCTGGCTATGGACAACCCTCCCCACTACTCTCACACAATGCCCGCTGATTCTCAGTATTCCCATCAGCAGCAGCACCAGCCACCGTGGTCCCAGCAGTCCTCTCACCTGCTCCATCCTATTCACACCCAGCAGTCGGCTTTTCCTTCGCCGTCGTCGCCTACGACGTCCCTCAGCGACCATCACTACCCGCCTTTCTACTCCCAGCAGCAGTCCCATTCTGGCGAGGGTCTCGGCGATCGTGTCGTCGACAGGTCACATACGGCTCTATCGCTTAACCTCTCCTCGCTCACGGTAGCATCGCCCACCAGTTTGTCTCCCGTGGGCCCGCATTCCTCGACCCATGCCCACGTCTCGCCCATTACGCCCATTAGCCCCGCCGGTGCCATCATGCATACGCACCAGCAGCTATCTGCGCAGCACGCGCACCTCCAGCCCTTCCAGTTCTCGCCAGATCATGACAGTGCGTATGACTACGGTGCGCCCCGCCGCCTGACCAGCAGCCGCTCTTCTTCGTCCTCGGACCGCTCCGTGCCCCGCAAACGCAGCTTCACCACCCCGCTCGCGACGAGCGTGGAGGAGCCGTACGAGCACGCGTCGTACGAGGATGTCGACATGGGTTATGCGCTCGATCCCGAGGGCAGCCCCGTGGACGGCAGCACCAGTGGCGGTGAGCAGGACGACCAGCTCAAGCCGCTCAGCTCTACGTCAGCGCCAGGATCCACGATGTCTCTCACGCTGCTCGGCAAGCCGCTCGGTACGAACAATTTCGTCACCAAGCTGTACCAGTACGTGCGACGCGTCGCAGCCGTCTCTGTCCCTACTGACTCGCGAACGCGCGTACAGGATGATCAATGACCCCAAGTCAGCACAGTTCATTACGTGGACGGAGCTAGGTACTAGGTGGCTATTATTGTCCGGTCCTCCCATGTCCGTCGCATTAACTTTGCCTGCAGTTTTGTGGTGTCCAACGTGGGCGAGTTCAGCCGCTCGATCCTGGGCTCGCACTTCAAACACAATAATGTGAGTACCTCGAGCTCGTGTTTTGCTCCCCGCGCAGCGCTAATCAGTCCACAGTTCTCAAGTTTCGTGCGTCAACTCAATATGTATGGCTTTCACAAAATCAACCGCGTGAGTGGCCCGACACGTGTGTACTAGCGCTCACCAACAGCCTCGTAGACGCCCCGGGCACAGCGCACGTCCACCGATGTGCAGACGTGGGAGTTTTCGCACCATAAGTTCCTGCGCGGGCGGCCAGATTTACTGGAAGAGATCAAACGCAAGGCCCTAGAGCCCGACCCGTCGCTCAAACATCGCATCGAACTTCCCGGTGAGGTAGCTGCTCAACTCTCACAGGTACGTGAGGACAATCGTCGCCTGACGATGGCCATGCACGCCGAGCGCTCCAAGGTCGACCGCCTGGCTGCTGTCACAAAGGTGATGTATGATACTCTGACAAAGGCGTTCCCCGGTGGCGGTAAGTTTGCCCTTGATCCTGTACGGCCCGCCTGACGCGCTCATAGTACCCATCGCGTTCCCGAACGATATCCTCGAGACCGCCGACAGCCCGAACATATACATTACTTCGCCGACGAACGCAATACCGAGCTCCAACTCGTTCCCGGCGTCGCTTTCGAGTCTTCCGAATCCCTCGTTACACTCGCTGCATTCGCTCTCGCCAGGTTCAAGTCCCACCGCCTCCGAGTTCCCGTCTCACACTCACACACCTCACACGCTTTCGCGACAGCACTCTTTTCAGCACATTCCTTACGACGCGATGCACACGCACCCCGGGTTGACGCACGTATCTTCTGCGCGGTACGAGGCCGCCCTGTCCACCCCACTTCCGCCATCCCCCGGTGGACCAGGAGATGCGTTTGATGAGCGAGTAGGCGCGAAGCGGCAACGCACCGGGCCGCCGCCTGCCGGTGGCATAAGCGCCGGTGGCGAGAAGAAGGGTTCACGCGCACGGAGCGACTCTGCCCCGCTCGGGTACGGCTTCGGGTCCGGCTGGACGCAGACGCGCCCACGGAGCGGAAGCGGGCTTGGATCAAGGATGCGCAGGGACGAAGGCCCCATTCCTAACCTTACGGGGATGCGCGGGCACGCTCTGCCCATCCTCTCGATACCCTCTCCTGGGAAGCAGTCGCCCGGATCGTAGTGCGGAGTGGCTAGCGCGCGCGTCCTGTGAAAATCGGTGTGGAGCGGGGAGGACTGGCTCCCCCCGGGACGCTTGATGCTGTGCCTTGTTTGCGGACGTGTGAAGTGTGTACGTATACTTGCCGCTCATTTATCCCTCCGGGAGGAGGGGAGAGGAGAGAGAAAAAGGAAACACAAAAAGTGGGTTCTTCTTTGTTCTGTCGGGCTGCTTCCGTTGTGTACCGGGCTGTTGCTCTTTGCTTGTAGATTGTGCCGTTCTTGCCTCTCCGTTCAACTTCATTAACGTGCATACCCGCTGTCTTTGTCCGTTTGCTTCATCCCGTGTGCATCCGCTCCATCTTCATTCATAGTTGCATTGCACCTGCGTTGGCTCCCCTTCATGGTCTCTCGTTCGCTGCCTCATCCATAGACGTGTATTATCATGATCCAAGCTTTCCCGCAAAAAATAAGCATACCAGACAGTTGTATACCTCCCCATCGCGCAGCCGATAGCTGTATACAACTTACAGCTATGCCATCTCAGTTCGGGCGTACCTCCGCGTGACGTAACGCGGTATGCCCATGTGCTCGCGCACCGCTGAGTAACCTGCACCGCGCTGCGAGCGCCGCCTAGGGCTGTGTCCGCGCGCCATGTGCACATGCATCTCTGCATCACACACGAGATACCTGTGAGGTGGCGGTAAAAGCCCCGCGCGTGGGTGCTGGGCCGCAATGTGATCAGCGTCGATAGGTAGCGTGCATTCTGGGGTGGCCACTCATGCGCCGCGGTCAATGTCGTTTGCGGACAGAGCGCGGATCGTCCACGTGCGCGGGGCATGTGTTTCGGACTTTGGACGGGGTGCTGGTGCTGCGGGCATGGGACTCGAGCTTCCTGCTCGAGCTGGAGTTCTTGGACCTGCAGGCTCCTGCCTGCAGGGGATACGCATCGGCAAGTGCCTTGATGATGCAAAGTGGGAGCCAACACGCCGGAGGCTGGCGGAGATGCAGTTCTCGGCTCCGTGGAATGGGTCTTGATATCATCCACGTCTGTCGCTGATTTCATTGGCTGATTCTCAGATGATGGTACTTGTTGAATGATGATCTTCGGAGGAAGAGCCGGAAGTACGCACCGATAGGCTCGGAGAGCTGCGAGAGTATGATATGTGCAGACATCACGTTGATCCCTAGCGGTTAACGTTCATCTCGCGTTTGCGTCTGCTCGTGCCCTATAGCCAATGCGCAAGCATGCTCCATTCATTCCCACTGGATTCACGGTATACGTCAATCAAGCGTCGAGCACGCCCGGCGAACGCACGTAGCCGGCTCATCCTACTAGCGGTCGAAAAGGTCTGCTCCCGAATTAGCTGAATCTGTAATGATTAAATGACAGTACTGATAGATGCGCCTGGACGGTAGGCAGCTATGTATGTATGCACTCACCACTACAATACGAGAGACTGTGTGCTGACGCGGATGTGAATCCCGAGCACATAAACCAGACAATTCCATCTCAAGTGTCTCCTAGTTTGAACTAGATAGTGAGCTAACATGATCATGAGCCGTTCTAATTTAAGGTGTGGCGTAAACTACGGAGCACACACTTACCTAAAAACACAGCCCAGTTCCAATGGTCCTTGTGAACGGTGACTTCGATGGTAAGAACTGTTGGATCAGTGTCACTTGTGGTAAGTTCAGCCTGGTTACCTGGACACGCTGTGGCAGACTTGGCCACCAAATCCTGCAGGATAATGAACTGAAATACTACTGTCATGACCCTTGCTGAGCGAGCGCGTTCCGAGATGGTTTGAGCCCTAGGTAGAGGTTGCTCCTGTGGCGTTGGCAGACTTTTCCGCTGTCCTGTTTCATAATGTCACGTGGACGTGACACACGCGTACCCGCCAACAGCATTCGGCAGTCTACTTATAGTGGTAGGGTCAGCGAAAATTAAATAAATTAAATGAAATTAATTCGAGGGAGTGAGAAAGAATTCACTCTGCAGATCTGCATGATGCTCGCTGTGTCCTCGACTCCAACACACGGGTTCTCTGGGGTATGAACATCAGTTTGTATGTTACTTAGGTACAATCCATAATGATGTAGAGTTATATTCAATCTTTGCAGTATGGTCGGATGTACAAACATCACTGCAAAGACAGCTCTTCTTGCAGTGCAACCTTAGAGTCATGGGTTCTCTAGAGATTCCAAGTTGATGGTATGCAGAAATCCTCCAAATTTTGTCCTCGCCCTCTGAGTGAGAGTGTATGTATCTCTTGCAGCACAGCTGAACTTGGGCCTAGTGCAGTTGCATTCCCTGTAACTGTCCAAATGCAAGGACTTCCTCTTGTAAGCAACTGCGCCTCGGGCTACGAGTGGAAGAGGATAGAAATTGGCTTAACTACATAGAAGCCTGTTGAGCTCCTTATATACTGTAAACTAAAAGACTAGAAACTACCAGACTGTTCTCGAGACATTGTCCTTACTAATCCTAACCCTACGGACCTTTCCCGGACCTTTCCGTAGATGCGGATTGCTAATCCGCACCTCCAACACACCCCCTCAATTCGGCATCTCCAAAATTCATCGGCTATCCATACTTGGAAATCCTGTACCTCGCTATATGCTGTGGGAGCCCTATGCTCGTGACAAGAGAGCCTCCTGCTACCATCCCGCCAGATCCTTCGACCACAACAGCAGAGCCAATGCTTCATTCCCAAGGTACCTCCCTTGATTCCCACGGTAACCCTAACCCTTCAAAATGCAACGTCTCGCAAATCAAAGGCAACCAACGCCTTCTCGGCCTTTGCCGAATTCTTTTCGTTGTACCTGCCCGGTAAGCGACAATCACGAGCAATGTGTGACCACGCTTTCCGCAATTGTAACATTCCACGTTACGATTTCTGTCACGTTCTTTCTGCGCGAATAATGTCATATTCTCGACTTCTTTTTCATCGTCCGCTTTAGGCAATCCTCCGCGTCGTCCTTCTTCGTCGACTAGAGCACCTGTCACATCTGCTATCTTCAGATCACCCTTGGTGGCTGTGAGTGTGCCCGCGATATTAGAGTAGTCCTCATGTAGATTGAATATAAGGACATCAGTAACATCTTCGTCTTCGAGCGCAACTCCAATGCCCTTCAACTTTGCTGCCAAATCGGTAATGCCGCTGATGTAATCCCAGATCGGACACTTGGGATCATGCACAAAATTGTAGAATTGACGCTTGAGGGCGATTCAGTTCGCGTGGCTATTTTTCTCGTAGACCGCCGCCAATGCTTTCCATGCCGCCGGTCCATCCGCGCAATCACGAATGTAGCCGTACTGGCTCGGATCAACTGTGAACCCGATCAGTGTGAGTCCATCTTCCACTTTCTTCGGCCAGTCTCCCAACTTGTCTTCAGCAGGCTTCGACATCTTTCCACTCACAACGTCCCAGCACGCGTTGCGCCGCATGACCATGGAAACCGCAAATTTCCAGTCATAGTAATTATCTCCCGTGAGGGTCGGGAGCTTGACATGGGAATTTAGCGATGCCATCTCGTGTGATAAGATCGAGTGATAAGATATGAGGGAGAGATTAGATATGAACTAGTGTGAGCGCGGGGCTCATAACCTGTAAGCAACTGCGCCTCGGGCTATGAGTGGAAGAGGATAGAAATTGGCTTAACTACATAGAAGCCTGTTGAGCTCCTTATATACTGTAAACTAAAAGACTAGAAACTACCAGACTGTTCTCGAGACATTGTCCTTACTAATCCTAACCCTACGGACCTTTCCCGGACCTTTCCGTAGATGCCAGATTGCTAATCCGCACCTCCAACACCTCTTGCAACTGGAGAAAATTCCTGTGACACCACAAGTTTTGTCAGGCATAATTTTCACTGCCAGGACATGCAATGTATAGAAGAAAAGTCCCCGAGCAGAGATTCAATTGCAAGTCAATGCTAACCCTGAATGGATCTCCATCTCAAACTCCACTTGAGCAGTCATCTTGCATGGTTAGAGAGCATATAAAGCTCTCAATTACACACACAATTTTTTATAAAACCATGCCGCAGAGTGTGTAATCTAAGTAGGCGTTGCATGGCATCCAAAGCAGAGGTGCTTGCTTATGTCAGAAATGCCATTTGTGGCAGGTCTCCTGCTGCATTAAGAATGCACATGACGCGGGCCCGCCCGTGCCGGTAGGGTAGGTTTTTCAAACTCTGCTAGGACCTAACTACCCTACCACTATAGGGAGACTGCCGCATTCTCGTGACTCCATACTATCACGTGGGGGGAGTGGCGAAATCCAAAAAATCGGCAACACTGCCGTCGCTGCTTCCACACTCAATAAATAAATCAGATAAAATTGTAGGATGATACTATACACCAGTAGATGTGTTCTACCAAGCCAGGGGTTCAGGCATTCCGGGATTGCTGAATGAGATGTCAAATACCACATTTGCAACTATGGTAGATGTGCTAATATCAAAGATCTCTCTTGATGACTGACCCAAGTGATGTTTGGGTGATAGCAATATTTGCTACAGCACTGTGTTCCACCATCCCGATAAGTGTTTTGGGCATTCAGACATACTTCAGCCTGCATTTTGTAACACTCCCGATGAAAAGCGTGACAACGTATAGCCCGATATGGCAGCTGTGCTCCATCTGCAAGATGAGCGTGACATCTGTGTGACAAAATCAGCAACACCACCCCCCGTCAACACCCACCACCGGCATCTTGCCGTCTCTCCCTCCTCACCACGAGAACATGTAAAAAAATTTGCAAAATGTAATGTAGAAGCGCATACATCTGCCCATGTAAAAATGAGGACAAAGCATCCTGGAATACAGAAGAGGAAGCCCGAGCGCTCAAAGATTGGTAACTCCCCCCTCATGATAGTAAGCTGACAGACATCCTTTGACCTTTGTGAGTTTGTAATAACAAAACCTATTCTGTGGATATCTGACGTCACTCTCATTTAGACAACCACTGACTGAGTGAACCCAAAGGACTCCTTACACCCAAACTGACTTCAGTTACTACCTCATCGATCTGCTCCAAGAGGATTCAGAAAAATGGCTCTTAAGCTTCCTTCGATTTCCAAGGAATCTGGCGCTAGTGTGTTCAAGACTCTTCCAGTTCAGTTCACAAATATAGTGGAAAAGACTGAGGACAGATGAGCATTTAGCTGACGATGTTGAATCCCAGGAGTTCAGCTCTAAAGTAATGCCGACCTATTCACTCATACAATCGGTACATACGGCATCCACTTGTATTCACCGTCTATCTTGGCACATTTAAGGCTTCTTATCGTAGTGATCTCCCTGCAGCCCTCCATCTTTCCTTCCTACTAGAGCATAGCCACTCATGTTCTGCAACTCAGGCTTGAGCGAACTTCACGATGATGGGCGGTTCTCTCAACAGAAACCCGCCTGCACTGATCGCCACTTTACTGTGGGTGGGTCTGATTGGCTTTGGGTGGCCTTCACTGTTATCATAAGGACATTGGACTTTAAAGTCAACCCAAATCTATGAACGGCTATCGGTGGAGAAAATACAGGATATTACATTTACAGCCAGATAAAGCCATGTACGATGTTCGGCCTAGTGCAGAGCAGGGGTATGAATAACCCTCAAGGGTAAGGGGTAAGGGTATTGGAGGGTAAGGGTAGGGGTATGAACTTTCAGACCCTTATACCCCTGGAGGGTATCACTGCATATAATATATATCATGTAAGCAGTAACTATAGGGTGACTAAAGCCTAAGTGCAGCCTAGATACAGCCTTAAACTATGTCTACAAAAGCTTCAAAGAGAAAAAAAGGCTATTACAAGCCTTAAACTTGATGTCTATGATGTTATTTCCTCAAGTAAGGCAGATATTGAAGGGTATACCCTCAGGGTTTGGTACCCTTACTCATACCCTTACCCCTGGTGAAGGGTATGTACTCTTGGAGGGTAAGGGTAGGGGTACAGGTCAAAGTACCCAGGGGTATACCCCTGCTCTACACTAGTTCGGCCGTTGCGTTCTGGTGTCGCCGCTATTGCAGGCTGTTTTAGTAGCAAGGGCGTAAGGAGTTGAATATCTTACCTTTAAGTGGAGTATGCGGAGATCCCAATGTTAGGGAATTTGGACCTCTCTGCATAGGAACAGTTTTCGAGGGCAAAGCTTGAGAACTCTTGAGTGAGATTATCCACGGAAGTGAGGGTAATGATGCCCTCTGCGTGCAATACTTGTATAATGGACAGGACCCACTTCAAACATTCCCCACTCTCAGAGCCAGGAGGTACTGCAACCTTGCACGCAGCGGCCTCCAACTGAGCTGCCGTGATGACACCTGCGGATACATCATGTATCTTCAGCAGGCTCATCAAGGACATTGACCTAGCAACATTCTGCTCCCTGGACTGAAAAGTCCAAGCATCGTTCTTGATCATGATGTGCGCAAAATAACCTTTGCTGGAGTCGATGGAGAGGATGAGCCCAGCGTGAGGATCACCGGACTGAGCGAATCCGGCAATGTAGAGCGAGCCTGGATTGTATGCCCTGATATTCCAGTCAACGTAAAAATCGAGACTAAGGCAATCTTGCACTTGCATTCGTGTTAAGGATTTAATATGATTTTTGGCCTGGATTTGGTGAACAGATTGTTACTATTGGGCTGGAAGAGCTGCAAATCAATCCATTATATATCATCCCTCGCTGAAGACATGTTCTATTTGGAGCTCGTTCGGACGACAACATGCGGATAAAGTGGAACAATGCAAACAATCATCTGCGAGCATGGAATAGGAAAACCAGGATAAGTACAATGACAGGAAGACAACGAGGGCCAATTCAGCAATAAGAATGAGTGTATACGTACACAAAGAACCACTGTGACGGTGGTAAACACGAAAACGATAAAGCCAAGGATGGAGCTCATTCGGATGACAACACACTGAGAAGATGGTACAACACAAAAAAGCACCTGTGAGTGTGGGATAGGAAACCCGAGATACAATGGCAGGAAAACAATGAGCATCAATTCAACAATAAGAATGAGTGGATACGTACACAAGGAACCATTGCGACAGTCACAAAAATGATAAAGCTAAGGATGGACCACGTACCACTCATCGAGTTCTCTGATGTGCATTGAATGCTACCTACTACCTACCTCGTAAGTCATTGATGCTTTCGACAGTACGCAAAGCATCTTCTCTGACCTCTCCATTTCCCAAAGATGTCAAACCCAGACTTCACTCACGGCTCTTTGTACCTCGCAGGGTTCACACAAGCTCGTGCCCCGCATGCAGGGCTGATCATCCCCTCCAACAACGCTTCAGGAACGCTTGTGCACATTCACATCGACCACAATACTTGTGATGTCTGGACGTATCAATGTAGGGTACAGCGCATTGCAGGAGACATGTTCATGTTGTCACTCCTCAGGCTACGTGATGTCTCGGTTGGGGAGATCACTGCAGAACAGTTGCAAGAAGCTGCAGAGTCCATTCCGGCTCCTCTGAATGACAGTTTTGGAGAATGTCTCCCGTGGGTTTTAAATGTGGTGCAGAAGCTACACGGCATGGGGCTACTAAACTTGATGAGTGCTGATGGACTTGGGAGGGAGTTCGAGGAATTTGCGGTATGGAACCAGGCATATGCTAGAAGGGATAGATTTCCAACGTCACTGTATCACTATACTGCCAGTGATTGCAGGTCTCCAGTTGAATCGAGCTAATTTTGCTGACCTGCCCTCACTGCAAGTTATTGGTGCCCCACCGTTGACTTCGATACTGTGATGGATTACGTGTAACTCCTGTACAACTCGCCTGCGGTAAATGGAGCGACTGCGGTACTACCCGGAATCAAGCCTAGCTAATCTAGAGATACAGCAGGTGTCAGCAGCAGCCGACTCAATTGAATGGATACATACAACAGGTGGTCAAGCTTGTAGAGATCTATGTTCATAAACACGTTCAGATTATATCGTTGGCCACGTCTGTTACGTCCTAGAAGAGAATCGCACCCGATGAAGCAACAGCTAAAGAATCGTCACTCTCGAACAGCTCCGCCACTGCCAATCCACATCCAGCTCGGCCTTGCACTCCGGAAATATATCTCGAGCGATCTGCGACCACTCGGTGTCAGGCTCGCACTCCAACCAGGTCACCTTCAGTGGGTCTCAATACTCTGGCATCCATCCAGCGTACTCCCAGTCGATGATGCATATCGTCCCATGGCCTAATCACCAACGGCTGAGACTTTCTGGAAAAATGATATTCTTTGGAAGAAGATCACCATGGCTAAATACGATGGGAACGTTGTTACACTCAATAAAAGGCCTCAGCAGTGGTCGAAGTGTGTCACGATTCATCGACCAGTCTAGAGCTATCCACACTTCCTCTGCGAACTGCTGACAGGATGAAAACGTTCGTGGGTTCTCCTGTGCCACCCAGGGTACTCGAGGATCATCGATGGGACCCCCTGAAGCATTGCAGATAATACGGTGGTTTGGACACCTCATCTGCAGCCGCATAGAGCCAAACTGGTGTTGTAAATCCTCTGCTATCCTTTGTTTGTCCAATGGAGTTAGGTCATCCCATACATCAGCTGCACAGTCACCCTCCACCCAAGTTGTGAGGAGATAGCTCTTTTCCTGAGTCGAGACAGCATCAATGCACTGTGGAGCGTGGATCTCTCGAAGGGTATTGACGAAACGCAGAGCGTCGCCTTCGACATTGCTGGGTGTGTTGCCAACCTTCAGAACAAGCCCAAATGGGAAACGATAGATATTGTGGTAGATGCGGGAGCAAATGAGGGGGTTCCTGGTACAGGCATCGTATATGAACAGTTTCCACTGATGAGGGAGGAGAGTAAGGAGAGCCTTTACGAGACGCAGAGGAAGGGAAAGGCTAAGCTGGATATCAGGATGGACTGAGACACCTGCCGCATAGCCTGATAGAGCAGTGAACCGCGCGCTCATAAAGGTCGTGTTAGCGAAACTTGGAAGATGGAAAGATGGCAGGACAAGAGGTCTGAGGTTGAAATCGTCAGTAAGCATGAAATTTCATCATCTACCAGGTCACTTACGAAAATATCTGTGCTAAAAGGGTTTTGTTTGAGCCAAGAGGCATGCACAAATCAAATTCCACACACGAGGTCAGAAAATCCAGTTAAGGACCTTCAAGCCCCCCCCCCCCCCCCCCCCCCCCCCCCCCCCCCCCGGGTGGGAATTTCCCACACCCTATATATGGAAGGTGGTTGCCATAAAGAGGAGCTACAAAAAAGGATTACATAAGTATGTCACCTGTTTGTTATCTCTGTGACCCGACATCACACCAACTAAGTGCCCGACCCCGACCCCGCCCCCCGCCGCCGGCCGAACACCACCCCCTGATACGCATTTGCAAGCTCTCCTTTGCGATAGGTTTCACCTGTAAGATGGAACTCATGAGAGTAAGCCTTTACTCTCCTCCTACTAGCAGTTTCTTAGGTGGAAATAATTTCCGGTTAAGGGCCTCGGAGCCCCCCCCTACCCTGTGTCTCGGATTTTGCCGGTGCATGCCTCTTGGTTTGAGCATGAGAAAGCAAAGGACCCCGGATTATAGGTGAACAACCCTGATCCGGCGAGCCCAAAAATGTCTAAGCGCCGAAACCCGAAAATCGACCTTTGTGTCTGGATGAAATCAGGGTGAAGTGCCAATTTCCCCCCAAATCTTGTCTAGATGGTGGCATCAGGCTCCTGAAAGCGCCATTTTGGCGCTCGCCGAGGGCTCTATGGGGCCAAAATGTCTGCACCAGCACCAGGCTTTTCAAAAAATTTCTTCCAAACTGTCTGGATTATATCAGGGTTGTGCGTGGATTTCGCCCAAAATTTGTCCGGATGGCACTCAGGGTTCCCCACCTATAATCCGGGGTCCTGAAAGCAACCAAAGCCGCTTGAGAACATGTGACTACCACCGCTTTTGGCTCGAAGCAAGCCCCGCCTGACTCCCTTGCTCGCTCACTGCACCTCTCCGTCCCAATACCATCCTCCGCCTGCGCATGCATGTCGCGAGCGATTTCGTATCTCCTGCTCTTCTAAACTGATCGCCAGTCCATTCTACCCCACAATCGTCGTGTTATCAAATCGTCAGAATGAGTCTGTTCACTGGTATAGGTTCGTGCTCTATTTTGCTGACACGACTAGTACTTGGCTATTTCTGACGTGCACCCGATGGTCCAGCGTGCTTTAGTGCATCTGTACCAACCTCTGTACAACAGGCATGGGGTAAATATGCAATCATAAGCCTTTCGTGATCTTGAAGTTGAATATTGTATGTTTCAAGTTACCTATGGCGGAAGAGTATTACAGCAGAAAAACGGACAGAAAAATGTCAAAGCGAGATTTTACTTCTGCGATGGCATGGAAGATCCAGCGCTGTCTGAGTAAGTGTGACGCTGAAAAGGTCACAGTGCTAAGTTGCGAACCGATGCTTTCAGGTTTTTGCAGGAGTCCATCGTCGTTTGTTCTTTCGGGTCCTCTTATCATCATTCAGTAAATCTTTATGATTTTTTGGTCCATAGGTATTTCACTCGGGGTGGATCGCTGATGCCGTCACAGCCAACTTCCAAACTCCCATGGCTCGATATGTCCTTGATGGTCCGTTTCACTGGTCACCAGTGCTATGGGCTCACTTCATCCTGTGACGCAGGGCGATACCGCGTCAACCATCACACCTCGCAAAAACATCCCACTTCCAAGACCCCTCCCGTCACTCCTGACCAAGCAGAGAAGCTGCCAGCCTACTCTCCCCCACGCGCACGTAAAAAACACCAGGACCCTCCACCCGCGACCGGAAACAATTCTACTTCCTCGGAACCCGAGAAATCCACTTCTGTTCTTCCTCATTCTGATGTTTCCAAGAAGCGCCAATTGCCTATTGATGAGGACGAGTCGCAAGCTGACAACCGGCCTCAGAAGAAAGTTCGCATCGTCAAATTCCTCCCCAAAGATCCAGCTCGGAAGAAGGAAGATCACCCTCACAAAGAAATCAATAAACCTGCAACGGTCCCGAACCTCGATCTGCGCAAGTTCTCCGTCCCGTCGAAGACCTTTTTCAAGTACAAGAAGATTCCGGACACCACACAGAAAGCACAGCAAGACGAGAACATGTAAGCCCCTTCTTCACCGAGTTTCTTGTGCCGTCGATTCATTCTACCCCTCAGTTCCGAAAGGCACGAATTTTGGAAGACTATCCTCGACCCAACCACTACTTCTCCCACTGTCTCCGTCTCTACGGCCCTCCAGGCCCTTCGCGAGGCGCCGATCGCTACCAAGGCCGTACGATTCAAGCCAGGTCTGCAGCACATGGGGAAGGAATTCCGCTGCTACTATGCGCTCGAATGACCGAGTCTTGAACGCGAAGTTTTCTCCGAACATGCTCTCGTAATATTGTTGTCGACTTGCAGCGTTCAGTTGTCTTGCACCTTGCTGTTATTGTTTCCTTCTCTCTGGACATCATCTTCTTGTAGCTGTATCGCTCGCCTGTGTATTTCTCCCAAATTCTGTATTGCAATCAACCGTGTTTTTGGTATGTCTCCAGTACCTCCGGCTGTGGATGAAGCCGCGAAAAATCGGAGTGCAGCGGTTTCCCACGCCCGTATTCGTGCCGTGTTTGCAAACGCCTTCCTCTCCTTCATCATTCGCCAGTGAGTCTGCCACTCTACATCGACGGATGGCGTCCAGGATTGCCATAAGCTCGCTGAAGGCATCAGGTATGCAGATTGCAATGCAAAAATTGTGCAAACAATTCTGAGGCTTTTCCTCAGCACCCCGCGTGCGACCCCAGGTCGCAGCTGCCATCCCTCGAGCTGTCCAATCGTACGTGCATTATCCTCTCCTCTCTTTTCGGAGCTATAGCAAGGGGGACACTAACGTATCGAATCTATGGTGGGCTGTAGTCGCGGGATGGCGAGCAAGCCCCCTCCGGCTGAGCGCGCGTCGGAGATCATTAACAAACTCCCATCCTCGCCCAACCTCATCACCCGGACGGGCACCGCGATCCTCGGTACGGGTCTACTTGCAACTGCGATCTCGAATGAGCTGTACGTCGTGAACGAGGAGTCGGTCATTCTCGTAGGCTTCGCCGTCCTCGTTGCCTTCATTGCTAAGGTGCGCACTCTGCTGTCACGTCGCATACACGTCTGCTACTCTGCAGCACGGATGCTGGTAGATGGGTCGTGCTAATAATCGCGCAGAGCATCCGGGACCCGTACCGTGACTGGGCGGAAGGTCATATCCAGCGCATCAAGGGCGTGCTCGAGAAGTCCCGTACGGAGCACACGCAAGCCGTGAAGGACCGCATCGAGTCTGTTGAACAGATGAAGGACGTTGTCTCCATTACCCAGGGCCTCTTCGCGCTATCTAAGGTGCGTTCCACGCATATACCCACATGGTCATCCTCTTATACGCTCGTGGACTGCAGGAGACCGCGCAGCTGGAATCCGAGGCGTTCGTGCAGCGCCAGAAGGTTGCCCTTGCGGCGGAGGTGAAGACGGTGCTGGACAGCTGGGTACGGTTCGAGCAACAGGAGAAGGAGAATGAGCAGGCTGAGCTCGCGAGGGCGATCATTGACAACGTCCTGAAGAGCATCAAGGATGAAAAGACGCAGAGGGACATCTTGACCAATGTCGTTACGGAGGTCGAGCGTGAGTGCTCTCCCATATTCATTGGTCTTCCGTTCCACCAGCCTGAACTCAATGCTTGCAGAACTTGTCAAGAGCAAAGCCATCTAGGTCATTCTGTAATGTCGACAGTTTAATAGACTGGCACCAAGCGTTTTTCTGCATGCGCGAACTGAGTATTCTTCTTTGGCCGGTGATCTTGTGCTTACTGCTTCATCGCAGCACAAGGAGCATCCGCGGTTACCTTGTGCGAATGCCCGCTTTACCCTCTCATCCGGCATGTCGGTGGACGAATTTGAGGCCCAGAAATTCAGTCTGTCCTTGCTATCTGATGCTAGTGTATATTTCCGTCGTTTCTGAAGAAAGCATCGAGCTTCTCGTGCTGTTCTTTGTGTTATGGGGAAGACCTATCGGTCTGAGCTAGGTACCTGTCACGTCCGGACCTGTCAACACTTGTATGGAGTGCTTCCGAAAGCGGACCAACGCCATGTTGACCACTGGCCGCATCCTCTTCCTCGTCTCTCTTACCGTATATCAATTTTCTAATGAAATTAGCCTCTCTTTTACTTCTGTTGGCCGGTGCAGCGGGTCCTGCGGCGGCCAGCCATTCCCACTCGAGCATCTCGCGGTTGTCTCATCGGCATGGCCATGTTTCTCGCGCGACCCGTCGAGAACTCACGCTCAGTAAACGTTGCAAAACCAAGGATAATCGGAAGTCAAAGGTCGGTTACGAGACTACTCAGAGTAGGAAAGAGTCGTCATCGTTTTCTGCAGAGCAACTCCGATAACGATTCGGGAAACGACTACAGCGGTACCGGTGGAGGCTACAATGGTGGATCAACTACTGGTCAGTCGTCCGGAGTCATCAATGTGCCGTCGTCGTGCGGGCCCATCGGTGCTACTGGTGAGTGCTGCGTGAGGCAATATCTGCCTTCTCACCTATGCGATGCGTCCCAGTGGAAGTCACCCCCACCACGGGCCCAAACGGAGCCATTGACTGGCTCAACTGCGGCGTGAACGACAGCGGCTGGCGACCGCCCTTCGTGCGCGTCTCCGACATCATCGCGAAGAACCTGACCGAGGCGATCCAAGAAGACGGTAGCCCGTTCCGGGCATGTGACGCGTACATCGATACATTCGAACAGTATGCCGCGCAGTACGGAGGTACGCCTGGTCATTATGTTTCGTGCGCGTCGTTGATGTTTCGGCTTGCAGTGCCTGCGATACTAGTGGCAGCGATCGCTATGCAGGAGAGCAGCTGCGATGCGGGGACCGTCGGTGGTGGGGGTGAGCAGGGTCTCATGCAGCTGACGCAGGACAAGTGTGGGGGCGCGCCGGGAGGTGACTGCAAAGATCCAGTGAGTTGTACATACAGACAGACGACGCACCTGTCGTGTCTGACGATGTTTAGGACTTTAACATTCGAGCTGGCGTCGAGTACTTCAGTGAAATGCTGCGGAGCAATGGTGAAAGCCTACTGCTTACCATGGGAAACTACAATGGCTGGCCACTGGGGATGACATACGTGCGTGCCTTCCTCCTCCATGCAGACGTTCGCTGACCTTGCGCATGCGCGTATTTACAGGACGATGCAACCGCTGCTGGTGATACTTCTTGCTGCACATGCCAGAACAACTTGGACTAGTGCGTCGAGTGGGCTTGTCTGACGCTGAGCTGACAGACTCGTTTCATAGCTTGCAGCAGACATTCAATGGATGGGTGTTAAACGTGGATCCGTACTCGAGCACCCCTCCGATTGGCAAGTACTTCAACCTGAACAAGTGTCACTGAGCCAATATCTGCAGCGTCGAGTTGATTCTCCCCAGTGTCTATCATATTTTCATTATGTCCACATTCCTAGCAATGTATGAATAATATTGAACATCTACTGGTAGTGTACACTCTAAAGCTATGCGATGCCGGACATACGTAGTCTTCATCCAATGTGTCACAAACTAGCTTTTAAAAAGATAAGAATCCCACTCAATCCATTTGCTGAAGGCCACAACTTGTCAACTGACAAGTGGAAGTTCTCCAACAAATGAAAAGAAAGGATCCCCCGACGACACAAGCCGTTACTGCAATAGCAAGGTCATCACGTCCCAGTGTTGCAAGCAGAGCACCGAGAACAAGGGCGGCAAAAATTAGATAACCAATAATGGAGGCGGTGCCTCCATAATAGTGGTTAAACTATTAAGAACAGATACTACACTTGATCTAAGCCAAAAGGCCAGAGTGGTGAAGATTTTGGATGTTCCTGCCCGCCTCTTATACTGCAGGAGAAGTGCGCACGGACCCCACCGCGTTTGTTCCGCGCAAAGAACGCGAACGCGTCCGAATCATCACGTGCTACTATCCAGTACTCCCAACAGTTTAACATTAATCACTCTACATGTAGTACCTGCTGCATCTGACAGAGGCTGTGACATTTGAAGCGAAGACCTTTGAGATTACTTACGTGCCGCTGTAAGCGTACCTTGCGAAATATCTCATCCTTTGTTGAGGCCCGCGAGAGGAGGTTGGTGAGTCGTTGATCTAACCCACCGACGCTTTCTGACCAACCTCGTTGACGAACCGCGCGCAAGCTCGTACGTGTTACTCCATGTCAGATCACTGGTGATTCCTAACTTTGCTGTCTCAGACAGAAATGGATGTCCCTGCCGCTACCACCCGCATTGAGAATCTATGGTATGATGATGGTAGTGTCATATTGGTGGCAGGAACCTCCGCATTCCGGGTTCACTGTGGTATCCTATCGCAATATTCATCAGTCTTTCGAGATCTGTTCATGGTTCCTCAGCCTCCTCCAAATGAGTGCCCCCAGATGATCCTCTCCATTTGCAATATACTCTGAGTTGCATTCATGATGTCATGTAAGACCCCTTCTCAGCTCTCTGTCCCTCCGACTAAGTCTGCATGATGTCAGGTTCCTTGACAAGGTGAGACGGTCACAGGAGCCTATTCCCGTTGCTGTTGGGATCATCAGTCTGTCGCACAAGTATAATATCGAATCTCTTCTCGATAAAGCTATCTCTCGCTTGAAGGAAATATATCCGACTGTCGTTGGACAGCTGGATGCACTTGGGCGGGACATCCTGTACAATTATCCGTCTCATGCTCATGCCATCCCTCTTATTAATGTCGCGCGCCAAATCCAGCCATCTGCACTGGATGACCTACTCCCTTTTGCTTTCTAGCTCTGCGCACAGCTTAGTACAAGACTCCTTGTCGAGGGTTTGTTGCATCCATATGGCAGTCGCGAGCGTTTGTCCCCCGATGATCTCCAAAGGTGCATCGAGGGCAAGGTTGTGCTCAAGGGTGTTGGCCTCGACATCATCGGAAATGCGACAATAACCATCGCGGTTTGCGGCCGATGCACCGAAGACTACCCTTGTAAAACTGAGATACCACTCCTCCTGTTCTTGGAGTGGCGTGACTCCAGTGACGTTCTGTCATCATCGTGGGATTTACTTGCAAGTATCGACCGCTGGACAATAAAATGCAAACCATGTCGGGAGATAGTTAAAGATGCCATCAAGAAGACGCGTGTGGAAGTCTGGGACCAGCTTCGTCAAACCTTCGTGCTGTGATAACAAGGTACTGGATGTTACTGTCTTCCGAGTTATGGTACGCCGTGTGAGCCTCCCATATGTCCATTTCAGAGTTGAATGTGGACTGATTTATGTCTTGCTAGCCATAGCCTTTTTCTGCTGAATTCGGTCGGATCCATTTTTTTTCGATATCTGCTGTGGCCTGTGGGCAACAAGCAATGGTTTCTGTGCTTGTCTTCGTGAGATCAGATCCGCACACCCTGTCTTCTGCATTATATTGAAGGACAAATTTGCAGATTCTACATGGACTTGTTCGGAGGAAAATCTTGTTCCTTCGCACCTTCCTGTATTTTGGTATTGGCATGTGTCTTGGAACTATGGGACCTGCTCACCACATGAAGATGATATTGCCACATGCCGCATTTGCAATGACCCACTGCCTGAACGCCATGCAGGATCCAGCGGTCCGTTGACGTGCCCTCATAACTGAAGGCCTGCGCATTGACCAACCTCTGGGATCAGAGATTCTGCGTCTATAACCGCGCGTTGTGCCACTGTGGTCTCTGCTTGATGCATTTCGGTATACTCACTCAGGGTCTTTATCTCTATAGTGCCGTTACTACTCATCATGGACTTCTCTTCCGTGCTTCGCTGTGGCTCGCAGAACCACAGCAGACCACAGCGCGTATCAATACATGTCGACTGTGTCTTCCGAAGTGGTTGGTTTGATTGAACCTTGAGCGCTGAACCCAAAGATGCAGTCATATTGCAGGGTTTCGGTCACATTCAATCCGCATTGCTCTTTTTGATAATGGAGATTCGAGAAGCTCGAGCGTCTCGCCCTTTGCTATTAAGGATACTGCGCTTATCTTCCTCGACACGTCTCAAGCACCCTTCCTATAAAATCCTCCTCGCGCTGTCTAGGAGAACAGAACCTTCCAGATAAGATTGCGTGTTGGATACTGATTGTTTTCCGCCGTAAGTCATTTGAAACTCGAACCTGCCGATAAATTGATTGTTGAGTTTCTGTTTACATCCCCGTGCAGCCAGACTCATCACATGGACAACACAGAAAATGGGATCCAGCAGTATCAGGCCCGCAGTGGCATGCTGCCCCGGAACGGTCCTCAGAGCCCGATGCTCCCCGCCCAGCAGACGCCGCAGATGAGCTTCCGGGGCCTTGCGCGGTCACCGAGCCAGCCGGGCTCTCCTGCTCCGAACACGATCGCGGGGAGCCCGTCCATGAACGCTGCCCGCCAGGCATCGGGCATGGCGGCGCAGGCCCTGGCGAATGAAGTGAACCAGCAGCTGAACCGGATCCCCGCTCCGGTTTTGAATCAGATCAAAGAGGAGGTGGGGCTGGCGGACATGGATTACCCGTCGCTGACGACGAAGGATAAAGTTGGTGTTGTCGTCGTGTTGTGCCTGCGATTCTGGAGCTAATTCTCTCCATTCGTTAGCAACGCATGTTAACTGTGGCTAAACAACGAACGATGAGACTAGGGCAACCGGGACAAGCGCAGCTACCCCCGATGACACCCATGGCGCCGTTCCCGCACCCATCGCAGCATGGAGGACCGGTAGGCCCACACCAGATGATTCCCGGCATGGTGGGTCGGCCAATGGGTGGCTTCCCGGGCCAGCCAGGGATGCCGAACACGTTGACGATGCCATTGGGCACGACCATGAGCCCCGGGATGATGAACCACCCGATGACGCCACAGCAGGTGAGTGCGCTCGCAGTTCGCGGGGTGTGGCCTTCCAGACGATGCTGATACTCGGCTTAGGTGCAGCACGTGCAGCAGCTGCAGTACAGGCAGTCGATGCAAAACCTGCACAAGACCGGCATGCAACATTCGGGGATGGGCAACATGGTGCCGGGTGGCAACGCTGCGTCGCCGTCAGCGGGAGAGGGAGGGTTCATTTCGGACGGGCCGCAGTCGCGGCCAGGGACTGCACAGTTCTCTGGTGCACCCAGTGCGAACAGCAGGATGGGCCCGAAGCCCTTGGGTATGATGCCACCGCCCTCACCAAGCCAGAACCCTAAACCCGGCCAGAAAGACGCCAGCGGCGCCAATGAGACGTCAGCACCGAACGGGCGCCTCGACTCGTCACCACAGACGGGTGCACCAGGACCAGGGCAGGGATCTGCGCCGGGTTCTGTACCAAGCACCCATACGGGCCCGCCCACCCCGAACTCGTCTGGCAATATGACCGCCCCATCTCCCTCGGCGATGAACGCGTCGACGCCGTCGATGAACGCGGACCACGCGCCGGCCCCCTCCACTACGGACTCGATCCTGGGGGGCCTGTTTCCGCCGGACTTCATGCCCCATAACGGCCTGGACGATTTCGATCCGTCGATCTTCCGACCTGACGGTGAACTCAACTTTGACCGGGACTTTGGAGGCTGGTTCAATTCAGATAGCATCGGAGGGTTGGACATGGTGATGCCAGTGGATCGAGCCAGCAGTGCCGTAGCTAGTGTCGAAGAGTTGGCGGATAACGTTGCGGAGTTAGATCTGGCCTCTGATGCAGTTGCGTGGTAAGTACTATAGTTTGTTGGCCTCAAACGATGTCCATGAACTTTTCGGCCTGTTCTCTGTGACCTGCGTAGTCGTCCCTGTTCGGCACGTACTCAACGATCAACGATTCCGCCAGTGCGATGTTGAAATTTCCGTAAGAATTGCACATCTAGCGCACAAATATGATATATCCAACCGAGTCTCTTCGACAACACTATCGGTTGCATCGTTCTCTTCCCGTCTACGTACCTTAGATGCATAGGACTCGATGAAGATGCCCGAGCTCCATGGCTCCTTTCTTTGCCTCTATCATCTATGCCGCGTTCAAGTTCCATCGACCCGGGCTCGATACCATCCTTCCCATCGCTTTCTATGACTACTGTCAGCTCCCATGGACTTCCGCCTACACCACGCCTGGACCTTTGAATCCTGGAACGGTGTGGAAGGCTGTTCTATGGAGGTTCTGATGTGATGCCTCCGAGGGAAGGAAACCCTCTTGAGGGCAAATGACACCGTGACAGGCTGCCTGCACTGTTGCCGCCCACTCAAAAATATTTCAACACGATGCACCACAAGAAATACATGTGTTGCCGCTCTCACCGTCGTGACAGAGGCCGATCGACGGGGGCACATGTCATTGTATGATTCCCTGCGAAACATGGATTCGTAGATCAGAACCCGGGTAAAGGAGTCTGGCCTGTGCTCGTTATGCCTCAATAACGTGCAGAAATGACGTCGAGATCAGAGAAGCAGTTGGACCGATACCTCAAGCTTGAGCAGTCAGAAACCTGGAACATATTGACGGCATGCGTTACAACACTATGCTTGTTTTGCGTACTGTGCTCCTCCTGTATGGTAAAAGCCAGGATATTTTAGTTGGTTCTGCGAGTTCCAATCAGTAAGAGATTTATGATCATCTGTAGTAATACTGTACAGTGATACCAGCATAGGAAAAATCGGCGTCAATACTCAGCTCTCAACCTCCAGCATCGGGCTATCGGGGACTGCGGGGTTGTTAACTGCAGTCGCGGACTCCGTTTGATGACTGCCCATTCCATCGGGTGCAATTGCCGCTTCTTTGGAGCCAGCCTCAGTCTCGTCACCCTCAGCCTCTCTTTCCGCCATTGCGTCTCTATCCAAGAAAATCTTCAGTAACCGTCTGGACGACGTGGAGAGGACGAATTTACCTGTATGCCTTTCTGCACTCTCCCCTGACATTCTGGTTTTTCCACTTCTGCCTTCTCGAAGTCTTCGCTAACATGTCGTCATCCAGACCTCCGAGGTGGTCAGCGCGATCGGGCCGATCCAACAGACAAACGAAACTCACTCGTGTCCTCTCCGAGCATCCTCAGTTGAGGTAAACGAACCCATTGCCTATAGGCAGTATCAACTACATCGTTCACATGGACAATAAATGCGCTCACCAGGTGTTGCCAGAGTCGTAGAACCGAATAACATGTAATTGTTTGTCTTCATTCTGCGAGGATTCATCCTTCAGGTCGAGGACATATTTCGGTATTGATGGATCATCCTCCTCAAACACCACAGCTGGCCACCATGGGAAAGACTCTGCAGAATCCACAATCTCAGGACATAGACTGACGTCAATCGTCGTTTTGCCCACTTACTCGCTTTTGCCCATACTGCGTGTGCAACAACATTCAGAAAGACATGACGAGTATCACGAACAATGTACCTACCAAGCGTCCCACCCTCGAGATACTCCCCGTCGCCGAGAACGACAGCGCCAGCCTCAACTGGAGGCGCGTTTTGCAAACGTGATGCCCGTCTTGTAGTAGGACCTGCTGAATGTACTTGAGCTGGCTGCTTTCGCCGCGGCGAAGCTGGGGATCTGTTTGCTGCTGGCTGCTCGGTTATCACCTCATCATCAGTCGAATCGCCGAGGGAGGTCAAATCCGAGTCCGAGTCTAGCTCTTCTTCCTCTTCAGCCTCGGATTCTGCTGCTGCAGGTTCCCATGCCGAAGTAATCGCAGTGGTGGAAGCCTCAATTTCTGCCAGAGCAGCGGTCGGCGATGCTTGAGCTTCGACTAGAGCCCTGGCTTCAGCTTTGGCAGCGGCTTCAGTTGCAGCAGCAAACCTCTCCGCCTTACGCCGCATGTTCTTTTTCCGCCGGGTCATTGGCGTGTCTAGTTCCTCAATAATGATGCGCTCGGTAATAGTCGACGGACCTGACGTTGGCGCCTCAACGGCTGAATCAGCCACAGCTCTTTGGGGGGTGGCAGCGGCGGCCGCAATGGCAGTCTCAGCAGCAAGCTTCTCCGCCTTGCGTCGCATATGTCTCTCCCGCCGGATAGTCGGTGAATCTAATACCTCGATGATTATAGGTCCGGCGGTGGCGGAGGGACCGGGAGACTCAGTAGCTGGGGCAGCATCAGCTTCGGCGGCGGCAGTTGCACCACGATTTTCTGCCTTGCGGCGCACAAGTTTCTTCCGCGTGACAACTGGAGAATCTATCACGGTAATGATGGGCTCTGAAGGTCCTGCCACTGGTGGTACAAGGGTCGACGTAGCTGCAGTTTCGGCTTCTAAAGAGGGGGTGGTAGTAGCAGTAACAGCAGCTTCGGCTTCCGCAAGTCTCTCAGCCCTACGTTGCATGTTCTTCTTCCGCCGGATACCTGGAGTGTCTAACTCCTCAGTGATAACAGGCTTGGGAACAGGTATGCGCTCGTCGGGCTTGTCCACGTCCATGTTCTCTGGCTCTGTCTCCGGAGCCACTTGGTCAACCTCCACAGCCGTCTGATCAACCTCCATGGGCTCGCTTGTCGCCTCTGGAGCAGGCACGGCTGAGGCTAATTCAGGAGCGTTCTCTAGGAGCGTAGTAGCGTGCAAGGTCTCATTCTCAGCAGCTGATGTGCTGAAAGTAGACAATTGGGACTTGTCGCGAGCTAACACATAACGAGAAATAGACATCGTCAGCTACGGCTAACAAGAAAGCGCAACAATCCTTACATGTCTTTGGCAGCTTCTTCCTGGGAGGAGGGAGCGGGTACCGTTCAATGGGCGCTCTTCCTCCGCGGCGCTGGTCAGGCGGAAAGATCCACCCGTTATCGAACATTCTGAATGACTGCTGGTTGTCCACATCCTGTACCACCTGGGGCTCCTGCGCGGGAGTTGATGCGGGAGTACGTTTCGCCCTCTTCCTAGGACTGCCAGCTGACACGCTCTCCGTAGTTGCATCCTCGCTGGCGTCAGACGGGCCAGCCTGGATGCTACCGGCCACCTCAGCCTCGAATGCTGCAGCTGCAGCAACGGCGCGGCGTGTTCGGGGTGCGCGAAAGCCGGGCGACGCGTCGAGGCCCTGCGCCTGCGCCTCGCGCTCACGGCGCTTACGTTCGCGGTCGGCCCTGCGGTTACGCTTCGGCTTGGGAAGAGGTGGTGGGGGTGGCGGACGGAACTGTGGGAGCTCGTAGCTGAACAACGACACTAGCGGCTCTTTCCCGATAATGAGGCTGGTTTGGTCTTTAATGACATCCTCGGTGACGAGCAGATCAAGCAGGTAGAGTGGAGGTTCGAGGTCACCGATAGTGAGCTTTGAATCAGATGGTGCTGCCACTAATGGAGATGTGGCCTCGTCAAAGTATCCAGCTTCTCGAGATGCAATTTTGTCGAGTTCGGCCAAGATAGGTTCAATGGATGTCTTGATCCTCTGAGCAGCTTTGAAAAAAGGAGTTCCTTGTTTATTGTAAGTCATCGCATTATTGAGAACGAGGTTCACATCGTGCTACAGATATTATTTCCGTTAGTCAGCTGTACAGAAGGAACACAGAGCTGTGTACCTTGAAATCCTGGAGGTCCCAGTACTCGTGCCGATCGAGCTTACGATCGATGACGGTCCAGCACATCGGGTGATTGATTATGTCAAAATAATCGGGCACATCAATTTTAGACACGGGATTCTTAAAGTAATCCTGACGGTCAAATCTTCACGACTTTCGGTGAGCTAGATGACTCCAGAGTAGGACAAACTCAACTCACCCCATGATTCTCTCGAACGCCATCCTCAGCGGAGGCTCATTCGAGAACAGGAAGCGAGAGAAAACATCCTGGATGGTCTCAGCTTGGTCGCGCTTTCGACTCTCACGCTTCCGACTGAGCTCTGTTAGCGTGCGTATGCTGTCAAGATCTCGCCTAAGACGCTTCATGAACTAAAGGAAAAACATCAGCAACGCATGCAATTAGCAAAGTTCCACAGCGAAGCGCACCTCGAGTTTCGTAAGTTTTTCCTCGTCCGTCTGCTGCTTCCCTCCCGAAGACGCGGTCCACGGCTCGAGGTGCAGCCGCTTCAAGAACGCCGCGCCGCGACGAGCTTCACGCTTAAGGCTCCAAAATTTACATACGAGCAGCACGAATTCACGCTTGTGTCGGAGAACCACCTTACCAATGTACTGCAGAATGCGCTCGACGATAACGTGCGGGACAAGGGGCGGACCGGGCGTGTACGTTTTGGCATACGCCCGTGCTGTCTTGGACGACTTGGGACTCGGCGGACGTCCATCGTAAGCGTGATCGTCCGAATGCTCTGCTGCGAGGGCGGCAGCGCGAGCCTCCTGCTGCTCCTTCTGGAGAAAGTTGAGTCTCGGACTAGTTTGCGCGTAACGGAAATACATACAGGCAGATGCTTCTCGCAGTAGCAGGCGAGGGCTGGCGCTTCCGATCCTTGCGAGGACTTCATCGGCATCAAGAGCTTCTCTTTACGGGCGCAAGTGGCGTGAAAGGCGAGGAAACATGAGGACTTTGTGCACTGAATGCAAGCTCCTTGGCGGATATCGCAGACGGAGCATTTCTACGAGAAATGAACGGGTGTGATACATGGGACAAGGCGGGTAACTTACCAGTCTCCACCGCTGCTTGGAGATTCTATCCACACCTGTGATGGGCTCCATGAAGACGTCGTTGGCAACACGAGTTTCGGGTACCCAAATTGCGCAGAGAAGGTGCACCCAGTCTCCATGAACAGTTTGTTTGAAAGCACCCCCTTCATTTGGACATAGGATGCATGACTATGCGATCCATTATGAGGAGAAATACGAAGAGTGACCATTTCACGAACCACTGGGTTCTCCGGAGAGACGGTACACTTCCGACAAAGCCACTGGCCTTCAGGAATGTATGGTACACCATAGCAATCTGGGAAAAAGCTCAACAACATCATATACTTGTGATTATATACCATACCTTGATGCACGGCGAGGTTGCAGCCATCACAAAACACGATAGCGTTAGTGTTCTCTCCTTCCGAGTCATCGCATATGGCACACGTCGAGTCTTCCGAGGGTAGAGCGAGATCTGGCTTGGGTATGTTCTTGGTCTGTGGGGTGCTTCGCCAGATTGGTCATGATGCTGATGTGCCGATAGAGGTTGCATACCAGGTCAAACCATTCCTTCTCCAAGCGGTCCATAACAATCTCAAAGATCTCGTAAGATACCTTGTCCATCTGTTCCTTCTTCCGCTCGGCATTTATAGCATCCAGCCACTCCTGATCTGTGCGCGAGCGTAAGGCCATAAGGCCAAAGACATGGAAGACTAGCAGTTGATTTCACCTTGCTCGTCCATGTCGTACTCCACTTGCACAGCCAGTTCACTCTCCAGTGGTTCTGTAGTTTAATCCGTCACTGCAGTAACTTGGCACAGAAGGAGAGAACCTACCGATGTACCGAATGTAATGTTCGGGTCTCCGAAAGTCGGAGAAATCGTTGTCTGCGCATCTTCAACGACACAATTTCATGAAGCAACAGTGCACCACTCACAGCCGTAAGACCTTGCCTGTTGGTCGTGGACTCCTGTTGGCTGGTTGGTCGTATCATCCTGCACTTTGACGAAGGAGACCTTGGGTAGAGGAGCGGGAGCGGGAGATGCAACGCCGCGGGCCATGTTGAGGATAATATACTGTGAATAGCTCGCCTCTCGAGTGTGGTTGGTCTGATTATCAATACTAGAGAATCAAGCTAATGTCGACATGAAATTGGAGAACGTCGTCGTCGACGAGCAAGAGGTGGCCTTCCACCCGTGACCTCTATTTCCTCTGCCGCCCGTCGCAGCAGTTCTCATATTTCTCCACAACACTCCATGGATCCATCTCTTCCGCTCGTCGTCGACAATGGAACCGGCGTATGTTTATATTTACCATTCTCCCCAGAAATTCGCAAGGATCGCTCACCTACCCGTAGTTCGTGAAAGTAGGTTACGCAGGCTCCAATTTCCCTGAACATGGTACGCTCTACTCTGATTCCTCAGTTCTTGACTAGATATTCTGCGTACAGTATTCCCCTCTATCGTCGGTCGACCCATCCTGCGCGCGGAAGAGCGTGTAGGGTCTGCAGTGATCAAGGATATCATGGTCGGCGACGAGGCGGCGGAAAACCGCAACTATTTGCAAGTCACCCAGCCGATGGAGCACGGCATCGTGCGCAACTGGGAGGACATGAAGATACTCTGGGACTACACCTTCGACGAGAAGCTCCACGTCAATACACAGGGGCGCAAAGTGCTGCTCACTGAGCCCCCAATGAACCCCAAGGCGAACCGGCAGCGCATGTGCCAGGTCATGTTCGAGGAGTATGGCTTCGGTGGCGTGTATGTTGCCATACAAGCCGTGTTGACATTGTACGCGCAAGGTGCATACTTTATGAGCCGCAATCATTTCAGGCCCGCTGAGCAACACCGCAGGTCTGACGACGGGCGTGGTGGTTGACTCTGGGGACGGCGTCACACACATCGTACCCGTCTACGATGGCTTTGCCCTTCCACATCTGACCCGACGTCTGGACATCGCCGGCCGTGACGTGACGCGCTACCTCATCAAGCTGCTACTCATGCGCGGATACGCGTTCAACCGGACAGCCGACTTTGAGACTGTACGTGAGATCAAGGAGAAGCTATGCTACGTCAGGTGAGTCCCGTCGTCCACATGCATCATACTTTACTGATCCACCACAGCTATGACCTCGAGCTGGACACGCGACTATCAGAAGAGACGACAGTGTTGGTGGAGACCTACACAGTGAGTCTGATTCCAGGTGTTCGCACGCAACTTCCTCCTCATGCTTGTCCAGCTTCCAGATGGCAGAGTGATCAAGATCGGCTCAGAGCGGTTTGAAGCGCCGGAATGCATGTTCCAACCGCACCTTGTCGATGTCGAGCAGCCAGGAATAGCAGAAATGCTTTTCGAGACCATCCAGGCTGCAGCGGTCGATATCCGCGCGGAGCTGTACAAGCACATTGTGCTTTCCGGCGGATCCAGCATGTACCCCGGGCTGCCCAGTCGGTTAGAGAAGGAGATGAAGCAGCTCTACCTCACACGGGTACTCCATGGTGATCCGACGCGGCTGAACGTACGCGCCAGCTTGCTTGTTTACTCGCCCTTACTCGTCTGACAACCTTTACAGAAATTTAAGATAAGGATTGAGGACCCACCACGCCGCAAACATATGGTATTCCTCGGCGGCGCAGTGCTTGCGGATATCATGAAGAACCGCGAGGAATTCTGGATATCGCGCGAGGAGTGGTTCGAGCAGGGCATTCGCTCGCTCGACAAACTCGGGCGCGGCGAAAACTAATAGCGGTGCGCTCACGATGTATTAACATACCGGTATAATGACGATTGCTGTACGATTGCCACGGAAGAAAGTAACTCGGGATGTGTACATTGTGCGTGCGATATCGTCTCGCCAGCTCATGGTATCCATATCATGAGCATAGAGCGGGTCTAGCTATTGGATATACAACGGAGATTACTAATGTATGCAAGGCCCTCGCGTGTAACCAGTGTAACCATTACTTTTCGAGCAGTGGGTTGGGGATGGACAGAGCCGTGCGGGGTGTCTATATAGAGCGGGGTGAGAGCATTATACGAATGTACAGGTATACATAACAGCTCAGCATAACATGGCAACGAACAAACGGGCCGCACGGCGGTGTCATGCCCAGCGGAGGACGGCTTCATAGATAGAGTACATGACCGCGGCGTTCGGAATTACTCGCATGAGATGCGCACTGAGACCGCCATAAAGCGAGCGCGCGCCCTCCTCTGCGATGACTACCCGGAAAGTCTGGATAAGTCCTGTGTACTTCACCTTTCCATCCATGAGTGGTTGCCGGAGACGCGTGCGGACGACCTGTGAGAGGGCAATCACTATCGTCCATGAAACAATGTTCGGTACAGAAACGCACCTCATGTGGATATGTAATCAGACTCGCCACGCATTTGGCCGTTCCTGCGCTCCCAAGCATGCCTAACCACTCCAGGACGCCGCCCTTACCCTCTGTGTTCGCAGTAAGTCGCTTCAATCGCTCATACAACGTCCATTGTATCGTGCCCTCCGTGACGCCTAGGTAGCTAGCACTGAGACCCTTGTAGAATCCACGGACACCTTCCTCCCGCATGATCTTCTTGATGATGCCCCACGACGTCGGGCGCGCTAGCTTCGTGTGACTGTCGTGCCGCTCGAGCTGCAGACGAGTTTTGACGACCCATATCGGATTTGTCAATGTTCCTGTCACGATGCCCGCACACGCAGCGGCACTTAGGTGAACCCAGCTATTCTCCTGCCCGTGATTAAATTGCTTCGCGATAATCTGCTTGCCGTTGCCGTAGGTGAAGAAATTGATAGACCGTGCTGGGATCACCCCGACCAGAGTAGGCCCGAGACCCCTGAAGAGTGCCCTTGGAGACTCATCTCGGGCGATGTCCCTGAGGGTCGTTCATATGTGTTGTCAGACACAGTCGAGCTTCCAATATGTCTCGTACGCACTTCAGGATGTGTCCAGTCTCCACAAAATGCCATAGAATATTTGTACGTCGTGGCACGACGACTACACCGTTACCGGCGAGCCCCAGTGTCGTGTGTTTCTCCCTGAAGAGACTCGATTGCAATCGCGTCTTCACAACGTCAAACGGGCTCGTCACAATCGCGCCACACATTCCCCCCAGTCTTTCATCGAGAACAAGCACAACATGATGCACACGGTTCGTGAGTTTACGCACCAGTGTACGAGAAGAGACACTCACCCGCCTGCAACGAAGTGCTGCCATGACTTCGCGGGAAGCCAGCTTGCGCTGGCGACGGCCTGTGGCGGGGTGTCTGCCATTTCGTGTTTTCCTGGGCCCTGAGGCGTCGTCGTCGTCCGTGAAGACTCAGATTCAGTAGCCGGACCAGGGGAGTCGCTGGCAGAGGAGTCCTACGTGACCACGGCACAAGCACAAAGTTTTAGTTCTAGATAAGATTAGATAGACGCTCAATGTCACTACACTCAGATCCCTTCATCGAATGCCTTCCATGGCTACTGCTCTCCTAGGTGACATACTGCAAACAATCACAAAGAAGTAACCAGAGAGAACGTTACTAATTGGCACCTGTAAGTTAGGAATGTTCGTACTTTCCATCATCAAGGTATTACAGAAACTCCCGGATCGCACCAAAGCTCACGCCATGCGCAGGACACCGTCGCAGTCCACCCATCCAACTTCGGCGTGCCGCCAGAGCAGGCGTTGACGAACGAGCTGAACAAAAAGTACGCGAATCGCGTCTTGCACGATGTCGGCCTGTGCGTATGCGTGTTTGACCTCTCCGAAGTAGGAGAGGGGAAAATCCGGTATGGCGATGGCTTTCTGTGGTATAAAGGTGCGCATCATGCATCTGTAAATGTTCCGCAACGCGTTCAATGGAGCCGTTGCAGTTATTTTCCGTTTGGTGGTATTTCGACCGTTCCTGTCCGAAGTCATCCTCGCAAAGGTCAAGTCGTCTGACGAGGACGGCATACGGTGTATGTGTTACTACATCATGCTACACTTCATCTGACACTCCAGCTGCGAAGTAACTGTAGGATTTTTTGACGACATGTATATTCCCCTCATATACCTCCCAGAGCCGTCGGCTTTGTACGTCTCATCACCCATCGTATCGCACTGTCCTCCTTCCACTCACACCGGTGTCCTCTGTCCGCCAGCGACCCAAACGAGCGCTCACACTTCTGGCTCGCGGGCTCTGAGACGACATCCATCCACGAGCTGCTCGACTCCCCCGTCGCCGAGCGCATGTACATTGACGCCGGCGACGTCCTGCGCGTGCGCGTCGAGGCCGACGAGTTTTATGATGACGAGCCCGGCCCGCCCAAGGCGACCGAGGGCGTCCAGCAAGCTCGTGAGATGCGGCGGCCACCGTACACCATTACTGTGTGTTGTCCAGTCCGTCCGCTCTGTAAACCAATACTAACTTGACCGAAGTGTTCGATTGCAGAACAGGGCTTGGGACCAGTCTCCTGGTGGAAGGACGCAGGTGTGGAAGCCATGGACGAAGGCTGAAAATCGAATTGTGATCCAACATAGAAATTCCCGATGTATTGTGCCTGCTTTGAACACGACATTTGGCGATACACCCTTTATGTTCTGTAATAATATAGATAAAATTTTATTTGGGACATATAATAATTTCAGCGATAGCAAGTCGATAACTTAACTGCAAGTTTTTCAATCGATAGTCGCCCGCAATGCCTATCACTTAATATTATCTTCCAATCCCACAGCTGCGATGACCCGGAGATTCGAGTCAACTGTATTCACCTGGTCGGAGTCATATTACGCAGAGGGGGGTCTCACACAACGCACAAATGTCCAAACATGTGCCGAAGACAGAGAGAGTGCTAAGCGTCCAGTCGCACGTCGCGTTCGGGTACGTGGGGGGCAAGGCGGCGGTGTTCCCTCTACAGTGCTTGGGATATGACGTCGATGTGCGTATTGTGAATTTCCGCTCGATTGCGTGTGTTGACGACAGTTCGGACAGGTGGTGAATACCGTGAATTTTTCCAACCACTCCGGTAGGTTCTGTGTACTGTTCACGGTCTTTGGAGTTTGAAGCTGATCTCTTGGACAGGATATGGCCGCTTTGGCGGTTCGAGAGCGAGCGCATCTGAGCTGGCAGGAATATTCCAGATCATGGAAGACAATGGGCTGTTGTTCCCGGATAGACTTCTCACAGGTCCAGATTCCTTATCTCGAACGCGTCGTGGTCGTGTGCTGAACTTTCGCAGGTTACATCCCCGGAGCGGAAGCTTTAGCGGCTGTGAAGGAAATCGCCTTGAAGCTTAAGCAACGTAACCCTGAGCTCATATACCTACTAGATCGTACGTCTGTACTGAGGCATCTCCCTATTTGACGATCTCAACATCTTACCCCTTAGCTGTCCTGGGCGATGCGGGCAGATTATATGTTGCGCCTGATGTCATACCCATCTACCGGGCAGCATTGCCATACGCTACAATCATCACACCTAATTGGTTTGAAGTAGAGTAAGTCGCCAAACCCTCCTTCTCAGCTCACTCAATGTTTTGTGTGTTCCCCAGAGTTCTCACAGATATTAAAATGACGGACTCAGCGTCGTTGCGGCGCGCGATGAAGATTCTACATGACGAATACCGCGTCCCGAATGTCGTGATCAGCTCTATCCCGCTTCGTGCGTGGCTCGACGACCTCCTCCCAGCTCAGATACGACCTTCGTCTCAACACACGGATATCGACTTCCTGCTCTGCATCTCCTCGTCCTCCTCCCCCGCCAATTCCGGAGGGGAAGGTGGAGCGGGACGGGAGAGGATGTTGTCTGCACACGTCCAGTGCATACCCTGCCTTCCGGGCTACTTCTCTGGCGTGGGCGACCTTTTCTCCGCCCTCGTGCTTGCGCACTTCCACCCTGACGCAGCGCCCGCAGGTGCGGAGACGCCGCTGTCGCACGCGGTGTCACGGGCACTGACAAAGACGCATGCAATACTGATGCTCACGGACGAGCATGCGCAGCACTTACCCGAGGACGAGCGGCTACCCACGGACGACGAGCTGGATGCCCGCGAGCCCGACCGCAAGATCAGGCGGATGCGCGGGCGCGAGCTCAGGCTGATACAGGGCCAGGACATCCTCCGTGGCGCGACGGATCTCGAGCCTAGACGTATGGTACCGTGGACTACCTTCTGGGAGGGTCAGTAGCATTGACGCTGTACATGCATGCTGTATATTATGTGACGAGTGTTGCGCAGATATATGTTGTGTAGCGGCACGCTAATGGGGCACATGTGAAGAGAGTGCACGCTCTTGTCTCATCTTCTGGCCTCGTCAACCTTGAGCGCTGAGAGTTTCAGCCTCCTGCCGTCGCCGCCTCCGGTAGTAACGGAATGCGAAAGCTCCTGACGCGCCTAAAACCACACCCAAGACTGCTCCGAGTACCTCTGCTACAATGTCCCCAGTTGACTGCGAAACTCTGTTCGACCCTGTTGTAGGAGTCGGCGACGGAAGTGGTGAGAAGGTTGGTAACGAACTGGATATTGGCAGGGTGGTAGACGGGAATGGCGACGTACTTCAAGAGATGATACAAGACATCATCTTACATGGTGATCGGCGATGAATATAAAGGCTTACTCGTTAGTGGGTATAGTGATCGTGAAGGATGAGATATCCAATCGTGTAGCATTACTGGAGGGTACGAAGGTAATCGCCAAAGTAGTAGCCTTGTCCGGTTGCAGATCGACGGCGACTATGAGTCCTACAGCTGAGTCTACTTCTGTCGTGATTGAGATTACGGGATCCTCGGTGAAGAGCGTGATGTTTGCAGTTGCGTTCGATAGCGACGAGGTGCGTATATACAGAGCCAGACCTGTAAGCCCGCGTAAGTGGTAGCAGAATTTTATTTCCGACCTCTGTCCTACCTGTGAACGTCATGAAAAGCTGGGGTATGAAACCGCCAATTTTCGGTCCGTTTGTAGATGTCACTACACTGTCAGGACCATCTGATGACGGAATAATTCGCCTGAATATCAGATGTTCAGTTGCACACCGGGAGTAGTAATATAGATGTTGCCTACTCACCACGAACTGTTAGAGCAAGATACTGAAGCAGTCGTACCGTCACATGCTGGGGGATTGTAGATGATGTCCGGATTCGTAGATTGCAAAGTAACATTGACCTGCGCATACACCAAGTGAAGCCAGCAGAGACCCATAGAAACGCATAGCCAGCACTGATGTCTGACTCCTAGAGGTTCAAGCCGCATGATGGGCTAGCCGCGGGGTGGAGAAAGACACAGCGCATCGGCAGTCGAGCGGAGAGGAATGCTCGTAAGCAGGATGAACGCAGCCTGCTGAAAGGCGACGTCCCCCATGTCCATGACAACCCGATGCTTCAGGCTGTTGCCTGAGTCTACATTCAGTCCACATGGCCCTCGGCGTATTTTGGGCAGTTGTCTCCCCGAGAATACGTGAGATAGGATCGTCGAAGACGCAGAAGGGGTGACAGATGATGGGGCAGTTCCTGGCAGGGAATTTCGCAGGCAACAACCGGATATCATGTAATAGTTATCGCGGGCTATGGGTTACAACAACGAATATTATTGCCAGGAACAGGGCTCAAACCCTAAATATGGGATACACCCTTCAAAAAATATTGATTTGCTGCGACTATCGGGATGATTCACTCATGGACCAGGACACAGACTGTGTACATTCGAAACCACCGAAGAAGGAGAGACTAAAATTAAGAGGAAAGAAGGGGCGTAGCATTATGTCCGCGACAAACGAGTGTAAGTAAAGTCAGCGGCATAACTCCGCCGTAGATAACTGTCTAGACAGAAATATTTTTGTAACATTTACCTTGTCGGGAAGAAATGGGTGACATCGGACTTGACTTCCTCCACATCGTCCAACGCGTCGTCGTAGTCGTCGTCGTCGACAGCGGTGTCCAGCTTCCTTCAGGAAGACCTCACGTTCTTTTCAGACCTCTCTCCTTCAATACACCTGTCATTTCAGCAACATGTCCAACCATCTCAACCTGCGGCAGCGCATGCATCGCCGCGTCGTACCCAGGTCCGCCAGCGGTGGGCCCGCCCCCACCATCATCCAGGAGCCCACCATCATGGGTCCTACTATTGGTGGTCATCCCTCGCAGACCGCCTCTTGTGAGTTCCAAACTTTCCAGCATTCGCCTCGTATTCACATTCAATTTTTTCCCCTAGCGTCACCTACGTCTTCTGCGCCCACTTCGAGCGCGCCCACTTCTTCGCCAACCTCATCGAGCACTCCTCAATCCAGTTCTCCGTCTGAGACTCCGTCAGCTTCGGCTTCCTCATCTTTGTCGTCCTCCTTGTCGTCTTCGTCGTCGCCTGCGTCCTCGGCTGCGCCTTCAGCCTCGTCTGTCTCGAGCTTGTCGTCGGTTTCGTCCTCTTCTTCATCACCGGCCTCCCAGACGAACGGCAGCAGTTCTACCCGCAACGTAGCTACTAACGCTGCTGCAACTTCGGTAAGTTGCTGTTTGCTTACTCGGTCACGCGGACTAACGCAACGCTCAGCTTGCCACCGCTACTCCAACTGGGCGGAGCACCGTCTTCGCGACGGAGACTGCGCCTCTCTCTCTTGCGAGCAACGCTGCTTCTCCGAGCGCTAGTTCGTCGTCTTCCCATTCTTCGGGAGTGAGCACTGGTGCGGTCGTTGGCGGTGTCGTCGCTGGAATCATCGGCGTGGCTGGTATCCTGTTCGCGGTCTACTACTTCTGGGTGAGTATACTGGGGTGCGATTTCGGGGCACTGCTAACGTGTTCCATCGCAGCGTCGCTCTAATCGTTCGGAAGATGAACCCATCGAAGACTTCAACGCGATGGCCTTCAAGCGCCAGTCCATGATACTTCCTGATGACGGGGACATCTCTCGGGCTCCATCCTTGAATCGCAGGGACAACACGAATTACAACATGCCTCCGCCGTCGATGATGAACGAGCAAATGATGGCTTATGCACCCCCGTCGTTAGCAGGTCGCGGCGCGTACTACAATGGGTTCCCCGCGCAGCCGTCATTCGCTCCGGCTCAGCATGACTCGACGGGTCCTGTGCAAAGCATCCCGCAGACGCCGAATTCTGGGAATCCATTCCTCGACCAGTTCGGTCAGCCGGTGTCTGCTGGTCCGTACAGCCCTGGGTTCCCTGGTCAAGGCGCACCGTCCGTCGACCTTCCGCTGTCTAATGGAGCAGCGCAGTATCTGTCCCGTCAGCCTCACTCCGCTGGGACGTTGAATGGCACGCCGAACGATGCGCACTATGTGGACCTCGAGCGCTCCAGCGTCACCCCGTTCCAGGCTGCTCAGTACGTTGAGATTTCGCGCCGCCTCAATACGGCTCCTCCTCTGCCGTTCCCGTCGCCCGCTGCCGCTGCGATTGCCGAGGAGGCTCTGAACGAGTCCGAGTTGCCGCCCATCCCTGAGAAAGAGCGTCCTGTTAGCCCGCCTCTTCCCGCTATCACCGCCGTCCCTCAGGAAGAGAGTTATCTTAGCCCTGCTGCTGCAGAGATGCCTGTTCCCGCTGCTGCCGCCGTCTCCGAGGAAGAGCGCAACTCTGGACCATCGCCCTTCTCTGATCCTTCGGTGCACGAGCAGGCGTTTGAGCACGCAGGCGATGACGCGTCGGTCCGCGACTCGCTCCCCCTGCCGCTACCCGTCTTCTCCTCGCGCGAGCGCATCACTTCCAACCCGCCCATGTTACCCGAGATATTCCAGCAGCGCCCGTTCTCGCCCGTTGCCGCCGAGTTCCCCCAGGCCCCGTCGTCGCCGGTCCCGTCACCCTTGGCCTTGCACAGCTTCCCGGCTCCGCCGCCCCTGGCGCACTTCCCCGACGCCGCTACTGCTGTACGTCCGCGCCCCACAGTTGAAGCGGGCAGCGATCAGCCGGACCTCTCGAAGCGGGGGACCACGTACACGGTCTATGACGAGGAGGACGCCTACGGCGGCATTTAAGACACGCTATGCCACACGTGAACAGTGACAGCTAGGAGATAGACTGTCTAAGTCACACTGTACCACTTCATATTACCACCTTCGTTGATCGAGCTTCTCTCTCGGTTGCTTTGGGGTTGTTGGTTTCTCTGCGTATTTTCTGTCGGGTGGCGGGCTTCTACACCAAGCTCGCTAGTCCGTGCTCGTGTTTGATTGTGCCCTTTCTTTCTGAACGATCTAGTGACGCCGCTGCGCGGCCAGCGGTGGGGGTTATTTCTTGCTTGCTTGAAACTCTCGTTATACGTGCGCACTCTCCTCTACCTTTTGCTCCGCTGTGTAGAGTGCAGCTGTACTGCTTGCTCCGTGCGGGCATTCAAAAATTCTGCCGACGGGCCCCGTCTCGTCCTATACCAACTTGTTTCGATATTACTTGTTCTTTGTGGTTTTATTGGCTAAATTTACGATTGCTGTTGAATAGATGGTGTGCGTGTACTGTGATGTTTTGGTTGGCGTGTCGTAAGTGTGGAAGTGAGTAGCAGCCACTATCGAGGTAAGTGGACTGCGAAAGCGATTCCAACGAGTTCAAATCCACGACGTACGTGTGGGTCATACGTCCCTGATGTTTCTGCCTTCTGCATACTTGTGCCAGCCTCCTAATTTACCACCCACCCTCGCGTATGGGTCGTAGAAGGGCCGCAGGCACTCGTACCTAGCTTACTACTGAGATGATGTGTAATCGTGATCGTTGAAGCTCAAATCTCGATATTGCAACGCTAGTTCTGCATGTTTATTTCAGTAACCTGCAGTGTTTGCCAGTTGGTGGTCTCATTTCTCTCTCTTCTATCACGCTTGTCAGCGCTCAACAAGACTTGGCGCCACATCTGGGCGGCGCGAGCCTCATGCTAACGTGCCTAGCTGTATATGGCAAGTATCGTAGAACGAGCATCGTAGCACGGCCGCACACAAAGCGAGCTCCACGTTATTTTTGTCGTCGTCTTGTAGGTCGAGGGAGCTGCAAAAAAACAGGTGGATATTTTCGTGGTGGAATATGCATCAACACCACCGCCGCCACTCACACAGGCTGCCAGGATTTTTGCTGATGCAGTACCGTCGCGGAGATGTTGATTCACATCAATATCGTCCGAACTTGTACTCCTGCTAGTAGGCAATTGGTCACAATCACACCAGCAGCCCAAAAATGTCTAAATCTCTATCTGATCGTCGAGATCGCACAAAGTGCAACCCGCTCCGAGACCTTGAGCGTTGCCGACGCCGCGCACGCGTCTGTCTGTCCACGATAGACGACGATGCTAGCCAGATCTCCGTGATCAGTCTATTAGTGTGCTCGCCGCGGATCGCGTCATGCACCTGGACTTCGCGCATCCTATCTCCGTACCGAGGCAGCTTTAGCCAGCGCTCGCTGCAGCCGGCTCCCCTGCAGTTAGCCTTACACTTTTCGGCAGCAAAGTAGAGACAGAGACGATATCGATTCCTTCCAGACAAGTACTGTACCAAAATACACGACTACGAGACAGGTTATACGGACAGGCGGAAGCAAGGGTAACAAACTAACAAGAAGCTTAAATCGACAGCGAAGGAGGATTAAGTATCTAAGCGGAGGCGACGGCGCACACGTACGCCCATAGCTTTTGTCATAGATAAATACAACAGGGGCAGCAGCAATCAAGTAAGACATCCAAATATGTGCACGCGGAACGTAAAACGCAGAGAGCGCAGACGTAGAACATGAGCGAGGTAGCATGACCGGGGAGAATCCAGGAGAGCAGCGAGCGACACGAGCATCACGATCACATAGTCCCACGACAGTCAGTGTTCAAGAAGATACCCGCGCTGCGGCTACTTCATGGGATCCAACCCTCCGATGCTATCTGAATTGAACCAGTCTCCAAAGTCCCGGTCAAAGTTGAGTTCACCGTCAGGTCGGAAGATCGACGGATCGAAATCGTCCAGGCCGTTATGGGGCATGAAGTCCGGCGGAAACAGGCCCCCCAGGATCGAGTCCGTAGTAGAGGGGGCCGGCGCGTGGTTCGCGTTCATCGACGGCGTCGACGTGTTCATCGCCGAGGGAGATGGGGCGGTCATATTGCCAGACGAGTTCGGGGTGGGCGGGCCCGTATGGGTGCTTGGCACAGAACCCGGCGCAGATCCCTGCCCTGGTCCTGGTGCACCCGTCTGTGGTGACGAGTCGAGGCGCCCGTTTGGTGCCGACGTCTCATTGGCGCCGCTGGCGTCTTTCTGGCCGGGTTTAGGGTTCTGGCTTGGTGAGGGCGGTGGCATCATACCCAAGGGCTTCGGGCCCATCCTGCTGTTCGCACCGGGTGCACCAGGCGCACCAGAGAACTGTGCAGTCCCTGGCCGCGACTGCGGCCCGTCCGAAATGAACCCTCCCTCTCCCGCGGACGGCGAGGCAGCGTTGCCACCCGGCACCATGTTGCCCATCCCCGAATGTTGCATGCCGGTCTTGTGCAGGTTTTGCATCGACTGCCTGTACTGCAGCTGCTGCACGTGCTGCACCTAAGCCGAGTATCAGCATCGTCTGGAAGGCCACACCCCACGAACCGCGAGCGCACTCACCTGCTGTGGCGTCATCGGATGGTTCATCATCCCGGGGCTCATGGTCGCGCCCAATGGCATCGTCAACGTGTTCGGCATCCCTGGCTGGCCCGGGAAGCCACCCATTGGCCGACCCACCATTCCGGGAATCATCTGGTGTGGGCCTACCGGCCCTCCTTGCTGCGATGGGTGCGGGAATGGTACCATGGGTGCCATCGGGGGTGGCTGCGGTTGTGGCTGATCGCCGTTCGCAGGCGATCGACGGACGCGCTTGCGGTCAGGAGGCGAAGCGTCGCTTCGGGGTAGTTGTTCAGGCTGAGTAGCAGTGTAGCAAAAGAAATGAAGGCACATCAACAACGCGCAGAGCACGATGATCAATAGACATACCTCTTGGCCAGGAGAAGTGCTACTTCGCTTGTTACCACGTTGCGGCTGCTGCTGTTGTTGAGGCGTCGATTGCAAAGGCTGGGCATTACGCTGTTGCATCGGGTGCTGCATTGGTGGCTGCATCGACGGTGTCGAGGGGCCCGCAGTCGCGTTCGTTGGCCCCGATGGGGGAGGACGTCCTGGTTGCCCTTGCCTCATCGCTCGTTGCCTAGCCGCAGCTATCATGCGTTGCTAATGGACAGAGAGAATTAGCCTCAGAATCGCACGCACACCACGACGACAATACCAACCTTATCCTCCGTTGTCAGCGACGGGTAATCCTTGTCAGCCAGTCCCACCTCCTCCTTGATCTGATTCAAAACCGCAGCGGGGATCCGGTTCAGCTCCTGGTTCACTTCATTCGCCAGGGCCTGCGCCGCCATGCCCGATGCCTGGCGGGCAGCGTTCATGGACGGGCTCCGCGCGATCGTATTCGGAGCAGGCGAGCCCGGCTGGCTCGGTGACCGCGCAAGACCCTGGAAGCTCATCTGCGGCGTCTGCTGGGCGGGGAGCATCGGGCCCTGGGGACCGTTCGGGGGCAGCATGCCACCGCGGGCCATCTGAACTTGCGGGACGCCAGGGACGCCCAGCTGCGCCATCGGCGGCGGGTTCGCGGGCTGCTGCTGCTGGCCTGCAGCGCCCAGATTTTGAGGGGAGTGAGACATTGTGGGGGAGGCGAAGGGCGCGACGCCGTTTGGCGCGCGCTGCGGGGGGGCGCCCGGGCGCTGGCCCTGCATCAAGTGCGGCTGGTGCATGTTGGGAGGTTGTGGTGGCGGTCCACCCGCCATGCCTGAAGGGCCGGGGATGCCATTCACCTGTGGCATGCCCGCAAAACTGACGTGCGGTTGAGTGCCGTTGGGCATGACTGATCCTGGGCCTGCTGGGAGACCGTTCGGGATCACACCGTTTGGCATGGGAGTTGGGCCCGGTGCGCCTGGCGGCCTTGATGTGCCGTTCATGTAGCGAGGTTGCTGAGGCTGTTGCTGGCCTGAGCGGGATCGATTGTCGCTGGGCAGCCTGTGCTGCTTGATGCTGTGGGATACCATCGTACGGCTGTCCGTCGCCGAGAGGGAGAGAACACATACCTGGGTGTAAAGGACTGCGTCCTCTGAACCTGCTCCACTGCTCTTTGCGGAGAACAATACCCAGAAGACACTCCACCATCTGATGCACGCGATCAGCGGTGTCGCCAGGCGAGACACAAAGAGCGCACTGACTCGAATAATAGACCTTGTTTTGCATTTATCGGGGGTTGGGCATCCGAGGCAAGCCCTGCTTCGTCCCTCAGAGCTTGGGCGGTCTTTATAAAGCCACGCTTTGAGCAATAATCAAAGATATAGATGTTGAACCTGCAGGTTGAGATGAATGAGAGACACGTAGTGCGGGGTAAAAGACGACACGCACATCCTCTCTCCGTCCCAGGTGATCGGTGGAGTTGGGGGAGGATCTGGAGGTCCGCCTGGCGGGGGAGCGATGGCAGCCATTGACTGTCGGGCTGGTTTAACGATGTCAGAATAAGACTAGTCTCCGAGCGCGCTGATTGACTGCGAGCTCGCGCAGAGGCGATATGAGATGGATTTGGTGCACGACGGGGGCGAGGAAGGGGGGTGCGAGGCGCGAGGTGTGAAAACAAGAGGCGATGAGGAGTGCGGGCGGTGGGTAAGAGATACAGCGGATATATGTTACAGAAGATGCTATATGTCGAGCTCGTCGTCTGAGACGGCGACGGGCGAGGTATATCTGATGATGAGATGCGAGGGCGAGTTGACGGGAAGGGACGAAGCTGGCGGGGAGCAGGCGAGAAGCACGAGGCGAGCGACCCCGATGGGAATCGTCGGCTCAGTCTGCCGCACCCACAAACTCAGCCGCGGCAACCAGCGACAACAAGCCACACCACAGACCACAGACAAAAAACATATCCAGAAAACATACACTATTACTATTCCGATTATTACTAGTCCTAGTCTACAGCCCTCAGGAGTCAGAGTCTTTAATGTCGTCGCACAACGGCAACCTGGAAATCCCACCCACCCAGGACGTACTTCACCTCGAGCAGCCGCTTGATCTCCCGCCAGCCCCCGCCCGCACCCACCTCGTCAATGTCGCGTCGGTCGGTCACCAGATGCACAAAGTCCGACGGCGACAGCAGCGAGCGCAGGAGCGACCCGATCAAGAACGCGATAACCGCCACGATAACCACCGTAGATAGTGGATACATCGTGTTCGCCACACCCCTTCGCATGAGCACACCCACTCGCCCTTGCCCCTCCTCCGCATGGGCCACCCCCGCGGCTGCATCTTCCTTTGCAGAGCGTGGCGTGCACGTTCCTGCTCCCGATGCGGGGTCCGCGCCGCCAGTCAGCTTCCGCGTCTGTGCAGCGAATCGCTGTAGCGGGTTCTGGTATGCGTTCAGAAACCGCAGAAGCCCACTGGCCGCGGAGTCAGGCGCCGGTGCCTCGGCCGGAGCGACAGCCACCTGCACATGCTGGTTATCTCAGTCCCGCAGCACTTCACCCGAGCAAACTGATCGCACTCACGCTCTCGCTGCCTTCCTCCCCGGGCTCCGGCGTCCCATGCGCGCTCTCCGGGTCCCCTGCCTCTGCCACGCTCGCCGCCTCCGCCTCCGGCACTGCCGCCCCCAGTAAGTGCTCCGCAATTGCGACCGGCACCTGCAGCTCCTCCGGCAACTCCTCCGTCTCCACGGGAGACCTGCATCGCCGATCAGTGTTCCGTGTCCTGATAAGATAACCGTCCAGGGAAGCGCTCACCCCGATAGCAGATCCATCCGGGACGCCCTGCTGTCCAACAGCTCCTCGCGCCCGAGCCCAGTCAGCGATTCCTTCTCCGAAAGAACTGTCACCGCCTTGCCGTCGACAGTTACCGTCGACGTCTTGTTGGCGCGCCCCGCGGGCGCTGGCACGATCTCGACAGAGATGATCACGCGGCCCTCTTCAATGTCCGAGAGCCACTGCGGCTTCGGCGGTGCGCTGCGCGTCTCACCTGTAAGTGGGTCCTGGAGCGTCGATACTTGGTACTGGGCCGTAGGGAGCGTGAGTCGCAACAAGTGCCGCGGCGGGCGGTCCGCGTTCAGCCCTGACGAATGCAGCGGCGACGGCGGCAGCGTGTAGACAGAGTAAGAAATCGGAAGGGAGTGGTCCGATAGTGTCTCATCGGTAGATAATGCGGGCAATGGAATAACTGCCTTCGTCTTTTCGATACGCGACTTCACTCGGACATCGTAGCCGTCAGGGTACAGTTTCGAGTCCACGATGAGTTCAGATACGAGGATATCAGTTGGGTGCCGCAGTTCACCTCTGGAAGTGAATATTGTCGGCGAGCGCACTGCATCTGGAGAACGCGAGCGACCAGCCGAGGACAGCTGGTCGTGGGGCGAAGCCGGGCGCTGTCCTTCACTAACAGCAGCCGGGGAACCTAGCGCGATCCTGCCGGCTTTGGGTGTCTTCTCGTTTGCGCTGGAAACCGCGGCTGGGGACAACAGCGCCGAGCTGTCGAGTAAGATGAAGCTGCGATACACCCGATCAGTAGGAATATATATCGTCGCGATTAACGCCCGGCTGGCGTCGCGGCGCCGCACCGTCCACGATTTAGGCAGAGGCTCGTCTTCCGTCGCAGGTGCGACCACAACCACCGCAGCAGGGAGCCTCATAGACGGTGGTGGCGACATGTTCTTTACATATGTCTCCACGGCCAATATGGACTTCGGCAGCATCCCGTTGATCATCGAATTCAGCGCGGCGGGGATCGAGCCGGCATAATCCACCGCGACAACGCGGGTGCATCGTGTGGACGGTATGGCATAGCTTTCCTTACCGTATGGATCAAGGGTCTCCAAGATCCAGCCGTCCACGAACACACGCCCGACGGGGAGCGCGTACGAGTTGTACTTGGACGAAGAGAACGACGAGACCGAATCCGGCGAGAACGAAGCCGAGACACAGAAAATGGCTGTGCGGTTCTCGCTCGACTGCTCCGACTCGCCCGTATTGCGACGCGGCGCGACGCTCTCCCGCGCGGTCAGCGATGCCAGGTAGAACCCGCGGTCGCGAAAGGGGAACCCACCCTTCATCACGACGAACCCAGTGTGCGAGTCCGCGCCGAACACCTCGAGGACATGCACAGAGTCGAAGCGGTTGTCCCAGTGCTTGCGGCAGTCGTAGCTGACTAGGACGGACGCGACCTCTTCGGCTGAGACACCCTCGATGACCTTCTCCCCTCTGTGTACCGGCACCACCGGCGAGATCTCTGGATCGAGCTTGCGATGGACGGGGAAGTCTCGCTCGCTAACTAAAGTCCAGTCGTCCGACACGGGTCGATTGTGAATGCTCTGGAGATACGACAGAGCTTCCAGCGCATACTGCATCGGAGGCTTGGTCGCTGACGGCACCGAGTCGGCCCCGGCCGCTATCGCGGGCGATATAGCTGCAACGGCCTGCTGCGTTGTTGTCGTCGCCTGCTCCACCGCATAGTTGAAAAACCTCGTGAACGACGTGGCGAACTTGGGCTGAGACGAGATGATGCCCTCCAGAGCCGTCGGTGAGACAGGTTTCTCGCTGCCATTCTCCGTGCTATCAGAATCCACCTCCGCGTTCCACTCTGCGTTGCGCCGCCGGATGACACTGAGGACGGGCGGCTGGTCCAGCGGGACGCGCGACGGCTTGACGCGCTTCTGCTTCGTTAGGTGCTTCACCTCACGCTCGGGCATATCTTCCACGTCCACGTCCACCTTCGAGCCGTTGACCATGACCAGCCCCTTCTCCTTCTGCACACCCACAGGTCCTCGGCGCACGATTGCAAGGAGACGCTCCTGGCCCGTGGTTACCACGTCGTGGGTTATAGTAAGCCACAAGCCACCTCCGCCAGATGACAACCGATGCCGGCGGAGGCACGAAGTGGACTGCGGTGGCGGGTCAACCACAATGTCTAGCGAGGACGCCCAGTTGTCCAGGTCACACCTGAGCTCGCACTCGATCACGGGCAGCACAGGCGAAGCGGGCGCGTCGTCCGTGTTCTTCACTTCCGAGCTCCTGCGGCTTGCAGACGCCTCGTACTCTATGCGGAAGCTGCCCCGGTCGTGGTCGTAGCGGATTCCGTTCGCCTTCGCGCCCTCTAACCGTGTCAGCACGGGAGGCCCGCCGCACTTGATCGCGAACTCTCCCACACCGGCGACAGCACCAATCATCTGCTGCGGAATGGACCCCTTGTTCGACCAGCCTTTGGGATCCGACTGTTCCAGGAGCGTAAGTTGGGTAGTAGTAGGCGAGAGCGCTTCAATGGCCCAGCCCTGTAGGTCAATCTGCATCCGGATGACATTCGGATCGGCAGGCGGTATGTGCGGGAAGAGGTTTGGGTCATCCGCGGAGAATGCAAACACGTGTATTGTAGTCGGTGATTTGTAGACAGTTTTGAGCACAACCGCATCTCTTCCGCTGAAAGTACAGATATTGAGTGACCATTCTCATGACGAGGTAGTTCCCGTTTCACGTACTTTGCCGGCCAAGCTGGCTTTGTCTTGTAGTGCCATAGTTCTGTGAGCTCATTGACATCCTCCACCAATATCCCATCCTCGTACAGCTTATCCCAGTACGCTCGTGCTCCTGGGGTCACAACAGCAGAATACAGATCCCACAAACCTAGACCCACAAATGTCGATTCAGCTCGATAGACAACCAGCGTAGGATCAATTGAGTCTAACTGAGCAATCGAGACACCCCGTGCTTCCGTGGCTAGAAGAATATCTTGAGCCAACACTTTCATTAATCAATGAGACAACATACTGCGTTTCCATTTCGCTTCTGGCTCCTGTAACAGTGACGAGAAATAGATGTAGTTGCGCTTCACTCGGGATAAAATGGACTTGTCCGCTACCGCCGTGCGTTCAGTCACTCTACGCATGAGTTGGGGTCTGTCTGGCAATGTAGATGACCTAGAAGCTGTCTCGACCGCGGTACTAAACGAAGACTGAGTATTGAAGCTGAGGTCAGCCGTGCTCGAGACATCTTGCAGCATCTGTTCGGAGATGAAGTAAGACGAAGGATCCCGTTCTTCTACTTCTTCTATTGGTTGCGGAATCCCATTGAGACGTATACCACTCGAGGGGCCTGATAGCTCTATCACAACTTTGACTTTCAAAACGGAGTGATCATTGGGGAGCGACGCGTGTTTGATGCCAAATACTACCTTCTCGTAATCATCGGACAAAGTTTCTGAGCTGCTCGAGGGCCCGCTCCGAGTCGCATGCACCGTCCACGGTAGCTGCGAAACCTGTTCCGATGAGGCTTTCGTCGCAATCTGTACGTCCCAGCCTGCAGACGCGGGTAACGCACATTCAATTGCACGTGTGAGCCGCCGATGTTCACGAATCGCGTGCAACTCTTCCAGACCCTGCTCGCTCGTGTGTACGGCATGTTCCTCGTCCTCGGGGACGATGGCATAGTCCAGAGTGAGTGCCTCCCGATCCAACGCAAATCGTATGCGCTCGACGGCCACGCCGTTCCCGTACCCGGTCAGCAACGGGATGCGCATACCCCTCTTCTTGACGCTCTTGAACAGTCCCACCATCATCGCGCTGAGTTGCTGCGCAAAACTCGAGGTGGAGCCGAAATTCCATATTAATCGAAAGTTATGCTGCCAGAAGCAGGTGATGCGCAACCGCGCGTTCTTGGTCGACTGCTCGCCCGGCGGCAGCACATGTTGTACACACCATGCGAACACTGGAAGCCGTCAGCGCATTATCTGCGTCAGCGCCAGCAGGACTTACGGGTCACGTCTGAGCGTACATAAGGGGGCGAGGGCCTCAGGTACGCCGGCTCGTCGGGAGAGCGCGGTAAAGAAGTAGAGATATCGATCAGCGTGGTAGCATCGTTGAACATCCGTGAGATTGTCACGGCGTCGCGGGGGCTAGCCAACGTTGAGACAGTAAGGGTAGGATGAGGAACACTACTCACTTGGCAGGCCATCCCACAGAGAAGTTCGTCTTTGCTATCCTGGTCGTTTGGTCGAACATTTCAACCAGATGCGCTCCTTCGACGGCGGGATCCCATTCCTTCCGTAACTCGGGCGTCGCCAGTACCGCTTTCCAGCACTCGAGCGACATCGGCTCTTCTCCCGTGGGCACATCTAGCACAGCTCTGTAGACATTCTCACCGGACTTGGCTGATTTGCGATGAAGCACAACGTCCGTCAACTCTGGGAAAGCAGATGCTCGTGCCTTCCCCTTTGGACTGGAGGGTCCATTCTCGCTTGGGACCGGCACCCGTTTCCACTCCTGCGATGACGAGGTAAGAAGCTGTCGGAAATAGGACTGCGCATCTTCCAAGGCAGTATACCACGACTGCCGCAATCTTCAATAGCGAGATTAGGCCATGGCACATAATAAGGGATGAGACTTTAGCTAACCCTGTTCCGTCCAGCATTTATGCGCCCCACAGTCCCAGATTCAACTGCTGATTGTACGCTGAAGAATAGAGTAAATTCAGCTGCTCTGGTAAACCGATTTGGTAGAAAAAGAGGGTGAAAAGACCACACCTTACTGCAGCGCAAGCCGTGCAGCAACAAGTCAGTCACGGTACCTTCTCGTCGCGCTCTGTGCGCACGTGCAACGTGTCGTCGCGAATCTCAAGTCTCGACTCACCTGGAGACTTCGGAGACCGGAGAGACAGCCGCACAAGAGGTACAGACAGGTCCTTCCAAAACCAGAGGCTGCCAACCCCCGTTGTCCACGCCCTTCAGCAATGCCTCACACTCTCCATAAATATCTGTTCCATCTGAATCGTATTCCCGACAGCATCTATTCAGTGCAGTCAATGGCGAGGGTCCACCCCTCCTCACTACAAAGTAGCAGATGGCTGGCAAGCAAAGTACAAATGGGGCACGGCACCACTGGCAGGCCGACGCATCAGTGAGCTCCATAGTTGAATAGAGCACAATGACCAATGGCGGGCCCCGCCAAAGATGCTGAGTCTTCTTCTCCCTTTGGGAGACTCCAATATATCTCCAATACATGTATTTTCTTTCTGCTCATCGCTACTTAGAAATAGACACCACGGCCCGCCACCCACCACCCACAATGAGTGCCTTCTTGCTCTCTGTTACATCCTAATTGTGAAACTACTAGAGTAAACCCGTGCTTCGCCACAGCACAGAGATGACAGCAGATGAGAACGACAATATTTTTAGTTTGGAGGAACAAGTTGCAAGTGTATCTGTGTTAGAAAGAGAAAACAGATGTGGACACTACTCGGAGATCCCCTACCTCATGTCTGGAATCTGTTGGTGCATACCCCCTAGTTGTTCCTGCTGCGAGTGGTAGAACAAGCAGTGATGACACTGATGAGACCGGCACTGATGATGACATGGTTAGCACAGAACGCATAACCCCTTTTTTCCCGAGGAAATAACTTGGAGAAATGCGTGGAAATCAATAAAGTTATACTGTGGGAAAAACATGAGGAAAAAACGCGTAAAAGAGCAAAGCATTTCCGCAGTTTTTCCACTGGAAATAAGTTGGTCAAATATGGTAATTTTGTCCGGGTTTTGGCATGTCCTGTCATGTCCAGCTGCCTGATATGGTAGGCAACTTCCAAGGGAAAAAACTGTGAGAATGTTTTGTTCTTTTCTCACTTTTTTCTCGAATTATTTCGTCTCAATATATATTATTGATTTCCATACTTTTTTCGAGGTTATTTCCAATGGATAAAAGTGGTAATGCTTCCTGTGATAAGAAGTTCGATCTTTGGCCAAAGATCGAACTTCTTATAGCATTTGCGGTAGTCCTGTAACAGGTCGGCCTTTAGACGCCGGAGTTCCGCTTCAGTCACGCGTTTCGGAAGATAGCGTGAAACTCTACAGTTGTTCCCAAGCCACAGATTCGACTGCCACGACCGGCTGTGTGTTTCGTCAGGGAGGACAAGCAGCAACAGGACCGACACCGACGACGACATGGTCAGTACTCTCCGTCATCGACCTTGTTGTTGGATTCATAGAGATCTATGCCATTGTTTAGGCTGACCAGAAGACTGCTCCCACCAATCCCATGAAGGAGCTTCGCATAGACAAGCTCGTTATCAGTGCGCACCCAACGATATACAACCTTCCCTTGCATCACTAAAGTGGCTTGTTCGACCGGCAGACATCTCTGTGGGCGAGTCTGGTGATCGTTTGACGCGAGCCTCGAAGGTACTCGAGCAGCTCACTGGACAAACACCAGTGACTTCGAAGGCACGCTACACCGTTCGCACGTTCGGTATTCGTCGCAACGAAAAGATCGCTGTGCACGTCACCATCCGCGGACCGAAGGCGGAGGAGATCCTCGAGCGCGGGCTGAAGGTCAAAGAGTACGAGCTCCGCCGCAGGAACTTCTCCGAGACCGGGAACTTCGGCTTTGGCATCCAGGAGCACATCGATCTTGGTGCGCGATACGACCCCGGTATTGGTATCTTCGGGATGGATTTCTTCGTCGTGATGGGTCGGCCAGGTGCGCGGGTAGCGAGGCGGAAGCAGAGGAAAGCGCGCATTGGTTCCCAGCATCGCGTCAAGAAGGAGGACACAATGGCGTGGTTCAAGCAGCGATTCGATGGTATCATTTTGGTGCGTCGATTTGTGGTCTGTCTGCTGCTTGCGGAAACTAACAAGATAAGTGTTACAGGCGAAGTAGCGGTTTCGTCCTACTTTATGACATTCGCTATGACCTATTGCCCACCATGTATTTCACCTGCACCTAAAATCATTTACCGCCATTTGAGGGTTAATTCTGCTTTCTATGGTGTATTTTTGGACACCCATGTCGTACGATCCATTGAAGAGGGGGACGGGGGCGGCGCAGACAGACGTACCTTTGGTTGGAGGTCTGATTAACCGCGAAGTATCATGAGTGACACTCCCTCTGCTTTTGTGCGGTGCAGCTGCCTCGCAGTTGACTTATCCAGAGCGGTCAGAGGACCTTCGATTTAGGTTAGGTAGGAAAAGGTGAATACTGAGCCATTCCGTGTCTGAATGTTCACTCATCGTCGGGCCTAAGCACAAGCTGTAGATTCAAGGTAGCGCCTACAGCCAGAAACTCTGCAGCGCAACGTCTATTATTACTGCGATTTGCGATTGCCCAAGCTGCCTTTGTGGAAATGTGGTGTTCACGTTGCTTTGTCGGCACCGCTGTCCCATTGAGGGAGGGAGTCAGCAGCACTATTCAGATCCGTGCGTGTAGTATATGATGCATCGATGCCTTGATCGGTTGGAGAGCATGATTAGGATGCTTGGACATGCTTCATCTTCTTTGTGTTCTAGATCTATCGCATGCGGCAATCAATCTCAAATAGTAGCTTGGAAGGTAAGTGCTCTCTATGTGTTTGGTCGTCAGCTGTCTGGTCTCTTGGGCAATGAGAATTTACTCAGGACGAAGCGTGCAAAGGTCTTACTTGGGCTGTATCTTCACACAGCGCGAAAGCAAGGCTCTGGCTGTCGGAATCATCTCGCATCGCAGGGCCATTGCACGTACTTGGTATCGATGCTATCCTGTTGCGGTCGACAATCCTCCCTATTGAAGAGCTTCCTTCACTCGCTATCGTCGCGTCCATCGATGGTCCCAGGTTGCTCGTTTCATCAATCGAGTTTCTGATGTATGCCTGGGTGCGCTGCACGAACACATGCTAGTCGTTCTCGAACGCAGCGCATACCTTCGGATCCGTGCGAATGATGCAGTAGTGGGCGGCACCAGAAGCTCCCGCAGAGGCTTCGGGTTTTCCTGTGCGTCTGCGGCGTTTCACACGATGTGATCTCGAGTTTCTCATGCGCGAGATTTGCGCTTTCAGCTGGCCGCTCAGTGACGAGGGTCTGCGAGTATAAAGTAGCTATCTGAGGTGACGCCAGGGCCTTTATCACTACCATTGTCCCGATACTGTCGTCAAAATGCCCGTATCCCTGACGAAGGAAAGCGACGTCGACGTACTTGTCATCGGTGCCGGACCCGCGGGGCTCATGTGCGCCAATGCGCTGGGCCGTGCTAACATAAACGTTCGGATTATTGACCAGAGGTCAGTGTGCTTGTAATTTACTGTTTGCGATGACTGGACAAATATCGTGCGTTAGGCCTATTTCTGTCGCGGCGGGACAGGCAGATGGGATTCAGCCTCGAATCATGGAGGTCTTCCAGGTGATACAGTAGATTGAGGAGCGGAGGACAGCCATCTCATCATGTGAAATGAACGACAGAGCTATGGCATGAACGACCGTCTGCTCCGGGAGGCTGCTCATGTTCATATGGCTGTGAGTGCCTTGCTTTCAATGGCATCAGAATGCTGATTAAGTCTTGCTGAAGGCTTTTTACAATCCTGGCCCGAACGGTGGCATCGAGGTGAGTGTACACTTGCACAATGTTCACGACTACACTGAAGCGCGCTTTCGCAGCGAACAGGTCGAGCTTCAGATGTCACAGCGCCAACAGCACGTTATCCCTTCGAGGTTTCCATCCCCATGTCAACCAGATGACGAATTTATCGACTGACTTGACATTCCGTTCAAGGTTGCGTTGCACCAAGGCGGCATCGAGTCTATTTTTTTGGACTCAATGGCTGCTGCTGGTGTCACGGTTGAGAGACCTGTGGTACCAATCTCGATTGAATTATCCAACAATGAGGCCGAGCTGAAAGATCCCAAATCCCACCCTGTGAAGGTACTCAACCCTCGCCCTTTCGTGGCAAGCACACGCTGAACTTTGCATACTTCAGGTAATATTGAAGCATTTAGACGCCGTAGAAGGCCAGGGAGACGTGGAAGTCGTCTATGCGAATTTTGTGCTCGGAGCAGACGGTAATCTAGCCATCTCCCGGGGTGAGAAGGGAGCACTGATAGTGCGTACTCCGCAGGTGCACACTCGTGGGTGCGCAGGAACTTCGGTATCGAGATGGAAGGCGAGCAGACAGGTTCGTGCGAACCAAAGTGTTCCCTGTTGTGCGACTCCCACTGAAACGCAATCTCTGCAATCTAGACTACATTTGGGGCGTCGTCGACCTTGTCCCTGATACGGACTTCCCGGACATCCGCAATCGCTGTGCGATTCACTCCCACAATGGCTCGTGCATGATCATCCCGCGCGAGGGTGACCGTGTCCGCCTGTATATTCAACTGACAGACAAAGACATGGTCGATCCTGCAAGTGGGAGAGTGGACAAGAACAGAATGGGACCTAAGGAACTACTAGCAGTCGCCCAGAAGTCGATGCATCCGTTCAGGATATCGACTTCGCAGGATGTTCACTGGTGGACCTTGTACATCAGTACGCAACTCATTGGCCTTCTTCACGATGATCAGATATGTGATACCTGCGTGCTCAGTTGGACAGCGTGTCGCAACACAGTATTCCGTCCACGAGCGTGTCTTCATTGCGGGCGATGCTTGCCATACTCACTCGCCGAAAGCAGGTATGAGATACTGCATTTCCTTTGGTATATTCTCACATCGTCGCGGTCGATAGGACAAGGCATGAATGCTAGCATGAACGATACTCACAACCTAGGTAGGTTCAATACTCAAGAGAGACGGTTGGGCTCTCCCTCATCACCGTTGAGTGCCTAGCATGGAAACTGGCGTACGTCCTCCGAGGATGGGCCAATCTGTCGTTGCTGAAGACCGTGAGTTCTCGTGCGTCCTCTTGAGGGCCGTCCTGACCGATCGCTACTTCAGTACGAGTCTGAACGTCGGAAGTTCGCGCAAGAACTAATTGAATTTGACAAGCTGTTCTCTGCCCAGTTCTCTACCAAGCCTCGTACGGACGAGGGTGAGGATGGTGTCTCACATGAGGAATTTTTGAAGTACCACTCTTCGTCATTCTTCTGCGTAGGACGGTCTCATTGATCTACTTCCGCAGGACATTCCAAACCTTCGGTGGCTTCACCAGTGGTATAGGAGTCCACTACGGACCCTCAGCTTTAGTCAACACCACACATCAAGCATCTGCGAGCAAGCTCATTATTGGAGAAAGAATGCTTCCCCATGTCTTCATCCGTGCGGCGGATGCCCGGCCTATGGAACTGCAGGACCTTCTCCCGGCAGATACTCGCTACAAGGTTATCATCTTTGCTGGTGATACCAATAACAAGCTTCAGCTTAAGCGTGCGAAGGCCTTAGCGACGGAGATGGACCAGCCACACTCGTTTCTCAAGCGTTTCGCTCAGGGTCATATCGGCGCCGTGTTCGACGTGATATCTGTCACCTCGGGAAACAAGATGGATGTGGACTACACTGATATGCCGGAGCTGTTCAGACCGCACTGGTCGAAGTAAGTTCCGCTGTCACGTACGAAAGAATGTGCACTGAGACATTGTTAGGGTCCTCGTCGACGATACTGACATGTACAACAGGTCTGGTGCCGGCGGGGGATATGAGTACTATGGTATCGATCCGGAGGGTGCTATTGTCATCGTCCGACCAGACGGATATGTTGGCATGGTAGCTCCATTCGATCATCTTGAGGATGTCACCGACTACTTTGCGTCGTTCATGTTGACGCCGTAACAGCGGATTCTTCTAGACTTATAGCAACAAGACTTATCTTTCTCTGTTGTATCTAGAGGAGGCATGCTGATTGTTGCATTGGAATCCTTCCGTAATACATATGTAACGACCATAGAGAACTAACGATGGTACCAGAGAACGGTGGGCATGACCATAGCAAATTGTATCACCAACACGGTGATGGCATACATCAGCCCTTCCATCCAGGTCCTACAGGGGCAGCCTCCGCGCTATCGATTGGGACTCGCCTGGCACCTCCCTTGCCTTGAGGTAACTTATTAATGGTGAACCTGGTCCGAGCGGATACTACTGAAGGTTTTGGAGGGGGTCTAGCTGTCTTCTTCTCATCTCGGACAAGAGGAGTAGCTTTCACCGTTGTGCCCGAGGTACTGGATTTCGCCCGCTTGATGTTTTCCTTTTCACCGGGAATGACTGTTCCTCGAGATGCAGCAGAAACCTCTGCGCGCGCTTTCCCCTTCCCTTTTGCCACTGCCTGTCGCACTGCGGCGTGGACAGATTTGGGCTCAGCGGCATTCCGCTCGGCCCTTTTCTCCCTTAGAGGACTCTCGTCGTCATCGTCGTCAGCAATGCCCAGCTCTGCAGCGAGGCTCATAGCCGGTGGTAGTGCCACAGTGACAGGTGTAATGGCTGCCGGTGTAGGAGATACTTCGAGATCGTCGTCCTCTTCCTCCGCGAGAGAGCCTAGCCGAGGAACGTCCGTTTCTGGACTGTCTGGAGAGTTTGCGAGCAGCAGGATTCGGCTTAGAGGACTGGGCTTTACGGGAGAGTAGGCATGCACCATGTGTGGAACGAGCGGCTTCGCCATGGGGAAGGGCCGACGGAGGATAGGCGTGCTGGGGATCGCTGTAGGGGACACAGGTACAGGAGAAGTTGCGGAGGAGATTTGTTGTGCCTTTTCATCTAAATTCTCGTCAGACGGCGAGGCAGGCGTAGCAAGGGCGGACTGATTCTGGGGTATATCTAGCCTAGGAAGAGGGGGTATCAACGAGGATGGAAGTTTATTGGCCTGAGGTAAGGCGGCCTCGGGCGATGGAGGAGGCAGGACGAATGCCGGTGCGTGAAGCGGGGCTTGCGGGTGCGCCAGCGCGATGCTCGTCTTGAAATTAGGCAGCTGCTTCGGTGATGACGGGATCACCTCCGTCTCGAATGGCGGGGACACCTTCTTCGGAGAGACCCGTCCTAAGCCCACGCCGAAGCCAGAGGATCGACGCGATACGCGAATCTTCTTTCCGCTGCCCGGCTTCCCGACAGCCAGGGCGCCTTTGGGCTTGTGAAGCGACTTCCGCGGAGATCTTCGAGGAGATCGAGGAGCAGCAGTTTGAACTGATGGCGGAGCTGCTACAGCCGGTTCCGACGATGGCCCTGGTGTTGGCGGCAGTTCTGCAAGCATCATATCTACTTGCCACGAACGCTTTTCTTCCAGGAATTTGATGCGTTCAGCCTGTAAAAGATGAGAATAAATTTTGCAAGTGGAAAAAATCAGCTACCGACCTCTAGCGCAGCCTTCTCCTTTCCAAGCCGCACCGCTGCCTCCGTGAACTTCTTGCGCTCTTCGTCGAGCACTTTGAAACGCAGCTCTAACCGCTGTCGCTCTTCATCTCGTGCAGGCGCAGTCATCAAGTCAACACTGATTTCGCCAATGTCTTCCTGATTGATTCTCTTGTCTTGAGTGAAGTGGTCGAACAGCGTTTGAATCTCAGATGCATAGGCTGACGATTGCTTCTGTGCTTGTTCTGTGGCGACAATTAGTCTCGCGTAAGAATGGATATTAACATTAGGAAGTAACATACCAAGCTCTGCGTGCAGCGTGTCGATAACTGCCTGAAAACGCTCAGTTTCTGCGGAGTCGTTGGGCTTCGCTTCGTTTATGGGAGTACTGGAAGGAGTTGATGTGCTCGATGGCTTCGATAACCGCGTGATGGACTCTCTAAGAGAAGTCAACAGTAAGCTGAGTTTGTCTCCAGCTGCCTCTGTCGGTGAGATCGGGAAGAGAGTGGTGAGGGTAAGCGGTAAGGGCTACCGATTAGTTAGCAATAGCTAGACCTGTCCAATGTCACAACAGACCTCGTCTTCACCCTCCGACGACACACAATTGCGTGCGGCATGCTGGATACTTTGTATCTCGTTGGCAGTAGACAGGATAACCCTCCTGAGCTTCCTGTTCTGATCAAATAGCTCCTTCCGTGCCTGCTGCGCCTCCTCTAATGCAGTCTCCAATAATCCCTGGCCCTTTCCCCTCAGCGGCACGTCCGACGCATCTACCACATCGAAGTTGGCAGATCTGATGCCGCCGTTGCTGGTGGCGGCCTTCAACTGTGAATCAGAAATCTTACTCCACCTCTCGACCATGCGCTCCTTCTCCTTGTCCAGTTTTTTGATCTCGGTCTGGTGTGCTGTGCGTATGGCCTGCAGTGACGTACGAGTGCGCTGCAATTCAGCCGTCGTGTGCTTGTGCGCGACCTCGGTGGACTGAAGGTTGCGCGTAGCTGCTGCCAGACGAGACTTGTGGAGATTCATTTCTCGTTCTGCGTGGGCAGCTCTCTCCGTGGCGGCTTGATACATGGACATGAGGCGTTCATTATCGTAAGACATGGTCCTAATCTTTGTTGTCAAGTCTTCTGTCCTAGACATATCGTTCTTTCGCACCATGAGCCAGACCCGGATTAAAACAAGTGAACAGAAGTCACCACTCGTTGGCTCAACATTCCGAGCAGACATTTCACGACCTTATTCGCGTCGTCCTTTCCTAACCCTTCCAAAGATAGTCCAGGATTCTCCGTATAGCCATGAGCGATAAGCTGAGAGTTGATATACTGCACGCTCGAAGTCGAGGAGATAGAGTCCGACGACGTTGCCTCGGAGAAAGGAGAGCCAAATTCAGAAAGCGAGACGTCCAGTGTCCAGTGGACCAGTTTCTTTGGTGTCGCAGTCATGCTGCATGGGCTCATGCAGGTCTTCTGTGCCAAATCACAGAGCATCCAAGCTATCTGACCACCAATGTAGTGATATTCGTAGTTGTAGTCGTATTGAACCGAAGGATACGCGACGCGGTCATGTGATCTTCACAAATGCTCCGATATTTAAAATTATTTATTATTTAAAGCGAGACAACCTCGTACTAACGTTGTTGTTCGCGGTGTCTCCGCCGTGTCTCATATTACATAGAGAGCCGCATTGCGGTCCTCCACAGCTGCAGATGGCTTTAAACGAGAAGCTCAACAGTTTCTGAATCAGTGCCATCTAGCACCGCATACGGTATCACGCGCTCACCTATTGTTCCTTATATGTGAAGGCAACCGGAGTTGCCAAGTTACTCTTCCTCGTTCAACTCCCTCCTCGCCATATATCGAAACATGCCACGTCAACTGAGAAAAAGAGGCCGAGAGAGCTGTGGGGAACTGCAGACGGAGTCCACGAAGCGTCCCCGGCGTACGTGCAAGGCTGCAACATCCACCCCCAACTCATCCCCGTTGACCGCGGAAGTCGAAGACGCAACTCGTCGCAACTCATCCACCCTCTTGACGCAACTTCCTTTAGAATTAATACTTGAGGCATGTATTCTGCATGCTGCACGGCGACCGCTAAATTGATGTCTTGAACAGATTTGCTCTCTCCTGCGGCCCCTTGATCTTCTGCAATTGGCACGCGCGAGCAAGCCCTTTAGAAGTACTCTCATGAATCCGTCATCGAAACCTTCGTGGAAGGCCGCCCGGATGAATGTCGACACATTCCCGGTCACCATTCCCTTTCCCGACTGCCCACCTTGCCTGAGCGAGCCTCTATATGCTGCTCTGATGTTCGACAATCTTTGCATGTGCTGTGGAGAAGCCTGTGGCTACGACGACGTCTTGTGGACTTTCTTCGTACGCTACTGCCCCTCGTGCAGAGACCTCAGGTAGGTCCTTCTGTCGTGTTAACCGTCAGCGCGCTCACGAATACCGTGACGCTTCGCAGGCTCGCTACCGCACGTGACATAGACAAGGATACTTATTTCTCATTTGCACACTGGAACGCCTGCGCCCACACCGTAGGTATGTTGTCGTGTAATTTTAAGTAGACGTCATAATTCAGCCTGTATAGTCAAACGTTCAAGGAGGTATGAAACCGTGTACCACCGCCCAGAGATCAGCCACGTGGAGTCGCTCCTTGCAGAAACCAAAAACGTGGAAGAACGTCAAGCACTGACGGTAGAGCTCGTGCAGAATTTGTCCGATCAACGAAAGGTGACTCCTTGTGCCCCTATTGCTTGCTGCTCCTCTGATATGTTGTTTTCTCAGCATGTGGAAATCTGTGAGAATTGGTTCCACCGCATGAGCAGCGAGTGCAAGCAACAGAGACTTAATGCGTGAGCATTCCATATCCGTGTATCCATTCGCACTAAGGTCTCGTTTTGGCTAGGGTTATGTCACATTTAAAAAAGTTGGGGTATGAGCCAGATATAAGGTATCTGAACTCCATGTACAAGCCATTGTCAACCCATCCACTGGTGTGCATTCGTGAAGGATTGAGAAATGAAGGTCAGTTGCCAGTGCTCTGGTTTATTACATCTCACCGGCCAATTCGCACGCAGGATGGGAGCAAATCCGGCCTGCCATCATCGAGTTCATGGAAGAACGGAAGGTGAACCGTATGGGGTGGGAGCGAGTATATGCGCTGAGGGACCGCCTCGATGTCCTCGACGCGGCTCTGATCAAAATTCGGGTCAAGGCGGCCGCCACAGAAGTGCTGCCGCACTCGATCGATGTCGTGGCCTACCCCGAAATTGAGAGTTTGCTCACTGGCGATAAGAGCCTTTCAGAATCAATCTTTACGGATGCGCTAAAGGAAGTGATTCCCCGTTGGCTTCGGGACGTCGACAAAGAACTCGCGGAGCACTTCAAGCCCGCCAGCTACGTTCCTCTTAACGACGAGCATTCTCGACGAAAATCTGGCCCGGCGACAGTAGAGCTGGCAAGAACCGTCTTCAAGTGTTCGTGCGGTGAGATCCGCTTTTGGCCTACAGTGGCTTGTCACAAGCATCATTGCGAGAAAGAACGTGCGCGGGATTACCAAGGCCCTGACGTCCGCTCTAAGACATATACCGGGAAGATATATCCGGTCGGTATGCCCCTGCTGGATGCCGCCGCTGGTGGGCGGTACTTCCCCATCGAGCCGTGGAGGCCTGACTGGTTCACACTGTGTGATGACCAAGTGAAGCATGTATTCAAAGCCTGTGGGAAAGACCCCGCAACTACTACGTGTGACGACATGGATAGGCTTGATGTGAGGTTCTCATGCAAGACATGCAACAAGCCAGGACGGTCGATCGTTATCATGCATTGGCGGACCGCAGTACGTGTTTTTTTTTGACCCTTTACTGTCGAGCTTATGTCGCTTTGGCTCCCAGATTTATCATTGCCTAACAGAACATCAATACGCATCTTCTGCAACCGCTTGGGAGGTCGTGGATGCGCCGCAGGCTGCAGAATCCAAACGGCTGGAGAACGCACGAAAGGGCAAACTTCTGCAAGAATACGACGCAGAGACTCTCTGGCAATGCGCGCGTTGTCTCTTCGGCACAAGGAAGACTGGGATGTCCGACGAGTCACTGTCCCAGAGTGAGATGTTGAAGCATCTGCGATACCAGTGCGCGCACCACCTCTTGCTGTTCCTTGTTCCTCAGCTGACCAGTAAACCTCCCGACCCACTGCAGCCATAGGATCCGTCAACAGTCTGCGTACGAAATGATCGCAGATCGCGATCGCCTGTCGCGTTTGACGCCTCCAGTACGACTTTTCTCGGACAAGCTCTCGGCGCGCGATCTTCGTCCTGCCGAGGACGACATGCTAATAGACGGTCGTGCAGCGTTCTTTGCGTTCCCCGCTGAAAACGCTGGTACCGGTCGCGCAACGGCCACACGGACGTCTTCGAGGACGGCTGCGAAGCAACGTCGCGGCTGATCATATCTGTGGTGGCACTATGCCGGCGGTCGCGAATTTGATGGAACAGCCTTGTCCCGACAAATAAACGGGAACTATATATGTACTTGTTTGTTGCGGTACTGACTTACAGTTAAGTTGAAAACGATACACAATTTCGACGAAACTCGTTTCATCATTTTCTGTTCGGAGTGCCTCAGATAGTCTGCTCTGGACGGAAATTCTAGCTGCGGATTGGCCTACCCCCTTTGATTTTCACGCATGACCACACGAATTTGCTGTTTCGGGATAAATCATAAGCAATGTACCTGAAGTAAGTTTCGGAATGCGTCTCTCGTTTCCGACTTAGCTGTAACACGAATGACACCTTTTGGTACGTCAATTCCATCACGGGAGAATCCTCAGACAGGTTTTTCGCATCCCTGGAACTCGACATGATCATCGGCCAACTAGTCACTCTCACCACAGTAAGCGCTCCTGATGTACTGGCATTGGCCCATCACTTGGCTAATTCTGGCTAATAATCCTACCCCTGGGAGGAGAGCGAGCTGGCAAGTGAGCACAAGAATTGAGAAGCCCTTATATACACACACCATCACTTCCTCCTCGGTCGCTATTAGAAAAATTCGAACATGAAAACATGTTTCAACTGAGGCCCTCGCACATACCACCATGCAGAAATGCGATCTCATCAGGTTTCAGGCGGACTAAATGAAGTCCGTTTATTGCAGAGCCCATGGGAGATCGAAGGTGTTTCAAGTTGGTACCGTAGGTACGGTTGGCATCAATACAACCTTATTCTGATGACATTTCGCCAGGCTCCATGTAATCTGTGATTCACTACGGGGAGGAGCCATCGAATGCAATATAAGTGCAGCATGTATTCGCGGTGGTGCTTCAGCGCACCACCATGGTCAACATTTTCCTCCTCGCCCTTGCGGGAAGCGTACCGTTCGTCGGGGCTGCCGTCACCATCGACCTCAATCGCGTCCAGGGCAGAACAGGCTCGTACCTCAAAGGGCTCCCTTCTGCTGACCGCTCGCGCGCCATCTTCCTGAAAAACAAAGGTTACTGTGACTCTGGTAGCACTGTCCACGCGACTCAGCTCGACTATGTGGAATATACAATCACCATCGGGGTTGGCTCGCCGTCAACGGAGTACAACGTCGGCTTAGACTCGGGTAGCTCCAACACGTTCGTTGGGTAAGTGGTATACCCTTCTCGAGATCAGCGTTAATAAAGTAATAACTCGGGTCCTTCCACGTAGGACTGGAATACCGTATGTTCGCACCAACACTAGCATCCCTACCGGAGAACAGGTCAATGTAACATACGGAACTGGTTTCTTCACGGGTGACGAATGTGCGTGCCATGTAGCTGCTCTCTGTCGACTAGTTTATTGACCGCGGGGTGCACTGAACAGACCTTGACCAAGTTACAATTGCACCCGGGATCGTGATCGCAAACCAGTCCATCGGCGACGCCCTGCAATCATCCGGCTTTGAGTACGTTCAGTCAGAGTCAACTCGGTATCCACTTCGTCTCACGCGATGAACACCAGGGGTACAGATGGGCTGATTGGTGTCGGTCCTAAAAGCAACACAAATGATACGCTGTTCCCAAACACGACGGAGCTTATCCCAACAGTTATGGACAATGCCCTGCAGCAAGGCCTCATTGACACCGAAGTCCTCGGAATTTACTTTGCTCCGGCAACGAATGAGAGCGACAATAGTAAGTTGGTATTCCAATGCAGTCTCGCGTTTATTTCCGCTTAACCTCGAGTTTAAGATGGAGCCATGACACTCGGCGGTGTCGATTCAGAATATGTGAGTGGCTGTCTCTTTCTCACGCCCGATTATGCCTCCAACAACGACATCGTGATGCGATAGTACTTGGGAAAGGTCATGTACACTCCTGTCACGGATACATTCCCATCAAACCTATACTGGGGTATCAACATCACCGGAGCGACCTACGGCTTTGAGACCATCATACCTAGCTCCTCTGCGGGCATCGTCGACACGGGAACAACGCGTATGACCGCTTCCTTCTAAGTTGCACTAAAGTCGCTTATTCATCCCTCACATAGTGGTTTACCTCGCAAATGAGTGGTTCGACAGTTATCTAGCCGCGATACCAGGCAGCTATTTCGATGCCAATAACACCGGCCTCATCGTGATCCCGGAGTCGTCCGTCGATACCCTTCTCCCTCTGGAGTTCGAGATCGGCGGCGTTGTCTACACGCTGACCGCCACCGCGCAGCTTCTGCCGAAAGACCAGAATACTGCCTGGGGCGGTGAGGAAGACTTGCGGTACGGCTACATCGGGCCTATAGGCTACGTAAGTGGCACTGGAATGGACTTCATTCTGGGCATGAAGTTCCTGCAGCGCTATTATTCGGTACGCGCAGTATATTCCGGAAGTTGAATGCGAACTAAAACGTATGCCCTTCTCTCCCCCTTTCTCATAGGTGTTCGATACGACAAATAACCGAGTCGGATTTGCATACACGTAAGTCACCTCAGTCTCTTTTTTGCCGCGCTTGTACTGATGTTCGAATTCGGCATCTAGTGCTAATACATTCAGTTTATTGTGAAGTTGATCACTACTACTCACTCGGCTGTTAGGCCACGGGTCACAAGCGCATGAGGGGCTCATGCGGTTGGGGCCATATATTTATACTACACAGTATCTACGAGATCCCAGTATGTTCTCCAACCTATGTGCTGACTAATAGATGTTTCCTGATTGAGAAATCACCAGCCCCCGTAGTGTTGCGTACGACCATGAGTATGGTCTCTAGACAGAGCTTGGACACCCCCTTCCCATAAAATCGCACCCTGTATACTGGGAACAGCAGCGAAAACATTCAATGTACAGTGAGTAAAATTGCTGCGAAAATACCATCGAAGAAATGTCAGTGGGTCCCAACGATGGAGTCAACCACTGATAGCGAACATCGCGCGTCCCTCAGGCTGACATTGATCGCCAATCGCACAGGGCGGTTCCGCGTCAGCGTCGTCGTTGGAGAGGACGAGCAAGGGTGGGCCGCCTCTGTGCTATCCCTTTTGTTCTCTGTGTCAAGATGCCCACTTGATACAAGCTTTTTCACAAGGACGGGACACCACTTCTCGACGCGGTAGGCGATGAGCGGCACGCGATGGACGACATCGGACACAGCGACCCACGCTAGCGCCCGGCCGATGCATATGCCCTCACTGAGCCTGACAGCAGACCCACTGCAGGAGACCGCTGTTCAACGTAACGTTGACAAGGTGAGCGTGTTCGATTTTTTCGGAGCCACCAGCCACTTAATTGGGATTAGTCTATTCAGAAACCCGGTTTACGCGGAAACCCCCCCCTCGCCGCGTTGGTTTTGGTGGAATTTTTCACTTGTCAACCAATATTTAAGCGGAATCTTGGCACGGCGATGCTACGTGACCTTGCGTTGCGCATGTAATGGACGTACGACAGATGCGGCGCCGGCATCCGTTACCGTAATATACTAGTTTTCTATGCAGGTGGATACAGGCGTTGACTAGGACTTGCCATACTTATTACCTTTTTGGGTTTGCAGGTGGCGTTACGCTGACACCAGCGGAGCTCCAAAAGAACGTTGTGCCACCTCAAACTGCCTGGATCATTTCAAGTCGTATTAATACTGTCCGGGGCACCGTCAGTACTTACCAGTCTGTCATCCAGAGTTGCTCTCATGCATCACGATTGCCTGAAATTGAATTCTCCTGACGTGGTGTGCGATCGCCACGTTTTCTCTTAAAGGTTGAACGTTACACGTTGAGGGTGAGGAGAGCTAGCTGTCTTCTCTATGGTTTCATTGATAGACTGTCTCCTGTGCGCCTTCGCCACTGCGCTCCTATTGTTCTGGCGCGGCCGCAAGACTACTCTGCCTCTCCCACCAGGTCCTCCAGCAGATCCAATCATTGGCCATTTACGCGTGTTCTCTCCCGCCCACCAACATCTGCTCTTCCAGAACTGGGCTGCGCAGTACGGTCAGGATTAACTCTGTCGTCGTCGCAAACATCCTAGCTGATCAAATTTGCCCTTGTGCAGGAGATATATTCCATCTGAACATCTTAGGCCAACCGCTGATAGTACTGAACTCCGTGGAAGTCGCGACCGACCTTCTAGAGAAGCGGGGCACCAACTACAGCGATAGGCCAACATGCACTACCTTCGAACTGTACGTGTAGCGGTCGTATCCTGCAGTTCATGCTTGACGCAGGACAAAGGATGGGCTGGCATGCCGACCTTGCCCTCATGCCGTATGGGCCGCGATGGAGGAAGCACAGGAAGATGTTACAGGAGTACTTCAACCCCACCCAGTGTCTCAGTTATATTCGGGATCAAGCACAAGAAGCGCACGATCTGCTCAAGGCGCTGCTGAGGGCCCCTGAGCAATTTGTGAAATGTACCAAGAGGTGCGAATGCGATCTTCTCGATGTTTTATCCGGCCGCAGTCTTAGTACTTACCACGTCCTTTGCAGTTATACTCTATCAAGCATCATGAGGATCGCGTACGGTCATCGGGTACTGAACTACGACAACGACGTGTACATTGAACTTGCAGTGGGAGCCATGCACGCTTTAGACGAGGCTGCTGCAGGGATATCCCTGCTAGATCTCTTCCCATCACGTATGTCTTGCTTCTATTCATGATCATGATACCTAAGCATCAATTGAACCACTTTTTTGCGATACCAGTGCAGCATGTTCCCCATTGGTTTCCTGGGTTTTCATTTTTGACCGCTATACCCCGGCGCTTTAGGCCCATCACCAGGCGGCTGCACGAGTATCCGTTCGAGGATGTGCGGAAGCAGATGGTTCTCCTCATATCTGGCGCTCTGTAGTGCTGATTCGCTGACATATGTTCACCATTCCGTGCAGGAGATCGGTGTTGCGCAACCGTCGTTCGTTTCCTCTCATCTGGAGCACCTTGGCTCGACATGTGTCAGCGATGAGGAGCTTGAAGACGTCAAGGGCGCTGCCGCTCTGATCGCTACAGGCAGGTCTTAATTGAAAATGTCTCATCACCAGGCTAACTAATAACACAGTGGGTTTTGACACGGTTAGCGTCCAGCAGTTGCAATGAGGGTGTATCAGCTGACAGCAGTCTAGACTTGGACACTCATCCAGATGTTTATTTTCACAATGCTGCTATTCCCCGAGGCGCAACGTAAGGCGCAATCGGAGATTGACCGAGTCGTGGGGCTGGGACGGCTCCCGTGCTCCAGTGATCGCGGTGCGTTGCCGTTTGTGGAGTGCGTTCTGCAGGAGACGATGAGGTAGGCATCGCTTGAGCGGCCTTTTCACACGCAGAAACTGATAGTGTGTGCATTACAGATGGCACCCTGTTGCGCCTTTTGGTTGGTAGCCACTTTTGGCGGCAGGTCTTGTATTCGACTCAATATCGATGTGTAGGTGTTGCGCATAAGTCCCGCGACGAGGACGAGTACAAGGGGATGCTGATACCCAAGGGATCAATTATCATACCCAATGTAATGTGAGTGCGCTGCGGGGCTATCAATTGTCCACTCTTATCTCCCTGGTTTCGTATCTCAGCGCGATGAGTCGCGATGAGAGGATCTACAAGGACGCAGATTCGTTCTATCCAGAACGCTTCCTTCCCACCCCTGCAGGACGCGGCGAGCCGCATTTCAGCGCTGGCTTCGGATTCGGCCGGCGGTATGTGCTCTCAATTTCATAGACGTTTGCGCGGTTTATCTGACGGCGTCCCATAGGATCTGCCCCGGTCGTCACTTCGCGAATAACAGCGCATGGCTTGTTGTAGCGAGCATCCTTGCTACATTCGATATTACCAAAGCTGTAAGGGAAGATGGGAGTGTGATTGAGCCCAAAGTAGAGTTTACAATGAATGGTCAAGTCAGGTGTGTGTTCGGCGACTTGCATCTACGTGAATATACATTTTGACTCGGCGCATACAGCCGACCACTGCCGTTTAAATGTACTATTCGACCACGCTCGGAGGAGGCGAAGGAGCTGATCAACCGGCCTTCGGATTAATTCGTGCTGAAATGCTGGCGCAGAACCACCGCTATATGCTGAACGGTCTCTTTCGGCTCATTGTCTTTCATCCCCAGGTGTCAATACTAGTCGAGCATAATCGTTCGAGTGTGTTAATCCACCACGATCTGGGGAGGCGGAGGTGCTCATTGTGCAGAAGGTGTCGCAGACTCGTCAGCTGAGCGATGTATATATAGAGTTGATTTCTTGTTGACCGAGAGGACGCTTACCCCAATAGATCGATGACCACGTTGTTTGAACTCGTCTGTTTGGGGTGTGGCAGATGTATCTAGTCCATTGACATTCTACGGCGAAGGTTCATTGTGCAATACTCTAACAGGCGTGCAACCAAACCTGTTGGAGAATTAAGGAATATAGGAGCAAGAGGTTTTGAATACTTGGAGTTCGTGCTCACGAGCCTGCCGCTGCACATACGTCGACTCTGATCATGAACTTCAGCGCCAGTGCTTCAGGACTTCAGCGTAGTTAGACGCGGGAACAAACATTCTTGGCCCATTTATTGTGCGGTATTGTGGCAGTTCTGTCGCTCAAGTTCTTCCGCCAGCGCCACCCGACGGCCTTTCGAGTACTCAAACTTAACAAGCTCCCTAGTGACAGGTGTTCCGAGTAATACAACCACAACTTACGATAGTCGTCAATGTCCCTTCAGCTTCGTGAATAAGGGGTAAGGCGAGATGATGGTGGCTTTTTGTGTGTATTGAGACCAATCCTCTTTACTACTCATTTACTGGCACACAGCAAGGTTCTGTCAACCGTCGATAAATCCACATCTATAGGGCCCTACAGATAGGCCTGTCGCTGTCAGTGGTTATACTTAAATTCGGAAGATGTCGCCTTCTGGTGGCGTCATCCAGATAAGTAGGATTCATGCCAAAGCGTCGTGAGCCCGAATCATGCTCAGGTGGGGCCGATGATTCATGGATTACCTGATACCACCTAGATGCTATGAAGCTGTGGGCAACGTCTGTGGGCGAGCATACTTCGTTAGAATCTCTGAAATAACCTTCGAAGTCTACTGCAATACGCAGAAATAGCAAGTTGACATTCTGTGATGTACGACCAGACGGGCATGTGTAGTGTATGGACCGCGGCGATGAGCGGCGGGCCGTTGCAAAGTCCAGCGAGGATACTTCGCTTGGTGCTACGAACGGTCTAATCGGGCTAATGCGCCAAGTTATGCTTTATGCGCCAACACATATGAAATTGTATTGCCTGTTGAGCTGCAACACACAATGCCTATCAGTGCCTATCATGTTACAAACATCCGAGCTGCGTGCCATTGGCAATCAGATTCGCGACATGGCACCGTTCCACTCACCGCGCGCTTGTTCAGAAAGGAATAGTACCCAAGGATCAAGTGACCATCCTTCTAGCATAATGCACCGTCAAACAGACTCTCGGCACTCACCTTCTTCCGGGTGTAGGGGAAGAGTGACATCACGTCGACGAACGTGCTTAGAGTTGATCGCATGTACGATGCCAAGTCTGCACGTCTGCAAGGTGAATAGCGAGCCTGACCGTGTCGAAACCACCTGCTGGGCAAATGATAAATTGTAAGTCTAGTTCCCTGCCGCGCCCTTTATGTATTTGATGGCGTCATGGCACAGAGTTCCTGCCTAGCTGTACCGGTCCAAATAGAAGGAAGTGTACGACCGCCGAACACTCCCGGCATCCTGGATGCCACTGAGTTCATGGTGATGCCGATGACAAAAGAGCGATCGCACTGCATCGAATGAAGCATCGGACACCCGTTTCTCCGCGGAGCGTCACTAGCACTTCCGAACGATGTCGATGAAGTCCGGAAGCCAGTGCGAGGCATACTGCACTGATATGCAAGAAATGAGAAAGAGCGGCTGATCAACAGATGACACTAGCCTACCAGATGGGAAGGAGAGGAGTAGCGCTCATTTACTGCGTGGACTATGTATGTCACATCCTCGGTGGTGCGGACCTAGTCGTCAAGCGCGCCTGCCGACCATACGCGACCTCCAGAATAATGCTTGCTGCTAGCTTGGAGATTAAGTTTTGTAGAACTGCAGAAGTTGATGACCTACACCGCTCAAGGGCTGCTTCTGGGCTGGTCGGTGATAACATCAGATTCTTGAGCGTGATACGGGCTTCTCGGGGATGTACTTCCTGACGCGGACAACGCCGTTCTTCACCTAGACTCGGACCGTTTGTTGAAGCATCCTCCTGTGTCCCCGCCACTGTAGTCAGTGATGTAGCACGGCTGAAGCACGTTCTGAATAAATTGCTATGAAATATGAGAATAACTGGTCACTGACTCGATGAAAAGGAACTTGCAAGTGATATTACGCGCACATTTCCAGGCGTTGTAGATAGAATCCCTTTTCTCGAAGAGCTCTACCCACTTCGTACGCCGCTGATAACGACAATTTGCTGCTCGAAAACATCCAGGTGGAATCTGGTTCCTGCTAGATTGAATCGGATCAATTGTGGGGCGGGCGGTCAACGCATTACAGTGCTTGACTGACTGTACACGACGGTGCATTTCCGAAGCAGCAGTCTTCGCGATCTGGGGGTACATGACCTATCAACGGCTCTGCAGGCGGACAATGTCTTCTGCCCAGGTAGGGAGCCAGGGCAGCCACACATATACACCGCCTCTGAGAGAGACCAGAGCGAATGCGATACGTAGGACGGAACTAATTGACATACACTCGGCGTAGCCATGTGAACTGACTCACATGGAGAGACATCCGATACATCGGAGGTACGGTGGAGAGGGGCATCGGTGGCGAATGCATAGGCTCATCCCGTTGTCATGTATGATACAAGAGATGCACTTTGCCTATCTGTGTACCGGGTGACGTAGCAGAAGGCTAGGAAGGTAGGCAGCGGCGTGACGCTGAGAACACCGTCAGAAAGTATCGGTCCTAACGGGCAACCACATATACCTCTTCATCGATGCTTTAGGAGATGACAGAATTCGAGAGTAATAGTACTCACCATAAGCAGAGACAATTGAAGTGGACTTGAGTGATAGCATATCAGTGTATGCATGCCGCCCTTGTGCATGCCTCAATCACGCCGAAGTTGAGTCACGTTCCCGTGACATCCATGACGTGACCAGACGCGCGACGGTGGCGTTGCGTCTCTTGAATCCAAATTTTCTTAACATTTGTATTGGCCTGCCACGGCCCACTTTTCGGAATTTGCATGATCACCCTTCTGTGGAAAGTATTCCCCAGATATTCTGCCACAAGTGCTCGGCATATGCCCATCCTCAGGAATCTTCAGCGCTCGGCCCATTGACTGTTGTTCTGCCCTATCTGCCGTCCTTATCACGGCCGTCACTTAGAGTACTCCACCACGAGCTCAACTGTGGCCCACAGAGTCCCGTCAAGCTCCATCCTGCGTGATGCGCGGCATACTAAACGCCTATATTTCAATCGTATATAATGTCCCATATTGCCCCGAGTGTCCGGAATCCTCGTAAACATGACTTCTACAGCCACCTATCTCCTATACTCATTTCTAGTCCTAGCTTGTGTGGTGCTCTTCCGCAGGAAAAAACCCAGGCTGCCTCTTCCTCCTGGTCCTCCTTCCGATCCGATCATTGGCCATCTACGTCGTTTCTCTTTCGCTCGTCAGCACGAGCTCTTATGCAAATGGGCCGCAGATTACGGTAAGTCTGCTCTTATGGAGGAGTATGCATTGCTGGATTTCTTCTGTAGGAAACATCTTCCACCTGAGTCTGCTTGGGCAGACTATCATAGTCGTGAACTCTTTGCAGGTCGCGACGGAGCTCCTTGAGAAGCGAGGTTCCAACTACAGCGACAGGCCCGCCTGCACCACCCTCGAGATGTACGTATCGGTTCTGGAACGTGTATTGTACCTTACAGAGCGCACAGGATGGGTTGGGAGGCGAACCTCGCCTTCATGCGGTACGGCGCAAGGTGGAGGAAGCACAGAAAGCTCTTCCAAGAGTACTTTAGCCAGGGTCAAAGCCTCACATATCGCGCCCATCAGACTGAGGAAGCGCGTATGCTTCTGAAAGATTTACTCACTTCACCCACGGAATTCAAGGCGTGCACGCAGAAGTACGGCTCTCTGTCTCACTACATTGTGCCATCCTGAACCATCCGCTCCAGGTACGCTCTTCTGAGCGTCATCGGCATCGCATACGGGCATCAGGTAAAGTCAGACGACGACGTCTACCTCAAGTTCGCGGAAGGCGCCATCCACGGAGTCGAAGAAGCAGGAGCAGGTACCACGCTTCTGGATCTCTTCCCTGCCCGTATGTATTGCGTATGTCCACTAAGTACATGCCAAGTACATGCCGTACAACTCATTCGGTTGCTCTACTCAAGTGAAATACGTCCCCCACTGGCTGCCTGGATGTGCTTCATTCACCGCCGCGGTGCGTCGCTGGGGCCCTGCCACCAAGGGTTTACACGAGTATCCGCTCGGCGACATGCGGGAGAAAATGGTTGCTCTTGTTCCGACCCCTCATACATTTGCAGCTAATTCACCCCACAGGAAGCGGGCACTGCCCAGAGCTCGTTCCTCACGTCCCACCTGGAGCGCCTCAACACAGACGGCATCGACGGAGAAGACCTCGAGGACGTCAAGGGTGCCGCTGCGACCATACTCATAGGTAAGTCCGAGTCGTCATCTCACTACCAGCGTCGATCTAATGCGAGGGCTAGCGGGTGCGGAGACGGTCAGGACGCTTCAATCGCCGTCAGATTTCCGCGACTGACGCGTGCTGACGACGTTCCAGACATGGTCACTCATCCAGACTTTCTTCCTATTCATGCTGCTCTTCCCCGAGGTGCAGCGCAAGGCGCAGGAAGAGATTGACTGCGTCGTGGGCTCTGGGCGGCTCCCCGACTTCGATGATCGCGATGCGCTGCCGTTCGTGGAATGCGTTCTGCAGGAGACCATACGGTATCATTCTGAGCATATCCCAATGTCACGACCTGTAACGACTGACTGATAAAATTTAGATGGCACCCAGTCGCTCCGTTCGGTACGTCTCCTCACGGTCGTCGGCGTTCGGACGTTGCTGACCTTGCGCTCCAGGTGTTGCACACGGAAGTCTCAACGACGATATATACAATGGGATGCTTATTCCGAAAGGATCTGTTATTATACCTAACGTGATGTGAGTGCCTTCGCTGCTTGCTCGTTCGAGCTTGAACATATGATCGTCCTCTATACTCCAGGGCAATGAGCCGTGACGAGACAATGTATAAAGATGCAGACAAGTTCCTCCCAGAACGCTTCCTGCCTGCACCTGCTGGCCGCGGCGAGCCCCACCTGAGCTATGTCTTCGGGTTCGGTCGGCGGTATGTACACTCAGTTCAGTATACATCGTCCTGTCATCTAACCGCTCACGCTCCGCAGGATCTGTCCCGGACAGTACTTCGCGGACAACAGCGCGTGGATCGTAATCGCGAGTGTCCTCGCGGCCTTCGACATCTTCAAGCCCGTCAGAGCGGACGGAACGGCGGTCGAGCCGCAGGTGGATTACACCACGGAAGGCTTGGCGAGGTATGTCCGATTCTGAATGACGTCACACGTGTGGTGGTGCGCTGGGCTGACAGATCGGTGCTCTTTATCGCATAGCCGTCCGAAAAAATTTGAATGTTTGCTGCGACTGCGCTCTGAGGCGGCAAAGAAGCTGGTTGAGCAACCCACGTAATCAAAGGTTGTCTTCACATTGTGGAATTGTCGAATGCCAGGCAGTAATGGCTGCCATAGAAGGTACATTCCCATACGTGATCCGAGATGTGCGATGAATAGCTGCGACTGCGACTGTATAAGCAAGTGCAAATATATATTCCGGGCTAAGTTCGCAAACACCGGGCTGAAGGGCCTTCAACCAGTTCTAGCCTAAGGGAGCGATGTTCCCAAGTGATTGGAGGCAGGAGTCAGGAGTTGCTCCCCTTCTTCTCGTGAGATAGCCTGAAAAATCTACAGCATCGTAATGTTTCCGGTAGAGTACTAGAGCTGCGTCAGTTCTGGCAGCTAAATTTACCACTGGGGTAGTCTGAACGACACTAGTAGTACCTGCTTGGAAACGCAGCCTACATTCGCGCTCCCCCAATTCGACGTTCGCGGACCCGCGGTTGTTTCGCGGACTGGGAATTCTTGTATCTGCGCACGCATCACCGCGGTTCAGTTTACTCACTTACTACAAAGTACATCAAAGCGTATCCGATTGCTAAATATGCATTCATCGGATTGACATACCGAATCGAAGCTCAGTTTGACCACGCGGCGATCAGCGACTCCCTCGTCTTCTCTGATCTCTGGGTGATCACCCACTCGAGCAGTTCCGGTTGGCTGCAACAACCGATGATACATTGCATGACCACCCACGAGCAGAAACGCACGGACTCATCTCGTAATATTCTCGGCGAACACAGTCTCTGAAACAATCTTCTCGCCATCTGGACCGGCCGCGTTGGTAATGTCGTACGCTGCGAAGATGCTCGCCACTGCGATCCATGCACTGTTCTCACCGAGATGCCGTCCGGGACAGATTGTTCGCGTGTTAACGTTGTAAGGTATCGCTCGGGATAGAACCTGTGCGGATCGCGGTAAATCTGCTCGTCACGGCTCATTATCCTGCGACGAGTGTCAGCCAAGCCTGCGCTCCCGATAGAACGCGTCCGTCTCACACGACATTTATAACGACGATGGAGCTCTTGGGGATGTACACTCGTACACGTCGTACCGAGCTGAACCGTGGGGAATGCCTGCCAGGGTACACACGCAATGTCAGTGGGGCAAGATTGATCGGTCCGTGATGATACTCACTCAGAGGGAGTACGAGATGCCAGCGAACTCAAGCGAATGTGGATATATACTCTCTCGGAGGAGTAACAAGACTCACCACATAACCTCCTACAGGACACAAGCAACATATGGCAGCGCAGAGAGATCGCTGAAACCTGGGAGCCGTTCGGAGCCGAGAATGCAATAGATCGCATCCTGGGCCTTCTTCTGCCGATCGGGGAAGAAGAGCATAGCATAGATGAAGGTCAGCATTGTTGACTATGTACTTTAAGGGGGGAACCAACAGATTATAAGGCACTGACCGTATCGAACCCGCCTGGTGGTCATAGAGTGGAAATAGAGGCCCATCGGGCAGCTGATGGTGTCACCAACGTGTAAGCTCACCTAAGAAAAAACTGTAGCCGCTGTATCCTTGATACATTTTGTTCACCCAGGTTCCCTGTCTGACTGAAGTGCTCCAGGGTAAGAGGAAGTGTATGATCTCCGAGCAGTCCCAGTGGCCTGCAAGGTCGTCAGAATCATTTGCGCCCGCACTGCATTGAACGGGACTTCGTGACTCCTCTTTACCGTAGGCCGCTATTGTGGACAAACGCCGTGAACGACGAGCACTGGCAGCCCTGTAGCCAATGTGGGACATGTTGCACTGCGTTCCTACATATCAGATACAGTACTCCATGAGGAGATCAAAGAAATAGGCACATGGAAGGGAAAAAATCGAGGAGTGTTGTCCCGCATTGACCCTTCGAACGTTTGGGTGACCTCCCCAGCAATGTCGACATAGTCGTCGACATCGGAGTGCAAGCGGTGACGCAATGTCCACGACCACTCCGACAGAGAATCTGCAACAATATCTGCCTAGGTCAACACCAAGGAGAAACATACCATTCAATGGCCTGACCATAGTTACTTGTGGATGAGAGCAGATCCTTGAGCACAATACGCGCTTCGAGCAGTTGGAGTTCCTGATATGTTTTGGCTGTGAAGGGCTGCTGCAGGATTCTTCTGTCACTGTGGATCATACTGCAATATTGAAGATAATGGTGCCCATCCCACCCTACAGGGGTGTTATCGAAGTGTACTAGTGTTGCTACGAAATGGCAGAGAAATTACAGTTTGTATGTCATGCAACTGCAGCCTGTCGCTGTAAATTGAGCTCCGTGTATCCAGCAGGTGAATTTCTCCTTGACAGCTGCTTAACGCAACACTGAACTACTCAGGTCATTGAGACAGACTAGGTCTGATGCGCCTCGTGAGTTCCGGAATGTATACTCTCTAACAATCCTCATCGACTCACCGTATTCAGCTGCCCATTTGCGGAATATTGAACTTGACGAGCTGTAAAAAACACACGCTGGTGACCTATCAAGAGTTCTTTGGGTGAACAGGGGGGTAGAGGGACGGTGGAGCTTTGACTACACAAGTGGAACGCAAGCGTTGCCAGGATGGCGCACCACAGGATATGTGACAGCGCAGAATATTGCCATGCGAGCCGAGTGAGTACGAGAGACGAATATATAGGTATCTCTTTGTCAGGTTAACGTTCATGGGAGTTGTGTAGTCGGTACGACTAATATATATACTCAGGTTGGCACCGCGTGTGAAGGAGCAGAATTCTATTATGATAGAATAGCTTGGCACGAACTCCACGTCTACAGCGACATGATCAAATAGAGGTGCACATTCAATAGGTTTATCTCTCCGATGCTGAGATTCTGCATAATTTCATGGTGTTCTCGTCCAGCTGGTTGCTCACTGGCAGTCGGCGCGAGTCAGAACTTGAATCCTCAGGGTCGCCACGCCGGTGGGCTCTCGCACAGAAACGATACGGATATCGTTTCAAATATTGAAGTAAAAGGGGAGAAAGATTAGAATGAGAAAGATTCCAACGAGCAGGAGAGCAGTCTGAGTCATTTTATAAGTAGGGAAGGAGCAAAATGAGGATTCGAGATTGAAGCAATCGATAGGCTGTTCACGTGACCGCGTCTCTGTAGACAATTTCTCAAAATTAAGTTGCTTGACAAGCCTTCTGCTCTATGCGAAGAACCTGCAGAATCTGATAGTGAACATGGACCTTCATCAATCCCTTTGCGGAGACACCAGCTGGGTTTGCGATCCAGTCTGTGGTTGGTCGGATCATTGTCATTCCTTCCACGCACGCAGCCATCGACGGAACATACATTCTGGCACTACCGTACAAGGATCCCTACTGTAACAACTTCGCTGAACTGGACAAGCGACGCCTTCGTACGTGACGAAACTCGAGGTTTCAGTGAGATTGAGCCAGAATCAACGCCTTCGCCTTCTCCGATCTTGGGACCATTACACACTTGAACGGTTCCGGTTGGCTACGCGAGTAAGAAGTCAATACATTCAATGACGAGGTAGTAGCCCACCTTGTAATGGTCTCCGTGAATGCTATATTCGGAACAATTTTCTCGCCATTTGCACCAACCGCGTTAGTGATCTCAAACACAGCGAGTATGTTTGTCATCGCGAGCCATGCAGTGCCATCAGCGAGATGACGCCCGGGACAAATCCTGCACGTGTCCGAGTAAGCATCATCCACATCCGCTCAACCGATTCTGTGACTAAGCATGGAGAACTCACCGTCGACCAAACCCAAATGCCGTGCTGAAATGTGTCTCCCCATATCCAGCCGGTTCAGGCAAGAACCTGTCCGGATAAAACCTATCCGGATCACGATAGATCTTCTCGTCTCGATTGATTGCCCTGCGATGTGGTAGTCAACCATGCTGCATCACTCTTTCAAAACACAGTGCTTACGTGACATTCGGAATCACGAGCGATCCCTTTGGTATGAACATGCCGTCGTATACGTCGTCTTGAATCGTGCGATGAGCAATGCCTGCAGGAACGAGCGTCAGGACTGCGGTACGCCAAGATCGGCCAGAGCTCATCGATGCTGACCGAAAGGAAAGACAGGGTGCCACCTACGCAATGTCAGCATCCATTTGCCGTGCCAGAGGTGGTACTGCTCACCGTGCAACCTCCTGCAAGACACATTCTATATACGGTAGGTCTGCGCGGTCGCTGAAGTCCGGGAGCCTTTCAGAGCCGACAACGCGGTCAATTTCTTCGCGCGCCTTCCGTTGAGCGTCAGGGAAGAGTAGCATTGCATAAACGAACGAGAGGAGGTTGGACCACGTCTATGACTTATGTCAATACGTAAGGGATCATGCAAATACTAAGACCGACCGTGTCGAAGCCGCCTATAGACAGAAGACATGACAAAGGACCGTGCATAGAGAGTGCTAAGCGTACCTATGAGTAGCGTAGCCGCAGTTATTTTGATATCATGGATGTTCTCGTCACTGAGGTCCCCTGCTTGAGTACATCGCTCTAGATGAGAAGAGGTGTACGACCGCCGAGCCGTCCCAGCATTCTGAAAGCTTGTTAATATGTAGCGAAACAGACAATAACCAGAAAGCACCATCTGCGCCAGAACAGCATCGAATGGAACGTCGTACAGCCTTGAGACCGCAGGGCGCCACTTTCTAACAGCCGCAGTGAACGAAGAACAGCCGGGAATCCAGGGCGGGATGTGTTGCACTGTCAATTTAATCATTACAAATAACATGCAACGAGATGAGGACATTGGCCTACGAATTGGTAATAGATCGAGCAGAGACGTCCCCGCAGCCCCGGCTTCCACCGCATGTGTCGCGTCCTCACCTATCTTAATGTATTCGTCATCGTTGGAGAGCACCTCGTGGCCGTACGCGAGTTCCATCATAATCCCCGCAGCAAGTCTAAAATTTCACATAAATCCGTGGAACTTGAGATAAGTAACAGATACAATACCGTTCAATCGCTAATCCAGAATTCTCGGATGATGTCAGTATGTTCTTGAGCATCAATCCCACTTCTCGTAGTTGCATGTCCTGATGAGCGATGCAGCTTTTGGCTAACAGCGGTTCTTGCAACATCCGCCTCTGCCGCCGCCACTGCGCGCCGTATCGCGACAGCGCTGTCACACTTGCCAATCCCATCCTGGTCAAATTGTTAGTATAGAGTACCAATGCGGATCAAACGGACTGATAGTCACAAGGAGTATGTCGTGCAGTCTGCTCGATCACTGTAGATGGCACTCCTCTTCTCCAGGAGATCAGTTACGGTTTGGAAGCTATTGAGCACCACTATTGGCTTCCCCAGGACTTTGAGGTAAAATATGTTTCCTGTTGGATCACTCTGCTTGAGCGAGGAACTAGACCACGAAAAGAATTTCAATTACTGACCGTACTCTGCAGCCCATTTTGTAAACACGTCGACCTGGTGAACTGCGGGGAAGATACGTGTATGACCAATCAAAGGTTCGGCAGGTGGGCCAGGCGGGAGAGGAGGTGTGAGTCGCCTCCTACGGGAGTATAGCAAGAGGGGTAAAATACAGCCGATAAGTAGACACAGTGTCAAGGTAGACATGGCGAAGGATTAGGGAGTGAGACATCCGCAAGCGACAGTTATATAGGTGTCAGTGTCGTCGTCATCTGATGAGATATGGTGCGTATCTGAACTGTTTGGGGGTAGTGGCGTTAAGGAGACTGATAGGGAGCATGTGTGTCATTCAGGTGCTAAGGCCGCTGAAAATTTGCCACTGCGGACGTACCAGGTGATCGAGAAGCCTGTCAAGCAATGTACGCGTGAGACGAGCTAGGCAAAATGGAGCAAAAAGGTGGGATAACACACAACTCGCCATAGTTCCAGGTTAGAAGAGATGAGAACTAGGTCTCCATGGATGGCTTTTATTGAATGGACAGATTCATGCAGCTTTGAATTCGTCCTAAGAGTAGATACGGTTAATGGGACAGAGACAGAAATCGCAGAGGACGGACGGATTCTCGCATTAGCTGCATTCTTTTAGTACATTTACTGCAATGTAGCCTCTAAGGGAATAATATCTAGCGGGGTTAACATATTGTCGCCTTAATATTCCCTACATATCCATACCCAAGAATGCATTCACCCAGTCGATATTTCAACTGTCCGCATCTGCTGGACTTAGGAACAAACTTCATGCGCATCCTCATGGTACACCACTTCCGATGATTGACGCACCAAGCTGAGACTTAGCTAACCATCAATAGGCAACTGGTGCCAGGCTGCTTTTCGAGTCATTCCAGAAGATCCAATGAAGAGCTGAGGCTGCGAGCGAGCACGGCGGATAGCGGATAACCTGCCCTGAATTACTGACCAGTATGTTCACGGAGGAATCGAAAGGCCTTGACGTGCGCCATTATGTTTCTGGCATGATCTTCTCGCTTGCAAAAGTTTTTGGTGATCGCTAAGATTTGCATTACCACTCTTCTCCAAGATTTGACCACCGCAGACGCTGGAAAAGGATACTCACGATCACCATCATTGAAATGACGCGCAGTCACTAGAGCGTGGGAGGTGTGTCTATTAGGGGGGCCGTTGTGGCTGTTTGAAAGAATGTCTAGAAAACGCGCGTCAAGAGTTGCTAACCCTCACAATATTGTCACGTAGAGTCACCTAACGCATCCGGTCACATCGGGAGAGCGACCGTGGGAACCCCGAAGAAGTCGTGGAGATGCGAGGAGGATTAATGGACGATCTGTGTATTGGCCTATATGAACGGGATCTCTTCGGTGCAACCCTGCTCAAAATGCCTCGTGATTCCGAGTCGACTGTTATCTATCGTTCATCCTTAGCGCTGCTGCCAGACGTGCATTTGTGCATGTGGTCCGCACCTTGCTAACTGAAAGAAACCCACATCTGCGCCGAAACATCAATGGCGAGTGATGTTTTACTCCGGTCCTTTGCCACTGGCTGAAGCGGCAGGGGTTCTATCAGATTCACGTACTCACGTTTGCCGCCGGTGGATATCTGTCCAATAGTGCCTCACGCTCATTGACACAGTCTGTCACCTTCCAAACCTTCTATCTCCGGTTGACGCGTTCTGCCATTAACGAAGACATACCAGGCTGCACTGCCAAGCTCGACTGACTGCCCCTCCATGAGTCGTGGAACTGAATACAATCTCTTGCGGAATATTATCATGGCAGTGGTATCTGGTCTATGCGTTGGTCTTGCGGATTAGTCCTCTCATCCTCTGCGCCCTGAGCCGTGGCTTCCTTGACTGTGTATTACTGTCCGCTCACCGGCGCCGTTCTCACCATGACTCTGACTCTTACGCCGGACTTCACTCGTACAGGTACAATTCGACTCTTCCGCTCCCGCCTGATCCATTGATTGTCCACATGCATCATGTAATTTAAACCCACCATCAAGTCGATATATTTCAAAACGGGCCGCCAAATATCGTCAGTCTACAGTGGTGAACTGCACCACTGAGGCCGCCCCGTAAGTCCAGAGACCTGGTCTACGCCGAGATCCACTGCATTCCAGCCATTTGCAAAACTATAGGCCGCGACGAGGCTTCTACTCCCCTCCGTTATGTGCCAGAGGGTCGTGAATGGCGTGTCAGCGCTCAGCTGCTATGCGTGCCGGTACTCGGCGCATCAAATTCTCTCCTAAGTATACGCACGGTGGGTAGGAGTGGGAAGTTCGTTCAGATGGGTATTCAACTCTGAAGAGGCATATGGCATCCCACTTCTCCGAATGTAGACTTGTCTCCCAGCTTTGGCAGTGATATCTTCAGAGGATGAAATTGTACTCCAGTAGAGTGCCCACTATGTGCAGGTATGTAGACTGCTTCGCAGATGCAGTGCTGTGTAGGCCCACTACGGTTTTCCGCATGAGACATGCCTGGCCTTGATAAGGACATTGGTCAACATATGGCTTACCTCTTCCGACTCATGCTCTATGCTGCTTCTCTGTAGCTAAGTGAGCTAGAGCTGAGACCAATTACTAATTAGCTAGGTCCTTGTTAGGTGAAAACGATCAAACAAGTAAGATTAGCTGACTACATAGCTCAGGTACATAAGCGGCACCTCGTCAGCCAGTGAGGTAGAGCGTGGAAGAAAGGAGAAGCAGGAGAAGAGAAAGAAAGAAGAAGCAGGAGAAGAGAAAGAAAGAAGTAGCAGGAGAAGAGAAAGAAAGAAGAAGCAGATCAAATGGATGGAATGAGATGGGTAAGATGAGACGGAACGTGAAGTGATCATGTGATGGTGAGTCCTCACGTGATCGCGTTTTGGACGCGACGCGCACCTGTCTCCGTTGAACAAAGCTACTAGCTCCTCTCGTATCGTGTATGTATTATTTGGAAGATTCTCCATTGCTCATTGATGTGCATATGATTTGTCTAGGCACTCTTTCTCCAGTAGGCACTGCGTGAATGCCCTAGATTGCAGTTTATGTCGATGCGCAAGACTGCTCTGAAAACCTGCATACACAGCCAGGTCTACACGTAGACCCGACATTCATTAATCATACAACTTCTACACCATTTGAACTCTGACTGTTTCAGTTCATTATGACAGCGACAGGCCTGCATTATTTTCACGTTCGAACGTACTTAAGTTGAAAATCGCAGATGTTTTGCACACTAGAAAAGTTTTGTGTGGATAGTAGTAACACATCACTCAACGCCGCTACTCGATATCAACACTCACAATTCTCGGAACCAAGCACACTGAATCGCATCTGAGTGTGATTACATGTACATGCGTCAAAATGACCTCATGGGTCGAAACAGTTTGTCTGGGACAGAAGCAACGCCTTCGCTTTCTCCGATCTTGGCACCATTACCCACTCGAACGGCTCCGGTTGGCTACAGGAGATAAGAAGTATGCACTTTCGATCGCAGTTCATGGTCGATAAACCCACCTGGTTGTATTCTCCGTGAATGCAATCTCCGGAACGATTTTCTCCCCGTCCTCGCCGACCGCATTCGTGATCTCGTACATCGCAAGTATATTTGCTATTGCGATCCATGTGGTGCTTTCGGCAAGATGGCGCCCTAGACAGATTCTGCACATGTCCGAGTCAGCGTCGACCATATACGTTCGCTCGGCTGTCTCATGCTCACCGTCGACCAAACCCGAACGTCGCCTTGAAGTATGGCTCTGCATATCCATCAGGTTTGGGTAAGAAGCGCTCAGGGCAGAACTTGTCCGGATCGTGGTACACCTTCTCGTCCCGACTCATCGCCCTGCAATATCAGCGTGTCAATCACCAACATGACTCTCTCGAAATGCATCCGCTAAGCGCACATGACATTTGGGATCACCAGAGAACCCTTTGGTATATACATCCCATCGTATATGTCGTCCTTAATCGAGCGGTGGGGGAGACCTGTAAGGAAAAATGTTAGGTTTGCCAGGACAAGACCAATGGGTGCTCAATGACACCGACCGAGTGGAAGGATAGTATGCCACCTGTGTAGTGTTAGCGCAACTTGATGCATGCCCGAAGTTCAGCGCAATTCGACTCAACCGTAGTACCTCCTGCAGGACACATTCGACGTACGGTAGATCCGCGCGGTCACTAAAGTCTGGAAGCCGGTCGGAGCCGACGACTCCATCAATCTCATCGCGCGCCTTCCTCTGAGCATCAGGGAAAAGCAACATCGCGTAAACGAATACGAGTAGGGTCGACCACGTCTATGACGTATATTAGCACGAGTACAAAGTGTAAACACTGAGACTAACTGTATCGAAGCCGCCTGGCAGACACACCGCATGCAACTTAAGCGAGATATCGGAGGCACATCACAGAACACAACACTTACCTATGAATATCGTAGCTGCAGTTTCTTTGACATACTGGAGGTCCTCACCGGTGCATGTACCTGCCATACTGTACCGTTCCAGATAGGATGAGGTATACGACCGCCGAGCTGTTCCAGTGGCCTGAAGGATAGTCAGTACTACTTCACCAGGTAAAAGACAGGTGACTACCATCTCGGCCAGTACCGCCTCGAATGGGACGTCGTACATTCTCAGGACCGCTGGACGCCATTTCCGTACCACTGCAGTGAACGAAGAACAACCGGGAAGCCAGCGAGGGATATGTTGCACTGGATACCACTATTGTCATACATGACATGCAATTGGACAGAGACTGCGACGCACAAAAAGGGTATAAGTCGAGCGGCGACGTTCCTGCACCTCCAGCTTCGACGGCATGTGTTGCCTCCTTGGCGATCATGACATACTTGTCGTCATCGTCGAGCACACGGTGTCCGTAAGCGAGGTCCATAGTAATCCCAGCAGCAAATCTGTAAGTCACAGTGTTTCAGCCCAACAGAACTTGAGGCGAGTAATAAACAATACCGTTCAATAGCTGATCCAGAGTTCGCGGGTGACGAAAGCATATTCTTAAGCATTATACGCACTTCTCGCAGCTGCAATTCCTGATAGGAGACACAGCTCTTTGCCAAGAACGGTTCTTGCAGCATTCGTCTATGCCTCCGCCACTGCGTGCCATACCGTCTCAAGGATGTGGCCTTTGCGAGTCCCATCCTGATCATATTGATATCAAAAACTGAAAGCAGTCCATCAGAGATTGGATAGACTGATACGCACAGATCGTATGTCGTGCAGTCTGCCCGATCACTGTAGATCCCGCTCCTCTTCTCTAGGAGATCCGTCGCGCTTTGGAAATCGTTGAGCACCACCATCGACTGCCCAAGGACAGTGAGGTAAAACACGTTTCCTGTTAAATCGCTCCACTTGAGTCAGGCACTGTAAATTAAGTTGACCTCGAGACACTGACCATATTCCGCAGCCCATTTGTGGAACACATCAGCCTGATGAACTGTGGGGAAGATACGCATATGGCCTATGAAAGGTTCTGCGGGTGGACCGGGAGGGAGTGGCGGCGATTTCTTGTGGCGCGAATAAAGCCATACAGAGACGATGCATGCGATGCATAGGTATACGATTAAGGAAGACATGGTGAAGGACTAAGATTGAGGGTATCCGTAGGACGCCTTTACATTGGGCCATCACTGTGGTTATCTGACGAGACTAAATAGTGAACGCCTGAGCCCTTTGCGGAGGAAGGGGGGGGGACAAATCAAGAAAGCGCAAGTCCATTCTGATACCAATGTCACAGTAGACGTACTAGAAGAACCGGGAATCACAGACATCGCAACAAGCGTGAGAAGTGCAATGAGAAGTGTGGCAATACCACTAACATACTGCTCAAGCACTAGCAGATCTGAACTCACCGCAATTGAGCATTAGAGAACGAATCGTGAGTCGGACAAAGTAATTGAGAAATCCCACAAACCCGTGGGCAGAGGTAGCTATTAATTGCTTGTCAACATACTCCACAGGTCTCGAGAGTGAGTCTGAGTGATACCATGTAGCCAGGCGGATTTAGTGCGGATTTACGACGAAGGGCCAGTCACGTCACTGCCGACGCGTCTGGTCACGCCACACTGGCAGTCACGCGAATGTCCATCTTCCTAACTTACATCAGTGCTCGTACACTGCACTCTTAGTAGGAAGGTAGAACTCGGCGCCACCGCCGCCCATTCGTTCGTTCTTCCCCCCTGCTCTTCGTGCACATCCTGTACTGACTGTATTCAAGTGTGCTAGGCGCTGGTCCTCCACACCCGTACGAACATGCAGGAACAAGAAACGCGGCTCGAGAATCTGGCCGCGGGTGACATCTTGTTCACGGCGGACGAGAAGACCTCTATCAATGCAATAATCTCCGGGCACGAGATTAAGGGGAATCGCTGCTTTGGCGACCCACAGGCCGCCCATGTGTGGGGATAATCACAATTTGGAATTCAGAACTGTGGAGCTGCAGCTCATTGCTGGTCGCTCTTCACATGAGGTCCGTCGCTGCGTGCCTGATGGTTCTGCGGTACGCTAAGTCTGCACTAGCGGTGAGAACGGATGCAATTCAGCACCGGCGGTTGGTCTTAGACTCTTAAAAGCTTAGTCACTGGTCTCCGCGTACACTAATCCTTACAAGATACATTTATAGAGGTGCTGGTGAGTTTTCACGTTGTCCGACGGCATCGTATGCTCTGACGATAACCCTTGAGAGGCGCCTGTGCCATACGTCGATGGGCGCCTTGGATATGGCGGCGCAATTTCCGCTGTATGTCCATTATGCTCAAGTGCCAACGTTCGACGTTCAACGTTCAACTTTCACTCTAACCTCGTCAGGACATTGGAGTCGATCGTCGGGTGTCTCCCCCCCTCCAGGCCGCGGAGTTTCAGCGAGGTTCCCCAAACTAGACTCAGCGCTGCGCGCTGCTCACGACACCGACGGTATCAAGTGCGCAGCGGAGATTAGTTTCTTCTGCGGGCTGCGCCCCGGGCCGCTATGCCCAGCGAGGATGCGCGACGCCGTATGTGGAGTACCTGTCCATGATGCATGATGTGACTGCTGTTGTCAGTGGATGCTTCAAATCGATGGTAGCAGGGTTTTGCGAGTGACATGCGCTGGGTTAGTCAGTGCATTGCGCCAAACATCGGAGCCGAATGGCAAGATTAATGCCTCGCGACTGCTTGGTTTGTGCACGGCGACTTTGCCAGTTGGCGTAATCAAGATCTATTGGTATTCAACGCCTTCTCGTCATGAATCATTCACGTAAAGGTATACTATGGCTAACTCGTTGCTTTTTGCAGGCGACGTTGCCGTTTCAAACTCGACCTTTTGGGCGAAGCTCTTTGCTGAATAGTGTTAACGTTCTGTCAAGGCCAGATGCTGGAATTTCCGACGGCAGAGTCTTTATGACGCGATGGGTAACATCTACTAGGTATAGAACTCTGGCTCCCCGGGTGCTCCATGTGTCCTCGTACAATCGCGCTCGCAGATAGAAGGCTCGTGATGGTAGAACTATGGCCATAACATCCGCCACCTCCGTCAACTGTTTCTCGCACCTGTCACGCATCCGATCGTCCGCCATGCAGGTGTTGAGATCTGAGACTTCAAAGCTTCATACTGTGCATCAAGTAGCAGGATGTGTACCTGGATTTCCTGCATAAATGGCTCAGCGGGAGGACCATGGCCAACATCGGATCCTCCTCCATGTATTCTGTAGCTGCATATTTGTGCGCATGCGCGGTCATATTGGCGCTCATATTAATTGGGCAGAGGCGGAAGTCCGCTTTGCCTCTACCTCCTGGCCCTCCTGCGGATCCGATAATTGGACACCTCCGAAAGTTCTCTTTTGCTCGTCAGCATGAACTCTTCCGCGAATGGGCGACTAATTACGGTGAGGATTGGCGCTGTATTGAACTGTCTCTCTTGATTCTAAGATATCTCATGATAGGAGATATCTTCCATTTGCATATCTTAGGCCGCAACATCGTGGTCCTGAATTCTTTGCAAGTAGCTACTGACCTTATGGACAAACGGAGTGCCAAATACAGCGACAGACCTTCATGCACCACCTTAGAGATGTAAGTACACCGCTAGCATTCTTGTCATTGCGTTGCCTTACAGAACATTTAGGATGGGCTATGATGCGAATGTTGCATTCATGGAATACGGCCCACGGTGGAAGAAACACCGCAAGATTTTCCGAGGATACTTCAACGAGAACGAGAGTCTTACGTATCGCGCGCAACAGACTCAAGGAGCGCACGTACTTTTGAAGGATTTGGTGGTCTCGCCCCACAAATTCACTACCTTGACACAACGGTACGGTCCTCTTCCCTCGCTGACTCTTCAAGTGCCACGGATCAACTGAATCACTGCAGGTTTGCCATGCAGGGCGTCTTGGAGATAGCGTACGGCCATCAGGTTCATTCTGACGACGACATCTACGTCAACCTCACAGCAGGTGCGCTGCATGGTATTGACGAGGCGAAACTTGGTGTCTCGCTGGTCGACTTTTTCCCCTTTTGTGCGTCTTGCGTTTCCGCCCATTTCATGCAGTCTGACAGGACTGATCGTGACCCTAGTGGTCCATCTCCCCCATTGGCTACCCGGATGTTCGTTTCTCACTGCTGCGGCACGTCGTTGGGGCCCTGTTACACGGGAAATGCACGACTACCCATTCAACGACGTGTTGAAACAAATGGTACTCATCACTATATATGCTCGTCTGAACTTCAAATACTCACTTAGCCCGCAGGATGCGGGCATCGCTCGTCCATCGTTTCTATCTTCATATCTGGAGCGATACAAGACGGAAGGTGCGAAAGATTACGATTTGGATGACCTCAAAGGCGCGGCTGGCACCATCCTCACTGGTGAGTCCTCTGATCATGTTGCGCGGCCATACATTATCTGACCCTCAAGTCAGCTGGTGCCGAAACGGTGGGAATCTCGTTCATTCACTGACATTTCTCTTTACTGAACCCACTTCAGACATGGTCTCTCATCCAAACCTTCTACTTCTGCATGCTCCTGTTCCCAGAGGTGCAGCGGAAAGCGCAGGCGGAAATTGACCGAGTGATAGGTCCCGATAGACTACCGGATTTCAGCGACCGCGATGCGCTGCCTTTCGTAGAGTGCATCTTACAAGAGACTATAAGGTACGTTGCTACTCGCATCCGTGCGAGAGCACCCAGTGACCCGTCATGTGTCTCAGATGGCACCCTGCGACCCCTCATGGTTAGTGCCATTGTCGTGGGTTCAAGCTGATCGACAGTTTGCTGATCTTCCACATCTAGGCCTCGCGCACATGTCTGTCGACGATGATATATACAATGGCATGTTCATCCCGAAGGGTTCGATCGTAATCCCCAATGTCATGTAAGTGCAACCGTCTTTGGTGTGAAAGATTTTTCCCGGGCCTGAGCATTGTTTGTCTGTGCTCCAGGGCCATGAGTCGTGACGAGACGATGTACAAGGACGCAGAGGCCTTCTATCCTGAGCGCTTTCTCCCCGCACCCGCAGGTCCCGGCGAGCCGTATCTGGGCGCCGTCTTTGGGTTCGGTCGGCGGTATGTACCCACATATCCTGAATGTACTACAGATAAGTCGCCTTACTTATGCCGTCCTTACAGAATTTGCCCTGGAAGGTACTTCGCGGACAACAGCGCGTGGATCGTCGTCGCGACTGTTCTCGCGACCTTCGATATTTGTAAGGCTGTCGCCAAGGATGGGAAGGCCATTGAGCCGGACGTGGCGTTCACGACGGACGGGCTGGCAAGGTATGCATCCCAGGAACTCGGAGGCGACGTGGCGATTCACTGATATTGTATGGTCGCTTTCGCAGCCGTCCAAAACCGTTTGAATGTGTGTTTCGACCGCGCTCGGAGATGGCGAAGAAGCTGATCATGCAAAACGCGAATTTGGGTGAGGATTAATATTATACTGATAACATTGTGAGCTTCCCAATTTGTACGAATCGCTCAAGGCAGAGAATGTATAGATATTCAACTACGCGCGTGCGAGAATGACATATGAGGGATAGAAATGTTGTAAGGAAGCATGTTTGTGTTACACAGTGAAGTTGGAGGACCGAAGATCGTCGGCCAGCTAAGGAGCTGCTGAGTGGAAGCTATGTCAGATGATTTGCCGGAATTCGAAGATGAAGTCCACGCCAAGGACGATGATAACAGAAAGCCTACGGCACAGTAGGACAGAGTCCACCAATGTCCGATCCTCGCTATCTCGGCCATGTCAGTATATACTAACTTGCGGACGTCGGGCGGTTTAGTTCTGGGCGAATAATCGAAGGAGCCATGCTCCCTCTCCGGATCCAGGTATGCCTCGTGCTGCTTCGCGATTAGGTGAACTTTTCGACTTGTGACGGAAAGGCCAAGGGGATATTTTGTTGAAAGCAAAGACGTGAAGACGTGCTGGTTGACATGGTGGTTCGTGCAAAAAAAGGTTACATGCAAGGTATCCGTTATTGGCACTGCAATTTCGTCGGACCTTGGAATTTGGGTCTCAGCGGATTCTCTGTCGGGCCGCGGACTTTCAATGAAGACCTAGTGCGCTGCTCACGTGCCGGCACCAGAGAATCGATATCTGAGTTTCCTGAGCTATGCCCAGCAGAGGGTGGTGTTTTCCAAGCTTCCTCCGACGGCGTCGTATGTGACTGTTCAGGTATCTCAATTGAACCTTGAATCGATACGGTCTTCAGGCTCTGCTTGTCAACGTTGCTCACTGCCTTGCATGCTGGGTTGGTCAGGACGTTGCACCAAACGCCGGATCCGATTTCCATCGCTGGGTAGACTTCGGAGTGAAGGAGATACCATGCATTGACATTTCGAACGCCTGAGGAAGGTCGAAGATTGTTCTCAACTCGCGGCAGCTTAGTTTGTGCACGGTGTTACCTTGCATGTTGGCATTTGCGAGAGCCACTGGCAGTCAATACCTCGTCATCTGGGTGAATGGGTGCTCGTCCCACTGGTATCTCCACGGGCCAACCGACTGTGATTCTCTCATGAACAGTTTCATCTTCCCCGAACTGTAGTATGTATCTCGATACTGTCGGCATGGCCGATGGTGCCTTTTTCAAGCTCGGCCTTCTGAGCTAAAGCTCTTTGCTCAGCAATGGCTGGACCTGTTGTGACCATATAGGTACGGATTTCCATAATGTTGGCGTTCTATCAAAACGAGATTGTGGATATCCTAACTTCCTCTCCCAAACGAGATTGCCGATCGATGCAAGGTATTAGGTGATACCTATATGCGTAGCATTAAGGTTCCTCTGTCGCCCCCACCGCCGGCTCTATTTCTCACAATTGTCACATTGGGTCCAATCGTCCGCAATGCGGCCATCCAGACTCCATGCCATGCGCCCAGTGGTAGGCTGCATATTCCAATTTCTTACATATATAACTGGCTCAACATCTCATTCCCCTCTATGGATTCTGCAGCAGTGCCCCTTTGTGCATGCGTGGTCTTACTGGCATTCATATTACTTGGGCGGAGGCGTAAGTCCACATTGCCTCTGCCGCCTGGTCCTCCTGCAGACCCGATCATTGGACACCTTCGAAAATTTTCTTTTGCTCATCAGCATGAACTCTTCCGCGAATGGGCAGCCAAGTACGGTGAGGATTGATTGACAATGTTTTAGACTCTGTCACATTTCTGATGACGAGATCTGTCATCTCAGGAGATATCTTCCATCTGCATATCTTAGGCCATCACCTTGTTGTCCTAAATTCCTTGCGAGTCGCGACTGACCTCATGGATAAACGGAGTGCCAAATACAGCGACAGACCGTCATGCACAACCTTGAAATTGTAAGCTTGTTGCTCATATTCTTGCGTGGAGTGTATGCCTTACCGGATATGTAGGACGGGCTGGGACGTCAGCGTCCCATTCATGGAATACGGCCCGCGATGGAAGATACACCGCAAGATTTTCCAAGGATACTTTAACGAGAACGAGAGCCTCAAATATCGTGCGCAGCAGACTAAAGGAGCGCATGTACTTCTGAAGGATTTGCTGGTCTCACCCCACGAATTCACTACCCTAACACAACGGTACGGTCCTCTTGCCTGGCTGACTCTTCAAGTGTCACGGATCAACTAAGTCATTCCTTCTAGGTTTGCCATGAGGGGTGTCTTGGAGATAGCGTACGGCCATCAGGTGCATTCTGACAATGACGTGTACGTCAAACTCACAGCGGATGCGCTGCATGGTGCCGACGAGGTGAAACTTGGTGCCTCACCAGTCGACTTTGTGCCTTCCCGTCCGTCTTGCGTCCACTCATTCGCTGTAGTCGCATGGACTGATGTGATCGTAGTGGTCCATCTGCCCCATTGGCTTCCCGGATGTTCGTCTCTTACTTCGGCGGCGCGTCGCTGGCGGCCTGCTACAAGAAAGGTGCACGACTTCCCGTTTGATGACGTGTTGAAACAGATGGTGCTCGCCACTATGTATGCTCATCTGATCATCGAATACTGATTTGGCCTGCAGGATGCGGGCGTTGCTCGGCCGTCATTCCTATCTTCGCATCTGGAGCAATACAACGCGGAAGGTGCCAAGAATTACAATTTGGATGACCTCAAAGGCGCTGCTGCCACCATTCTCATTGGCAAGTCGTCTAATCATGTTGCACAGCCATACATTACCTGACCCTCAGGTCAGCTGGTAGCGGAACGGTTGGGATCTCGCTCTTCCGCTGGTATTCCTCTCAACTGAACCCACTGTAGACATGGTCCCTCATCCAAACCTTCTACTTCTCTATGCTCCTGTTCCCAGAGGTGCAGCGCAAAGCGCAGGCGGAAATTGACCGAGTGATAGGTTCCGATAGACTGCCAGACTTCAGCGATCGCGATGCACTGCCTTTCGTAGAGTGTGTCTTACAGGAGACTATTAGGTACGTCACTGCGGCTGTCCGTGCGAGGGCACCTAGTGACCCGTCGTGTATGTCAGATGGCATCCTGTTGCTCCTCAAGGCTAGTCCTACTGATGTGTGGTTAGACACGTCGACGGTTTGCTGATCTTCCACGTTTAGGCATCGCACACCGGTCTGTTGATGATGACATATACCAAGGGATGTTCATCCCAAAGGGTTCGATCGTATTCCCCAATGTCATGTAAGTGCCATTGTCACTGATCCGCACACCTTATCCTAACATGAGCACTGTCTGACTGGTATCCCAGGGCAATGAGTCGCGACGAAACAGTGTATAAGGATGCAGACGCCTTCTATCCCGAGCGTTTCCTTCCCGCACCTGCAGGTCCCGGCGAGCCATATCTGGGCGCCGTCTTCGGGTTCGGTCGGCGGTACGTACCAGCACATCGTGAACACATTGCTGATTAAACACTGCTCATGCCGTCCCCGCAGAATCTGCCCTGGGCGATACTTCGCGGACAACAGCGCGTGGATCGTCGTCGCGACTGTTCTCGCGACCTTCGATATCTGCAAGGCTATCGATAAGACCGGGAAGGCCATTGAGCCAGACGTGGCATTCACGACGGACGGGCTGGCAAGGTATGCATCCCAGGAACTCAGAGGCGACGTGGCGATTCACTGATACGGCATGGCCGCTTTCGCAGCCGTCCAAAACCGTTTGAATGTGTATTTCGACCGCGCTCAGAGATGGCGAAGAAACTGATTATGCAGCACGCGAATCTGGGTGAGGATTGATCTTATACTGATGACGTTGTAAGCTTTCCGGTTTGTTTGATGATTATCCATTGCTCGAATACTATGTCGCTCGAAGGAAAATACTGTATCAGTATGTACTGTGTGCTTCGTTCAAACAACGAGAAAATGATATAGGAGTCTAAGATAGCAGTGCTATAAGAAAGGGTGTTTGCGTTGCAGTGAAGTTGGAATCCCGAAATTGTCGGCCAGCCAATGAGCTGCTGAGTGGAGGCTGCGTCAGACAATTGGCCAGTATGCGAACTCGAGTTCAATGCCATGCACGGCGTCAACAGAAAGCATGCTACAGAGTCCACCAACTTCCGATCTCCGCTATCTCGACAATGTCAGCATATGTTAACTTGTGGACGTCCGGTGGTTTGGTTTGGGGATAATCGAAGGAGCGATGACCCTCCCCACTCTAGTCGAGATCTAGGTATGCCTCCGTGCCGCTTGGCGATCAGATGAACTTTTCAAATTGTGACGGAAAGAGCAAAGGTATGTTTTGTGGAAAGCAAAGAGGTGATGATGGAGAGCATGTTCAGATTAACACCATGTGGTTACCTGGCTTGATGTTGGAGGCCGGGCAGTGCCGCGGTAAGGCTATCCTCATTCAATATCAGTAATTTTCTTCCGATCGTGATTGTTTGGCCTATGTTAACCCAATTCCTGTATAGAAATAGTTGCCATCGCAATAGGTATCCTGGTGTGAGGGTTGCCCACAGTACTAATGTCTCACATTTGATTCGTATGTCTCACGTTCGCATTCTCTCATAGTAGTGAATGAGAGAAGGCGAACGTGAGACATATGAATCATTCTTTCAGAGAGTATAATCGTCGCTCGAGGATCGTTCCATTGCAATTCGGATTGTCAGAGCATGCTCATCTTTGCCAGCGACGTCAGGGACTTGCAATTGAGAGGTCTCCGTTGCAGCCATCACGTGCCAGATGGAGACCGGATGCTCCTTATCATGCCATATGGTGCCAGATGGAGACAGAGCCCATGGAGAAAATCCCGATTCCTGATGGAGAGTCGCCTTGCTGAACAAGATCTCTGAGCTCAAAGAAATGTGAGAGTTCGATCTTGCAGGAGCTATGATGGTAGTTTTCATCAAGTATTCCAACACTGTAAGCGGAGGCCGTACCGTCAGGCGGACCCGCGCTCTCCGCAGCACTCTGAGAGACATAATTCACGTTGCCTCCAGTCGGGTCGGCCTGGTCGTAGAATTGCCATTCATTCCTGCATTGCGTTCAGCGCCGTGTTCTGAGAGAGATAACGCGCTAGAACATACAAAAAGTCCTCGCCCACATATTTGTCCACAAGGGTGTAGTTGGTGGAGGAACGGCGGGAACTGCGAATGGCACCTGAGTGCCGGCGGAAGGAAACCGCGTCGTGAGCGCCGGCGAGGGCAGCTAGAGGGAGTGAAAGCAGAGCAGCGGCGAAAGCAGAGCGCATCGTTAGGTGAGACGAGCAGTAAAGAAGGAATGTAACGTAGCGAGCGATCCTTAACGAAAGTGGTGGTCGAGGGGAGAAAGTCTGCAACGACACGCCTTTTACATGAGACAAGTTAGTCTCCCAAAGGCAGACTACAAAATCAGTCCTACGAGAGGTGGGAGGGACGGACTGATATAGGTCTGCTTTCAAACGCGCCCCTTTAGCCGTCGCTCGTGAACGACGATGCCGAAGCAATGCCGGGATTCCGGCCGTGTTGCCGGCCGCGGGTTCCTGCCCGAGACAGTGGTTGTCGCGTCGCATCAACACGTTCTTGAGGCCTTGTAAGTATGCCTTGGTAAAATATGTACTCATACCACAGTCCTGTAGGCTGTCGGTAATGAGTCCTCTACACCAATCCGTCACTACGTCCCGATCGCAGACTTGACACGACTGCCCTCGCTTTCACATCTACAATGCGTAGGCTTGACTCCGACCTCTTGCCGTTCAAGATGACATCATGAGAAACACAGTTTTTCCGGAGCCCGTTGGTGTGATTGCGAGGACATCAGCTCCATCTAGTGCCTTGCAGACACCTTCGAGCTGATAATCGTGGGGGTCACAGTGTACAGATTTGGCCAGGATTTGACAGCACAAGAGCTGACCTTCAGGTGATCTGAATTCAAAAGAACGTGGCCCAATAAATGTAGAATCTATTACTACATTACGAGGATGGTAGCTGAGTGAACACTTAGAATGAAACTATGCGACGAGGACGACGCCCTCAGGCTGAAGGTGACGCGTCGCGTTCTACAAGATCCACTTCATGCGTTTCGGAGATCAACATGCTTATGTAACTCCAAAATGGCGAGCGACGGTGTTTACCCCTCAAATGAAAGCAGACTAGAGACAAGTGGGGAGGCGCAACGGCGGCCTCTAAGGCCCATGGACGCTTAGTCAGCGGCGCGCCACAGAAGAAGTGACCCACCTCGTCCTACCGTGTTCGCGACTACCTGGGCTTGAAACCAAGCTGAAATATATACTCCTATGAGATTATATGGCCTTGGACATAATCTATGACTATATACTGTGTTGGGAATGCCCGGAGGAAGCGATCCGAGGGCACCCATGGAGCCCGCCACAGCGAGGAATAATTATGTAAGGGAACTTTATATAGAATGTATATAAAGAAATCTATTTCGGGAACCCGGCTGAGTAATCGGGTCTTCCCTTCATCCGAAACATCATCGCGATATTCTCTGGGAATTTACCTATTATTCTCAACAGGTTATGAGCCCCGAGACCGTCTAAACTCGGACTTGTATCCTACTGCTGCTAACAACCAATAAAACTATCCTCACCCATACAAGAAAAACTACCCCTGTTCCGGGCGACAGGATGTCGAACGATGACAAGGACATTCCGAACAGTATGTATCGGATCCATCCTCTGAAGGAGGACAACTGGATGCCGTGGAAGAGGCGCATGACCGCGTTCCTGGACGAGAAGAAGCTTCTCGGCTACGTCACCGGTGAGATACAGAAACCAGAGCTGAGCGCTAATCTGGATACCAGAAAAGCGCGCAATGCCGAGATTCAGAAGTGGGGCGAGAAGGATCAGAGGGCGAGGAATTTGATCATCATGTGCCTGGACGATGCACAGGTGATTCATACGGAAGGAGCGACAATGGCGCATCATATGTGGGATCTGCTTCGCACGGTAAAGGAGCCAAAAGGACAACATGGGATTATAGCGTTGAGTCGAGTTTTCTATGATTACCATGCTGACGAAGGCGTGAATATCCCGAAGCACATCGCCAAGCTTCGGGAGATACGCAAGCAATTACAGACGATGGGAAAGCAAATAGCGGATGCAGATTTTAATGGGATCCTCATCAAGTCCCTGCCCAGCAGCTGGGACTCATATACAGCGTCATACACTGGCGCGATGAGTTCTCAGCCAAACTCTCTGCCAATGACGACACCGGAATTGATCGCTGTAGTCATCAGCGAATATAGGCGCTGTCTCGACCGCGATCAGCATGTCGAGCCAGAGCAAGCACTTACCACCCAGAGCCAGAAGCAGAAGCGAGACTCGATCAAGAAATGTTCCATCTGTCATAAGATGGGACACATGGCTAATGAATGCTGAAACCGAGGCAAGCCCATCTGTTCCAATTGCGGAAAGTTCGGGCACGTCGGGAAAGATTGTTGGGCCAAGGGCGGCAGCAAGGAGGGACAAGTGCCTTCCAGAGCGGGACTGTCCAATGCCCCATATCGAGGCACATCATCTGGAGAACCTCCATACAAGCGCCAAAAATTCGAGCAGACGCGCGATGCTGGCGGCAAAGGCAAGGACAGAGCGCACGTTGCATGCGAGAATGATAAAGAAGATCACGATAGCGATATGGTATCCTTAGGCACTAGCTCGGGGAATGATGATTTCGATTCCTTCTACGACTGGTATGCCAATTCAGCGACAACGTTGCATGTCGCAAAAAATCGCGATATATTCTTAACCTACAAACCCCTCGAGCATCATGAAATAAGCGAACTTGGCACTGTCCAAGCCTATGGATGGGGAACCATACAGCTCGAAGGTAAGGTAGGTAATAGAAAAATTAAGTTCTAATTGCATGATGTGCTATATACACTGCAATCCCCATGCAATCTACTTTCAATACCAAGACTTGACGAAGCCGGTGGCCGAACAGTCATGGGAGATCGGCGTGCAATCTTAATTGATCGTCATGGAAAAACCCTTGCTGTCACCAAAATGAAAGGTAGATTATATTTGTTGCATGCCCGAGCGGTTAAGCTGCAACAAGGGAGTGCATACATAGTGTCCGAGAATGACCCGCACACCTGGGAAGAGTGGCATCAATCATACGGACACATCAGCACATCAGGAAAAACACTTCTGCTCTGGGTCACTCTAGGAACATCACATTTTCCCAGGGTGTCCCAGAGCATCTGAGAGCATCTGAGTGCAGCCCAGGTGATCCTAGGATATCCAGGCTTTTCTAGAGCATCTCAACAGTACTCTGGGCACTCAGAATTTGCAGTAGGAAGCATACACTTATAGTATGGCTATGATAAGTCTGAAATATCACTTCTTGCTGCACACAGTGGTTTAGTACAAAATATATTTTACTTGCATAATTCAGCAATCTTTACTATCTAATGTGCACAGTCAGCCAGGTGAGGGTTGGCTTACCTTAGATGAGGATCACAGCCATCGAGCACATGTCCTAAAAACAAAGGCTGGTCAGGAGCTGCCAGTTCAGGTAAAAATATCAAATGGGAGGGGACCTGTAGATGAAACATCGCGACAAGCACGATGCGGATGGAGGAAAGAGGACGACAAATGAAGGATGGGAAGCGATGTATGATGACGGACATCTCATAAAGGGGGGACACACAAGCCGGTTCACATGCAGGTCCTCCTCAAGCATGAGGTTGAATGTGAGCGGCGCGAGGAAGATGACGGCCTGCACGTCGTCGAAGGATGGAATCCAGTGCAGGCACTGCATATCCGTGTCAGATCATTTGCCGGAGGTAGATGAGAGGAGGATGCACATTGCTCCAGCTCCTGCCGACATCGTAGATGTACCACTCCAAGCCGGGCAGGCCACCTGCACGGGAGGGATAGCATTGCGTGAGGGGGCAGCAGAAAGGACAAATGGTGAGCTCAGAATGGAATGATGGGGGCCTGGACAATACGCACCGCTCTCCATCGTGAAGTGGTCTTCTTCCACACTGAGTGTGTGAAGATGCGTGCGAATAATGTCATCTGCATGGTGGCATCGCTAGCACATTATCATGGCGCACACACGCGGGAAGCCATCACGAGAATGTGAGCTGCGAGATGGGATGGATGGCGGAAAGATGCAACACACCATCTGTCAGCTGATAACTGAGCGTCATGATGTGCACAGTGTCATTCAAAAAGCTGTGCATAATGAAGAATGTGGAAATCAGAAAATGGTGAAACACTGTAAGAGAGAGAGACTCACAAGCCGGGCATGTCCTGGAGCTGCATGCCCCTCCGCTTGAGCACCACCCTCACGACGGGATCCTCCCAGAAGGTGACGATGTCATCCTTACATGCAGCCAGCGTCCGGGTTCATGTCATCGACGTGCTCCTTGCCCTTACTGTTGGGTAAATTGACACCGTTCACCGCTACGCCAGAACTGGCAAGCACGCTGGCTGCGCCCTTCCATGCACTGCCTGTTCTGATGCAGACATCACCTGCAGGCCCTGTGATGGTGTCATCTCGGGGGAGCAAGGCCATGGTGAGGGCAGCCTCGAGCGGGAGAAGCACATGCAGTCACCTGCACAGCTGGCAATGGGTGTCGGTGAGAGGCGTGATTGAGCACCGGATGGAGGTAGATGTGGATGGGTGCGACATGTGGTGGGGAGCGGATGACAAGGGGAGGAAAGACAGTGCAGGATGGTGCGAGGATGAGGAGGTAGAGGTTGAGGCATGCATCTTTGTCAGTTATAAAGGATAATCTTGAGTGCTAATAAGCACAAAAAAAGGATTAACTTCCCGCTAATTAGGCAGGCCCTTCTGGGGAGGGTTTATCTACGGATAATCCCTCTCACTGAGAAGAGTGTATCAACCATAGATCATGCAGGATTATCCTCAGATCATCCACTTCTTATCCCAAGATAATCCCCTGAGTGATCGTGTAATCCCTTGAGATCATCCAGGATTATCTTCACTTATCTCTCAGAGTTATCACACAATAGAGATCATCCATATATAAAGTATGGATTATCCTTCATATTAAGCAACATAAAGGAGGGTGAATCTAAAGGATCAACTGAGGATTAACTAGAGATAATCCTAGCATGAAGATCAAAACAGAGACAAAATGTGAGTGAAGGTACAAAGGATTAGACAAGGATATCACAGTAATAAGGATTCATGAAGGATCAAGGAGAGATTAATAAAGGATAATAGTGACAGACATAGGGATTAAGGAACAGTTGGGATCAGCATAGGGATTAAGGAAACATAGGGATCAGCATAGGGATCAAGGAAACATAGGGATTAACATAGGGATCAATGCATAGGTATCAGAAACAGATCAAGAGGAAAATCAAGTATAACAGAAACATAGCCACAAAAAGGAAGGTGGTTTGCGATAGAAGACTGATTACATCAGCCAAGCGAACATGTAAACAAAATTTACTTGCGGGTGTGAAGAGACTTCCGTGGTTGAGCAGTAGCGCGAGTGCACCGCTTCTCCACGACACTGACCACGACACTGTAGAATAGTGAGCTCACTTGCAAGAGAAGTAATGATAAAATACAACATACCTGCACTTTTTGTTAACCGCCTGTCCCGCGGCCTTGGTGTTCGACGTAGATGTAGATGCACTGTGAAATATATGTTGCTATCAATCAAGAGGTGTTCAGCTAAAGAGACAACATACCGCGGGCCTTGTTTCCGTTTTCTACCCCTCGTCACCTTCACCACCTCTTTAATGCTTCCGCCATCCTCCTCGTCATCGTCCTCTCCTTCTGCATCCGCATCGCTCTCATCATCGCGTTCGCGCACACTGTCTGCATGCTGCCCGTCAACCGTGTCCTCACGGCCTGTGACGACCTTGTCACCCTCACGCCTGACCTCCACGCTGACAGCGTCACCCGCAGTGGCAACCCCTTTCCTCTTGTTGACTGTGTGCTCACCATGAGCGACCGCAGTCTCTGTGGCACTATGCTTGAGAGCGCGCATCAAAATATTGTCCGGGTCCAACGGCTCGCCATCATCATCGACATGAGTCTACACCGCGATGTCGCCATCAGTGCCACTATCACACTTATTGGCAGGACATGGGAGCTCACCGATGTGCTCACAACCACCCGCTTCCGTGAAGGTGTCTGGGCAACGACATCGTCGTCGTCATCCTCCTCCTCCTCCTTCTCCTTGTCGGTGGCATCACCATCACGAGCGACGGCATCACCGTCAGGAGCGACAGCGTCACCATCAGCAATGACGGCATCACCGTCAGGAGCGATGGCCATCTCGTCGACACTTGGCCCTTCGAGGATGTCACCATTATCGAGTATCGTGCGTCTTCGAATAGCGGCCAGGTCGACCACAAAGCTGAATGACCCGTCAGTGTCTTGCACATCATACATTTGGAGGTATAGCGCCATGACCTGTGCAGGCTTCATCTTCACTGGGTCGCCTACAGATCCTCACCAATCCGCGGCAACCAATTCGCATGCGATATCGCCGAGTGCATCCCACGGGAGTTCAGGGAGATCCTCAACATCGGTGTGTGTGTAGACTGACGAAAGTAATTAGTACGAGAATGAATTTATAAACAAAATACGTACACCATAACTCTTCCATGTATTCCTTCAAGGTCTTCCCTACATGCATTGGAGTCCAGTCTTCCTCCATCTGTGGGAGGACGGGCTTGCCAACGTCATCGCGTGCCCTGGGAGGATCACGGTTCACCACTGTTGATTGTATTGTAAGTATGAGAGTCCTGCGCGAAGCAATGAAACTTACTGAACGCTTGGGCCATGAAGTGTTCCCAGCGTGCGTCTTCAGCTTTATTTCCACCTTCAAAGGTGGAGAATGATTCGGTTTCCCCGGCGGGCATGATATCGACACTGCAAACATACTGTAAGTGAATTTCCGTGGACAGATATGGAGAACGAGAACTCACCAAGTGGAACGGGGAACTCCCTCTTGCAGCTTGTACACCATGCGCAAATGGAAGCCAACATCCTCTCCTGCTTGCCAACCCTTGCTTCCGATCAACCCCTGGAGGGCCGATGCAACCTTGACAAAAAGTCCTTCTTGGTTGCTAATGTCACTGGTGAGCCTCAAGTCGTCACGCAGAGCTACGACTCGGACTCACTCAGCGATGAGGTCATCAATGCTCAAATTCTCCCGCTCCTTGCGCAGCTCCTCCGCCTTCTCCTCCCAGGTGTGCTTCTCCTCATCTGATAGTGCCTTGAAGCACTTGGACTTGACCGAGGAGATGACGGCTGCGCGGTTTGATTCGTTCACCTTCCCCTCTGCAACCTGAGATGCGAGCACCGCCTCCCAAATTTTGTGACCTTCGTCATCCTTGGCCCATAATGCACTGCCGCCACCGCTACGCTTGCGCGCAATGAACATGTTCTTGCCCCCGGCATGGAACTCGCGTCGGACTCCTTTACTGGTGCGCGCGCGGGTGTTCTTGAAGAACACCTGCGCTTTCTGTATGTAAATAGAACGGATGAGAATCGTACCCTGAGAATGAATGTGAAGGCTCACCTCATGTGCCATGGGGAGAGCTGCCCTGGCGAAGTGAGGGGACACGTTCTGCAACGCTGCAACTGCAGCCTTCAAGATTGCTGCTCGCTCTTCACTACCCGGCTTGTGACTCAAGTATTCGGCGTGTTTCTCGTCCAGCACAGCGAGCTCCACGGGGCGCCAGCTTATGTGCTTCTGCAAGATGACTTCAACGGAGGGATCTGCCATAGTGAAAGCTACTGCGGGTGCGCGTAATGTAGGGAGACTCACCAAATTTTCACCCTTATCATCCGTCTCCTGAGATGCATAAGCCAATCGGTATTGTATGTTTAGCCTCGCGTAGTCTCGCAGAAAAAATATTTTGTGGCGCTGTCACTCCGACGGTAAAAGTACAATCTTCAGATCATATACAGATATGTGAGATCTCACCAGGATTGGATTTAGCATTGCGGAAGCATCCCGATCTGAACAACGAAAGACAGTGTCAGCGGGTAATATTTGTTGACTGTGGCAGAGCGCACTATTCTGAACCAGTCTACATAACGTAGTAATATTCCTTGCCATCCACAATCTCGATGATCTCACCCAGGACGTCATCGTTAGGTATGATCTCCGCTTCCACCTCATCGTCTGTAAGCTCAATGTCACACTCTATCACCTCACGCGCCTTCCCCTTATCCATCCGTCTGAATTTTCTACCCTCCGTCCCCACATCGGGTGACAGTGAACGCTTGGCCACGCATCTGCTCGAGCTTGAACTGCTAGCAGCGTCGCAAACCCGGCTGGATGAGGACGTCGAAGGCATCGAAAGCGTGCTTTGAGATCCACCGGAAGATGAGGATGGGGTGGTGAGAACGTTCTTCGCAAACGTGTTGATAGCGGCCATGAGCACAGGCAGACGCGCAGTTGCTGAAACCTGTATGTTAGCAATCTGAGCAGCGCTCGGATTCCAAGTGCTGCCCTTTTCGCGGTAAACAGGAGTGTCGCCCGGAAGCAAATACTGCTTATCCGTGTGCTTTGGATCGTCAACAAACTTCTTCAAATGAGGGCAGTACCGCTGGTATGGCGATAAGCCTTGGGAGTCATCGATAAGCACCGTCTCGATGAAGGACTGCTTGAACTTGAATTCAAGATAGTCCTCGCGCCGTATTCCCCGTGTGGGAATAATGAGAGGAATATCTGAACCCTGCACACCGCATTAGCAAGCTCACCGGTGGTCACACGTGAATGTTACTTACCTTGCACACCACGAGCACCGACATAGTGGCAGAATTCAAGGGAGGGCGACCGCAGCAGCGGAAAACCGGTGAGGTGCTAGGAGAACTCAAGAGCGGGCTGCTCGGGGGCGGGCTGCTCGGAGGCAAGCTGGTGTCGATCATAGGACTGGTGGGCGGTGGCATGGCCTCGGATTGAGGTTCATCAGAGTGCAAATAGCCCACGCCGCCTAGTACAGGGGGCGGACAGAGAGCAGCAACGTCCTCATGGCACTGGGCCATATTACCCCGCGTCATTTGCGCTCGAAGCCTTTTGAGATGGTGCCCACACATTGGAGTAGTGCGACACTGAATGAGATCAGAAAGAATGTAGGTGCATGAGTACAAAGTGGACTTACAATCTCGAAGAGCACCCCAAGGTTCTCAGCATTGGTCACACTGTAGCTGGCCACAACAAGGTGACACTGCTCCGGTTGCACCGAGCACATTATCAACGAAGACAGCAAGACGTTGCGTCGAGGGAGAAGGCTGTCGACAATGGCCTTGACGTGGGGGTCAGTGCGAGCCATGTTCAAGTGTGAACACTGCAGTTCAATGCGTTCGCAGCACGGCTTTTATACCAGAAACAGTGCAAATAAATGCATACAAAATCCAGGTGTATATGACACGTTGTACTGTTCGAGATCTATCGGGAAATTACCAGTGTGAATCAGCCTGCAAACAGAAGTCGTCGGTTATTGAATTAACTATACATGGTGACCACTTAGCTGAATTTGAGTGTAGCTGCTCTGAACCGATGTTGGCGATCTTCGAGACAAGGCAGCACTGTCACCCGCGTAGATAGTGCATTCCAATCAAGTCGGGCATGTCATTGCTGTACAACAATACATAAATTGCAGAATGAACAGCCAAGCACTACGCGAATCGGATGGGCGCAACGGGGAGACGGTGAAACTGGTGCATGAACGTCTACACATACAAGCGGACAATGCTATCCTGCAAGTGATTGTACTCATCTGCCTCGCAGACGAGCAGAGTGTCCACATCTATTCGCAAGTCTTCTGGGACATCTGGCCACCGTTGCATGACTGCGAGGAATGCACTGAGGCGGGGACGGCTCCGCTCCCATCCTGGCGCAGGCGCACGAACCCAATGGAAAGCAACGTCATCTTCACTCCAGCACGGTGCGACCGTCAGTCATGACCTGGTGGCACGTCTATCCCACACCTTGGCCACTTGTGCCTCGCGTTCCCACTGATGTAAAGAGCCCCATTTGCTCATGTCCAAGAGATGAGCATTCAATGCACGTAACTCGCAGCACCAGTTGGTCTCATGCAGCTCCCACAAGATCTGCTCACAGATGTCGACCACATTATCCAGCGAGATCGGGTCCTCGCCCCAGGAGGGTTCCATTGTCTCATCGTACCAGCTCATCCGGCCAGTGGCAGCAAAGAGCTGACGAATATTTTGTTGCCGCTCATGTTTATCCTTGGCTTTCTTCGCCGTGCTCGATTTGCTGGCGACAAGACTTGCAGTGTTCGCGTCTGATAGCCCATCACCACTTGATGTTGATGCACCCTCACACGCCGCTGCCTCGCTCTCGCCCAATGTCAAGGTGGCTGACATAGCGCTCTGACCTTCCGCAGTCTCATCCAGACTGTAGTCTCCCCACAATGCATCCCTCCATTCCGCTATCTTCAGTGGAAGCCCGCCAATCGTCGGATCTAAAATTCGTTGACGACAAAACCCGCGGATCTGCATGAAATTGTGCAGGTACTGGAAAAGCTTGTCACCGGTGCAGTCAAGCACAAAAGGCAGCGAGAAAAAGTATGTTGCCACCCGTGGCAGTGCCATCAAAGGAGGCACACCCGAGAGGGCGGCATTCCACGCATCGCCGAGTAACGCGCTGGGCTTGTGCAACAAAGACGGATGGGCGGGCTGCGATGCCCCCACGCTAGAACTTTCGGTGTTGCGATTTTTTTTTCCTCATGTGCCATGGTGCATACGCTTGGACTTTTTGGCGGACTCCGCGCTGCCCGAGGGCTGCAAATCGGCTCGGCCGTCACTCTGCTGTGTGGTTGGGAGTTGCATGGATGGGAGTTTGTCATCCTTCTGCTTCTTCTGCGGGGGTTGTTCAGCAGTTGAGACTTCGGATGTGCCTTCGAGCGGAGGCAGGCCGGCAGTGCAGACAGCAGCCATAGCCTCATGCAACATCCTAGCGGGCCATTCACCCGCACGGTGCAAGATTCCCGCAAGGTCCATCTCATGCCTGAGCAGGCGTGGCCACGACATTTCCAGGCTTAGCTCATAGCTCACCAACACAGGACTAGCCCATTTCTCGATCTTTGTCTTCTCTGTCTTAGTCTGGATGAACCAAAACGGTATGCCGATGCGGAACAACGAATGCGCGATGTTGGTGTCGTTCATGAAAGCACCTCATACAGGCAAAATATCCTAATCGGGTTTCCTGCGGAGGGTTGGCATCTCCAGCCGACCGACGATGACAGTGTAATAGTTGACAAACCCCCACAGCTCGAGTGTGAGGCGTTGCACGTGTGCCCCGAGCACGATCGCATGAGTGCAAGTCATCGGGAGGAGGTGAAGACAGTCCAGACACTGACCCAGCATCAGTATGAGTTGCTGGCCGGGTTTCGTCTTCTCCGAAGTTGCTCTGCCAAGCTGGCGAGCAAAATTGTCCATCACCCGCAGTGCTGCCTCAGCCAGCACGTTGAACTTCTCCTCCATCAGAAAGCCCAGATCGGGTACACCGCAGGTCGAATCCACCTCCCACTCCCATAACCTGATCTTGTCCCACAGAACCATCGCATCTGCCTCCAACACAGCAGCCATACCCGATATACACATGTGATGTATGACCTTTCAGTCGAACATCTGCAGCCACCTCGAATACTCCTGGGGACCCCAACGTCCATCCTGCTGCATCACAATCTGCCCATTGAGTACTGCCGGGAATTTGGGTATGTAGCTTGCGTTCAGCGTGGTTATGACACCGTCATCACGCAATGGAAACTCCGTGGCCAAAAGACCATCGAAAGGTGAAACTTTGTCCGCCCCTGTTTCACTTGATCAGAGAGAGCTTGAACATTGTAAAAGTATTTGCCTACCCATTAAAAGTGTCGATCCACCAGCGATTGCCTGGTGAGATGACGATGCACTTGGCAACGCCATAGCCCGAGAGGTTAGATCGTTGTAGCCTTGGGAGGATGACAGCCGGGCATCTCTTCCATCGCGTACTGTTCGATGAGCTTAGGAAAGAGTTTCAGATCACTTAGCACTAGGCAGAAAGACCGGGTAAAAACATACCGGAATCGTTCTGATTGGGCTGCCCCGGTGCTGATCCCGAGCCACGTCCCCGTCCTCGTCCACGTCCTCATCCTTGTCCTCGGCCATGGCCTTGGCCTCGTCTGGTAGACATCGTCTGATTCGGTAAGAATAATCAGCCTCACACAAGGCTTAGATGTACGATTCACGTACCTTCGCAGAAAAAAAAGGCGCCGCAATTCAGCGCCGATGAGCCTGCAGACGAAATGAGTGTACACTAACGTAACTACGAAATGTATGAACGCTACACAATGAAGGGAAAATGAATGAGTAATGCGTGCTAAGGCTGCACCACCTGTGAATATGGGACTTACCACTGAGAGTACCTACTTCCAATCTCCAACAGAGAAGCCAAAGACTCACGAAAATCTACAGGCCTCCGATCTTGATACAGGGGGCGCACAGCATGTGTTACGCTGGGGCGTACCATTGTCCGAGGTTCGTCGAGCAAGTACTAAGTCATTCGACGACTAAGTAGATGCGAGTCAAGAATCGAGAGTCAAGAAGATCACACAAGGACTAAGTGATAATCCCGTGTATTGAGAGGTAAAGTAACCAGATCGAGACTGGGGTTCCAGTCGACGATCTCAGCCTTATATACTAATAGTACATGCTGAGTAATACATGCCAGTAATGGCTGAGTCAGTGAGTACCCTCGCGGTGAGGGATGAGTCAGTGAGTACCCTCACAGTGAGGGATGAGCCAGTACAGGTTCTAGACTATGGTATCATGGTCTAGAGAGAGTCCAGATCGAGTCGAGAGATATCGAGACTCGAAGTCTTGGGTCAACGCGTAATCGTACAATGTAATCGAAAGAAAAAAGATAGGTACTCAATGTACCGTTGTAACATAAGCCCCTTCCTATGCCACCTTTGCCCTCAAAGGCATTCCTACGTATCTCCTGCTTCTGATGGCGTCACGCTGTTCATCGGAAACCCTTCAGTATACAATGAACCCGTTCCATCGAAGTCAGAGAATCGCGGGTCCGTTTGAGGGTCAGGGTAAGAGAACGCTATCTCGCGCGCATCGTAATTTGCGTAGAAGTCATGAGAGTGGGAACAACCTTCTATCATGTGGCCAGGTGCTTGTTTTCCACAGTAGTAGCAACGCATCCTGTTGGATAGCAACACAGGACATGCGTTTGGGTCGTGGGATGCGGGGACAGATTGACAGATTACACAAATGTAAAATGGGCAGGTATACTTCGGATGGGTATACTGTCCGCAGAACACGCACTGGGGATGTGGTCGTTGATACGCGACGTATGCTGGGATGGTTCGGTGTGGCCCAATGAGCGCTGTGGAGAAGGCGGGAGGAAACGGGGAGATGTTCCTTCCAGGCTCACTTTCTCCTGAGCCTACGAGGGTCTGAGTCGATTGATCCGAGTGTTCAGATGTTTCAGTCTGCACCGCATTTTCTGTGGTCATCGGGGATAACTCTTCGGCATGATGGTTGGGATTGTCACTAAAGTTCCACTCCGATACGTAATCTGGAGGGGGGATTGGGCGTAGAGGCCGTGCGATGGAAACACCTTTATGAGTCGCTGCTGGAGTGGAAGACGTCGAAGCGCCTTCGAACAAATTGAACGGATTCGGGGTAGGAACTGTTATGGGGTCGAAGGCGAGATGTGATGGTCGCGGTGGAGGTACGGGGGGTGTTCCCTCTCGCGGGGTCTCTGGTGGCATGTCTGTTAAAAAGGTGGGGAGGAACGGCTGCATGGCGTCTGCATCAAGCTTGACGAGTCGTTAATATGAGTTCATCTGGGCAAACATTAGAGCTAGCGTTTCCTCCTGTCGCTGGATTCTATCTCCCATGCTTAACGCTAATGCTTCCATCCTCTCCGTGTATCATCGTGTTCCTGCTATTGCATGCTGCATGGAAATAATTTCCGATTTGGCAGCTTGTTGCGAATGGATGATCCTAAGCGCATACTGCGCGTGAGAGTCGTCCAATGTGGTTAGGGCTTGAAGATATAACTCCTCATATTCTGCAAGTAGACGAACTGCCCTCGACTCGTGAAGCTCGCGGGTCGTCCAGGGCATGTCGGGTAGGGACGGCGTGGTGGCTCTAGAGCATATGGGGTTGATCGAGTCAACTACACCGACAATGAAGTCTTCTAAATCACCGACAGTTCCAATCCATCATGAGAATCGGAGATGGGCCCTAAGGTTATCTCGTATGTCATGTGCTGGTACTCCCCTAAAGTTCCTAGGGTGTGGTGAGGGAGTTGGAGAAGTTTCAGAAAAGTAGTCATCGACAATGGACTGCACTCCCGATGATGGCATAGTGGAGGTTCAGAAGCGATGAAGGTCTATGAGGGTGATTGCTGAGATATGATGCAGGTGTCGTCGCCTTTTGTATTCCTCTAGTAGTCTTCCGGCATTCATCAGATTTGCTTCGGGTTCCCATGAGTTCTCGGCAGAAGTGTATCCTTTCCACTTGACCAGATATTGGGTTCGACCGTATCTTTGTCGGTGGTTTAGGATTGCTTCGACTTCGTATTCCTCGTGTTCTTCGATAAGGTCAGGTGGTGGTCTCGTATAGTTTGGGCTGTGGATCTCTGTTTCCTTATAAGGTGATAGAAGGCTGGCGTGGAATACGGGGTGGATCCTCCATCCTCGTGGTAGGGTCAGGCGGTAATCCACAGGGCCTATACATTCTTTGATAATGAAGGGGCCTTCGCATTTTGGAGCCATCTTCCGCATCGGGTACCCGATGTTCAGGTTCTTTGTGTCTAGCCAGACCTTCTGACCTTTTGTGAAGTGTGGTGAGCCCTTCCTGATCCGTTCTGCCATATGCTGTCTTGCTAGCTCATGCATGGCTAGAGCTTCCTCTCGAATCTTCTGGAGTTCAGATAACTGAGTTTCCACCGAGGGTACATTTGTCCTAGGGAGCACCGACGGGATTCCACGTGGTTCGTATCCCATCATCATGCGGAATGGTGACATCTTCCATGCTGAATGTTCGCGTGTGTTATGGCAGAATTTGAGGTCTGGTAGTCGGTCTACCCATGACTCGGGGTTGTTACCGCAGTAGAGTCGGAGGTATACTTCTAGTTCTTGGTTAACGCGCTCTGTTTCTCCATCCGACTGAGGGTGGTAGGCGGTACTCATTGAGGACCTGATTCCTAGTATCCTGCATGGTTCTTGGAATACATGCGATGCGAATTGTGTTCCTCTATCAGAAATCAGTTTGTCTGGGAGTCCAAATCGGGAATAAACTTTTTCGTGGAAAAGCTTTGTCATTTGATCTGCTGTGACCGTCTTCAAGCAAGGGCAAAGAATTACCCCCTTCGTAAGGTCATGGTCTACCACGACCATGAGAGAGTCAAAACCACGTGATACTGGTAGGTCCGTGATGAAGTCGACGGATGAACAGGAGAATGGTAATGCATTTGGGGTTGCTGCTATTGGCATCGGGAAGGGTTTAGTGGGGTGCGTATTGATCTTCATCTGTTGGCACCCTGCACATCCTTCCACATAGGCACATACTGCAGAATAAAGTCCCGGCCACCAGAAATCGCGTCGTACAAGTTTGAGGGTTTTATAAGAACCCGGGTGTCCCATGGCCGGCGTGTCATGGTATAATTTGATAATATCACGTCGGAGAGGTTGTACTGGGGGTACATATACGCGTCCTCGGTATTGGACAAGCCTCTCAGTGATTTTCCAATCATCGAGGGCTGATTTCATTGGTGGTGGTCCTTTGTTCTGTAAGGCCTGAAGCGCATCGTGAACGACTTGATCTTTAATTGAATGTGCACGAATGTCCTGGTATAATTGTGTCAATATCGAGTGTACGAATAATACTTCTGGGAGAAGGATGTGATCTTCATTATCGTGATCCCGGTCGCCTTTTCCAAGCAAACGGGATAGGGTATCCGATTGTATCATTTGCATTCCTGGAATGTGCACCAGTTGGAGTTCAAACTGTGATAAAAAGAGACTCCATCGTGCTTGGCGTCTATTCAGCTTCTGGGCCATCCAGTAGTAGGTCAGGTTTTTGTGATCGCTGCGTATTACTATTGGATGAGGAGAGCCGTCAAGGTAATGGTGCCATCCTTCAAGGGCACGAACGATTCCTAATAGTTCCCTGTCATAGATCTCGTAGTTCCGTTTGGCTGGGTTAAACAATTTTGACAAATAGCCACATGGGTGGAGGTCTCCGTTGACGTCGGTTTGTCTTAACACTGCTCCTGTAGCCACAAGCGAGGCATCGGACTCGATGATAAAGGGTTTCGTCTTATCTGGCATGAGGAGCACGGGGGCAGAGACAAACTTTGCTTTGAGCATATTGAACGCTTGTTGGCAGTTGGGGGTCCATTCCCATATCGGTTTCTTTGTCGTCATCGTGAGATCTGTGAGTGGTCGTACTATCTCGGAATAATAATCGATGAACTTCCTGTAGAAGTTCGCAAAACCAATAAATGCGCGGACAGCTTTCACCATTGTTGGTTCTGACCAGTCCTGGATCCCTTTCAACTTGATCGGGTCCATTCCAATATGGTCCGGACATATGATCATCCCAAGGTATTCTACTTCTTGGGAGTCGAATCTGCATTTTTCCGGTTTGACGAACAGATCATTTTGCTTGAGTCGTTCTAGGACTCGAAGAGTATGCTGTCGATGTTCTTCCATGTTATTCGAGAAGATAAGGATGTCGTCCATGTAGATGATCATCCATCCTTCGTCGATCAGGTCCTTAAAGATTTCGTTCATCATTTTCTGGAACGTCGCCGGGGAGTTGCAAAGTCCGAAAAACATCACCGTTGGTTCGTATAGTCCTCGATTTGTCTTGAACGCGGCTTTCCACTGATCACCATCTTTGATCCGTACATTGTTATATCCGGATCGAAGGTCCATTTTTGTAAAATAGCGTGCTCCCTTGAGTTTGTCGAGGAGTTCTGTGATCAGAGGAAGTGGGTAGGCGTTCTTGACCGTTCCTTCATTCAAGTATCGATAATCTTGGCAAGTCCTAAGGCTCCCATCCTTTTCCTACGAAGAAGAAAGGGGATGCCATTGGCGATATCGATGGTCAAATATATCCTTTTCGTGTATTCTCATCTAGGAATTCATCGAGTGCCGTCTGCTCTTTAGGGGGTAGGGGATAAATCTTGCAGTCTTTTGGTACAAATTCTGGTTTTAAATCGATAGCATGGTCCCATGCCCGTGAGCTCGGGAACCGTTCTGCCGCTTTCTTTTTGAAGACGTCTTTGTACCCCATCAGGTAGGAGGGGATGAGCTCTTCGAGCTTCTTCTTCACTCCTCCTGCCTTTTGGATTGCTTCTTGTACCAATTCTTGCGATTTTCCGCTAGCCTTGTAGAGCAGTGTGTCTGTGCCGGTGTTACATAGCCAAGTGTTTTGTGCGATACTAAATCGCCCAGATCGCGTATCCCTCATTATCCGACCTATACAGGGTCCTGAGGTGGGTTTGTTATCACCTCGAGTTGGGCATTCAGGAGTTGCTGTATCGCCTTGCGGGTCAAAGATTGCCAGCACCGGTTCACCTTGGATATATGAGATAAGCAATTCGCTGTCCTCCAGTTCGACCCTGTAATCGTGAATTTCTAGTTCTGGGTCTCCTGGTTTAACTCAATTTTCCGGATGTTCTGGATCGTTATTTTCCCAGGATCGTCCATTATCGTCAATTGGTCCGATATAGGGGGCATTTACTGCCTTTTTGACCTTCGGTTCGTTATCTTGGACTGTTTCAACAGTGGGTTTTCTCCAATCGTAATCCAGTTCGCCGGTTTCCCAGTTAATCCGAGGGTTCATCGCCTGAAGCCATGGTAACCCGAGGATAACCTCATCCTTTCCTAGGTTGGTAACGTAGTACTGGAATACTTTTTGTTTTCTTCCAGCCTTTGTAGGTTTCCATACACAGTGCGTTGCATATCCTAACTTGTTTGGAGTACCGTCAGCATTGAGAATCCTAATTGGTTTTGGGAGTCTCTCCTGGTGGTACTTCATTCGTTCGATGAACACTTTATCCATAAACATTCCTCCAGCTCCTGAGTCCAATAGGGCGGAGATATCAGCGCTTTGACTCAGCACACCCAAAGTAATAGGAACATGTATCGATTTTCCCAGGAATTCGCATACAATTACATTGGGGTGACGAGTCGGTAATGACGGTATTGACGCTGTTACAGCCCGTCGGATCCAAAATCCGATCCTTCTAGTTTCCTGATCCAGTCGTTACGTTCCTTCTGCATCTTTCGTAACTCCTGGAGTAATTCGGAGACGTCACTGTTGGAAATGGTCGTTCTTTTGACTGATGCGGTGTCTTCTTCAACGTCTTCTATCTTTGAGGTTGAGGGTTCCCCTTTGGATTCCTCGACCTGTATCTCCTTGCGTGTTCCTGAAGTGTTTCCGGGGTTCTTTGGCTTCTTCTTAGGACAATCACGTGAGCGATGTCCTTGTTGATGGCACTCAAAGCAGAGTCCTCCTTTGATGTGCCTGTCGCGTTCTTCTTGCGACATGCGGTCGACGTCTATAGCATTAGGGTCTCGTGTGTAGATGGGTCCCTTCCTCTGTTGTTGCCCCTGCTTCTGCTGCTGTCCGCTAGGGCAACTGTTCTGGAATTTTGTATACATCTGCATTGACTTGGTTTGGTTGTCAATTTCAACCGCCTTCTTGTACCACCCTTCCATATCGGTGGGGAGTGGGTTGACATTCATGATTCGCTCGAGAAGTCGGCGGGATAGTCCAAGTTTAAAGTAATGGAGGCATGCTGGGTATTCCGTGATTTTGGCCTTTTTCATAAGTACCAGCAATGAGTTAACGTAATCCTGTACTTCTCCCGTCTGACGAAGGGATTCAAGGTCTTTCAACGCCGATCCCATGGGATCGGTCTCTTGGAATGCCTTGTTAAAGTCAATGACCCATGCGTCGAAGGTTCCGTAGTCCTTTAGCTTTCCTAGGTCGTCGGTGTGGTCATCGTACTATGTTTCAGCCCATGCTTCGGCCGTTCCTCCTCTCATGAAGGACATCGCGAATGCAATTTTCTTCTTATTGCTATTGTAGATTTCATCATTGATGTCGACATACGTCTGAACCCTTTGCAGAAATATCTTTGTCTTGCTCGTATCTCCCGACAAAGGTTCAGGTTGGGAGATTTTGAGCTCGGTTGGCTTTGGTGTTGTCATCGTGGGAAATGGATTCGAGACGATGTGTCTGTGGGCCGGGATCGCAGAAAAGGCTGCTGCAGGTATAAGCTGCACGGGGATTGGTGCAGGGGTTGCTGTCTCCGCTTCTGGTCCTGCTTCCAATTCCGCTTCTGATTCTGTTGCTGCCTCTGCTGCTGCTGCTGCTAATAGGTGTCCTGGGGTTATTTTGTCAACTCCTCGTTGTATTTCTGCTGGGTCGAGTAGTTGGTTAACATTTCATCTTGCTTCAGTGTAAATCGCGAAGCGCTCTGCTTCGTTTGGATAGTCTCTGGCGAATTCTTCAAAGATTCTTCAGTAGGTTGCTTCGTCCGATGCAAGCCTCCAACCCGGTCTTCCTTCTCTGATAGTCGGGAGGGCTCTGAATTCTCTCGATGATGAGCCTCGGTGGATTGGATGTCCTAGGTTTTCGTCCCACCTTATCGACGAAGGTCGAGGGCACGAAAATTCTTCTAGTCCTCGAAAATCCAGCGCGTCAATGTTTTCCTAACCTTTCCGCACCCCGGGTAACTCGCCCTGCTAGGTGTTTATCGGCTAAGGTTCGTCGGGTTTCTGTAAACGTAGTTCTGCTCTAAACCTGAAAAGGTTGAGCGGTATCGGATAGTCTCGATCTTATGTTACACTGGGGCGTACCACTTGTCCGAGGTTCGTTGAGCAAGTACTAAGTCATTCGACGACTAAGTAGATGCGAGTCAAGAATCGAGAGTCAAGAAGATCACACAAGGACTAAGTGATAATCCCGTGTATTGAGAGGTAAAGTAACCAGATCGAGACTGGGGTTCCAGTCGACGATCTCAGCCTTATATACTAATAGTACATGCTGAGTAATACATGCCAGTAATGGCTGAGTCAGTGAGTACCCTCACAGTGAGGGATGAGCCAGTACATGTTCTAGACTATGGTATCATGGTCTAGAGAGAGTCCAGATCGAGTCGAGAGATATCGAGACTCGAAGTCTCGGGTCAACGCGTAATCGTACAATGTAATCGAAAGAAAAAAGATAGGTACTCAATGTACCGTTATAACAGCATGCTCGAACGTGCACCGGTCTTGAGTTCTTGGGAATCCCAGCCAGGCAAAGAGAGAAGTCTCTCTTCGCACGTAGCTGTCATCCTCAGTGGCATTCAAGAGGCGTATGCCTCTCGTTCGCACTCTGGCTTTGAGGGAAAGAAGATCTTCAAGAAATTAGAATGTGAGATGAAACTCACAGAAGGGAGGAGGGTAGGGACGATGAACGATAATCGATGAAGGTAGGATGATCCTTGTTGATCCCTCTGAGTTCGGAGTCCGCCAGTCCGAGGCCTTTCGGGCTCTGAATGTGGATGGAAGAGGACCACCCACTCACCATCCAATTTGAATCTCCGCCCAGATTCGATTGTCAGTGCTGGCAACTTCCTCCTTCTAAGTCCAACAGCCTCAAGTCCCAGCCACCTCAGACTCAAGTTCAAGCTCTTTCCTCAAGCCTCTCTTCCTCCCTCCACCTCTTCAAGCACCCTGGTGCTCCGATGGCCATACGGCCATCGTGAGACCTCGGTTGGTGTCCGCTCCCGCTGGTATCACCAGCGGTTGAGTGGACACAGCAAATTCGAGGGCTTGCATGCCGACAATGGAGCTATAGCCGTGGTATGTATATTTTCGTAGTGTATCCTCTTCTGCTCGCTCTTCACATTTAGGTCACCACTATCCTTCATGGCCTTCCGTTGCTTTGGCCCTCAAGATGTCCTTCATTTCCTGGTAAGTCTTTTGCTATTCATCATCGATCTCCCTCACTTACTCTGGCACTGAGGTGGCTTGCTCGCGGGCTCACGGGCTCTAGGTATATTCTTCCACACGTGTGCAGTCCCTACGCAATGATGTAGCAGTTGTGGCAGATCACGCATCCATTTTTCGTTAGCTTCTCGATCAGTAGAGTTCATGCCCATGCGGAGGCGATCTGTCAAGATCGGGACGGTGTGGGTTAGTGTATGTAAGGTATCATAGAAGTACACCAGCATTTTGTGGGCCAGGGTACCGCTGTCCTCGGCGCATGCATTGTAAGTTCCTCTCGCTCTGCGAAATTCTCATCCTCTTATCACATCGGCAGCTCACTACCTCCATGACTCGACGAGCGGGCACGGCGAAGGGAATTACATTCCACGCATCTCGTCGTAAAGTGGCCATCGTGTCGAAGAAGATGGAGATGGATGATAAGGGCCGACATTTTCTCGCTAATACCCAAGTTCGATACACCCCTGAGTCCCCTGCCAAAAAGAGGAAGGTTTCGTGTGACAGCGAAGAGGGCGTAGCAGACGCAGGGCCATCAGAGGTACAAACCGCTGAGCCTGACATTGTGATGCATGAAGGATCTCCAAAACAGCCTGCAGCTACGACGGGACAGGTCAAGGTAAGCTGCATCTTCCATATTCCCACTCCGAGTTCTTAGTCTTTGCAGAATTGGGTTTCCAGGGTACTAGCGGAGTGGACGCCACGCCTCCATGACCTTCTCACTGACCTTCTGTCCGCGGAAGCTCATTTGAACATTCCCGGTCTGTGTGCATGTGGCGGCCCTTCAGTTGCACGATGCCGCGACTGCTTTCAAGGCACTGTGTTCTGTGGGGCATGTATCTCGAAGGCCCATCGTCACGATCCTTTCCATTGGATCGATCTATGGAATGGCGAGTTCTTCGAGAAAGTCAACATGGGGATGTTTGGATATATTCTTTACCTTGGGCATCATGGGCAGCCCTGTCCAGACTTGGTCGACCGTCTGAAACCATCGAAATTTGTAGTCATGCATAACGGGATTCACAAGCTTGCGGTGCATTGGTGCCATTGCGCTGGAGCGCCAGAGCGCATCTTGCAAATGTTGCATGCCAGATTATTCCCCACCACTTTAGATCACCCGGAAAGCGCATTCACCGTGGTGCTGCTGAAGGAGTGGCACATGCATGCCCTAACGTCGAAGAAGGGGGTGTACGACTACATGTACGCCATCAGACACCTCACCAACAATTCCGCGCCGCACACTGTCAAGGTACGCATGTGTATTGATGAACGTCGATAGTCGCTGACTGAACGTTGCAGAATCAATACAAAGAATTTAACATTGTTAGTCAAATTTGGCGTTATATCACCATGATGAAGCGTAGTGGCAACTTCCATGGGATGGCCCTTCCGAATCGCGACCCTCAATCTCTCACCGTGCCATGCTTTACATGTCCATGGCCAGGCATGAATATGCCTCAAGATTGGAGGCAGACCCCAGCAGTGTTCGCATGAGTCTAAATTTATTATTTATCGTGTGTCAAGTTCTCAAGTTCGTGCTAGATATATTCATACCTGTGAGCTCAGTGGCGATGGCAATCACGGCTTACAGAAGAAACGAAAACACGATGACCTGAACGACGTTAGTTTGGGTTTGGGACAAGGGTATTTCGTGCATCCAGACAAGATGAGTGAGTACATGGACTCTATTGAGGCCGAACCGGCTGTGAGTACTCAGCCACTATGAGCAGGAGTGCTCTAATGGAAGATGTAGCCCGAGACTTGTAGTGGTTTCAAAGTTGCGCGAGCGCAACGCCCAGGCAAATTCTGCAACCTCGACGTGAGCGGCGTCATTGCTGTCATATGCATACGCCATGGGTGTTTCCGACCGGCGGCCATGGTGGATTTACAAAAGGGAGAACGGTGCGTTTTGACGCAACATCTCGTGCTCAGCGATTGACACAGCAGTAGGTTTGGCCACATGGACTTTGCCCTTGCAGGGGCTCTGGCAGGCCTCGAGGAACTGCAACATATTATATTCACCTACGACGTCGCCTGCATCTACAAGATCAACATCCTCAAATGCTTTGGTGCGCATTTTCCTCAACTCGTGCCCCTACTTGACCGGATACAGATGCTGCTACCGAAAATGCACATGCTTGCCCACAAAGAAGCGTGTCAGGTGCTGTATGTGCTCTGCTACACGTGGGGCACTGGACTTATGCACGGAGAGAGTGTCGAGCATCCATGGGCTGAGCACAACCAGGCTGGCCTCAGTACGTGTGAGATGGGAGCGGGACATCGTCATGATGCTCTGAACGACATCCACAATTATTGGAATTGGCGAAAGGTGGAGAACGTCGGTGAGTTTCTCACTGTTGTAGTTTATATAATCATGCCGACTTAGTGACCCTAACGAACTGTAATAGGAGCATTTCTCACACGCAAAGTCAACGAAGCGTTCAAAGGCCAAGAAGAGAAGACTCAACTGTACGATGCATTGACCGAAGTCGCCGGTGTGGAGAAAGTGTCGACGTGGCAGTGGATGGATGTCGACCCGAAGCAGAAGGGGAAGCAGGTGGAGAGTGTGTACTTACTAAACGATGGTAAAGGTGAGTTATTGTTATTTTCCCAGCGCTGTTGGGTGTGCTTAACATGTCTTAGTGCCTACCACTGGGCATGCTTATCAAGAGCTCACGAAGATGGAGATCCAGCCGCGAGATGGACAGATGGATCTTGCAGTGGGCAAGGCACCATCAGGTGCCATGCAGTTCCTGAAGACCGCTCTGCAGCTTGAGCAGAGGCAGTACGTCAGCCCTCCGTCTTACGATGTTATATGTCTCACGTTCACACAGGTTGGCACTGGAATCTCACCTAGCGAAGCACAAGGATGGCGACAACATTTCCATTAGTGAATCGGCGAGTCTGGAAGCAGAACGGCGGGGCTTGCGACGTGATATAGATAAGTGGCGTCACCAGCAAGTGACGTTCATGCCGAAGGTTGAGTTGCCAGATGCAGAGGATGTGGAGGACGACGAAGATGACGAAATGCACGGAAGACCGGAATCTGAGGCGCTGGCACTCCCCTCCAACTTCAGCGGCAGCGAGCACCAGACGTTTGGATTAGAAATTCTCGCCACCTTCGAGAGACGCATCCGGATGGGGCAGGCATACAACCTACTCAGTGCCATCAAGGAATCACTACAGCATCAAGGCGCATTTCTCAGCAACAAGACTAAGCATGCGCGGGGACAGAAGGACAACACTCGAGCCCAGAGGATGATCCAGAGCGCGGCCGAGCACACACGAAGTCTCATGCGGCGATACAACCACAATCGACAAAGGTTGATTGACCTCGGGATGGATGATGGTGACTCACCCTTACGCACGATCAACCTCAAGAAGGACCTAACTATCAAAAATGTACGTGTTGCGCGCTCGCTCGGGGATAGCAAGGAAGTGCGTGCGTGGTTCTGGAATGTAGCTCCCCCTGGAGCGACAGCTCAAGATGTTGCAGCTTGGGCTGTCGAAGGTACGCTGATCTCTCTCAGATGATACAGTGCGAAATTCATTAACCGTTTGTGGCACCAACAGTGGAACAAGTTGAATGGTTCCAAGCTAGCGCCGAGAAAGCGCGTCACAACGAAGAGGTCAACAAACTGCACAAAGAGTTTCAATGAACGATACGTGCTTGGCGGCGTATGAACGAAGCATGGCAGACTGTGAGGGAGAAGGAGAACATCGAGAGAGGTGCTCAAGCCTATGCAAGGAAGAAGGCAAAGATGTTTGGAAGGATGGCTGCAGGGTGCGAGGGGACTTTTAGGAAATCGAGGAGGGATCCAGATGGGGAGAAACTCGACTATAGTCAGGTGCATTGTCGGCTGATGTCAGGATGTGCAAAGAGTGCTTACCTGTCCAACAAACCTCAAGGGGGATGCTACTGCCATGGGTAGTAAGAGCAAGCGCAGATGAAGCAGTGCAGCTGTGTGGACTTATACTAACACCGACATTCTTCTTCATGCGAGCATTGAACTATAATTTTACATATTTGTTTTCTTTCCTGTAGCTTTGAGATAATCCACCTTCTCTCGACTTTTGTGAGGGGAAGGTGGATCATCTATGTTGCTAAGACATGATCCAATGTACATAGAGTTGACTCAACAAGTGGATCATCCAGAGATGATCTTAAGATGATCTTCATTGAGATGATCTTAGCTGAGATAATCCAAGTCAAGATAATCTTAATTGGACTTCGGATAATCTTGCACAGGATAATCCCACCTGAGGTACTCACACTGAAGATAATCTAGTCCACACTGGCGAGAGATAATCATTGGATGATCCTGCTTAAGATAATCTCAGACAAGATCATCATAAGATCATCCATATGGGACTGCTTAGTTAGGGGGAAGTTAATCCTTTTTCCGTGCTTATTAGCACTAAAGATTATCCTCGATAACTGACATCACTGAGGCATGTGGGTGTGCATGTGCATGGGATGAGCCCGCGGCGGGATTGGTGAGTGCAGATGGGGGGAGGGCGATGGACTGCAGGGGGCGCGAGCCTGAGCGTGAGCCAAAGTGCGATCGTGTGCTGGGGGCAGAGGATGAAGACATGGTCGGTGAGCTCAGGGCAGACTTGAGTGAAGATGCCAAACATGAGGAGGGAGGGATGCTTGTGGGTGGTCGAGGACCAGGCCTGGCAGGGCAAAAAAAAGTCTTGAAGCTTGAATATTGAATATTGAACGCGGGCATGGACTTCAGATTTTACGAAGTTCACCGGCACGTGACTTTCTAAAATGAACTTCACATTTTCTGGAGCCTCCAGAAAACTTGTTGCTGGTACCATATCAATGACTGCAAGGGCCATGAGGTGCAGCCTCCTCCCTGTCTCTGCTTCGTGTTTGTTTCAATGTTTTATTTAACCACTACTCCCTTCAGATCTGGTTTCCATCCACTACACGGTGCATCAGCACCATGCTCATCTACATTCAAGCCCAGCTCACTCCTCACCTCCACCCTCTCCTGACACTCCTCCTCCCTTGTCTGACTTACTGTACTGCAGGAGCGACCGAGCATGATAAACTTCAAATTTCGCTCTGTTTTAACGACCTCATGCGACTTTTCACACGGTTTGTTCTTTGATCTCTCTTATTCTGATTTGATAATGACATTTCCTGCTGTCTATATTGACGAGCATGCTACAAAAACTCACAAAATGCACAGCACACTGCCTCTCTTGTCTCGCACGCAGCCCACCATGCCTTTGACAGCTACACCCCTGTGCCCACCATCTGCCTGACCTCCGCTACTCCATCCATGAGAGCCGATGCAAGCACATCCTTCTTCACCATCGCACCATTTGTGTTGTCTCCTCTTGCCCCGTGGGCTGATTCAGAGGCCCCGCAGAAGTGGCTCGTCCTGAAGAAGTCCAAACTGGGGCTGCTCGGGAGTGGGAAGATGAAAGAGCGGGTGAACAAAGACTTGTTGGATGTCGTGCACTGCGTTGGTGGGACAGTGTCCACAGGGCGGAGTGGGTTCAAGATCTACATAGATTACAATGAGGACCCAGATATCGGGGAGATCATGGTGGCAAAGAAGAAGAAGTCGCGGCTGGGCCTGGATGGCATGACGTGGGGCGCATTGGGCGAGGTGACGAACATCCCAGCAGTAAAGGAGCAGAAACCTAAGCCCGCACCCGTTGAGAATTTACTGAAGGTGAAGGGGGACGAGAACCAGAAGTGGTGGAGCATCAGAAGGGGGCACAAAGACTTGAAGGAGAAGGCAAAGGCCAAGGAGAGCGAATGCCAGAAATTGCAAGTTCATTCCAAGAGTAGGCTCCTCGTTTTCTGCATGTCTTGAATTACTTATTGATCTTTGCACAGCACCAGAGCCCGAGATATCTGTTGACACGTGTGCGTGGTTCAATTCGTTGGACTCAGACATCGTGCTGTCAGGTTCTGTGAGTCAGGAATGGCTGTGACAGCCTTCACCAATGCCAATCCCATTGCATGCTCCATCACCGCTGACAGCAGGAACCATGCTCTCCGCTGTCTCATCAGACCCCTCCTGCACCACAAATGGTCTCCTTGCACCAGAGCCCCCTGCACGCAGTTCTGTTGTGCTCCATGCCATCCAGTCAATGCACTCCCTGACATGCATGGCAAGTTGGGCACAACTAACCAATACAAATAATGACATTCAGCATATCTCATTCTCAATGCAAATGGCCGGCCATCTTCGATCCTATCAAGTGGGTCATCTCTGTGCCCTCCATCCACAATTTCAGGTGGATCGACGATATCAGGCCATTCAGGTCACTCCTTGTCAAGCTTGGTCATATTGGTTCGCTGGGACGAGGAGTGCATTCACTCTTCCAAAGAGTTGCAATGAAAGGGGAGAAGGAGCCGGCGAGAACAGGAGGGTGGGAATACCAGGCGCGAATCTCAGCCTATTCAGTCATGTTTGTGAACTGGACTCCCATTTACCCTGACATTGTCATAAACTGGACAGCCAGCGAATGTCGGCCCATCGGTCTGTGTAAGGAGTTGTAAGCGATCGGCTCATGGCGAGAAAGGGAATGCTGGAGCGATCGGCCCACCGCCATAGGAGTATTTCTGAGTGATCAGCCCACTGCCATGATGCTACTATTATATAGGCATGGGCCCACCACCACGGTGATAGTTCTGAGCGATTGGCCCACTGCCATAGGTGTATTTTTGAGCGATCGGCTGACCACCACTAGGGCTATTATACAGCCATCGGCTCACCGCCATAGGTAGTGTTCTGAGTGATGGGCCCACCACCATAGGTATATTTCTGAGCGATGGGCCCACCGCCATAGGTAGTGTTCTGAGCGATGGGCCCATCACCGTAGGTACATTTCTGAGCGATGGGCCCACCGCTGTAGGTACATTTCTGAGCGATGGGCCCACCGCCATAGGTACATTTCTGACAATGAGCCCACCGCCACTGGGGCTATTATACAGCCATCGGACAACCACCATAGGTAGTGTTCTGAGCGATCGGCCCACCGCCATAGGTATATTTCTGAGCGATCGGCCCACTGCCATGGTGCTATTATACAGCCATCAGCCCACCGCCACTGTGGTAGTACTGAGCGATCAGCCAACTACCAGAGGGTAAGTTCTGAGTCATCGGCCGACCACCTCGGGGCTACTATACAGCCATCGGCCCACCGCCATAGGTAGTGTTCTGAGCAATGGGTGTTATTCTGAGCAGTAGGCCCACCGCCATAGGGGTACTTCTGAGTAGTGGGCCCATCACCATAATGCTATTATTTAGCAATGGGCCCACCACCATAGGGGTACTTCTGGGCAGTGGGGCCCATCACCATAATGCTATTATTTACTGATGGGCTCACCGCCATAGGGGTACCTCTGAGCAGTGGGCTCACCGACATGGTGTTATTAGTCAGTGATTGGTTGACCATCATAATACTGGCAGTGCCTGGACTCAGCAAGACACCTAATCGCTAACCTGACACTACATCTCTGGTGGAGTTTTTACAACATGGAGTCCTGCCTGAAACTTATCGTAGCTGTCGTATAGAGTGCAGTGCCACCATTTTATGAGTTTCTGATATATGGTGAGCCATGGCTTTACATTCTGGTGATGGTGAGACTCAATTTGCCAAAAAGTCGCCAACCTGGCTCTCCTTCTCTGGCGAAGTTTGTTAAACTTGGAGGACTGTCTGAAACTTGTAGAAGAGGATTTATAAAGGGCAGTGCTGCCATTTTAGACTTCCTGGGTATATGGAGAGCCATGGCTTTACATTCTGATGATGGCGAGACTTAACTAGTAAAAAACTCGCTAACCTGGCTCTTCTTCTCTGGTGCAGTTTGTTAAACTTGGATGACTGTCTGAAACTTGTAGTAGAGGATTTATGAAGTTAAATTCCATCATTTTAGGAGTTTCTAGTATATGGCGAGCGAAAACTGGGGCAGGAATTAGCACAGAACCCCAATGCAATGTCAAGGCTTAAAGTTGAATGTAAACTGCAGGTTGGTTGAGGCTCTATGGCAAGAATTTTGTCTTTCTAGATTTTGCAGCAACTCTCTTTTCAAGCTTTATAAGCTTGGACCTTGGATTTTGCGATGCTAGACAATACTGCAATGATGGCAAGTGCACAACAAGCACTATGCGAATGACAGATTTGGGTCACTCGCACTGCAGGAAATAAGACCTGTGCTAGGGTTTGCACACATTTTCCTGCGAGAAATGTTGATTATGCTCATTTGGCATAACTTCAGATGACTAGTTGGGCCAGCCATCCTATGGTGTTCTTCTCCTCAGTTCAAATTTCCTTATTCAGTAATTCTTGCTGAAAAGGGTAGGTCTCATAAAACATATGTCACATGATTACAAAAACATGCTGTTAGGATAAGGGAGCGAGAACACCATAGCAATGGATGGTTTTAGAAGCCTGAGGATTCTCTAATCAAAAAATTAACCAGCCAGGTGCCCTCAATTGGTGGCTGCAGGAAGGGCTCGTAAAATATTGTCAAAATCATTTCTTGCACAGGGACATGTGCATACAAGGAGACACAGGAAAATTGCTCCCTTGTGTCATTACACTTACTCCAAAAAAAAGGGAGACACAGGAAGTCTCCGCAAAAGGAATAATTTTGCTAGTCGTTGATGGAGCTTTTTTACAGCCTCCTACATGCTTGGAGTGCTGGCCTTTTTTTCTGTTTATGTCACTTCTCCGTGCTCGGACTATACTATAAATATTTAGGTAATTCAGCAGAGATGTTTGCAGCCTGAAAAGGCGGCACAGCGAGGTGCCGTGGCCCGGGCATAGTTCTGACACTTTCATTTTTGGTAAGTTCTCGTGCTTCCCATTAGCTGCCTGAAAGTTGAGAGTTGTGCTCCTCAGGCCTTACACAGGATGCATAACCCCTTTTTTCCTAAGGAAATAACTTGGGAAAATGGGTGGAAATCAACAAAGTTATACTGCGAGAAAAATATGAGGAAAAACCATGTAAAAGAACAAAGCATTTCCACAGTTTTTCCACTGAAAGTAAGTTGGTCACTAAATATGGTAATTTTGTCCGAGTTTTGGCATGTCCTGTCATGTCCTGTCATGTTCAGTTGCCTGATATGGTAGGCAACTTATTTTGTAACGAGTCGGTTCTGACGACTGTTACACGTTATAGACTGCTTACTACTTACCTAAGCAAGTTGCTTTATATCCTTTACACTCACCATCTAACTGTATCTACACTCAGTCTTAGCTACCTTTGGCTATATATTGAGTCCACTGCAGCCCTTGTGAGTCTAAGGATCTAGGCTCCTTACACTTTTTTGCAGTCTCAGAATTACTGCTGAAATTTTGCTATGACTGTCTACTACTGGCTGGATAGGCAGGAGTGCTCCTTGTGCCCTGCACATCATTCATACTTGGCAACACCCCTCAGGACCTCTGAAATCAAGGTCCTCACCAGCGACATAAGTCGTGTTGCTGACACGCTGTGAGGGTGGGTCGAGGTGAACAACCTCACTCACTGGCTCACCATTATGGATTGGCTCATGGAGTGACACCTCCACCTTGCTACCCTCCATGAACACTGCTTGCGAAAATGGCCTCACCACCATCAAATGCATGCACCGCTGTCTCGATGCCCTCGCAGAACGCTTGAAAGCTGCTGTCACCTGCACGACATTCAACGTGGCATGGACATATCACCTGTTGTAGATACAATTTTGTGTCGTCCTTTCACTCCTTCGTACTTGGTTTCCTAATCGGGCACAAATGCTCGCATAGTGTACACGCTCGCTTCACGTTCCACTTTCCTCAGTCCTTTTACTATCGACATCGGACTGAGGGTAAGCTACATTCCTTACTATACATTAGTTACTCATACTGATCTACTTATAGGACTGATAAGTCTGAGTCTAGGTAGATAATTAGTCCTTTTGCTATCGACATCGGACTGAGGGACTGACAAGTCCGAGTCTAGTCTTCAACAGGTTACAAGCCCCGAGAGGCAGCTAGAATGCACACTCGACTCGCCAGCTGAACCTCTCGCTGATATGCTCCCAGACCTCCTGACCTCTGAAAACATATTTTCCAGTGATCACTCAGACCTCACTACTCTATGCCTTAGCCTCTGAGATGCATCCGACTCTTTTGGGACACTCTGCAAACTTTTGCGACTTCGCACGACTTTATTCGACTTTGCTCAATTCCTCGCGACTTCTCTCTGAGGTCCAACATTCTTTCATCACTCATATGCCACTCTTGTATCTCCCCACTGTTGGATACCACTTACCCATTGTCCTTTGGTCTCATCCGAGGTGCCCTGGCCAATTTCCTTCCAAGTCTGTACTTCCACGATGTCGCGCCGATGTGCTGGTTTGTCGTGCTGATGTGCTAGTTTGTCATGCTGATGTGCTGGTTTGTCGCGCCAACTTATCAGTGTCGCTCGATGGTCGCACCCTTTTGTTTTGCAAATCCCATTCCCTTTATCGTTCGACCTTCTCCCTCAAGACTCCTACCTTCATGCTGGACCGGAGATGCTGTTAGAGTGTTCTATGTGGTTCAGGACAAGTAGCATATGTTTTCTTTCGATTTCCCTCTACTTTATCATTTTTCTCCATCGCTAATGTACAACATTCACCTCCCCACTCACTTTACCTATTTTTCCATTGGTCCTAGACCATTGCGACTCTTTCCGATGTCAGGATCCATCTTCTGACATTTTGCGACTTCTGCATTTTCTCTCCCTTTTTCCCCCTCTATAAATACCTGCTGTATCTACGTTGATTATCATCGAAGACCAGTAGGAGACTTCCCCCTTCACTTCAGATCACCGAGAAACTGCGTTTACTGCGATAGCGACTTTAAACTGTGATATGTGACTGCGACATAGTGAGACTGTGATACTTCAAGACTGTGTATGCAACTGTGATAGCAAACTGCAACACTGCGATAGCGACATAGTGACATAGCGATATACCACCTGCGTTAGTCTTACTCCGACTTTTGTGTTAGACTGACTGCAACTTCATTGAGACAGCGAATACTGCATTTTCCCATAGTGTTCTACCTCCACAGATAGTTCCCTTTACCCTTGCGATTTAGTTCACCTTCGCCTACAAGTTTGGCGATTGCGTCGGACTTTCGCGACTTCATCGTAGATTGTGGCCCGACTTCACATTTACATTGCGAGCCCTCGTTTCTTTACAGGTTGCATCCCCCTTTGGCTTAGGTCGAGGTTCTGGGACTCACTTGCATTATTTTACAGTTGCAATGCCCTTCCCTCTCACACAGATCACCCTGCTTCTTCATCATTGTCATTTATGATAGATAATCTTTTTCGCTAATAAGTAGTGATTTTGGATAAGAATTGTGACTAATAAGCAGAGATAAGAATTGTGTCTAAGAAGCAGAGATAATCTTTCAGATCATCCTGAGATAATCCAAAGATTATTTGAAGGATCATCTGAGGATTATCTCCAAAAAATTGACATCAGCCAGGATTGAACTCTCAATCTCATTGTAAATCACATGACATGTTTTTGACTTATGCTTTAGACCACTAGACCATTCAGCCTTGCAAGTTATAAACCTTATATAAAATATGTGACCTTCATTTTCAAAAGTGACTTGGTCAAATTCTAGCTTTCAAAAGACAGTAAGTGAGAAACTCTAAAATCAACTATAGATAAAGATAGTTTTAAAGCTTGTAGTGTTCATGTAATGACTTAAAGAGTCATTACAGCATGCTACTAATACAATTTAGCTGAAATTTTTCTAATTTTTTAGCAAAACAAGTTTACATATAACTAACATTTTAAGAAGCTGGTTGTTAATCCTCTATTACAACAGCTCATATAAGTCTACTAAACAGTGAATCAGTACTAACAGATAGAAAATAAATCTTTATAATTTATAACAGACCATGTCCTATTAGACCAAGAATACTTACATCTTGTTATAGACTATTATAATATCATCTGAGATTACAAGGCATTATACAAATGCTACAAGCTTTAAAACTATCTTTATCTATAGTTGATTTTAGAGTTTCTCACTTACTGTCTTTTGAAAGCTAGAATTTGACTAAGTCACTTTTGAAAAAGAAGGTCACATATTTTATATAAGGTTTATAACTTGCAAGGCTGAATGGTCTAGTGGTCTAAAGCATAAGTTAAAACCATGTCATGTGATTTACAATGAGATTGAGAGTTTAATCCTGGCTGATGTCAATTTTTTGGAGATAATCCTCAGATGATCCTTCAAATAATCTTTGGATTATCTCAGGATGATCTGAAAGATTATCTCTGCTTATTAGTCACAATTCTTATCCAAAATCACTGCTTATAAGCACAAAGATTATCTTTATATCAGGAAGGCTCGAGTAGACATGTAGCCACAAATAGACACCAGACATATATTTTGCTGTGATCATTGCATGATCTCAAGGGCTTATCACTCTGTACTGTTCAACAATGCCGTTCAGTGGGAGGGCAATATAGATGGCAGTTTCATATCCCAGTGTTATGTAAATACACTAGACAAGATACAGACAGAGGTCAGTGGATGTAGAGTAGCGGGAGGAGGAGAGGGGACTACGGGATGCCCATCGGGCGCAGGAGAGGTGGAGGGTTATCTACACCCGCTGTACCGAAGTTCACCAGACATTCTGCTGGGCAGGCTGCAATGGTTTTTTTGATGTCCGATATATTGACTTTCGGCAGCCTCCGAGGTCCGCCTCGGAACGGCACAGCACGATCGTCTGGCTTGCGAGACTATGCTTTCGGCAGAGTTGCGGTAGACTAGTAGACGCTGACGCGAGCGCTAGAGCCTAAACCCGTCGACTTGCCACCACGCCTTCAACATCGCTCAAAGGGCGTCAGATCTAGCAAAACACAGCAATCGATTGTAAGTAAGTGAATTCAGGTAGTACCGTGGTAGACTCATGGATCAGCCTCAAGACAAGGAAGACAGTCGTTCCTTGTTATAGAGTATCGCGGTAGTTGTGGCAAGGAATCGAGCTTAAAGGATTGAACAGAATTCTTCCAACTGTATGTTCTCATCTGTGTGGTGGTGCACCGTACTGATACTTCCTACTGTCGAACATTTTTGAGTGTCTTTATCATGCCACTGATTTCTCTCAATGACGACGTCCTGGAGTACATCATCTCCTTCGTCTCGCCTTCAGACGCTCTCCGACTTGCGAAAACTTGTCGTCGTGCCTACGCTGCAGCAATCCCACAAAGTCATTCTCATATCGCAATTACCACTCCGCAGAAATTGGCCAGGTTCTGTAACTTCATGCTTGCCGATAGCCCTCGTCGTCCATCCTGTCTCGAAGCCATTACATTAAGAGACTCAGCGTTCCGATTTTCAACAGCAGGACAAATGTGTCCGGACTATTCTTCTACTTCTCAACTCTCCGAAGTGCTTCGCCATGCGAGCGCTTTGCAGTCCCTGACGCTATATCATCTGGAAAAGGTGCTCGAAATCGAGCCGTCGCTGAAAGACGTGCTGGCCGCCCTTACACGCCTTAAGAATGTTTCCTTCTTCCAATCAGGCTCTCAGTCTTTTGATCTACTGTCGCGACTGGCCAGCCGTCCTCGATACCTCGAAATCGGTGGAAAGGGAAGGGTGCTACAGCGTGCGCCTGCTGGTCTTCTGGCTCCACTGGCTACCTCGCTCGGTATCCTGAAGTTGTGGTCTTCCGCTACTCTCCTCGACACGGTTGATAGGAACTGCAGATTCTTTCGGGTCCACACTTTGGTGATAAATGAGCAACGCTCGTTGTCCCGCCTTGCGCATCTATTTCCAAATGTTCGATCTCTCCACCTCCTGCATATAGGACCTACCAGCGTCACTTGGGATGGCCTACCGCAGTGGAATCTCCTTGATCACGTCGAGATCTACACCGCCGCTCCATTCTCCGGTCATGTCCGGCGACTTGAGATCGAATTCGGCTCAAGTCTCAGCCCGGTCCTCGACGATGTCTATCGGATGCTGCGAAACACTTCTCCAGTGGTGCTCTGCGTTGGCCTGGAGCCTACGCTATTTTTGCAGCTTCCAGAACTGGCACCTCACTTGAAGTATTTGCAGCTTACGGACATAGAGGCAGTGGGCGCAGAGCCCGAAGTCTACGTCGAGAGGAGCCTGGCAAGTGCCTTACTTCAGTCAATGCATCTTAGCATTTCTGACCACGTATCACAGCAAAATATCGCGCAGGGGCTCAGCGCGCTCCCTCTCGTCGGCCTGCTGCTGCGCTACGCCACACATTGGGAAGGCAACCGGTGCATCGGCGCTGATAGCCTGCTGCAGTTGGCGCAGGAAGTGGCAGCACGCATATCCACGTTAGAGTACGTTGGCTTTGATGGGCGCAACACATACATGCAGCAGACCCTGCCGCTAGCGTACTCATGGTTCTGCGTTGGATCACGGGCGGATGGGAGCCCTAGCATGGAGTTACTCTCCCAGCGGGAGGGCTGCAAGACTGAGGAGCATTTGCTCGCCCTGGATTCTGCGCAGTGACCTTGGCCTCGTCGTCGCACCCTCGGAGTGTATCCAAGACATTGCCTGAGATAGTTCATGATGCAAGAACCACAGGACCATCAAGGACTGTCATGAAACCGTCGAATTCGGATCTCCTCCATCGACTCTCAACAACATTAATCTCCCCTCATGTACCTGCTGATTCCGCGTTCCTTTGTCGTCCCGTGCTGGACAGATGTATGGCGATTCGATTGGTAGGCGGGTGTATGCTCCATCTGATTGTTTCGCGGACGAGAGTCCAGGACTGTCGGACGTCGTCCCCTCCTCGCGACCCAAGTCATTTGGTACCACTAGCATGCGCATTCCACCCAAATTATTGTCGCACGTAACTCTTACCACCTCGCATCTAGACTCGACAGCCGAGTGGATCGACAAATCAACTTATAGTCGACGCCCGAGGCGGCCATATTACTAACTCGGTGTTCGAAAGCGCTAGTGGTCGGCGCACATCAGTTATGTCCGCCCACTCCGTTGTCAGACAGTGGCAGATGCGGCGGACGTTGATGAACGCCGGCGGACATCGAACTTCCAACTGCCGAGGGTAGACACCAGTGCTACCACCTCAGTCGCTGGCATAAACTTAGAACATACAACCATTGGTAGCAATCCCCGTTGCTTTCACAGCAAGTTCGTTTAGGTTCTTGGAAATGCTGAGCGATTCCAATTGACACCAAGTGACAGTCGAAGTTGAAAAACGATTTGACGAACGAACAGGATTAGTACTCGTTATGTCGGGAGGATCACTGACCCATCAGGATGGTGGCAGCTGAGCCCTTAGTGTCCTCGAGGCCCTCATTATTGAGACATTCGGTCGTCTGCCGCGTTAGATGAGACGCGAGGAACGATGACTGGGCAGTCCCAGCATCTCAGCTATCCTACGCGTGCGGTCAGAGTCAAATATGGTTAGTACACAGGGACACGCCAAATATCTGCTTCCGTAAGTTGTGGAATGGATAATGCATGACTACGGCGGTGGCACTCGTCACACTGCAAAAGGATAAAATGTCCTGCCAGTGCCGGGATAACAGATGTACTTAGTAGATGGGCGCAGGACATGCAAGATGAGAAGAACTAACCGCCTATATCTTCCACGCCGTGGACGACATCCTGTGCAAGCTTGACGAAGACATCATCATCGATGTCCATATACGATCCTTATCACACTCGGTAATACGAATCTGTGCTCATTCCAGGGCATTACACTGACTGTCGCGAAAGCTGTACATTTGGGTCGATGGTGGCAAACACCTTTGGAGATGTCAATAAATCCCTCAGAAGCGCATCCTCGTGCGTCTGATCCGTGTGATACAAGAGGTATCCATTGCAATCGAATATTCTTGGAACACCTTGAGAATCTTCTTCCACCGCGGCCCACATGACATCGGGATCACGTTCGCTTCCCAGTGCATCCTGATTGCGTCGTCAGAACGCGGTCAAAGACATGAATGGCGCACCCGCATTTTCAGCGTGGTGTATGTCGGCTCATCTCTGTAGTTTGCTCTCCGCCTCTTCAAGAGGTCTGGGGAATTTGCAAGGAATACACAACGACGAGGTTCTGCCCCAAAATACTGAGATGAAAAATATCTCCTGCTAGGTCTGTTAATCATGCCGCGTATCGCATATACAGCGGCCAATTTCTGAGTTCGTGCTAGTGATTATATGACGTACACCGCAATGGGTATGCGAGCTTCTCGCGAGCCCAAGATTCGTCGCTGTGAAAAATCCGCGAAGGATGGGAGTAAGGAGCGACCATGGGGGAGCATTGCGCCTTATCAGATATACATTAAGAACTCTGATAGTATGTGATCCAGTGCATGTGGACACACCTAAACGCCTGCATATCGTCTGAAGGGCCCTCAAAAGCCGGCCCTGCCGTTAGCCTCGCGGGAAGTGCGGGCATGAATGGCTATACTAGGTGGAGCTTTGAACCATGCGCTCGGTCGTATCCTATGCTTTCGCATGCACGGACAGAAGTCCTATATGACTCTGTCAGGACTAGTGTCGAAGGAATATGTGGCTGTTCCGAGTTCTCCACGCCTGCCAGTTGGCGCGAACGCTGAACACGATCACGTGGAGGTCCTTATCGAGCACCACAGTTTCTGCCCACCATGTCGTCGAAATCTAACGAATATTTACAATCGCTACTGAGCAAAGTTATAGCCGAAATACACGAAATTTCTATTCTTTTGGCCCGCTCTCCCCCGTCCTCGCGCTTCTCTTCGTAAGTGCCGAGTCACTCGTGCTCTCCTGGGCCGCTCTTGCACGGCCGCTCTTCCTCGACCCCGCGCTCGTTCACCTCTTCGGCGCCATCCTCCTCGCACGGCGCCGAGCACAGCTCGTGCAAGACACGAGCGCCGTAATATACATTTGCGCTTCCTTGTACAATTGCGGTCGCATATACTCCTTGAACATCTCCGATCTATTTGTACATATGCCCTCTGTGGTCATCATTCTTCTACTGCATTCTACCACTTCGCAGCATATGTGTCAACCACCCTTTGATTACGCGTGCTGCTCGATCAGCGCCTTCGCCGCCTCCGAGCGCGGGCGCAGCACGCACTCGAACGGTCTCGGGCGGCTACACAACAAAGAGCACAGAACTGTAAGCCTGGCGCGCCATCACACGTGTGACGTCAGTCAGAATCGGACATACCTCGCCAAGCCCTCCGTGGTGTACTCCACCTGGGGCTCGACTGCCGTCCCGTCCGCTCTAATGGGCTTGCAGATGTCGAAGGCCGCGAGGACGCTCGAGATGACGATCCAAGCGCTGTTGTCAGCGAAGTACAGCCCGGGACAGATCCTGCGGAGCGTAATTGGATGCATAAACTACGATGAACAGAAGGCGTTGCATACCGCCGACCGAACCCAAAGATGACGCTTAGGTGCGGCTCGTCGCGGCCGGCAGGGGCGGGCAGAAAGCGCTCGGGAAGGAACTTGTCTGCGTCTTTGTACATCGTCTCGTCCCTGCTCATTGCCCTGGCGCATGGAGGACGGCATCAGACTCACGACCGAGCAAACAGCAAAGGCAGTGATGGCAGCACTCACATCACGTTAGGTATGATTACAGAGCCTTTGGGAATAAGCATTTCGTTATATATGTCATCGTTGAGACTTCCGTGTGCAATAGCTAGGAATGCGAGGTCAGCAACATCCGGACGCCGATATATGGGGGAGTCTCTACCGAACGGAGCGACTGGGTGCCATCTGAAGTCCTTCAATAAGTTGTTGTTGAATTCTAGTAGGTTGAGAATCGCGTACCGTATGGTCTCTTGCAACACGCATTCCACGAACGGCAGCGCATCGCGGTCGTCAAAGTCTGGGAGCCGCCCAGAGCCTACGACTCGATCGATCTCTTCCTGCGCCTTCCGCTGCACGTTGGGGAAGAGCAGCATGAAGAGGAAGAAAGTCTGGACGAGTGAAAATGTCTGGAACGTCGTCAGTACGCGTTAGTCGCGCAAATCTGACGGCAATTGAAGCGTCCTGACCGTGTCTGTACCAGCTAGACCCGTCGTCAGATCGAGGTTGATAGCTGAGATGACTTGGACTTGCCTACAACTATGGCCGCAGCGGCACCCTTGATGTCCTCGAGGTCTTCTTCGTCGGCACCGTCCGTATTGAGGCGCTCCAAGTGAGACGTGAAGAACGAGTTCTGCGCGGTCCCCGCTTCCTGTAAGATCAATTAGCAGGCAACGTATGAGATGTCGTCACAAGAACAACCATTTTCTCCCGCATGTCGTTGAGCGGGTATTCGCATAAAGCCTTGGTAGCAGGTCCCGACCGCCGTACCGCCGCAGTAAATGACGCACATCCGGGCAGCCAGTAAGGAATGTATTTCACTTGTATCATGGAGTGAGTTGTGGGACATGTGAACCAGCGGGAAATCACGGGACGCACGGAATGGTAACAGGTCGAGGAGTGTAGTCCCTGCAGCGGCTTCTTCGACGCCGTGGATGGCGCCTTCTGCTAGTTTGATGTAGATGTCGTCATCGGACTTTACCTGATGCCCGTATGCGATGCCTATGATGCTCAGAAGAGCATATCTAGAGTGGATAGTTCAAGATGGCATGTTGAACACAATATAGCCGGGGGGAGCCGTACCTCCGAGTGCATGCCTCGAACTCAGTGGGCGAAGTGAGCAAATCTTTCAGGAGTGTACGCGCTTCCTCAGTCTGATGGGCGCGGTATGTCAGGCTTTGACTCTGGCCAAAGTACTCTTGGAAGAACTTTCTGTGCTTCCTCCACCGTGAGCCATACTGCATGAAGGCGACGTGCGCCTTCCAGCCCATCCTGTGCAGTCAAGTATAGTAAACGTTTCATAATCAAATTAATGTACGTACATCTCCAGGGCAGTACAAACAGGCCTGTCACTGTAGTTCGCGCTCCGTTTCTCGAGGAGGTCAGTTGCGACTTGTAGAGAGTTCACGACCACAAATATCTTCCCTAAGATATTTAAATGGAAGACATCTCCTGCGATGGCAGCAACTGGTTTCAGCAACACTGCAATTGCGATACGGTGCGGTTGACTCTCACCGTACTCCGTAGCCCATTTCTGGAAGAGCTCACATTGAGGAGCGAACGTGCATTGGCGCAGGTGGCCGATTAATGGATCGGCAGGAGGACAAGGAGGTAGAGATAGATTTCGCCTGTTCCTGCGCAGCAGTGCCGCACAAGCTATGACGGCGACCGCCCACACAAGATAGGTGATAATACCCATAAAATATAATTGAGATACTGGATCAACACTCAACGACAAGACATTTTATGAGATTGCGCATGCCGGCATGCTTCAGGTCCCACGTATCTCCAAAGCGCATCGTTCAGCTAGAAGCTACGTGCACAAGCGCTATGATTCAGACGGGACCCGAGTTCCACAGCGATATCTATTGATACTGATCTAATGCTGACGAGAACCTGGGTGAACACCTGTGTCTGAATCTGGGGGCTCAAGAATTACGGGTCCAAATCTCCGAAAAAAATATCTGAAAGCTGCTACAGCGTGCAGAAATAGAATGTTGATATTTAGTGACGCGGGACTAGGAAGGACGAGTAGAGTGAATCTGTTGCAGTGACGTACGTGAGTGGCCCGTCGTCTCGAGGCCATGTACAATATTTTGCTTGGTGTGCAACTGGCCGTGTGCCGGGTATGAGTTACAGTTCGGTTTTCGAAGAAGTACGCTCCGGCTTGAGCGGAGTTCAGAGCCACGATCGTTCGCCCTAGAAGGCTGATGTGTAGAACATTCCTTCTGCGTCTGCCAATAATGTGCGAGCGAGCGGTACCGCAGCTTTGTATTGTAGCCGTCATTTGCATCGTACTCGGCCACTGAGAAGGAGCTCACTATGACGCGAAGGAGAAACTTCGCGCAGATGGTGGGTCAGTCACGGTGGAGGCAGCACAATGACCTTCCGATGGAGAACGGACACAAATACAATGAACGCTCACAAACGATAGCGGATTACGAATAGTCTAGTCCCCCGCAACCACTGACACTCTGCGTGAATCTTCGCGCCTCAGGATCCCTGTGTCAGGTGCGTCGGTAGCATATAGCGCATTGGCGCTTGCTATGTGGTTACGCAGCTTAATGTTGGACACGAGACAGCGCGACGGAAAAGAGATCAGTTTGACGCTGACCACAGTTGCAAAAATCCTGAGAATGGTTGCATGAGGTAGATACGGATATCTTGAAGCAGGTCAAAGCAGAGCACGAGGAGAGCCTGAGTTTCTAAACATGCCTTTGGGAGACTAGCTGAAGGGGTTATGTGCACAGGAAAACAATAGAATGGACGTGATGTCAGAACTCTCGGTTCAGGTAGTGTATACGTGTTGAACTTGAATATACATCTATGATACCGAATCGAGGATTGACAGAATGGTCAGATTCGATTGGCGCTCATGGCGCGTCTCCGCAGACACGGACATCCTAGTGGGTGTGGGACTCGAGTCTACTAGCCTCTCGTCAACCTGACCAGCTGTTACAACAATTGGAATACCAAGCCACGGGTGCATACTTCCGGCGCATGGTATGTATTCCTACGCCTGACGGTTGCCTGTGCAGATGTGAAGGCAATACAGTATTTCCCACCAAAAGTTGCGCAAATCACGCGACTCGACGCGTCGCGCCTCGATCGGGAATCGGGATTCTGTACCTGCTATCCTCTCTACGTTTAACCCCTCCGCCAAAGACCCACAAGGTGGGACCGAACACTTTGCAAAATCACGCGATTTTCCCGTCGCAACTTCCTGTGCTCCTGCCAGTGAGTAAGTAGTACTGATATACATGGCAAATCTGAGTCATGACAGATACAGTAATGGTGCTCAGCTTGAGCGTCAGGTGGGTATATGTCGGTGAGTTCTGCAAGCCGATTCACCACGTGTGTTATCTTTGCGCACGCGAGTGAAGCTTCAAATTATGGCTGAACATCAAAGCTGCGGTGGCGGAAGATATTGCGCATTGTCTGTGCCAGTGATTTCTGCACGACGAGCCACCATATATGCTTCATGCCCGATTCTTGCACAGATATCACTAACGGCCTGTGTAAATGTTGCTCGGCTACGTTATTCGTGCACCCATTTCTGTCACCCAAGCTTCAAGTATTCCTTGTATTGGGATAATTCTACCAGGCTCACTGCCCTCGTAGAAAATCAAGGGAAGACAGAATAATCCATTGATTGCGTTGATTGACTCCATTGGACTCATGTTACATTGGGTATGATCAATGTTCATGTCTTCATTAGTGGTCTTACCCGAGACCCAACCATTGAACACAGTCATTGAGAATGATGCACCAAGGAACGACCAGGTGCCATTTACGAGACAAGTCTACTGAGCCTAGCAGGTGAATAATACGGTGATGTGCGGAACAAAATGCACCTTGCGGTCTCCTGGAGCACACTACACGCTTTGCATTCATGTCTCAGACACACAGAATTCAGTTTTTCGGACCTAGCATTTTAGGGGCACTTTGAAACCAAGTTGAATGCCCGCACTACGTGGTTACCTGACTTGATGTTGAAGGCCGGGCAGCGACACGATTAGGCTATCCTGAGCCTGTTTTTCGATATCGGTAATTTCCTTCCGATCCACCGTTTGGCCTACATTATCCTGATTCCCGTATAGAAATAGCTGCCAACTCTCAAGAGATATCCTGGTATGAGAGTTTTCCTATAGTAGTGAATGAGAGAATGAACGTGAGCCATCCGAATCATTATTTCAGACAGTATATTCACCGCTCGAGGATTGTTTCATTGCACCTCTGGATCCGACGCCATGGTGGTGGAGCCCTCAAAATGCATCATTTGTGTCGGGCTTCACAACCGCAATCTTGCGGAAAGGACAGAAATCGAGTTCTTCCACGTGAACTGAGGCCTACAATTCTCATTCACTGGAGAAGTACTTGGAACTACCGGCTCCATCTGTATTTATAAGGCTTTTGCGGCCTTTGGTGGTCCTTAAGTCGCGGGAAATGCACTGACCCGAGTGTATTCGGAAGGCAAGTTTTCGGCGAGTAAAGTAAAGACGAAAAACCCATCTACGCGGTTGAGCGCGTATTCAACGCCGCGGCTAAATCCGACACCTCGACTACTCTATCTCTCTAATATCCTTACAAAATCGACGTAAATAAAATAGGTGTCCAGCGAATGGTGAAGACCGGACAGCGACAGATTGCAGCTGTATTGTTAAAAATTCCAAATTACAATCAGCCCCAAATATGTGCGTTCGGGTCGCCAAAGTAGCGATCCCCTTTGACCTCGTGCCCCGCGATGACCGCGTCGATCGAGGCCTTTTCGTCTGTCGTGAGCCCGACGTCGCCCGCGGCAAGGTTCTCGAGCGTGCGCTTCTTGTTCCTGTACGTTCACGCGGGCATGGGGAATCAGCGGTAGCAAAGATCCACGGAGCAACGATAAGTCCAGCGTGCCAACACGCGGAAAGAGGCGGGACGCACGAGGAGCCAGGGATGGGCGCGATGTGCGTGCCGAGCGAGCATACCCACGCAATGCACAGCTGCGCAGGGGTCACGCCCTTCTTGTTGGCGATCACCTTGAGAGCGTCGACGAGCATGAAATTGTGCGCGAAATTCTGCATGTGGTGAGATATGTTTAACGTCGTGTAGACGGGCGATGGTGAGTATAAGGGATTCCAGATAATGACTGCAACAAGCACACCTCATCGTTGTAGCGCGTCATGCTTTGCCGCATGTCTCCGTCTGTGTAGCATCAGTGAATAACACGCAATCCGAACGAGTTACGACACAAACCTGCCAAGTCGCTCGGGCTCTTGATGATGCCAGTCAGGAAGCCCCGACCCAGCGGACTTACGTAGCATTAGTATAGAGTGTTGACGAAGAGCGGAGAGCAGGGCGTACGAATACGCGGCGATGGTCACGCCGAGTTCCTGCGCCGTCGCGATAACTGCAGTATGTTAAACAAGACGATACCAACGCGAGAACGCGAGAGGGACGTGCGCACCCTTCTTCGTCTCTTCCTCATACGTCCATGGGCTGATCTCGATCTCGACCACCGCGATGGGATGCACCTGCGAACAGCACACGTTTAATAATTCCTCCCGGGGTATAAGGACGTCAGGAGGGCGACCCACTGTGTGCGCTCGCCTCAGCGTCTCGGCGCTGCATTCGGACAAACCAATGTGGTCGAACAGGCCATCCTTGACGTACCCCGCGAGGGTGCGCACGACCTCCTCGATGGGGATGTTGGAGTCTACGCGCGCGGACTGAAACAGGTCCAGACGCTTGGTGCCGCGCAGGGCGGCGTTGATTGCGTCAATGCTGCGCTTGAGGTTGTCCGGCCTGAAGTGCACGCTGCGTGAGTGACACGATTGCGGTTGGAGGCATGAGCACGTACGAGGAGTCCACCTCGAGGCTGCGGTATCTGAACCCACCCTAGAAATCATTTCAGTGGATTTAGTCTGAATTTAGTCTGAAGCACCATGGAACCAGGCAGCGACGCTGACCTTGACGGAGAGGAAGGTCCTGTCGGCATACTCCGGGTACTTCTCGAAGAAGCGAGCGAGGAGCTCGACGTTTGCAATGGACAGCTGGGGGCCATAGAACTCACCTGGAAGAAAGTTATCAGGGATGGGAAACAAGATGAAGGCTGCTGCCCACCGCTGTTGAGCATCATCTTCATGCCAGGAGGGAGTGCGTCGATACCGGATTTGATGGCATCGAAGGCGTCGTCGTCACAGACGATGTCCGGCCTTCCCCACCTACAAAGGAGTCATTGTCAGAAGATGCACGGACGACCATGCCAAGAGACGAACGTCATCATCATCAAGCCATGCTAGGGCAAAGAAGTGTACAGGTTAGTTTCCAGTGCGAATCTGTTGCGTCGCTGAGTATACGTACCCCGATCCTCCAGATGGTCACATCGGAAGCTGTCCCGCCAAGCGTCATCGTGTTGTGAACCATCCTTGATTATACACAGTTGATAATTGCGTAGGCGTGAGTGGGTGTATGAATAACATTGCTGAGCTGCCTTTTATCTAGACCGCTATCAATCTCAGCATAGCAGCCGAGAGCACAAAGCATACGCGGGGTTCGGCGTGGAGACTCGCTGACGCAGACAACGCACTGGCATTGCCGACGCAGGTTCGTCAGGAACTCGAGATATCTCCATAGACTCCATAAGGCTTGGTTATCTCACATCCAGGCCTGATACTTCGAAGGATCGTTAGCGTTCGGCCACACGAGGCGGTTCGGCTTCCGGAACGCGGTGACCAACGCAGAGCTCACCACCATTTGACACAATATTTGAGGTGTACTTTTACTGAAGGAGCGAAGAGCCGATAGACATATTACATAGGCGCCCAGTGTGAGCGCCCTTCGGGCGTCTAATCATCCGAGAAGCCGGAGCTCCGACTTCGCTTCGACGTAGTACTCCAAGCCCGAGAATCATGTGAGGATCGGTAGCATATGGTGCGGCGGGGCTCTGTATGTACATGGACTAGTAGCCTACCATGTATAGTACAGAAAACCGGCGTTCCTGATTGGGACCCAAGCCGGAATATACCTCCCTCCCTCCCTCCCAAGTTATGGGGCAAACTTGCTGGTGTCTCGTTGTCGGAATGGCTCATGCAAGATCACACTCTCATATTTATATCTTCTTCGAGCTCAGAGATCACTTCAGCAAGGCGATTCTCGCGCTCGCTGGCAATTGCGAGCAAACATAACAATCAATTGTAACTGGATTCAGAATTATCTACATGACTACAATGGCGTGGTGCCAGCGTCGTATCGTGGCAAGAGACGTAAGGCCCGGCAGCCAATGAGGCACACGTACTGCAAAAGCGATAAGCTATCCTGCTAGCACCGGGACATCAGATGGAGTAACGAATCGCCAGCACTGTCTTCCACACCATAGCATGCGCAAGCGTGGCGTAGACATCACCATCCGATCCGACGTGACGTGAGTATATGAGCCTCACGACACTCGATAGTAAGAACCCGTGCCCATTCCAAGCCATTATTAGCAGCTGACGGGGTAGATGCGGCAGACTCCTTCAGAGATGTCAATAAATCCCTCAGAAGCTTCGCTTCCTCTTGCATCTGACCCACATGGTACGCGAGGTATTCATCGAAGCTGAATGCTCTTGGAACATCTTCCGATGCTTCTGCCACTGGCCATTAGGATCACATTCGCGTCGCAGGCGATCCTGAATGCATCATCAGAACGCGGTCAAATACAAGAATGGCGCACTCGCAATTTCAGCGCTATTCAAGTCGGCCTATCACTGTAATTCGCGCTCCGCCTCTGCGAAAGGTCAATTCACATGGAATACATGACGACGAAGTTCTGTCTGTGGATACTAAGGTGAAAAATTCAGGACTCTGGTTGTACGTGACCCAGGGCATGTGGACACACCTGAGAGCCTACCTATCATCTGAAGCGGTCAATAGATGGCGCACTTTGAGCCATGCACTGGGTCATATCCAGTGCTTTCACATTCACGTTGCGTGGAAAGAAGTCCTGTATGACTTTCCAGTGTGGTGAAGAAAATATGTGGCCGTCCCGACAGACACGGAGTTCTCCATGTCCGGAAACTTGGCGCAAACACTCGACACGATCATATGGAGGTCCTTACACGTTTCAAGCTACCGGCCACTTACAGCCATTTGCAAAACTATAGGCGCCTGATGAGAAATTGCGTTGGATCGGAAAAATAAAACACCAACGACTGTTTGGCGAGCTCTCACTCACAGTCGTTGGCGGCGAGGCCGGCATCACCTTTCGAAACCTGGTTGTTTGATGTCCGACTTATGGCCTGATTTTTGGCTGGCCTATACTGTAGTTTTGAAAATAGCCGTACAAGCCACCATGGCCATGATGTGTCCAGACCGGTACCGTGGATTTGCGCTTCCTTGATGGTAGCACTCACATCACGTTAGGTATGATTACAGAGCCTTTCGGAATAAGCAGGTCGTCGTCGAGACTTCGGTGAGGACTAACTAGAGGTCTAAGGTCAGCAACATCCGAGTGCCCATCGGGGATTCTCTCCCCAACGGAGCGATTGGGTACCATCTGAAGTCCATAACAAAGTTATCATATAATTATAATAAGCTGAGAATTGCGTACCGTATGGTCTCCTGGAGCACGCATTCCACGAACGGCAGCTTACCGCGGTCCTCGAAGTCTGGGAGCCGCCCGGAGCCGACGACTTGGTCGAGCTCTTGCTGTGCCTTGCCTTGCACGTCGGGTAATAGCAGCATGGACAGGAGGGAACTCGGGATGAGCGAGGATGTATGTAACGTGGTCAGTATGCATACGCAGAGACAAAACTTGCCCGAAATTAAAAATCCCTGCGTATCAGTACCTGCTAGGCCCCACGTCAGACAGAGGATGATAGGTGAAATGAATTGGACTTGCCTACAAGTATCGTCGCAGCGGCACCCTTGATGTCCTCGAGGTCTTCTTCGTCGGCGCCGTCCGTGTTGAGGCACTCCAGGTGAGACGCAAGGAACGAATTCTGCGCGGTCCCTGCTTCCTGTTTGGCCAATTAGCACCTGACGTGTGAAAGGTGGGCACAAGGACAACCATCTTCTTCCGCACATCGTTGAGCGGATATTCGCATAAACCCTTGGTAGCAGGGCCCCACCGCCTCACCGCAGCGGTAAACGAAGCACATCCGGGCAGCCAGTAAGGGATATATTTCACTTGAATCACGGAGTGAATTGTGGGACGTGTGAACTAGCGGGAAATCACCGGACGCACGGAAGGGTATGAGGTCGAGCAACGTGGTTCCTGCAGTGGCTTCTTCGACTCCGTGGATTGCGCCTTGTGCAAATTTGACATAGACATCATCATCCAACTTTACCTGGTGTCCGTATGCAATGCCTATGATGCTCAGAAGAGCATGCCTGAAACGGATGGTTCAGGATGGCATGTTGAACACAATGTAGTCAAAGAGAGCCGTACTTCTGCGTACATGCCTTGAACTCCGCCGGCGAAGTGAGCAAATCTTTCAGGAGCATACGCGCTTCCTCAGTCTGATGGGCGCGGTATGTCAGGCTTTGACTCTGGCCAAAGTACTCTTGGAAAAGTTTTCTGTGCTTCCTCCACCTCGCGCCATACCGCATAAAGGCAACGTTCGCCTTCCAGCCCATCCTGTGGAGTCAAGTACGGTATATGCTTCGCAATCAAATTAATGCAAGTACCTCCAGGGCAGTACAAGCAGGCCTGTCACTGTAGTTCGTGCTCCGTTTCTCGAGGAGGTCAGTTGCGACTTGAAGGGAGTTCACAACTACGATAATTTGCCCTATAATATTGAGATGGAAGACGTCGCATACGATGACAGCAACTAGTTCCAGCTACACCACAATTGCACTGGACTCTTAACGTAATCCGTAGCCCATTTCTGGAAGAGCTCGCATTGAGGAGTGAACGTAAATTGACGCAGATGGCCGATTAAGTACGCTCCGGCTTGCACAGAGTTCAGAGTCACGATCGTTCGCCCTAGAAGGCTGATGTGTAGAACATTCCTTCTGCGTCTGCCAATAATATGCGGGTGAGCGGTACCGCAATTTTGTACTGTAGCCGTCGGTTTGCATCGTACTCGGCCACTCAGAAGGAGCTCACTCTGACGCGAAGGAGAAACTTCGCGCAGATGGTGGGTCAGTCACGGTGGAGGCAGCACAATGACCTTCCGATGGAGAACGGACACAAATACAATGAACGCTCACAAATGATAGCGGATTATGAATAGTCCAGTCCCCCGCAACCATTGACACTCTGCGTAAATCTTCGCGCCTCAGGATGCCTGTGTCAGGTGCGTCGGTAGCATATAGCGCATTGGCGCTTGCTAGCCTGAGGCTATGTGGTTACCCAGCTTGATGTTGGACACGAGACAGCGCGACGGAAAAGAGGTAAGTTTGACGCTGACCGCAGTTGCAAAAGTCCTGGGAATGGTTGCATGAGGTAGATACGGATATCTTGAAGCAGGTTAAAGCAGAGCACGAGGAGAGCCTGAGTTTCTAAACATGCCTTTGGGAGACTAGCGCGAACTCTCGGTTGAGATAGTGTATTGAACTATATTATTATACATCTATGATACCGAATCGAGGATTGACAGATTTGATTAGCGCTCATGGCGCCTCTCGGCAGACACTGGCACGGACATCCTAGTGGGTGTGCCAGTGGGACTCGAGTCTACTAGCCTGTCGTCAACTTGACCAGCTGTTACAACAGTTGGAATACGAAGCCACTAGTGCATACTTCCGGCGCATAGTACGTATTCCTATGCCTGACGGTTGCCCGGCCTGTGCAGATGTGAAGGCAATACAGCATTTCCACAGTATTTCCCACCAAAAGTTGTGCAAATCACGAGACACAAGGTCGCGAAGATGAAGCGGCAAATTGGTCATTCCAAGGATTTTCCCCGCGGCCGGCGGGCCGGGGACCATTCAGGGATGTTTTCAGGACACCCGACAATTGGTGAATAGGCCTGATCTGGAGAGGGCAAAAATGTCCATGAAAAATTAGGCCTCACCACATTTTTTGCCTCTGCGGTCCGCATTTCTCTTCAGGTTCTAACTCTAAAAAGGTAATTTTGGGCACTTCTGAGCTGGCGGCTACGCTGCCTCCTCCTCGGCCCTGCCTGCTCTCCCTCGCCAGCCTTCCACAAGTGTTTGTTCAGCCTCAAATCAGGCTGCTGCCTCCCCGATGTCCGCAAAATGGCTCAGGCTATCTGGCGGTCAACAACCTGATCTGTCCATGAAATACCAGGCATGAGGCTCTCGAAAGTTCAAAGTTTGTCCATAACTGGCTCAGGGACCTTGCCCAATTGTCAGGGGTCCTATGTTTTTGCGAAGTGCCAAAATGGTACCAAGGAATTTCTCGCCGATGTGCACATTGGCAAGACTGTATCTCACTCATTTTATTTCTGCAACTTCAATTCCAGTCAATACACTATAAAAGATGCACCTGGACCTGTTGAAAGTGCGCAGATTAGCAATTTGGCATTTACGAAAAGGTCTGAGAAAGGTCCGTAAGGTTAGGATTAGTAAGAACAATGCCTCGAGCATAGTCTGGTATTTTCTAGTCTCTTAGTTTGCAGTATATAAGGAGCTGAATGAGATCCTTCTTGCTTTGTACTTTCATCTCAGGCAACTTTCCCAGGAAGAGCCATGGACCTGGAAACTCTCACCTGAGTTATCCTCTGCTTAGCAAAGGGCCCCCCTCAGGTGTGAAACTAACAGACATGCTAACTGCCCTGGCTTTTTATATAGATGCTATTGTGACCTCCGACAGCACGATCAAAGCCATGCAGACCGTCTCCACCCGCATCTTGGCAACACAACAGAAATTTGAAGACTCTGTAAGCCAATTTGACACAGCATGTTTAGAGACAAGAAACTTTGCCTCCATGGCAGCAACAATTATGGAAAACTTGTTAAAGATGTAACATATAAGCACCTGGAGTGCCTTGAGGAGGCCGCCAAGGAGTTTACTGCCATGAAGACTCCCCCGGAACACCTAATGGCCCTAGAGGTTGCCACTGCATCCCTCAAGGAAGTATCCAAGAAGCTGGCAGAAGAATGCAGCAACCTGCAACTTCACTCCCTTCTTCCCTGCATCAAATGTAGTTTCATATGGCAGGAACTCCCCACCCAGTGCCCATGTCTGATACAACCAACTCCCCCACTTCTACTCTGCATATATGCCAGGTGAACCTCAACAAGTTCCTCACAGTACAGTCTGCATTCATTAATTATTTCTTGAATAGCAACTTTGATGTCATCCTCCTGCAAGAACCATAACTTGACTCCCACAGTTCTCTGACACACTCTACCTCACACTGGAATGTTGTCTACCCTTCCACACATCTTGATGATGAGGACAACAGTGGATCTGCTCTATTATCTTTGTCAGCAAGAGGGTCTCAAGTGAATCATGACAGCAAATTGACATAGACTCTCCTGACCTCATGACTATCATGCTCCACACTCCATCAGGCCCTTTCCATATATTTAACATCTACAATAACCAACTACACCAGGAGATGCTTCACCTGCTCATGTGGGCAATCTAGCAGCTCCTGCACTGTAATGGAGAAGGTGTGAACATTGTATGGGCCAGCAATTTCAACTGCCACCACCCGATGTGGGATGAAGAGCGGAACTATCATCTTTTCACACATGATGCCCTCACAAAAGCACAACCATTCCTCGACAACATCATTGCCTTTAACCTCACGATGCTACTCCTCCACGGGATCCTAACTCTGAAAGCCACCACATTGAAGAACTACACTCGGCCAGACAACATGTTTGCCTCCCCAGACATAGCTGAATGCCTCATCCCATGTAATATGGCCCCACACCTCTGCCTGCCTCACACTGATCACTTTCCCATCTCCTTTAAGTGCAACATCTCCATCTGCACCCCCCAGGAAGCCACTCATTGCAACTTCTGAGAAGTAAACTGGGAAGACTTCTGTGATTGCCTGAAATTTAACCTCAACTTCTGCCTTCTGGGGAAAGCAAAGATAATGATAATGGAGCAGTTTGCCACTGCTCTAAAAAGCCTTTCTGATGCAATTTCAGAGACGGTCAAAGTGAAGGTACCCCTGTCAAAACCCTCCCCTTTCACCAAGTGCTGGTGGTCCAAGGACCTTGTGAAGACATGGAAGGCAGTACAATGACTGGCGAGAACATCATACAAGAATCACCTGTCCTAAGACCACTCCTCTCATGCACAGTATCGCAAAGCCCACAATCACTACAGAGATGAGATCCAAGCAGCCAAGAGAGATCACTGAGAGGCCTGGCTGGAGTCTGCTGACCCAGACTCCATCTGGACCATCAACTGATTCACTGCAGCAGGCCCAACAGATGGAAGTCATCCCTGCATCCTCCCGCTGAAGGCGGGCAATAATCCTCCAGCCACGGACAATGAGGGGAAGAGTGCTGCCCTGTACCAAACATTTTTTCCCCCTCCAGAACCACTGCTCACACTTCCTGCAGACCACACCAACTGCCCATCAGCATTCAAATTCTCTCGCATTACTGATGCCCAGATAGAAGCAGTCATCCAGAAGCTCTGACAGCTGAAGGCTTCAGGCCCAGATGGCATCCCTAATGAAGTCTACAAGTACGGCATCCACCTTCTCCTCCCACACCTCAGTCGCCTCTTCCATGCGACTTTCTCTTTAGAAATTTACCCCATGGAATGGAAGGCTTCTAATACAGTTGCCCTGTGCAAACTGGGACACCTGGACTACTCAGTGGCCAAAGTGTACAGGCCCATTGCCCTACTGAACTGTATCCGTAAAATTCTGTCTGCAAGCATAGCTGACATTCTGGTATATCACTCAGAGAAATGTGGGCTGCTTGCTCACCACCACTTCAGTGGCCACCTGGAAGGAAGGACCACAGACTCCCTACACCTTCTTGTCAAGATGGTCAAGGATGCATGGTGCTGGAAAAAGGTAGTCTCGGTCCTCTTCCATGATATTAAAGTGGCCTTTCCCAGTGCCAACCTCCAATGCCTCTTTCACAACATGCATTCCTGCGGGGTGTCGAAGAAGATCACAGACTGGCTTTAACACCATCTGGCAGGATGACACACAAGAATTCTTTTTGATGACTTCAATTCAGCACTATTCGAGATCCTCTGAGTATCGACCAAGGTTACTCACTCTCTGTCACTCTCTATGAGTTTTACAACTCGGACCTTTTTAAGATTGCTCACAAAATCCCTGACTCCCTAGCCCTAGGTTACATTGATGACTCAGCAATAGTCACGATAGGTAAGGACTACATGGAAACTCATGGGATCCTTCACAGATACATGGATGGAGAGGGCAGAGCAATCAAATGGTTTGCCAATCATCAATCTGAATTCTCCTTAGAGAAGTTTGGTCTCCTCAACATGTCCACAGTGGGAGCAGAACTGGTGATGAGTGCACACCTGACACAAACACCTAAACCCAACTAAACCAAACAAGAAGCAGGGGTGATCTGTGTGAGAGGGAAGGGTGTCGCAACTGTAAAATAATGCAAGTGGGTCCCAGAACCTCGACCTAAGCCAAAGGGGGATGCAACCTGTAAGAGAATGAAGGTTCACAATGTAAACGCAAGGTTGGGCGACAATCTACAACAAATTT